TTGTTGTTGTTGTTGTTGTTGTTGTTGTTGTTGTTGTTGTTGTTGTTGTTGTTGTCAGGCGTGGAGCAGCGGCCCGGCGTCACGCTGTTGCCGTCCGCGTCGTCGTTCTCGCCGGGGATGGTGATGTCGTCGAAGGCGTTGGCGGTGGTGGCGCCGCCGCCGTGCTTGCCGTCCGGGGTACGCATGGACGCGAAAGTGTCGCGCAGGTTGTGGCTCTTGGGGTAGGCGTGCGAGGTCGCGCCGCCCATGCTGCGCCGAGCGTGCTCCTCGGCCTCGTCGACGTTGAGCTTGCGGTAGACCTCGTCGTCCGTCAGAGGCCTGCGACCGCGGCGGCGGCGAGGAGGAGCCGAGGCGGGGGAGGGCGGGCTGTCGGGAGCGGCAGTGTAAAGGAAGGTCGACGTCTTGACGGGACCGTCGGTGGTGGCTGCCATCTGAGAGAGAGCGGGAGCGGACTTCTTGACGATCGTCGTGGGCTTCTTGTCGAGTCCGGGGATGACGATGCCCTCGGCAGTGTCGTCGCTTTCGTACGTCTCCGCGGCATCATTACCGTCGTCGTCGTTGTGTTCTTCGGTCTTGACCTTGCGGGTGCTGGGATTGCGCTTTGCTTTCTTGAAAGCGCCGGTGTCGTCCTCTTCATTGTCGGCAGTCTCAGCGTTCTGGCGCTTCCTGTTGCTGGTCGCGCTCTTCTTGCCGTTGGAGCCGTTGCCTTGTTTGCCACCAGGAGCGGCAGCAGCGGTGGAGCCCGTCTCACCACGCTCAAGAGCCATCTTCAGGCGCGACCAGCGCTTGGATGCCGCGCCGGCGTTGAGGCTGAGCTCTTCGCCCACAGCCTTGAAGTCGACCTAAGTAAGGAAAGTCAGTGAGCTTCCGTTCTCGCTGCGCGAATAGGGACGATTGGAAAGCGAGGCGCGTGAATGTGCAGACGGACGCTGAGTACCGAGGTGCATCGAGAAAGATAGCTGGAAGTCGAAACGGAAGTGAAGCGCACGTACGTTGTTCATGTCCGAGTGTTGGATGCACGACCACAGGTAGCGGACGTCGAGGCCATTCTCCTTGCCCTCTTTGACGGCCTGCTTGAGACGGCTCATACGCTTACTGGCGGCTCCAGTTGAGATTTTGCACTCTTCGCCGATCTTCTTGTAGTCAAACTGCGGAAGAGAATGTCAGAAGGTGTCGAAGTGAGGTGGGCGTCCATGCACTTACGGTGGTAGCAGTGCTGAATTTCAGACAAAGGAACATGAGCTTCGCATTATCGAGGTCGGTCGGCATCTTGAAGAATGGCGCTGCAACGTCGCCGTCGTCGTTGTGTGTTGCTTGGTGCTGGGTGGCTTGGCTGGCGGAAGTTTGTGGTTGAGTGGAAGACGAGCGGGCGGCCTCGAGAGTTCGGAAAAAGAAGCGCTGGCATGTGTCTTAGTAGCCGAGCAGGCGTGAAGGCATCACTTGTCACGGTGGGTGGCAGTGAGGTGAGGTCACTGGTATCCTAAAGACCCTGCATCGTTAGGTGCCGGCGGCCGCACCTGTAGGGAAGTCACAGAGGGTCCCCGTAGCTTACCTCTAGTCCAACTCTACATTCTCGTCCGGACGCTAGCTTCAACCACATATGTTAATTTTTCTTAGGCAGAGCTGGGGTATAGTTACGCTATGTTCTAAAGCCCTGCTATTCTTCGCGCTAGCCATCGGCTAAGAGTAGTAGTTGGATGGCGACTTGAGATCCGCACTTGACTCACCCGGGCGAAACCTTTCACTCCCTACAATTCGACCATGTCGGTATGAGGATAGTAAAAGGATTAAAGGAATTTTCCAATCACCATAGACTAAGGAGAAGACGGAGCGAGTACGCGTGGGTTTAACCCTATCTTCCGACGTGAAATGCAAAGTGGTCCGTGCAGATGGTATGTCAACTGTCCGGATGTATATGTATGTAGATATACGTTAGGGCATTGGCTCCCACTGCCCACACAAGTGGAATGCGGTCTCGGGCCCCAGAGATGTCATTGCACGAAAGAGCGCCAGAGGCGGGTATCATAAGCAAAGAACGCGAAAATGCAAATTGGGGCAACTATGAAGGGAAGTTCATGCTGGGAGGAGACATGGGGGAAACATGCGGAAATGTAAGTTCATATTACCGGGACTTTCAACCTTTACGCCAACCTTCTGACCTAAGATGGAATGCAACTGAATCTCAAAGAACGCCAGAAACAATGAGCAAGGTATACGCGATAGGAAACCAGAGAATCGATATCCAAACAGCTAAAGGAAAAAGAAGAACAAAAACTTTTCGTGAAGCTCGCTAACCCATGGCGTTTCTCTTCTGTGCATCTTCGACCGCAGCTTCCCAGCTAGTCTTGTAAATGAATACCCATTCAACAAAAGCGACAATGCCGAGCGCAAGAGCGGGACCCTAGAGTTCATCATCAGCCCGTAATCTTTCATCCTAGCAATTATCCAGTCACTTACCGCCCACAGACCGTACAAGCCCCATCCCAAGCCGAATCCGGTGCCAAAACTGATAGGCAGGCCGATAAGGTAGTAAGAAATGAGGTTGACGTAGCCACCGACTTCCTGACGACCGATGCCGCGCAGAATACCACCGCAGCAAGCTGCCAGAGCATCGAACAGCTGAAACGCGGCGCACAAAGGAAGGATAGAGGCCACGACTTCAATGACGTCTTCGTCGTTGGTGAACAGCTGCGGAATATAGTTTCGGAGCGAGGAAAGGAGCACGACGTTCAGGATACCAATGCCGACCTCTGCCACGAAAGCGACCTTAGCGGCCGTCTTCGCCGCGTCAGAGAGCGTGGCGCCGATGAGATTTGCAATACGCGTGCTGGCGGCAATCGACACCGGGAAGGGGATCTGGTAGGTGATGGCAGTGAGAGTGCTGAGGACACTCTGTGCGGCAAGATGCGTGGTCGAAATCCAGGATGCAGACAGGGTCAAGATTTCAAAGGCCAAAAATTCAGCCAGCACCATGACGAGCCCGGGAAGAGCGAGTCTGATCATTGGGCCCCAATTCCTGAGGGCCAACCTCGAAAAGCCACCCCAGCACTGCATGCCATCCACGAAGCGCACGTAGAGGAAAAGGCACAGCGGCATAAGGTTCTCCGTGACCGAGACAGCAATAGGAGCACCGACGAAACCCCATTGAAATTTCTGTAACCGCGTTAGTCTCATTCCAACGTTAAATTCACGACATCAGTTACTTACCCAAACGAACAACCAGTTCATGAAGGCGTTCAATGGAGCGCAGATTAGCAGCACGTAAAAAGTTGCTGAGAATAGACCTTGCGCTTGAACGAACCTCTTGCCACTTTCGAAAGCAGCGTAACCCGGTGCTCCAGCAATGAGGACTTTCAGGTAGAGTCCCGCCAATTTCGCGGTCTCCTTCTCGGGCACAATGGCCTCGAGAATCTGAGTGCCAAAGAACCATATGATCGAAATTGGAATGGTGATGGTCCACAGGAAATACACCATGCGCTGCAGCTGCAGTCCGACCAGCGTCTTGTGGCCCGAGCCATAAGCCTGAGCGCAGAGCGTGTCCAGACTAGTGGCAAGGCCCTGATAAACAGAGTAGCCGGTGATCGAAGCCGTCATACTGGCCAAGCTGACAGCGCCCAATTCGATTTTTCCAATGTGACCAACAGTGAAGATACTCGCAACCGTCAAGGAGTATTGCAGCAAGAAAGTCAAGATAAGCGAAGGAGAATACTTCGCCAGCACCTTTGCCTCACGCTGCCAAGTGGTCTGGATGATTCCAGCTGTCACGGCCTCTTCCCACCTCTTGCTGATATTTTCCGGCGTATCCAAACCACCATAAGGCTTGGAGGGGTCCGCTTCCCTTGAAGCGCCCAGCAGCGCAGTGCGCTCTGACAGATCGGCTATGCCGTTGCCAACGGCATCGTCTACCGCAGCCTCCTCATCAATGCTCCGACGGAGCCGGGGAATGGAGAGGCGCGCGCTCAAGCCTTGGAACGAGGACTGGCCGCCGCTGGAGCGCCGGCGCGGGTGCTTTGGGGGGAGAAGGGAATTGTCGCGCAAAAGACTGCGCTCGTCGTTCCGCGCCTCTTCGGCTTCGCGCTTGGTTAGATATCCATGCTCGGTAACGGATGAGTTCTGGACGACGGCGGCGCGCGGTCCGGCAGCGACGTAGCTCGGGCGGTGGTATCCCTCGGCGAGCGAGTGGTCGGAGGGCTTGATTGCCCAGCCAGCTGAATCGTAGTCGTCGTCATCGTCATCTTGCAGCGCGCCCGCTTGCTCGGCTTCGTCTTCGATGTCGCGCGCGATGGCAGCTTCGGCGATGGGAGACGAGGCGCTGAAGGAGCTCAAGTGCGACCTGAATGACGTACTGAGCAGGCGCATAGATTGGTCCGCAGCGGAGGAGGGCGCTGCGTGGGGGCCCATGGTGGCTCTAGCAGGGCAATGGCAGCAGCAATTGGGAGTGGACGGTGCGGATGGGCGCGCAAGAGCAATATATAGGCGGGAATTGGTCAGACCATGGAGGAAAAAGATCCGGGAAGCGTCGCGGAGGCGATATGACGGCGGGCATCTTGTTATCGTGCCGAGTCAAGTAAGTGGCGCCCGTGTGGTGACTGGACCGCGGGGGCGGCGGCGTGCGGCGTCAAGCTCCACCGATAGCAACCTTGGGCGGCAGTCTCGACGGACCCGGGACCGGCCGCTGTGACCCTTTTGGCATGTCCTCGCGGTGCTGCAATGCACTGCCGCCCTCCTCTCCTGCGTCTCGTGCTGCGCGAAATTTTCTCCGACTACTTTCTCCAAAGGCTGGCCATTGGGAAAGCTGCTTACCCTTGACTCAGTCACACCATGCATTGGCGATCAGATCGTGCGCACTGTTGCTGTTATTTATGCGGGCGATCACCGAGCTAGCTATCTACCCTGTCCGCTCATTGGACAATCATCGCACCTTCCTCACGTAAGGCGTGGATTTGACCGCATAGCCACACCTGCAATGACAGATCGAAAATCTGCGTTCGTCCACCTTCGCGTCCGACTGACGTTCCCAGGCGCGGAGTCCGCGGGTGCCGCAGATCGCTTTCCATGCTGTCCTACGTAGCGCAACCGAACCGTCATACTTTGCTAGAGCTTTTAGGGATAGTCTTTCCCAGACTTTTTGCGCGACTAACGCTTTCCTGTTTTTCAAGATCGGGCCTTGTAGAAGAAAGTATGCGCTTGGCGTCGCTTCGTCCGGACGCCTAGGACCCTGCAGATTTAAGCGGCGGCTAAAGAGGCTCGTAGGGATCAAAGAAGCTTAATGTTGAGTCCCAGGGCTCATATGGCCCAGCCCGAGGCCGCTTTTGCGGAGGATCGCGATTTCGAAGGCGCCTTCTTCGCGGGAAGCTCGATGTCGTCATGTGTGACTTCCGGGGTATCGTCGTTGATATGGAGGACAGTCATGCCGTTGTGGAGGTCACGGTCTGCCTCGGCATCACGAGAGTCTGTTGGAACATCCTCGTTCTCTGCCAACTCGTTTTCCTCATCCTCGTCCTCGTCCTCGTCGTCTTCCGCCTCTGCGCCGTCGTTCTCTTCATCACCATGGCCGTCAACGCCAACGTCCCGCATGTAACCTTCCAATTCCTTCGCCATCTTCTTGCTGAATCCCGAAGCCTCAACCTCAACGTCCAACCTCCTGGCTCCGGCGGCTTCGCCAACTGACTTGATGGCATCTTTGAAGAAAGGCCCCGGCTCGTCGCTGACAAAATGGAAACGACGTTCGAAGAATCGCTTAATACAGTTAACGTCCCTATCAAAGTAGTATTCCGCATTTGGATGATCGATGGACACCATTTGAGGGAAGTCAATGAGCACAGGCTTCAGCGTGATCTTCGGCGGTGAATCAGAGTCATTTGAGTCGGACGGCTCGGCCTTCTCTATGATCAAGATGTTGAACTCATTGAAATCGCCATGGATAAGGCCATACTTGGCCAGGCGAATGATCATGTTCAGCAGTTCGGCGTAGAGCTTCTCCGGCTGGGGCACGCTGGCTATGGTCCTCAGTGGAAAAGCATCCACCAAGCTCATGACGATCGTGTGTCTGTTCTGCGCGATTGGCTCTGGCACGACGAAGCCATTGTCCTTCAAAGCCTTCATAAACGCAAACTCCTTCAACGCTGCCAGTCGCGACATGTACATCCAGGATCCTGAGGAGCGGTTGCGGAGGTAATCGCGGTTGGCCTTGACGGTGCGGAATGAAATGCGGCCGAGACGATGGATTTTCAGAACCCTCTGGACTCCGCTGGGCGAGGCGACGACAATGATGTCCGACTCCTTTCCGACGCCAATCTGGTTTCCTACGCTGAAAACATTGTTCTGTTTGCAGTGCGTGTTCAGGGCGAGATAGTCGAGTCCACCGTAAGTCAGGCGGTATCCGTCGTATTTCGCGTTCTTTACTTTGCCTATGAGGCCGACCTTTGCCAGGTTCGAGATACACCGATGCACGCCATTGCGCTGCCCAGAGATGCTTCCGATCAAAGGCGTAGGAACGACTTCATGGTTCCTGCTACCCATCTCAACCTGCGCGCTCATCAGCCGTCTGTCGCAAGGGCCTTTGGCGAGGCGCGAAGGTGCCTACCGCGGTGAGCACACGCCAGTCATCCTGGGTGAGGTATCTGATAGCTTTGGTATCGAGCTTCATGGCGCCGGATTTCTGGGGGAGCGGCGGCTTGGGTGCGGGCGAAACTGCGCAAAAACAGTGCGGGCGGCGGGCGGTGTTGCATCACTTTTTAGTGTTGGCCGGCCGGCGGCTCAACTACGGCTTGAGTGGTCGGTGCGACGAGCTTCCAGCGCGCCTCCAGCAGCAGCTCCAAGACCTCAGCAACACCAACTCCCTCTCCCCAACCAACCCCCATCCTTCGTCTTAGCCGCAACTCCCGCCCATCCACCGTCCTTCATTTCCGCAGGTCATCGCTTCTCCTGCGCGCCGCCAAGCCGCCCCTCCGCCGTCCGCTGCTCACTAATACTGTTCCGAGATGGCAAACGAGGACGACAAGAAGGCCACCCAAGCCGACAAGGGCAAGGGCAAGGCTGTGGACGAGACCCCCAAGGAGGTCAAGAAGGACAAGGATGGCAACCCCATCAAAGAGGATGAGAAGCTCCTGCCCGCAGGTCAGTATTGCCGCCGCGCCGTACCGCCGCCTCACGCGTCGGATGTACTGACTTGGCCACAGAGGAGCTGAGCGAGGAGGATCAGCAGCTCAAGAACGAACTTGACATGCTTGTTGAGCGGATACAGGTGCGTCTGCCTTGGTTGCTAGCTCTGCGGGCTGAATCTGACACTTCCCCGATAGGAACCCGACACCAGCCTGTACAAGCCTGCGCTAGAAGCAATCAAGAACTTCATCAAGACCTCGACTTCGTCGATGACTGCGGTCCCTAAGCCGCTCAAGTTCCTCCGCCCGCACTACGAGTCGCTCGAGAAGACGTATGAATCATGGCCAGAGGGCGAGGACAAGGTACGGACACAGTAGCCAGCAGCCTTTGGCGATGGGTATTAACGTGAGCTGCAGCAATCGTTAGCAGATATGATGTCGGTGCTTGGCATGACCTACTCGGACGAGAACCGCCGCGACACCCTCAAGTACCGCCTGCTTTCCCCATCAAAGGACCTGGGTTCGTGGGGACACGAGTACATGCGCCACCTGGCTTTGGAGATTGGACAGGAGTTCCAAGATCGTCTGAACGACGACAAGGTCGCTGACGAGCTGGTTGATCTCGGCCTGAACCTTGTTCCCTTCTTCCTCAAGCACAACGCTGAAGCCGACGCTGTCGATATCCTCAGTGAGCTCGAGATGATTGAGTCAATCGACCAGTATCTCGATGACAACACATTCTCGCGAGTCGCGCTGTACATGGTCAGGTATGGGCTGTCTGCAAATATTGGGTCTAGCCTGTGGCGCTAACACTTCACAGCATGGTTCCCCTCCTCACCTACCCTGATAACGACCGCTTCCTTCGCACCGCATACAAGATCTACCGCGATCACAAGCAATTCACCCAGGCCATGGTGATAGCGATCCGCCTGAACGACAAGGAGCTGATCCAGGATGCTTTCAACGCCACCGAGGACAAGTCCATCAAGAAGCAGCTGGCATTCCTCATTGCTCGCCAAAGAATAGTTATTGACTTGCCTGAGGAAGAGGAGGATGGCGAATTGGCCGAGTGCCTGAACAACACCAGGCTCGCGGACCATTTCAAGGTGCTTGCAAAGGAGCTCAACATCCTGGACCCGAAGACCCCCGACGACATCTACAAGACGCACCTCGAGAGCAGTCGCACAGCGGGCCTTACTAACACCGACTCGGCCAGACACAACCTTGCCAGCGCTTTTGTCAATGCTTTCGTGAACGCCGGATTCGGCAACGACAAGATGATGCTGGTTGATGAGGACAAGAACAGCTGGGTGTGGAGGACCAAGGATGAGGGCATGCTGTCAACGGCGGCATCTCTGGGTCTGCTGATGCAGTGGGACACCGAAGGAGGCTTGGATAAGATCGATCGCTACACCTACCTGGACGAGGACCAAATCAAGGCAGGCGCTATGCTCGCCAGCGGTATTGTTAACTCGGGTGTGCGGAGCGACGCCGACCCTGCCATGGCTCTTCTCGGCGACTCGGACAACTTGGAGAGCAAGAGCGTGCCGATTCGTGTTGCGTCTATCATGGGTCTTGGCCTGGCATATGCGGGATCTAACAAGGAAGAACTTCTCGAACTTCTCTTGCCGATTGTCAGCGACACCTCGCTGGATATGAAGCTCTCGGCCATGGCTGCCCTGTCTCTGGGCATGATCTTTGTTGGTTCTGCCCAGAGTGATGTCAGTGAGGCCATCATCCAGACTTTCCTGGACGAGGACCGGACGAAGCAGCTCAAGGACAAGTGGACGCGGTTCATGGCTCTCGGTCTTGCGTTGCTCTTCTTTGGTCAACAGGAGGAGGTTGACGTCATTCTGGAGACTCTGAAGGCGATCGACCACCCCATGTCGAAGCCTACCTCGGTTCTTGCCGAAGTCTGTGCTTGGGCAGGTACCGGCGCCGTGCTCAAGATCCAGCAGCTGCTCCATATTTGCAACGAGCAGATTGACGAGGACAACGAGGAGAAGAAGGGCGATGAGCTTCTACAGGCATACGCTGTCATTGGTATCAGTTTGGTTGCGATGGGTGAGGAGGTCGGCCAAGACATGGTCCTCCGCACTTTCGGCCACCTGATGCACTACGGCGAGACGAACATCAGGAAGGCTGTTCCCCTTGCCTTGGGTCTCATCAGCCCAAGCAACCCTCAAATGAAGGTGTACGATACGCTTTCGAGGTACAGCCACGACAACGACAACGACGTGGCGATTAACGCCATCTTCGCCATGGGTCTTGTCGGCGCGGGTACCAACAACGCACGTCTTGCACAACTGCTCAGGCAATTAGCAAGCTACTACTCGCGCGACCCCAACGCGCTGTTCATGGTGCGGATCGCCCAAGGTCTGCTGCACATGGGCAAGGGTACTCTCTCGGTCAATCCTTTCCACACTGACCGCCAGGTTCTGTCGCGTGTCTCTGCGGCAGGTCTCCTTACCGTCCTTGTCTCGCTCATCGACGCCAAGCAGTTCGTGCTTTCTGACTCGCACTACCTGCTCTACTTCATGGTGACTGCCATGCAGCCTCGCTTCCTGATCACACTCGATGAGGAGCTGAAGCCGCTGACGGTCAACGTGCGTGTTGGTCAGGCAGTCGACGTGGTTGGACAGGCAGGTCGCCCGAAGACGATTACGGGATGGCAAACGCAGAGCACACCGGTGCTGTTGGCATATGGAGAGCGTGCAGAACTGGAAGACGAGCAGTACATCAGCCTGAACAGCACGTTGGAGGGTGTGGTCATCCTAAAAAAGGTATGTTTGGTCCTGTGAGAGTGTACAACGCTTTCATTTGCTAATTGTGTGACAGAACCCTGAGTGGGAGGAATAATCGCTCTCGAATTCACAGGCCACTGGTAGGGGATCGGCGATATGGGTTATAGAGTTATGACATTCCCTGGATGGGACGCGCTGCGGTGTACAAATAGAAGCATTATGCCGAATGTGCATGCGAAATCCCGCGTTGACGAGCTGAGTTGTAATGCGAAGCACGGTAATCTTTTAGTCACGACGAGGGTCGTATCTTCCTGTGCGCCCTGATGATCAAGCAATGGAAAGGCAGGGGTTTGTAAGGTTTGGTCAGCAGGCGCCAAGCTTTGAAATGGATGACGAAAGCGGGGCAGCCGCGCGCATCACAAAGCCCGAGCTCAGCTACTACCTACATAAACATTGCCTCAAACCGCCCGTAGTCGAACATCATCCAATCCCACCAACTTTCATGAATCCCGCTCTTACGCGAACGAGACTGATTGGCAGACATATTCAAGCTCCTCTAAGGCCGCAGAGCACCAGCATTTTCACCGCCAACATGTCGGTACGTCATTACACCAGCCCCACCTTTGCTGAAAGCAGAACACGCATCCAGCCATTGCAACTTGAACTGATGAAGGTACATTCACAGACCGACAAGAAGAACATTCTCAATTGGGTGGATCCGAAGGATAAATCTGGAGAGTTCAAGAGGCAGACGTCTGTTTTCCGGAACTTCATCTCCAACAAGCCTGGCGCCGAATTTCCGCCAGAGAAGGGGAGATATCATCTTTACGTCTCATATGCCTGCCCTTGGGCCCACAGAACTCTCATTGTGAGGAAGCTCAAGGGGCTTGAAGATTTTGTTTCTTACACCAGCGTGCATTGGGAAATGCTCGAGAAGGGTAGGTGCCAGTCATAAACATTACAGCAGTAAATCTTGACGCTGATATCTCTCACAGGATGGCGCTTCGCCACTCCGGATGAGAATATTCCCGGCGCCAACACCACGCCGGATCCGCTGCATCCGGACTTCACGCATCTTCGTGACATCTACTTCAGCCAGAACCCCGATTACGAAGGGCGCTTCACGGTGCCCACGCTGTACGACAAGAAGGCCAAGAAGATCGTCAGCAACGAGTCGAGTGAGATCATCCGCATGTTCTACTACGAGTTCGATGACCTGCTGCCGGACGAGTACAAGCAGGTGGACCTGTTCCCGGAGGCGCTGCGCAACGACATCGACAAGACCAACGAGTGGACGTACAACGACATCAACAACGGCGTCTACAAGTCGGGCTTCGCCACGACGCAGGAAGCTTACGAGCGCAACGTCAAGGTGCTCTTCGCCGCGCTGGACCGCGTCGAAGCCCACCTCGCCTCGTCCCCCGGCCCCTTCTACTTCGGCGACAAGGTTACCGAGGCCGACGTGCGCCTGTACACGACCATCGTCCGCTTCGATCCCGTCTACGTTCAGCACTTCAAGTGCAACATCCGCGACATCCGCTCTGGCTACCCGGCCATCCACCGCTGGCTGAGGAAGCTGTATTGGGACGTTCCCGCATTCGGCGAGACGACGCAGTTCGAGCACATCAAGTACCACTACACGAAGAGCCACAAGCAGATCAACCCTTTCGTAAGTTCCCTCATCAGTTTCAATGGAAAAATGAAATACGGAAAGGAAACAGTTTACTGACAGATCCGTGAAAAATCAGAGCATCACCCCCGTTGGACCGGAGCCCTCAATCTTGCCAAAGGATGAGGAGGTACCGGCAGTGAAGGCTGTGAAGGCGTGATTGCAAAAAAAAAAAAGAAAAGAAAATAGCGTTATGGGAGGCCTGATAATTGTGTATACTTAAATGTTACGCATCTCTGGGTTCTCTTTCACAATGACATTGGTAGTCTTCATGTATCTTATTGAATCACGCTACTTTTATGAGAACATACGTGCCAAAGTCGCTCCTTTTTGATTTTTGGATGAAGCAATGCTCTAATAGCTCTATTTACAGATGCTTCATCCACCGATGCCCCTCATCTAGATATCTTCGAAGATACATCTTTTTTGATACAACCCTTTTTCCAATACTTCAGCCCCTTACTCCATCAATCGTAACACGTAATCCAATTGGATATTTTGCTTGACCTAAACCAACCCCGCCTCTGTTTTCCCCCTCTTGCCCTTCTCCTTTCCTCTTCTCTTCACGACGCCGCTTTTTCCTAAACACCATTCTCAGCCACCCACCCCTTCGGACTCTTCAAGCCCAGCCTCTCCGCCGTCCCCTCGGTGCACTTCGCCTTCTTATTCACATTCTCCATCTCAAAGCCCGCAACCTCCTTGTACTTCCTCCCAATCCCCTCCAACTCCTCCTTCGGAATAACATCATACACATTCTTAAACCCACCCGGCGCGCGCTCCTCTGCCAACTGCAGCACATGGTCCGGCCCATTCGCACGATTCGCATACACAATCTTGCTCGTCGGCGGCAAGCGCATCTGCTCGTAAACCATCAACGCCTTGACGATGCCATCATAATCCTCGCCGTACTCGGCCTTCTTGCTCGCCTCGTCGACGAGGCACTGGACCAGCGTCTCGGCGTCGATGATGGCCTGCGTCGCGCCGTTGCTGCCGATGGGGTACATGGCGTGCGCCGCGTCGCCGAGCAGCGTGACGCGGCCGAAGCTCCAGCGCGCGACGGGCGTGCGGTCGCACATGGGGAACTCGTAGACCTTTTCGGCGCGGTCGATCAGCTGCGCGACGTCGAGCCCGCCGCACGTCCACCCCGCGAAAGGGCCAGCGAAACGCGATTTCGGCACCGCGGCGTTCCAGTTCGTCTGCGCGGGCGGCGTCGTGTCCGGGTCGGAGGCGGGACGGACGCGCAGCTCGGCGATCCAGTTGACGAGGGAGCGGCCGCTCTGGGAGGCGGTGCGGGACGAGATGGGGTAGGCGATGAATTTTTGGTCCGCGTGCCCGGCCCATACCATTGACCGCCCCGTCAGGTAGGGCTGGTCCAGCTCGAGGCAGCCGCGCCAGAGCATGCGGCCGGAGAAGTGCGGCGGGCCCTCGTCCGGGTAGAGCTGGCGTCGGGCCGTGCTGTTGATGCCGTCGGCGGCGATGAGGAGGTCGCCGCTCATGGAGGGGATCTCGGCGGGGATGGGCTCCGTTGGAGTAGCAGTAGCCGCGGCATCATCATCAACCGGCGCGGACGAGGAGGAGAGCGGAGCGCTGCTACGGGGAGCACGCCTGACGAAGTTCGCCGTGACCATCCCAGCGTGTTCATCCTGCGTGAAGCTCGCCAGCGCGTGGTTCAGGTGCACGCGGTCGGCGCCGACGCGCTCCTTGACGGCGTCCAGCAGCAGCATCTGGAACTCGCCGCGGTGGATGCTGTACTGCGGCACGGCGTAGCCCGCGTCGACGCCACGCGGCTCCGACAAGATAGCGTCACCATGGCGGTTGTAGAAATTGAGCTCCGCCGTGCGGATCGCCGTGCTGTCCAGCGCCGGCTGCAGGCCCAGGTTGCGCAGGATCAGCGCCGCCGACGGCTGCACGTTGATGCCCACGCCCAGCGCCGACAGCGTCGACGACGCCTCGAAGATGTGGACGTCCGTGTAGCCCGCCGCGTGCAGGTGCAGCGCTGTCGTTAGTCCTCCGATCCCGGCGCCGGCGATGAGGATTGTTGGCTGGGGAGCCGGGGTTGGTGAGAAGGACGGCATTGTGGGCTGGGATGCTGCCTTTTTCCAATAGGTGTGGAGGGAAAGGTTATAGTAAAATAGAAGCTTAAATGGCAGGAGATTCGTCAAAGGATTGATGAAAGGAGGTAGCTAGGATTTAGCTCCACTGCAACTGTTGACTGGGCCCATACTTTGGTTCGGATGCCAAGTTCGGCACTTGCTAAAGCGGCCGAGCGTTCATAATAAAGGCATTGTAGGTAACATAATAGCGCTAAACATTATAGCTGCAAAAGCAATATAGAGAGCTAAAAATAAGCGAGCGTCTAATGCAAAGACGCCCGGAGAAAAGAACACCAACAAACTTTAGGTAGGACATAAGTAGAAGAAAAGAAGGTTCAGCCCTTGTCTGACGTTGTTTTCAGCCGCAGGGTCCTTGCGAGATCGGTGCACACGTGCGGGGTTCTCCACACTCGTATCAACTGCCGAGTGCCCGGCAGATGATTGGTGCGGAATCCAGGAACCCGTGGCGTGAGATAGATATGGCCAGGTTTCCAAGACAATGCCGCTCCATGCTTCGGACAACCGGCATTGACGCAAGAACCATTCTTGGCCTTGGGCCGGCATTGCCGAGTCTTCATGTGCAAAGGAAGTTGGTCCGAATTCACACCACAGTACCGACCATTCAGGAGCTGGCACCGAACCATGTGCAATTCCCTGCCCCCCAATGCCGGCTACAACCACGCTAAACATGCACACACCCTAGGCGAGAAAAAAATATCCTTGAAGATGAAGTCGATCTGCGCTGTATAGAACAGGTGGCTGATGTTGATGGCTTCGTATTATTCAGCATCCCTGCAAAACCCCATCAAGTATGTCCTCAAACAGCTGCACGCATAGCCAATCAATACTGAATTTTCAAAATCAACAATGGGCGAGATCTAGTTTCACGGCCGGAGTCTAGCGTGAGCGCTCAGTATGACATTGCGCTGTTATTAAAATGCTGCGTTCGTCCAAATGGTTTTGGAGATGTCTTTACGAATGAGCGCAAAACCATGTGCAATGGACTCACTAAGAATCCATTTGGTATTGCTAAACGTGCTTTATGGAAAGTCCAGGCGTTGGTTCGAACTAAGTCATTAGTGTCAATAATCCTTCAGGGCAGGGTCCCGCTGATGACCTTGCGCGCAAATCTGAAAGAGTCTTATTGGGTATATTCGCTATTTGAACCAATGATCAGTCGCTTGCTAATTTCGTGATGACCATGAGGTGCTGCAATTTACAACGAAATCTTGTGCTCGTTCACCTCTTACGCATCGAGTGGCTTCTGGGCGTAAACGACGTGGCTGTTCGAAGACGATCTATGGTTAGTGCGTCCAAAAGAGTTAGTCAGGGGCATGGACTCACAAGTTGTGCTGTGCCTGCAGCTTTGGGTTGTTCAAGTCGTTCCTGACGTCAGCGAGGAAGACCTGGACCTCTTCGGGCTTCCAGCCCTGAGCGGTAAAGACACGCATAGCAATGCTCTCCAGACCCTCCTTGAATTGCACCAGATCAAGAGCGCCGATCTCCTTCATCTTCCTATCCTTGGGCCAAGTGCCGACAGGCAGGGGGAACAGCCTGTGGGTGACATTCTCGAAGCCAGCATCCTTGACCCAGCCCTCAAGCTTAGGGCCGGGCTCGGGTTCCCTGCCCCAAGCCTTGACACCCTCGATAACGCCATCACACCACTTGTCCAGAGGACAGCCGGGTTTGAACTCGCCGCTGGTGGTGTAAAATTTCATGGTGAAATCCTGGAGTTCGATCCAGCCGCCAGGCTTGAGGAAGCGGTATGCCTGCTGGACGAGCCTGGGCCAGTCTTTGATGGTTCCGGCGAGATAGCGAGCGTGGACGTAGTCGAACTTGTTGCTGTAGAGCCAGTCCTGCTCACAGTCGTCGATCTCGAACTTGCAATTGGGCGGAAGCATGGCAGGCTGGATGGGCGACAAATCAGTGCCCAGAACCTCGGCCGAAGGGTACTCGTCGGCCATCTCAATGGCCCATATGCCAGTGCCGGTGCCAATGTCGAGGATCCTCTGGGGATTCTTTGGGATGGGGGCCAGGTGCAGCTCGCCACCACATCTCAGGGTGAGGATGTGGTGGAACAGGTCCAGACGGTCCATCTCGGCCTCGTCGTTTGGCAGGAAATACTTTTCGCCATAGGCGTGGTAGCGGCGGCCGTTCTCGAAGGTGTAGTTGAAGATACTCGACCTCAGAGAGGTGGTGTAACTCTCGCTGCAGGGATTGGTCAGATGTTATCACGGCGAGACGAAACAGCACATACGCATCGTCTCCCAGGGCCGAATCGGTCTCGCTATGCGAGTCGGCCTCGATAACAAGGTCGGGACTGGGGTCTGCAGCGGGCGGCTGCTCGGCGGGCGGGTTCTGGGGGGAAGACATGTTGGTTGTTGGCGGAGAGTCTCAGAATTGGAGGTGATGAAAGAAGAGGAAGGCGCCCCTCTTCTTTTCGGCGAGCGCGGGTGGGTTTGGTCAGGCAGGTGCGGAAGTGCGCCGAGCTTTGCGCACCGTTACCACGCCGCCGGATTCTGCAAGTGCAAAAGGAGCATCGCCGCGGTGTGGGTCTGCTCCTCTTGAGGCTTGACTAGGCGTGACCAGCCGCAGGACGAGGCATTGCGCCGCGCCACTCCTTGCGTGTGCGACGACTGTCAGCTGTCTCTGAGCAGAATCATGATGATCTGCACGGCAAACAACCCTGGGCGATCCCACGCGACGCTCGATCGGGCCTTTTTCTCATCTCGCAGAGTGGCGACGATACAGGAAGCCTCACGTTGCAGCCGCTAGTGGCCGTTGGCAGCGCTACGGAGTAACAATCAGCCTGCGGCATCGCGCCGTCGCCGCGCCGCTCCTGACACCTGACAGCTCGCCGCTGAGTCGACCGCTACCCCAGCTCTCTGCACGTGCAGCTTTCGATAGCCGACCATCTGCCTGGCACTGTCCTCGGCCCCGCGCGATGGCGCCCTGCCGTACCACGCTGATGAGCTAGTCTCCACCACCCACCCGTTCACGCCCATCCGCCCCCCAACAGGCAATGCGTGTCCTTCTTGGCTCTGGCAATCCCGCTGCATCGGCTCTGGGGGCGCTCCGATCGCTTTCGCGTTCAGTCATCGTGTCACGGGAGCTCGCTTTCCCGTTCTCCGAAGACCGTGTCAAGTACCACCCCGTCTCTCCGCTTGAAAGCCCGCCCCGCCTATCACGCCGTTGAATGGCAAAACAGGTCTTTGCTAATGCACCAATGATCCTTATCCAGCGCATCATGCTGTTTTCGCCAGCCTCAGACATCATCGTCCCCCTGTGGTTCGCTTAGTCACCTGCACCTCCACGCGTTCACCTCGCAACTCCGGGCTACCGTCATCCAATCGAGCTACTTCGGGAGCAGAGAGAGCCGGAATGAAGATTCGGCTACGGATGTTCGGTCATTTTTGGAGCCCGGATCTTCAACCTTAATAACCCCACGCGTCCTTGCAGTCGGATTTCAAATGCTGGCTGCGATATATCTGAGTCCTCATGTCTCTACCGAAGCTTATTTGCACATGCTGTGCGGCTGATGACCAAGCTCAGCCTCCACGTCATTTTCTGCATCATCTACCGATATGCATCATTCTCTCTCCATGTGTGCAATCGTCCACCGCATGTTTTGGAATCCGAGTCATCATCAAGACATACCTATCACTTTTGCACTCATCTCGAGATCCCATGACTGATTATCAGCGCCAAATAAGATCTGAACGAACCGATCATCAGCTGAAGGAAGACACAGATACTGGGTCCGCTAATCCCCCACGAAAAGTGCCGGCGGATGGACTTCAATTCCGGTTCATTCAATCTGAGTCATTCAATAAACTACGCTTAAAGGCAACGTCACCCTTTAGTCATTTGCCAGTTTCGATCCGATAGGTTCCTGTTCTGATCCGATAGGTTCCTATTTCTTTTCCATCCATCAACTTTAAAGCACCCATGACTTTTAAGAACCTAACTTTAATAAATTTGTCAGGCGTATCGTCAAACCCGTGGAGGGCCGATAGTGCAGGCTTTTTGTTCGGCGATTACCGCCTACCTGGATTGGCTGATACGCGAACATGTACATTCGGCTCCAGATTAGACTTGCAGCTGCCAATTGCATTCGACAATCCGTAGACGCCGAAACATTGCGGTTGTCTATTTTTAGCCCCCGGCTGACAGCGCACGCCGTCAGCCCCCATCCTGTTGCTCCCAGCCCCGCTTCTCGATTGGGACGTGGACAGCTAGAGGCAAGTTCCATATCTGAAATGGTGTTGCTGACTTGCAGTTCACACTTCGGACCCCATGCGAAGTACACAGCCTTACAAGGCCTGGGCACTGCCCTCATCTCCTGCGTTTTGTTTGTGGCTGGCTAGCATCGGAATATAACTGCGGTTGTGGCCCCACCCCCGCGAAAGTCACACTTTATGGAACACTACTTCTCTCTTATTTTCTCTTGGTTTTAGCGTCTTTTAGCGGCTGCTTTATTGTGATGCCCTCTAACTACGAGCATATGCCGGACTTTCGAACGTCAGAACAAAACGCCACCATTGAGTACTTGCATCATGACTTACCACGACATTGATATCCCTCTACGTACGTATTTGCAATCTATCTGGGTAACGCCCAGGCTCACACCTCTCCAGCAGCCTTCATCGCCATCGATTGGATCTGCATGACCCTTGCCCTCATCCCCATCCTCCTTCGTTTCCACCTCCGCCGACACCAAATACAACCTCAACCCTTCACCCGCAACCTCTCCGACGCCCTCATCGTCCTTGCCTGGCTCTCCGGCATCGTCCTCATCAGCATTAACACGTGGAAAAACAGCCTGCGCCAACGCTTCATCCACACGCCGCCCTCGGACCTCTACTACGGCGTCCCGCGCCACCTGGCCGCCAACCTGCTCTACGTCTCGTGGATCTCGCTCTTCTTCATCTACATCTCCCTCTGGTCGGCCAAGTTCGCGCTGCTCGCCTTCTACGCCAGCCTGCTGCGGCTGCAGGGCCGGTGGGCGCGCGTCACGCTCATCTGCGCCGCCGTCTTCACGGCCGCCACTTTTGCGCTGCACGTCGCGCTGCTGACGCGCTGGTGCACGCCGACGTCGAGCAACTGGAACATCGACGGCGAGCTGTGCAGCGCCGTCCACGACATCAAGAGCGTCACCGTCTCGACGGCCGCCAACGTCGCCACCGACCTCGCCATCCTATGCATCCCGCTCTTCGCGCTGGCGTCGCTGCGACGCGACACCAACGGCTACCGCAAGGGCGCGTTGGTTTCACCCTCGTCGTCGACGTCGACATCGTCGTCTTTCTTGTCGTTGGGTGCTGGCTCTGGCACGACTTGGGGAAAGGCAGAGCTCAGCGGGCTGGCGGTCGTGCTGATCATGGCGGCGTTGAGCATCACGTCGGCGTTGGCGAGGTTCATCACGCTCGAGCTGGTGCAGAACGTGCCGAAGGCGAACATCACGCACACGATTGACGTGTGGGCGCTCGTCGAGATTGTGGCGAGCTTGTTGGCTGTGTGCTTGCCGAGCTTGCGGGCATTTGTGAGGAGGTGGAGGGAAGGCAGTAAGAGGGGTAGCAGGGATTCGGGGGTGAGGAAGGCCTCGATGGTGCCTACTGCGGATGGGAGCGTGAGGAGTGACAGTATTGGTACGATCATTGAGATGGAGCTGGGGATAGGTGGTGGGCGGTTGGGTGCGGAGATGAGTCCGTTGAGCCCGGCTGTACTACAGCAAGAAAGGGCGGATCCCGGGAGGATGGATGCAAGGAGGGTGGACTCGGGGTTTTTGAGCGTGGAGGAAAGAATGGGGACGGCACATACGAGTGCCGAGAGACTGTTATGAGAAATGAGTATCACGATACCATGTTTATTTTCTGTAAAGCTAGCACGAATGCTTAATGTCTAAATGTCTAAACATAAAGCTCGTTGAAAATGAGGTTTTTGATGCCATATAGAATGTCTGGCACGGCGCTAAAGGTTGTCTCGCGTGACGAACCCCCCGGTAAGCGAGGCGCATAACCGTGCTCTGCTGCTGCCTGCCTCTTCCTTGCTGCCTCCATCCATCATACACAACACTTCGACGGCTTTACCATCAAGACTGATTTTATAGACACGCTCCAAGGTATGCTAAGCCTCATGATACACGGCCGAATGGCAATAGAGCTCATAAGGTAGAACATTGCACAGCAGTACAACATGAAGTCCGAAGATACAGATGCATCCTCGCACGACACTAGCGTCCATCCGCCATCACCACCACCTCCGCCGCCGCCGCCACCACCCCAAAAACCACCAGCATCAGAAGGCAACTACCGCCAAACACCACAGCAGTCATTAATGGCGGCCAAATTTGCGGCTTTCCACAAGGCTCAGGAGGCCCGGGAACGCGAGGCTGAAGCTCCACCCACTTTCTCTCCTTGTCACTTCTTTTTCTACGGCACCCTGATGGATCCCGATGTCGTTCAATCTGTGCTTTCCCTCACAGATCCCCTAGATGTCAAGAAGGCGAAAGTTCAGGGGTACTCAATTAAGATGTGGGGGATTTACCCTGCACTTGTGCCCTGCGAAGGCGGCGAAGTTCCGGGAGTCGCGTGCAAGATCACAAGTTTCGACCATTTTATAGAGCTTTGCCGCTATGAGACCTTCAGCTACAAGCCGTGTTTCTGCACTATAATTTTAGACGATGGGACAGAGTTGAAAGATTCTCGCACATTCGTTTGGTCGGGCAAGCCGGACAGCTCTGAGCTTTCAGATGGATCATTTGATCTTGAACGTTACCAGAAACACTTCAAGCAGTCCCTTATTCGAGCACGAGCGAGGGGCTGATACCAGAGCTTTCATACCGGTCCTTGAAAATAAAGTCCGATAGATCCAAACTCCTCCAATGCATTGAGATGTAACCGTCAACATCCAAGATCGTAGGATCGCACAATCACTTCATTCTGAAACCTCTTGGTGACACCTCAAAATATTAGGCACGGCTGGTTGTGTGGGGCTTTGACGTAGAGGTTAAGGCACTGGATTGGATGAAAAAAATGTTATCCAAATTTAGACATTTGGTCCAAGTTAACCAAACAATCGCTCATGCATTTCTCTGCTTCAAGAAGCTGCGATGCAGGCGCTTACTGAAGCGGCAACTCGCATATGCTCATTCCCTCAGACAACCTCCAAGCTCTCATCTCGGCCATCCTTGTCCACGGCTTGGCCGGAAGCATTCTTGCTCTCGTTAGATGAGTCCTGTTTCGAAACCACAAGGATCTTCCAATCAGCATTCTTCCAGCCCTGTAGCAAAGGGAAAGGGCTCATCGGGGGATCTGCCCGACACTCCGCGGCAAGTCCGTCCCATTTTTTGAGCCGCTTTGACCGGTATGACCCAGATCCGGCTCGTCGGGAATGTGACCAACGTTCTTTTTCCTGCCTTCCCCTTCCATGAAAGGTGGCAGATGTAACATGCATGAACTCTCGTGGCGTTTCAGATCCTTCCCCCTCCTGTCTTCGGAACGGTCTCGACGTCTTCCCGTGGGGTGGCATTCCTGAACGCTTTATGGATGACGACCGTCACTTCCAAGACATTCTCTGATGCAACAAAAGATGGGCATACATGTTGCTAGTAACTTAAGATTAATGTGTGTAGTACTCGTCTGACAATTTTGTTTATTAAAGTAGCTTGCAGAGAGATCTTCATCAAAATTCTGTTTCCAATTGTTTTTATGAGGAGGGGACAGTAATCTTTCAAGTTCCGTTAAAGCTGATAAAACAACAAAAAATCGCAATTTACAACTGAGTGGTATCATTCTCTGAACTTGAAAAAGCCACAACATTTTGCCCAAGCCAGATTCCAAAGAATACTTTCAACTTTGTATCTTTCTTCCCCCGATCCTTCTTTCGTAGCCGCATAAATCCAACAAACCTTCAGATATTAAAAATAGTATCGTCCAGACGAAAGAATTAAAAAGATAATCGTGCATCTCCTGTCACACTGTTGGTTGTTCTTGATAGAGCTCAAAGAGCCCACTCTTTCGTTCCTTTTCTCTTCCTTTCTTCCATCAGCAGCCCTGTTCATTCTCCATTCCCACACCCGCACCCGGAACCACCACCAAGAGTAGTCTCCGAATCCCTCCCCATACTCTTCCAGCTCTTAGTGCTCTTCGTTTCGCCTCCACCACCGCCGCCGCAGCCAACAGCCTGCATCTCAACCCCCCCTTGCCCACCACCGCCACCATGCTGCAGCACCCCACCCCCCTTCTCCCACTCCAACCCCTGCCCCACGAACCCCCACTTCCCCCTCCTCCTCTCCTCCATCTCCGCCTCCGACGACGCCGTCGCACCCGCACCCGCGCCCGACAGCCGCCGCAGCTTCCTCGCCCGCCGATGTTGTTGTTGTTGTTGCTGCTGCTGCAATGTGAAACTATGGTGACCGCCGCCGCATTCCGTCATCATCGCCTCCTCGGGCGACACCGGGTGCGAGTTGTTCCAGCTGCCGCGCAGCAGGTTGATGGCGCTGAAGCGGCGGGACTGGCGCTTCGAGGGGCTGGTGTTGTTGTTCGTCGCGGCGGCGGTGGGGAAGTGCGGGACGGAGTAGGGTTGGTATTGGTGGTGGGCGGCGACTCGGCTGAGGGTGGAGTTGAGGGTTGTGGTGGTGGAGAGGTGGGGTGCGGAGCAGGAGGTGTAGGTATTATTATTGATGTTGTTGTTGTTGGTAATGGTGGTGGTGGTCGGGTCGAAGGAAGGGTATTGACGGTCGTGGGTATAAGGTTGGTGGCTGAAGTAGCAGGACACGTTGCTGTGGGTGAAGAAAGGGTTGGTGGTTGTGGTGGTGGGCGTGGGGGGCGTTGCGGAGCCTGGGGCCAGCGGCGAGAGGATTGGGAGAGGGGGTGTGGGTGGGAGGGTGTCTAGGAATGCTTTCTCGCGGAGGAAGGCTTCTCTGTCAACATGGGTTGTTGTGTTAGCAGTTTAATGGGGGCGTTATGTTTGTCATTTGAGTGGACTACTTACTGCTCAGGAGTCAACCCGTCAAATCTGATTTCCATCCGGCGGAAATCTTTTGGCGCATGCTGTTTCAATTAGTAAACCCGTTGTTGCAGCATCCCTATTATTCTATCGCACTTCATACGTACAATTTCGATGGGCGGTGCAGGTTTCTTGCGCGCACCGCAACAGGACAAGAATGGAGCCAAGAAGAAATTCTTGACTCTTGCGAGCCTCGTTTGTTGATTGTTGGGAGAAGCCATCCTTGGGACCGGCAAGCGCTCCAAGTGTGTCAAAATAAAATTTTTGGGTGGTGATGGCCAGATCGATGATGGCTTGCAAGGTCGGAAGCCCGCCTTTCTCAGAGGAGGGTATCGCGCATGAGGATAGAATAGAAGCTACAAAACCAACTGAACACGCCTGCTGTTGCAATGGGTAAGACGAACTACAGAATCACACGTAAAGGAGGGGACGCGTCTGACACAGACGAGATGATGATAGAGATGATGGTGTCGATGGAGGCGACGAGGGTGTCCAGAACAGCGACACCAAGCCGATGTTATAATCAGGAACACCTCGGTCGAAATTATGGATTCCCGTCGAGATGAGTCGCCACGCGGCAGCCGCTTCATTCCTTGCGTGTCATAGCCAGCTCTGCGAGGAGCTCGGGCTAGGCATTCTTCGTCCCTCGAGGACAAAGCGGGCAGGAGGTCGGACGTACGGGGTTACGCCTCGATACCGTTCGCTGGCCAGGAATGTTAGCACACAGATCGACCGGTATGGTGACATCGTCGGCTGTCTCAGCAGCCACTGGCAAAAAACCGGTAAGGGTGGATTTGGCAGCGCGCATTCTCAGAATGACAGCAACGAAATGTCAGTGTAACTGGTGCCTCCTGCGAACCGTTGAAGGGTTGTCTGACTGTCTAACTGTTTGACTTTGTCGACTCGTGGATGGAGAGGTTCCTCGCTACAGACGGTGCGTGTAACCATTCCTTGCATGTGCGGGCTCATTCCACAGGGAGGCCACCAAACGCGTGCAGCAGACGCGTAGCTCAGTCATATATCTAGCAATGATGCCCGGCTTAGCTGTCGTACGCTTATCACTTGGCGCTCGGCGTTGGCAGCGGGCCAATTCCATCGTGCCTTTGGCGGCCGAGGGGTGTGGTGAACTGACGGTCATGTGAGCACGCGTTTCCGCACCAGCGACGGGCCTTGCATTTGAGCGTTAGCAGCAAGCCACTTATGAAACAGTGATCGTCAGGTTCACCAGGTCCAGCCCGACGAAAGGGATTGAAGAAGCGGATCCTGCCCACAGGGCTGAATTTAACCGGTTTAGCCTACACTTCTCTATTTGGGGTAGTCCTTCACATGGTAGCTCTTCAGCTTGACGAATTGATCGAAGCCGAATTTGCTGAGCGTCTGTCCTTTGCCCGACTCCTTCCAACCCACCCATGCAAGGTCCTGCGGAAATGGTCAGTTCATGAAACACTTGAGGATCGTGCATAAAGGGACTCACCGGCGCGGGATAATCGCAACGGTTCACGAACACGGTTCCTGCCTCCACGTCGTCTGCTAGCGCGTGTCCCTTCTCCACATCCTTGGTCCAGATGCTGGCGGTGAGGCCAAACTGGCTGTCGTTCATCAGGCGAATCGCCTCACTATCATCCTTCACCTTGACCACAGGAATGACCGGGCCAAACGTCTCCTCAGTGATGACGGTCATGGTGTGATCGACATTCGTGAGGAGAGTAGGCGCAACGAAGTTGCCATCGGCAGGCGGGTTCTTGAAAGATTCATTGTCGGGAGTGGCATCCTTTGCACCCTTCTCCAAAGCCTCCTTAATGTGAGAACGGATGGTCTCGGCAGACCTCTTGGAGACTACCGGGCCAACGTGGGTCTTCGCATCGAAAGGATCGCCCAGCTTGTAGCCCTTGAGGACTTCCTGGACAGCCGCCACGAACTCGTCGTGAACACTCTCGTGAACGTAGACGCGCTCAACGCTGCAGCAGCTCTGGCCAGAGTTGAAGACGGCGCCGTCAACAATTTCCTCTGCAGCCCACTTGATGTCCACATCAGGACGAATGTAGGCAGGGTCCTTGCCACCAAGTTCCAGACCAACCCGCACATCGATCCTGTCACTAGCGGCGCGTTGAACGGCTAAACCGCCAGCCACCGAGCCGGTGAAACACACCAACTGGATTGCAGGATTCCTGACCAGAGTCTCGATCTGGGTGTACGAGCCACAGTGGAAATATTGAATGACGTTCGGAGGCAGGCCCGCGTCGGCGAAAACCTGGGCCAAGTGCTCTGCGCTGGTGGGGGTCTGCGGGGAGGGCTTCAGGATAACGGAATTGCCGGCGAGGATGGCGGGAACAACCGAGTTAATGAGGGTAAGGTAGGGGTACTGTTTCACAATGCTGCGTTAGCCATGCACAAGATCGGGAGTGGCGCTGGCTCTTACGTTCCACGGGAACAAGATCAAAACGGGTCCAACCGGGACCTTCTTGATGTAGCGCTTGAAACCCTTCTCAGGCTCACCATCCGTGGCGGCCAACGCCTCGTCGGAAACCTTCAGAAGATAGTTGCCGCGCATCACGGCAGTCGAAACTTCCTTGGCAGTGTAGGCGATGGGACGACCCATCTGCTCGGTGATCTCCTTGGCAATCTGGTCCTTGCGAGCCTCAAGGTTATCCATGGCCTTCTTGACAATTGCCTTACGCTCGTCCAGCGAGGTCTTGCGGAAGGCATTGAAGGCCTCTACCGCAGTTGCGGGGAGGCGCTGCAGGTCGATGTCCGACAAGCCATTGCGCACGACAACGGGCTTGTTGGTGATGGGCGAGATGGTGGTGATGGTCTCGACAGACATGGCGCGCTGTAGGTGACGCTCAGGCAGGATGGAAGCAGTGGGAGAGGTGAAGCAGCAGTGCTGGCGTGAGTGTTGAAAATATGGCAGCCCACTTGACAAGTCGCCGCTGACGTCCGATCGCGGGGCAGTCGCAGGGCTGATAAGATAGGCGGAATCTCTGGCCGCCCACACGCGTCCGGCAGCCCGCCCATAGCGCGCCGAGCCCTCAGCAGACGCGTTGGCTGCCTGACAAAACTCATCAACACATCGCTACCTACCACGCAACTCATCAAGGCCGCAGTCTCGCGATGCCTGTTCGCATGAGGCAAAAAGATGCCGCCCGGCAGTTGACTATTAGCTCAGCTCATTTCCGCTCGCTTATGTACGGCTGCGAGACAATTGGCAAGCCTGCGGGATCGTCACCAGCATTCGCCCAGCGCCCGTCCCGGAACAAACCTTCTTCCACGTTGTACCCTTGAGTTCTCAGCTGCGCGCCAAATTGCTCTGTAGGGAATCGAAACGACGTGGAGATGAAGCACGCACCGGCGTGGGACCGACGGCGGGGCAGCCGTCATGAAGCGCTCCGGAACTGTCCGATCGGATCTCTGCCTCCGGTCTGTGTGTCGCAGAGTTTGGAAGAAGGAAGCGCATGAAAGACACAGGTTTATGCTCGACTGACATCATGGCACACTGCGAGATCACCGCCTGCTCTGGCCCGATGTTGCGCAGCACAAGATTGCGGGTCTAGACGGGCTCGTGTTGGTGTTTCTGCTGTTGTTTCAGCGCTCCGCTGGCTTCCTCTGGCGCAGCCGGACCGTTGACAAATGGACGATCAGAGAGCGACTCGCGCGACTTGCAAGACTCGGGCTCAGGCTGCGGGACTCTGGGGTAGCCGCGATGAGCGCATGCACCCCAGCTCGCTTGCGCGACCCGCCCCGGCGGCTCATGCACCTGCGCGTCTTTCTGGTGAAGATTCCGGTTCGCATGCGCAGTCGCGGCGGACTAGGACGGGCGCGCGGACTGCCCAGCTTTTGCTGGCGGTGCAGAGCCGGCGGATCGACTGACACGGCCCCGATGAGGCAGACGAGGTGTGACCCCCCGGGATCGCTGCGGCTCCAGGTTCAGCGTCCCCACGGAGAACCGGCCCCGTCGCCCAAAGTCGCTTGGTCTGTTCTCCCCTAACAGCTTTTCGACGAAAGGCCCGGGCAGCATATCCCGACTGTGAGCGAATCGCTGGCCAGGCCTCGGCCCCGACTTCGTGCCTACCGCCTGTCGTAAGAAGCTCCGCGAAAATTTCACGGTCTTGCTCCTAGCGCCCACACCGCTTGCCTCGAGAGTCGACGGCCTCTTCCATCTCGCAGATCCGCCGGAGAAATTGCTCCGCTGCAAGTTCGTTCCTGCATGGGCACGAGACGTGCTGGAGCTGGAAAGCCTTTCCGCCATCCTGGGCGGGTCCCAAATTCCACGCCGCGCGCTCGTGGCCGGCTGTTCAATGCTTGTCGGTGCCTGATGGCCGTGTCTTCAGATTTATTGGGTGCTCGGATAGAAGGAGCGGGAGGGCTTCGTTGCAGGCCTCTCCCTGACCACCTCGATCCGCCGGGTCTGGAGTGCCACAGTATGCAGCACTCCGCTCCAGGCCTGGCCCGCCCCGAGTAGACGTTATTTCGACTACCTGCAGCGAGTAATGAGCGGCATTTTGCTGCCCGCCGAATCACAGCACGTCCTCGCCAGCCATCAGCAGGGAGCCCTCGCACAACGACCTTCTGTATGCAGCTCACTCACATGGCCTCCGTCGCAGCCACGCATTGCACCACCCGCCAAGCCTCTGTCCGTAACGTTATGCAAGAGGCTTGATCGCCGCTGTTTCAAGGGTGCCTCGCCGCCGCCTTGCCCGCCGCCGTTCTAGAAAGGTGACTGCTCGGGCCCGAGGTCAGGTGTGCGCGGCCAACAGAGCCGCCAGCCGGGGGCCAGCGCTGCTGGCAAGCTCCGTCTCGCGGTGCCGGTGGGTTCGGCACTTCTTGCTCGCTGAATGCTACACGATGACAACACGGCACGAGGATGCCCAAACGCTTGCATGCTGCGCACCCGGGGCGCCACACGACACTACCACCGCCGGTCCCACCCTGGGGCCACCTGGGGTCGCCGCTGTGGGCGGCGGCGGCGCCCGGCGGGCAGCAGCCTCGGCCCTCCGTGGTAGCGTTTCCGGCTCCTTGCCCGGCACTGAAACGGCAGTATCGCTCGCGGGGGCTGCTCAATCAGCCAATATCCGCCTTTATTGGCTTCCCCAGGTTCCGTTTCTTAGTGGACGGCGGGCGTCTGACAAGCGTGAGGTGCTGGCGATCCTGGGCCTCCTGCCATCTGCCACTCCATCTCGTTTACGGCAACCCATGCTCCGCCCGTCCCTTGATTTTTGATGCGGGCTGCAGCTAGTCCCCCGGCACATGGGACTGCAACGCCGGCGATAGCCACCCAACGGAGCCAAGCGTCCACTCTAAGGCGAATGGAAGCCACTGCCCTAGCGCACGGGGCGTTCTGCTCGACTTCCCTGAGCTATACCCCGCGCACTCCGCGTTTGTCCAGGTATATGGTACCTAGGCACACCGCAAAATCCGCCATAGAGAGTCCCTTAGTCCCTTCATGATCTGCTAGCCGCTCCTCGCATGTTTGTTTTCTCCTCCCCAGCGCCTCCGATTTCTATTGCGCGCGCCAGACGCGAATTTTCCCTCTCTTCTCCGTCCACTCAACCTCGCGTTCTCGGTACCATTTGTCCCGAGCGCTACTAAGCTCCGACATGCTCTCCACCGGCCTTCATCAGTACACTATTTCGGCCTTCAATCAGCTGCCGTCCTCGAATCTCTTAAACCATGAGCAACACCTGCCTTCCCAGCGCATATCCACCGCCGGCTTGGATGCTCTCGCCCAGAGCTCGCAGTACGCGCTGCAGCACTATCCACACACGCCACATCATGTGCTAGACGGAAAAACTTTTGGCAAGCAAAGACATCACCCATATGTAAATTTGCCCGCGTCGTCTGGTTCCCGGAATCAGAAGCCGAACATGGTGCCCGATCGTACTGGCCGTCACTCGAATGCCCCAGTGAGGAGGCGGATCAGCAGAGCGTGCGACCAATGTAACCAGCTCAGAACTAAATGCGATGGGAAAGCCCCATGCGCGCACTGCATCGGTAGGTGGCTGACGATCCTGACTCGAGGGGAAATACTGACCACCAGAAGAATTCGGCCTGACCTGCGAGTACATGCGGGAGCGCAAGAAGAGAGGCAAGGCTTCCCGCAAAGAAATAGCGGCACAGCAGGCTGCTGCTGCCGCCGCCGCTGCCGCTGCTGAAGCCGGCAACACGAGTCCTTCGTCAGCAAATGGCTATCCCAGTGAGGAGCAGCAGGGCAACAGCCCTGGCCAAACTCACGAGAGGGAAAATCAGCACAAGCCCCCAGGACCTGACCTTCCACCGCCTAGCAATGGAGCGCAGCGATCTGCTAGCATCGGAAGCCACAATGAGATGAACGGCGCAGCACATTACGACATGCATCACGTAGGCAGGTATGGTTCCGTGGGTGACATCTCGGAAAACGGTGGGCATCATCAGATGGCTGGGCCAGCCGATGGTCTGGTGACTGGTCTCGCAACGCCACGTCTGTCCACAAACGGAGTCCACGACCGCAACCTTCACATGATGAACATGTCAGACTACGGCTCCATGGACGATTACCAACGAGCTGTCGGATCGCCCGGCGCCGTGAACGGGAGTATGATGCTGCAGAACGGCGGGGCCGTCATGCACCACCCCCTTCTTGCTACCAACGGCATGCAGGCCTACGGCGACAACTCCTACACCATGCTTAGCCCTCAAAGCCAGCATGGACAGCAGAACGGATTTCGGATACCACCAGGGGAGAGTCCGCTTGCGGGATTTCTAGGCAACTCACCGGTTGCTGGCTCTCCTGGGTGGCTCTCTCTACCATCGCCTTCCGCGGCTTTGTACTCGCAACAACACATGGGAAACTCCCAGACCCTCCGATATCCAGTCCTAAAACCGCTGCTACCATACCTGCAAGGAATCATCCCAGTCTACCTCGCCTGCGACCTCCTGGAGCTGTACTTTCAGAGCGCTAGCTCTGCTTTCATGCAGCCCGTATCACCGTACGTGCTCGGCTATGTGTTCAGAAAACGGTCCTTTTTGCGGCATAACAACCCTCGCGTGTGCAGCCCGGCCCTCCTGGCAAGCATGCTCTGGATAGGCGCACAGACCCACGAGTCGGCTTTCCTCACATCACCCCCTTCAACCCGTGGGAAGGTGTGCCAGAAGTTGCTCGAGCTGACCATCAGCTTGCTGAAACCACTCATCCATACGCCGGATGCGAGCAACCATGCTTCACCAAACTTTGCCGCCAACACGGTCATCAACGGCGTCGCATTAGGTGGCTTCGGAGTAGCAAACCCGATATCTGGGCGGTTGGCAGAGACTGAGGGCGGAACCCCTGGCGCAGCAGCAGCACTCGACGACATTGTAACGTACATGCACCTGGCTGTCGTTGTATCTGCCAGTGAGTACAAGGCTGCAAGCTTGCGATGGTGGAATGCTGCTTGGTCGTTGGCAAGGGAGTTGAAGCTGAACAGGGAGCTTCCACCAAGCCCTCCAGCCCCTGGCCGAGAGACAGGAGAGGATGCTGATGCGGAAGGGGAAGTCGACATGGATGTTGATATGAACGGGATGAACCACGGCCTGAATGGGCAGGTGCACACGCCGGGAACAATCTCGGAGGAGGAGCGCGAGGAAAGAAGGAGGATATGGTGGCTTCTCTACACCATGGATCGCCACCTGGCCCTTTGTTACAACCGACCACTGTTCTTGCTCGATGTCGAATGTGAGGAGCTGCTGCAACCCGTCGAGGAGTCGAGATGGCAGGCAGGGGACTACTACACAGGCAACTCGGACCAATACTCGGACTCATCATCGCCATACTACCGACGGAGAGGCCCATCTTTCGAAGTCACTGGACACTCGATTTTCGGATACTTCACGCCTTTAATGACGATACTAGGGGCAATTGTCGACCTCAACCACGCTCGGAACCACCCCAGATTCGGCAGCCGGTTCCGCAACGGCGACGAGTGGGATCACTACGCTGCGGAGCTTTCGCAGCAGTTGGAGGCCTACGGACGGAGCCTGGAGGAGTTCGAGAAGCGCTTCACGAGCAACCTGACGGCTGGAAATGACAACGACGGAGCGGAAAACGGCAACCGCGACGCGGGCACACCGTCGGCGCATTCGGTCAATTCATCGGGCTCCCGGATCACTGAATCAATCATCCAGACCAAGATTGTGGTAGCATATGCCACACATCTCATGCATACGCTCCACATCCTGGTCAACGGCAAGTGGGACCCGATTTCTCTCCTGGACGACAACGACCTGTGGATCTCGTCACAGTCATTTGTGACAGCTACAGGACATGCAGTGTCGGCTGCAGAGGCGCTTAGCGACATCCTCGAACACGACCCGGACCTCAGCTTCATGCCCTTCTTCTTCGGAATGTATCTGCTCCAGGGCTCGTTTCTCCTGCTGCTCATCGCCGACAAGCTGCAAGGCGAGGCAAGTCCCAGCGTGGTCAAGGCGTGCGAGACAATTGTGCGAGCACACGAGGCTTGCGTAGTTACGCTCAACACCGAGTATCAGGTAAGATTAGCACCCTGGTCGCACATGATTCGTAGACACGGTGCTGATAGTTGGCAGCGCAATTTCCGCAAAGTCATGCGGTCAGCACTCGCGCAAGTGCGGGGGCGGTGCCTGGAGGACTTCGGCGAGCAGCAACAGCGGCGGCGCGAGGTGCTGGCGCTGTACCGGTGGACGGGTGACGGAAGCGGCCTTGCGCTCTGACGATCCCCTCCAATCTCTCTCAATGATTGATTTCCGACAGGGCGGGATGGATGCTCACGGAAGGCTGCGCCGTTTCATTTTCTCTTGTTGCTTCATTCGCTCGCCACTTTTTGCTTCCGAGCCCACGTGCATGTCTGGTACTCTTGGCAAGAGAGAAGGATCTGCTTATATCGGGCTGTGATATTGGCGCTCTGGGCATGTGTCTTTGAAATATACCCGTTGGTTTGGTTCGTTGCACGCATCTCACACGAGGCAAAACCCAAAAAAACACCGGTTTGTGCCGTTTGGATTTGTTTTTGGCAGCTCGCATTGCAGGTTTCGGGACGTGCTCCTTGCGTATTACTTCACGATGTGACTTGGGCTGAAGAAGAAACGGAGCGAGGCTTTGCGCTTCCAGTCGATCTCCGCGCATGACGCATTTTGGATGAACGGAAGGCCCCGAAACAGTTGGGGTTCAGACACAATCCATGCGGCTCATCATCGACCCAGCCTGCAGCCCTTTCATCGGCCGGGCGCACCGACTGCAACGCACTAGCTCCGGCATCTGACGCAGGACCTGCTTTCCGGCCAGCGGCAGTCAGCCAGCCGTTCTCCCTCATGTAGCGCCGCACGTTTTAGCCCCGCCGCCCCATTTATTTCCTGTCAACGGTCTAGCCTCTGGACGTATGTACGGTGCCGCCAGCGCTAGCATTGCCTAGCTTACCACGACTGCAGTCCGTAGATTGGGGCTTCATGGAAAAGAGCCAACAAGAGCCAGTCGTTCCCGGCTGCCTTGAGCCACCGGCATCATCGCCACTGACAACAAACCTCGCAGTATTTGAAAAAAAAAAAAAGAAGTCATCATGATTGTTACACTTCTCAGCATACGTCCTCCAAGACGCCACGCGATCAAAAAATGAGTACGATCATCATCAGATTTGTCGCCCCCTTGTCTCATCTTGCTCTTGGGAACGGCTGCAGCATTTGCGGATCAGCCTGCCCTTGCCAGGGCATGCATGGCTCATCGCCGGCCCCATGCGATATGCGCCGCCACACCCATCATTCTCCCCCACACAGAGCACCCCGGCATGCAGCTGCCCTCTTTGCTGCCCTCACGCGGCGCAGCACGTGGCGATGTTGGAGGCCTCAGCAAGTGGTCCAATTTCAGCCGCAGGCAGGGAAGGGTGGGGGCAGAATAGTGACAAGGCTCTGCTTGTGGTTGTGGTGGTGGTGGTTTAGGTAGATGATGGGCCCTTGCGTCAGCAGCCACCCATGCACACAATGCATATCCCCCTCCGTCCCGCCACCGCGTTCGCGTTCGCGCTTGCCGCTCCCGCTCCGCCGAACTCCCATTTAGCCTGAATTGTTAAAGAGAGCATCATCCAGCTTTCGAACTTCTTCAACAAATCAGTTGACCCATTTCCTGGTATTTCAATTTGATATGCTTTGTAGCTAGATTACCTTGAGCTACTCTTTTCGGTTTAGAATGGTCGTAGAATTAGGGGACAGGAAGATCGTCGGCTGTGGGAGTTCAAGGAAATGGTAAAGATGGTCACGTTCCCGCTCGGAAGCATCATATCGAGATAGTCAGACGTGCTTCTCCTTTCGGGTTTGCGGCGAAGAGCTTGACATGCTGCTTTGCCCCAAAACGCTCACTGCAGAGAACATCATGGGATCAACACGGGGCTCATCACGGAGTTGTCCGCTTTTCATCGATACAGTACCTGCCAAGCATGCAGCAGCAGTGTCAACACACTGCAGTCACAACCATCGTCACTGCACTAGGCCTCACGTAGCCGGCGCAAAACGGGCCTTTCCGCTCCCCCCACCCCCAGCTTCTGGGAATCCGAAACATTCGGACTCGCGGCCAGCAAACTCCGTCGGGCATTTTCGAAGCTTCCTTCTCTCTGCCTACTTTCCACACCCCTACCCCTGCGCAGACAGCAGCACACCATGGCATATCCATTTAAGGACAGACCCCGCGGTTCCTGCATGGAGCTTACCGCATCCGAGTGTATCAAGGGATCAACACTCTGCGTTGTTCCTTTACCACTACGGCTTTCAGTTGGCTAACAAAATGAATGCATCACGATGGCATGCTGGTGTCACGCCAGAAAAGAACAGGCAGAAGCCACCACTGCCTCACTCCGTTCTCTCCATTTGGCACCTGGATCAGCTCTTTATTCATTTACTTGCCACGGAACCTGTTTTCTACTGCGCGCTACTGCGGCACGCTCTGTAGGAGGACATTGCTGCTCTTGCCCTGTAGCAATGCAATGCAGGCCCCCTTCACACCCTCCCTCTCTCGCGCTCTCTCATTTCCGACATTCTGTTTCCCTTTAGACTAAAGGAGTGATGTTAGTTGCCCGTCCAACATATTTGCGGGGAACTGGTTCCTTTTCCCTGCCATATATCGTCGGCATCTCCGAGAGCCGCACTGACCTGCATGTATATCGGGGTTAAGCAATGGCGCAATCCCGAAGTGGGCTATCAGGCCGAGGCGGCACCTTCGGAGTTATCCATTGGAAGCACAGTGGGGACGAATTTTCCTGGAAACTGAGGGTTGCTAATGGCAGGGGGCTCTCCAAATAATAATCGGGGGCGGTTCACGCGCAAGAAGGGAGAGCGGAAGCAGCGCCGAAGTAAAGCTTGGGCTTACCACTCAGTCGGGTTCCTAACCATTAGGTGTTGGGTGTTATTGTTGCTGATCGAGTGACCTTTTTGGCCGCTTTCATGTCCGCCACCGGGCCGATCATATCTGGTGGATGCTATTGCATCAGGGATTATTGGCTGCCATTTTTTTTCTCTCTTGCTTTTCTCGACGAGGCTCTTTGTCTCACCATATGCTTGCGGGGAGCCTGGCTGCACATCCGATGATCAAGCTCAAAGGGATGGCCGGAGAGATGGCCACCGGGTCCATGTGATTAGGCTTCGCCGCAAACAGGTCAACCGCCTTTGCCCTGTGGCCTGTTGCGAAGATTTCTCCCCTGCGGATCTGAGCTACATTTGCCGCAAGCTTCGACGATAAAGGCCTAGGACGCGGGAAAGCGGTCCGTTGCACGCACGAGTAAGTCGTCACCTACGGGGACGGTGTTTTGCATGCTCTTCACCCGCATCAAGTTCTTGGCGATATTGAGACTACTCATGATTTTTAGCTAAATGAGGCCCTCTACTTGTGAAGGGGTTTCGGGTCTTACCGAAGTGCTTGATCACGGCTCTGGATGCGTATTACGAGGGGAAATCACCTCCAAAGCTTATTGACACTAGCTCTTATGCTGAGCACTGCAAGACAACGGTCGTGTGAGGGTCCTCAAGAGAGTTTTGGCTTCGGGCAGCAGGGCAGACGGCATGGCCACTCATCAACCCAGCATTACAAACACGACTCATGAGAGGGCAGGGGTTATTATCACCACCCGCTGGATCACTCCACCAAACCCAAACAAAATCAAGATCCACCATGAGATTCACTAAAAGGTATGCTGAGCCGTAAGCGATTATCTATGAGCATTCTGTTGAGGCCCAGACACCGCCTTTTCTCGCCACATTGGACGATAATGAGAGATATACGGAGACCAAATTCCAGTACGACAGGAACATTGCAAGCGAGCAGCATTATGAGTCGGCCAAAGGTCCGTTTCAGGACTCTTCGCTCACCGCCTCCAACACGAGGAAGGAAGCGCCTCTAGTCGTTAATGGGGATCTCGAAAGTCCTTTTGGAAAGCATCACACAATAGAAATAACAGAACGCGATATTAAAGATTATACTAAGCAGGGCACGTAGGATCAAAAACGGGGAATCGAGATTAGCATTAGCTCTCAATCGAGTACATGGTCTGGGCAGACAGGGATCCGACTCGGATCCGCTTGCTTTTTCTCGTTTTTTATGGTAGTTTCAAACTTTCAAACCCGAAAAGTAGGCTTGCCGACCGTGTCCCAGATCTCGAACTCGAAAGGAACGCGTTCGTTTCGGCGCGGGACTCATATGCACTGCATGTTCACAACGCGTGACCCGTACAGGGAGTCTCTGCAGGCTGTACGGGCAGTCAACCCAAGGAATTGAGTTATCAGGTGGCACAGGTGGGCGGTGTGTCGGGTATGTGGGCTGGTCGATGATGGGGGGGCCTACGTACGTAGACGTTCCGTCTGTTTCTGCTCCAACGATCCAATTCAGCCACCACCGCCTTGCGACGTCAGAAGTTTGGTGAACGGGAAGGGGGGGCCAAGGGAAAGAGTGGATCCCAACCGGGGTGCCGTGTGGGATCGAAGTGCGCGCTTCACAGGGTCCCCACAGTGTCAGTCGGAAAGACGGGACATGATTCCGGCGATAATGCGCTATAGTCTGATCTGCTAATAACAAGGACGGCGATCCCGTCAGAAACGCGCTGCAGCTGCCCTTCTGAAAATCATGTACAACAATGAGCGGAAGCTGCGCGCCCGGTTTTTCTTGTTTGCCTGTGCTCTCCATGTCGGCTGCAGCCGGGGTCGGAAGGTTTGGCGTGACTGCATGGTGATGAGCCACAGACGCGGATGTCGCAGCTGTGGATGTGATTGAGGGTCAGTAGCAAGCGTCCTCCGCTCCTCTTTGCTATGTGCTTGCAGCTTGTGCTACCAAATTTCGTGTCAGTGGGGTCCAAACAGGGAGGACGTCAGTCCATCTGTCAGAGTGTTCTGCAAACGAGCACACTTAGTAGTCATGTAGCCGATTATAGACTATTGAGAAGCCACTGGTGATGAACACATGTACATGATGAGCCTCCTAGGGGTTTTGACATGGAGAACCTGCAGCTGACGCAGACCACTCAGTCTCTATCACTTACCAACGGTGGTGGCGCTCATCCGACTTCCATACGAGGAGTCGGATGAGCCATTTCACAGTCGCTTTCATTGCACAATTTCGTACGTCGCCTCGAATGTGAGAGATCTGGTCTACTAAACCGACCAGAAAGACCTTAGAAGCCATACTGGTTGGTTGAATATACCCTCTCAAGAGCCACGAATGGTCTCACAGGCTGTACCATAGCTGTCATAACAGATAGGGGACTCTAGTAGAGCAGGACTGAAAAGATCATTACCAACTTTCGAGGGTGATGTTTGGGTACCCCCTCGAGCGGCGACTCCATCTTCGGGGCTACGCAGGGCTGCGCGCGGGAGCTCCCCGGAGCTCCGCGGAGGGCCGGAGGGCCGCTAACAGCGTCGATACGCCGTTCTTTGAAAGGGACAGTGAGGAGATGGATCCACAGACTCTCTACGAACGATGTAAGATGACGCTTCTCATGATCGGATTAACGCTCTTGTGAGCACCAGCCTATTTCCGAGAACCTCATGCTCATGGAACGAAAGGATACCACGAAGGAGGAGTCCAGACCACCGACCCTACACAGATCCCGAGCAAGCAAGAATGGTACCTGCCTGTCCGGCAGCTACTCTCCAGCCCATCCGCCATGACGGCCACGGCCCACTGCTCACGATCTAGAATCTCCCCTCCACCCTTCGCCCGTCCCATAATGCAACTACGGACCAAACACCCAAACCAAGCCGCACGAAACCGCCATACACCCGGCCCCTCTCCACCTTCATGCCCGCATACCCTTCCTTGCTTCTCTCGAGTCCAGTCCGGTCCGGCCTTCCACGGCTGCTCGCACTTCCGACGGTGGCGCACTCAATGCGTTTCCCCCTTCCATTCATACCCGATTCCGAAGCCCGACGCTCGTTTTGCATGTACACGTCATGCATATTCGAGCTTGGCGCATTGATTGTTTCGCCACGAAACAATGGGGAAAGCAGCTGAAACGACAGTCGTGGTGATGATTGTGCGGGGGGCCGTGGCGTCGGTGCAAAATGGCGAAACGTGGCTGTCGCAGGGTGCTGGGCTGGGAACACAAGAGAGATGATGTGGCGTGGAGTGGTTGTTGGCGAAAGGAGGAGAGGTATAGGACTCGACCATGGTGCTGGCGGTACACTTTGAGCGGTTGGTTTATGCTGTATATGGCGTGTCAAAAGCCGGAAGATATTATTTCGTCCTGTATTTGACTCATATGCCCAATGATACCAAATTTTATCCAATTTCTCTGTAAGGTAACGGTGTGTTTGTAGGAGTGGTAAGATATTGATGACACGGAAGACCAGATCACACGAAGCCACAACTTCAATGTTCATAGCGATCGATATCTCCTCTTTCACAAAATATAGTACGTCTGCGTACCACGCCCGATGGGCTGCAATCTAAGCAAACAATTCCTCCAGCCTTGCATCCGCTTCGATCAATCGCTGGGTCTCTGCCTCCCACATCATGTCTTCCGAGTCATCATTAACTATCTTCAACCGATCCGAGACCTTTCGCAATTCCACCTTCAGTTCTGCGAACCCATCCTTCGTTTCGCTCTCTGTTGCTAGCCTGACCCAGCACACCGACACTCCCTTCAAAATGTCCTCTGTCCAAGCCTCCATTCGCATCCATGAATTCAGTATCATAGTTTGCATCGTCCGGGAAGCTTGGATCAGCAATGGTGGATAAGCAATGCCCAAGGGATCGGCTAACGTATCTGAAAGAAGCGGCACAACGCTCCTGAGATGTTTGACGGAATGTATACCAAGCTCGTTTATAATGGAGGCAAGGTGTGTAAGCAAACATTCTGCTATACGGACGTGTTCGCCAGAATGAGCATGAGCGAAAAGGATACCGTCCCAAATCAATTTATCCAGCGCTCCAGCACGCTGGTAGAATTCCTCAGAGATGGGGTCTGTACGGGGAGGGATGGGGTAACGGGTTTTAGCGAGAGAAATGAGGGCAGGATATGCAGCATTGAGAAGCAGAATGGATTCCGATTCTGGCGTGAGGGAGGGAAGGTAGGTAAGACATGGGAACAGAGATTTTTCGAATTCCTGTGCAAGGCCAGTCCGTGAGAGCAGCGAAGGTGGTGTGATTTCCACTAGTAGTTTAAGCAGGTCACAGCCTTTTGCTTTGAACTTTGGATCTGAGTCGTCGACGAGAGCAAAGATGGGTGGAATGACCAATGGCCATATTTTTTCGATCCCTTCAGCATCCACGGTGAGGAGAACCCAGCGTAGCAGCTCTAATGCATAACCCTCCTTTTCGCCTTTCCAAGGTTTTGATTCGGACTCGTCCTCGTGAATGAGTTGAGTCGCGCGAGGAGCAGAAGAATGGATGCTCTTACGACCTTGAGCGGTCACTGCGGGATTTTGAGTCTTCGCGAAGAGCGGACGGATGGTAAGCTGGAGGAAGTGCGATGCGAGGTGGGAAGTCAGCTCACCCTTCTTCTTACCGGTCTGCTGCTTGTCAGAGCTAGTCTCTTGAGTCTGGCGCTGAATCCGCACTTCTTCGACTGCACCAGCCGGATCGGTAATGTCAGGGTTGCGCAGTTGCCATGCCATGACTACGTCGAGAGCAGATTTCATCCAAGGACCAGGGGGTGTTTCCAACGCCTTAGCAAGTGTCTTTCCGTCCAGAAGAGGCTTGAGGGCGTAAGCCTCTGTCAGGTTCAGCTTTTGAATATGCTCAAACCACTTGCTGTAAGACGAAATAATCTCTGCCAAATACGTCAGCCACTTGTTGTATAAATATAGGCCAACTGCGGCTCACCTTGTTCTCCTTCAGGAAGGGCCAGGACCTCGTACAAGAGCACGAACAGAGCCTGATTCCTCCAAGTTGGGCCCCACTTGCGAATAGCCATGCCAATAGTGTCGGGAGCAGTAGCATCATCACCCTCGGACTTCTTCTGTGGCAGGCGCTGTTGGACATTGAACTTGTCCTTCAGTCCACGGATCTCCTCGAGGTTCTTGACCGACGCCGTCATGACATCGCAGACCTTGTTCGGAGCTTTAATGCCCTCTCTCGCCACAGAGCAAACCACCGGGGGAGGTGCTTTCGTTCCTGGCTTCAGCGGTTGCGGCTCCGGTGCATCGGCCCACGGAACAATTGCTGAGATGAGCCACGACAAGTATGAGTCCTCGGCATCTCGGATGGTCGTTGACTTGACATTTTTTGAGGCCGGTTCCTGAGACTGCAGTATCCTGGAGAGACACTGATATGCCACAGGCCAATTGGTTGGAGGAGTGAAATTATGATCTTTTGTGGGGTCTGAGAACACCGTCGTGTAGAGGCCAAGGCGGTCAATGTATTGGAGTGCACCAAGGGGGTCGGGTCCTGTGAATAGTTTTAGCATTCCATCTGGGTGATTTGCCAGTCGACTTACCTTTCAATGCCTTTTCCAACTCCACTCCCACTCTTTCACGGCTGATCTTGACGTGGAGCGCTTTCTTGATGTCTTCATTGCCCATGAATTCTTCTGAAGCAGGATCGATGCTGTAGCCAAGTCGACTGGCAAAACGGATCAAGCGCAGTACGCGAAGTGGATCATCCTTGAAAGTTTGGTAAGGCTCGAGGGGCGTACGGATGATACGCAGCTCCATGTCTTCGAAACCTTTGCCCGTGAAGTCTTCAACTTCTGAGGTGTTCAAGTTGTAGAACATGGCATTTACGGTAGCATCGCGGCGGAGAGCGTCCTCTTCTGGAGTGCCAAACTCCATTTGCGGGTTGCGGCTGTCCTCAGAGTACGTCTCCTTCCGTAGGTTGACTAGGTCAATGTCAAGGCCCAGAATTCTGGTTGTCACAGTCTCAAGGTGCTTTGACTTCTCCGGATTGGCTTCAATTTTATGGAGCCCGCCAACCTGTTTGTTCTTTGCAGACGTGCCAGCCTTGTCTGACGAAGCCACGCCTTCAAGACCATACTTCTCGGGATTGCCTGGGATTTCCAAGTACTCTTTCAGACGCAGGCCGAACTGATAGCCGGTCATCTTGTTGATTGCGACGTCTATATCATGGCTCTCGACGCCGAGAAGCTTGTCTCTCACCCATCCGCCGGTGAAACGAAGCACGAGTTTGGCATTTGCCAAATCTTCAGGAAGCTGAACGTGTGACTCATCAGAGGCGGGAGGGGGGTTGTTGTCAATGTATTCAGCAACATCGAGCAGCAGCCTGCGTAGTGTCTGTTCCACTTCGGTAAGCTCCAGCGTACGGGAGCTAGCAGCCTGGGTTGCCATGGTGCTCTCTTGGCCGACCGAAGTGAGGGCGGTGGACTCGAGTTTGCGTCGTTTCAAGCTGCGCTCTTCTGGGTGCGGCGAGGCAGAGGGAGACCGCAAGGACATGCAGCGAAGGATGTGCTGCAAGCCACGTGCAGGAAATCGATATGCGTATGACTGTGTGAAAGAAATTCGCGGCCGGGGTCTAAGGCTGCTGGGAAGAACAAGGCCGAAGCGGTTGACGCGCCGCGCAAACATCCATGTGACTGGAAGCGGGACGAGAGGACGACAGCACGAACAGGTCGATGCGGCTCTGCGCTTTGGCGGAAGGTGCAGGTTGCAGCGTTTGGCAGCAGCGACAATAACGGAGCTGACGTATTTAGTTGCCGCGGGTTTTCTCGCAGATCGGCAGGCACATCCCTGCTCCGCGCACCTGCTCTGCTGGCCAAGCCACGCTTCTATCGCAGCCCACACCTTTCACACTCCGCTTCCCAAACCCTCCGCGCCGATCCTCCACGCCCGCGACGCGTCCAAGCTCTCTCCTCGCGGAACCGCTCCGTCCTGGTCAATCCATGCCCTGTTTCGCCCACTCTGCGAGGCCACCAACCCCCCACCGGCCTGCTCAACGCTCCCATGACGCCTTCACGAGATGATGGGCCGCTGCATACTCCCCATTCCAGCATAGATTCCGGCCGTTCCAATGCACTCCCCAAGCGCACATCGTCGCCCGCACCGTCGATAGCCTCCTCCATATCTAGCCTGCCCCACCGCCGCTCTACTGCCACCCTCTCCTCCGTCTTTGCCTCCACGTCGACCCTGCGACCCAACACTCCGGGATCGGGCACTTCCACTCCGCATGCTCCCATAATCGCTGGCTCTGTCTTCTCGCCGCCGCCACGCACCGGAACCGCGTCGCCAGTCCTCTCCACTGCCGGCATTAGCGATGAGGTCCGCGCCCTCATCCTCCGCTCTTTCGTGCCGCACGTTGGCGTTGTCGCCTCGCCCGATACTGAAGAGATCTGTCGGGGCAAGGGGTTTGCGGGAGGCTTTCTGGAGTTAATACGGCCGTATGGCGACTACGTGCCAGGAAAAGTCACCATCCGGGATAGCAACGGTGCAAGCAAGAGTTGGGATGATTTCGGGGTTCGCTTTACTGGCCTCAAAGATGGCCTGGGAGTCCGCCCGCGGCGCAGTACCGAGGCACGTCCAGGCAGCGCAAACGGCGACCCTCGAGGGGAGCCATTTCCTTTCGTGAGAGTAGGGGGAGACGTTGGTCTCATAGAGGAGGCTGTGGACCGGCACTTATCTTTTGCAGAGCTGCAGATGGGGAGCGCCGCGGACGATTACTTCAATTCTAACAGGTCGAGCGCCGACGCGCCCGGCTCCTCGTCGCCTTTTTACCGACTTTATTTGCGCCGATTGCTTTCTGGATTACCCATTTCCCCCCACGAGACTTTCTCCCACCCGGTGGCCTGCATCATAGCTATCAGCTCCCGCTGCCCGAATCCAATTGAGCAGCTGCGTCAGTTGTACCAGAGCACAAACAACGGCGACCACAGATTGCCACAGTGGGTTAATAACGACTATTTACGATATTACGTGCTTGTGCACGATGAAGATCATGATGACATTGGCAAGTCTACAGCGCTGTATGAGCAGATGAAGCGGCATTTTGGGTTGCATTGCCATCTGTTACGACTCAGGAGTACTCAGTGTGTATCTTCCGATGATGATGCCGTTCGACTCCCTATAAGTGATTGGCTTTCAGCTTCCGAAGAGCTGGCTGAAATTCAGAAACGAGGTAATTTGCAAACCATCTTTCTTCGATTCAACCATTTCTAACTTTTTCTCAAGAAACCTCGGAAGATGTGGAGGATCCAACGCCGTGTCTGTTCGAGTCCGATGCTACCGCAATTCGCACTTTTGTCCGAGAGCTCGTCACACAATCAATCGTCCCCACGATGGAAAGGTACGCCATGCAGTGGAATGAGCAGATCGCGTCCAAGCGGAAAGGAATCAGTGGCCGCTTCATGTCTCTATCTAAACGCTGGACCGGATTTGGATCATCCTCGAGGAATTCGGGCATATCGCTGCAAGGCGGATCAGGCAGTAATTACGACTCGCTTCAAGGCTTTTATCGGCCTGATGCACCAGAAGCTCTGATGCGGAAGCTGGCTGATTATGCCTTCATGCTCCGTGACTTTAGGCTGGCAGCCAGTACTTACGAGATCCTTCGTTCTGATTTCAACAACGACAAGGCCTGGAAGTACTATGCAGGTGCGAACGAGATGACAGTCATAAGCACGTTGCTTGTGCCGCAGAGCATGTCTACAAAGACCCGCATTGAGAACATCGACCAAATGCTTGAGACCGCAAGCTATTCCTATCTCGCCCGCTGCGAAGCACCATACAACGCACTGCGCGGCCTCGCCCTTAGCCTGGAACTCCTTAAGATGCGCGGCCACTCTGCTTGCGATGACGCTGCAAGATGGGCTGCCCGCATCATCGAGACTCGCCTTGTCGGCGCAATCGGGCATGCTCTCTTCACTGAACGTATCTCCGACTGCTACAGCAGCATGCGGGGTGTGGGCAGTATGAACTGGGGTATGCGACGCCGCAAAGCCGGCCTCTGGGCCGTTCTGGCTGCGGATGCATGGATGAAACTCGACAAGAGTGTTCAAGCTGAGAAGTGCCTCGATGCCGCTGCGTCGCTTTACGGCCTGAACGACGACGTTGACGCAGAGGACGAGAAGGCATCTCGCAAGACAGTCGAATTCGAGAGCATGCGCGGCTTCATGGACGAGCTGCGCCAGGCCGTCGTGGCGAGCCGGCTCGCCTCACGCGTCGGGTTCGCTGCAGGCGAAGAAGGCGCGGAAGGCGCAGAGGGCGGCGAGGCAGCTCTTGGAACGTCGCAGGCAGGCGAAGCGGAGGGAGGAGGCGAAGAAGAGATCGTTGAGGAGGTCAGCGAGACGCTGGGCCAGGAGAAGAGGCACCACCGCAAGAGCCTAATCGGCGCCGTCGTGCCGCCGCTCGCAGGCGAAAATGCGCTCTCGCCGATGCGGACGCGTGACGACGCCGATCCGATGGCGTTCCTGTCGCCGGACCAGCAGCTAGACAAAGCAAAGGATGCGGCGGCCGCGCAGGAGCAGATGTTCGAAAAGGCGGAAAGCGGGCAAGGGGCGGCGGGAGAGATGGCGCCGGTGATCGAGGAGGAGGAGGCGGGCGAGAAGAGCGCCGAGTAGTCGGTGCCTATTGTTCTATACCTTCGCTTTGATATCTCTCGGTAGCGGGTAGATTTTGTTTCACCTTTCTGGGGCTCGTTGAGGAAGCCAGTAATGCGTAGAACGGGAGCAGACATGAGTTCGGATGCTCACGCACTTGGAGATGGCGTTCTTGTTCCCTTCTTCTAGGTCGAGCGAGGAGGTGTTGAAGACTTCCCCTTGAACTTTACTTGGTAGATACCTTATACCTTCACTGGACAGACGACTTCAAGTCACGGCCTTTGATACTTCACATGCATTTACGATAGAGGCAGAGGTCCATTCTTCCGATTGAATTATTGTGCAATGCACCTGAAAACGCCTGATATGCAATGGTATGGAAACAGTAAAAACTGCACGGCCGCCTAATAGCATTATCTTCCCTTCGCCAACGTCCAATCCTTGTACGACCACTTCTCCGTAACGGTCGTTTTCGCCTTCTTGCGCTGGCCTCCTTTCCGCGACTCGATCTTGCCGCGCAGAATCATGTTCCGGTAACGATCTTTGATAAGGTTACCCTCGGGCTTGAGCAGGCGCAGGGAATCTTGCAGCTCGTCTGGAAGGACGACTTCGAGTTGGGCTTCGGGGACTCTGGAGGTCATGTTAGAAACAATTTCTGGGGTGATAGTAATCAAGAGAACGTACGGTGCCTTGCCGAATTTTCTTCTCCGCAGAACTTCCTCCTCATCTTCAGAGGATTCCTCATCCTTCTTCACGAGCGCTTGCTCCTTCTTCAATTTATCCTTCTCCTCGACTTCCTTGGCCAGCTGCTTGATACGCTCAGCTTGCTCTTGCTTCTTCTTCATCTGCTCCTCCCACTTGGATTGCCTCTCGGCTTCCTTTCTCCGCTTTGCCTTGTTGCGCTGCTGGGGCGTCTTCCGCTCTGGTCTCTTCTGCTTCAAGTAGCTGTCTTCTGCTTCGCTCTGAATGCCCTCCCATTCGCTTTCCCAAGCACTTTCGTTGCCATCGCTTTCTGGGTCCGGTTCGGCCGCAGCCGCGGCAGCGCGCTCCTCACGTAACCTGTCTTCCTCAGCCTCCTGCAGCCGCTTTTTCTCTGCTTCAACCTCCTTCTCGCCCTCGCGCGTAAGCACCGCATTCCAGTCCTCAAAGGTAGGGTTGTAACTCTTGCCGGCCTCGGGCTTCTTGACCGCGGCGAAAGGTTTTCCGCTTGCCGACAGCACGACGGGCGAGTGCTTCAGCGTCTCCGGCTCGCGGATGGGCTTCTTCTCGGGCAGGAACGAGAAGCGCGGGTCCGGCTTCTTCTCCACGACCGCCCACGGGTCGTGCGTGGCGGTGCCGTCGGCCTGGACGACGTCCTTCTCGGTAGTGTCGCCGCCGTGCGCGATGCTCTTCAACCGCTGCAGCTCCTTGTGCGAGACGTATTTGCCGACCTTGTGGCGCTTGTTGCTCGGCTCGATGATGCCGTCGGTGACCTTGGACGAGCGTTTGCGCGAATCAACGGCGGGCACGGCGGAGCGCTGGGCGAGGATCTCGTCGGCCTTGAGCGGCTTGTGGCGCTTCTGGACTTCCTTCTTGATGTCGGCGGATCCGGCCGTGTCGACGGCGAAGAGCTCGTCCGAAGTCTTGTCGGCAACGACACCTCTGCGGAATTATGTTAGAAAGAGACAGACTAAGCAATTGGGCTATAGTGTGAGCCGCAGCAACAGGCGATTCCCCACGCGCAAGGGGTCGAAGCTGCAGTCTGGCCGTAGTTCTCCTCGAATTTTCCCTACGTCCTCGTCCGGCTCTGCGCTTCGACCCCCCGCGTATGACCTCCCACTTCTTGGCGGAAAATTCGTGTGAAATTGTGGTTCTTACCCATGAATGACTTCGTCGCGAATTTCTTCGAGTCCTGTCTGCACGTCGGAAACGTCGACATTCTTGCGCCAGGCCTTCTTGCCCTTGCGCGAGGGCTGCTTGCGCTGCTGGGGCGCTTCGGCGGTTGCTGCCATGGTTGGTGGACTAAAGAATGACGATTGCAGCGCCAAGGAAGAGTGCGTCGTTGTTTGTTAGGCGCAAATGCTGTGAGAGTCCCTCCCGGTGTTGGTCAGGGCGCTCGCACTTTTTTTCCGGTCAGCCTCGTTCGTCTCTCTCTCACCGCCCGTCGGATCTAATCGATAAGCTGGCAGGGGGCTCCCACTGACCCAAGCTTACTGTATCTTCACAGCTCGAGATGGTTAGCAAAGGTACCCCTAGGAACCAGTGCCCGCTTCGTCAGAAAGTCGTGGCGACAGAATCAGGGCCCTTGGTAGAGAAAAAATTAGTGCTCTCGACTTCACTTCTTTCAAGCTGGAGGTCTACGGCAGAATGTCCATCATTCTGTCTGCAGAGAAAGATGCTATACCTAATTTTTCCATTGCCGACGACGGCAGCAAGGGGGCACAAGGCGGATGAAACGACTCTTGTGTCCGCGGGGGAGCTCTTCCGTCGCATCCATCGATAAGACCCTCATCGCTCGCTAGCCCACAGTGGGTCTAGCGAGTTCCCGAAGGTGTGGGCTAGCACGGGATCCCTGCACCTTCTCTGCGTTCGGTGATGGGTGTTTGCCCTCCTGAACAGCGTCTGAGCGCCGTCCGAGCGACTACTTGACAGTTGTATATCCCCACACGCCGCCGCCGCTCTCACCGACCATTCCATTCTCTTTTTCCTCCTCTCCCTTTGACAGCTCGCGCGCTCCACTGGTGCATCTCTCCACACAGCAAACTCCAAAATGGCGCAATCAGGCTACTCCAACCCGCTGAAGAAGTTCAAGTAAGACAGCCCGTGGCCCCGCCATGCCACATTATCCACATCTGAACACCAAAGGAGACTGACACGATCGCAGGCTGGTGTTCCTGGGCGAGCAGAGCGGTAAGCCTGCCTTTTCGCAATCGTTTTGACGGAGCTTCGCAGAGCGTCGCAATGGCTAACACCGCTTCTGCTGCAGTCGGCAAGACGTCTCTGATCACCCGGTTCATGTACGACTCGTTCGACAACACCTATCAGGCTACGATTGGTATCGATTTCCTGTCCAAGGTGCGTCACCCGGAGCTTCTGCAGTTCCCTCACGGCTTTCTAGTCGCAGTAGCTGATCAATTGACCCCCGCAGACCATGTACCTTGAGGACCGCACGGTCCGGTTACAGCTTTGGGATACTGCCGGTCAGGAGCGTTTCCGCAGCTTGATTCCCTCGTACATCCGCGATTCCAGTGTCGCCGTCGTCGTCTACGACATTTCCAGTAAATCTCTCCGAGACCCCCCACTATAGCCTGCGTCGAACCACACAAGGTCCCGCGGCAGATGGAGTATTCGGTGGCTAACTGGTAAAACAACGTGCAGACCGCAAGTCCTTTGAGAACACGCGGAAATGGGTGGATGACGTTCGCGGCGAGCGCGGCAATGACGTGATCATTGTCTTGGTCGGTAACAAGACGGACTTGAACGACAAGAGGGAGGTCACGACGGCGCAGGGCGAAGAGGAGGCCAAGAAGAACAACCTCATGTTCATCGAGACCAGCGCGAAGCTCGGCCACAACGTGAAAACGCTTTTCCGGCGCATCGCGCAGGCGCTGCCCGGCATGGAGGGCGAGAACCAGCAGAACCCCAGCCAGAGTCAGTTTCCCTCGTCCCCGCCGGCTTCTTGGCAAATTTTTACTGACGCTCCGGCAGTGATCGACGTGAACGTCAACCCCAATCCTCCCGAGGAGGGCCAAGGATGCGCCTGCTAAATGAGTACTCCGGCTGCCTTTGCCGACCTCGACGATTACCTTCGGATTTTTGTATAAACCGCAGCGGCGTGTTTATTTTGTAAATGCCCTCTCGCGCCCCTTCAGGTCATGGGTGGGTCCGTTGCAAGCATGGCGTTATAGGGACGGCCATGGATGCGGTAATAATGGGAGCACGCTGTATGATTAGAATGCCGACGAAAGATATTGCGTAATGAGAGCATGCGTCCAGGACACGACAAAACATTTCTTTTGGTATTTAAAGTAGCGTGAGCCACAGCAGCTACGAATGCTATGGATGCCCACCGTGTTGATTGCGCCAAATCCTTCCCTACACAACGAATTCCTTCTATGCATTCAATCCATCCATCCGTAGCGTCACCAAAGCCACCCCAGACTCCAGATAGCCGCTATGTATTTACAACAAACATGGTGTACAGGGAGTTGGGATTGCTCAATTTTCCGTCTACACGCGTTGTCGCGCAACGCTTTTTGTTTACTTCTGGCGAACCGCGGGCTCGCCTGTCTTCAGCGCGCCAATTGGATTTATAGAGCCGGCATCTCCTCAAAAGGCGAACCGGCTTTACTCGTCGACGGCGTTGTCGTTCGCGGGCTTGCCAATGGGTATCGACTTGTCGTGGGCGATCATCTCGGCGAGGATGTCAAGAATGGGCTACGCGGGTTACATAAGCACTCTGTTTGCTGCCAACAATGCGCAAGCCCAACACATACCTTAGGGACGGTCTTATCGTAGATGTTGATCAGCTCCTTGGGCTGCGGGTAGACCTTGAGGGCCTTGTAGAAGCAGAGCGCGGCTTCGATGGGGTCGGATCCGGCTACAGAGCAAAAATTATATCATCAGCGCGATGCCTTCTACCAGCACGTGCGGTCAGACGGAGATATAAAACTTACCGTCCTGGGTCATCTGCTCGCCGTGAGCGACCTCCTGCATGAAGTAGCCCTCAACCTCCTCCGGGTCGCGCGGGAAGCCCTCCTCGTTGGCGCGGTCGACGGCCTCGCGGATCAATATCCTCTGCTGGGCGGCGCCGGCCTCAGCCTCCTCTTTGGCGGCGCGCGCCTGCTTCTTGGACTCGCGCTTCAGAGCCTTGCGGAACTCGGCATCATTCCTCCGCTTGTAGTCGAAGTAGAAGGCGTAGGCCACGAAGCCGGTGACGACGGCGCCGACGCTGGCGAGCACGACGGTCGAAGTCTTGATGGACGGCGCGGTGGAAGACATGTCTGTTTATGCGGCGGGTGAGGGGCGGTAACGAATTGCCGGATGTCTTATTTGCGTGGAGGATACGGGCGCGCGGCGTCTTGCCGGATCGAGAAGTGCGATGGCCGATGGGTGGTGTTCGCTCAAGAAGCCGCCGCTCGCGTCCGCTGAAGGTCAAGATTTGAAACTAACGACGCAATGCCCGATCCAACGCCTCCCGCAAAGTCCTGGCCGCACCACGTATCTCGCCCGCCCGCGTTTGCAGCTCCAACATTGACCACGCAAAAGCTACGTCTCATATCTGTTGTTTGTGCGCAATTCCTCTTCTGCTGCAGCTACACGCTAAGACACGCGCACCTGCTGCTATCCGTGACCCTCGGTTGACCGCGTCACTTTGGGCGCTGCAGGCGGCCTGAGACTGCGGGACGTGCGTCGTTCATTGTCCTTCCCCGAACTCCGTCCCGCCCGCCTCAGCCTCCGTGACGACAGGCAACAACCACGTACCCCGCCCACCACACCTCCACCGCCATGGATGAGAAGGAGAAGAGCAGCAGGGGCATTTCGCTCCGCAAAAAGAAGAAGGACCGCCCGAAGATCAGTGCCCCCAAGCAAATCAGCGGACCGCTGCCCGAGAACCTTCAAGGCCCGGCCATTCCAGACGAGTTTCGCCAGAAAGCACAGGCTGCACGAGAGCAAGCTGCTGCTGCTGCCGCCGCCGCCGCTTCAGAAGGGGAGAGTCCTGGGGGCGGACAGCCTCTAAATGCTCCTCGCGAACGCCCCCAGCCTGCTGCTAGCGGAAAGACCTCGGACCTGGTGAAGAGGAGGTACTCAACGCGCTTCAACCAGCTACCCAACGAAGGTCCCCCCGGCGGCCCCCCGCTCCCCGCCGTGCCTGGGATTCCCAAACAATTCGCTCCCCCGCCTCCCGTCGCGGAAGGCAAACCTATCAGGACAGATGGACGTGGGATTAAGGTGGACATCAAGGCGCTCAGGGATCCTAGCCTCAGGCCCGAGCAGTGTACGTGGCATATGCGATGCGGTGTGATAAGATGCTAATATTCGAACAGACGTCGCGTCGCTGCTTGCTGATGCTTCGGAAGCCGATATCCAGAGATACCAGGAGGACTTGCGCAAAGTCAAGAACCGCACCTCTTCGGACTTACAACATAATGTTTACCAGAACCGTACCCAGTTTATCAAGATCAGTAAAGAGGCAGACAAGCTCAAGGGCGAGATGCGCACCCTTCGCGCGCTCATGTCTGACTTGACCAGCACATTGGGCCAGGCCACGTCGTCCAGCTCGTTCAAGTCACCCGATACCGGAAGCTCGCGCCGGAATGCCAACCGCAGCTCCGTCGCCAACCTTGAAGCCCTTTGGAACACACACTTGCAGACACTGTGGAAGAGGGTCGAGGGCTCGCAGAAATTCTTGCCTGCCATTCCTGGTCGTCATATTGTGTACGAGTCGGGACGCTGGGTGGAGCTCAATGCTGCCACTTGGAAGGTCAGACGAAGGGTGCACCTCATTCTTCTTAACGACCACTTGCTCGTCGCTGCCGAAAAGAAACGCACCGATGCCCCACAAAACTCTCGGGATGCGAAACAGGCGCAGCAGCATACACAGCTTGTTGCCGTTCGGTGCTGGCCCCTGCAAGATGTCCAGATGGTGGATTTATCAACCAAAACAAATGCTGGCCGTGACCAAGGCGAGAAAAAGCGTGCTGCTGACTCGATCAATGTTCGCGTCGGAACAGAGTCTTTCACATTTGCTAATCCTGGCAGTGATCAAGTTGAGAAGGCTACTTTGCTGTCGTCATTCCGGAAGGCCACGGAGGACCTGCGCAAGAATTTGGAGGCCGAAACTGAAGAAAGAAGCAAGACTAATGACTCTGTTAACTATTACGCTACCAGAGATCTGAGCGTACTCAAGGAGCAAGACTTGCTTGAAGGCCTCGGTGAAAGCGCTTCCCAAAACCGGTCAAGCCTCTTCGTTGATGTCGATGGAAAGAGACAGAGCATTCGGTGGGTTGAGAGCCAACTGGATGAACTGGACATTGATATTGCGTTGCACCGCTTTGAAGCAGCTGTCGAAAAGGTTGATCGTCTTCGGCGAATATCCAAGAGCATTAAAGGCAATCCTCTTGCGCAAGAGATCTTCCAGCACAAGGGAAATGAGCGAGCAGCGAAGCTTGCAGGACTCTTGACAAGGCAGCTTCAGGAGACGCACAACTGGCCGACGGCAACGAAGAAGCACGTTGACTGGCTCATTCAGCTGGGCTTCGAAGACCGGGCCCGGGAATCCTACCTCGAGGCCCGCAGCGGCATCATAAAGAAGCGGATAAGGTAAGTTGCTCACAAGAAAAGGTTGGGTTATGCACGTCTAACTTACACTTTCGCAGACAATGCGTCTTTGATGGCGACCTCCACCAATACATTTTCCAAATATCCTTCATCTACTTCACACTCATCCGCAACACCGTGGTCACCTACCAGAGCTGCTTCCAGGCCACCATGATGTCAGCCTGTGTCAAGTGGGCCAAGGACCACGTAGAGGATTTCAACAGCATCCTTTCCCGCCAGCTTAGCACCATCGACGAGGAGAGCACCATGTGGGAGGAGTGCATGGCGCGCGCCAGGGAGCACGGATCGATGCTGTCCGAGGTCGGGCTCGACTTCAAGGACCTGGTCGGCAAGGGTGTTAGGCTGAGAGATTCGGGAATTGATCTCTCGACGGGTAGATCCGCGGAGGATGGACCGGCGGGATTGGGATTGACCACTTGAGATCCGCTGGTCGGATGGGGACAGATGGTGGAAGGTAGATGATCATGGTCTTTTTTGGTGCTTTTGTTTTGTGGGTGGTATGCATTTGGCATTTCAATGGGGCAGTGCAAACCATGTTAACTTGTGCCTGTGAGCGTCACTGTAAGGTTGCTTGTTCGGTTTTATGTGCGAAGAGGTGTAGCAGACAAAATATATCCCCTTGTCTTTTTGACTCCAGACTGCTCACCTGGTGACTGTCGCATGTTCTGAGAACAAGGCTTCTTAAAGCTATAAATTATGAAGTGTCTACGTTGGTATGGCTTTAGATGCTGGGCATGGCAATAAGGCTTGGATTGGATGGGCCTATCGAAGAGTTGCCGACAGGAGGCACGTGCGCCTGGGAGCGCGCTTCATCTCTCCAGCTCGCCGGCGGCCATCCCAGACCTCACCTCCATCAACAGGTCGCTTTTTTCGGCAACTTCCACCCAAATCTCCTGTCACTGCCCACGGAAAGCTCCATCTCAGTGCATTAGCGCACTAAGCAGTGTTTCAGGCTCGGAATTACACCGTCTTTCCTCAAGATCAAATGCCCAGCCAATCCGGGACGCTACTGGCCGACGGCTGCGCGCGCGACAGTACTTGACTGATCATCCGAGACACGCGTCGCCGCCGCAAGTCACCCAAATGCCCAAATCTGCTGCCTCGGGAGCCCCGAAGGTGCAGAAAGTCTGCACCTTGTGGACTCATGACGACAGCCTTTCCCGCGAAGATGTCTTATTCAACATTGACCGCTTCTCCGAGCTTGCAATTAGTCCTGGTAGCCTCGTGAAGATCGTGGCGTTGAATCAAAACACATCCGTCCGTGATTTCCAAGAGCTGGCCCGAACCCCATCGCAAGATGGCAGTCGTCGCATCAAGCTGGACACGGCTCGCCGCGCCCCCTCCACGAGTGGCTTCTCGTCGAGAAAGCCGCATAGCGGCTCATTCACCTTGACACTCGACGAGAACGGTCACCGCATCCAGGGCGGCAGAGACGTCGACCCTGCCAAGACCTACGTCTTCCAAGCAAAGGCGATGGGCCCCGATCTCAAGACAAAATATCCCAACTTGCAGGTCTCCATTTCCGACCACATTGCCCGTAATTTTGGCTTCCGCAACCGCATGCAGGTCATGCTTTCTCCCGCTGAACACGACCTGTACTCAGCATCGCATGTCGAAATCAGTTTCCGTGATGAGTACTTGTCGCGTGCCGACATGTGGAGGTTTGCCATCGCCGAACTCAGCGGCAAGACTGTCTACAAAGGCCAGAAGTTACTGTTCATGGGCACCATCAAGGCGACTGTCAAGAACGTCTTCGTCGATGGCCAAACAACACATTCTGCCTACTTTTCTACAATGACGAAGCCAGTCTTCCGCAGCGAATCTGCTCGTTACGTACTCTTCCTCCAGATGTCAAAAGAGATGTGGAACTTCGACACTGAAGGATCTGGCGAGATCATGTTCAATAAAGTCATCAACGGTTTCCTTCCTGATTTGTTCAAGCGATGGCAGCGACTCGACGCAAAGCACCTCGTTACCATCATCATGTTCACGCGCATGCAGTATGATCGAGGGTTCCTTCCGGACGGCACACAGGCCAATGGCTTGCCATTCGACCCTGATGCAGCGGCGGGCTCTGCTACGAGGGACTTCTACCGAGTGGTTGTAAGCGAAATGGCCAGCTGTGATTGGATCAATATCCTCTATCAGCTGAAGAAAGAGTTTCGAAAATTCCTCCGGGACGTTTCGGTCATGCCATTTTCTCCTCCGAAGAAACAAGCAACTGGCCTACAAGAAGCCTTTGAGGGAGAGCCGGAGCCGGAGCCAGAATCCATCATTGCTGGAACTCCTCGAACCTCGGACAAGGGTAACCTCCTGGAGGCCATCAACCTTGCTGCGCTGCAGTACTCCAAGGATTATATCGACAGAGACCTTGTAAGAACTGGAATCTCGGTCATCGTCATCTCTCCTGGAAGTGGTATCTTTGAAGTCGACTATAACATGCTCAAGCTCACCACTGATATCCTACTCGGAAGTGGCATCGGAATCGACCTTGTTTGCTTGCAGCCAATGCCTCTGCACTCCGTGCCCCTATTCAAATACCGGAACCCGCGTTTGGCTACAGAGACCGACCACAGACTACAAAAAGTGGTTGAAGCTGATGATGTAGGATCTAAATTTGACTTCGGGGTGGATGATGAAACACCGCGCCAAACTTTCCCCAATTTTGGTCCATTGAGGCAGCCGAAGCACCGCGGCTCCACTTCCTTGGCAGCATCACCTGCAAAACTCGGAAGTTATCAATCGCATCCCGCCATAGATCCTGAACCAGGAGACTGGAGTTATGCCATGCCGCATTGGTTGGATATCTCATACTGGTCTGGCTCGTCAGATGAGATTTTTGGTATGGAGCAAGTAAACAAGCGAGGTAATCCTCAGGCAAGGTCGCAAAGAAAATCAAAAGGCTTTTCATTGAGATGCCGCATGTACGAACTTCAGATGATGGGTGTTATGGAGAATGAGATGAGCAATATCTCCCTACCCTACTTGCAGGAGAACCCCCTGTATCCCTGGTCACTTTTGGCTCCTACTGAAGACGGTACACACCGCCGAAACCGCGAGAAAGATGGATTCATTATCTCTGCATCGTCCTCCCCAGTGGAGACACGCAGCATGCATCGATCACGTACGCATGGTTCGGATGAGCAAATAGCGATGCACCGAGGCTGGATGGATACCTATGATGATCATATCTTTCGCACTCTATCTGACCGTAAGGAAACGGAAGAGAAAGCGCGAAAAGATCGGCAGGAGAAGGAACTCGAGGCCCGACACGTGCTGCGTAGCAACCGCTTCAGATATCCTCCGAACGAATCTCTTCTCTCGGCATCGTTCAACAGCCAAGCCGAATCGGTGATCAGTTCGGGCCGGCCTCCACGATCTCCTTCGTTTTTGAAAGGGAAGGAGAAGGCGGAAAGCTCAACAGACTCATTCGAGAAGGACCTGCACAGCTCTCGGATCACGGTAAACAAGAGAGTGAGCGTCGCTTCTAGAGCTACACAGGATCTCTCAACGAGTCCAGTGGGCCGAGATATTCGCCACCCTCTCCTTATGGACCGCGCGAACACAGCACATCGTCTACCGCCTCGAAGTGTTCCGGCCGAAATGGTTCCTGAAGATGACGATTCGCCAACTAAAATTGATGTTGACACACGGCCACCAACGCCAGAACGTGGGAGGGGGAAAGAGGTTGCTGATGGAGGTTCCAACCGATCTTCAAACTCCAGTACCAATCCACGTCCATCAAAATGGCTTTCGAGGCACATCAGCTTCTCTGCGTTCGGGTTTGGGCCGTCGAAAGCTGCACCGAGCACTGGGGTCACGGCAAGCAAGGTGGACGCCGTGGGGACTTTGAGCAAAATTGTACCCAGTACTTCTGTTGCTAAGAAACCATCACAACTCAGCGTATTGTCTACGGCGCTGAAAGGAAGTGATGCTCATGACCCGAAAAGAGCGACAGAACCCATTCAAATCCAGAGTACGTCCAAGAAGCCATCCACCAGTGAGGCTTCTCAGTCGAGCCTACGGGTTGGTTCGGGTACACCGAAAGGTCGATTTGAGGACAAATCGCTGTCTACTTCACATGCCACTGCAGACATCAAGGACCCGGGCTCGCTCTTCCTGCTGGCTGGTTCCAAAGGTCTGCTTGAGCAAGTGGGACCCAAGTTGAACTTGTCCTCGAGCGGTGATCGGCAAGAAATACCCAGGACTTTATCTCCAACCAACTTCCTTGCGCCTTGGATGGTTCTTGTGAATCCTTGTAATCCAAGGAAAAATAACCTCAGTCTTGCAAGTCAATTCCGTCGCTGGCATCACGTCTTCCCTCGCCCGCTGAAGGCTACCTCCATTAAGTGGAAGTCACTCTGTTCGCCGGCTGCCGTTCCGTTGACGAATGACTTCTTCCCTAATGCTGAACAACTGGCTACTGAGTACAACGAGAATCCGTACAGGATCATTCAAAATGACGAGGAGGAACTCTACGCGACTCCCAAGAGCCGAGAGAACCTCATCAGAGAGCTAATTGCATTCCGTCTAGCTCATGGGTTCCAAATCATCATTGGCCCCTCAGTATCAGAATTCACAGGAAAGCCTGAGCAGGACATAGCCGATATATTTGCGAAAGACTACATGCTTGAGGCCGGATCGTCCATTTTCATGTCTTTGGGAAGCACCATCCATCAGTTGGTCTGTGTGAGTACCGGAGAGGTCGAAATCAAAAGGTTTCACAGAAAGCCAGCGGCGGAAATTCTGTCCGCTGACAGGGCAAAACCGCCGTTCACATACCAACCGCTGATCCGGACGGCTCTTGACGAGAAGTACGAGCTTCAGGAGTTCCCGTTGAAGAACCCGCGGGACGAATACAATTGGAATTTCATCGACAGCTACCTGGCTGGCTACGAGCAGGACTTCTCAGACACGCTTCGATTCTGGCGAGCTCGCTTCGTGCTTATTCCCGTGGAGATCCCACCAAACCCGCGTCGACATCTGTCGATGCTTGCTGAGGATTCGGATGAGGAGATCCGACTGGAAGGAATCCGAAAGCTTACGCAGATTTGGCAGAAGTGGCGCTATGTTCCGCCTGAGGAAAGGCAATACCAGGCGGCGCTGCGCATGAGCAAGGACGCAAATCCACTGGCCATCGAATACCAGACAAGAGACCCGTCTGCGGTAGTTGCTGCTGGTCCAGATGGAACGATTTTAGCGGAAGGAACAACAGACGCCTTTTCGACGGCGCTTTTCGCCGGAAATGAGCAGTACAACCGCTCGAACTACGACATCACGAAACTCGCTGTAGACTTACAAGGGGAGAAGGGCATCCCCATGACGGACAGGAGGTGGCACTTCAAGCTTCATCTCAGTTGTTTCCTTGGGTTTGACTTGACGACCTGGCTACTCCAAAACTTCCGGGATATCAATACTAGAGAGCAGGCAGTGGAGCTCGGGAATGAGATCATGGGCAAGGGACTGTTCCACCACGTCACCAGGAAGCATCCTTTCCGTGATGGCAATTTCTTCTATCAGATCTCGACAGAGTACAGAGCACCCCGATCAGAGACGAAGAGTTGGCTCGCGGGTCTCAGCACCCGTCGCTCTGACAAGTCGTCGGTTCCGTCGACCCCTTCGACTGAGGCGAGACCGATGTCTATCGCTTCTTCATCTTGCTCAGTTCCTAGGTCGAGACCAAACACTGCGACTTCTGCTTCAGAGAGTGGAGACAAGACACCCACACGGATGGGGAGTCCACGTAAACAGGCAGTTCTGAGCAACGTCATGCGCATCGATGTCGACAACCGAAAGAGGTCGTATCGGCCGGAGGTGGTAAACCTGCACTACGACCGCCTACACAATCCAGACAACTGCTACCACATCCGAATCGAGTGGATGAACGCCACGGCGAAGTTGATAGAGGACGCCATCAACACATGGGCGACGAGCGTGGAGAAGTACGGGCTGAAGCTCGTCGAGCTGCCCATCGCCGAGGCCTCGCAAATGGGACAATCGCACCCATTCCGGGCGCCGTACATGGTGCGGCTAGCGTGCCAACCACCGACGGGAGGCCCACAGCAGCAGTACTTCGACTCGACGTCATTCGGGCCGCAGCGATACAGTGACCGGTTCGTCTACCACAAGGCGATCCTACGCAAGCTCAACTTCGTGCTTGACATGGAGTCGGCGGCATCCTTCCCGTCCGACGTCGACGTCACCTACTCGTGGGGCAAGCCCGATTACACGTTCACGCAGTTCATCCACAAGAGCGGCGTCCTGCTCGCGCAGATCACGGACGATGGCGACTTCCTGCTGCTGGCGAACCGGCTCTGCAACAACCGCGGCGCCTTCGGCATCGGCCTCGCGCGTGACGGCAAGGCGGCGTCAACGGCGGACGGTGCAGCTACTGCTACTACAACGGGGGCAGACGGGCAACCGCAACAACAGCTCCTCCCCCAGCGCCGCGAGCCGACGCCCATCTTCGCGCTGCAGAACCCGACGCAGAACGTGCGCTCGCCGTTCGCGTCGCCGCTGGTGCGCCCCGTGCCGGACGCAGCAATCAACGCGGCCATCACAGGGCAGCGCATCGGCGTGGACAAGGGCTTCAAGACGGCGGAGCAGATCAAGGATGAGATGGAGGCGCTGTGCCTGGACGAGCGCGCGCTGCGCCTCTTCTACGCCGAGTTCGCCATGACGGAGCAGCAGCAGCTGTACACTGGCGGCAGCGACAGCAGGAATAGCAGCATCTACCACCACAAGGTGCGCAACAACAGCGGCGCGTCGCCCAGCCCGCGCATCTCGGCGACGGCGGCTGCTGCGTTGGCCATGAGCAGTCCTAGGATGACCCCCGTCGTGCTCGACGCGAACATCCCGAGCCTGGGCCTGCCGCCCGGTGTCACGGCGACGGCGGCGGCGGCAGCGGGTGCTGCTAGCTCGTCGTCGGCGGCCACGGGCGCTTCGGCGAACCGAGATGTGTCGCCTGCACCTCCGCCCAGTCTAGGCTCTTCTACGTCCATTTCGCCGGCGCCGAGGCCGTTGGATGGTAGCGCGACTGCGTCGGTGAGCAGTAACAGTAATAATGGCGGTGTTGATGTTGGCGGTGTTGGTAGTGGCGGAGTAGGAGGAGCAGGTGCAGGTGGAGGATTACCAAGACTCGGGGCTATTGGACGGACAGCCTCGCATTCTCGGACGCCCACACGATCGTCGGAAAGTAGCGAGATCAGTCAGTAGTACGGGCTGTTAAACTATTGGTTTTTTGGACAGGATGGGGAAGGGAAGCGAGCGAGCGGGTGAGGCGTGCGCGTTCACGCGGCGCCGAGGGAAAGAGGGAAAAGGCTATTCCGGAACCGGATGTGCTTGGAAATAGAAAGCCGTGATGTGTGATGAATGAGAAGTCACCGAGCTTCGTTAGTCTTTTTTTTTTTCGTGCTCGTTTTTTCCCCCGCTCTCGAGCGCGCTTTGCCAATAGTCCGACCTCGTATGGGTCAGGTGGATTGCAAGTACGAAAGGTCTTGAACGAAGTGCAAGTTTTAGGGGAGAACGGCTGTTCATCCGCAATTGTATTGTTCTTTAACTCTCATGAAGCTTAAAGCTTGAGCATGTCCAGCTTACGTCAAGAGGACTGTTTTTACTCGCGAGTCCGTGCGCGCTTAGCATATACTACACGTAGCTTTACTGTTCGGACCGGTAGCAGCTGAAGGTACAGGTACGGCAGCAAGGAATGCGCGTTAGTTTGAAGACGCATGTCGGCAAAATGGGTGGCCTGAGGGCAGTAGTGCGTGACCGGCGGGTCTCTGATGCCTTGGATGATGATGCTGTGCCCCTCGCTAGAAGTTCATGCGAGGAAGAGTGGAATGAGGAATTATTACAACGCAGCGAAATGAAGGGAGGGGAAACGAGTGGCCAGCGTTGATCTATCTGGAGCTGCGATGCATGCAAGTAGCGGCCTTCTGGCCCGAAAGGTGGAGCCGGCATCGGGTTCGGCGATTTAGTTGGTCAGGGCTACTGTTATTAGTCAGGCTAGGATCTTGCGTTCTTTTGCCCGCCCGTCACCAGATCTCGGACGGTGGTTCCGCTTGCATGAAAAATGGCGGTTGTTTTTGGCGGGTTGGGAATGGCTGCTGCTGATGGCGCCGTGCGGGCGAATAGCCGCGCGGGGCAGAGCGCGGGGTACTCCGGCCGGGCGGTCACATCGGTCGGCTGCACGAGCTGGATGGACGTTGGCCTTAGTAAGAGCAAACACCGAGAGATAATAGAAGGGATGTCAGATTCTTCGTCTTAGATTATGCTCATCAGACGCGTCGGCCGAGACATGGCTTCGCTCCTGGCCCTCCTCCGATCCTCGACTGCGCGCGCGACGTTGCGGCGCGTCCAAGAATCTGGCGACGTCAGCGATCGATAAGCATCTTTTGGCGCGCACGATAAAGTAGCGTAGAGTTATCTGACGTACGTTGCTCTAGATGACTCGATGGGATTACGACGGCCTTTGCTTTTTCCCGCTAGCCTGGACCCTGACGGCGAGACGACGAATAACGGCGTCGGCGCGACGGCCTGCTCCCCTGCCACTGGCCGGCCGGCAAACGGAGGCTGTCAGCATATACATCACGCGTCGGATGACATTCTCGTTTTGTAGTTTCTTTTGTACCTCCGGGGCGCAAGCGATGACTCGGAAACCGAAGGGCTGCCTGCTTTGCCCGCTCTGGGAGTGACGTTGCAGCCTGCTACTCGCTCTGGCCGGTGGGCACGCGGTTGTAGTGAGTGTGGTGGCCATCACATGCAGGCGACGTCGTGCCTGTAAGACGGAAGAGAGGCATCAGGCGACGGGGATGGAACCTGGGACGGGAGAGATAATGCTGGGCGAGACATGGGTTTCTGTGCCACAGCCGCTTCCTCGGGACGTATCTGGACGTGCTGAAAAGCAACTACTCCACGGCCGTGATAGCACCCCCCCCAATCACGACCCGCCCGGATCTTTGTTGACGTCCACTCGAGGACCGGCCCGGCCAGTCAGCTCCCAGCCAGCGCGCCGTCCCGGGGCTGAGCAGGCGCTCACCACATCTCGCGCCGTTGTTGAACTCTGGGCGCGCCGTCGTTGGCCGCGACTCACAGGCCGCTCAGCCGCGCGCGGCTCGCGTGGTGCTGCAGGTCGGCTTACGAAGTACTGCGCTCATGCAGCGCGTCCTATTTCGGGGAGTGATGGTGGTGGACGACTCGCGATCTGCCCCGAGCCTGTGATGCTGACGCGCCGGTGCAACGGGTCAGCCCTGCCGTGGCTGCGAACTATATGGGCGAGGCACCGCGCACCCGCGTGCTCTGGCAACCGCTCTCTGACCATCGCGGACCTTGCGCGTTTGTGACGCCACACGCACGCGCGCAGAGCCAGGAAGGGCCGGAAAAAGCATGCCATCACGGCCTCCTAGTCCACCCCTACACGTACCCACCGCATTCCAAGCCGACACGGCGCCAGTCAGCTCCCGCGCCCCTGACCAAGCTGCATCCCTTCCCTCAGCCTGGCTGCTTCAGGCTAAAACGGGCCGCGGAGGCTTTCCAGATAGAAGGAAATGAGCGTTGGGCGATCGCCGCAACGACATCATCGGGCATCCCCAGCGCAGGGCGAGATTGCAGGCTAGCTGTCGTTTGTGGCTGCGTCTAGGTTGTCGGGTAGGAAGCCCGTGTCGAGAGCTTGGACACACCGCCTCTTGGTGCGTGCGAGTGCAGGGAAATCCACGCTCAACACGCCGCCCACCACGCGAGCAAAGCATTGCTTCTGCTGCCTCACTCCTCCCGTCCCACCGCCAGATATACGACCGCAGCCCGGCCTCCGCGCCTGCAATTGCACGCCTCTCACCCCCTCCGACCAGACCCCGACCTCTGGCTCACCGGAAACCACCCAGCGCCCGCACCATACCGCCTTGGCCACCTGCGCAAACGCGTGCCCTCGTGCCTCTCGCTGCTCGTGCGAGCTCCGCCCCGAGTCGTGGCCATGAGCCAGCGAGAGCGGTCTGCCCCAGACATCCGAGTCCAGGCCGCAGGCTAGCCATTGATATTCCCGCCGCCCGCCATTCCATGGAGACGCTCGCCGTCGCTGCCCCGCCAGACGAACGACGACGATGCTCGGCCAGCTGCTCCATTCCTTTAACCCATCCCGCCGCGGCACCCCGCGCCAGTCGAGCAACCTCATAGAATCCGTCACCGAGGACTCTCACACCCGCAACCTCCTCTTCCCCGACGCCCAGGCCCTATACCAGTCCGACTCGCAACAATCCTTCCCCCAGCTCTTCTCCAGCGGCAGCCCCGCCGGCGGCGCTTCCAACGATGGCGCCCAGGCTGGCATTGACCTCGACCAACACCGCGACTTCCGCATCATAATCGCCCAAGATGAGGCCGGTGCGATGCCACGAACCGTTCTCTTCGACTCGAAACCCGGCCCCGGGAGCGCAGACTCGCCATCGGCCGCTTCCGAGCGGAGAGGGAGCCGTATGTTCGGTCCAGGCGGAGGCATTGGTGGGCCCATGTCGCCGGGTCAGGCGCCGGGGGCAGCCTCTGCCTTCACGCCTGGCCACGGCAGGAGATCCTCGCTCGCCGCCCAGGGCTCGGTGCCTCAATCGCCGACCGTCAGTGCGTTCCAGCGCGCCCGTACACGAGGAGCATCGATATCGAACATGCAGACGTTTGAGGAGAGCGCTCAAAATGCCAGGTCGCGGGAGTCGGAAGAAATAGTGAGGACGTGCTTGGATTGTATGTTTGGTTCGGCGCCAATGGCATATCGTGGCCCAAGCAACAAGTTGCACATCATCCCAATGGAACCGCGAGCTGCTGAAAGGAACGTTACGAGCCCTCCGCTTCACGAGGGATTCAGTTCTCTAGGAAGATCGCCGAGCCGGAGAAGCAGATTGGCAACGTCATACACCGCCTCGAACATCCCACCTGAGCCCTCACCATCCACGGCGGAAACCTCACAAAAGGAAGTCCGCCGGCGAACCATCCTCATCACCCGGCTCTTCTCTGTCTCTCCGCCGGACGAAGTTGAAATGCCGGATTCTTCAACATCAAATTCCACTACCCCTACTCCTGGGAGTTCGATAGGCAAGGGCAGCAGCAGTTTCCCTTTTCCGCACATGACCTCCAGCGGTTCTTCGCAATATTCTGGGAGGAGAACGAGGCCATGCAGAACGCCCATGTACGCTATTGGCATCATTCTCCATCTCCCAGTTTCACCACCGCCTCCCCGTTCCGCGTCTCATAGGGCAGGTTCGAAGTCCCATGGTGGTCAAGAGTCTCTTGGTTCCTCCTTTGATTCAGATCGCCGTGCCGGTTGGGCATTTGTGGACGCCACGTTTGGCGTGGATTCGCTGCTCTCGCTAGCCGGCAACAGCGATGTTGATGACCGGGTTGATGTCATTGGACAGCACTGGGACGTCATCGTTCGAACTCTGACCAGCCTTCAGTTCCTCGTTCAGGACAAGATCATGGGCCTGTTCAAAGCCGCTGAGCAGGCAACCCCGCAGTCGCAGCCCCCGAGCCGTAATCATGGATCTACCAGAAGCTCGCACCGAGAACCAATCATGCCCCCCCGTCGTATGCTTAAGTTGCAGCCGTTTGCACTGTTGTTTGACCCAGATGTCAAAGCTGCTGTCGACGTAGCTGCTGATCGGGTAGTCCGCGGAATGAAGGTTCCCCGGGTCATCACTGGTCAAGGTAGATGGGGTGTTTGGCGTGAAGAAGCCCGATGGCTTGGACGCTGGGCGGGTGGAAGGGAGCAAAACTTCTTCCTCTTCAACCTGCTTACCGCATTCTTGGGCACGCACACGGAATGGCTGAACATCCTTGGACCGAAATCCTATCGAACCAAGTATCGGGAGCAACAGCGCAACATTGCCGGCGAAGACATCACGATCGCAAACCGGACCATCATAATATCAGCAGATAAGATGGCTGCGAGGCGCCTGATCTTCCTACTGTCCAATTTCCTCCCAGCTTCGAGCCATGGTCTTTTGGAAGGAGCATCCCCGATGCGCCCCAGCACTTCAACATCGTTACGAGGGTATTCCCAGTCACCCCCGAATACATCGGGAATGGCGAGGCAGCAATCCCTCAGGCGCACAATCAACCGAAAGGGGCACAAGAGCTATCCAAACATGAGCGCTCTGAATGGTGCGAAGGGTAGCAATCCCGACTTGCCCGAAGAGAAGGCAGAGGAGAAGGAGGAAAAACGACCCCCATCCAGGTCTGCACCTCACTCTAGGCGACCGTCTCAAGTCCATTCCATCAGGTCGATAAACGCTACCGGTCTCGCGATTCCATCCATGGTCGAGGACCCAGCAATTCGTAAGGGAAGCACGACTACCACATCCACCGTTACCCCTGAAACAGCGGTTCCTGTCGCCCACTTCGCTGTTCATCGCCACAACTCAGGTTCAACATCTTCTAATGAGGCACGCCCACCGAGCAGTGGCAGCCTCGCCTCAGTCAACCTGAGGCATACCTTGCACCGTACTGGAAGCAGCACCGCCAGTGCCGGCACTGATACCTCGAGCAGAAAATGGGGCAGCTTCATGAGCTTCTGGAACGGCAGTGGACGCCGCGAATCCTCGACTGATCACAGCGACATCTTGCAGTCTACTGACGACGGCGTTGGCATGGGAGGATTCGGCTATCGCCGGACCCACAATCACTCCGCAAGCAAGCTTGAGCACATGGTCCAAGAGCTTCAAGTCGATGATTTCGACCAAGCAGACTCGGAGGATTATGAAGCAGCTGCCAATGTGGAGCACAGCCCTATGTCTCCTGGTGCACCGCACAGCGCGGCGCGCGCCATCCCTGCTCGCTCTAAGCATCTTGATTCTCCGTTGAAACTTTCGGTCAACGAGAACGACGGTGTCATTGACGTAGACATTGCTCTTCCCGGCTTCGGCTCGCCAGTTCAATCTCCACTTCTTCCTGGTCTCGGCAATTCCGTGGGTAGCCTTGAAGGCTCGACGTTTGGGCCGTCCTTCTGCTCGTCGGCTATATCTTTGGAGAGCTCACCTCCCGTCAACGTCGCTGGCTGGCTTGCACGCTACCACCAGGACTTTGCCCTCCAAGGTGTCCAACCGTATTCGGAGCTAGAGAATGACGTGCGGAAGTCAATGAGTGCTGAGCCCACTCCCGTTGCTGCTGTTTCAACTCCAAGCATGGAAGGTGGCCCGCAGGAAAAGTGGGTGCACGTTTGCACCGCACTCATTGCTGATGCAAGGACGTTCACGATCAAGAGGCTCCGTCTCGAGCGTAAGGTTCGGTTGATTCCTATCCCGAGTCAGCCAGCCGTCACTCCCGGGATTACTGCGCAGACGCCTGGTCCGCAAAGCTTGCCGAAGAGTCAGTATGGCAACCCATACACAAACGGGTCGACTCTTATGCCAGCGGTTCCCATGACGGAATTGCGTCTTGAAGAGAAGTTTCTGGAAGAAACAGTCATGGATCTTGACGAGACACTGGCCGATGCTTTGGAAAAGGGAATCTCGTCCAGCGGTGTCAGCACCCCTGCTCTCACGTCGAGCACAGCTTCCATCCAGCCCGCAACTGCTACCCCAACCCAGCGCACCTCTCAAATCCAGGACAAGAACCACACGCCGCAGAGGAAGTCTCGTCTCCAGGAGCAAGATGAAGACGAAGACGTCAGCCCAAAGAAGCAACTGCCTGCGCCATCATCTGTCGCCACCTCCACTACCGTCTCCACCACTGCGTCCGCATCCTCTTCCCGCTCTTCCTCCCGCCGCGGCCGCAACAATGGCGGTCGCAATAACCACCAGCAAGAGCAGAGCGACGCTGCGAGCACCATCACATCGCTCGAAACGCTGCCGCCGCGCGGCAACCAGGAATGCAAATCTCTGGTCCTCGGCGCCCTCGACCAAATCGTGCGCAGCGTCGCGGCGGAGCGTACCGGCAACTTCATGCCCTCGCGGGTCGGAAAGGACGACAGCTCAACGAATCGCACCCCGAAGCAGAGCAAGCGCCGTGCCACCAAGAGCTCGGCTGCGGAGAGCTTGCACAAGGAGAGCACGCTGCGCGAGGGCATCAGGAGGTGGTTGGCGCAGGTCGAAGATGGGAATTGATGATGATGATGAACAGAAGATTGGTTTTTGGACGGTCTTGTGGCAAGACCGTCTGTGTACTACTATGACTTTTTGCTCTTGTTCTTCTTCCTCTGATTCCTCCCGCTTCCCTTTCTTTCTTCCTTTCACTATACACTGTGTTTTTATGTACGAAATTTGGCTGGCGGGCTTTGCGGGACCGCTGCTGCGTTTAAGCGGGCGTAGGGATCATTTTATATTCCTTCGATTCTCTCTTTTTTTTTCCTCATTTTCCTTCCCTTTCTCATGGCAGGTTGCTGTGGGAGAAGGGAGGTTTATGTGATTGCTCTTTTTTTTGTACCTCACTTGGTTGGTAATGCTGCTGCTTCTTTCGTTTTTTATTACATATCATTTGGGCTTGGGCATTTACGTCATCAGATACTCCCATGAGTTTTTATACTCTTAACCCTTACTGGCATAGATTTGGGTGGGCCTTTTTTTTTCTCTCCCTTCTTAGCTTGGGATATTTAGGGGGTGGTGATGGATGGCATGGAAAAGACGATTAAACGGATGGGACGAAAGGGTGGGATTATTCTGATAGCGATGGAGTACGGGTTTAGTTGGGGCTTGTGGGAGGGGGGAGTGTATCGAATGTTTTGAGTGGGTTGATATGATATGGAATGGATGTGATGATTATTGGTTCAATTCGTTCGATTCTGCGTGTGTATGTGTCTGCATGTGTTTCTGCATGTGGTTGATTACTTGCATTGCGTTTCGATCGCGCGCATGGCTCGATGGACCATACACGTGGCTCGTAAGCCCTCGAATCGAACAATTTCTGGGAATGTAAATCAGTTGGACTGAGATCCGAGGGGAAGGTTGAAAGAATAGACAGGCAAAATATGGTGGTTAATGGTGTTGTTGTTGTCCCCCCTCCTTCCCCTCTCTCCCTCCTCGTCTCGAGGGTCTACGGTATAGCGGGGTATAACAAACCACCATTCAACTACATATTGAAGTCCCCTTTTTGGCCATTCGAGGCACACGAACAACATAACAATATATAATTGTTCACACATATTTCAGATTCCTTGGTCATCATCACATGCCACAGCCATGGTTCTCCTACCAGCTTGCAACCTCCTCCGCGGCAAGACGGCCATCGTCACGGGCGGCGTCACGGGCATCGGGCGCGCCATCACGCTCGCCTACCTGCGGCAGGGCGCCAACGTGGTCGTCGGCCATCTGGGGCTCAAGAGCGATGAGGGGCATAAAGATAGTTTGGTGGAAGAGGCGGGGAGATTGAAGGAGCAGCAGGTTTCTGGTAATGCTACTGTTGGCGAAATGGTCACGCTGGCGGGGGACGTTGCAGAGCCGGAGACGGGAGAGAGGTTAGTCAAGAAGGCGGTGGAGAGGTGGGGTGGGCTGGATGTTTGCGTTGCGAATGCGGGTGTGTTCAAGCCGAGGGGGTTTTTGGAGTGAGTGATGATATGAGTATGGTGTCGTTTTCTTTTACTGACAATATTATCCCAGGATCGACCAGGACCTCTACCAGCAGTCGATGCGCGTCAACGTCGACGGCACCTTCCACACGTGCCAGGCGGCGGCGCGGCAGATGGTGGCGCAGGGCCGCGGCGGCAGCATCATCGCAACGTCGTCGGTCAGCGCGTTGGTTGGTGGCGGCATGCAGGTGCACTACACGCCGACCAAGGCCGCCGTGCTGTCGATGATGCAGAGCATGGCCATCGCGCTAGGAAAACACAAGATCCGCTGCAACGCGTTGTTGCCGGGCACCATCGACACGCAGCTGGCCGACCACGACATGAAGAACCCCGAGAAGAAGGCGTACTTGGAGAAGCGCGTGCCGCTGGGCAGGGTGGGACGTCCAGAGGAGATGGCTGGGCCGGCGGTGTTTTTGGCGTGTGAGGATTTTAGCAGTTATGTGAATGGGTCTGGGTTGCTTGCGGATGGAGGAATGTTTGTAAATTTGCAGTGATGGAGTATAAATGCAGGCGCTGGGAATACACCCGGCGAAGCGCCGCCGCCGCCGCGTGGGCCAGGCAGCTTTTGGACTCCCGAATCGCGTCACCCAACAACACCGTCTCGGTCACCACAGTCAGGACCTTCGCCCCCATCATGACTGACACCGCCGCAGAGCGCCGAGCTCGCCGAGCCCGCACCCGCAAGCCGCGTGGCCGAGGTCTGAGGACCCGTACAGGCTGGTGAGCACACTGAATTTTGCCTGAAGAAGCGACGTGACTCGCCCGAATCTGATCATCATCCACCTGCAGCATCACCTGTCGAAAGCGGCACGTTAAGTGCGACGAGGGTACTCCTGTGTGCGGCCCTTGCGCCAAAAGAGGCCATGAGTGTATATATGGAGAGCCCACTCCCGCCCGTCCTCGATTGGAACGCCCGCCGTCTGTTCCCGTCGAAGAAGAGGCCGACAAACCCCCAGCCCAGTCTCCTCCAGAAGCGCCGCCTGAAGACAGTTGTTATGACATTACCATTCCTGAAATCTCCCAGCACGATCTAGATGAAGCGAGCAACTTTCAAGCTGTTGCTACTAGTGGCGAATCGCCTGGCAGCTCGGTCGGTTCTCGACCCGCTGTTAGCACCGCTACCGCTGGCTGGTTCGGCTTGCTGCTCGATGATGCTGCCCTTGACTTGGAGAGCAGCGCCGCTTCTCTCCTAGACCCTGAGCTGCTGCTCGGTCATGACCCGGATTCTATTTCACAGCACCTGCCACTCCTCTCTCCCTCTCAGCAAAACACCATTACCGAGCACAGCCTGTGGCAATGCTCTGAGCGGATTCAGCTCTCGGCTAACGAGTGCCTGCTCTTTGAAAACTTTGTTCGGCGACTTGGTCGGTGGCTTGACCTGTTCGATCAGGAAGATCATTTCTCCACCCTCGTGCCTCGGCTTGCCGTAAGTCTCGCGGCCTACTGCTGCGCTGTCGCCGTTTTGCTCACGGATTGCCGCTGTAGATGTATAATACTGGCCTCATGAATGCCATCCTGGCTCTGTCTGTCCGACACATTTCCTTAAATCCACACGTCGCGCCGGATATATGCCATGAAAGAGCAGATGCGCTCAAGTATTACTACGAAACGCTCCATTACTTGCACAAAGCAATGCAGTTCGACAGCTTCAAAACTAGTCTGGAGCTGCTAGCAACCTCACTCATCGTCTCTACCTACGAGATGCTCGACGGCTCACGTCGAGACTGGGAACGCCACTTGAAGGGCGTTTTCTGGATCCAACGCTCCCAGAACATTCACGGAGACTCCGGAGGCCTGAAGCAAGCCAACTGGTGGGCTTGGCTATGCCAGGACGTCTGGGCTGCCTTTCGAGAGAAGCGCAAGGTATTCAGCTTCTGGAAGCACCCCAGGACCTTCGACCAGCTCAACGAACATGAGCTCGCTTGCCGTGCCGTCTTCATCTTCGCCAAGGCTGTCAACTATTGTTCTAAAGAAGAGACGGAGGCGGACAAGGATTCCATTCAGGGGAGGATCGCGAGAGCGGACGCGTTGACGAGGATGTTGGACGAGTGGCAGGGCTTGCTTACCGTTAAATTCTCTCCGTTGCCCATCGCGAGTGGTTCTGAGTCTGAGGTTTTCCCGCCTATTTGGATACATCCTTCCTGTTTTGGTAGAGACCCTCAACACCGACGACTGGTTCAAAGTTGTGCTGATCTTGCTTGTAGCTGTGGCTGTGCAACTGACCAATGCTGCCCGTATATTGATAAATCTCCACCGACCGTTTCTTGGGGGATTAAACGAATACGTACAAAAGCAGAAAGAGATGACGAAATGTGCCGAAACCATATGCGGTATCGCTAGGCCCTTAACTGATGATGCCGCCTCGTTCATGTCATCTCAATGTCTTTATATCGGTATGGAGACTTCCTAGCCCCGCAAGTTTCTCCCCTTAATGCTAACGAAACCCTCAGCTGGGTTGGTCGTACAAGATGCAAAGCAACAGGAGGTCATTCTCGACCTTATCAACGCATGCCGACTCCGCACCGGCTGGCCGATCAAGCCACTCGGAGACGAACTTCAAGCTCTCTGGAGAAATCCTTGATCTACTATTTACTAAATTCTCTCTATGCCTTCCCGGCCGAGCCACAATGCCTCATCCATTCCGCAGTGAGCGAGATGACCTTCTCCGTACCTTGCTCCATCAAAACCGTCTGCGGAACCTTGCCCGCCGTAGCCGCCAGATGATCGAGGTAGTCGTCCAGCACCAGCTTGTTGACGTTGATCTTGGAGACGCCCGCTGCAACAAGTTGCTGCACCAACTCGGGCTTGAAGCCGTTGGTGCCGTGCAGCGCTATCCGAACCTTGCCCTGCACTGCAGCTACCAGGTCGTTCATTCTGTTGGAATTAAGGTCAGCAATCATTTCCTCTTCTCCCGTACCAGACGGAGCACGTGACTGGTTCGGTTTTGGGTGCATTTCTTCCCCCCAAACTCGACTCACCTCTGAAAATCCAGCTGCGGGCCCGCGGGCCCGTACTCGCCATGAATATTCCCAATCGCGGGCGCCAGCACATCGACGCCCGTCGCAACGAAATCATGCGCCTCCTCAACCGTCGTCTTGCTCCCCTCGAGGCCCTCGGTGTCCATAACACCATCCTCACCACCTTCAATCCTGCCGGGCTCGGCCTCCGTCGCGATCTTCCGCGCGTGGCAGTACGCGACCAATTCGCGCGTCTTGGCCAGGTTCTCCTCTTTCTCGAAGTGCGACATGTCGACCATGATGCTGTCGAACGGCAGCGTGTCGGCCGCGCGCCGTATCAGCGCCTCGTCCTGCGCGTGGTCCAGGTGGATCGAGATGGGCACCGTCGCGTGGTGCTTGATCGCGTCCGCCGCCGCGCGGATCAAAAGCCCGTCGGACCAGGTTATGGCCCACGGGAAGAATTGGAGGATCAGCGGGGAACGCGTTTGGTTGGCGGCGCGGATGAGGCCGAGGATTTGCTCGACGTTGTAGGCGATGGCGGCGAGGACGCCGTACCGGCCCGCCTCGGCGGCGCGGAGGATTTGGAGGTGTGGGTTGGTGTCTTTCCAGGATGCCATTTTTTTTTCTTGTTTATGTGATGGATGGGGAGTTGGAGATTTTTTTTGAAAGGATGGGGAAGACTTGAGGATGATGAAGAAGAAGACTTAAGAGAGAAATCAAGATGTGGTGGTGGAAAGGAGAGGTCGTCGGGGTTTTGTTGGTGAAGAGCAATTATGGGACCTCGACACGAGTTGGAGTCGTTTCGCCATGACTGAGCTTTGGTTTTTATCACGAGATGTCTACCGTACCCTCCCCACGCAAAAGTATACACTAAGTGCGGGGCGGGACTGGTGAGGGATGGAGGTGTGGGGCGAGATCGGAATCGCCCGCAGCGCCATTGGCAGACGACCGGGTGCGGGTGCCCCGTGCCGGAGGCCTGCTCCCTCGTTACGAGGCACGAGTCCCTCCAACCATCCAACCTCCGCATCATCAGCCACGCTCTCCAGGTTGTGGGGCACCCCGCATTATGAAGGGCTGTATATTTATTTGGTATTTTCCAGGATGGAGTGCACGAGTGATAAGATTGCATTCCACCTGTTTTCAATCTCATCATCATCACCCACGTGCTGTTGAAATATCCACACGCCACCATGTCTGCCGCTACCAAACCCGAGACTAAGATACAACTGGCCGGCAAGGTTATTGCAAGTGAGTCTTGACCAATGAATTATCACCACCACTGCCATCATCATCACCACTCCAAACCTTCACCCCACCCCCATTTACAGCCTCCCCTTAACACCACCAAAAAACAGTCACCGGCGCCCACCGCGGCATCGGCCTCGGCATCGCCGAGAGCTGCCTGGACAACGGCGCCGCGCGCGTCTACTCGCTCGACATCGCCGATGCCCCCGGCGACGAGTTCGCCGCCCTGGCCAAGCGCTACCCGGACCGCCTCTTCGCCGTCCAGGCCGACGTGACCAAGGAATCCACCGTCACCGAGGCCGTCGACCGCATCGTCGCCGAGGCTGGCGCACTGCACGGCATGGTCGTGAACGCCGGCCGCACCAAGCACAAGGCTGCGCTCGACTTCACTGAGGAGGAGATCATGGGGCTGTTTTCGATTAATGTGAGTTTTTCATTCCTTTTTTTTTTTTTTTTTGAGGGGTGGTGGAATTCCTTCAAGAGTGATCGTGATAAACTGACACCCGCAACAACAGCTTTTCGGAGCCTTCTACTGCGCCAGAGTAGCCGCTCGCACCTTCATCAAGCTCGGCATCAAGGGCTCCATCGTCTTCACCGCATCCATGGCCTCCTACCGTCCCAACAAGGTAACCACCCTCTTCCCCCTCCCTCCCCCCTCCCCCTCCAAACCCTCTCCCGACTGACATCCCCCATCCAGCGCGTCCCCTCCGCCCCCTACGGCGCAACCAAGGCCGGCGTGCGCAACATGACGCACACGCTGGCCATGGAGTGGGCCAAGCACGGCATCCGCGTCAACTCGGTGTCCCCCGGCCTCGTCAACACGGCCATGACCTACTGGGTGCCCCAGCAGCCCGACTGGGACAAGCAGCTCGAGTACTACGGCGGCATGCCGCGCCTGGCAGAGGTGCAGGAGCTCGGCGGCGCCTACGTGTATTTGCTCAGTGATGCTGCGAGTTATACCACGAGTATCGATATCCCCGTTAATGGCGTTATTGGGAGTGAGTTTTTCCCCGACCCTTTGTGAAGTTTGTGCATGATGGCTGACGTTCGTGTGTGTAGTTTGTTAAAGTTGTGCTGTCGAAAATTGTGGTCAAAAGGGGTTCGAGCATGTGCAATGGACCTGGCTTGTTGACTTACAGCAAAGGCTTTGGGAAGAAATTTGAAAATAGTAAAAGGGATACCACTATTTCGAAAAGTTCATGAAGTTATTCTCAATCCCTTCTGTTATGTTACTTCTGGACTGTTCTGATAACAAACTACTCTCTTCTCCATCTATCCCGAGAAGTGTCTACATGCTACAAAGCCCCATTCACTTAGCAACATCCTATGCTCCGCTTACCTGATCTGACACAAAGATTTTATAGCTCCGGAAGCAACTACGACAGATCAGCCCCAGCCATATAAGTTCACAAACAACCCCATTTCCGAACAACCAGCGACACGCACCTCCTCACCACCACGAAAACCCCCCACACCTACGACCCCATCGTCACCCACCTCCCATCCACCCTCCTCCCCACCTTATCCAACAACTCCCTACTCCCCACCACCCCCTCAAACGCCCTCCTCCTCTCCTCCGGCGTCATCGCCACAAACGCCGCCAACCCGTACATCCCACCACCTGCTCCACCTCCCTCACCACCACCCTCCTCTCTCTCCCCCTTCCTCTTCCCCAACCTCGCCAACACCACCTGCGCAGCAAACGCATTCAACCCCGCCTTCCGCAAAAACAACTCCCACGTCCCCTCCTCCTCCTTCAGCACCTCATCGTCGTCACCTGCGTCTTCCCTTTTCCATCCAGCTCCGACCAGCTCCTCCGACGTCCGCCCGTACGCTGCCATGGCGCCGGCGATCCATCGCGCTAGGTCCGCCTCGCTGCCGCCCGGCACGTAGGTGATAGTAACCTGTCCGCGCAGGCTCGCGGCAGCGAAGCCGTGCAGGGAGGCGAGAGCGTCGCAGTCGCGGGCGTCGGGGGCGGCGGCGGCGGTGGTGGTGCTGGAAGGAGGAGCAGCCGCTGCTGCGCTGACGAGGACGATGAGATGCGGGAATTTGGCGGCGCATTGGGCGAGTTCGGTTTGGAAGCCGGCGGTAGCAGCCTGTTGGCCGGGGAGGGGCCGTTGCTTGATGCGCTGGAGGGTGGTGAGGAGGAGGCCGGTTGATGGGGAGAGGATGAGGTCGGGTTCGGCGGATGGTGGCGGGCCGTGGGAGGAGGTGGTTGATGAGAGGTGGGGCTTGGTGTAGTCGCGTTCGACGAGGAAGGCGGCTGGGTAGAGCTTTTGGATCGTGCGGACCAGTTCTCGGCGGCGGGTGAGGAGGGAGGATGAGACGATGAACGGTTTGCGTGGAAGCTCGTTGGGGATTGGAGGAGCTGGGAATGGTGGAGGAGGTTGATCGGTTCGAATTTCCTGTTTTGTGGCATCCGGTATGGTGGCCTTGTCTTTGAAGGATTTCTGCTGTTCTTCTTTGCCAGAGTGTTGCGCTTTTGGCTGTTGTTCCACACTCATAACTCCGCTGCTCACTTTTATAAACTGATCCAGTGATTTAGACGTCGAGAACATTCCGCCAAACATGAAACTGCTTTCTTGTGCGGCAGGTGTATGAGCAGTATCTTCATTCACCCTCTTTTTCTTTTGGGGCTGATAGATGGCATTTTCCTTTGACACAGATTCATGCGTTTGATAAGTAGAATCTTCCAAGTCGTCCGCGATCTCGAGCTTTCTCTTTTGCAACAGTGACACGAGATCACCACCAGGCTCAAAGTGCCAAGGTGAAATTTCCTCCACTTCATCATCAGGTTGATCGAGAATGCGTAGTCCCTCGAGCTTCCAGGCCAAAGAGCCGCTGTCGATAATGTCCACATCTGCCGATGATGAGCTTCCCATCACTTGGTCCAGAGCTGCGTCATATTGTATCGTCTCTTTCACAGCCTCCTTGGAGATGTTTCTCGGAAAAGCCCACCAGGTCAACTCCATGTCTTGTTTCTTTGATTCAGGCCACTTCTGAGCAAGCCTCAGGTCTTCGCTCGCACAGCGGGACAGAAGTCTGGCTTGTGCCTGCAGTTCAGTCGAAATTCCGTCTTTCTTTAGTGATGCTCTCAAGCCGAGAGCATTCCATGGCGCAACCGGATCTTCGAAATCCAGGTGAGGAACTTCCACACGCTTGGTAGTGTCTGCTTCCTGTAATTGCTCGTTCTCGGCTCTCCACTCAGCCTTCTTCGCAATTGGACCAATGTCTTCTTCGAAAAAGGCGTCAAAGTCGTTCTCAGAATCAAGCACACTATTGCCACTCTCGTACTTGGACGGAGTCTCTGCTGGGTACGTGATGTATTCGAGCATATCATCCGGAAATGAAACCGATTTCGCGTCTTTGGCGGGTGACCGAACCGCCGACGGGAAGCTCTGAGGAGGCGTAAGCGGTACTTCGACCTTGAGCTCTACCGCGCGGCGCCTTGACTTGGGCAAAGGCGCGAGTTCGTCAACCTCGAGATCTCCAGAATCGCCCCACAACATAGGATCTTCCACGTAGGATCTGAGACCTGGTACATCACTTGTCTCGAAACCATCTTCCTTGAAAATCTTTCCCTCCAAGGATTCGGCCTCAGCAGCGATAGAGTCGGTAGTACCCGAAAGTAACTGGAGCTGTCCGGTAGGTGATGACGACGCTGTATCAGGAACATGAGTGAACTTAGGGCTTAGCGGAAGCAGCGGTGGAGTAACGGGCTGGACAGCTAAGCGTTTGGCAGGTGCAGGCTCCGGGGTGTCCGGCCTAGCGGGCTGTTTTGCCACGGACTGGAGATAAAGAAGTGCCTGCTTCTGAACCTCAATCCTGTCAGATTCGATCTCGCGGTAGAATTGTTCCGAGAAGCCATGACACTGCGAGGGCCAAGAGAGCCCTTCGTCCTTCTCGTCGTCCGTAAGCTCTATAGGAAGTTTTACGTCCGTCAGGCGGAGATTGCCACGTTTCCTAAATCGAATGGAGTCAAGTTCATGATCGGTGTTCAGTAAGGGTGTTTCGACTTTCAAATGCCGTAGGAGGCGAGGATTGCTGTAAGTTTCTGTTACTGGGTGATGGTTCTGAAGCGCCGATACTGTCTTTAGTACATTCACGGCTGCAGCGTCTATCTCAAGACGCTCCGAAGTGTCAGGCGCTTCATTGGGCTGGAACCGCGAACAACCGGGAGGATCCGTCAGGTCTTGCAGCAGGAAGATAGGTGCCTGCGGAAGATATCGCGGGTCGAGTGGATCGCTGTGCGCGTAATCTCTGCAGATGCGGTGAAAGCGAGCGTATTCAAGGACGGACGCGTCTGGATCAAGTGTCTGGTCACTGGAGTTGTGCCTCACTGCCGCCATCATAGGAGCAAGAGCCCGAAGGCCACTCAACTCGACTTCGATGCTGTTTCGGTCAGTGCAAAGGTGTTAAATTGGATGCGTGAAGAAAATTTGAAGAGGTTGCGAGTTGAACGCGGACGCGACGCGTCAAGGCTAGTAAGACCCTGGATCCGCGTTGTCACATGAGGCAGTCACCCATTTTTTCACTCTAAAGGAAGCTGCGAAAACACTTCTTTCGTAAACCAACAAATTCTACTGGTATTCGATGTTCTAACCCAAATCATTCCCAAAACTCTCCAGCTATCCAAAACTGGACTACACATGCATCCTAAACAAGTTGGTATTGTATGCCCGATCCACAACCCATCGCTAAAACGCCCGCTAAACGCATGATTCGAAGGAAATATAACGCCGTAAAAGCTTCACGGTCGAAGAGAGCCGAAGCATGCTTAGTCGTTGTAGTTGACGATACCGGCGCCGTCCTTGTTGACCTGCGGCAGGCCGTACTTCTCGTTGAGCTCCTCCTCCTGCGACTTGCCTGCCTCGCTGAAGTAAGGGCGCTCGGCCTGGCAGCAGACGCGCACGGCGTGGCGGCGGTGGGGCACGAAGCCGTAGGTGGCCGTGTGGTTGGTAACGCGGTTGTCCCAGAAGGCGACGTCGTTCTTGCCCCACTGGAAGCGGACGTGGCCCTCCTGCGTCGTGGCGATGATCTCGTTGAGGTAGGCGATGATGTGGTCGCTCTCGATCTTGGGCACGCCGACGATCTTGGTCACGAAACCCGGGTTGAAGAACAGCGACTTCCACCCCGTCACCGGGTGCACGCGGATGAGCGGGTGCTCGGTGACGACGGGGTCGCGGCGCACGGTGCGGCCCATCTGCGTCGAGCCGTCGGCCTGCATCTGGGCCGAGTGGAGAGCGGTCAGGCTCTCAAGGTACTTCTGCATGTATGGCGACATGGCGTCATAGGCAGCGTACTGGGAGGACCAGAGGGTGTCGCCACCACCACCGCGGCCGGGGCCAGTGAGAAGCTTCAATGAGGTGTAAGAGGGAGGCTGGACCTCGTAAGTGACCTATGGAGCATTAGTAAGTAATGATTGATAAGACGGGCTCGGGGTGAGATGTGCTTACATCCGAGTGCCAAAGGAAGGTGGGAGTGAACAGCGAACGGAGGTCCTTGTTGCCCTCGGTAAATATGACATGAACATCCTCGAGACCCTCGCGACGCGGGACCGAAGTGGTGGCGTGCTTGTGCAGTTGGCCGAAGTAGGCACCAAGCTCACGCTGGGCGTCAATGTCGAGGTCATCTTGGTTGCGGAAGAAGACGACACCACGGACGGCGATGAGACGAGCGAGGTCGTTCTTCTGGGCGTCGGTGAGTTGTGCGAGCTTAACGCCGTGGATCTCGGTGCCAATCTTGGGGTTGTAGTCGAAGACGTCGGTGGCGGCATCCAAGAGGTTGCGGAAGTTGGGGTCGCCCTTCAAGCCCTTGTCCTCGTAGGGAATGGGACCAAGAGCGGGCCACTTGATGTCGGGGAAGCGAGGCTTGAGGTCGTCGTGCTCGTAGTTCTCGTGAGTCTCGACGGGGACGCGGCCGGGCTCGTAGTTGAGAGTGGACGGGGACTTGGCGGTCTTGAGGTCCTTGGTAACAGGAACAGTCACCTCAGTGGTAACGCCCTCCTGGAGGTATGGTGCCATTGTGAACAAAGTTTTGTGGCTGAATACAAAGAGGTAAGGACTGATGGCTGAAGTGGAGTCTGATGGGGATTCTGGAAAACGGGAGCGAAGAAGCTCGAGATATATAGGCCGGCGGACGGACGTGGAGCGACACGGACGGATGAGCCTGAGCCTTCCCGATAGCGGTGACTGTTGGTCTCATCATCAGCTGTGCGTAAGACCTGGCAGGTGCAACCTGGGTCTTTGATGAGGTGCTGGCCCTCGCGGATCGCGCAAGCCATCACAAAGCCATTACCCACATACGCTAAGAACGCATTGGTCACTTTGATTACTCGATCAGGGCATGAATCACGGGGAAGGGCCGTTACGCATCATATTTTTGCCCCGATGTCGTCGCTGCGGTACGGGAGGATGGTGCTAGCCGCGCGCTACCCCGGATCAGCGCGGGTTGAGGCTGCCCACGGCATCGCGACGGTGCCTGTGAGGATGCATGCGGCAGACGGGCACGCGATGCATCGAGTCTTGGGATGTGCTTGTAAGGCTGCCACCGCGCTGCAGGGACGGTGTTCGAGAAGCGCGGGCGAAGCGTCAGACGTCGGGGTGGACCACGCATCCCCCAGAGCGTGGCCGAAATTCGGCTCAAAGAGGCAACACTGTTCCTAGCCGAGCACGCCATCGATCTCAAGAATCACGAACATCCGTGCTTCTGAGCCTCTTCGACGCCCTCTGCGAGCTGACGCCAGCGGAGCTCCCGCCCGCTCCCAGCCTGAAACTTCCATCTCTCGCTTGATCTGCGCAAGCCCCTGGTGATCGCTGCCCTACGCCTACCCGGCGCCCCGGACTGGGCAGCACTTACTTTAAACGTTACAATCCCCAGGCCGCGCACCACGACGCGACGGCCTTTGCGACATTCCGATCTGCCAGCAAAACCATCCTTCGACCTCTACCGCCAACGCTACGCGTCTACCCGCCACCCGCGCCGCCCCAAGCTCTCTCATTTGTCGTCATGCCCCGTCACAGCCTCGCGGTCCGCGTATTCTCCCTGGAACTTTCCTGTTCGGCGCTGCGTATGTGGGGCTGAGGCCTTGAAGCAAGGCGGGTGCTCGTCCTGTCAACCGTCGAGTGTGGGGAGATGAAGACGCGTGGACCGCCTGTCCATTGCTTTCCCCCTGAGGCCTTACTGCCATCTCGATCATTCGATTCAGGGGAGAGATGTCTGCCTTCCCACCGGAATCCTCTCTGAAATCTCACCTGAGCTGTGAATGCTTTGGGTCTGTTTCGGTTGGAATCTATCGATGGCGTCTTTCTGAGTGCGAATGGCGGCATTGTTATACTACTATTTCCCCCGCATACTGCCAAATATAACCTACAGCTACCAAGCACGCCATAAGGCTTAGCTGCGAGGCTGGTAAGCTGTGTGAACCTTATCTGGCGGTTGCCGAGGCTGTCTCAGCTCCATCGCTTCCTTCCGCCCCCAATCCTCAGCCAACTGTCTTGTAAGGTTTGTTGGAGTTGGCGACGTCTTTTCCGTCGGCTTCCGGTACTACTCCGACGTCCAGCCCTTTTGTACTCGGCGGGGGCAGCTGCACTGTCAGCAAGCATTTAGCAACGGCGCTGGTTTCACTCTAAAAATGCGGATTGATGCTGTGTTGGTGGAATCCAACATGCATGGAATGGGTTACCAAAATCAGCTACTGTTAGGGCAACAGCCTCAACAACGGCAAGAGGAAGTATGGTGAGACAGCTGTTCCTCGCTCAAACTATCCTGTTACTTCTATTGCTTTCCTTCTGTCAAGAGCACGGGAAAGTAGCCGTGTGTATGAGGTGTGGTACGCTTCTCAGCGGCCCGGCGGCCCGGCGGCTTCCATAAAAGCGGTGCCTTTGCTCACCGTCTTTCAATTTTGGGTGACCAATTTCAACCAAGACCCCAAGTTCCTTGCCTCAATCCTCTACCTCCATGTGCAGACTGGCATCGATCTCCATGGAATCTACCGGAAAGATGGAGACACACAGGCTCTTCGAGCTAAGTGGAGGACCTTCGTTAGAAGCAGCAGACTGGCATTATAATAGCATTACCTCGAGTTCTTCGAACAGACTAGTACATGTGTTTGGTGAGGTGCTCCGTGACATGTTCGGAATCGATAAAGTAAAAAGAGCAACAAAGAGTATATTCTATACGAAACCTAAGCTTTTGAGAAAGCCTATGAACGGTCTAAATAATGGAGCTGTTAAATACCGCCACCAGAGAAGAAAGTGTGTAGTGATCCAGGAGCGGTGAAAGTCGTGTCGTCAACTAAGAAGACCCCAAGCCCTCTGCCCCAAACGCAGACCCAAAGAACGACCAATCGCCCGCTGCTGCTCCTTGCGGCCTTCGATGTTCATTTGCACCCTCTTGCCATCCCTCATCACGCTGTGCGTACCCTTGTCTGCGGACTCTCGGCCAATGACAAGGCAGTGCGAGCCAATGGGTCTAAAGACCGCACTAGAGGCGGGCGCAGCTGCAGAAGGGGAACTTCCTTCTCAGCAGCAGTCTTAGCAGCAGAAGCAGATTCCTCCTCGCGAGCCTTGGCAGGCTGCTCACCCAGCTGCTAAGGCGCTCGGCGGGCTACTTGCGCCTTCCTGACCGTCTTCCTGCGCTCCGCTTGGACTTGGGCATAGTGGTTGCCGGACGGTAAGCGCGTTGTATTTATGTTGCCGATCTCGGAAGAAGAAGAGGCCTGAAAGTTTGTGCTAAATACGAGGTCGAGATGTTCAGTTGTACCAAAGTCGGGGATAGATGAAGTTGGCATCGAATGCATTTGTTTATATATCTGTCGTGTATTCATATCCGGATGGACACTTCAGTTGCCCGTCATTTATTGCCATGCAATGCTTAGAGAATCAACCTCGTATGAATCTACGCAGCTCACGAACTAGTAAGAGTCAGGATAAGATCGAAAGTGGTTAAACTTCTTGCGCTACAATGTTTTGTCTTTTCTGTCGGCCACAAGTCTCCTCGAAATATCGCCTTTATAGGTGTGCCAATGCTGGTATCCGCCGCCACAGCTCCGTTTTTCCTCTCACCTCGTCAATACTTGATCCTGTATTGTCCCCGCTAAAGAATCGAACGCCGCCCAGTAGTAGTTAACCCAGTCCAAAACCAAAATCAAAAGCTGATGACTTGAACCTCTGTCCCCCCTCCACCGTCTACCATCTCCTTCCTCCCCGTCCTCCTCTGAACCCGCCCTGACCACCTCCGTATCCGCCAAACTGGCCCTGCGGACCACCCTGGCCACCGAAACCGCCGCCCTGCTGCGCCTGTTGCGCCGCCGGGCCAGAAGGCGGACCGCCCTGCATGCCGCCCATGCCCTGCATACCCTGCATGAACTGTTCGAAGCTCATCTGCGACGGGTCCATGCCAGACGCCATCATGTGCTGCGCCATCTGCTGCATCATGTTCTCGTCCAGACCAGGCATACCAGGCATACCGCCAGGCATTCCACCATTCGGCGCCTGCTGGCCGCCCTGCTGCTGTTGCTGCTGCTGCTGGGCGGCGGGGCCGGTGGGCGCGCCGGGGACGGGCGGAGCGGCCGACGGCGGGCCCGCGGGGGGCATGCCGGGCATGAGCGGCATGCCGCCGTTGAGCATCATCTCGAACTTGGCCGTCTCGGCCTTCTGGTCCTTGAGCGTGTTGGCCATGTTCTGCTGGCGCAGGCAGTACGTCGTCCACGTGAACTCGTCGAAGCCGTAGTTGAAGTAGTCGGACTGGTCCGCGCCGGGGAGGCGCCAGGGCTTCTCGTGTTCGGCAAGGTCTGCAGTGGGTCAGTCTCCAATTACGCTTTCTCTGTTTGGAGAAGAGGTTCTTACCAGCGTCGACGTCGAGCTCTGTTATGGGCTTTCCTGCGGGCTCGTAGATGGGGGTTGCGTTGACGTCGATATTTGAGGTGCGAACTTCGGGGTAGGCTGAGCCGGGCTTCGAAGGTGCAGAGGGGGCAGCGGCTCCAGCTTTGGTGCCGGTAGTTTGTGCTTGTTGTCCTTTGGCGGCGTCTGCGGGTGCGGCGCGCGATGTGTCCGACTTGAAAGAGGTGTTGAAGCTGGCGCCGCGCTGACTGTGTCTCGTGTCAATGGCGGGCACTCATACATAGGAATGCTCACTGGATACGTACGACGCTGGCTCGGGTGCTGGAGCATCTTTGCTCTCTGTAATAATTTCGATATCCTAATGCAACAAGCCGCATGAGTATGGAAGAAACCTCGACTCGGAAATAATGTGGCGATGCGTACCGAGTCGCTGCTATCCTCCTCTTCCTCTTCTTCGCCTTCCTCAAGTGACTCATCCATCTTCTCGTCCTTTGTAGCTTCATCGCCGTTGGTGGGCTCGTCCTGCTTGACGGCCGGGGTACTGTCGTCGCCGTAGAAATCGTCGTCTTCCTCCATGGTTGCAAGTGGTTGCGTGTCCGGATGTGAGGAGTAAATGCCGTGGAAGAGCGCAGATCGGCGGGCGCGGTTATTCGAGGAGCGCTGTCCTAGTGGAACAGTGAGCGAGGCAGACAGATGGTTGAAGCTGCGGCGGGCGAGGTGGAGCTGTCGGCGCGCGAAGCTTGGACGCCGCAGCTTTTCGCGACAACGCCCGAGCAGCTGACGGCTGCGACAACAACATCAACATACTGCGTCCCCTCACGCCCGCACCCAGTTGCCCAGCTCCCTCAGGTCTCGCCGACTCCCTCGCCGCAGCAGATCCCGACCACCTCCGTCTGTGACGCGTTCTGGGCATTTGGAGCAGCAAAAATGTCGTTTGGAACAGGATTGGGAAAGTCGGGCGGCTTGAGCATCAACACTGGCGGTGGCTCTTCGTTGTTGTAGGTTTGGGATACGACTGCGCATCAATTGTGATACTTGCGCGGCAGTTGCTAACTTGCGCTTTCCTGCAGCGGCAGTTCAACGAGCGCCAGCCAGCCCCAGAGCAGCGGCGGTCTCTTTGGCAGCACCACTTCGACTTCGCAACCCCAGAGCGGCGGCCTTTTCGGCGCATCGACAAACAATGCCACGCCGACAGCTCAAGGCAGCAGTCTCTTCGGAGGCGCCCTTAACAAGCCCGCCACGCCGGCATCCACCACCACGGGCGGTCTCTTTGGCGGAGGCGCTGCAGCAGGATCGACACCCGCCGCGCAACCTCAGACGGGCTCTTCTTTGTTCGGCGGCGCGTTAGGGCAGTCCCAGCAACAAGGCCAGCAGCAACAGCAGCAGCCGCAGCAGCCGCAGCAGAGCGGAGGTCTTTTCGGCAACACTGCCCAGCCAACGCAAACGGCTACGCCGTCTTTATTGTGCGTCCAGCGTCGTGTGTCACAAAGTCGGAATGCTTGGCTAACATCTCGCACAGTGGAAGCAGCACCGCGCAGACCCAAAACAAACCCTCTCTTTTCGGAAACACTACAGTTGCTACACAACCCCAGCAACCTCAGCAACCTTCTCTCTTCGGCGGCTCCGCTATGAACAACACTCAACAGCCGGCTAGCGGCGGCCTGTTTGGCTCTACTCAGAGCGCCAACGCCGGCGCACAAGCAACCGTTCCGGGCGTCCGCATCGACATCAGCAACATCCGTGGATCTACGCGTTTCTCAGACCTTCACGAGGACCTGCAAAAGCAGATCGAACATATGGACACGCTCATCCAGCAACAGATCTCGCACCACGACCAGTGCCAGGCTTTTATTGACGGCCGCCTGAAGGAGAACATTTCATATCTCCCCAACGACGTCGAGTTCGTCAACAGCAAGTGCGAAGCTGTCGAGACCGCCCTGGACAACGATTCGCAGGCCATCGCTCAGCTCAAGCAGACGATCAAGAAGGACGTCGAGAACGCGCGCATCAGCTTCCGCGTGCTTGAAAACCTTAAGCTGCCCACCCAGTTCCATTACGGCGGCTCTATGTGGACGGCGGCTCCCGCTCCTGCCAAGTCTGCTGCGCCGGACGATGAGTCCGCTGATGATGGCAACACCGACCTTGTGTCTTTCTTCGACAGCCAGACCGACGAGATGGGCGACACGCTTAAGCAGCAGGCCCGCCTGCTCACCGAGATTGAGCAGCACCTGCGCACCGTCGAGGCGAACACGATGCAGCAAGCCCAGGAACTCATGGCGCGCCGCGGCGCCGGTACTGCCGAGGAGCACCACGAGAACAGGCTCAGGGAGCTAGCTCTTCTGTTCCAGGAGATCCAGAAGGCAATTCTCAATGAGGCGCAGAAGGTTGGAGACTGCAGGGAGAAGGTCATCGAGGCGACTGTTGGTTCTACGGGAATGGGGAGGTGATTGGTGGACTAGGGCAAGATACTCTGGAGTCTTTCTGTTTGGAAACTAGGGGGCATGGGATGGCGTTTGTCGAAGAGCATGGTCCATTGGTTGAGTACAGAGCCCTGTAAAAAGAGACATAAGGCTGGGATGTGGCACATTGATTTTCCAAAAAGATGAAGAGACGAGGAATTATTAACCCGTTTTACTTTGGAAAAAGATTCATACTCATATTTTAGCAGAGACAAGGCGGCACAGCTACAAGTCTTGTCTTAACGTCGCTTGATCGGTATATTCGCAAACTTTGCCATGACCTCTTCACCAACCTTATCCATGGCACCCGCTCAGGAGTGTCCGGAGATCGCCTTAGGCACATAAAGCTCCTCCAGGAACTTGATCTCCTCGTCCGTCAGCGTCTTCCCATTCACCTTGACCGCCTCATCCAACCTCTCGACGCTACTGAAGCCGACAATGGGAATCGTGCCCTTCTGGACTATCCACGCCAGCGCCACCTGCGACATGGCCCAGCCCTTCTTCTTCGCCAGCTCCTGTACGCGCCCGATGATCTGGTGGTCGACCTCCGTCACGATGTGGAACGGGTGATTCCTCATAGCCTTGGCCCGCTCCGTCTCGGGCGTGTCGAGCGGCCGCGCGAGCAGGCCGCGGAAGAGGGGAGACCACGGGATCAGTCCGACCCCGCTTTCGTGGCAGAAGGGGTTCATTTCACGCTCTTCTTCTCTATTGTCACGGGCTTCGTTAGCATATCGTTCAGGCCTCTTTACATACTAGAGGTTGGAAGAAGAGATATTGATGAAGAAGTAACGGGGAGGTCCCTTACCTATAGCACAAGCTGTAGTGGTTCTGCATGCTAATAAACTTGGTCCAGCCGCGCTTCTCAGCGACGAACTGCATCTTGGCGAACTGGTAGGCCCACATGGAGCTGGCGCCGATGTAGCGCACCTTGCCGCTGCGCACGAGGTCGTGCAGGGCCTCCATGGTCTCCTCGACGGGCACGGTCGGGTCGAAGCGGTGGATCTGCAGCACGTCGATGTACGACGTCTGCAGGCGGCGCAGGCTGGCGTCGACGGCGTTGAAGATGGCGGCGCGCGACAGGCCCCCCTGGTTGACGTAGTCGCGCGTGTCGCGCGCCTGCGTGAAGCGCATCGTGCTGATGGCCGGCGTCTCGCCCACGTAGCCGTAGCATTTTGTCAGCAGCACCAGCTTGCGCCGCGGGATCAGCGCGTGCTTGATGAAGCGCCCGATCAGCTCTTCCGAGACGCCGTTGGAGTAGACGTTGGCTGTGTCCCAGGTGTTGAGGCCGCGGTCGTAGCTGCAGGTGTGGTCAGAGAAGGTATGAGAGGGAGGTTTGGGAGGCGGGAAGACTTACGCTGCTTGCAAGATCTTGAAGACCTCGGCTTCGTCGTCAACGACCCATTGTTGCCAGTCCTTGTGGCCGAGGGACATGGCGCCCAGGATGGGGACTGAGACACGCAGTCCGGAGCTTCCGAGCTGCTTGTAAGTCACTTGGGTAGCATCGATGCTGGCTTGCAGTTCCTTAGGGATGTCGGAGTTAGCCATGGTGCTGAATTCTTTCTGATGGCTTAGTTTGAGGCAATGCTATCTGTTTGACTGCAATGAGGAGCGCGGGAGACGGATGAGATAACTCCATAATCGACGTGGCCCCCACGGCCTTTTGAACTCCTCACAAGACGGCTGAGGAGTTCCCGCACCTCCGAACCTAATTACTGAGATGATGATGTTGTTCGGGGATAGACGGAGTTACTGGACTTATGCAGCTCTGTTACCCAATCAGGAAAGTGGGTGCAGGCGGTCTGCGAAGAATGCACCCCGGCTCTTTCAAGCTGCGTCTCGCGTCATTCCCATGCTGGTGGAACAGCGGGGGCGCGCATTGTTTTAGGTTAATGTGGCCGCGATACCCAAGCGTAATACCTCGGTATCGATGTTGCGCGCGAAATTCTTCTGGCCCCCATTTTCGCGCGGGTCTGCTGCTAGTTTTCTGCGAGTATCAGGGTATGAATGGTATATTATGCGCAGAGCAGGACTCAGAGGCCTTAAGTTAACTAAAGTAATCAACGAGAAAGCCTTTGGTGAGGTCAGGTGCATGCACCAATAATACGTTGAAATAGAAGAACACTTTGATAGTGGAGAAAACGCCAATGCGCAATATGAGCTAGGGATTAGGACACTGGAGAATATACGGGCTTTACGCGTACTAGACTGACTGCACAGTGGTCTCGAAAACGACTTGTCATTATTTTGACTCTAGCTGCAGAATCATGCCGCTAGCTGCCAATGATATGAAGAACATCATGCCCAGTCGTAATGGCGGCCGGGGAAGATAGCGGGTGTTGAAGGCCGGAGCACCGGTCGTATCGCCACGTGCGGCCGCCGAGCGAGACGCGAAGGCAAACGTCACCGTGCTGTCTACTCTTTTCCTCCTTCAACAACCATCCCTCAGGCAGACATTCGACCGCGATCGCCCACACTGAACCAGGACACCTGGCTCAGTAACACCCTCATCCATATCCCATCCGCGAATTTTTATGCACTCAGAGCTCTCTGACGTTATCACCAACGCGTCCACCAACCCCGTCGCGCCCGAATCTGCCACCGTTCCCTCCCAGCATGGCCTCGACTCGTCAGATCGCTTGCTCCCGCTCCGCTCTGGGAGTGCGGCGGGAGCAGACATCGGCGCACCAGACGCGGTGGATGACGCGCTCTTTGGTGCCTATGCGCTCGGTGAGCTCGCTGCCGACGATGACGCTCGATTGAAGAAGCCCAGTCCGCCGCCGCGCAATCGCATCGCCGAGTATGAGAACGCGCTGTCGCCATCGCCTCAGAGGAAGCCCGAGGGCCCCATATTCGAAGTCATCAAGAAAAACCGCAAAGCTGGAGACAAAAGCTCGCCCGTGGCAAAGCTGCCAAATGGTAATTTGCCTCGTTCATGCGCGTGTTCGGCTCGCTGATTACCTCCCAGAAATTCTGACTCACGCACTATCCCATCTGCCTCCAAACGACCTCTCCGCAGTCGCACTGGTGTCGCGTCGCTTTCATTCGCTCGTCACTACACGCCATGCTTGGAGGGTCGCATTTGCACGCTACTTTCCTGGCCCTGACTCAATCGCCATAGGCGCAGATTACGTGGCGGTGGATGGTGATGAGGATAACCTGCGCTCTGATCGGAGAGCTTTTGCCAGACTTACGGCACTTGCATCATGGAGGAGCGAGTACATTCTACGTACTCGACTCTTGCGGTCGCTTGGCCGTGGAAAGCCTATGGCACTGCCAACGCCATCCGCGAATTCCCGATCCAATGCGAACCAGACCCCCCAAGCGATCATCATGTACAATTCGCAGTTGTTCACAACTGTGAATCACTTGCATGCTACCTTTGGCAGTGGCCTGAACAAGCGTCTCCCGCTGTTCATTCATGGAGCCAACGATATTGGCATGGCGTCTGCCAGTGATCCAAGCGCCGGAAAGGCGGATGGATGGGGCCTTTCAGACCCTCAGCTCTTCCTTCAATTCTTTGAACGGTTCCCTGGTGAAGCTCAATGGGGACTCGGCCCTGGCAATCTGGTCGGCAATCCCAACGTCATGGATGTTAGCCAGCCGTATGGCATGGTGCATGGCGAAGGTTCTCCTGGTGGGAGCATCTACCACCGTTCCACAGAAGAAATGCGCGGCCGTTTCTTGTCTCTTCCCATGGAGCTAAGCTCACCAGAGCTTGGGATTCCCAAGCTGCTTGCGTCAACGGAGGCAATTTCTTCCGTATGGATTGCAAAGTCTGCTTCTATTCCTACGCTCTCAGATGGATTGATCGGCATGCTATGCGGCTCGTCTTCAGGCGTTGTCTCAGCATACAGCCTTGGCACCAACGGTCTGCAGGACTCGCGCCTGGGCCGTGGTGAGCTTACGGCGCGCTGGGTTCTTAGCCCTGGTGTGCCCATTGTTGCTCTGGCAGTGGATGATGCCTACTCCCCTAAACGCCTGGGCCAGAATCGTGTTTGGTGCATCGCTCTTAACGCTCTGGGAGAATTGTTCTATCTCACCAAGTTCCCGAAACGTCCTCCTGTTCCGAAGAACACACGTCTAGATGAGCCTGTCCTAGAGCGGCTTGCATGGGCAACCGGTCGTACTGTCTACTGGAGTATAGTGGAGCCCAGCAGACGTGTTGCACGCCCGGATCCCTACCGTGAGAGATCAGTGGATGGAAGCTACTCTCCTCGTTCTTCGTGGAATGGCATGTGCCTCACCGAAGAGCAGATCAAAGCTGAAACCCAGGAGATCAATGCCTTCTTGCGAATGAAGCCAATTGACTTCCGTACGATGTGCATTGGCTGGGACATGAGAAGGAAAATGGAAGTCGATTTTGCTGGAGATGATGGCAACAATGCTGGCGAAGCCGTTGTCGTGTTCGACTGCGGCCTGGATGAAGACTCAACGGCTTCTGCGAAACGCTTTACGCGTCTCAAGGTTCCCACGCAAGTGGAGAGCAAGCCCATGCCTAAAGAGGTTTCTGAAATTGTCAACAATGCTACTCAGTCATCGCTCTTTGGCGGTTCTGATATCCCATCTCGGCCGCCTTCTACGACACGCCCTCGTCAATCATCCGTTCTCTCCAATGCCGTATCCCCTGAACGGCCCGACCTGGTTGAAGAGTGGAGATGCTCCATGCTCTCATTCAACGGTGCCAAGTCCGTCGAGGTGGCTACCACAACCCTGGACATCTCTACGTATGCGACGATGACTCTGTCTGAGGATCCAATCTTCGGTTTCTCTGGCTCGTCTACAGCATCTTCTCCCTATGCATCGCCATTCTCAGACCAATCTCAAGCAGCAACCCCTGCAGATGTCCCTGGACAAAGGGCTCGATTCGTTGCCGCTGGAACGAATTCTGGAAGTATCTTTGTGTGGGACATGCGCGCTGCAGTTGCGAAGTCCACAGATCTAGTCAACACCATTGAGCCTGTGCGAATCATCTACACGGATTCGCCCCAAATTTCGTGCCTTGCAATTACCGGGTTGTACCTTGTCCACGGCGGCAATGATGGCTTGGTGCAAGCATGGGATCCACTGGCGTCCAGCATGCAGCCTATCCGGACCCTCAACTCCAGGTTTTCATCCCGTGCTCGTCGTAGATTGGTCCAGGCACAAGCTTCTCCTCAAGGTGTTGGAATCAATTTGTTTGCCGCCGGAGCTATCTGCTTGGACCCCGACCCAACAGTGCTTCGAGGCATGGTATCTCTCGGTACTCATCTGCGCTACTGGAGTTACAGCTCCAGTGCTGCGGACCAGTACAAGAGTAACAAGCGACGCGTGCGGCGTTCGGAACGAGGGAGCAACAGTGGCGGTGCCGGCCCAAATTTTTCTGCTTCAGGGCGGTCGAAGATCATGGACTTCATCTCGGCCGAGAAGCACGAGATGGAAAGGGATGCAATCCAGCGACAACGTGAAGCTGACCATCTGGCCGGCCGTTTCGGTGTCGATCTCCTCGACGATGAAGAGCAAGCTCTGGCGTACGCAACCATGCTATCTCAAGAGGCACTTGCAAGCGAGGCCGAGAAAAAGAAACAGAGCGAAGCCAGCTCGGTCGTCAGCGACACTCCGACCATTCCTGCGACCCTGACGCCATCGGTATCGAGTAGCCCGGCTCTCAACAATGACGAAGACCTCGATGCCGACCTCGCCGAAGCTATTCGCTTGAGCTTGCAAGAGAGTGAAGGATCGTTCCCGACGTTCGATGAAGTTCCGGCAGCTCCAATCGACAATGGGTTTGATATTCCCATCAAATATGCCAAGGGCCGTAAAGCATCACCGCCGGCTTCTTCATCCCGTCAGACGTCATGGGCTGAGCCAAACGAGGCCGGTGCTGCCGGATCGAGCAATGACAAGGAGATGGACGATCTGGAATATGCGATACAGCTTAGCCTTGCGGAGGAGCGGAGCAGAGCTGAACAATTCGGAGAGTACGAAAATGGCAATGCCGAAGTGGCGGCCGAAGAGTTCCCTGCCCTAGCCCCAGTTCCTGGCGCAAAGGGTAAGCGTAGGGCCTGGTAATCATGACGACGGCCATGATTCACCGGTCAAGGCGCGTGCGACTTCTAATGCCGTGAGGGTGGAAAGGCCGACGGTAGTAGGCATTTTCCCGTTCGAAGAGCTCGATCACTTCCGTTCTAGCACGATACCTTCGCAGTAACTAAGCTTTGATTTGCTTTCGGTATATAGACTTATTTGGCTTCAAGTTGACAGTTTAATGCTTTGAACATTCAGAAATTGCAATTTTCCTCAGTAATACCGTCGCATTTGAGTGAGAGACAAAGACTAGCTTATTAATTGGAAGCCAGCAGGCGGGGCACCAACAGGCAGAAAAGCCGCTGGGTGCAGGGATGCCCTCTCACCGCCTGTACCTGGACCCTGCCGGCGCGGTTCAACGCCACTGCAATAAAGCCCGCCGATCGAATCCAACAAGTTTCCCCCCTCCTCATCAAGGAGCATTGCCGCCAAAACTGCCGTTTACCCTCCAGCGCGCTGTCCCGCATCCGACCGACTATACCTCCCTCCTCTCCGCTATCGACGTCAGACGTTCGGCATTCCTTGATCAACAATGAGCTCGACCACCACCGTCACGACCACCGCGGCGCCCGCCATCACCGCCGACAACATCCTCCGCCTGTTTGGCAGCGATGTCAACACCAACGTGATTGGCGCGGGCGCGCGTCAGGCGTCGACGGGAAACAGCGATAGCGATCTGGCTGGCTATGATGAGGAGCAGATCCGCCTGATGGACGAGATGTGCATCGTTCTCGACGAGAACGACGTGCCTATTGGCAGCGCGACCAAGAAAGTTTGTACGTGATTGGACATCTTACACGGGCCCTACTCGATCGGTCCCATTCTTTTGCCGCTTTCCTTCGCTCTCGCAGGCCCTCAACATTTCCCTTTCACCACACTTGACAAAAAAGAAAACATCAGGATGGAAGTGACAATAAGGCAACCAATTGCTAACCCGATGGATTACTGGCAGGCCACCTCATGGAAAACATCAACCGCGGCCTCTTGCACCGGGCCTTCAGCGTCTTCCTGTTCGACTCGCAGAACCGGCTCCTGCTGCAGCAGCGGGCGACGGAAAAGATCACGTTCCCGGACATGTGGACCAACACGTGCTGCTCGCACCCGCTGGGGGTGCCGACCGAGACGGGCTCGGACCTGCCGACGTCGGTCGCGGGCGCCAAGCGCGCGGCGCAGCGCAAGCTCGGCCACGAGCTGGGCATCCCGGCCGACCAGGTGCCCGTCGACGAGTTCGACTTCCTCACCCGCATCCACTACCTCGCCCCCAGCGACGGCAAGTGGGGCGAGCACGAGATCGATTATATCTTGTTTATCCGCCCGAAGAAGGGCGTTACGCTCGATGTCAACCCGAACGAGGTGCGCGATACTCGGTACGTGTCGCCGGAGGAGCTCCGCGCCATGTTCGAGGATAAGAGCTTGAAGTTTACGCCCTGGTTCAAGCTCATATGCGAGAGCATGCTGTTTGACTGGTGGAAGCACTTGGACACCGGATTGGAGAAGTTCAAGGAGGAGGGTATCAGGCGGATGTAAGAGAGGTTGGTGGGATGAAATTGGGAGACAACACCAGCATATGGTGTTGAGCATTTGCATGAATCGGTGTCGTAGTGATATACCCGGTAAACCAACCTTTTGGTTTTCAACGCGCATATGCCGTGTATTGGGAAGATGCATCGCGCGGTGGAAGGTGGTGGTTGTGCTGACTTTGACTTGCTAGAAACAAATATTGACTTGGAATAGACTTTCTCCAAACATTTATATAACTAATACTCATTGCTACGCTCTTCGCCTACACCTACCTAATGCGCCTTCTCATCAGAACACTACAGACGTCCGCGCCTGCAACTTTCAAGCCCTCCCAATACTCGCCAGATCCCCCTCGAAACCCCTCTGCCCCTGCGACCCAACCGTCAAGTACTTCGGCCCGGCCACGCCGTCCGTCACCCCGGGCACCGCATTCTCGACGTAATTGTGCCACCGCGCAACCGCCAGCTCCTTGCCCCACCCACCGTTCCTCTTCCGAACCGCCCCGTACCCATCGTCACCATCTTTCTCCTCCACGACCTTCCCAATCAACACCTCCTCGTCCAACGTCCCCACGTGCACCTCGATCCGCCCCGGCGCGTCCGCCGTCTGCCACGTCAGGCTCGAGCCGCAGGTGGCGCAGAAGCCGCGCTGGGCCTTGGGGGAGGAGCGGTAGAGGCGGTAGGTGGGGAGGGCGGAGGGGGACTCGGTTGTTAGGTCGGGGGTGATGTCTGTGGCGGGTAGTTCGAGGAGGTGGGGGAGGAGCGAGCCGGTGGTTTTGCGGCATTGGGTGCATTGGCATGTTGCGTTCTTTGTTTTTTTGGGGCTTTTTGTTAGTCTGTGTGGATCTTTTGTGGGGATGAGGGGGGAGGGAGGCTGAATGAGGGAAATTGGGGGAAATGGGAGGGGGGAGAGGCGATGGATTGGGTTCGGGATGGAGATCCGGGGCGGCTGTGGGGGCGGGAGCGCTTCGGAGGATTTGTGGGGGGGAGGGAGGGAATATGGAATAGGAAGGGGTCTAGGTGAAGGGACGGGGCGGGGCGAGAGCGAAGGAGGGGAAGGAACGATTAGGTGCGGTGGTATGCGTTTAGGACCTGCGCGGGTCGGAAGGGGGGGTCTTGCGTGCATATGAGATCTCCCTCATCCTGGACTACGGCGCGTTCATCTCGAACAGAAAGCGGGGAACGTCCAAACTTACGTGGGACGGAGGCCACTCGGCACCGGCGGGGAATTGGATGGTGTAGCGGATGGCGCCGCAGAGGCAGCCGCCAGAGATCGAGTCCGGTCTGGATGCAGACGTCATTGTTGAAGATCAGTTAAGTGTCTCGGGAAGCTGAGGCGGTTGTTGATTCGTGCGGTTGAGCAGGGCGATTGGACGGGCTCAAAAAGCTTGGGAACAAGTCTATCCTAGAAAAAGGTCTGGAGGGTCCGACGGATCTTGCACCCCGCACTCCGATATAGCGGGGTTGTTCTGGCCCTGCGCGACACAGCTTCATGCGCGCCAAGCCGCGGGCGCGAAGGCACATGATGATGACGTAGATAGCGAGATGAGGCTGAGAATTCAGAGGGTGGAAACGGCATGAATGTTCGTATCTACTTCTGAAATATTGAAGTGACGCAATCATCAATGATTTAAGAAGTTCATGATCTGGAAGCCACGGTTCTTGCGAGCCGATTGCTGTTCGAGGCCTTGCTTGAAGATTTAGTGTTGGTTGCGTATAAATTTGGGATAGGAGCCATGCGTCCAATCGATTGGTGCATCCATTCAGAAAGATAGCTTTATGAAATAGAGTAATAGATTTACTCATGCCAGCAAGGCGCCATTGGCGTCATAATTGTGGCTGAAAACGACTTGCGGTTAGGATTACCGAGAAGAAAAAAACTCTTTCCCCCCACGCTATGAGAAGATGTCAAGCTGCTGGAAGTTCCCAGTGGGGCCGTATTCACGTTGAATGCTCTCTCGTACATAGCTTCATCCCGTAGCAATGAGCGAGCGGGAATTACATGCGGCGGGCAGACGATGAATTCAAGTGGCGAAGTCGAATAAAGATGGGCGGGACCGGCGGGGTGGCAATCACGATCATTGGTCCTACAGCTAGGGTTTTCGGAGCCGGCCGTCGTCTGCAGCAGATCATGCGTTTTGAGGAGGCGGTGCTCGAGTCGGACCGCATGGTTGCTTTGTCTGGTTTTCAGATCGGGGCATAAAGCAGAGTAAGCGCCACAGAGCTTGAGGCAAGCGCAGCTGGGCGCGCGACGCTTAGACGGGCTCGAGCGGGCTGGAGGAGGAAAAATCAGCGGGATTGGTCATCGGCATGTGGCGGTGACCATCGTCGCAGGAGTTCCTGGAGTTGAGTGACACGGCGGGATGGGTAATGGGGCTATGATCGCCGTCGACCACCTGGCCGGGGCAGTGTCAACCGCAATGCTCCTTCCCAGATCCCACCCTCCTTCTTGCCGTCTCCTCCCACTTCAGCCCGCTCCAGATCTGCCGCTCAAAACTCCTGCCGCCAGCCGATCCTGACCCGCCCATTATTTTTGCGCGATGCCGGCGACATAAAAAATTGTCAGGCGCGGCGGCAAAGACGCTGTTCCATTCTCCTAAAACCCCAGCCATCAGCGCCAAGAGCAGGAAAACACACGCACTCTGCAACGCCTTTGCCGCTCCTTCTTCTGCAAGCCCGACGCGACCGACGCCTCCCGCAACACAGCACAATGGCCGAGCCTCAAACGGTACGAGCCAATGAGCATGCCGCTTTAAGAAACCCAGTGCTGACGCTAGCGCAGAAAGACAACCTCGCCCGCATCAGGGATAACCAGCGCCGCTCACGCGCGCGCAAGAAAGAGTACCTCCAGGAACTCGAGTCCAAGTACCGTGCCTGCGAGCAAATGGGTGTTCAGGCATCTGCCGAAATCCAGGCTGCCGCAAAGCGCGTCCTTGACGAGAACCGCCGTCTGCGCGCCCTGTTGCAAAAGATGGGCGTGTCCGACTCTGAAATTGACAGCTTCAACGATCCCAATCCGAATCCAGCAGACACCCTGGATGCCATGCTTCGGAACCGTCGCCCATGCAATCCAGGCTCGCAGTCGGCTTGTGGCAGCAGCAGGAGCGGTGCCAGCAGCAAAAGCCCGGCCTCACAGGCGCCTACATCGACACCCCTGTCAACTACCAGTCTAGAACCACCTGCTCTACCGCCCCCAGCTCAGCCCTCGCCGCGGTCCCACTCCAGCGCGACTAGCATAAGCTCGACCTTCAGTACACCCCCTACTGCAGAGTCGCCCATGGTCCCGATTGCACCTCTACCGTCCTTTCCGACCAACACCCCTCCGGATCCATCAAGTGCTTACGGCCCCTCGTACAATGCCTACTATGCCATCCCCAACCTGGGCAACTGGACTTGGCCTACCCTTAACGACATGCCTGATACCCCTACTCAGCACATCCCCAACTCCTCGTCATGCCTTCAGGCCGCCGATATCATCCGCGGAATGCGCAGCGACGTCGGCCCTGAACTGGAGCAAGAAATGGGATGCAACGCTGAAGGTCAAGATTGCAAAGTCGACAACAACGTCATTTTCGACCTGGTCGACAAATACTCCATGCAGGGCTTATGACAACCAATTCTGGTCTGCGCAAGCTGACCGTTCAGCCTAGCAAACTTCGCCCATGCCATCATCTCAGATGCTGCTGAGTAATGATGGTAATCCCCCAATGCTTTGCCCTGTCGCTTGCCTTGTGTGTTCTTGCCGATTGCTGAGTTTTCTGCAAGTAACGGCTAAACGTGCACCGAGCTAGCACCAGAGCTAGTCCATGCACCTTTGTCGGACTCAGTCATACACCATCTCAGTCTTTGGAAACGTCCATCGACGGTTTGCAGCTTCTTTGTCATCGCAATTGTATTAAAGAAACGATGTGTTGCACAACGCCTGAAAGACGGTAGTTTTGGAAGATTGCTATCTGTTCGGACAAAGAAAGACGGAATATCGATCAACACCCAGCTCATCTCAATCTGTTGCTGTTGAGCAGGGCATGCCGACACCAAGTTGGATATCCGGGCACCTCGAATATTTTTGATAAGATCTAGAGCCACCAGGCGATGCTTTCCTGCAGTAGCCTCTTGTTGAAGATTCACAATAGAATATTTCCAACAGACACACTCATTCTCAACCCCAATTGCTTTGTCGCCTCCGCATTTGCGTTGCGACATCTCGTCTTTGTCACTTTCCGCTTGTGTGCATGCCCATTTCCGGCCTTTATACGCATCTCCGTCTCTCAAGCTTTGTAGAGAAAGAGAACAGCGATACAATGAAAGGGTTCGCCTGCAACCTTCCCTGCAGTTTCATCTCAGCCAACATTTCGGTCACGACCTTCACTACCGCTATCTGGATACAGAGTCTCAGACACCATGCCCCCTAAAAAGAAGGCACCTATTGCTATGCCTAGCTTCCTCGCAAATCTGCCGAGTACGTCCAAACAACATGCCGCTACGAACACTGCCAGTGCTCAGAAAGGGAAAGGTGCTACCGCCAGCAAAAAGAAGAATTACATGGATGAGTTACAGGAAGCCGAAAAAAGGAGAGACCAGACTATAAAATTTCACATCGAATATGGGAACGGAATGGAACAGTATAACATCAACCCTGATTTAGGCCTGCCAGAAACGAGCGACATAAGTCTGGGTATCGCCTGCGTCACTGAGGCAATCAGTCAGAATAAAGCAGTCAAATTCGCTCTCTACGATACGTTTCAGTTCGAGAACTACCTTCAAGCCATCACTACAAGACAAGAGGGTAAAGATTTGGATTTTGAGGGGTTCAAAATTCGCCGTACTCGTTCTCCTATATACATATGCTACACCGACTTCAAGGTCTTCAAATCCATAAACAAGGAAACGGGCAAAAAGGAGGAGCATCATGAAGGTCATCACATTCTGGCGACAGCTCATCGAGAGCTAGATACCCGGGGTAAAATCATCAAAAGGATCAGATACTACGATAGCGCGCCAGAATGGCTCGAGGGCATGCGTGACGTGGTATTCGAGAGGACAAAGGAGGTCTTGAAGCCATGGGGAGGCCCCAAGACGGACGCTGAATCCAGGTGGGCATGTGAGTGGGTACCGGTCGTGTTCCAGGGCACCGACAAGTGCGGCATCCATGTCATTCTCAACGCTTGGACGCTCGCCCTGGGCCTCCAGCCGTACTATGCACCGAAAAGGGGGTTAGCCGATCGGTTCTACCAGCATGCTTCGCGCCTCATCAGTTGCGCCGTGCACGGCGAAGTCAGCAGCGATCTCATCATGGCCTTCTTCCGCTTCTGGGGATTCCTGGCGGATCCGGACAGCGATCCGCCGCCGGATCGACGCTTCAAAAACACCTACGGCGTCCACAACGTTGCGTCGTTCGTCGACGGGACGGTGCGGGCTCCGCGCATGTCGTCGTCGCCGCTGGACCCAGCCACATCACTGCCGGGTGTAGCCGGGCCTTCGACTGCGGCAGCCCAGATTTTAGGTCCGGACCAGCTTTCAATATCAAGAAAGTCTTCGAATGAAACCATCTACGTTGATTCAGAGGGAGATCTCAGTGACCCTGATTCCCAGGACGAGGGCAATCCAGACAAAAAGCATGATCACGACGGAGAGGATAATCCCGATCAAGGGGACAATTCCAACGAAGAGCAGAGTTCCAATGAACAACACTCTCGAGCTTTCTGGCCAGAGGGCGCGGAGAAATATCCTTGCCGGTTTTTGGAAGAAAGCCTACGACGTGCGGACCGAATTGCGGACCTCGTTAAAGAGAGGGAGAATCCACCAGACGACGTAAATGGCCCATTCATTAAGCTAAACAATCGATGGATGTGGTGCGCCAGCATAGCATCCGTCACGGAGGCGATTAGCTTGAATGGCTATGAACAGAATCCTTATCTCGATTCAGAGATAGAGAATGACGGCACGGAAGATCGCGACTACACCGTCAGGGACTATGAGAAAGATTTTACCGAAGACCAAAAGGAAGATGCAGAGGATCTCATGGCAGCAGTCAAAAAGAAGCAGAAAGAACATCGGACCGAGAAGAGAATCTTCTCCTTTTACGGCCTCCATTGCTTGAAAAGGGCTGACTTGAACGTGGAGAAGGCTCCAGGATTTGGGGTTCTGCGCAGGATGGAGCCCATCATGATTCCAATCTCCCGCAGACATCTAGTATACGCCACCTCGCATCCTGAAGAGGAACTTCCAAGGATAACGCACTACTGGGTCGAGTCCTTGGAATCTCCCGGCCTCCCAAACCGTCGCGAGAGATTTATTCAAGAGGATATTGTGAGAGTTCTGCTAAAAGACCTGAACTGGGGCCCGGAACAGGAAGTGGAGAAAAGGTTCGCACGGAATGACATTTGGAACCTCGTATCCCCGGTCGACCCCAACCTGCTCCTCCCACCGCAGATGCGCCAGGAAAAAGAAGTGGCCCACCTCGTCCTCACCGCGTGGACCATCGCCCTCGGCTTCCGCCCTCCTTCCACGCCCGTCATCACCGCCGACCACAGCGACCACTACTCCAAAATCGACTATCTCATCCTGCGCGCGGCGCAGGGCCTCGTCGACTCGGCTACTATCTTCGCCGGCCTCCGCTGTCTGGGCTGGATTCCGAAGGGCGTCTTGGCGCCGCCTGAGAGCGTGCGCTTCGACAGGACGATGTCGTTCGGGTGGAATCCGGACGACATGAGTGATTATTACGACTATAAGAGAAGAGAAGTCCCAAGGGAGGAACTTCAAGCTCGTTTGAAAGCTCTGAAAGGCAGGTTCAATGACGCATCGGAGAAGCTCGGCGAGGCCCGTAGAGAGTACGAGGAGAGATACGACGAGCCATATGACGAGGATAATGTGTCGAGGAGATCGGCGATGACGTCGATCGAGGAAGAGGAGGATGAGCTGGCCAAGCTCATAGGGGCGGCCGAAGAGGCTTACGCGAACGAAAATGCTGCGAGAGAAATGCTCGACGAAGAAAGAGAAGGGCTAAAGAGGAGGATCGCAGAGCTGAAGTCGCTAGACGTCGGGTGTCGTGGCCACGCCATATGGAATGACACCAAGACCCCGGCTAAGGCGCTGGATCCCGAGGGTGAAGACTCGGAGTACGGGGATGAGTGGCTGCGCCATGCTGAGCTGGAGGCGGCGAAGCGAGCGTTCGAGGACGGGAAATCTAGGTACGGCGCTGCGATTAAGAATCTTCCGGTCACGATGGCCAAGGACCAGGACGAGGGGCTCCGACGGCTGCACGCGCCGGAGGTGCAGGAACTGACTGCAGCCGCTGATACTCCCACACGCCTGCCCCCACAAGCACCACTACGGACAACACCACCGGCGACTGAAGATGGCGGCACGGCGAGCGCTGCGGAGGACCCGAGGGGGCTGAAGAGATCGTACGAGGAATTTGCGGATGAGAGGCTAGTGGTGGATCCTTGCAGTGACGAGTACGATGAATTGAAGAAGATACATTATAGTGGGAAGGGGTTGCATAGGGTATGGCCAACGCCTTTCTCTCTCTTTCATTGTTTTGATTTGGGATGATTGCTAATGCTGCGGTGGATAGGTCGGGGCACATCGGCTGGCAACACTGTTTAGGAATAGACCGACCAAACCGAGAGGGAATAATGTGAAGAGGAGGATGGTGGATGCAGCGGAGTTGCACTTCAACCTGTTGAGGAAAAGGCGAAGATAGAAGCGGTGGAAAGGGAAAAGGTGAAAATTTAACCCTCGAATGGTGATTGGAGTCTTTAATCTCCGTCTACAATCTACTTTGTTTCTTTCTTTTTCATTGCTGTTTTGATAGCTATTTGCGGGGGCGGTGCCGTTTATCAGTATTGAACCACGTACCTTTGTAATCGACCTTGAAATGAGATGAGATCTATTAGCTCTTGGAATATTCTTCCGCCCTCGTCGGCTCTAAGGCTAGCATACACGTCTCGTTGAAAGATGGAGATGAGAATAATCAAACGATAAACCCGTCAGAACATCCCCACAGCAACAGGGAAAAAAAGATCCGAAACAACCCAATCTCACCATCATCTCACCAGCACCTCACAGCCTCCATCATCTCCCTCACTCATCCCTCCCCTTCCCCTTCCCCATCCCCCACCTCGACCTCCCCTTCACATCCACCCCCTCCTCCTCCACCTCCACCTTCATCCTCCTCGGCACAAACCCACCCACAACCTCCTCCCTCCACCTCCACAGCAGCGCCGTCGCCGCCCCCGGCCCCAACACCACCCACCCGCCCAACACCAACACACCCTGCTTAACCACCGCCCCGGTCGACGCCATGCCCACGCGCCGCAGGTCGTACAGCGTCAAGCCGGACCACAGCGCCACGCCACCCAGCATGAGCAGCAGGTCGAGCTGGAAGAAGAGCCGCATGCCCTCCGCCACCGTCGCGACGGGCGCGTGTAGCTGCTCAACGCTCGCAACCTGCTGGGCGGACGGGAAGAACGTGGACAGGAGTGACAGCTGCCGGCCGTGCGGGTGGAAGAAGTAGAACCCGACGAGGGCGACGTGGATGGCGGCGGAGTAGGCGGCCGTGTGGTTGTAGAGGCGGCGCACGGTGCGGAGGTGGTCGGGCGCCGGCGCGTGGAAGGGGCCTGCGGCGAGGAAAGGGGGAGGCTTGGTGGCGGTGCTGGTGGGTGGGTGTGCGGGCGGGGCGGGGAAGAGCGGGGTGCGGGAGAGGAGCGAGGTGGCGGCCATGGCGAGGATCTCGGTGCCTTGCCAGAAGGCGATGGCGGGTTGGAGGTAGGGCGAGTGGGTGGGGAGGGTGAACATGGCGATGGTGGGGAGGATGTAGATGAGTATGAGGCTGGGGGCGAAGGCTTTGATGTTGTGCGCGAGCGTGGCTTGCGAGCAGGCCATCCAGTACGTCGGATCGCGGGAGATGACGAAGACGGTGAGGATGTAGAAGAAGAAGACTACGCCGAAGCCGAGGACCTGGGCGAGTGCGATCCAGAAGCTTGGGCTGGAAAGGGTTCAGTTAGCAAAATCTTCTTCATGTGAGACCATGAGACTATAACTTACCTCCAAAGCAAAGTCCCTTTGTTCCTCCATCTGTAGCCCTCAACGGCCATTATGGAGAAGATGGGGACCCAAAAGCCGAGGAGGAAATAGGCTGCCTGGATTTTCATTTCGAAGTTGGGTGTACCAGTTACTACCGGAAGGAATACAGCGATGAGAGTCTTCAGAAGCTTGTCAAGCTCCGGAAACCGAGCTGCATCAACGAAAGACTGAAGTGAAACGTTCATCTCAGCGAGATAGCTCGTAGTCACAGCTGACTTGATGATCCGGAAGGATCCATTGATATCGCTCAGCACAGGCAGCAGGTAGGCACCAAGACCACCGAGACCTATCAGGATCGTGCTGACAAGTAGAGTGAATAGAGTGCTCCTTGGTTTGGGCTCGCGAATGCGTTCATCGAAGTACGGGGCAGACCTCGGTCTCGATGGGATTTCAAGCGTGTCCACAGACACGGCCGGGGGATACGCCTTGCAGAGATTTTTGAGCATTTGCTCTCCTCCGATCAGTGGCAGAACGTATCGGTTCAGTACCATGAAAAATGGCGAAACCTCAGCGTACACTTCTTGCATCTTGGTCGATTCGTTGCACAAGAAGGTCGTCCTCGGCTTCCGCAATTCTTGAATTTCCTCGAACATGGCGCCGAATTTCTCTTTTGGAATCTTTCCAGAGCTGTTGGACTTGAGCAATTTCACAAGAGCGTTGGTCAGGGCTGCTGAGGTCTCGAGAGCGGCATTGCCACCTTGCCCCGCAATAGGGTTGACCTAAAAATGCATCAGTATACCTTCATGCACACATCTATCGAGTACGTACTTTGTGCACCGAATCTCCAATGATGATGCACCTATTCGAGTGCCAGTTCTCGATGATGTATTCGTGCAGGGGTGTGCACACTGAGGCTATGGCAGCCTTGCGGACATCGGAGTATCTGAAGTCCTCCGTGATTGGATGATCCCAGTACTTCTTTGAGAAGTATTCTTCTGCCTTCTCTCCGTGGCATGGCGTATCGTTCCCGTAATATCTCTTGTCAAGTTTGAAGAAAACGCACCAGTAAGTCCTGTTGTCTGGACCTGAGGCAACAAAGAGACTTGAGTTTTTCCTGGTGGCGATTATGACCGATCCTTTTGGGCTTTTCAAATCACCCTCGGAGATTCCAAAGACTCCTCCGTAATCCGCGGGAAGAGTATCTGTGGTGATCAGTCACTATTCTCAGGAAGGACAGAGTACCACAATACCTGTCCTGAGATCAATAGGCTTGGAAGCCTTTCTCTCGATTTCCCCCCTGAGTGCGCTGTGCATGCCGTCAGCACCAACGGCAAGGTCACCCTTGAAGACAGAGCCATCTTCAGTAGTCACGGTGACTCCTTCGTCATTCTCCTCGACACTTTTCACGCGCTTAGAGGTCAAGACCTTGTCCTTGTTCTTGATGTGATCGTAAAGGATCTGCACGAGTTGTCTGCGTTCGAAAAAGAGGACTGGATATCCATGGCTGTGGTAACGAGGGCATAAGCTTATCTCATCCGGCTGACGGGGCCCGGCAGCACTCACCGTTCCACAACCTCGTGTCGCAGGTTTCTGGCGCCCACAAGGAGCTTTCCGTTGGCGTCATGGATCAAAAAATCGTCGACAGGATACTGGCCACACTTCAAAATATCCTCGTAACAGCCGAGCTGGTCCACGATGCGGAATCCATTGGGGAGCAGGGCTATGCTGGCGCCTAGCTGCGGGGCTATCGCCGGGTAGGCTTCGAGCACGACAAAGTCGATGCCGTTTTTCTCGAGCATCAAAGCCAGAGAAAGGCCTGAAATGCTGCCGCCGACGATGACGACTCGAAAGTTGCTGCCAGCCATGGTGGCGCGAATTTGGTCTCGGTAGACTCTTCTGGCTATGGGAGAGCTGGCGGTCCGACGAGAAGGAAATTCGGAAGCTGGACAGGTGGATTTTTATGTCCGGAGCTGGCTGCGGCACCGTTTCGTCTCCCTGTTCGACAGGTCTCGGCAGTGTTTTTCCACAGGGGAATCGATCCTGATCCTCCTGGTTCCGGTAGCCGTTGCGCGCCGTGTGGCGCATGTCAAGCCCTGTAGCCTACGCGGCGCCCGTCAGCAGTCTCCTGATCAACCTAATCCATCGGTGTGGATCTTATGGGATAATAAGGGCTTTCCCAAGTAGGTATTTGCCCTATCTGTCCTCCATTCACCGACCACTGGATAGTATTCATGGCCCGAAACGTCTGAACTAAAAGGCCGTGGAGCTGAGATTTGTCACCGCTGCCGCATTGATGCATGAAACCCTATGATCGCACAACTGCCAAAGTCTTACACCGACCAACTGAGTTGCATGGTGGATGGAGACCAATGGCGCTAGTCTCAATTGGGACTCGCAGGATTAGCTCTCACGGGACAAAGCATCCATCGTACCGGGGAAAAGCGCGTCAGCGTTACTCCACAAATCGCACACATGGGCCGAAGTCCCTGTAACCGCTTGTCTCACTCGTTTATCATTCTCCGCAAACATCCGCATCCTTTTCGACCCCCTCCACTCCCCAATCCATCATCCAATTACCGACCATCCACCGATATCTTCGGCCCCCGGCACCCACTCTCTTACTTTCATTTCCCCACACCAATTTTCAAGTCGTCAAGTTATCACCGGCCAGCCGAGCGCATTCTCATACAACCCATCCCCCCTCGTCCTCACCTCCTTCACCCACAACTGCCAAGCCTTCGCGATAAACTCGTGCGGCATGGCCCCAGCATCCCTCCTCTCCCGCGCGCTCAAGTACTTGATATTCCCGTAATTCCCACCCACATCCTCGCACATCTCCTGGGCGTTGACGCTCAGCTCCATGGCCGCGCTCTGCAGCCGCGCGTTGTCGGCGATGTAGTACGCCCGGAACACCGACGTCAAAATGTCCGCGCCCACCGTCGTGAAGCCGTGACCCCGCATCAGCACGAGGGTGCGCGGGGGGTCGGAATCAGCGCTGTTGTCGTTTTCAGAGTCGCTGCTGCCGTCATCGTCGCGGTGATTGGTGGAGTAGTCGCCGCCTCTGCCGTGGCCGCCACCACCACCACCGCCGCCGCCGCCCCGGTGGTTGTTGTCGTCTCGGCTGTCGAGGCGGTGGGCTGGGTTGGGGCACGCGCACGTGTCGCAAGAAGGTGGCGCGGGAGCGCCGAATAGCGAGGCTAGAGCGCCGCCGAGGTGCGTGTCGGAGACGAGGAGGTTGTGGTTCGTCTCGTTTGGTAGGTAATAGCGGGCGATGTCGTAGACCGGGACGTAGTCACCTGTTTCAGATGCGGGTGAGCTTTCGGTCAGGGAAAAAAGAGCTTTGGGGGGGGGGGGGGGGGGAAAGCAGGGGTGCGCGGTCTTGTGGAATTCCAGCAGAAGGGATAAGGTTAAATCAAGGTAAGAACTTATCACGAACGCACCGATAAATCCGGCCATGTGGAAGGCCGCTTCCATTTGGACGCCCTCGACGATGGTGAAGGGAAGAACTTCGTCCGCGTGGGCGTGGACGACGGATCCGACGCAGGGCCACTGCCGGAGGACTTCGCTGTGGATGAAGCGCTCCGCGTAACCCGTCGGAGCATTGGGGTCGACCGACGTCCCATTGGCAACGTAGTATAGCACTATGTCATCCGGCGACTTGACAATCCCCGGAGCAATCTGGGCCGACATGTAGAAGGTGGAAGGGTCATGGGGATTCCGCACTGAGATGTGCCCGAAGCCATCGACGATTTCGTGATAGTGAAGAATGTGGTTGGCAGTGATGAGAAGACGGAGCGTCTCCGTGAGGCTCATGCTTGGCGCCATTGTCGACTTGAGGCTTGATGGGTTTCTGGTCGGTCGAGTTGAATAATTTATAGCTGAAAGTGCCGGCTGCCTTCGACGGAGATGTGCTGGGGCATTCCAGATAGACCTTATTCTTGTGTCACATTTTAGCCCGCCCCAGTAACCACCACGATTTACTCTCGCTATAGAAGAGCTGAACCGAAATATGAAGAAAAATACAACTGTGACTTCATCATGACCGTGCAAACCCCTCAATTTCAGTAGCAACGGCTGGGTACGCTAATGCGCGGCCGAACTGAAGGCGGGGAGCCGATCTATTCTGCAATTTTTCTGTTAGATGTCTGGATAGATTTCAGAATAAACCTGTTTCTTTTTCTTGCCAAGTAGGTAAGAATCCTCATCGTAGAGTCAAAATTTTTACTAGCGTGGTCTTGCTTCGTCCATTGGACCAAGCTTGTTTCTCGAGGATTATCCCTCCTCTAGTCTCGAGAAGAAAAAAGTAACCTCTTTGGATAAATGCTGAGATAAAGGGAGGCTCTTCATGTGAGCCAAAACTCGTATCTTCCTTTAATGGCCGCACCTTTTCTTTTCTCTCGAGATGACAACAGACGAATGGCTTTCCTCGCCGTCCTTGAACAGTTCAACCGGATCATGAAAGATTGCAGCAACTTCGTTCAGGACACAATTTCCCCTGAGAAAGCCGCCTCATACTTTCACATGGACGTACCTCACAGATTCCAGTCTAATGCGTGGAGTCATCGAAGGTGAAAAATAAACGCCCCCGAGCAGCAAGCCCTTCCTAGAGGATTTACAAATTTTGCATTCAGGCCGAACACGTCGAAATGCGAAGCAGGAATTTTCCTTGCGGTCAATCAGCTAAGTCGTCTTGGTTAAGCGATGACCCGGAACCGGCGAAGAGTATGCCGAAGTAGAACCAGCATTCCATCCACGATCCTAGTTCGGTCGGTGCTTCGTCCTAGAAAGGCGAGTCTGGGTGGCGGTTTGGCGAGGTGCGCCATTCTCCGTAGTCATAGCGCGGACCCGACTAGGTTGTTCTCAGGGCCCACCATGGAGGGAGGAGTCATCAAAGAGGTGATCCGCCATGCTGTTGGCGCGTGATCAATGTGTTGAGCTTTTTCTGCGTCATGCTCCGAAAGAGGAGAAGGAGCGGGGACAGATAATGAAGATTGAAGTGGCCTGATAAAGACAAGGATGAAGACGACCGCGTGCTCATGTTGGGGGTCCGCGCGCAATGCTTGTAGCCGACAGGTTGGTGGGTACTTCGCGCTTCCCGGTCGGATACGTGTGGGGGCTAACGCCTGTGCCGTCTCTTCTGCAGCACGCGCTGAAAAAGAAGTTTGACATTTGATCAAAGCCTTTCTTGAACGAATCGTAGTATGCTAAGAACCCCAGCTTAGTACGTGGTATTGACTCGTACAGGGAATTTGCCAGATGCGGTAAGTGCTCGGTTTAATAGGCATCCAATTACCCGGCCGCACCACAAGTCTACCCTCATTTTCCCTCATTATTTTGGGCTTCTCACATGAAAATTACTTGCTGTGCAATTTAATGGGCGTATCTTGTTTGAAATGCTTGGGCCGTAGAAGTCACAAGTGTTGAGTGGTTAGAACCTCGGTGTGCAAGACCACTGCAAATCTAAGGTGATCGTGCAGAAACCTCCATTTTGAATCAGGCCATTTGACTGATAGACACTCATTGAAGGGCGCTGCCGTTGGTATGGAGCACTTGCTGTTGAGTCCTGTAGATCTCAATGGCTGGAAAGTCGGCAAGTGGCACGGCTGAAGGCTTTTCAATACGAACCCTCAGGTTCGAGGTAGAGCTTTCACTCTTGATGAAGGTGTCGAACAGTACGTGGGCGACCCTCTCGGCCAGCGCTTCAAGGGTCTCAAAATCCGTATTTCCAACGGCCTAGGTCGACAGTGTTAGCATCAGAATCACCCATTCTAAGAACGGCTTACCTTCAGCACGATATCCTCCACCACATTATAGGAGTCAATCGCCCCATCCGAGACCCTGTCGATCCAAACGCTTACCACGCACAACTGCTTCTTCATACGCTCATTGCTATTCACCCCAATCAGGGTCGGAATTGCCATGCCCTTTACATATAACTGCCTCGAGAAGCTGACCACCTCTCCGGCAGGGCTGTAAAACACCGTCCACTCTACGCCTGCGCCTGTTCCCAGCGTACTCGCCTTAGGGAAGCACACGTCTATTTTGGCAGCTCCTACCGCGCCTTCAGCCGCCGTCGCGATTAACGCCTCACTCGTTCTACTCGCAACGACCAAACCACTGAGCCACTGATTATTGGTTGTAGAGGGGTCGAGAGCCTTGAGCAAATTCTTGCTCAGATGGCCGTAGTGCACGGTGCCAGCGTCGAGCGCGTCGCTAGCAGCGGCAGATGTAAAGCCGGCGCGTGAAGCTACCGTGAGCGACAGGGCGAGCGGCTGTGCGCGATCGGTACGGCCCCAGACATCGCGACCGGCGGGCACGACCAAATTGAGGGAGGAAAGCGAGACCGTGTCGGCGGTGGCCGGCCAGCGCGCGGCGGCTTCGTGGGCGTAGTACTGGGCGATTTTGGTGTACTCTGCGCGGTCCTCGGTACCGCGCGGAATGCGACCGTGTTGGGCTATCGCAGGCATTGTTTGCATGTTTGAGTGCATGTTGGTTTTGGTATAGGTGGTCGAAGGGGCGTGATGGGGGCAGGGTTCAAAGCAGACGTGGAATTTTTGGTGCGATGATATTCGGTGGAGGGCCACAGCTTGAGCGACGTCAGGGTACAGCTCTCTAAAATAATCAAAGCTGCTGTGACATCACATACTCCACATGGACCCTGACGTACTCGACCGCAAGACATTGTTCCTACGGGGTGAATATGTATTAACGTCCTCAATTGGTCATCGCTACAGAACGGAGCTGGCCGAGCAGCTTGTGTCCGGTGTCGCTCTGCAGAGCGCGCGAGCTCATTCGCAGACGGCTGACGCAGGATCGCCGACTAGGGTCTTGCCGGGCGGTTGCATCACGTCCTTCGAGACGCACCGCGTTTTGCCTCTGCTCTCCTCAACCTCCGCAACAAAATTGGCCGTGAAGCGAGAGAAAAGACACAACTTTCCCGTTCGTGTAAATAGCAGCTTTCCCCCCTCTCCCCCCAGAAAAAAGGACCTCCTCACCCACTCCCACCCACCACTCACGCCCAACAACCCCACCAACCAACCATGACGACAACCACAAAAACAACACCACCCATCGCCCTCCCGCCTTCACAACACCAATCCCCCCGCCGCCCGCACCCCTGGTACCACCCACTCACCATCGACCTCCTCGCCGACATCGCCAACCGCAGCATCCTGCACCCCTTCATCGCATGCCTGATCCCGCTCTGCCTGAGCGCCATCGGCACGCCGACGACGTGGCTGCGGTTCCAGGTCGCCTGCGCCTACGCCATCGCCGTGACGCTGTGGACGCTACTGGTGCAGCACTACGGGCGACGGACGGCGTTCGGGCCCCCGCGCACCGTCAGCCTGGACGACGAGGTCGTCGTCGTGACGGGCGGCGCGCGCGGGCTGGGCGCGCTGGTGGCCGAGGTGTACGGGATGCGCGGCGCGAGCGTCGCGGTGCTGGACGTGGCGGGCGAGGACGAGGTGGGTGCGGAGAGGCTGCTGGAGGAGAAGAACGTGACGTATTATCGGTGCGACGTGGGGGATCGCGCGGAGGTGGAGAGGGTGTATAAGAGGATTGAGAGTGATGTACGTAGGAGCGCAATTGACGGGTTGCTTCTTTCCCTCCATCCTCCATTCTTTTTTCTTTTTTTCTCTTCTTCGTTTGAGAGAGAGGGGGAAGATATGCTATTTGTGCATTTAAACTGACCAATTCACAGCTCGGAACCCCGACCGTCTTGATCAACAACGCTGGCGTTGTGAACGGCAAGCCGCTGCTCGAGCTGTCGCCGGCCGAGATCGAGCGCAACTTCCGCGTCAACCTGCTCGCCCACTACAACACCCTGCAAACTTTTCTTCCCGGCATGTTCAACGCGCCCAACGGTGGTACGATTGTGACCGTCTCCAGCGTTCTCGGAAAGGTCGGCGCCGCTTGCTTGTCCGACTACACGGCCGCGAAGGCTGGGCTCATAGCCATGCACACCTCTCTGCAGGCAGAACTGAGGCAATCGCCCAAACCCGGTGCGAAGAATATCAGGACGATCCTGGTGACTCCCGGTCAATTAGGAACTCAACTCTTCGGCGACCTTGACACGCCATCCGGCTTCCTCGCCCCCATCGTTGAGCCTGTCCAGGTCGCACAGGCTATCATCAGGATGATTGATGCGGGTGAGGGTGGTGAGATCAGTTTCCCACTCTATGCAAGATGGATGGAGTGGATGAATGTCTTGCCATCGGGGCTGCAGTGGATAATCAGAGGAGCTAGTGGTGTCGACGACGCCATGCGCAATTTCGGCGTTGACATGAACAGGAAGAGCACATAGAGAACACGGGAAGCAGGTCTTGCTGGATAAACATTGCATTGTATTATTACTAAAGCTAATATCATGATCATAGCTCATTCGCTTTGAAGCATATCAACGCTAACTTGGCGCTTGCAAATTTGAAACCTAATACTTCTTACTGTTAGCAGGGTTCCAACAGGTTGATGCGAACAGTATGTGGAATTTGGTGAAGATCAGACATCCAAGGAAGATTGTGCTCTCATCGACCGTCTAAGATGGGTTCTTATGCGACGGCTAGAGTGAAAACTGCGAATGTGGTATGGATTTCATCATGAAAGGGGTGGTGTGCAGAGTGGTAAAGGACTCATGACTGACCTTATTCATGATTAATGTAAACGGTGCGTAGTCAGTGCTGCAACAGTGCGGTTCACTAGGCCACAGCATGTAGAGCGCGCTCCCTGCCAAACAAAAACATTGCTGTTAGGCATAGGAGCTGCCCGTTCCCAAACCCAAACGACTCATACGCAAACCGAGAGAGGTGGATAACGGGCGCTACTACAAGCTCGAGGCTTTCGCGGATGACGCGGTGCGAGTTTCTACAATCTTCAGTGTCGTTAGCAAAGCTCTCAAGAAGGTTCTGCATGCGCGACAGCAGTGAATGAGTGTCAGACAACGTTTACTGGCAAGTAGCAGGACCCTTGCGAAGGGGTCCCGGACAGACAGTTTTCTTCAAGGTCGACTCAGTTGGGAAAAGAAGACATGTTCTAAAGGTGTCATCATTCAAGGGGAGGGCGCTGTCGCGTGTCGCAGGGAGAAGCATGTCCTTACCTAGCAAAAGAACGAGAAGGGTGGGAGGCGTGCCAGCGACATTTCATGGGTGCGCATGGCGCGCGGGTTGTTGCAGTCTCTGCAGAAAAAAAGTTTGGCGATCGAAGGTCAGAACTTATAGAAGGTTCGGAGAAACATTCGGCCACTAGGCGCATTCGGTAAAGCTCGCTCGACGCGCGAAAGCCACGCCGCACGTGAGCAGAGCTGAGCACCAGCCACGCTTACTCAGCAGCGTCTCAAGGTTACGCTTCTGAGGCTGTGGATTTCTCAAGCAACTCTACGACATACTTCCCTACCATCTACCTACCTCGTCCGCGCGCTTCGACTTCTTCCTCCGCCGCCATGGCAGCGCCCGACGCACCCCCGAAATTCTCCCTCGCCCTCGGCTCCAAGAAAGCGGCGCCGCAAAATACCAAGAAGCGGCCGCACTCGACACTGCACGATTCGGACGACGAGGATGAGGGCGCACCCAAGGCGCAGGACGTCTCACACTTCGATGCATCCGCCGGCGGTGCAATCGACGCGCGGAAACCGAAAGAAGAGACGGGCCCGCTCGTCATCCCCAAGCAAGCAAACCGCGACTGGCACGCCGAGAGCCAGGCCCGCAAGCGCCAGAAGAGCCAGCTCCCCAGCAGACCTCAGGCGAACGGCCACGGCGACGACGAGCAGGACTTCGAGGAGGAGAAGCCCGTTTTCGGCTTGAACATTGTGAAGAAGGCGGATGCGGCGGAGGCTGATGGCGACACTGAGGCGACGGAGGAAGCGCCTGCCGAGCCGGCTGTGCCGAAGACGGAGGACCAGCTTGCGCTTGAGGCGCTACTGGGCGAAGGGACAGCGTCGAATCTAGTTGTGCCCATCGCGGACAACGAGGACGAGGCTTTCAGCCGCGACTATGAGCGTGCGCCGGATGTTGCCACACTCGAGGAGTATGAGGCAGTGCCTGTGGAACAATTCGGAGCCGCGATGCTGCGTGGCATGGGCTGGAAGGAAGGCGAGGCCATTGGCAGGCGGAAGGGTCAAAAGGCAGTACAGCCAAGGGTCGTGGAGAGGAGGCCTGCATTGATGGGCATCGGCGCAAAGCCTGACAAGGCAATCGCTGAGGAGCTGGGTGCGTGGGGTAAAGGCGCAAAAAGAGGGAAACCGGCGCAATCCTACAATCCGGTCGTTATGAGAAACAAGAAGACGGGAGAACAGTACACCGAGGAGGAATTGAAGCAAAAGATCGCGGACCAAGAGGCGGAGGAAGCGGCACGCGCCCGCGAGCTCGCAAAGCAGAAGGATTCGTCCGCGCGCGATTCCGAGAGGCGTTCCGAGAAGTCCTCAAGACGTCACCGATACGATGAGGATGATTACGAATCCGACCGCCGTGACAGAGACCGGCGCAAGAGGGAGAAGGATTCAGACCGGGACTACGACAGTAAACACCGGTCTTCGCGGCGCGACCGCGACCGCAGCGCCTCGGACGAGGATCGCTACCGGAGACGCAAGTACGACAGCAAGGACTACGACCGGAGGGATCGTGATAGGGATCGCGATCGTGAGAGAGATCGCAAGCCTAGCGACAGGAGTCGGGACGATTATTCCTCCAAGTCCTCTTCGCGCCGTGACCACCGCGACAGAAGTCGGGACAAATATCGCGACTCGGATCGTGAACGACGCCGACGCCGAGACGATTAACAATCATTGCTCCTTCAGCTGAGGATATGGACCAAATGCGGACCGCGGATTAGCAATTACTGAGGGGATTCTACACGGGAAGTTGGTCAGCACAGGAACTACGGACAAAAAGGAGGAAGGATGTATCATAATCAGAGGACGCAACATACTAATCCGGACCAACACGGAGGATCTCATACTTCAAATTACACATCACGACCGGCTGGCGGAGTTAATGTCGGGAGGATTATCAATAACGATTCATCAGCGTTGTAGGATACCAGAGACCCTACCTTGGCTAGAGCCAGCGTCACAGCGAAGTCCCAACTTTTGATGTTGAATATCACATTCTACCTACACTGCCAAAATTGAAGCAGTAACGCAGAGAATGCTATCACAGTGTCCAATATGAATTTCCAGGTGAATGGATTCAGCTGAACCACGTTGGCATTCCGAGCGCCGTTTGCCAGCTCGTACGAGCTCTGGTCTCTCGTCGGCGAATTTCCAACATCCGCGGCGCTGACCGGATCGTAGGACATCCGGGAAAGCCGGATGGCGGCTAATTTGGTTGTGCCTCTGATCTCGTCCGTATGCTCATGAGATTCGAGGTACACGTCGGCGACATTAGTTCGGCGTTCAACACATCCGTGGGTTTTCGACCGTGGAGGTCATAGCCGGTCTCCGCTTCTTGGCTCGGACGGATTGGAACATCGGCGTTTTCTTGGTACTGGTTGTCGGTACCTCAGGGTAAGCATACTACGTTCCTTGCATCGTTTCTGAGACTGAGATGTCCAAAGAATGGAACGGAGTTGTTCTCAGAGGATTGTTTCGAAGGGGCTTGTTGTATGTATGCTTTGGTGGTGGAGCTGGTTCCGGACAATTCCTTGGGCGGTGTGTACCAGAACACTACAAAGGATCGTGCTCTTCAATCTTGGCCCAATATGTTTCCCGCCCGCCTGGTTTCGTCCGGATCCTGACGCCCAACCATCGATCGGGTTGCAGACTCGGCACAATCTGTGGTAGCTTTGATATTATCCAGACAATCCAACTGGAAGCAAAGGGGTTCATCAGCACTCAGCAACACGCAGTCCTCTCATGCTCACCTGATTCGAATAGTCTATTCCGAGACGACCTCACCCTCCAATCAGAGAACAGCGAAAATTCTATTTTTCTGAGAGGTATCGCCCCGCGCTTAACAGCCTAGCAAGAAATCTCAACAAACATCGACATATTCCCTCCACTATAACCCAGTCCAGGTACACACTACCCCAACGCACCTCAACTCGCAACATCATCCTTCAAACTCCTCCCTTCCTCATCCCTGGGGAAGTCCAACAAAAACGGATCCCTCCGCACCTTGGCGTAGGCGGGGCGAGCCAGGCTCCTGGCGGCGACGTCGATGTCGGTCTTGATGTCGTCGATCAGGCTCTCCTTGGACACGTAGTCGTACTCGGGGCGGATGAAGCCGAGGATGACGAGGTTGAGGTGGGCGCCGTAAAAGTCCTGCGCGAAGTCGTGCATGATGTGCACCTCGACCGACCGCACCGAGTTCTTGTAGAACGGATTCCACCCCACGCTCATGACCATCGGGTGCACGCGTCCCTTGCCTTCCCACTCCTCCTCATCCGCCGCGCCGCTGCCGCTGAACAGCGCGCTGCTGACCGCGTCGGCGACCTTGCCGCCCGCGTTCTTCACCTTGGACGCGATGCTGCTGTTGCTGCTAGCGGCGGCGGTGGTGGTGGTGCCGTTGGTGCTGGAGGTGGCGCTCGCATCTGGTTGGTCGTTGCTGACGAAGTCTAACGCTGCCCAGCCGTAGTAGATGCCTGACTCAAGGTCTTCATGGCCGCCGACGCTAAGACCTGCGAGGGGGATGTTGGCGGTTGGGATGCCAAGCTGGTGGGGAGAAGGTCGTTAGTGCTATGTTCGTACAGAAGTCGGAAGAATCAAGGGTGGAGACTGAGCCTGAGAAGAAGGAGGGAAAAAGGAAAAGGAAGAAAGGAAAAAAGCGAAGAGGAAAGAAAGACAGCCGGTGTACAGGGAGATTTTGGTAATGTTCGTGAGCAATTACAAGTCAGTAGTACTCGAGATTATACAAGTAGGGCGTTGATCTCTAGTGATGAAGGCATTTCTTCCCGTCTCTGCATGGTGTTGGTATTACCCCAAGCAACGAGTGCTGGGAATCCTCGGCAAATAAATACCGAAGTATGCAGCTTTGGTATTTCTTGCGCAGTTATTTCCAGGATCTTAGTTAAGGAGGAGCCTACACGTGTGAGGCTGAAAAGCCACGTGCTCCGCCCGAGGAGTCATCCGCGCCAAGTTTCTTGGGCCCAACAAGGAGGTAACAGCAGATCAAACTACTGTATCCTCTCTGCCTCGGTCGCATCCATGGAGGCATTTTCCTTGTGCCGCAGGCTCTGAAAGAAGCCAGGACGTTGTCACGATCGTCGGACCTCGGAAGCGACGGACATATCCGACGATTTAGGAAAAAGAGAAGAAAAAAAGGAAAGCAGAAAAGGAGAGCAAAAGACGTATAACGGCCAGTACCAGGCTCAATAGACGAGTAAATGATCAGCTCACCTCTTTGCTGCCGCGACCGAAGCCCTTGATGACCTTGCCGCCGAGTTTCAGCGGGAACGGAGGCTCCGGCACGTCGGGCCCGGCGATGGGGTCGCGAGGACCGTCGGGGCGCATTTTCGTCGGTGGGCGGTGGAGTTGAGAGAAGGGGTGGGCAACTGGGAGCACAGCGGAACCAAGGTCGCAGGCTGTTTCCTGTTGTATGTATTGGCAGGGTGGACGGATGGTGCTTGGTAATGGAGTTTCGGTTGGATAGCGAGGTCGGGCCGGGATGACGAGATGATCGATAAGGTGCGCCATCGCCCGCTTCGGACTAGTGTGGGGGCTGCGAAAGAACGGCGTGGAAGCATGCTCTCTTTTCGGATGTTGAGATATTGTATGCCTTCTAACCATGGCTGAGGCGGATGCTCAGTCGCAGATATATATCCAAGTAATTTTCCCTTTTTACAGGCTGCATTGACCTCCAGAATCAAAACTAGCTACTGAAACATGTTCCGCCTTCTCATCCTCGCTACTTTCCTTGCGCTCCTGGTCACAGCCCATGTTTGTTCACAGCCAAGCAACCCTATCATTTGCAGCTCTACTAACTAGCAGTAGGCTAAGGATAAGGGTCTGGAATGCGGGAGTAAAGTAAAAGGAACGCATGAGCACCGAAGGAATTTCATAACCGCCATAGAGAACTTTTGCGGGAAATACGGGGGCCAAACCGTCATGACAGCCAAGGACGCATACAGCTATGAAACTAAAGTCGACGGCCAGTTTATATGGTCAAAAGATGATGCGACAGCTACTATTACCACCGAAGTCTCATCTACGACGGGCGGGCGGATCACCTTGGACCGCGAGGAGTGCCGCTCCATGTTACGAATCCCTATCGATCAGTGCTGTACTCATACCGAGGCGAAAAAGTACGGAGGAAAGTTGGCGAAAGGGGATAAACTTTGGTCTATAGGGCTATCGATCGATAATCACGAGGAGTGATTCGAAGCCGCTAAACGGGCAAGCCTTAAACGTATGAAAGACATCAGTTCGCAGAAGCAAATGCCAGGATATCCTCATGCAAGTCGACCCTGCGGATCGATGGTATGCTTCCAACAACATTCTTCACTGCAATTGAGACCATCCGATCTTCTTCGAAGGCCTGGATTTCCATTCGCACATCTTGAACCCTCTTGCCATGTAGCCAAACCTCGACATCGTCAACTTTCTCGCCCCAGGACCCACGGGTGGAGCACCTCGCGACTATCCCCGGCATCGGCGCCCGCACGTGCTTGAACTCCAACTGCTTGAGCCAGCTCGCCATGAGCGCCTCTCCTGTTAGCTTGATGTAGGCTTCTTTGTAGCACCAAAACGTGTAGAACCGCCGCAGCTTAGCGTCGATTAAGAGATCCGAACTGAACGTGACCGGCTCCGTACGGCCATCCTCGAGCGTACGGTGGGCAGTGAGAGTCTGATCGCGGCGGCAGCAGCGGTCACTGCGACCGAGCTCGGCGGACGTGAGAATCGAGCCGTCCAGGAGCTGTACGCTGTCGACATTGTACTTCATGTCCCACGACTCCTCGGCGGAGAAAATCTCATCGTATATGTCAACCCAGCCGTCAAACCCGTCTTTGTCAATGACTCGGAAGTCGTTCCGCTCATTGACGCAGACAATGTCGACGCCAAGCTCAACACCGGGCACCGTAGACCCAACCAGGGCGACGAGGCCAGCTTGGTGGGAGACGTTAAAAGTGATGTTGGGCACAGGCTTCCCATCCTCGGCCACGTAGCAGGGCTTTCCGTGCACAGGATCTCCAGCGCGGCCGAAGCGGATTTTGTGCCAGGGCGCGCCGGTGACTTTGGCGATGAAGGCTCGCTTGAGCAGTGCAGAACCCAGACTCAGGCGAGCATCTTGGATGAAGTGTTTTCTTCGCACGCCTTCTTGCTCCTCTGGGCTAAGTAGATTCAGAACGTCGGCTGCCTGTTGCTAGGTTCAGCGCAGCTTCGGCGAATTAGTCTGGTGGGTGAGACGGACAGCCTGTTCGATGCGGCTCCCCGGCCAGAGGGAGCGCGTGTCGAGAAGCCAGTAGGTCAACTCTTGGTCCATGGCGACTCGGAAGTTTCAGGTGGACTCAGTTTGAGAGGAACGCATTGCCGTGCCGACAGAGAGTCGGAGGTGAGACGGAATGCGGCTGAAAGTGGTACCTAGAAATAGACCTTGGATCAGATAAGCACTTATCAGATGGGACACGGTGTGTTTGCGGCTGGCGTGATTGGACGACTCTGACGTGAGGAAAAATGGGTCGGGGCGAGCGCCGAACATCGGCGGGGCCCAGCGCATTCCCGCCGGGAGTCATCCAGGCCGTCAATAATTTGGGACAACGCCAAACTGCACTCCGCAACAACCCCCATAACCACAATGGCTTCGCACACCCCGTCGCAACGTTACCTCAGCACTCGCGGAGGATCCTACGATGTACGTCGCTCACACAGCCGCCGCCGGCAGCCCTGACAAAAACTTCAATCCGCCCCGCCGCCCCGCTCCCAAGCAAACATACACATTAGCTGAGACTCGCACGCCCAGCTGTCCTTCGAGGATGTCGTCCTGAAGGGCCTCGCCAACGATGGCGGCCTGTTCATCCCCGAGGAGATCCCCGCCCTGCCCGCCGACTGGGCCACGGCCTGGAAGGACTACTCCTTCGAGGAGCTGGCCTTCGCCATCTTCTCGCTCTACATCTCGCCCTCCGAGATCCCGTCCGCCGACCTCAAGGAGCTCATCCGCAAGAGCTACGCCACCTTCCGCGCCCAGGACCGCACCCCGACCGTCACCCTCGACGAGAAGCGCAACATCCACCTGCTTGAACTGTTCCACGGCCCGACCTTCGCCTTCAAGGACGTCGCCCTGCAGTTCTTGGGCAACTTGTTCGAATACTTCCTCGTGAGGCGGAATCAGGGCAAGACTGAGGGCGACAAGGAGCACTTGACCGTCATTGGCGCCACGAGCGGCGACACGGGCTCTGCTGCCATCTATGGTCTGCGCGGCAAGAAGGATGTGTCGGTCTTCATCATGCACCCGCAGGGCAAGGTCAGCCCCATCCAGGAGGCCCAGATGACCACGGTGCTGGACGCCAACGTGCACAACCTTGCCGTCGACGGCACCTTTGACGACTGCCAGGTAAGCTCTCCTCCAGTCACAGACTTTTTAAGTTCCTGATCTCACACCACCGCAGGACTTCGTGAAGGCCCTCTTCGCCGACGAGGCCATCAACAAGACGCACCGCCTGGCCGCCGTCAACTCGATCAACTGGGCCCGCATCCTCGCCCAGATCACCTACTACTTCGCCGCCTACTTCGCCCTCGTCCGCTCGCCCGCCTACACCAGCGGCGCAGCCGTGCGCTTCGTCGTGCCCACGGGCAACTTCGGCGACATCCTCGCCGGCTACTTCGCCAAGCGCATGGGTCTGCCCGTCGACAAGCTGGTCATCGCCACGAACGAGAACGACATCCTCGACCGCTTCTGGAAGAGCGGCCGCTACGAGAAGAAGCCCGTCCACGGCGCCGCGGCCACGGGCGGCCTGCCCGCCGACGGCGTCAAGGCCCACGAGAGCGGCGTCAAGGAGACGCTGTCGCCCGCCATGGACATCCTCGTGTCCAGCAACTTCGAGCGCCTGCTCTGGTTCCTCTCCTACCAAATCGCCAGCGATTCGGCCACCGTCGCCGAGAGGCGCGCCGCCGCCGGCGACCGCGTGCGCGGCTGGCTCAACGACCTCAAGACGGCCGGCGGCTTCGCCGTCGACGCGTCCATCCTGGCCGCCGCCTCGGCCGACTTCGAGTCGGAGCGCGTGTCGGACGAGCAGACGCTGGCCACCATCCGCACCACCTACCTCGCCACGGCCGCCCAGCAGGCGCCCAAGAAGGCCGCGCACCACGGCACCAAGGGCACCCTCTCCGCCGCCGGCAACTACATCCTCGACCCCCACTCGGCCATCGGCATCGCCGCCGCCCAGCGCAGCGTCGAGCGCGCCCCCGCGCCCCAGTGCCACCACATCTCGCTCGCCACCGCCCACCCGGCCAAGTTCTCGCAGGCCGTCCAGCTCGCCCTCAAGGACCAGGCCGACTTCGACTTCGCCACCGTGCTGCCCGACCAGTTCGTCGGCCTCGAGCAGAAGGAGAAGCGCGTCACCGTCGTCAGGAAGAGCGACGGCATCGACGGCATCAGGAGCCTCGTCATCAAGAGGGTCGAGGAGGAGAAGTTGGCGAACGGCCATTAGAAGGGCGTCGTCTTTGGTTAGAGGAAGAAGAATTTATTGGCTACGCTTTTTCGTTTTTTTACGTTGGTAAAGGGGGATTTGAGATAAAAATTTTCTTTACACGTATGCATGCATGCATGCATGCACGCAATGATGATCTGTCGAGATAAAAGACGAAAGAGGGCGAGCGAATTAAAGTGGTGATGTGGGGTGAATTGAACAACGAAAAAAAGTTAGCGTACAATAGAGACGATTTCAAGAGAGAATAAGATGCTAGCATGCAGCATCGTCACCCGCCTCGGCTCTGGTATCAATGCAACTCCTGACCTGTAGAAAAAATCTTGGACCGTAAATATCACATTTTGAAACTATGACCCAAACCAAGCATACAAAGAAAGGAACGAAAAGCTCGGTATACGGTCTCAGCTCCGTTTAGCTACAGCCGTAAACCGATGACAAAGCCGTAATTAAGAGGGGCAGAGAGAGGGAAGAAGAAAGCAACACGCAGTAGTGACGCTCGAGAATTAAATCAAGAGTAAGGTGAAAAAGAGCAGGATGAATGGATCATAGACCGCTTCAAGGGCGTGTCAAGCCTGGTCTCCAACATCGTTCCGGAAGTAGAGAGCGCTCTTGGTAAACAAAGCTGTCGTTGTGTTCTGAAACGGCGTGCTTAATGGTCATTGTGCGGGTTTTGCTGCCATTGGTCATTCGTCGATGGTGGTTGGAAATGCGGTTGCTGCTCCATAGATTGCACGAAGTGCTGTTGTTGCTGATCCTGGGTTGGTGGCGAGAATTGGTAGGGGTGGTGCTCAGTTGGAGGTTGGTGATGCTGCTGAGGTTGGGACATCGTCGCAACCTCGTATTCGTAGTTTCCGTGGGGGACATGATGGCTCACAAACGCGGCGGAGGCATCGCTGCCCAAAGTGACGCCGAGCGGAAAGGGGGGAGCCAGTGGGTTGCCAAAGGCCATGAAAGGGTTGCTCAAATCGTACATGTTGTGGAAGACTCCAGTGCTCCATGTTGAGTCGACCGGTACGGTCCAGTCCGTAGACCACAGTTCCTCGTCGGTGTAGTGAGGCCACGATTCTTCTTGGTCATGCTGGAAGGTGACATGGTTGGGGACATTGGATTGCTCCGGGTCCTCCATGGTTTGATCCTGAAAAGTGTCAACGATTATGTGATCCCGTACTTGCTTTACAGCATGGGTTGAGCTAAGCCGCTCAGCTCCGTCCCAAACCTCCGTCTTACTCACAGGGGTCCCACTCACTTGGGCAGAAGAACCAAGTATTGAGTGTTGCATTCGATCAGGCGTGAAGTCAGCAGAGCCTTTCCTTTCCTTGGATAGGTGCTCTGACGCTGGCTCTGATCCGCGTTCGGCCATCTCCACAAGGTCAGAGGTATCAATATGTTCAAAAGGCGAGAACCCTTTGAATTGTTCCTCAGCCTGCTTGCACGCAGACTTTGCGCTTTCATTCCCGTTCGCAGCCATCATTGTGAGCCAGCGGAGCAGCTTCCTGGCAGTATGCAAGATTCCTTCCTGGTTCACGGAAAGATCCTTCATGTGGCACATTTCGAACGCCAACTCCAGCATCAGAACAGTCATCGCCTGCATGAGGTGATGAACTATGCACCACCATGGGCCATTGTAATACATCCAGTTGACGTCTGGGACATCCATGTCGGGAAGAAGGTCAGACATGCTTCTAGCAGCCATGACGCACTCCCTGGCGCGCTCCTGATCAATGTTTTTGGAGCCTTGTCCCTGCTTTTGGATCCGCTTGTCGATGCGGCACAGACAAGGACGGTTGAGGAGGATCTTCGTACTGTAGAAGCCGAATCCTAAAAGGATTTTCTCTCGGCAGAAGGCATTCTTGTCCTCCGAGTGGGCAAACCGGAATTCCATTGGGAGGCCCCCATACCACTGGTCAAGTTCTGTGCCCAAAGCAACGATCTCGTACTGTGCGCGTTCCCAGGATTTCTGAACGGTAGTGGCTGAGTAAAGATTGACCAAGATCTTTTGGGAGATGACTGCGAGTTGGACACGGTTGCGAAAATTAGTCGCAACGCTTGGAGTAGATTCTAGGTCCAGAACCGCTTTCCTGTCCTCGCTCGCCGGGGTGGATGACGCTTCTGATTGGCACCTGTTCCACTCTTCGAGGTTCTTTCCTCCGGACTTGGCCAAGCTGGCTTCGTCGATGGGGGCCGGAGCTGGAGTTGAGCAAAACCTCTGATCAACTGCAGTAGGCCGCCCGAGAGTTTCGCAAAGGAGGTTCTCAATATAGTAGAGGGACCACCAAACCCGGATCCTTTTCTCCTTAGACACAGCATCTTTGTGGGGATCCAAGTTGCGAAGATGCAGGCCAAGAGCAATAGCCTGGCGGCATGCCAAACCAATCATAACCCACGATCTGTGTAATAAAGTATCAGACTTGACAAAAACGGCGGAACGCGACACGGAGCCGGGAGGACGACGCATTAGTTCCAAGCAATTGACATACCGACTGACTTGGCTGATGGTCAAGTAATAGAAAGAGACGAGACCGAGGACCTGGATACGTTGAAGGTCAGGGTGGGCGACGATAGCATCTCCGGGCATTCCAAGGCTGAGAGCCCGTGTGTAGTACACAAGATGGTCTCGCTCGTCGCCGCGCCAGGGGGCATTTACTAGATGAGAAAATTTAGCACCAATGGCAAACACCATATTCAATATGGCACGCCATGTTGCAGGCAAGCTTTCTGGGTTCTTTGCACGAGAGTACCGCCGATATTGGTCTAGGAAGACGGATTTGGAGAGGATTGGCAGCGCATCTTGAACTGTGTCCATATAGTGATCTAGTAGATGTCGAGCAACCTGTGGTGGTGGAAGCTCATCTTTGTCGACATGATCAAAGGTAAGGACATTTTCCGTATCCAGGTGATAGGTGAAGTCAGATATGGGAGGATGTTTCTGAGTTTCAGCAGCATGGCGCTCCTTTCTCGCGCTCAGGCGATCTCTCTGGGCTTCCTCACTCTTACCGGGCTTGCCGTACGAATTGCCCCGTACGTCGTTTTCTATGCCCCCGTGCTGGGCTTGGGAAAGACGACGGGCCCAGGCAACCTCGGAATTTTTGCCAATGAAACCAGTGGCCCTAGCCTTCTCAGAGCGGTTGAAGTCCTCTTCAATAATGTCCACAGACTCCTCGGAGCCAACGTCTGCGGAGACATCGGCCTCCCCTTGTAAGGTAGGCGATGAGGATCTGGGAAGCTTTTCGGGAACGGCACTGCCAGACGACTTGCGCCGCCTCTTTGAGGCTATGGTCTGGAGGGAGCGTACAGACGTATCATCTTCCAGGATCTGAGTCGACTTGGCTCACTGTCAGTGGGCATTGTTGGCAAGCAGCCGATGTGACGAGAACATGCACGGGAATGCGGTGCTTGGCGAATCCCAAGTAGGGCAATAACGAGGTGAGCTAGGGAGATAGACAACTTCATACCTCAGACTCAATTGCTCGAATCTTTTGCTGAAGGTGTGGGGGAAGAGATACTTCGCGGGAGATGTCACCGAGAAGTTGTAGCAGGCGGTCGCTCCGTTCTGTAGCTCTATGAGAAGAGCATTAGCCCTGATGGGGCGGAGGATGGCGGCGGTGGGGCTACCTTTTGTTCTGCTCTCGTTTGCCCTCGGCGTACACGCAGGGAATTTGGCACTGCTCGCAATGCTCACAGGTAGGGCGCTTGCCGTTACACTTGATTTTCCTAGTCCGACACTCGACACAAGCCTTGGGCGTGCGCCTCTTTTCGGCAGCCGAGGGTGGAGGTGCTGGATCCAGTCTGGGACGTAGCGGCGGGATGGCCACCTTTGCAGCAGGCGTAGGCGTATGGGAGGGCGGATCCATGCTTGATTGCTGTTGTCCCAGATGCTGGTGACGCAAGGCGGCCACATGCTTTGCCGAGCGGCGGGCTGGCTCGGTGGAGCTCATGGCGACTACAGCTGCGGAGCAATGGAAGTCTCGAGCATGTGGACCGCGCTGGGGAAGGTGCTCGGATGACGTAGCGATATGGCGACGGATAAAGTGCAGCTGGAGGCGATTGCGGGGGGCTAGCCGGAAGCGGCGAAATGGGGTGATGGGGACCAGGGCGTCGGCGCGCAAGCGAAAGATGGCGGCAGCTTCTTTGGCAGGCGCGAGGCTGATGATGAATTGGCTCTCTTCTAGCTGTTGGCAAGAGCACTAAAGATTCTAGCGGAACCATCTCCGTTGCCACTTCCTGCTGGTGCCGTGCACGCCATACCTGCCTCCCTGGGTTACTACCACTCCGCCCGACGCGACGGTGGGGCGACGAGCTGCGTCCTCTTGCCGTGCAAAACTCGCCGCTCAGCAGCGTCGTGATACTGCGTCTCGAACCTTAGCGACTGGACATCGGCATTCCAGCAGTCACGTGCGCGCCAGGCATCAAGGCGCCATCCGCTCCGCCGCGCGCTGCTCCGACTCAGTCATCGCTCGCAGCCGCATTCCATCGCGACAACATCGGCCATGTCTCATAGCGAAAGCCCTGGTCCGGCTGCGGCCGAGAGCCAGTATTTCAGCAGCAACCCGCCGCCGCCCTCGCTGCAGGCGCATCTGACGCTCGCCCGCGCCTTCATCCAGAGACACGCCGAGGAAGGTCGTCGCGTGGTGCTCGTCACATCAGGCGGCACTACGGTTCCGCTGGAGGAGCAGACGGTCCGCTACATCGATAACTTCTCGGCGGGTACCCGCGGCGCCACGTCCGCCGAGTACTTCCTCAAGCATGGCTACGCCGTCATCTACCTGCACAGGCAGTTCTCCCTGCTGCCGTACAGCCGCCACTACTCGCACAACACCCGCTCCTTCCTGGATTTCATGCGGGAAGACGAGGACGGCCGCGTGATTGTAGACGAAGAGCATCAGCGTCAGATGCTCCGCGTTCTGCGCCAGTACACAGAGGCCAAGCGCCAGAACACGCTGCTCATCTTGTCCTTCGTCACCATCACCGACTACCTGTGGGAGCTTCGCGAGGTGGCCAAGCTGATGCGGCCGTTGGGCAACCGCGCCATATTCTACCTTGCCGCCGCCGTGTCCGACTTTTTCGTTCCCAAGGACCGCATGGTTGAGCACAAGATCCAAAGTGTCGAGGAGTTTACTCAGCAAAAGGATTCGTCCGAGGCAGCTGTGAGCAGCAAGCCTCAGCCAGCCGCTCGCACCGAGGGCAAGTCTCTCATCATTGACTTGGAGCCTGTTCCCAAGTTCCTGAAGTCGTTGGTGGATGGCTGGGCCCCGGACGCCATGATCGTTTCCTTCAAGCTGGAGACGGACCCCAACATGCTGGTCCGCAAGTCCGTCTACGCGTTGAAGCGTTACCATCATCACCTCGTGATCGGCAACCTGCTGTCCACCCGCAAGTGGGAAGTCGTCTTCGTCAGCGCCGATGAGGGCGAAAAGTGGATCCGCGTGCCTCGCAACCGGAGAGGTAGGAGTACGTCGGGCATTGAGGCATTGGTAGGCAAGGCAGCACTGCGAACCAACATCGACGAAGATGCGGTCGAGGACGAGAACGACCAGATCACGCAGCCACCTGCCCTGAGCGATGCCGACCCGATTGTCGAGATTGAAAGCCTCATTATCCCAGAGATTGCAAGGCTGCACGAAAAGCTCATGCAGAAGGGTGGCAGTTCTTAAGATGGTAGATGGAGCTTTGTACAGAACGGGAAATGGCCAAAGCTCTATTGCAGTTTTCTCTCCGCTGAAATCTTAGATTGTGATGGCTAAGAGATTCCTAGCGCAAATTGGAATGTTACAGAGACTCGCAATTGATCCGATTGAATGCGGTTGTGCACGGGAAAGCAGAAGCTCGGTTAGACTTTCGACCCAAAGTGGTTGCCGCACCTACCTAACATCCGAGTCGGCCGGCGCGGGGCAATATGCACGCGACGCGACACCACGGCAGCTGCGACACACGTCTGAATGGTGCCCACCCTGCTTAACGATGGCCTGGCTGACAAATTGCCTGCTCGGCCTCAAGGACCCCGCACTCCGCGGTGACGCCATTCGAGCTTATCGTCCCGCGATGATAAAACGCGACAGCAGGCCTCACCTTCACCTTGACCAAATCCACGCTCCTGCCCCTCACAGCAACAATGGCTAGCTACGAAGCTCCGGGCATTCCGCCCAAGATCACCTTCTACACTTTCCCCGAGTGTCCGTGGTGCCAGCGAGTGCAATTCATTCTCAGCGACCTCAAGATTCCGGTGGAGCAAGTTATCATCAACCTCGACGAACCTCGCCCTCAATGGTACCTTGACATCAATCCGGTGAGCAATGGGTCCTCTCCCGAACCATATGCTCGCTGAACTGACCCTCGACTCAGCGCGGTCTGGTGCCCGCCATCAAGTTCTCCAACGACGTGGTCGTCAACGAGATCCTCTACGAATCGAACATCATCTCGCAATTCCTAGTCGACCTGCGTCCGTCCCACCTGCTGCCCGCCTCCCTAGCCGACCCTGCTGCCCCGCTCCGCCGCGCGAAGATCCAGTTCTTCATTGATACCTTCATGTCGAAACTCGGCAGCCAGTTCCGCACGCTACTGCTGGCCGACAATCAGGACGCAAAGGTGGACGCGCTTCTCGCCGACGTAGAGAAGTTCATCGAGCCACTGCTCGATAGCGCTGGACCTTTTGTCGACGGCAGCAAGGAGTTGACCTACGCCGAGGTGAGTACAAGCATGACCAAGGATTTGGCTTTAGCTAACGTGAGGGTACAGACTCAAGTTGCGCCTTTCCTGCTGCGGTTCTACTCGTTGTCGAATGGCACCTACCTGCCTACTAAGCTCAAGTCTGGTTTGAAGAGCTTGCCAAACTTCTCCAAGTGGGCTGCTGCAACCATCGAGCATCCCAGCATCAAGAGCAATTACAATGAGGAGGCCGTTGTTGCGCGGTCGGCACAGACCGTGGCTAAGATCAAGGCCAAGGCTTGATTGCCCTTTCTGATCGATGGGGGTACTTGAATGCTACATGCCGCAGATAAGTTTGAGGCCCACTGGAGACTGTCAGGACGTAAAAATCCCCACAGTCTTTGCCTTTCCACCAGGGTCAGACACAAGGTTTCTAGGAAAACCTGAAATTGAGCTCTAATGATACTGCTTTTGCAAGAAATCTACCATCATCGATCGTGCATGTTCGATACGTAAAAGAGGGCCGTTACAAATTGTCCAAACTCCATGCCACATGTCAATACCCAGAAAACCAAAAATCCAAAAGGCCCAACGAAGGTATCAGGTCAAAGTGTGTCAGTCCCATCAGTGCGAAGCACGACGCAGCCGCTTCTCACGGTGACTTGTGAGCGCATTTCGTCCGCTATCGCCTTTGAGCAGATTCAGCAGCAGCCTCGCCGCCGTCACGTCTCGCGAACTGGACTCTTCAGGGCTCTCCGAAGCCGGGCTAGCACTGCTACGCTGAACATGTGCACTCCAAACAGATACCGTTTCGTCGTCATTGTCGTCATCATCGCCATCCCCTTCCTTCTCAACCGTCGAGATCGGCCGCTTCGCAGCTGCCCTCGTCTGCTGCTCACCCTCCACCTCCGCTGCCGGTGCGGGCACAAACGAACGCGGCACGAACGACATCCACGACGATGCCTCTCCGACCGGAGACGACGTCGGTCCCCGGTAGTATCTAGCTCCGGCGACGCGCGCATTGACAGCCGGCGGCGCCGTCACCCCGGAACCATAGCAGTACAAGCTTTTGTCGCCGACCTTGACAAAGCTGTTGACGTCGACTGCTGGTGCTAATGCTGCTGCTCCACCACCGCCATTGTTCACGCTCGCCCACTGCGGCGGCGCCGGCACCTGCGTCAACGGCGACACCTGCGGCGAGCAGAGGTACATGCCGGGGCGCTCCGTGTCGGACGCGTAGCCGCTCTCGATGGTCAAGCTCGGCGACGGCCACTTGCCGCTGAAGGTTGTGGCGGCGGTGGTGGTGGTGGTGGTACTGCCATCGAAGTTGTCGTAGTGCCTGCCGTGGGGTTGTTCACGCTGCTGCTGCTGTGGTGATGGCGTCGACGGTGTCGGCGGCGCTGCTACGAGGCGTGGTCGAAGAGACCGTGGACCGGGTGTCGAGGGTGGAGGAGGAGGCATCCAGGACGACGCTTTTCCTCCCGTCGTCGTCGTTGGCGCCATCGTCGCCACTGAACGCAGCGGCGAACCAGTCCTCGAGCGACTAACCGGCGCCGCCAGCAACAACGCCGGGCCACGACGACGACGTTCACCCGGACTATTGTTGCCGCCATCACCACCATTATCACCACCACCACCACTCCTCACCACCCCCCTATTCTCCCTCTCCTCCCCCTCCCTCTCCCTCATCCCCTCCCCCTCCACACCACCACTCACCCCCTTCATCTTCTTCCTGCTCCCCTTCTGCCAATCCTCCGCCTGCGCCCGGCACCGCTGCACCACAGTCCGCGGGATCCGGAACGTCGCGTACAGCGCGTCGGCCGGATGCAGGCAGTCGCGCACGAAATCGGGCCCGAACAACGGCGTCAGCGCCGCGCGCAGGTGCCAGCAGAAATTGGCCGCTACCGCGCGCGCCGCGTCGTACGGTAGCCAGTAGCCCTGCGCTAGCAGCGAGCCGCCTGTGATGCTGTGGCTAATATCGCGCAAGCCGGGGTTGAGGGAGATGGCGCGGGCGGGGGTGGTCTGGGAGGTGGGTTAGTGGGTTTGTAAGAGGGTGTGGGGTGCAGAACTGACCTTGGAGTATTTGCAGCACTTGAAGAAGTGCGTGATACGCGTGAGGCCGACGTTGTAGTCCCACATCACGGTCCATTTGACGTCGTCGCCGGGAAGTACGAACGTGTAGTGGAAGACTGTACGTGCATGGCTTAGCAAGATGGGACAAAGCGCGGTGATGGTGGTGGTGGTGGGCGGTTGTTGTGGGAAAGTCATTGTCTAATTACACTCACTCACTCACCTTCGAACGCCTCCCGTCCCGTCTTCTCGAGGAAGTCCTTCTTCTCGCTGCTGTACGGTATGTGCTGGGGGTAGTCCTTGATCTCGTCGACGGGCGGGAAGATCTGGTACTCGCGGTGCCGCGCCGCGAGGCTCGGGTCGTAGTTGTCGTGGTCGACGCTGCCGAACGGCGGGTAGCGCACCTCGCCCTTGGGCCTGCCCTTGACGAAGACGGCGTCGGCCTTGGAGAGCTTCTGGCGTTTGGGGGGTTGTTGTTGCTCCTGGTCCCTCAGCATGGACGTCTTCGTTGAAGGAGGAGGAGGGGGAGTGACCACCGTCGACTCGACATGGTGGTGGTGGTGGTCGACCGAGGAAGGGTTGAGAAGGGATCCGATGTCCATCTTGACTTGGGGCTGAGGATTATGGGCTGGGACTGGGATTGTGACGGAGCCGCCGTTGGCTAAACCCACTCGACACTGGTCTCGGGAAGGTGAGGGTGATTTGAGGGGAGAGAGGCCAAACGGAAACAAGATTGGGCACTGGTGGTGTCAGCAAAGGGAAGAGGAGGGGATCAGCCCGACTGAGTGCGTCAGGGATAATCGATGGTGGAGGTCGAAGAAAGAGAAAAGGTGTACGAGGGTGCGAGGCAGGGCAGAGGCCTTATACAGTGTGGGGGGGTCATCAGCTCACCACTCTTTCTGCTGCGAATCACCCGCCGACCAGGATTATGGAAGGAAAGTGCCAGCACGCAACGAGCCGTTTAGCGTGCTGCAGCACTTACCGCCACTGCGAGCAGTCTGTCTTTGTTGGGGCGGCGGCGACGCGGGGAGGGCGGGCTGTCTGAGATCTCGCTCACCGGCTGTTGCTGCTCCTTCGGCTACTACTGCTGCTGGTCCCTGTCGGGTGGATCTGCAGACGGGACAGTACAGGACGCTTGCTCTCGGCAGTGGACGCTGTCTTTGGTCTGGGCGATTTTCTACCCGTTGGTCGGCTGGACGAGCCTGAATCGAGTCCGGGGGACTGGAAATACGGACGCCGCGTTGTGTAGAGGAGGGTAAGTCAAGATTGCTAGACAGGTCAATGTCTGGCTCTCGATATGAGTGTTTTACTTCAAGAGCAGACTAACCTCCAGACTTGGAGACGTGGGGTGGCAGAATCTAGATTTAACAGAGCTCCAGGAAGATCACCGAACGATGACGAAGGAAACGTCCGATCTTATACTTGGCCGGCCACCGGCGCTGGCACCATTCGCCTCGTTCCTCCTGCACACGGCCGTCTGCTGATTGCGGGTTTTCAAGGCTTGCTTCAGTGACAATCTATGGAAGACGGTTCAAGTAAGCGGCCTGATTGCTCCACCCCGGTCCACGCTTGTTGTCTGGAGGGGCAAAAGAGCAAGCGGACGGCTGGGAAACAGAGTGGTTGATCTATCGACTGAGGGAGGCTTCTCGCAACGGCCCGCTTTTCTTCAGCGGGAGTGTAGCGACAGAAGGCACGGAGAGGCGTTGCTCGAGGCGGAGTTTCACCGCATCCGCCGCGCGGCCCAGCCTGCTTTGCCTCCCAGCCATGCAGCTTTCCTGCACAGATCCGCTCGACAGAAGCAACGGCAGGCAACCTTCTGCACAGGAAACGACGGCCCATGCGACGGCCTTTGCCCGGCTGCTGGGAAGGCAGTAGGGCGGGCACCTCTACGCTGCTGTTCCAGCCAGCCAAACAGCCTCGTTTGGCCAGACGAGCACCTGCGATCATGCGTGGAGCCGGCCAGGTCTTACATCGCCGTTTCTTCAGCCAAACGGGCCCATGCCCCCGGTCACGCTGTCAAGAGTGCAATGAGACATGGCAGCGAGGTCCAGTTGGGGGATAGGCGTCATGGGAACACAGTTTTACATTATGGCCGGTCCCGCATGCACACTCTGCTGCTCCACATCTCAGACCAGCGCAGAAGCCATGCTTCCCTGGCCGTAGGAGAAAATCGATGGTCAGGGCTCCCACTGTGCGGCGCAAAGCTAGCGGCTTCCAATCGGCTGGCGGCTTCGTGCTGCGGCTTCCCGCGCGGAGGGTCGCCCGCATTCGCCCCTGAAAACTTTGTGCCCGCCCACCCTCCATCTCTTTTTTCCAAACATGGGCCCGAGCGTCCGTGCTTGTGGATTCGTGCGTTTGTGCCCTGCAAGTATTGGGCGTCGTGCTGCCCGGGCTGCGCCGCGGCGTCGAAGTGCTTCCTGGTTGGGCCTGAGACAGAAAAATGGCCGGGCACGGCGGGCGGCGCGACGCTTTCTGACTGGACGGCGGGACTCGAATTGCAGAGAGAAAGGAAATATGCGCACGTGCTGGTCATACGTCTCGCTGGATGAGGCTTGGGGTGGCAGCCGTGGGGTCGTCGTATGCGCGAGCGGACCGGACGGGTGCGAGGACAGACGGGACTGGAAGGCGAGGGAAGGCAGGCCGACTCCGAAGCACGACGACGGCCGGCAGCGACGGCCTGCATCCTGATCGTCTTGCCTGCAGCGTGCGAAGGGACGATGCTTCGTACTTGTAATCATGCCTCTTCCCTTGAGCCTTGACGCCTACTCACCAATCCACGTCTGCCAACACGCAGCGAAGATGGCGGTGACTCACCGCTTCGAAAGCTTTCGGCCTTCTGTAAATGAAGCGGTGGAGCTGTCTCAACTGACCGCTTCGTCCGCCGAGAGCACTACCTATGTATGCTCCCGCGCCGAGACAGCAACGCCGCATTCTGGAAGTCAAACGAGCGGCCATTTCAGGCTCCCGCGCCGCGGCTGCCCATCGCGTCATCTAACCCTTTTCCCGTTCTACTCGAAACTTGGTCCGTCGAAGTACTTGCACCGAGGAAGCTGGCTTCGTTTCTCGGATTTGACAACTCCGTTTTCTTTCCATAAATTGCTCTCCCGTCCTGGGTGTACGTCTGTGCCACGCAAGGCTCGAGGATTGATAGTATGACAAATTTCCGCGCGGAAGAGGCACGCCTTGCTGCCAACGGGCGCCCCAGCCGCGTCCTACGTCGTCCAACTCGTCGCGAGCGCTGCCTCTTCAAGGAACCTCCCCGCTACCTCTACCACGATGCCTCCATTTTCGAAACAAAGGCTACCAATCAGTGCCTTCAGCAGCCGGCGGAGGGTCATGCAGTGGGACAAGTGCGGTCAGTGATTGGATGATTTACCGCGAAGACTGAATTACTTACTCTTGATTCGCGACCGGGTGCATGAGATGGTTCGGATTTGACCGAGCGACATATGCAGCTGGTTTTGAGGCACCGTCGTTCGCATATGGCATATGCGGAGTGCAGTTGCCATAGCATTGCGAAAGTGCTGCTAAGCTGATCAGCAGACAGTCGTCTTGTCTCCACGTGACGGATGGCTGGGAAGGGTTACATGAGGGACAGGCATCGTGGCAGCCAGCGGGACACCCGTCCACTGACACTTCTGGCCGCCTACCCACCTCCCCGGCTGGTTCTGGTCGCCCTGTCTTGCACCACACCACCCGCGTTACCCCAGGGTCGCGCCAAACGAGCTGTCAAAAAAACCTAACTGGGAACAGAACAAAACGGCGACACATGTGCACGGCACGAGGGCACTGCCTTCTTCCGCCCGCAGCCTCTCGAAAGCGTTCATGCGTATTTCCGTGGTAACTCTCTTTCTCTTTTCCATATCCGACTGCATTTTTCCGTCATCCCCTTTTACACACCATACCCGCAGGGCCACTCATTCTCCACGGCGTTATTTTTGGGGGCAGGGAGAACCCCCAACAACGAGGCTGCCCGCGCCCTGCGTTTCTTGTGCGAGTATCACAGCACGGGCCGGAGTAGACATGGTCATACCCGAGAGGCCCGCCCCGCGCTTCCCTTCTTTCCTTCCCTTCTCTTTTTTTCCCGTCTCAGCCCTGCAGGACGCGTGGTCCCTGGGCCGTCGCAAGCAGTACAACGGCTGCACTCGACTTGTCAAATTCTCCGCATCCGCCGCCGCGCCGCGCCGCGCCGTGCCGTGCGATCGGACGTGGGCATGGTTGCTTCCATCACGGTGCGCAAGGCAACACACGGAGAAGGAGGGTCCTGTCGTGCCTCGGTGACGAATAGGTGCGGTTGATCGATTGAATGGCCCGGACCAACCGGGAGGGTGTGCTCGAGGGGCAACCAACCGGGCTGGATCATGGAATGGGTGTGGGCGCCCCCCTGGCTAAGCAGTGCACGACAAGGCCGACCCTGTCATCTGCTGTGTTGCTGTGGAAGGCAAGTCGATCGGCGCGGCAGCGGCGGAGGCGAGGCAGTGCTGGGGCTGAATGCGGCCCTTTCTGCCGCCGTCGACTCGAAGAGAAGTTAGCCCTGTCGACAAGCATCAATCAGTACTTGGCACATCAGCATGAGGCGCTTGCGAGCTCCCCCTCGCTTTTCACCATCGCTCGTTTGGTGGGGACCTGCAGGAAAGGCGGTCGTTGATGACCAGTATCTTTCTTTCCTATCGTGCCGCTTTCCCCTTCGGGACCTTTGCGCTTTTGGCACCGCCGATGATGCGACTGCCATCGAGTCGCTCCTGCTGCTGCCGCCGGCCCCCATGACATCAACCGTCAGGCGGGACGCTGTTTATTGCACTCCAAGAACGACGTGCGACACCACGTTCAATTATTCACACAAAAAGTTTCGTTACAGCGCAGCGTGCCCCCCCCTTGTTTCTTGCCCTTGCCTTATACTACGCCCTTCCCGCTCGCCTCTATCCCTGTCTATTACCTTCTTCGTCGGCTGGGCTAAGCCTCTTTCGCTCCGCTCTACTTACTTCCAACTCCCTGCATGTCCCTCGAACACCCGCCCGATTCTGCCCGCTGTACCACAGTGGCTGTGCGACAGGGAGAGCAACGAGCCGGTTGAGCCTTAATGTTCATGTTTCCCCGCTGTGCCAGTCGGGGTTCGCGGCCCGAATGGGAAGGGGAATGGAAAGGAAATTTTGGTGGGGGGGCCGACTTTGTGTGTGTGTGTTTTATTTTTGTCTTTTGGTTCTTTTTTAATTTTTTGCTTCGCCCCGCGGAGAGAGCGGGAATGTGTGCGCGCGTCGGCACGGCTTCCCCGTGTTTCTGTTTTTCTTTCGAGTTGTACAAGGCGGGTTGATGGGGTTTCATCAGAGCCCTCCTGCATCCTTCAAAAGCGGCAAGGCGTTTATGTGGCGCGCTGAAAGCTGAGATGGCGGCGGCAAGGCTTTTTTAAGGACGACGTTGGGACCAAGGCTCTTTTTTTTACGTCCTTTTATTTTTTTTTCTTCTTCTCTGAAAAAGAAATGTCTGGAGATGGTGGGTTGGTCCTGTTTTAGCTAGAATTGAAATGATTAGGTGGTTTTTAGTCATAGGACATGCGCCTGTTTTAGCGATTCCCTTCCTCTGGGACTCGACATTGTAGTGGCTAGATTAGGAGCATGACATTTGACAGTGGCATAATGTAGATTGAGAGGTGTGGCTGTGGGATTGGTGGAATCACGAGTGTTTCGTGGAAGTTAATTCGGGGGTGGCCAAACGAAATCTATCATTGGACCTGACCTGCATATCTCGCGTAGGCACCATTCCAGGCGGTTGGCAAGACCAAATGAAGAATCGATACTTCTCCATTGAGCGCTTTCCGCCATCTCGTCATGGGGCGCTTGGCGCTTGGCTAAAGGGAAGGCACTGGTGCGTAGACCCCCCCGCAGCGCGGACCTGATCACAGCCAGTCACTTTCACGGCACGATTCGATCTAGCTCGATCTTTCTCAGAGCAGCGGGATAGCACAAGCAGCAAATGTGCTTCGACCCAGTCCCCTGGGAACGATATCACTTCAGGAAACCAAAAGGCCACTAAGGTAAGTCGAGAGACACAGCACACCAGACCCCCTTTGATCCACCTTCCCTCTTCTCTCCAGTCCTATCCATTTCTGGCGACTGCGGGACGACTCTCCCAGAGGAGAAGGGCTTCCCATCGCGGCGGGTACACATCACTACCAATCGCCGAATGAAGGGTCGGTGTTCCTCCAAACAAGTCACTTCAGCCGTCCACCACTCACCCTTTGAAGCCGGCCAGTGGAGATCTGAGTGGCAGCGATCGTTCGTCCATTCATTTCGTCCACGTGCCCCTCCATTGTCGACGCGAGACGGGGGAGGGGACCTCTCGACCCCAACGCGGCGAAGCAAACAATTTTCTCTCGCCCACTTGCTCCTTCCTCAACAACCTCGCTTCCCGTCAGTGATCCACATATCTTTCCGCCAGCACCCAGCCGCAGCATCTATTCCACTATTCCTTCTAGGTTCCTCTTGGGATGGATGAGAGACCGTTCGTTGGATTGATGCTGATGTGGCGTCCCGCTTCCGTTGGGGGCGATCGTGTGGTCGATAAAAGGGAAAACGGAGCGCGACTGTGAGCTGTCCTTCGTAAAGTGGTCAGTTGATCGACGGGAGACGGGAACGAAGAGACTTCCGTGGCGATGGGCCGCTAACGGGAAGGCATGGAAACAAGCAGGCACATCGCGGGTGGGGGAGGCGAGGACGGCAAGTGTAGTAGAGAGAGGGGGTGTGGGCGGACTCAGGGCACGAGCGCCCCGCCGCCGCGCGCCCTCAAGCCTGGAGCTTTGTCTTCTCCGAACCCGCAGGGCTTAGTGCTGTACGTAAAGCGTGTCTTTTTAGTGCTGTCAATGCTCTCAAAAGCCGGGGCCTTGGTGAATGAGCGTCGAGAGTAGTGAAGGGCCCTGCTTTCATCTGAGCGCCGCTGCGTCGGCCGGCGTCGGGACTTGAAGAGTCGCTCGTTTCCTACCGGAATGCAGCACTGAAGGGAAACAAAGGCTTTTAATAATGTTCAGCTTCTATATTTGAGAAGGTGATGGCTCAAACACTAATCCATACGTCATTTGTGTATGAGCATTTGTCAGTGACGACAATTGTTGCTGGACACATGCGAAGCCTGTTGGACTGGTGAAGCTTTTGAGAAAGATCACTCTTCTGAGGGATTTAAGATACTATGGGTGTGTTGACCATTTTCTTGCAAATTCGCCAAGAGTGTGCTTGCGTCAGCTCACTGAAGCAAGGGATGGAGGTTGCCACTGCCGTTCTTCAGTCCTTCCTCTCATCCGGCATGCTTGAAGAGGTGGTTGTACTCGTACTCGTACGTACAGATATCAATCCCTCTGTTGTGACCCAATTTTCCCCCTTCACAATCCTTCTTTGTTGATCATCAACTGCCGTTCATCCTTCTCCTTAGCTGAGTACTACGTAAGTCCTGTCGTACTATCAGTCCTTCTATTCGCCGCCGACTTTTCTCGAAGAGTTGCGGTGATAAGATTAACCCGATCTGAAGGAATATCAAGCTTTCAATCTCGTAATTAATTTTGAGGTGAAACATGATCCTCCAACACCAGAGGCAAGGCTTCAGGGGAATCCAGACACACGTGGCGAAGGATTCCTCACCGCTGCATGTCGACGATCACATCCGCAAGGCTTCTGCAGCCAAGACAATGGCGCTACTATCCCTGCATAGAAGGGATTGCAAGCTTCGTCACCAGGAGATAGACCCGAGTATTTGTCAATTGCTCGAGGCGAGGACGATCATCCGCCCATTCCGTCAGGCATTTTGTCTACGCAGCCAACCCGAGCCCGAAATGCTTGGTGTTGCTGGCCTCTGAGAGCAATTGCATTGGGCGGACCTCATCTCCCCTTTGCCCGTTTTTCTGCCGCCCGACAATGGCTGGACCAAGCCGCGCGGTGGTTCCGGGGCGGACCGGGCAGTCGCTATTCTGATCGACTTGAGCGCCTTCGGTTAGCCAGGTTTTCCAACTCCACCGGGGCTTCCGGTGCTTCTTCCGCCCCTCTTTAAGGAATTTGGGGGCGAGGAAGTTGTTGTTCTCCTGGCGATCACTTCACGCCACGACTCGCGCACGCGACCTGGGCCTGAACGTCATTTTCCTCGCAGGATCGTAGGGCCATCACAGACCATTTCTGCGCCGCAGCACTGTCGCCCAGTCACAGGACGAAAAAAGTCCTTATTCCCGTCCATTGGCCCTGCTGATGGCGCAATTGCGTTCCTCCCGTGCCCCTTGGATGCTCTGCATCAAATCTCGTCGGCACAGCAAGCCAAGAGCGATTCGCATGCTCGACGATGGAAGTCGCAAAGAAGTTGCAGATCCCGGGCGATGAGCAGGACAGACAGAGGCCTTGGTGGCTCGCCAGTTCTCGGCTCCGCGCAATCAGGCCGGGAAGAAGCCGCTGTCACTTTCGTGCTCCGTGCAGCAGAGCTCAGACGACGCGCATTGTCGGCGAACTCACCGCCAACGACGTGCAGGACCCCTCTACTTTTCTGTATCCACCGTGGCTTGCTACACCTACGCAATGGCTTGGTGCTAAAGCTTGTGTGGCCAACCCAAGGCGGCCTGGTCAGGCAATTTCCCCTGCTTATCCGCCTATCTTCTTTGCGTTTAAGCATCTCTTGAATGAAGGATCGCCCGGGTCGCCCGGCTGCCCTGATAGCTGCCCAGTTCGTGGACCTGCTGTATTGTAGCATGTGGTTATGCTTGCGGAGCCTCGGTACTGCGCAAACGGCGCAAGATACCGAGAGCCAAGAACGCACACACCACAACGTCGCTGCTTCTGCACCGCTCGCCGAAGCCTGCGGCGAGGTGCAAGCCACCCAGTAAAGCTGTGCCTCTATCCATCAATGCAAACATGTATTTACGGAAACGTGGCTAACAGGGGCTTCATGCGCGGTACGAGATGGCAGTGACGGCTGCGGGCCGAGGCCCAAGAGCAGACGCCAATGCCGAATGGCTGAGGGAGAGGCGCAGGAGGGGCCATCTGATCAACGTCGTCGGAGAGATTTCAAACCTGGAAAGCAAGGGTCCTTGTCAGCAGCCACGCGGTGTTCAGATTAGCGGCCCGCCACCAATACTTAGCGAGAGTAAGCAACGTTGGACATGAGCGCCCTCAGTGTCCCCCTTAAGGTTTACGGTGGCTTGCCGCCCTCCCCGCAAAGGAGGATGCGGATCATGCACAGCCCTAGCAACCTTGGGCGGAAGGAGGCTAATCTCCGCCGGATCCCTGCCCAACCTCCCATCACTTGCCTATCGCGGCACAAATCTCCGAAATGGGTTGTGGGCTCGTGTACTCTACGCACTACGCAATACGCATTGTAGGCAGCACAATCGCCGCCTTCCCTATTCCCCGGTGGGGTTGCTCGCATCCTCGCCCGGGAACGGTGCCGCGAATTATCGATTCGACGATCCGTCGGCGCTGCATGCTGTCCTCGTGCCCGCCTCGCTTGCATCCAGACCAGGGTCTTGCCTAGCAGTCTAGCTCCAACGTCCCCTTCCGGCCCCAGCGGGAGCCAGGCGGAGCGAGCGGAGCAAAAACGTCGCGGAAGTAGACACCAAAGAGAGCATAGCATGCCACGCTAAACAAGCAATGCACAGTCAAGTAGCTGCATTTGGGCCGGAAAGGGAAATACATGGCATCCCAGGCTGAGGGCTCCAAGCTCCCTGATCCTCCTCGCCGCCGTTGATAAAAACGGCGCCACGCCGCCCCTCTAGCACTTCTTTCTCCAGGCCAGGTCCTTTCCAAAGAGTCCTCCTCGGTCAACGACATCAAAGGGTAAGCCAAACACTTACACCTGCTCTCTTCCATCCTAACTTCTCCCAGGTTACACTCGTTTTATATCCCTAACACACCCTAATAATGCTTTTCCCTCGCATCCTTGGCGTGCTCGCCAGCACGCTGCCGCTCGCTACCTGGGCTACTGAGCTCACTGGCTACGACTATGTCGTCGTCGGCTCCGGTGCCGGCGGTGGTCCTCTCGCCGCCCGCCTGGCCATGGCCGGCCACAAGACCCTGCTGCTCGAGGCAGGTGACGACCAGGGCGCCAACGAGAACTACACCATCCCGGCCTACAGCGCCAAGTCCTCTGAGGACGGTGCTCTCGCCTGGAACTTCTTCGTCCGCCACTACGCCGACGACGAGCGCCAGGCCCGTGACTTCAAGACCACCTGGGAGACTCCCGATGGAACTGAGTACACAGGCAAGAACCCGCCCGAGGGCTCGACCATCAAGGGCACGCTCTACCCCCGCACGGGTACCCTCGGTGGCTGCACGGCTCACAACGCGCTGATCGCCGTGTACCCTCACCAGTCGGATTTCGAGTACATCTCGACTCTCACTGGTGACTCGTCGTGGGGCCCCGAGTCGATGCGCAAGTACTTCACGCGCATGGAGAAGAACCAGTACCTTCTCCCCGGCCAGGAGGGCCACGGCTACGACGGCTGGCTCGAGACCGAGACTGCGCCGCTGAGCATCGTGCTCGAGGACCCCCAGCTTCTGTCGATGCTGACGGGTGGCGCCTTCGCTCTGGGCAACCTGACTGACAACATCTTCAACCTCGGCACCCTCCTTGTCGGCGATGCCAACGCCGACACCGAGTCCCGTGACAAGAACCCGGCCTACTACCAGATCCCTCTCTCGACCAACGACGCCAAGCGTACCGGCTCTCGTGAGTTCGTCGTCGCCGTCCGCGACGCCGTCGACGCCGATGGCAACAAGAGGTACCCGCTCGATGTCCGCCTGAACACCTTCGTCACCAAGGTTACCTTCGATGAGACCGTTACCCCTCCCCGTGCTACCGGTGTCGAGTTCCTCGAGGGCCAGTACCTGTACAGCGCCTCTCCCCGTTCTTCCGCTAGCAACACGGGCACCCCCGGCAGCGCCACCGCCAACCTCGAGGTCATCGTCGCTGGTGGTGTCTACAACTCTCCCCAGCTGCTGAAGCTCTCCGGTGTTGGTCCTAAGGAGGAGCTCGAGAAGTTCGACATCCCCGTCATCTCGGACCTCCCCGGTGTCGGCACCAACCTGCAGGACCACTACGAGATCTCTGTCCAGGGCACCATCGAGAACAACTTCACCTCGTTCGACGGCTGCACCTTCCGCCTCGACAGCCCCGACGATGCCTGCGTCGACCGCTGGGAGAACCCCATCCTCGGCGACCGCGGCATCTACTCCTCGTCCGGTCTCGCCGCCACCATGTTCTACAAGTCGACCGCCACCGCCGACGACTCGTTCGACATCTTCGCCTTCGGCGGCCCCGTCAACTTCCGCGGCTACTTCCCCAACTACTCGTACAACGCCACCATCAACCACAACTGGTTCACCTGGGCCATCCTGAAGGCGCACCCGCGCAACACGGCCGGCACCGTCACCCTGCGCTCGGCCGACCCGCTCGACATGCCCGACATCGTCTTCAACTACTTCGACACCGGTGTCGGCGACTCCAGCAAGGATCTCCAGGCCCTGTACGAGGCCGTCGAGCTCGCCCGCGACGCCTTCTCGCGCCAGCCCATCGAGGTCACCGAGATGCTTCCCGGTAGCGAGGTCCAGGGCCAGGAGGCCGTCGAGCAGTACGCCAAGGACGTCGCCTGGGGCCACCACGCCTCGTCCACCTGCCCCATCGGCGCCGACGACGACAAGATGGCCGTCCTCGACTCCAAGTTCCAGGTCCGCGGCGTCCAGGGTCTGCGTGTTGTCGACGCTTCCGTCTACCCCCGCATTCCCGGCACCTTCACCGCCGTCTCCACCTACATGGTTGCTGAGAAGGCGGCTGATGACATCCTTGCTGCTGCCAGGGCCAACGCCACCACCAAGGCATGAATGTAGATGAACGACGAAAGGGGTTCGGAGCAGTATTACTTAATATAATTCTCTTGGGTTGAATATATGATCCTTGTGTTCTATACCTTTTGCGATTGTATATATTATTTTTGTCACGCCAGGGAGGAAACATACCATTTTAGCATAGCATGCATGTCTTTAGCGCATAGCGTTACTTCAGCGAAAAATTCCAAGGAACCCGCTTCGAAAGGAGCGGCTTTTGCTCGATATTCAGTACCTCGTTGCTCTCCCATGTGAAAACAGAAACACTCCTACAAAAGGATATAGATCCGACCGCCTCACGCCACCGAGAGTGCAGGTGTTCTTGGTGCGACAGGACTTGATGAAGTTGGCTGATATCATCCGGGATATGGCCTATACCGACAGTCGATATACATAGATCGGAGACACCCCTGCTTTGGTGGGGTATACTTGAAGCTTCGCATGCCTCAGATGCAAGATTAGTTTTCTTAGTTGCCGTTCATATATGTTGATCACACGCAAGATCCGAAGCACATCTCCATGTAAAAAGCAACTTTCATAGATACCATTAAGTAGATCGAGTTTTGCATTAGTTGATTCTTCCCGGCCATCGTTCGGCTTTTTTCTTGATTGGATGCGCCCTCTTTGGAAGTCTTCATTTCCAAGAAAGATAGTCGATTTTCCCGGTCAATAACATGTAGCGCCTCCAGCCACACCGGCCGACCACCACCCCCGGCGTACCCCAAGACAAAACAAGCAATCCCATGCGATGCCAGTAGCCTCCTCCGTAGCCATCCATACCCGAGCCTCGCCGCTTCCCAAAACGAAACAGGGTCCTGGAGCGGACGTTCACCGGCCGCCCCGGGGGCCAAAACAACGGCTCCCCCCAACCCCATCGCCAGCCTTCCAACGAGCAAAAAGATGATGTTGACGAGGGTGGGACTCGAACCCACGAGGATTGCTCCACTAGTAAATCCTTTTCTGGTGTCTTACTGGAAGATCACCTGAAACTAGCGCCATAACCACTCGGCCACCTCGCCGGGGAATCAAGTGCGGTAATCACCTGATTGATGAAGAACGGCTTTGGCTGTTGTGTTTATGTACCTAGTTTGTTGGGGGGAAGCAGATGGGGGGTCGTTTGCGCGAAGGAAAAGGTGTGTGTGTTGCGTTGGGGGCGGGTGGGTGAAAATTCGGTTTCGGGGCTGACGGCCGATGCCGGGATCGGCCCGGTTTCGGGGTTCGGCCCGGCGATTGCCCGGCAACGTGGTTCGCGTGGCATGCCTTCCGTTTTGGCGGTACTCGGTCACGTTGCGACGATGTCAGTTGCATTTCACATAATCTTTTTGCCTTCTGCACGTCTTGACTTTTGCTGGGAGAAGGCAGCGAGCCGGAGGAAATCATCTGATGGTTTCGAGGCTCCTTCAAGCTGCTGCTCGTCTTTCATTGCCGCAGAGAACTCTCAATTGATTGTTGAGCATTAACTGGCGGGAACGTACTTTAAAGTTGTATGATTGTAAAATACATCCAGAATCAATACTCGACTGCACATGCAATCAAGGTGTAATATTCTTATCTCCGGTAAGACAAGGTTAAAAAGTAAATCTCTTTTGTAATTCGCGATGTCCTACGGATCCCTCCCACATCCCCCACGTTTATTATTGACGCTCTCCACAACGCTTCCTCAACAAATCAGGATGCACATTTCAGTCAACCTTACTATTTATAAGCTTGACGAAAGCCTCTTTTTTTAAAATTCACACGTCAATACCATTGTTGCAGGGGTGAAGAACTTCATGGGCGAAAGTCTTGGCATCTTTCGGGTTAACATTCAACTTGTTCTACTTCCACAGATGTCAGATCAAATTAAAAGTTCGTAAATATATAGAGCTTTGGACTATCTTTTAGGCGATAAGTTGGTTTTATTGAAAAAGTGAAGGGCTGCTGAGATCTACATTCTTGGTGTTGGTTGATTAAAGTTTGCAGTAAAACCGTACCAAAAAACATCGCCATGATAGCAAAGCAATGAAATAATTTGTATATCAGCAACAACACCAAAACAGCCAACCAAAAGTATATAAAATTATTTTTCTAATAATTCTTACTCATTTTGATGATCGAAAAAGTATTTAAATGTTATGTGTTGAGATTTATCATGTAAATTGGCTGTTTTCCGTGCGAAATGACCGCCCGCCCGGGCACTTGTTTTTGAAATACAACATCCGGACGTAGCCTCTATCACCTGTTGAATTCCCGGTCGAGCAAAACCTTTTATTTTCAATGGTTTAACTTGAAAGTGCCAGCAAAAATTTCCAAGGAGTGGTCGATGCGGTCTGATTTACTACCGTATTTACCTTTGTAGTCATGGGACGATGTGGCTGATGACTTGATTCTCGACCACTTCTCCCGGTAAGAATGCACGATAGTAAGCTATTTTCTTATTTCATACTTGAGTCGGTGAGAATAGTCTTTTTGTTTGCTTTGAATGCTTCCCCCCCACGCCTACGATCCGTCTTTTGATGTTCTTTTCTCCCCGCTCGGTGATGATGATCTTGATTTTGGGATACCGTGACTGGTGGTTTTACAATCTCATCATCCCCTCTATGATTCAAGAACCCGCAGAATCAATGGAGAAGTTACGGCGTGTTTTTTTGATGCAATTGTCTTCCTGATTTGTGCGGTGATTTGAGCAACTGAAGAACCTTTTGTGGGCTGTATGAGAAGATGTATCTTTTGCCTTTAGTATGCCCCTCATATTTGACAATCAGGCGGAGAAAATCTTTAAATGCAGCCTCTGGAGCATTCACCTACAGCTTTTGTATCTATCCTCACATCTCTGGCCTCCCTTTAGGATTGCCATGAGCTTTGGTGTTCTTCCACCTCGCTTGCGGAGAACGCCACCAAGCGCGCAGGCCACAGCACCTCACACTAGACAAAAAATATGAGAAAGATGATGACAACGATGGGACACGACTACGGAGAACCAGATACAGGCCCAGCAGCTGTAAGAACGGAGTCTTAGCCGGGGCTCGCTGTTTCTGCTTTGCATGCTGTGAACAATCCCCTCGCATGCCGGCATAATCAGGCTGGCACTGCCCCCCCGCCTCTCGCAGACCGCCGTTCTCTTTCACCTGCCATTGAACTGGAGGCGTGGCACCGTTTACTAGTTTATTCCGGACAACACGATGAAGAATCGAGAGATACTGTCCAGGCCAAAAACTTGGACGCTCCTTTCTCCCAGAGATACTTTTCGAATGCCGGTGCCACTGTACCTGGAATGCTGTTTGCAAATGCGATCCTTGAGGGAGGTACTTAGCCCTTTCTCATCGGGTGGCTCAATACACCACCCGTTCACCCTCTTGGTTTTGCGCCCTGGCTCCCAAATTGAAGCCCAGCGCGGGGGCTGTGGCTATCATGTATCTCTGCCTGAATTGCTTGCATTTTGTCACTGTCGATTCGTCTGCGGCTACCCTCGACCCTATATTTGATCGTGAAGACGATTCATTCACAACTGAACATATGAGGGCACATCGCTAGCGTCCCACGGGGTAAGCTGCAATTGTCTGGGTTCTGCTCGGGGTATCGGACTGGAGACGCTGCATGCACTTCGAGGTCGGTGGTGGTGTGAAGCTTCTGCATCCTGAAATCCCTGGAATTCGAGCTGCATGGTCTCTTGATCCCGGCCGAACTCGCTCTTTTTCTGACCATAATCTCATTGGATACTTACTGCTGATGGATGGTAGACTCCTCGATGCTCTTCTAGAGCTCTATTTGCGTGCTCTGGAATAAGCAGAGATGCGGTGCATGGACAAGTTTCCACAATGCAGACTGGCTTTCGAGGAAAAAATGCCTTGGCTCCCTTTAGAAATATCACCTCTGCGCTTGCGGGCGGATCTGAGAAACCGCTACGGAAGCTTACATATGCTGCATTTCCAGAGTGGGGAGGATGGTGACCCGCGACGTGCGTTGCGGTTCGAATGAGCGTATTACTCGACTTACCTTTAACGTCACAGTCTTCCATTTGCGTTGCATGCAGGATGAACTTGCGATTTGCTTACTTTTTCGAGCGGGATATCCCTGCCCTCAACGTTGGGAGCGTGCCTCCGGTGGCTGTGTATTTGTCGTGAAGTGACTGTAGAAAAAATAATAAAAAATCCGCTATGCGGCCAGACCTTGAGCGTCCTGGTTTTGTTACCTGCTGCCCGCTGGGGGCCTCGACGGGTACCTGGTCGGCAGCTGTAGCTTGACTTTTGTGATGTTGGGTATGACTCAAAAAATATGCACAGCGATGCCAATCTCCCAGGCTTCTCCCCTCAATCGCACCATGAAAACGAGTTTTGTACTTAAAGCTGTGCAGGGTAATATTCTTTACGCTATCGTGAGTAAAGTGGCGTCTTTAGAAAAATTATTTGTTCAGTTAATGTGTCTTGAAGTTGGGTTGCGCTCCTTTCGTTGTGCATATTCTAAGCTAGACCGCGCAGTGGTACCCTCGGCACACAAGTCCTTTCTCCTACTGTGCACGCCTCGCCAGAAGCCTCTCGAGTCCCCTAAGGATTTGTCTCTGTAGTAATCTAGACCTCTCACCTTGTCCAGATGCACTCCCCCGCCTTATGCTAACTTCTCAATGGAATAGTAAAAAGGTAAAAAAGATAGTTGTAAGGATAGAAAAGCTGAAAAATATGATGAGAGAATTGCTCTGAGGTTTGGTGTTCTCGCTTGTGGGGCGCGCCACCATGCACGCCCAGGCCTCAGCACGTCCACGTGACCCTCCCCGGGCAAAAATGCAACTTATCAACGACACCAGACAGAATAGCAAAAGACAAAAAAGATGATGACAACGATGGGACTCGAACCCATGCGGATTGCTCCAGTAGAATGCAGACTGCTTTTGACAGCCAAGAGCTTGCCTTGAGTCTACCGCCATAACCACTCGGCCACGTTGCCTTGTTGAAGGAAGGCATCTTTTGCAATGCTTATAAAGTGCACATCATGGTCATCGGATCTGCAAACCATGGCTCAACAGTCCAGCTTGCTAGCCGGGTCAAGAAAGGAGATTGGGGTTGACAGCAGCCAGATGAGAAATGATTATCATAGCAGACGTCTGCAAAGTGCTTTGCGGAAAGCTACCGGAGGCATTCAGCCATCAGTGTGCACTGTGGCACTTAATGCGGGCACGGACACGGACGCGGGAAGTCTGAAGAGAAGGAAAAATCGTATCACCCTCGATATGATTGCGTGCCACACTGCCCCACATTTCCATTATGTCAGCAGTAAAAGAGTTCTCATTTCATGCAGCGTGTCAGTCAAGCTGATGGCCTCTACTTTGCCTACACTTGACTGTAAAATTCAATCCGTTCTTCGTCGTTGCCCGCCATCATCCTTAGCCTCATCATCACCATCATTCAAGTACTACTTTAGTCGCAGCGAAGGAGAAGCAATGCGCTTGGTTACAGCAAGAATTTTTATCCTATTTATGCGTAAATTGCTTAGATCTTCATCAAGTAGTTAGAACGTGACAAAAAGGGTGGTACGGTATAGCCCGGACCGGGTGCGTTACCGCGTCCGGAAGCAGGGCTCCGAGATCGGGAGGGGCAGCACCCCGCCCGGCGGAGGCGGAGAAGGAGGAGTCATGCACCCAAATCCAGCACGGTGCGTGATGAGTCTGATCCGACGGAGGGGGAAAGCAATGACTGGAATTTTGCCGCAGAGCTCATAACACCACCACCACCAATTCCTCTCTCAACACCAACCACCCCTCAACCTCGCCACAACCGCCCTCCTCCCTCCCACCCACCAATTGATCAATTGGCATCACGAATCGGTCTCACGCAAACATGCCCTCTCGCTCAGACATCTTCTACTTCGGCGCCGGCCCAGCGCCGCTGCCAACGCAGGTGCTCGAGCGCGCATCGTCAGCGCTGCTCAACTACGCCGACAAGGGCATCGGCATCTGCGAGATCTCTCACCGTTCGCCCGAAGCGAACGCGATCCTCGCCGACGCCAAAGCGGCCATGACGCAGCTGTACGACATCCCGGACGACTATGACATCCTGTTCCTGCAGGGTGGCGGCAGCGGCGAGTTCAGCGCCGTCGTGCACAACTTGGTGGCGGCGTGGGTCGAGAAGCGACGGGCGAAGGCCGCCGCTGAGCTCGGTGAGGATAAGAAGGACGAGATCCTGGCCCGTCTGAGGAAGGAGGTCGCGGAGGAGCTGAGGGCGGATTACCTGGTGACGGGCTCGTGGTCGCTCAAGGCGTCGCAGGAGGCGGCGCGGCTGATGGGCGCGCAGCACGTCAACGTCGCCGTCGACGCGCGCAAGGCTAACAATGGCAAGTTCGGCACCATCCCCGCTGAGAGCGAGTGGGCGCTGAACAAGCGCGCGGCGTACGTCTACTACTGCGACAACGAGACGGTCGACGGCGTCGAGATGCCGGGCTTTCCCGCGTCACTCGAGGGCGAAGATGCGCCGCCGGTCGTCGCGGACATGTCGTCCAACTTCATCAGCCGCAAGATCGACGTGCGCAAGTACAGCGTCATCTTCGGCGGCGCGCAGAAGAACATCGGCAACGCCGGCATCACCATCGTCATCGTCAAGAAGGCGCTGCTGGCCGCCCAGGCTTCGGCCGACCTCCTGCGCCAGCTCAACCTGCCCATCGCCCCCATCGTCTTCGACTGGCCGACCATCGCGAAGAACAACTCGCTCTACAACACCCTGCCCATCTTCGACGTCTGGGTCGCCGGCCAGGTTATGCAGGGCCTCGTCCAGGCCTTTGGCGTCCAGAAGATTGCGGGCCAGGAGAGCGTCGCGAATCAGAAGGCCGAGCTGCTGTACAGCGTGCTGGACAGGTACCCGGACGCGTACAGGGTCGTGCCGCACAAGAGCGCGCGCAGCAGGATGAACCTGTGCTTCAGGGTGCACGGCGGCGACGACGCCAAGGAGAAGGAGTTCCTGGCCGGCGCTGAGAAGAGGGGTCTGACCGGCCTGAAGGGCCACAGGAGCGTCGGTGGTATCAGGATTAGCAACTGTAAGTTTTCCTTGTCGTACGATGTTGATATCATGGTTGGCTGACTTTGAGTCCTTGCAGACAATGCTGTGCCCGTCGAGGGTGCTCAGAAGCTGGCCCAGTACTTGGAGGACTACGCCAAGGGCTTGTAAATCGTGTCGGAGACAGCACAAAACTATTTGGATTCGCATTGGAAATGGCGTTTGGGGATGCACTGATGCACACACAAAAAAGGCAAGGGATTGATTGGTATGACCGAACAAAATCGTTGAATGGTTCAACACCAAAGACATATGACGATATCGAATACAAAAAGTTTCGGACTTGATGCAATTATCACCTTACTATGCAGAATTGAAGACTTGATCAACCTCATGTGGCACAGCGTTTCGGGTACTGTTCCGCAACCCCCGTTTCTGACATGATGCAGGCGATTGAATTGCAATCCAAGAGTAGCGTTGATTTGTTTTTGCTCATGCTATGGGTAGTTGAAGCTATTATCCGGACGAGAATGTCGAATTCAAAATCCTCCGTATGTCCGGACGATGGTTTCAACTACCCATGACATGAGCGAAGAATAAATTCGGATGTAATGTCCCTTTATATCCAGAATTGAAGACCTGATCAACCTTATGTTGCACAAAGTTTCGGGAACTGTTCCGCATGTATAAGAAGTGAGATATATACATGATCTAATATTTTATCTGTAGTATGAACTTGAAATCCAAAGCGCACGCCGAGGGTCTCGCAGCAGGCGCGCACGTCGGGGCTGATCGGATCAAGATCGCCGTGGATGACGGACGGAAGCTGCGGCGTGAGTGATGGCTACATGTCAGCCGAGGTTTGAGGCGGGAGCTGCAAGGGACGGGCGTATGGGTGTGATCATCGCAAACTATGCGGTAGAGGAACCAGCTCCGAGACAAACACGCACAGGCACTGCACGAACAAACTTTCTTCTCTGCTCCTCCTCGGCGTCGTCAAGGCCGGCAAAGATATCGTATGGCCGGTTGGCGCAGAGACGGTAGCCCGTGTGTGCTTACAGGTCCAGGCTCTCGACGGGCACGGGCTGGTGGAGGATGACCAGTGCAGGCATCGTGCGCCAGTCCTGTTCCTGATGCTGATCCTGGACCTGCGTCACGGCCCCCTGCGCGCTCGTTGTGTGCTGCAGGAAGCGCGCCGGCGCGAACTCAGTTTTGCAAGCCCATGGACCCGGGACTCGCCGATGCGGGGAAGGGTGTGGTGTGTGTGAGATGTCTTTTTTTCCCGTCAGGAAAATCATGTTCTGGCCGCGCGCGGACGGGGGTGGGCGGGGTAGGCCGCTCCAATGGGCCGCGCCGGGCTTGTCTTCAGTAGAATTGATTTCTTCTCTCTCCCCCGCCTGTTCCGCAGCACGAACCACACGGCTGACGTCATGGACATGGCGCCGGCCCGTCCTCGTGCTGACCACCCGTTCGCACAGGATTCATGCGCCCCCACACGTGAAGCGCGCCCGTGGCGGCGAAGCTTAAGATCCCAGGGTCCCTGTACGATGGTCCCCCAAACCACCCCTTTCGGTTTTTCCGTGTGAAGAATAAGGAACGAAGCAGGCACCTGCAGGCCACCACCTTCCACCCCCCAATCACCGTTTTCGAACTTGCCTCTCCAATCCACCCATTATTTCCGTTCACCCGCAAATCTCCATCGCAGGAGCTCCTCCACACCTTCTCCACGGCCGCCGCTTTCCTTCTGCGCCTTCCCTCACGAAAAGAAAGAAAGAAAAAAAAAATGTCCGAGCCAACAACAACCCTCTCCGCCGCCCAACAACCAACCACCACGACCACCTCGTCGTCCTCCGCCTCCTCGACCCCCGGCGCATCCACCACCTCCTCCTCCACCTCCACCTCCACCTCGCCCTCCTACTACTCCACCTCCACCTCCTCCTCGGCCTCCACCCCCACCCCGACCGTCCACTCCCTCGCCCCCACCCCTGCCCCGAGCCGCAACCCGTCCCTCTTCCCCGGCGCCGACAACAGTCCTGCCGCATTGGGATTGGGGCTTTTCGGTGGTGCTGCCGGTGGTGCAGGTGGTACGAACGGCCGCACCACCCACCTCAGTACGGCCGCGCAGCCCGGCGGCCGCCACTTCGCGAACAATGCGGATTACATCAATGCGCTTGCTGCGGCGGCGCAGGCGTCGCTGCAGTCGGCGCCGAGTTCGCCTGGTGCGGATCTGCCGATTGCGAGGGGGAAGAGGGGGTCGGTGTATGGTGGGTTGAGCGGCGGTGCGGGGGTGGGGGTGGGGGTGCAGGAGCAGCAGTCGCTGCCGGAGCGGTTGAATGAGATGCTGGTTGATGAGGAGAGGGAGAGGGAGCGGGAGCGGGAGCGGGAGGCGGAGAGGGAGAGGGAGGAGAAGGGAGCGGAGCGGGAGGAGAATGGCGAGAACGGCGAGAGGGCGGACAGAGCGACGGACCTGCCGCCTCTAACGACGGCGGCGATGCATCCTCCGCGTGCGCCGCAACAGCAACAGCATCAGCAGCAACAGCAGCCGGCTTTCGACCCTGCGCGCGGCAGCTTCCTCGACGTCGACTCCATCACCCCGGTCACGACGCCTGGTTCTGTCGATCACCAGGGTATCCTGTGGTCGGGCGGTGCTGGTGCGCCGCGGGGCGGGCCGGTGAGCGGCGCGGCTGGCGGCGCGAGGGCGGTGGATGAGATGGAGGTTGAAGAGGAAGAAGCGGAAGAAGAAGAAGAGCAGTATGAGGGCTTCGTCGACCCGTTTGCACGGGCGAGGGCGGGCGTGAGCGTCGCGAAGGGGGAGGGCTTGGTGCAGCAGGCTGGCGTGATGATGAATGGGCATCAGCATCAGCAGCAGCAGCAGCAGCAGGATGGGGGGTTGGATGGTACGTCGGATAGGCAATAGTGTTGGGGGTGAGTAGAGGTGTTTGGAGGAGCCCGGCGATATTCTCGTCGTGACGTTGATTCCCCGGAATAGCACACAACTTTTTCTTTCTTCTGTACTATTAGCAACGCATAGCTAAGTGGACACATCTGGTATGTTGTATTGCTTGCTTGGGTTAGGGAAATTTGTAGCTCGTGTGACTGAGGCTTCAGCCGTTCAATCGGGTTGAAGCTTCGTCATCAAAAGCGTGTTTTCAGCTCATATCGTTCGCTTTGGGATGCTCTTTACAGGGAGGCGGGCGGTGTTGTACGTAAATGAAATCTCCACTATTACATCTGTTAATATCATACAGTCAACGCGAAGTCAATCCACTGAAGTGGGAAGGAATCAATGCTTGGGATTAAGCTTTTTTGAAAAGTCGGCAGAAAATTTCTAATCCTGGCTGAATTGGATTTGGTACTTCCAATTGCTTCATTGGCAGCTGCAATGCGTGATTCAATGCTTCATACAACCAACTGGTTTCGTCTGTATTCCGGCGCTGATCGGAGATCCTTGCGTGGTGATGTAGGAGATATCCTGATAGGTAAGTCGAGGTGAGCCGATATCGGAATTTTTTTTCTCTTACGGAATGCTTTAATTGGCATATGTCTCACAATTGAAGGCCCTGATGTACATGTTACAGATGTCAAGGCTGATGCGGACTATGATGCATGCCCCTGGGGCCGTGCGTCAGAGCTCCTGCCGCACGTGCCAGCTCGGAGCCGCGGCAAATCAGCCCTACCCGATCGGCCACATCGCTGCTGTTCGAGCTACCGCCCGCCATCCATCCATCTCTCCTCCAACCCGATTTGCTGGTCTTCCCGACCTTGTCTCGCACTCGCACCAGCGCCTCGAGCTGGAGCCGTGCTGACCGGACCTGCCGCGCCACAATCGATGCTTATCTCGCCCCAATTCCCCCGCTAATTCGTTACGCCATGCCGCGTTGAGCTCTGAGGTCCACATCGATTCGAACAAGACGTGACGCCAGCAATGGCCCCACACATATTTCCAACGGATGAAGAGCTGGGGAAGCGGGATGATGACTACGCTCCTGGCAGCAAATCTTCGCAAGCCTGGCGTAACATTCCCTACAACTACCGTCGCCGTCGCGTTGCCGTCATCATAGGTGCTGCGCTTTTCGTGTGGCTGCTCCTGCACATAATCTATAGTGGCGATCCAGACTACGTGGTATACGATGCGTCGAACCCTCCGAAGCCGGTCAGACCAAACGGACCACCACCGAAGGTCGTCGACGATACCGACGAGGCGGCGCGGCAGCACTACTACAACGGCCATATTAAATTCTTTGAGCTGGGCGATTCTCTGCACAAGATAAGCGGAACGAGCGGGATGCGGGATAAGAATCGCAATGTATTGTTCGCCGCCTCAAACCTGAAGAGCGTGTCGGCGCTGCTTCCCCTGGCTTGCGAAATGGGAAAGTGGAACCGGAACCATGTGCACTTTGCCATCATGGGTCGGTACGACATTTTCTTGGATGATATTCTCGAGGTGAATGGTGTTGATCGCGAGGGATGCGACGTCCACTGGCACGACGCTCGCCCAGATTATGTGACATTTAGCTCCGATGCCCGAGCCGAGGCTGTCGTTGCCGCAGCCATGGGCCATATCCACACTTTCATGCATCCACAAGTCGTTATAACCGATGACTCCGCCAGAGAGGACACGTTCTTTACCAAGGGACTTCGAAGAAAGACTGGAGCCCGCCACCTACCAGTTATAGAGATCCCTCAGGGTCGTGCGGATAGCCTGGAGTGGCTCACTCGTCTCGACTCTAGCTCACTGAGAGCATGGCATACTCCCAGCGTTGATATCCTCATCCATGCACCTCCCAAGTCTTCGGGATCGCTTCTCCGCCTGCTTCAGTCCATCCAGAATGCTGACTACTCTGGGCTGACTCCTCCTCGAATCACCATCGAGCTGCCCCCTGACATAGACCCTCCATCAAAGTGGTTTCTCGAGCGCATGGCCTGGCCTCCATCGCTAAAGGAGCCCTTCTTGACGCCTCGCCAGAACGGACTCATCCTGCGACACCGCATTCCGGACCAGCAAATCTCATCCGACGAGGCAGCAGTGCGCTTCCTCGAGTCCTTCTACCCCTCTCTCGGCTCCCACGTCCTGCTCCTCGCACCAAACGCCCAACTCTCTCCCCTCTACTACCACTACCTCATGTTCCACCTCCTCGAGTACCGCTACTCGGGCTTCGCCGCCACCGACAACGACCACCTCCTCGGCATCAGCCTCGAGCTCCCCTCGCACCACCTCAACGGCACCACGGCCCTCGAGCCGCCGACCGCGGAATCCCTCCACGGCGAGCGCTACGGGCCCGCGAAAAGCCGCCACCCGGACGCCGCCGTGCCCTTCACGTGGCAGGCCCCCAACAGCAACGCCGCCCTCTATTTTGGCGACAAGTGGGCCGAGCTGCACTCGTTCCTGACCAACCGCCTGCGCGCGTTCCGCCTGCAGCCGCACCCCGTGCCGCGCCCGCGCACCGTCCACGAGAGCTTGCCGGCGTGGCTCGAGTACTTCCTCGAGCTGATGCGCGCGAGGGGTTATTCGCTGCTGTATCCGGGCTTGGCCGACTCGTCGCATCGCACCGGCTTGGTGACGGTGCATAACGAGCTGTACCAGCCGCCTGAGGAAATGCTCGCGGCGCTGCAGAAGGACGACGAGGATGACGAAGACACGCCGCCCGCAGATGAATCATCAGCCTCCCCCTTCCTCACCGGCGACCCCGCCGCCGCCCTCGCCCCGCCTTTGAACCTCGAATCTTCTAGCGGCTTAGATGCTATCCCGCTCCACCAGATTCTGCCCTTCGACGCCGACCCCCCGCTCCTGCACGCCTTGCCCGCCCTGTCGCACCAGGGCTTGCTCTTCGCCGACGAGCAGGAACGCGATGATGCGGCGAGGGAGACGACACGCAAGTTTCGTCTGGCTATCGGCGCGTGTGAGCCCGAGCCGGTGGGTGTGGTGAGGAAGGTGGTCGAGGGGAGTGCGAGGGATTTGTTTTGTTTTGGGGGGGAGGGGGTGGGGGATTTTGAGGGGGTGGGTGATGATGAAGGGGAGGAGGGTGGGGGGAAGGGGAAGAAGAAGGAGGAAGAGGGGGAGAAAAAGGAAGAGAGGAAGGATGGGAAGAAGGTGTATATGGGGGAGGTGTTGGAGAGGCTGGAGGAGGACGTGGATGAGGTTGGTGGTGGCAAGAGCGAGGATGTGGTGGAAGAGAAGAAGGGTAAGCGACTGTGAGAGAGTGTTTTTTTTTCCTTTTCGATGGAGTTTGAGTGCGTTTTCTGGGATTTTTGGCCGCGCGGTGCGGCGGGATGGAGGAAGAAGAAGAAGATTTGCGCTGGGAGCGCGCTTAATTTCGGGGGTTTGGCGTGGAGAGAGCCATGTAAGTTCAATCCAGAATCATTCGATCTTGTACGGGCTTGTACACCTCTTCTTTGCAAACTACATTTACGCAGCATGCACATATTTGTGGGCCATTGCGGCTGAAGGCTAGCGTGAAGAATAGTAAAGCCCCCAGCGTAACCATGCTTTACCCTTTTCTTTTTTCTTGGAAAACAAACATGTATGAGGAGTTGAAGCTGTTGTCTAGATGCACATGTAGGATTCTCAATTCCGCATTCTCGTCCGGACGAGAGCCTCAGCTACCCACACATGTTGTTTTTCCAATAAAAAGAAGGAGAAAAGAAAAAGGCTAAGGAATAGCTACGCCTGGGCCTTACAGTTCTCAGTGATTACAGTCCCTCATGAATGGGCTAACTGCCCACCTGTCGGTGGTCGTGCTTTCAAGGCAGCTTTTTGTATGAGCGAGCCAATCAGGACCCCGGAAAACGACAGGGTGGGCGGTTTACCCGTTCCTGGAAGGGACTGTACTTTATCCCCAAACACTTAGTCGGCACTCAAGGATCGAAATCCTTTGACCCCGCTCATGGCAATTCTTCAAATACATACGCGTAAGTCTTGTGTACCGTTACACTTACTCGATTGGGCGTCTACACCGCATCCACCAGCTGACGGGCGAGCGGGGGATTTCTGCAGCCACTTTCCTTGGCTCCTGTCACTGCCACTGCTCAGTCTACGATATGCGCTGCATGCGCCCGCTCCTGCAACTACTGCTCGTTGCTTCTGACTCGTGTTTAAGCCACAATCGCACACGACAGGAGCCTGAGCCATGCACCCCTCATACCCTCATGTATGCAAACCCCTCTCAAAGGCGGTGGCTGGGGTGAATTTGTTTTTCCGTATATCGGACGCCTGTCAACTCCCCCAAAAACAGCGGACGCCTAACCTATCGCATCATCCACACGGACACAGTCATCCCCTGTTCTAAGCCTCTCCACTGTTCTCACCGCTAGCCATTGACCGCGAGAGGGGAGTGTACTTAAGGACTTCCCTTGCGCGACTTCCTTTCTGTACTCTTATCCCTTGTGGACATGGTGTTTCTCAAGTATTTCAATGAGGCAGTGACCTCGTTCATCTTGCTCTTACCTCTCGTCGCGGGTACGCAGAACGTATCGAATTCGCTGCCGACTGTCGACCTCGGATACGAAGTATATCGGGCCGCCGACTTCAACGTGAGGCTACTCAATCCCAATTCATGAAAAAGCTTCGCTCTTCTCACGCTCTCGCGACAGCAAACCGCCGGCTACTACAACTTCTCCAACATCAGATATGCTGCCCCACCTCTCGGAAACCTGCGCTTCAGAAAGCCCGAGCCTGCCCTGACCGACCGCTCAGTGGTCAATGACGGCAACACCAACCGCATCTGTCCCCAAGGGTCGGCCAACTGGGGTATTGTTGGGACTTTTCTCTTGGATTACATCGCCACCGGCAAGCTTCCAAACATCAGTACCAGCGCCATAAACGACGTAATAAATTCCGACACCGTTACGAATGTCACGCGGGACCCGCGCGAAAGCGAAGACTGTCTCTTCCTAGACGTGATTGTTCCGCAGGGAGTCTTCGAGAACGCAGGTTCCGGACATCGTGGAGCTCCTGTTCTCGTTTGGATACATGGTATGAAGACCACCACCACCACCCCCAAGCCAGGCAGCCACCATTAACAAAGTTTCCAGGCGGCGGCTACACCTCCGGATCCAAAACCGGCTACGGCAGCCCCGCCGGCCTGCTCAAGCGCTCGCCCGACGACAGCAGCGCCATCTACGTCTCCATGAACTACCGCCTCGGCGCCTTCGGCTTCCTCTCCGGCCCCAGCCTACAAGAAGACGGCACGGCCAACGCCGGCCTGTACGACCAACGCCTGGCCCTCCAGTGGGTCCAGGACCACATCCACCTCTTCGGCGGCGACAAGGACCGCGTCACCATCTTCGGCGAGTCCGCGGGCGGCGGCTCCGTCATCCACCAGATCACGGCCTTTGGCGGCGAAGAAGCACCCTTATTCCAGCAAGCCATCCCGCAGTCGGCCGGCTGGTTCCCGATCGGCTCGCCGCGCGACCAGGAGCGGGTCTTCCAAGACTTCCTTGCTGAGGTCAACGCGAGTAGTTTGGCTGACGCGCGGAATGCGGAGGAGGAGGTACTTATTGTGGCTAATGCGCGCCAGGTCGCGAGGTCTGTCTACGGCCAGTTCACGTACGGCCCGGCCATCGACGGCGATTTCGTGCCGCTGGACGCGAAGGCGCTGCTCGCGCAGGGGCGGTTCGCGGAGGAGGTGCGCGTGCTGGCGGGGCACAATGCGGATGAGGGACTGCTCTTCGCGCCGCCGGTGACGAATGATGAGGACTTTGTCGCGTTCGTGCGGGATGCTTTTCCCAGCGCTGCTCTGGATGTCGTGGACTACATCACTGGCACGCTCTACCCGCCGGTCGGGGATGGCACGCTGTATGAGAACGACATCGAGCGCGCCGCGCTGCTCTCCAGCGAGGCCTTCTTCACCTGCGCCGACTACGCACTCAACCGCGCGAGCGAGAACGACAGTTATCGGTACCTCTTCGCCGTCCCGCCAGGCCTGCACGGCCAGGATGTTGGGTATACGTACTTCGACCCCACCGCACGTAGTAACGAGAGCGACGACAGCCTCCTTTATCGCCTCTTTGGTCCTGTCAACGAGACGCTGGCGCTGGTGCTGCAGGATTACATTACGAGTTTCGCTGCGAGCGGGGTTCCGGAGAGTGCGGTGGATGGGTTGGCGAAGGTTGATGTGTATGGGCGGAACGAGAGTGTTGTGAGGTTGGACAAGGGTGGGATCGAGGAGGTGAGGGATCCGGCGGCGAATGAGCGGTGCAGGTGGTGGATGTTGGGGCTGTATTATTGATTGGACGACGGATGCCGTGGGTGGTTGGAGCTATCGTCGGGACGAGAATGTCGAATTAAAAACTAGACATACACGTTTGGATGGTAGCTTCAGCTACCAATGACATGAACGAAATATGTTCCAAGTGTAGGTAGTAGAGTCTTGGGAGCGGGGGGCGGGCGAACTCGCGGGGCCACGCTCGCGCTTTCCTAAATTTCTAGATCGAGTAATCTCCAAGCCCCGCGCTTTCCCTTTCCTTGTTGCTGTACAGAAGCCTCAACCATCGCGCTTCCCCTGATTACCGTAAGCTCTGGGCGAGCGGTCTTTAGGCGCAGCGGCTTGTTGGGCTTCTCACACTAGCCCTGCCCACCTCGCCCACGTACGCACGCACGATCTCGAACTTTCCGTGCCTCTGACGTTGAAACCTCGTTTTTTGTCGTTTTCCAAGTTTCGACTGTTTTTTTTTTCTGTCATCAAGATGGAGCCCGCGGAGAACAGAGCGGCGACGGAGGTTGGGCAGGGCAACGTGGCTGAGGCCGGTGGAGAGGTGAGTTTCCGAGTGGGAATCATAGAGAATCACGCTAATTATGGTTCGGATTCCAGAAGAAGCGGAAGAGGACTGGAGTACCGCGCCAGCATGGCGATGTCGGTCCCGCTCTCAGACAGTGAAGCAGAAGATACCCGGGCCATGCCCAAGCGGAAGCGCAACAAGCCGAGGCGAGGCAAGGAGCAGCGAGCAGCCCGCCGAGCGGAGTTTCAGCAGCTGGGTGAGCAGACTGCTGAGCGTCACGAGGAGGAGCCTGCTGCTGCTACTGCCACCACCACCACCACCACCACCACCACTTCCGCCGCCGCCGCCGCCGCTGCTTCTGCTGCCGCTGCCGCTACTGCTGCTGCCGCTGCCGAGACTGCCGCCACTGCCGCTGAGACCGCGGCTGCTGCTGAGACCGCGGCGGCTGCTGCTGCCACCGCCGCTGCCACTGCCGAGACTGCTGCTGTCTCGCCGCCGCCAGCGCGTTAGGTCTATAGACCACACTTTGGGGCAGTGTGCGAGGCCCGGAAGACCCCCTCCGCCTTGGGTAAGCGGTAGTATTCAAATATAGCCGTAGGACAACGCCCCGGGGCAGCGTTCGAGGCTCCCAGTCCCCACTTCTACTGGCAGGATGCAGGGTTCCGAAGCCTCCAGGGTGAGCTGGATGGTGGAGGGGCTCTGTCTTCAGCGATGCTCGTACCTTGCCGTGGTGCTGAAGCTCACCGGGTTTCAAACGAAGAGACACAATCCTCGTCTCGATACCGGTGCTAAAACGAGCAGTTGTCGAAACACAGTGCGACAACACCTGCCAGTCCAATGCGTCCTACTTCCAAAAATTCAGAAGGATGTATTGCCATTAGCCCTGACCTCTCTTTACGGGCTTATGGAAAAAACCGAAAGCAAACTTCGATCGACTCCAACTCATCGATCAGACACAATTTTCCTCTCTCGTGGACTCACCAAGAATTCCCGATCACGGCCCATCAATAGATCGGATTCATCCTGCTGCATCGGTGCCTCGGTGGACCCGACTTTGTTATCACATGTCTTCCGTTACCTGAAAAACTCTTCATTGTCACCCTCCTCAAACCTTTCCTGTACGCCTTGCGGTGCACGCACAGTTTCTCCAAAAACGAACTTGAAAACGGCTCTCAATGCTTTCCCAGGACAGCATCCTCAAGTCCTACCAATGGCGATTGCTCTCCGGTGGCTCAAGGGCAAATTTCTTCTCGAGATTGAATCCTGGCCTGCTCTTATCGCCCCTCTAAAGCAGCCCCTCTCCATGGCAGCTTTGCTTCAATGGTTCTCTAAAGTAGGCTCCTCTAAACCTACCAAATTTCGATGTTCGCCGATGGCACGAAGGTGAACTCCTAAGAAAAAAAACGACCCTCAAGCTGCTCTCTCACTGCTTGTCCACGGCAGCCTCTCTTCACTGTCATCTCTCCATGGCACTCTCTTCATGGCAGCTTCTTTTCACTGTCCTTCTCTCCATGGCGGCTTCACATCTAAGGCAGACTCTCTACGGCAACCTTTCTCGGTAGCCTCTCTCTATAGCGGCTTCAATTCCAAGGCAGCCTCTTTCCATGTCAGACTCTCTCTGTAGCGGCTTTACTTCAAAGGCGGGTTTCCTTTCCTCCAAAGCGGATTAATCTCCAACACCGCTTTATCTCCAACGCAGCCTGTCTCTAACAGCCTCCCCTATAAGGCAGCCTCGCTATTTGGCAGTTTACAGCTAAGACGGCTTTACCCCATGGCAGACCTCTGGGAGGGCTCTCTCTCTTTCTACCAGCTCCACCTTCCAAAGAAGCTTTGCTTTCCAAGGCAGTCCTTCTCCAAAAGAGTTCGCTGGAATTCTACTGGTAGCTAATGACATTCAATGCTAAATGGGATCCTCACCCAAGACATTGGTCCCAACCTACTTGACAACCATCCAAGACGGTCCTACACGAAGTTAGTTTTCCGCTAAAAACAGCCTGCTGCAGACCTACCAATTGGAAACCCATCCACGAATATCATCCTCGGCCAGTACCAAGTACTCATCCATCTTCTGTACGACCGATGGATATCTCAATCGGAACTCTAACCTGTTCAATGGCTTGCTAAACCCATGCGTTGGAAATTGGAACATCCTTCAAGAAGATTTTCCTGAGCCGGCTTCCAGTGCTTCTTTACCACTTCCATGAACAGTCGGAACCTCATCAGCAAAACGGCTCCCAACCTGCTGAAACACTCTTCCGCAAAAATGCTCCAGATATTGCCACAGGCATCCCAGAGCAAACGGAGAACTCATGCAAAACGGACTCTGATCTGCTCAAGACCTTCTCGGCAAACATGCTCCAGACCTACCTCCGGATTCTCAGAGCAAACAGGGATCTCACTCAAGAAAACTAACCTCACCCTGCTCTAAGTCTTGTCCTAGAATTTGAAGGACAATAGGTATTCTATCTTGATCACCTCGATCACGGTTCACCTCTGAGTGTCCCAATTCCAACCTTGTGGTCCTATGGCGAGAAGCATCTCGCCTGATGCATGACCGACAAACCACCCTTGTCTTTTTTTTTTTTTGAACATATTGCGAAGGGATCTCAAGGGGCTGGAGGTGTGTAATATTTTTTTTACCGTGCTGATGTCTGCTGTCTGCTTCTATGGACGCCACTCTCTGTGCTACAGGCTGGAGCTGGTGCTGGAATGTCTCTTTTATCAAGTTCCTCTATGTGCAAACCCAGGTATGCAAATTTCTAACAGAATGCAGGAATGCCGATTCGAAGGCGAAACACCATCCAGTTGACCGCAGATACCGCATTGAAACCCACGCTTCGTCAGTCGTTCGTAAAGTCGTTGCCACTTCTCCCCTTCAGTGATCCATGATCTTTCCGGGATTCAGCAGCCAGTGGGGGTCGAGAGCACGCTTGATGCTCTTCATCACTTCAACTGTTTCCGGTCCAAGCTCCTTTAGGAGTGACGCTTTCTTTCCAAGGCCGATGGAGTGCTGGAGAGATTAGCTTGAGCCGTCTCGCAAAAGCAGTCGAACATACCTCGCCGGTACAAGTACCGTCCATTTCGATGGCCCTGTCAACCATTCTGTATACGCAGTTCTTCACGGCTTCGTATTCCTTGGGGTCCTTCTTGTTATACAAGATGCTTTCATGGAAATTTCCATCGCCGATATGACCAAGAACGCTGGCAAAGACTCCAAGGTCATCCATCTCCTTTTTCGATACCTCTGCATAGCGTGTCAGCTCACGGACCCACAGGAAATCCTGTTGATTAACTTACCGATAATGTCGGGCAATCTCGATAGTGGCACAGCAACGTCAGTCGACCACACATCCAGATCACCTTCCCTGAGTGCCAGCATGCTCCACAGCGCCTCTTTTCTCGCCGACCACAGTTCCTTCTGGTCCTGAGGATCCGTCGTGAATTCGAAATTACCCGCATTATGGGATTTCGCAATGGCCTTCACCAGCTTGATGTTCTCCTGCACGCCGGCTTTCGTGCCAGAAAACTTAAAGAACATGGTCGGTGCCTCTTTCCACGTCCTCTTCGTCGCCTTGACCCTGTTGATGACGCTCATCTGGACCTCATCCATGATTTCCATGGCCCCTACCTGAATGCCCGCCCGCATGATGTCCGCGGCGGCCGAAGCAGCCTCTCTTATCGTCGGAAACGGCACCACGGCGACGCTCGTCTCCTGCGGAATAACGGTGAGCTTTAGGGTGATTTCCGTAACGATCCCCAAGGTCCCTTCCGAACCGATGAAAAGATTCGTCAGATTATACCCGGCCGACGTCTTCCGCGGCCTCCGCCTCGTCTTGATGACGGACCCGTCCGCCAGCACGACGGTTAGGTTGACGACCCACTCCTTCATCGTTCCGTACCGCACCGCGTTCGTCCCGCTGCAACTCGTGCCCACCATGCCTCCAATCTTGGCGCTCGGTCCGGGGTCGACGGGGAAGAACAGGCCCGAGTCCTTGATCTTCTCGTTCAGCTCCATCCACGGCACGGCGGGTTGAACCACCACGTCCATGTCCTCGGCGTGCAGCTCGATGATGCGGTCCATGTGGGCGAAGTCGATGCTCACGCCGCCGAAGGGCGCGGAGAAGTTGGCCTCCAGACTCGACCCGCCCGAGTAGGGGATCATGGGGATCTTGTAGCGGTGGCAGACTTGGGCGATTTGGGAGACTTGGGCGGTGTTGCGCGGGTAGGCGACGGCGACGGGCAGCTGGTCGATGTTGACGCTCGACCATTCGGAGTAGCCGTGGGCGCGCAGGTCGTCGTCGTCGGTGCTGATGGCGTCGGCGCCGAAGAGGGTGCGGAGTTCGGTTATGGCCTGGTGGTTGGTTTTGGGGGTTAGTTGGTTTGGTCATTGTGTAGGAAGCAGAAGGATGGATTGGGAGCTTGTAAACAGCTATGCGGATGCAAGCTATCATTGCGGATATACCTTTTCCATTTCTTTTTGGGAAGCATAGACGGGCTTGCTTGTGCCAGACTTGAACGCATTGAAGGAACCGTTGTCGTAGACACCGTAGAGGTATGTCAGAGCTCCAGTGAAGCTTGAGAACAGTATCACACGGCAGGTCGTCCAGAAAGCTGGTGGTGGGTTCGCTTTTGGCACAGCATTTCTCGCAGCCTGGGCGGAACTCTTCCGCGCTTGAGAGATGACGCCATTTGCAGTAAAGGGACGCACAAACGGCCGCACTTGCCTAGCAGCAGCTCGGAACATGGTGGGATGGGGGAGGACGACGACACACGGAGAGAGAGGGGCACGCACACGACACAGACCGGCGAGCGGGCGGCGGCGCGGGAGTGTTGCTTATAAACATGGGTAGCTGAACAGCGTGCGCACGCGCGCGCGCGCGCCGGCAACTAGCGGGCTAGTCTCCGCTCAGGAACAGCCTGTCGAGATGCGGGAAAAAAAAGGGACATGGCTTAGTAGAGCAGGTGGGGCTCTCGTCTCTCCCCTCTCCGGACAGGGCTGCCCGCTTGGTAACTGCTGTCATCATGGCTGGACGGCTGAACGGTTCACGATATGCGCGGTGCCGGATCGTCGCGCGCCGCCGCAACATGCATGCATACCAGGCAGCCGCTGGTAATAATAAAAGGCCTTCTCCCAGAAAAGAAAGCAGCATGCTGCAAGTGTGCGATTGGCCAGTAGGGACGCAGGTCTGACGGGGCGTTGGGCTCGAATCAATGTTGCGCCGAAGCAAAGCGGACGAGGGCTGCATGATCAGCTGCAGGGGCCACCGTTGGACACTGAGATTGCGGGGAAAGGTGTGCGGTGGTGCAACAAAGAGAGCAGCAGCTTGGGCTGACGAGCCGAATATACGTAAATTAGTAGACCACCATCTTCTAATATTGCCATATTGAGGGCTGAACGAGCCATGCTCGCGAGTGCTGATGAATCACGCAACAGGATGGACGAAAGAAAGGGCTGAAATGTGCGGCGTTCGGAAACCGGGGGCTTGCAGCGGATTGCCGCTCCTGGCCATTGGGGATCGATTGCGGCTGTTGCGAGCAGAACCCGAGGCCGGGAATATGGGGCCCGCCGCCGAGAAGCAGCAGCCCACTCTTCAAATGCTCTATCCGACTCCATAATGGCGTGCGCGAACAAAATTTTCCTTTCTGCAAATGAAGCCACCATTATCGGTGCCTGATGAATTCCTGCTCCCACCATGACCTGAAGCTGGGTTTTCCTCAAATTCCCTCAAATCCAGGCCAGTGTGTGTGGGGGAGACGGTCGGGCGCGTGGGGGTTGCCAACAAGCATTGCCGACGAGGTGGAGTGCCTCGTGACGAGCGCCCGCCTGTTCTGGATCTCGATGACGGGCTGGGGAGCTTCTTGTGGCTGACAAGTTTCAATCACATTGCAAAAAAAAAAAAAAAAAGGTTCCACAAGCTGATTGACTGAATGTGCATTACTTGTCTATTGCTTCACCAGCGCTTGAATACACAATGCCGAAAGTGCTGGAAGGAAGCTCATGCAGGATCAGATGTTGTTGGTATGTACCAATTGGTTCCGACGTACATGCACATCCCGGATGCTTTTGACGAGGTAGTCGCCGATGTCCGATATCTCCGAACATATTTTGTGTTGCTTCCTGCGTTTCCCTTCCGGCGCATTCATTGACCCTTTTTGTCTGTTTTTTTCTGTGCTGCAGAGAGTCGTTCAGAACCATTTCTCACTGTCATCACACTGACCACCCAGGTCAAGCAGCGCGTCCGATGTCGGCATGCGATGAAGCGAAACCAAGATGCAGTGGTTGAAAAATAATTCAGGAGCGAAAGTTCTGTTTGCTTTAAAGTAACCAGAGGAAGAGACAAGCTCACGCTGCAGGCACATCCGCAAGGCGGGGCGCTATTCCTTATCAGGGTGCAAAAAGTCGCCGATAGTGCGAGTCATTCATGACTTCTTTTCCCAGACCCTCCGTTCCACTACATCACCAGCCAAACCCTCATGCTCATAAGCCTGGCGCGGTCCTGGGCCACCACCCTCAGCCGTAATCCGCGCCGCTTCAGCACAGCAGCCACAATGGCACGCGACTACAATGTGCGCCTCTCCCCCCACACGCAGTTCTGCCCAAGTAAAAAAAAGTTACGGCATTGCTAACTGACGTGCGACAGGCCGCCGTCACGGCGCTCAACACGCTGCAGAGCAACTTCGCCATCGTCGATGCTATCCGCAAGTCCGGACTAGGCATGAACAAGAATGCCATCCCGGAGATGCTCGAATGGTTCCGCAAAGCCGGCTACGAGGTGTGCGGCTCCCCGTCCGCCGCCAAACAACAACCCGCGCTGACCTCGCAACCTACCTAGCCCTCCGACTTCGATCGTTTGAAGCCCATCCACATCGCCGGCACGAAGGGCAAAGGCTCGACGAGCGCCTTCGTCTCCTCCATCCTCGCACAGTACCACGCCGCGCCGGCGTCAGCCCCAGTCCCACGCAAGATCGGCCTCTACACGTCGCCGCACCTGAAGTCGGTGCGGGAGCGCATCCAGATCAACAATACGCCGCTGAGCGAGGAGGCCTTTGCCAAATACTTCTTCGAGATATGGGACCGGCTGGAGGCGGCGGCGCGCGCCGAGGGCAAGGACCCATCGGCGCCGGGCACGAAGCCCGTCTACTTCCGCTTCCTGACCATCATGGCGCTGCACGCCTACCTGCGCGAGGGCGTCGACGCGGCCGTCATCGAGTGCGGCATCGGCGGCGAGCACGACAGCACAAACGTCATCGTGAAACCCACCGTCACCGCCGTCACCAGCCTGGGCATCGACCACGTCGCTATGCTGGGCGGCACGCTCCCCGAGATCGCCTGGCACAAGGCCGGCATCTTCAAGCCCGGCGCCGCCGCCCTCTCGGTGCCGCAGAGCAGCCCGGAGGCCATGCAGGTCCTGCGCGACCGCGCCGCCGAGAAGGGTGTGGAACTCGTCGAGGTCCCGCGCCACCCGGACGTCGACGCCATCCGCCTCGGCCTCGCCGCCGACTTCCAGAAGACCAACGCCAGCCTCGCCGTCGCCATCGCCGCGAGCCATCTGCGCGCGCTCGGTGACACCAGCATGCCCGCTTCCGCCAAGGACATCAGCAGCTGGGCCCTCCCGGCCGAGTTCCGCCGCGGCCTCGAGCAGGTACGCTGGCCCGGCCGCTGCGAGATCCGCCGCGAGCCCGGCGTCGCCTGGCACATTGACGGCGCGCACACGCTCGACAGCATCGAGGTCGCCGGCCGCTGGTTCGCCGAGGAGATTGCTGCGTCGTCGTCGTCTGCATCCTCCACCACTACATCAGCTTCCTCGAAGCCTCGCATCCTCATCTTCAACCAGCAGACGCGCGACGCGGCGTCGCTGGCCCGCGCTCTATACGCAGCGCTGGCCGCCGGCGCCGGCGCCGAGCGCCACCCTTTCACCCACGCCGTCTTCACCACCAACCTCACCTTCCAGGACACGGGTTACAAGCCCGATTTGGTCAGCGTCAATACGAATGCTGACGACGTCGAGAAGCTGGCCGTGCAGGAGGCCCTGGCGCGCACGTGGTCCGAGATTGATCCGCAGACGGAGGTTAAGGTTGTGCGGACTATTGAGGAGGCGGTGAGGTATGCGCGGGGGGTTGCGGCGGAGGCGAAGGGGGTGGAGGAAGGGGAGGAGGTTAAGGTGTTGATTACGGGGAGCTTGCATTTGGTTGGTGGGGCGTTGGAGGTGTTGGATAGTAAGTAGAAAACGTTTATTGGAGGGTTTTTGTTTGCTTGAGAGGGATGAGCTTTTTCAACATAGATGCTCGGGTCGGGTCGGGATATAGAGAGGCGGCATTGCCATTGCGGCTTAAGGCTAGCTAGCACCGTGGATTCGTTTTTTTTTTTTGGTTCATGGCATGGGGAGGTGAAGCTATCGTCCGGATGGATATGTAAAATTATTAATTGTACGTTCACGTCTGGACGATAGCTTCAGCTACCCACGTATGGTGTTTTTATGAAGAAAACGAAAAGAAAAGGCTAGAGGCAGAGAGCAGCTGCCGGGGTGGAGTGAGTGGCTGGATGGGTGGGAGTGTCCCGTTTGATGAGTCCTCGTATTGTTTCGTTTGCTGCTTCGAGACGTATGTACTGCGACCGACAACTAAAAAAAAATTAAACATTGCTGGGTAGCTGAAGCTAACGTCTGGACGTATTTGTCTTAACTTAAGTCTTCCATCTACGGCCGGACATTAGCTTCAGCTACCCGCTTTCAACTATCTTTCTCTAATCCTTGGGTTCTTAGTTTTCTCCTCGGAAAAGGGTACGCACGGCAAGATGAGGAACGGCAGAAGGGCGCATGTAGCGGACTCAAGCAATTGTATGGTGGGAAAGCTGTTGTTACTATCTCTACCTCCAGTCGCGGCTAAGGTATAGACCGTTCGGATCCGTGCGTACGTAGCTGCCAGAGGCAGCCGCGTACCCGCGACAGTGCAGGTCAACATCGAGGGACTGGCTACGCTTTACGCCTGCGTCGCCCCAGTGAAGCATCGTCCGCATCTGAAAAGTCGTTCCGGTCCTGCTGACCCCCGCAGTACGATCCTCGAACGTTGTTCAGGTTGGTCCAGATATTGAGCAGCTCTGCAACGTCCATGAGCTCATCCCCAGTAAACTTCATGACAGAACCAAGCCCCTTGTAGGGGACAAGACGGGGGTGCCTGATGGCATCGTTGACGTAGGTGTATTGCCAGATGATCTCCAGCTCAACCAACTTGGGCGCGTTTTATCCGGGAAGTCGGTTCAGGACACGCGAGCTGAATGAAGGGTCGGCAAGCGGGTGGGGAGCGGCGGCATTGTGAGGGTTGCATCGGCGTCTGCGCCCATCATGGTCCAGGAGGCGTGCGGCTCGGTGGGGTGGCAGCAGCAGCTGGACGGCCGGCAGCTGCGTTGTTGGCAGGCGCTGTTGGTAGGTGCGACGGTCAAGGGGGCATTTAGTGCTTTCTTCCGGGTACTTAAATACATCACCTGTTCACCTCCTCAGTTCCGCGCCCAGTCCAACCGCACAACGTGCGCATACATAACGTCGCACGCGAGTGACTCCACCCCTCCGATCTTTGCGAGTGCGTCCGACTTGTTGGCTTTGTCGCGGAATTCAATAGCGCTTGAAATCAGCAGGAGTATTGGGCTCATTCTTAAAGGTACTACCCATGCTTCGTAGCATTCCCTTTGTCTCCTCTACAGTCTTGAGGAAGTGCTTGGCCTTTCGCATTCCGTAGCCCGTGATTGCGCGAGCTACTTCAATACCAACCTGGTCGATAACCTTTTCGTAGTTGCTGCGGTCGCTGCGCGAGTTCTGGTACCATGATTGAGGCTGTACGGCCAGCGTGGTCATTTAAATGGCGTCCTTGAGCCTTTTAACGCTGACGCGGCTGCTGGAGTCATCCCGGTACGTCTTAATGTTGCTGCATGGGAGCTTCATGCCTGAGTTAAGTTTCAGGTTGTTAACCTGGGACGGAGCACTGACAGGTAGACGTTCTCATAGGGGAGGAAGCGTGAAGCTTACATTGTTCTTTGGGCGAGTGGTCGGGGCTTATCCTTAGGAGGCTTGAATGGCGTCGTCGTCGGCTTGGGATGCCGGGCCTGCGAGGGTGCCTGCATCTGCTTGTTGGGCATGCGGGACTGGCTCGGCGGGTGCGTTTCTGATGCCTTGGTCGGCTTAGGAGCCTGATCAGCCCGGCTAGTCTGCGAGCGAGTTTGACGTGGTTGAGGAGTTTGGGGAGCTTGAGGGGTCTGGAGTGGCTCTCTGTGCAGCGCTGGGTGATTCATTATGACGTTTCGAAGATTAATAGACGCCTTTGAGGGTGTTTCCACAAAAGGGTTATCGTCGGCGTCCTTTTTCTCATCACGCGAAACCGTCATGTCGACATCGTGGCCAACATAACTTGATTTACGCATGTTACTGTGACTCCAGACCTGATCAAAGTCGAGCGATGTGAGGGGACTTTTCCGATCCCGATATAGGGTGCGCGACTCATCCACAGGCGATTTGCTGCTCTGCTCGTTGGATATGGTGAACCCGGTGTTCTGTACTGCCTGCGAAATAGTGCGCCACCGAAGGCGCCTCCACGGAGACTCGTCGTGAACATCATCGCCATCGATATAGTCGCGTACATTTCGAATAATCGCTGCGGACCTTTCGTTTCGGGGCGTATCTTCGAGTGAAACGAAGGTTAGGTGTTCAACTTTTGTTGCCGGATGTGAGGTTGCTAAGAAGGCAGTCACGATGTACGCAACTGCTCAACAGGGAAAGTTCCACTCCGCCGCCTCCGGGCCCCAAGAGGAAAGCGGGAAACGGCTTTTCTATCATGGCTATTGTGTGGTTATTGTGGAACGAAAAAGGAAATGCTATTGGCTTAGGAAGTATCTCTCTACCGACATGTTGCAGAACTGTGTGTACATCTTTTGGCTCTATACTGTCACTCATACATCGGGTACATGAGTCCTTCTATGTTTCATAACATCTTTGGAGTGTAGATCGTCATTTTTAGATTCCAGATTAGAAACATTCCAGCATGTGGGCTAGTGAAGCGCTTATGTGTTCAAAAGAAAAAAGAACAAGTGGTGGTTCGTCGACCCGCGGCCTATGACGCCAAGCGCCAATTCCGGCCCGCCACTGTCTCCTAGTTGCACTGCAAAAGCCTAAGCTAAAATGTTGTTATTTAGTGCTACTAGTTCGTCCATCCTAAACGTCGAGGCGGTGGTGCTAAAGTTTTGTACTTAAGCTGAGGCATTAGGAAGGTGGCGCGAGTTTTACGATAGGTGTTAATTACCTTAAGAGAGGAATGTACTAAAATACCATGTTCATAAAATCCTGCATAGTTAGAAATACTTCTTTGTTCATTGTTTGAAAGCCGAAATGCAAAAGTAAACATTTCCTTACCGATACCTATCCTCGTGTATAGATCGTGAGGCTGACCGCATGGCCGCGACATGTGATATTATCCGACATACCTGCAGACATTATTCGGAAGCTGCACTTGAAGACGAAAGCGCTGAGTATTACAGGAAACTGTAAGCATATTGTAAGCTGAGGGAGGGGGCTTATAGGGCGAGGCGGCGCCACATCGGAATAGAGGAAAGATATCATTGGTACTGTGTGATAACAATAAAGCACGGCTGCACACTCAACCATTTATAGTAGTGCAACCAACACCATACCTGCCGCCTTCATATTACGTGACAATGTAGCTGAGCTTTTAAGCCTCGAGTCGGTTCTGATATTTAGCCTTAACGACCTCATGCCCTCAGCAGTGCTTACGGCATTTGATCGAACCGCCCTACTCAACCTACCCATTCCATCATGTCATATCCATTTCCTTGGTCCCTGTTTCCTGAAGAATTGGACATTCTTCCGACCAGCTTTGCTGACACTCATCAATGGGTCATTGAAAATATGACATATTTCGATACACAGTGGATTGAATGTGCGTATCCTATCAGCGGCAGCTACTCACCAACGCCTCGATACATCTATTACGCATTTATCTTAATTGCTCTGTTTGGAAGAAAGTCAACTTGGCTTACAAACGCCGCCCTCGGTTTGGTTATGACCTTCAGCTCAACGGCAGCATTTCACGGAATCATCCTGGCCATCATTCGACGGAATTTGGCCCCGGAGTACCTCTTTGAGAACAGAAACTGGGAGATTGTGCAAGTTGACGGACCATACTTTGCCAATCACATAACTGATGGATGGCTGTACAATGTTACCACGAACGAGACTTGGTTACCAGTCCTTCCAATGGCCTGGGATAATGACGGCGATGCAATTCTGGTCATCGTAGGGGCGGCCTTCATTGTTCTACTCCCTATGCAGATTTGGTCCTCAACACTCCGTGAAGCGGGTGGGTTGAAGATACTTGTTGGCATTTGGAGCTGTCTGCTCCTCGCCGGTCTGATATCTGCTCTCATTTATGTCGAATATGTCCTCGTCTGGACTTTTCCGCAATTGCGCTTCTGCCCCCCAGGTGCCGCTGATAAGTTGCCATTCAGCAATAGAGGGCTCTACGAATACCCACTGGAATGGACGCCCGGGGATTGGTACCGCTGGAACAGGATCGTTGGGGAGCAGTATGTTTACAGGAATGCGACTGTCCGGTTTCCAGACATATGCCTTTACCCTTGCCTCCAATTCGAGTGGCTCCTACGCGATCCGGAAGATATCTACGTTTACGAAATCAATACTGCCGGTGGGTATAAAAATCCAAAATTGTGGGTTTTTGCGACCATTTATTTTCTGGTTGCCAGCTCTTGTGTTTGCAACATCTGCACCCTGTTGGTAACTCACACCAATTTGTTCACACACGAGAAGTGGGGGCTGGATCACAAACTTGTTCAGCACATACAAGATAGAGAATTCGCCGCTCTCTGGAAAAAAACGTATGAAAAAAGAAACCTTAAAACTTCGTTATTTCAACGAGTTGTTGCTATTTTCTTTTGGTATATCTCTTTAGTTGGGATTATAATGAGTCCTATTACACTTTTGGCTTTCGTCGTTGTTGTTGAATTACTGTTGTTGCGTTTCGATCCTGGAGCGGAAACTTTCCGGCACGTAGGTCAATGGGGTGCTTTAATCAGTGCTATGTTAGTCTTGTTATCTGCTTTTGGATCATGGCTTTTCGAACTTGACGAGTCGCGGATCCAAGAGGTATTCATGGCCTGTTAATATCTTTCTCTCGACCTTCGTGCCCAATTACCATCACTCATTGATGTATCTCCATTACTATTTATAAGGCTATTTATCTACTTCGGTATAATCTTTCATTCTCAAGTAACTATCATGCAATCTACCCGTCTGCTTAACAAAACCTTCACTTAGCACTTGTGTATATGAATAAGAGTCTTGTTACAAGATAGAGGACAACTCAATTCGAGAAAGCAGGAGTAGGAAATTAAATCGCATCACATTATTCAGCAATTTTCTATTCAAGTTCAAAATGCACCACCAACTCTAGAATTCTGAATTATTCTAGTCATTAGGGTCCTTTTCCAATAGCGAGGACCCCCACATTGTTGCGGCAGGCTGAGGCGAGAAGCTGAGGAGGTGAACAGGTGGTATATTGAACTACCCGGAAGAAAGCACTAAATACCCCCCTTGACTATCGCACCAGCCAGTAGGCATCCTATTCAGTTTGACCTGCAAGTGGCGCAAGAAATGCGTCGATGCAAACTCAGTCGCCGTACCATAGACGGCCTGGCCTGGAAACAGCAGGTATGAGGCTGCCGTATCCTTCCTGATGCCGACGGGGTCGACGCCGGGCTTCCAGCCGACGCTGTGCATGGCGAGCAGCTTGGGCGCGAGGAAGGCGTGCGCGAGGTTCGCCACACCGAAGACTTTAGCGTCGAAGGCGTTCTTGATCAACAATTGTGACTTTTGTTGCTGTTTGCGAAACACTATTGTTATCTGACAAATCCGAGGTGGAAACCTTCCGGCACGTAGGCTAGTGGGGTGCACTGATTGGTGCTGTTCTGGTTATCTTGTCCGCCGTGGGATCTCACTTTCTCGAACCTCGAGCACAACCGCCGTCGGAAGATGACGAAGCAGTAGAATTGCTGGCTGAAAGGGAATTAAGTTGGCCTCGCCGCCGTGATTCTCAGGCAACCACGGAAGAATTGTAGTCATAATGTATCTGATTGCTGCCAAAATGTTGCTACTTTATTCAATTTGAGCGGCCAAAAATGTCTGGAAGAAGTTTTGGAAAAGTGGCGAAGAGGGACTGAAGTTTGCAGTAAGAGAGTGGAATGCAAATATTCTGTTACGCCCGAAGTAGTCACTTTAGTGGAAGCCAGGTTACTCTGTCATCCCAACAACTCCCACATTCGCTTTGTGTGTAACTCGCAGGAATTGTTTGTGGAGTGACAATAGGTGTGAAGCTTTTGTTAGGGTGTTTGCTACCCCGTAACTTGTACACACTCGTCCATCCGACCTCTTCAACAACACCCTTGCGGTATCACTGAGAAGTAACACCTGTCTTACAGAGTACAGAACTTGTATCAGAGATTTGTGCAGTGCAATCAGCCAAGTTTTGCACAGTCTATTGAATTCATGAGTAATAAGGCCGCTTTAGAGAGTCTTAAGCTGATACGTTATGCTTTGCCGAGGGCATTCCAATTAATATCAAGGAATGCGTGGTAGATAACACTGAAAGGCATGGCTAGTGTATTGTAAGCTATACTAGTACTCGTCCATGATTTATGTACAAAGTCAAGCAAACAATCGATATTCCACCCGAGTGTTCAAGAGTTACTCGGTGTTTTTTTGTCAGACGAAGTTCACAAGATGATTGGTCTAATGTCAACGGAGGCAACATTGCACAAATATTGGTGTTATACAAATCTGGATCGGCAAGATAATTAAATTAGCCATAATCCAAGTAGCGAAAAGTTCGAGGACTCGATTAATACCCTTTCACTGGCTGTACCAAAATGTCTGACTTTTTCCACAAGTGGCTTGACCTCGACGACACATCCGACCGCATTCCTTTGCACCAGGTCAACTCTACAGGCTGGGTCATTGAGGAACCTGGCTTCTACAACGCTCAATGGGTTAATTGCTTTTACCCCATCAGCGGCGGCTATGGACCTACATCAAGGTATATTTATTACATTCTCCTGGAGGCGGCTGTCATTCTGCGAGACAAAGAGTGGGCAGCAACGACTGCCCTTGGCCTGGCCATGACATACAGCTCAACCGCTGTACTCCACGCAATTATCTTATGGATAATCCGGGCCCTTGACGAATCAACCACAGAGTATGTCCAAGTTGCCGGATCCACTTTTGCCGGTCAGATGGCTGTACAAGATGGTCTCTACATTCAGACCAATCGGACATCTGGTGAACTCTGGCTACCTGTCTCTCCTGTGGCATGGGATGATGATAGCAACGCCGTGATGGCAATCCTTCAAACGGCATTTCTTACTCTTCTCCCGATGCACGTGTGGTCGCCTCAAATCCGCAACGCCTCAAAGGGAAAGAAGATTCTGCTTAAGCTCTGGAGTTGTCTACTTTCTGTCGGCTATGTCTACTCCTTCGTTCACGCAAGTTATGGTGGGACCTTTTCGCTCCCCCAATTGCGATTCTGTCCAAAAACTGCAGCAGACTCTCTCCCGCTCAAAGCTCACAGCTCCTTTCAGTACCCTGGCCGGGGAAAACCTGGGGATCAATATCATTGGAACCGCATTCTGGGTGATGAGTTCGTTTACAAAAACTCATCATCCGCCTTCCCGGACAGATGCTTGTATCCTTCCTTAGGATTCGATTGGCCGCTCCGGGACCCCGAAGACATAATTGTCTCAGAAATAGAGCATCCGCGCATTCTTATAGGGTGGGGCAATGGGATGTTGTCACTATTGTTGACCTTTAGTCCCGGTTTAACCTTCGCAATTGCGGTCGTCTTCGCTCGCTTTCTCTACAATGGCCACTACCAGCTATTTGGTATCGCCACTTCGCTTCGGAACCGGAACTCGGAAATTAGCGTCCTATGGAAGCATGTTTGGGAAAGGGCCCCCGAGTGGCGTTTCCACAGACACGCTGCACATGTAATCATGTACCTCTCCGCCATATACTATAGGGTATACATCATATACCTGAGTCCATTGGTACTTTTATATTTCATCATCTTATTTGAGGCTATGCTGTCTCCGGCCAACCTCGGATCGGAAACGTTTCGACATGTGGGACAGTGGGGTGCTGTGGTAGGCGCTGGCTTGGTGATTGTATACGCAGTGGCCTCACGCTTCTTTGAGACTCGTTGGAGGAACAGGAAGGGGCCCCCGATTGATCTCCATGACTCTCGTTCATGGTGGCGTCACTAAGTCAGTTAATTTTACTTCACTTCACGGCCAATATTCGTGTATTTCAGTACTTCAATTCATTGCTACCCCGGATTGTTCCACTTCACTTTAGCTGTGATTAGTGTAAGGCCTCTTCGCCTTCCCATCGAGGATACTTTGGAAAAACTCTTCCAAACTGACCCCCTTCAGATCCGGATACAACTTCTTCCCGTCCAAATACCCCAAATACTCCGCATATTCCGGGTTGTTGTCCCTACGGACCCCTATCGAGTAGTAGTATTGGAGAACATGGTGTTTGAGGATAGCCAGCATATCAGCCGAGCCATTGGCAAGCGCCTCCTTCACGTCCGGAATTTCGGCCATGATCTCGGGCCCATCAAGCTAAAATCCGCAAGTCAGTCCAGCCCCTTTCGTTGCCACTCAACCGGCACAGTCCTCGGACGTGACGAAATCAAGCACTCACATATCTCCGCTCAATCTTCTCCCCGCTCAGCCTCTCCATCAGCTCGTACGCCTGATTCGGCGTCACGACCTCGCCGTACACGAACACCATCTTGTTCAGCGTCCGCTCATCCACAATGACGCGGGCGACGAAACGCCCCACATCCTCTGTTGCCGTCACCGCCGTTGGCACGTCGCCGTTGCCGGGAAGTATGTTCGGACCTCCTTTCATCGTCAAGATCTCGACGCGTACGTACTCGGTCCGGCCGGACGGCAGCGCGGGCACGAAGCCGTGCATCCACCAGCCGATGTCGATGACCGTGTAGCCGAGGCCCAGCTTCTTGACGTGGTCCAGGACGTCTTCTTTCTGTACGGATTGCGTTAGCATGTGCAGAAGATCCTCTTAAGGGGCTTTTTTTCCCCCGGCATCTATTCCGTTTGTGCTCGGGGAGGAGTCAAACCCGAGTAACTCGGGAAAAGAATCCGAGACACGACGACAGAACGGAAGCGAAGAGTAGAAGACAAAAAAAAAACACCCTTGCATACCTTGCCCCGCACATCCACCACGCCCCTCGGCGGCGCCGCTGTGGCGAAGAAGGACGGCACGAAGCGCTGCACGCCCGCCGCCTTGGCCGCTGTCGCCAGAGCCAGCTGGGCGTCCATCCCGTCCGGCCCGACGGCCGCGATGACGATGTCGATTCCGCGGAGGGATTTTATGGCTTGTTCGTCATCTTGCTGCGCGTTGGTGGAGGTGTCGTAAGGGATGATGGCCACACCGCGGTTCTGGAGGTCGAGGGTTTTGGGTTTTGTCAGAGAGGCGGGGCGGATCAGGGCTGCGACTTCCTGGGTTGGCGGGATGAGGTAGTTAGAATGGCGGCGGACGTTGAGAGAGTCAGGAGATAGAGGGAAGGAGGAGGCATACGAAAGGGGTGGAGGATTCGAGAAGGCCATTGACGATGGAGCCGCCTGTTTCGCCTGTAGCGCCGAGGATTGCAACTTTGATGGGAGCCATTGCTTGTATTGTATTTTTTGAACACGGTGCACTTGAGGTCTCTGGTGTGGTGGTTCAGTCCTCTACGGTGGGGACTGCAGCTTTTAAGCTGTGCTCGTTTCCAGCCATAGCTCGTGTATTTGCCCGTCACTCCTGGAGACCTTTCTGCTTACTGAAGCCTGTGGAGTTAGGCATTCGGCACTTGTTGCTCAAACAAAGCTGTTTGGGGAAGTCATTCATGTAGTTGCTTGGTGCTCGTCTGTGCGCCAACCAATCAACGCACACTTCTTCGGGAAAAACCTACAACAGCGGGTTTTCTGCCGGTGGAGCTGATAAATGAGACACGGGTCGAGGTTTGCTGAGTTCCGTACTAAACGGACAACGATCATTGGGATCACAAAAAAGCGTGGCACTACACCGAGAATGATACCCTGGCCTCGGAATACGGATGTATTGAGACCCGTTGCAATCCCCCGAGATCATGGGGGGGATTTATTTTTCGCTCATGGCATGGGTAGTTGAAGCTATCGTCCGGACATGAATGTATAATTATTAATTCTACGCTCTCATTCAACCCTGACCATAGCTTCCGAGGCACCTTCCAACATCTCCATATTACCTCCGTCTACAAAGCCGATACGTGTATATGTCTTGTTTTCAGAGGGCCCTTCCAGGACGAGCCCCACCCAGTTCATCCGTTCTCCAGAACTGTTGGCATAGAGCAATGGTAGACAAAAGACCTCCTGCCCTACCGAGACGCTGTTCAGGACATCAGGCAGAAAATGAGTTGTAGTGTTTCCTTTTGTCAGGTGGTAGTATTCAGAAGGTGATCCCCATCTGGCATCCAGGAAATCACCCAGGTCGAGCGAATGGCTACCTATCGTGGCTTTGATAAGTGGGGCTGAGAGTACAAGATGACCTCCTTTGACTTGGCCGTAAGGATCAAGCCCGCTCGGCGTGCACCATCCATCAATCACCCTCACAACCCTCTCTCTCGAAGTCTCATCGAACAGGCCATCATGAAACTGCACGTCTCCTTCCAAGGCAGCCCACGACCACGAAGGTGCCCGGTACGGATGTGCCCTGCGGTGAAGGTCTTGCGGTCTTTTACCAATCACGAGGACTGGGGTCCAGCACAGCGACTCGGGAATGCTCATGCTCCACATCCCTGCCATGTACGTCCCCAACTCCGCGCACTGTAAGCCCTGCGCAATGCCCGAAAGGGCTGGTAGCCGGTCGGATTCTTTGGTGATGTCCTTGGCCGTGAACTCCTCGATCAGGCGGTACCAGATGTTGATCCGAGAGAGGAAGTCGTTCTTGCGGAAGTTCAGTGCAAACGCAGGCTTGAACGAATCTCGGAACCATGCACCCCGCTCGCTGATGTCGGCGCCGCACTCGCAATGGAAGGCCTCCATGCATTCCCACACCAGCTCCGCTTCTGTGTAATGGAGCATGCGGGCCGCCAGAAAGCGCTCCTGCATCACCCACGCGCGCTTGAAGATGGGATAGCCGCTTCCGAAGGCTAGGTGGCCCATGAAAGGGCCATGGTCGGTGATCTTCCTTGCGAGGACTCGAATAGGGGACGCGGCATCATTGCTGCCTGCTTCAAGCACGCAGACTTTCCTCTCGGAAAAACATCCGCGGGTCCCATCTGGTGCTGACGTTGCCGAAATGACAAGGTAAGCGTTCCGGTAGACGCTCCACATTCTGCTCGCTTCCAGTTCCCAGTCCGCTCCGTCATCCTGAATGATGCAGAGTGAGTCGATCCAGAGATATTGGATTCCCAATCTTCGGGTAATGGTAACGGCGTCCTGGAAAGTCTTCGACAGAGATGACCAAGCTATTCCCTTCTTATGCTCTTCAATGTTCGCCTTTAAAGTTCTGATGATTTGCGTTTTGCCCCAGCAGTGACTGAGTGCGATGTACTTCCCTCGCTGGTCGTGCGTACTTTCATGTAGTCTGAGCTCATTTGGTTCATGTGATGAGCCCACATACACCACCCGAGTGGGGAGAAGTGGCCCCAGATCAACAGGTACCTCGTAGCATTTGTGACTTTGGTTGCAGTTGTGCAGCCAATTTTTGATGAGGTTGAATGACACATTCGAGTCCGAAGCTTGAGCAGGCAAAGGGAGCGCTGGTTTGAATTGAGCCCACGCTGGCTCTCCTTCCCATGCAGTCAGCTACGTACAAAATAATGAATAGGGGCTTGCAGGAAAAGCCCACATACTAGCTTCAATGTAAAATTCAACATCTATCTTCCCCGCGGAGTTATGCGAAAACCCAGCGGACGCTCTCAAAGCACCGTTGTTACGCTCGAAGGCCAGGTTTTCGTCAAGCATCTGCGGGAAGCTCTGGTCGTTCCCGTGTAGTCTGTAGATGCCTTTCCAGATGATGGAGCATTGGGCACATTGGTCCGATGATCGGTGTATGTCTGCGATGGTTGGGCAGTCATCTAGGCTGGGGCGGTTCAAGAGATCCTTGCATGTCGTGCAGCTGTCGCTGTGCTCCATGGCTGATGTATGAATGAAATTCCGGCAATTGGGCAGATGTGACGGGTTTGAGTCGGGTTGGCTACGAGTTGTCATGCGTAAGTCCGCGCTTACATTGCCCCACTTTCCTAAAATGGTTCTGTGGCGTATACAATTTTTGCCAGTGCTTAGTAGGAAACCTCAATGCTCAGAGGACAGGGTTACACCAACAAATGGCGGCTGGATTATTGTCAGATGAAGACGGCTTAATCTTCTCCTTATAACTATCTCGACCTTCACATTACGGTTCATTTTCTTCGAAGCCCAGGTCAAGAATAATAATTTCCATACCATAGGATTAGGAATGTCAGTGATAAGATAAGCGCTTTGTATTTGTTGGTATACCCCGCAAGTACAATGAAAATTGAATCGGGCTTCCACTCCTGTATACGAGGTATTGACAATCCACCTTAATCATCTAACGTCTGATTCTTGTGGAGTTCTGCCCGCATCTTGACCAGCTTCTCCTCTTCTTCCCTGATACTGGATTCATGCTCTTGTGATACCTGTTTCCGGGAACTCAGGACATTTTCCAAGACCGTGATAGCCTTTTCAATCTGTCTGTCTCGAAAGTACGCCTCTGAGAGCCACGATTTCGTCTGTAAAAAGCTTGTGTTACCGTTCGGAAGAGTCTTTGATTGTGCATCGGCAACAAACTCAAGCAGATCAATAGCATCGCCAAGTCGGCCGCTGGCTTGATAAGCACGAGCAAGTTGGCGCTTTGTTATGAGCAAGTTCGGATGGTTTGGTGGAAGAACATCTTTCGAAGCGTGTACGATGTACTCAAAACCTTTCACGGCTTTCCGGACTTGACCGTTCAAGAGGTACGAGCGGGCGAGCTCATGGCGAGATATCAACAAGTCCTGATGAGTGGGTGGAAGTAGATTTTCCGAGACACTCACAACGTGTTCGAACCGTCCGATAGCATCCAGAACTCTGTCGTCTTCAACGTATGCACGAGCAAGCTCATGTACGGACGCCATCAGGTCGGGGTGGCTGTCTGCGAGAATGGCTTGTTTGGCTTGAACGACTCGTTCGAGGACGTCGATGGCTTGTCGAACTTGGTAATTTTGGAGATAAGCGGTTCCCAACTCGTGCTGCGATACGAGCCGCCTCCAATCGCTTTCAGGTAATGCTGATTCCAAGATGTTGATTTGTTCCCACATTTGTAAAGATGCGGACATATCTCCGAGGGCCCCCAGATTTCGCGCCTTAATCTTGGCTAGCGGAAGCAGCTCTTTGGTTGGTGGTTGTGGCCTTTCACCGAGTCGTTCGTACAGACGCGACAGATAAGAATCGAGTTCCTGATCCAGTCTCATATGATATAGTATCCATGCACAGCGGTACTGGATCTGTACAAGCACACCAATGGGGTTGTCAGAGGTACTGTAGTCCTCACCATTTCCAATGAAAGATGTGATATGTGGACGGAGTGGAGACTCCAGAAGTCTCCATACACTTGTCCAGGGTTCCCACACAACCTTGTGGGCAGAGAGAGCGATGAAGGATCCGGTCCGAAGCCAAGTCCTGACCTGGCTCTCGTCGTCCATCCTATCTTTGACCCACGCATGCGCGAGCGGATGTATGGATACTGCCTTCTCATTCTCCCCGATACTGGATTGCTTGATCAATGCGAGTGAGGAAAGAAGCTCCAACGAGTGGTGGAAGTCGAAACGATTCCACTTAGCCGAGTGAACTGGTAGGAGGCTGGAAACTTGCTCAACGTGAGCATTAGACAGTTTGTCGAGATTACTGTCTTTGTCATCAGAGGTGTCAGCCAGAACACCGCGTGATCCTTCCCAAGCTTCTGCGAAGACTCTGATTGGAAGGTTCGTGTAGTTCAGCATCGAGAACGTCCCAAGGATGAACAACGCAAGTTGCACGTGGCGGTCTTGAGATGCCTCGAGGACTCGTGCAGATGCTTCAAAAGTAGCGTAAACGTCTCCGTATCTCGACTGCGCCTGACGTGGCCGAAACTGCAGAAGCCTTTGGCGTTCTTCTTCGTAAGTTGAAGCGTATTCTGGTAGACTGCAGTAGCCGTTCGCGACAAAAGCCCCAGCCTGGGTCAATGCAAGAGTGTGAGAAGATAGGAGATCCACGATTTGCCGCGCAGCCGGTGCCATGGAAAGTCTCGAACTTTTGCTAACTTTTGAGGCCTTGAGTAGCAGATCAACTGCATCTTCTGGGTCTAGAGCCTCCAGCTTCCTGCAACCGACAGTTTGGTGACCCTCACATTCAGGATTCCGAGAATTCAAGAGGATTGCCCCTTTGGATCCAGGTGGGAAGAAATGTCCATAATCAAAATCTGGATCATCTGCATTGTCCAGTATGAGGATCCAGTCCTTCTCAATCCGGGATATGACATTCAAAGCATCCTTAAGCGTGTCCACGCATGGCTCGAATCTGCTCGCGAGCGCTTTGAGTTCCCTCTCGGCAGCGGAGCTGTCGCTGACATCGATCCAGAAGATGCCCCAAAAGCTTTTCGAATTAGCTTGTATACCGAATCAAGGAATGCAACCACCTACTAATTCACCACTTCTTCGCCTAGCTTGAGACATACTTCGCTTTTGCCCATGCCGCCTATGCCAGTCACAACATATCTTCTCTGCTTATCTGGAATAGGGGTGCAGAGAGCAAGCTTCATCTCCTTAAGAAACTCCTCTCGGCCGGTGAAGAGACTATTCACGGCATGCGGCAGCGTTGAATAAAAAGGTTTCGCTAGGAGAGATTTCGCATTTTCTGCATCGGTGGGCTTTGTGACAGTGTTTGCTGCAATTGTAAGCAATAGGCAAAAAATTAGAGGGCCATTTTTGACATCTATACTTATCACGATGTCCCTGTTGGCCCACAGAAAACCTTGAATAGCAATATGGCCCTGGACAGAACCAGCGAACCGCATCAGCGATTCCCGAAATGTTTTCATTGTCGCTTCAGGAGAAGTAAGCGCGGCTTGCAAAGGAAATGGCAAGAGAGGAGCACACAAATGCGCTGCCAAGTAAGTGAATAAAAATCTGGATATCAAGGATCTTGATAAAAGATATCTTGGTCTAATTCATAATTGGTGCTGCTGGTGCGAAGGGCCATTGAGCTGCCATGTGGCGTTGCGTGGTAAGACGCCAAATTGTGCGACAATAAGCAAGGCTTGTAATCTCCACTCCGCCAAGAGCCACAGCCTTCCCAAGTCGGATCAAGTGACCACGAAGGCTGTAGTATGATGCCAATTCCACGAGGCATAATTTGCCTCTTGATCTGGGAAGCCACTAAGCTTGAGGAGCGGTCGGCAAGGCAGTTTTCATCACAAGCCACTGATGTAAATATTGCGATATTTTGCCATGTGAAGGTAAGGATCGCATATTATGGTTAATGACAGCCTTCTATCTCGTCTCCCTTTTCTCTTTAGACTGGGGTTGGAGGAAGACTGTTTTGCATGCAGCGGACCAACCAGATCATCTGTATATCGTCCAGAAAGGCCCGATTGTAGGACTAGTTGTTTTTGCCTACCAATGTACCAATCATACATGGATATTTCCCTGCTGAAAGGAAATTCTAACTACCAACTGCAGCATAGGTGCTTATTCCCATGAGGGCTGGGAAAGCCATGACAAGGTTGTTTGGTACAACGCCTTGAGCGCCACAAATGCAGCCTGTCTGACGTGTCAGCCCACGAGACCGGTTTCTCACCATTAGCTTCAGGCGGGAATCTTGCAATCCATGACACTCAACCGAAACCAGGCTGCCACAAACAAGTTCCGACCGTTTCCCACTGCGAGAAGCTGGATGGCCCATCCTAACTGCTTCATCATATTTGTATATACACACGTACAGACATGCGAAGCCTCAAAGCTTTGAAGAAGGCACAGGATGGTGATTCTGGTGACGAAATACCGCGAACAGAGCCAGAGCTCTTCTCCACGAGAGGCGACTATGGTCTCAAACTTCTCGCAGATCCCCACGACGCTTCATTTGAGTTAGTCAACCCGGCACCTGTTATTTCTCCAGGTCTCTCTGAAAGTAATGATCCCTTAGTATAGTGTTTGTACACGGCTTGACCGGCAACCGCGAGACGACATGGACCCACGCCAACGGCGCATTCTGGCCACAGTCACTATTGCCTTTGGATATACCCGATGCTCGGATAATAACCTTTGGGTACGATGCAGATGTATTGAAATCTACACGTGTGACGGGCTCCAATACGATTCGAGACCATGGAAAATCTTTGGCAGAAGATTTTGCCACTATGAGGAGTGAAACCGATACGGTAAGCCTTTACCTCTATGAAAGAGAGAGTGACGATGCTGAACCGTGGATACTAGGAAGAGCGCCCAATCGTATTCGTGGCCCACAGTCTCGGAGGACTTGTTGTTGAACAGGTGAGTGCGTAATTTTATTAACTTGAGCTCGTCTAAAGATTTGAATAGGCTCTTCTCATATCACGCGGATCATCGGAACTGCATGTCAAAGACATACTAGAGGGCACGTTTGCAATTGTTTTCATGGGTACCCCACACCATGGCTCAAACCTGGCAAACTGGCGCATTCATTTGACCAGACTCTCCAGTCTGATCATGCAAACGAACAAGAAAATTGTTCGCGTGTTGGACCCAGGCTCGGAAGTGCTTGCCAACATCCAACAAGAGTTTCACACAATGATCCGAGATCGCGTACAGCATATCCAGAAGGACGTACAGATCTTCTGTTTCTATGAGGAAAAACAGTTTCGCGGCATCGGGAAGGTAAGCTGCACATCAACATATCATAGCATCTTAGTCCTAATAGCGAATGTGCGACAGATTGTGGATGATCACTCTTCGATACTTGCCTCATATCCAAACGCATCTATCCACGCGAACCATGTTTCGATGACGAAGTTCAATGGCTCAGTCGATGCGGGATATGTCAGGGTGAAAGGTCGCCTGAAATTGTGGGCCAAGACAATCAGAGAAGCCCAACAGAAGGCGGAAGGCCATCAAAAAGTAGCAGAGGAACAGCCATCCAGAAAGGATGGCCAGGACGATGAGGACGATGATGGCTCGCGTGGTGGTAACCTGTTGGAGTTCAACGGCCCTGTTAGCTCAAACGGTGGCCCTATTTTTCAAGGTTACTATCGCTCCGGACGAGATATGGTTTACAGCAATGTGCAGAAGGAAACATGAAATATACTTTTACCATTTTAATTCCATTTCCAAATCATAGGACATAAACGATAGTATTTTTCAATGCGCCAACGTAGCTAGAAATAGAATTAAGAGTGAGAAAATAATCGTTCATGTTCTTATATTAAGACGGACCTTCACTGATATTACGAGATTCAACAATTAATTATAGTATGAACTTTCCCTCTTACAGGGAAAGCAGTGCACCGTTTGTATGCAATGCCACGAATAAAAATTGACTGGAAAGCCATAGTAAGAATATCGATGACTCAGATAATATTCAAATGAACGCCGCGCTTATGGAATGATCGAGATGAGTGAGACTTAACAGACAGCCATAAGCCTCTGTGCGCTAAAACCACAAAAGTCATTCTCTATCCGCTTCATGCCCACATTACTTTCTCTCTCTTCAATCCCAATCCAATAGTGGCTGTTCAAGCCTCGCCCAGACAACTCGGAGGGCCAACATTAGAGAGGCACCTCCTCCATCATCTCGACTGCGCCCTCTCTTCCAACCGTAATGATTACATCTCCCAACGTCTTCGCACGGAACCCTGCCTCGCAGTAGGTGAAGTAATACTCCCATTTCCGCCTGAACGTCTCAACATCTTTCTTGCCCATGATCTGTCCCCGCTTTTCGCTGTCGCGGAGCAACGCGGGCCGGATGTGTTCGTCGAAATTCTTCATGAAATCTTCGCGCCAGAGCCGCAGCGTTTTTGCGTAATGCGGGCCGATGTTCTCGATGTTGTCGACGATCAGCGTTTTGTGGCTCCCGGCGTTGATGGAGGCAACGAGTTGGGAAACGGTGGGGAGATGGCCGCCGGGGAAGATGTAGCGGCGGATGAAATCATCAGAGGCGGCGTAGGCATCATAGCGCTAAAGTGACTGTTAGCATATTTGGGCGAGCATATCTGAGGAATACCCATGCGCCATAAGGGTGCTTGTTCTGCTAGAAGAGTGAATGAATGAACTTACTGTTTCTGGCATTGTGATGCATTGGAAGACCGCGATACCGCCGTCCTTCTTCAGCAGCCTGTTGACGCATTCAAAATAGGTGACAAGGAACTCCTTTCCCACAGCCTCTAGCATCTCAATGCTTATTATCTTATCGTAGGCACGTCTCTCGTTTTGCGGAGGAGGGAGGGCACGGTAATCGCACAATAGCACCTCAATCCGGTCTTCAAGACCTGCCTCCCTGATGCGCTCCTCCGCGAGTTCTTTTTGCTCGGTGCTAAGGGTCAGACTAGTAACCCGGCAGCCGGTGGTTTGTACTGCGCGGATGGCGAGACTTCCCCAGCCGGTGCCAATCTCAAGCACGTGATCTCCTGCCTTCAAATGAGCATTGTTGATAAAGCGGTCCAATTTGCGCATCTGTGCTTCTTCCAGGGTCTCGTCTGCGGAGAGCGGTGATGATTTGGGAAGCCAAATCGGGCACGAATATGTCATATCCGGGGACAAGAAGGCGGCGAACATGTCGTTGCTGATATCGTAATGTGCGGCAATGTTCAGGCGTGCGTTGGAAAGGGTGTTCGTCGCTCGTGCTAGACCTGCAATGTTCGTGCTGAGTGTAGACGTGATGGTTGAGCCATCGGACAGGTCCTCGCGATTCAAAATGAACAACTGCGACCCTGTGTCAGCGGAAGAAGCATTATTTTGCGAGGTTTGCTGGTATACCTCGAAGAATGCGGTCAGATTTGGACATGAAACCTCGCCTAGCATGTAGCTCTCTGCGAAACCCTTGCACAAAAGTTAGCGGGGTGATTGGACTACGTCCTGACAGTAACTGGCGCAAAACGTACCATATCCGCAAAAAGCATCATTCGCACCCAAAAAGCGTCATTGTGTACGCGCAGGACGGTCTGAGGTAGACCGGCCCGGTTCTCGGTGCTTCCACAAATGGTCTCCTTTCCATCCGTATCCACGACTTCCAGGCGACCCCTCCGCATACGCGTCAGGACGGACATGACGGCGCTTCGCGACAATGTCACGAGCGGAGTCCAGGCTGCGTTACCAGCATAACTGCGCAGCGCATTAAAGCGCGACGCAAGGGGGGTTATGATTGCCATTGAAAGTATAGGCTTCGGTCCTCAACTGGAAATCGCGTCGAAGCTCGCCGCAGAATATGCGTCCGATTTAGGGTGACCGGAGAAGTTCGGCTATGACGAAAAGACTTGTTGGAGTTCGGACAAGGATCCTGGTCCCGCGGATATGGCGCAACAGGCGTGGGAGGTTGTCGCGGGGCGGCGGCGTGAGAGACAGAAATGCGCAAGACAAAGAACCTCCCACAACAATGACGCGGGGCAAGAAAGGCACTGTGGGGGAGAAAGAACGCAGATGACGGTGCGACTGGAAAGAAGATTGGCGGGATAAAAAGACTCCCAGGGCCGCATATATTCTAGGGTGCCTCGGAGGCATGGTCCTGGCACAGGTCCGCGGCGGACAGACACAACCCCGGGTTGCAGCATGACTGGTGGGGCATTTGCTGAGTGAGAGGTGCGACGAGAAGCCAGAAAGGTGGGCTATTCGTCGTATCGGGCGTAGACTGGCGGAGAGAGCTGTCTCTCCTTTACGCAAGCCATACCGTTTGGAGCGCGTCAATGACGTTTGCGGAATCAGGGCTCGGGGCGGAGCCTGTCAAAATCGCCGGTCGATGCGATACTGTACTTCTCGTGGGCTGGGAAGTGGCGGATGCCATACGAGAGCCATAGAGAATGGCGTTTGCTGACAGTCATGGTGATTGATGGTAGGCTGCGACAGTTGTGGTGCTGTCGCAGGCAGCGGATGGAAGGCGTTCCGTTGATCCCTGCAGGCACAGCGACCGCCGGCGATTGCGGGGAGCTTCTTCGATGGTCGCGACCGATGTACCGAGCAAGTATCCGCCCATGCCGATTCGCGACGTGGCTTTGTTTTTTTGCTCATGTCATGGGTAGTTGAGGCTATCGTCCGGACGTGTATGTAGAATTTTTAATTCGACATTCTCGTCCGGATGATAGCTTCAGCTACCCACAGATGTTATTTTTCTAAGCCAGAGCTGGGGAGCCCTGCTATTCTTCGCGCTAGCCATCGGCTGCAGCACGCCGATTTGCGACAATACCCATGTGTCAGTATCTTTTCCATCCATGCATGTCTCGAGCAGGATGCCGGTCAATATGAATTTTTTGGCAGCCGCTCGGATCGGGCAGCAGTTGGTGTCGCGGTGGTGAGACGATAGGCAGGCACGGGCGCTGTTACAGGGGTTGGCCGATCGGCTTATCTTATCGAGATTGCTGATCGCGGCCGTGCGCCTGGAACGCGTCCAACGCGTCGATCTGCTTTGACGCGTCTTCCGCTCTTCAACACTTGCGACGCCGTCCACCATCCACCATGCTGTCCGTCCAACGCTCGTCCCAACATTCCGGGAGATGTACGCCGAACCTTCTGCCCTGCCGAATCGAACATAACGGTCCTGTGAATGCTGCCGAGCGGTATTGGCGACCCGAGGAGGAAGACGGTGCGTTGAAGAACAAGTGCTCGGAGAAACCAACGCTGACACTGCTCCGTAGATGGCAAACAAACAGCCCATTTTCGCGGACGTAAGCTTCGCGGTCGCAAACTCCAACTCCCCGACGGATACAGAGGTGCGGCGCAAAAGCTATAATTGCATGAGCGTAGAGGCTGATGCGAATACAGGCTCCGTGTTGAGCAGTACGAACAAGGTTCTCCCGCAATCCGAAGGCGACCGCGGAACTGAGGCAGAAGAAGATGAGGAAGACGAGCGCATTGAGGTGCGCCTGATGGAAGAGGTTGGAGAATTTGACGAAGTGGTGGTTTGGGGACACGAGGTTGTGCCGGACGAGACTGAGGATGCGTACTCAAAAGGAATCAGCGAATGGATATCGTTCGCCGAAGCCGTAAGTAAACTGGAAGGTCGAAAGAGCGTGGAGACTAAAGTGCCTCAGATTCACGCCACGCCCGAGTCGGAAGACGCTCCCCATGCCTCGAAATAATTTCGAAAACACTATCTGCTCGTCAGCCAATTTTCTACAGGCAGCCGACGGCGAGCATGAATTATTTTTTGCTCATGCCATGGGTAGTTGAAGCTATCATCCGGATGTAAATGTAGAATCAATGATTATACATTCACGTCAGGACGATAGCCTCAACTACCCATAAGTCCGGACTGGGCTGATCCGTTGGAGTTCTCGGCGTTGTTTGTTGGATACCTCGGACAAAATCAATCTTCATCTTTTTTCCTGCTTCATTTGCTTATCCCATGCTTTCTGTTCCTTCATGAATTTTTCCTTCTTCTGCTGATACCCCTCGTGTGCCCGGCATCGATTCCATGCTTCTCGGAATATCTCGGAGGCCTCAAGCTTGTCTTCAGCATCCTTGTGAGTTGAACTCTTGGGCAGTTCGGCGCCGCTTTTCTTGTTGTATTTGCGTCCGCCGGCATGGTTTGCGTAGCGCTTAGCGCGCGTCATTCCCTTTTATCCCATATATTAGTTTTGGATGATGCTTCAAGCAAAGGAGCTTTCTTCGGCGTTGCTCTGCTGTTGTTACCCGAGACTGTTCGTACCATTTGGATAAATTTCCTGCACATATCCATCCCGACGAAGTCATCTTCTTTGTTATACTGCTCAAAACGCGCCCACAGGTCCTTGGAGCTTTTACGAGCAATTTCTGGTGTTCGAAAGCGCCATAGTGGTAGAAGGATCGACTTATACGGTTCGAAGGTCAGCACACCTTGTTCACCACGAGCGATACGGTAAGTCATTAGGTGTTCATGAGTGGGTCTAGCAAGTGAAGGAGAGGAATTCGATTTGGATGGAGTCGCTGATGGCATGGAGATCCTCTGCTTGGAGAAAATGGCTGTTGGTGTATTTGACGAGACTCGAAGGAATCTGTAAGTGCGGGGAAGAGCTGACTTGTGGATGCTAAGGTTGATATGTAACAGCCCAGCCAGACAAGGAAGCAGTGGCTGCATGAACCGAGCCAATGACGTAGGCCGAACATACGTCAGTCCTTAGCGTCGGCCAACGCAAGATCAGGCATGGATCGGTGTAACTGCGGCCGGAATTTTCGTGCGCTATTGGTACCACAGGCCTCTCAAGGTAACATGTCGCAGAGTAATCGCGAGAGGGTTCTGACCTGCGCTAGAGTTGAACGGTTTGGATGCCCTCACATCCTGATAACGAGCATAACCATGGATAAGGGAGATCCTCGGCAGATGTCCGGTGCTTTCGGCGGGCCAGCAACTCCATTTGCTTTCTCACTCGCGACACCATCACATTGTTTCATCTCGATATTCATTTCGAACGGTTGATCTTCTCCTCATTTCCTTTTACCATAAGGTGGCCGGCTGTACAAGATTAAAGTGCCATACTTCTCTTCGGAGGGGATTTCCTGAGGACGAAGAAATTTTTCTGCCGACGTTGGTGCCTACCTGTCCAGGCCACAGTTGCGATATCTCATTACTTCAAAACCGTTTTACTTTCATTCAAGTCGAAATCTTATTTTATGGCGCACTCTTTCGATTCAAATGGTCACCATGCTCTGGTAGTACCGGCCCAGAATGTCAAAACTGTCAAGACGTTTTTGGAGGAGCATCAGATCTTGGACAAGAGTAGGAAAATCATACCGTACACTCCAGAGAGTATACAGGATGACCCTTCGGCGCTCCCCCTAAGATTTAACTCAGGGAAGCGGTTCATGATACCCTTTCTGTCCCGTGCACCCAGCACAACACCCACCAATGGATCAGGTGCAACCACCATCGAAGCGCACTTCGGAGATCTCACATCCGCTCTTGAATCCCGCCTGACTCCGGACGCGCTCTCCAACGTCTCCATAGTCCACATCTCAACCCCTGGATCCGGACAAACACCAACAACCCAACCGAACAACCCTCTCCGCGCCGCCTTCCACTCCGCCCTCTCTACCCTCCCCGCAGAAACCCTCTCCGCGCTCTCCCTCACCACCGCCCAGCTCGTCGCCGACCTCCCAGGCACCTACTCCATCTACCCGCCTCTCCTCCTCCTCCCCGCGCACACCTTCCACCGCCCCTCCTGGACCGCCTTCCTCTCCGCACACCACCACCGACCCCTCGACACCGACCCGACGACGTTCCAACACCTCCTCGCGCACGTCGCGCAGCACCTCTCCGTCACGCACATCGCGCTCAACGCGCCCATCGCCCTGCACAACGCTGCCACCACCGCCTCCGACCAACCAAACGACGACAACATCCTCCGCTCCCCCACCGCTCTCACGCCCCTTTACGGCTCCTTCGGCCTGCGCTTACCCGCAACCCACGCTCCTGACTCCAGCGACTTCGCCGCCGCCTTTTGGGCTACCGTGCGGCAGAACGGCGTCGCGCAGACGTGGGCGCCGCTGCACACCATGTTCAGCCGCGGCAACGTCAAGGAGAAGGCGAGGGTGTTGGGGTTGGCGTCGGTGGTGGAGGCGGTGAGGGTGGGGGAGGAAGGCAGTGGGAGTGGTGACGGGAGAGGAAGAAAGGGGCGGCGGCCGGCGGGGTGCACGGCGGTCGATTTGTACGCGGGCATCGGATATTTTGCTTTTTCGTATAGGAAGGCGGGGGTGAGGGCGGTGCTGGGGTGGGAGATTAATCCGTGGAGTGTGGAGGGGTTGAGGAGGGGGGCGGGGATGAATGGGTGGGGAGTGACGGTGGTGGGTGATGGGGAGGGGGAGGGGGTGGAGGATGGGCAGGAGGGGTGGGAGAGCGATTTTGTGGTGTTTCGCGAGTCGAATGTTTACGCGGCGGAGAGGGTGGAGAGGTTGAGGGAGAGGCTGCCGCCGGTTAGGCATGTTAATGGTGGGCTGTTGCCGACGTCCAGGGGCGCTTGGGAGACGGCGGTGAGGGTTTTGGATCCGGAGGTGGGTGGGTGGGTGCATTTGCATGAGAATTTTGGGGAGAGCGAGATTGAGGAGAAGGCGGATGAGGTTGTTGTGGAGGTGCGGAGGATTTGGGGAGTGGTGAAGGCTGAGAGGTGTGGTGGGGATGGGGTTGTTTTGGGAGAAGATTTTGCTGTCGAGGACGTGGTCAAACTGGAGCATGTGGAAAGGGTGAAGACGTATGCGCCGGGCGTGTTGCATTGCGTTCTGGACATCTGGATATCGCCGACGGGCAACATGGCCAGGACATGATTAACCAGTTGTATAAATTGGCCATCAGGTGCATTCCGGCTCGTAAGCAGACATCTGGACGAGTCAGACAGAAGCTAATCAAGACAAAGCTCGGTACTGAAAGCAGGCATTACACTAGAAGGTTGAGGCCTATTCCATCCTATCCTTTTTTCAATAACGGATCAATTCGTTGAAATCACTTAATCATCCCTCTTCTATGCAGTAACCGTCCTCTGCTGGATCCAGTCATGGACCACAGCGGCAATTTCCATGTTGTTCAGCTCCAAGAAACCAAAGTGTCCGTTTCCGTGAATGCCAATCTCGCCCAGCTTAATCCACTCAGGCTTTCCGCCAGCCTGCTCCAGATAACCAATGATGCAGTGGTCGTACGTAATGTGCGGGCTAGCCTCGCCGGTCAACGCGACGTACGGCACGGAAGCGATCTTGGGCAGCTTGCGGGCGGGCTCGACCTGCATGAGGCAGCTACGAAGGGCAATCGTATCCTCGCCGACCGAAACGGTCTCGAGCTCATCGGCGGAGGCGATAGCAGGCTCGTAGTCGATGTGGGTGTTGCTGAGGCCCCAGGGGCGCGCGCTGGTCTGGCCGACGGCCGAGGTGGCGTTGCCGGTGTAGCTCTGGAAGGGGATGGTGGTGGGCTCGAGGTTGATGTTGCCGGCGACGAGCTGCGGGCAGTCGTTGGACAGCAGGATCGGGTACAGGGCGCCGATCGAGTGCGAGACGAGGTACGACGGTCCGATCAGCTCGAGCAGCGCGCAGCCCGACGCCCGCATCGACAGCTCCTGCGCCGTCAGGTTCGTCGTCAGCGGCATCAGGCTGGCCTGGAAGGCGTCGAAGTACGGGTCGCCCCGCAGACCCGTGCCCGGCCATTGCGTGTGGTTCTGCGACTGCGGGTATGCGTTCGTGATCTCGGGCGCGGTGAAGCCCTTCTGGCTGATCTCGGCGGACGAGCCGAAACGCATGGGGAAATGCTCCAGGTCTTCCTCAGTTGCGCGGCCCACGGAGGTCTGGTCCAGGAGGTAGACTTGGTAGCCCTGGTCTAGGAAATAGGAGGCGAAGCCCTTGCGGTTATCGGGAGTGTTGAGCCATGTCTGTATAAGCGATATCGTGAGCATGAGGGAAAATCATCGGAGACGCCTTTACAGAGGGGTATTGCAGCCGAAGGGTTGTCTTGAAAAAGAAAAAAAAAGGCTATATGTGGGTAGTTGAAGCTATCGTCCGGACGATAATGTGGATTAAAAAATTATACACACACGTCCGGACAATAGCTTCAGCTACCCACACATGGCCTTTTTTTTTTTTTCCAAGACAACCCTTCGGCTAGGACAACCCCCCTATAGAGGTAAAGCTTACCGTTCCAGTAGCACCTGTTTGAGGTTAGCACGAAAGCCACAACGGCAATTGGGGTTGTCTGGAATGCGGGAACTCACCTCCGCCGTGGAAGAAGACCATGGGGTTCGGCTGCTTCACGCCAGCGGCCGGCGTAAGCTTCTCAACGTAGATTTGGTCAAACGTCAGGTTGCCGGAAGATGTGTTCACATATCTGCCACCGACGTAGAAAAAGTCCCGGTAGTGCAAGCTCTCGTTCGACTTGCATGCCGGAGAAATGGCATTGACTCCCTCGCAGTTGCTCGTGCCAGCAGCCAGAGAGCTGCCCAAAAGCACAGATCCGGACAGCAGCGTTGAAACGACGCCGTTGAAACGCACCATCGCGGCGAGTGGAAGCGCTGTGGCGATTAAAAATTAAGGAGGCGGTACTGAAGGCGTGATCCCGTCGAATTGGGCAGGCAAGAAGCAGAGGTGAGCAGAAGCTCTAAGCATAGGGAGACAGCGTGGTTATTTAGCGAAGAGAGCGGACGAGTAGATGCATACATCCGCCGACCGCTGCGCTCTAAATTGGGTAAACAGATAGGCCTAAATGAGCGGAAAGTGATCCGAGCCCGTTAGAATGTCCGGGCTCTCGCCTATTTGCTCCATCGTGGAGCTTGTTGCGGGAAGGAAAGTACCGCCGTCACCGCCTGCATCGCGAAAGGGAGTGGTGTTGGTGTTGAAGTGAATCGAGACCGCCTCTGCATTGCTGTTACACACGCTGCCAGGGAGTCTCAGCCAGCATTCAGCACGAGACCTTGTGCTTTTTCTGACTCCGATTTTGCCGTGTTACGATGCAAGTACGGAGCGGCCAACGGCGTTCAGACGAAGGTCCGACGACCGAGGCCCCCGCTATTCCCTTCCTGTGCCGCAACAGCTGGCAAGGCCAGCAGCTAGCCGCCCCTTGTCCGCCAATCTCGCTTGCTACCGTTGACGGATCTTGCCAGACATCGAACGACCGCGGCCCCGCTGTCTATTCCTGCGATCTCTCGATATTAACACACTGCCGAACAACCTCTCCAATTGCCGACCGGCCGAGATTCCGCTCTCTACCCGACGTTGCTACAGGGCCGCTACGACGATGCTACTCCAACCCACCATAAAGTTGCGCGAATACTCTGAACCGGCCGTATCATCCTCGCGTAGCCATGTGTACGAAAGCATGCCGTGTCCTGTTACCATGGTGTCGGGCCCGGATCGCCCTTCGTGAATATCCCCCATGTGCTGAATGATTCATTTAGGCAGTCCATTATGCATTTCTGACACTCTGTGGAGAAGGCCAGACTGGGAAATCCTGGTGATTCGGGCCCATGCGACTCGCTGGCCGGAAATAGTTCGCAGCCAGCCTTGCATTTTCTAACACGGCACAGGAAAAAGCATTGCCTTCCCTTCGCACATTGATCCATTTTGTGGGGGCCCTACCGTGACCTTGGAAAATAATAGATATACCTATTGCCTAATGGTCCTCCCGCACTTCTACCTCCCTTTGGGCGCTCTTGCAACCTCGTGGTAGATCACTCGCTCTCTACCCGTTGCTGCAGACCTCAACCATGTCTGAAAACTCTACATCTCATGGGTCGACATCCGGGTCGGCCCTCATCGGCTCGCCACCAACAAGCAATATTGACTACTGGATTGTGAAAGGAATGCTGCGGGCTGTCCATATGGATGGAAAATTCGACGCCGATAAGGGCTACAACCTTCTCCCCAAACGTCCGGAAGGCTACCAGTATGAAGAGAAGAGAACAAGCATCATCGCCGGGATGTCTGTCTGCATCTTTGTCATGGCCACCGTGACAGTTGCTCGTTTGGCCCTACGGCTCTTTCGCACTGGTTTACGCTGGGGTGCTGATGACTGGATGCTGATTCCCGGAGCTGTACGTCTCCACTCCAAGACGATACATGAGTTGATGTACTGACTATCGATGCAGATCATGGCCATTGCCTATCCGGCCATTCAAATCGCCATGGTTACTCACGGAGGAGGAGGACAGCATACCTGGGACGTCACTTACGAGGAGTACAACGTTTTCAACTGGGTGCGTCTCTATCTGTCTCTAAATCAACCCTCGGCCCATCTTTAACATTAGCCCTCATGACAGCTCGGCGTGGTCTGCAAGATCCTCTTCTTCACCTCCGTCGGCCTCATCAAGCTCAGCATCACCCTCTTCAACCGGCGGCTGACGAGCATGACGTCGCCCGTTTGGCGTTACCTCAACGACTTCTTCCTCTTCTTGCTGACGGCCTACACGCTGCTGGCACTCTTCTGGACCTGCTTCCAATGCAACCCGCCGGCGGCCATGTGGGACAAGGTGTACTCAGGCAAGCTGGCGACGACGCCGACGTGCTGGAGCACGGCCGTTATCTCTAATGTGCTCAGCATAATCCACGTCGTTATGGACTTCTGCCTGCTGATGACGCCCATCATCATCCTGTGGAAGATCAAGCTGCCCATCAAGACGAAGATCCGCCTCTACTTCGTCTTCTCCACCGGCGCCGTCTCGGCCATCGGCAGTGTGCTGCGCCAGCTCGCTCAGGAGAAGATCTCGCTGGATGTAACCTGTATGAATCCCCTTATCTCCTAGTCTTCTTCATGCCATGGGTAGCTGAAGCTATCATCCGGACGAGGATGTCGAATTAAAAATTCTACATATTCGTCCGGATGATAGCTTCAACTACCCGCGTATGTTTTTTTTTCCCCAGGAAAAGAAAAGAAAAGGCTGAGGCCTAGATCCAGCTAAGAGTCACTACTCTTCACGTCAGCCTTCGGCTGTGATACCTCTCTCTATTCTCTCAACCTGTTATCTTTTTTTTTTCTTGTTGGTGGCAGATTAAAGGCGCCAACGGCTGACACCCAACAACAGGGGGCTACACCGGCATTCTCACCTGGACCCTCGTCGACCTGACCTTCGGGCTGCTCACCGCCTCCCTCCCCGTCCTCGTCGGGCTCCTGCCTACCGCCTGGCGTTCCGTCTCGAATCGGTCGCGTTCGCGCTCACGACCCGGCGCCACCACCGATGTCGGTCGCGGCTACCTTTCCGGAACCACTGCCGCTGGACGCAGTCGTGCCACCGACGATGCAGCAGCAATGCATGCAGTGGGGAGCAACGGCCGGCCCAGCGACGAGGGTGGAATCCTGGTCCAGGAGGAGTTTGAGCTGACGTATCAGGATATCAAGCCGAACAAGGTCGATGAGGAGAGCAGCGTGGAGTCTGGGAGGCCGAAGAGATGAGAGGACCAAAAAAAAATGAAAATTAAAGAGCTGAGAAGGGGTTTTCGTTTCACATCTTTCATCGGCCGATCCTCTTTGAACGAAGCGAGAAACAAAAAGTACTGCGCTTCGTGCTTATAGTACCTCAGCTGTTGGGACCAATGAGTGGGGTTTCTCTTTCCCTGGAATCAGCAGCCAAGTGGTTCGGACGCTTGTCCCTCCCCTTCTGCGCATCCCGACGCATCGACCATCGGCCGGACCGCAGAGCCGAAAGTTTCAGGCAGCTATCAAAAACCCCGCCCGACTTGTTGGTAACAAGTACCGAAGGCGGCCCAGGGAAAAAAAACCATGGATGAGACGGGACGGGACGCGGGCAGCCGGCGCCCGTCATTTCCGCCAACCGGCGACCGGGAGTGGCTTGAGCCGCGGCCCGCGGCGCCCTTACCTACTTCCGACAGGCATACACACATAACGCCCGTCGCCAAATGCCGTTTGTTTTTGCTCTTCATTACCTGCAGGTGTTTGTTTCGTGTGCACGCAACATTGCGACGCTCGCTCTTGGCAGGATGCCCATCCCAGTCTTTTGTTCTGCTTCGCGCGGGTAAGACGACAAGCCGATTCCGGCGGTCTGGTCGGCTGCAGGACCGGGCAGGGAAAGAGAGGCAGAAAGAGACAGGAACAGGCATGCCGGTGCGGGATATGCCGAGCTCCGGGCATGGGTGGGTGGGAACAAGGCTGAAAAAAAATTAAACGTGAGGCGGGGCAGTGGAAATGGCTGCCTGAGGAGCAATTGCTCCGTCACAAGAGGGGTATTGACTCGCGATTTGATAATAAAAAATATGGATTCCTGTAGATAGTAGGAAATGACGCGTCCACTGCTGTATGTAAAAGCAAAAAAGAAAAGGAAAAATAAAAATGATAAGCGGGAGAAGATCAAGACGGACGGGCCAGAGTATAATACATGTACTTGAAGAATCCATTCCTCCCATTTTAACCGATCGCCTATTCTTACTCCGAGTCTGAGTCTGACGGCTTCTGGCCGTAAGTATAGTAAAACTTCAAATACACCCGGAACTCCTGCTTTAGAAACTCAGCTCTGACCTCGTCAAGCAGCTCCTCGATTTCGTCGTTGTCGTAGCCCAGGACGCGGGTAAAGACGGGGACGGCCGTGGGCGCAATGCCCTCGAGCACAACGAGCAGCATGCGTTTGCCTAGGTCCAGCTGGGTCTCGTCCCACGTGCCGATGGGTATCTAGGCACGAGTCAGAGAGAGCCTCTCAAAAGGGCATAGTGCGATGTAGCAGGATCGCGACCCACCTTGCACAGCTTCTGTACGACGTTCGTGAAGCCAACCTCCTCCATGCGGTCCTTCTGCTCGGCGGCGATGCGGAAGTTCTTGCCAATCTTCTTGGACGCGTACTCAATCTGGTTGGCGAAGTACTTGGTGCGCGAGTTCTCGAAGCCCGGGTCGTCGGACCAGAACATGGCCGAGTCCTCCTGATGCTCGACCCAGCCGCCAGGCTTGAGGCAGGTGAACGACTGGAGCCATAGCCGCGGCCAGTCGGTGATGGCCGGGTATAGGTAGCGGGCGTGCACGAAGTCGAAGGCGTTGTCCTCGAAGGGCCAGTCTTCTTCGGCGTCGACCACCAGGAATTTGCAGTTCGGTGATGTCCTGTATATGGCGTGGCAACACCAGATTGCGCAGATCAGAAACCACGATTCGATCACGATTGAGAGCAAGGAGATAAGGAGACATAGAGAGAACTACAGTGGAACAGAACATCATGGAACGGAAAGAGGACAGAAACCAAAGAATTGGTAATACCAGCTGGGCTGCACGTGCTTGATATCAAAAGCAAGAACCTGGGCGTCGGGATGGGTATCGGCGAAGTCCAAGGCCCATATTCCGGTGCCGGTGCCGATGTCCAGGACGAGCTCGAGGTCCTCGCGGACGAGTGGGGCGGCATACAGGGCGCCGTCGAGGGTCTGCACGAACGTGTGGCCCCAGAAGTCCAGGCGCTCTGGCTCGCGCTCATCGTCGGGCAGTAGGTAGGAATCGGCGGCGGCCGACGAGTTGGACGACTCGCCGGACGAGGAGGACGAGGTAATGGAGGCTCGCGACGAGTAAAAGGGCGAGTCCTGGTATCGCGCCGCCTCCCCCCACGAGTCGACGACGCCCAGGGCACGCTCCCACCGGCCCTTGGTGGAGGACGTGTCGTCGGCGGCCATTGCGCGGTGTGCCGGGGTTCTGGAGCGAACAGAGCAACGCAGCAGAGAGCAGGCGGTGCGAGGGCCTTGGAGAGCTGGGATTTGTTGTTCTGCAGTCGCGTGCGGGATGCGAAGCGCCCCACGCACAGCGCCCTGCCTATCCCTGCCCGCCAGCGCGCTGTTGGTGCGTGGCCTTCCTATCACCCAACAGCTCGGCACCAGGCCGGCCACCTCATCCTGTCAGCTCGCATGCGGGGGCCAGGCACGTGAAGACCTGCGCAAAGACCCCGCCGCCGCGCTGCGAATCTCCTGCAGGCTCGGACGATGCGAACGGGCGCTGCCAGGCACCAGTTCAGCGCGCGGGACGATATTCAGGGAAGGAGCGATCTAGCTCCAGCCCCGCAAGGCTAAGCAGCCACGCCCTCTGTCGCTCTCGCTTAGTTCCGCACCCGCCCTCCGCGGCCTACCCGCGAGTCAGCACCCGTCCTCTGCTTGCGTCGCCAGATGCACCACTCACTACTCTCTGGCCCCCCTCTGTCGCGCTCCTGCTGACTACAGTCCCATGCTACTCTCCTTCGACCCGCCACGCAGCCATTAGCAAGCTCTTCCGACCCTCCGTCTCTGGCCCACGCTGGTCGGCGTCAGCAATTAGCCCGTCCGTCCAACACAATGTCGCACAGCTTCGTGGAACAGTCACATGCCATCGGGCAGTCAGAATCACCGCGTTGATCTAGCTCTCGGGGCATCCGAAGCGTAGACTCGCTCGCGAAGCTACTATTGGCACCGTCCGACCAACTAGCGCTGTGGAAAAACGCCTCGAGCCAACGGCCCGCTCCTCTACCTCGCAACATACTCTACCGTCGGAAGCCCCGAGTGACTCGATCCCTGAAGCCAGGGTCGCGATGTAATGACCATGGGTCGGCCGAACTACCAAGGGCGGCCGCATTTGTCAAACCTTCGGATCTTGAACTTGAGCGTTCGAAGTCGCGAGGCAGGGAGACGTCCGACTGTTGTCCAGCTGGATCACATTCAGTCGCATCAAGGGATAAAGGGCAGGTCCGACTGGAGTAACCCAATGGTGGGATTCGCGGCATCTTCCATTCATTGAGCAAATGTCGCTATTGTGGCGCTCATGTTCTTGCATACGCGTCTTCAGCACTACTCTGCCATGGCCAAGGAATATCCTCGCTTGGTCTGGCCATGTTGTCTCGCAACTATTGCGCCAATTCGTGTGATCTCAGACCAGACTCCATCGAGACAAGTCCGCCTGACCTGCATCAGCCAGCCTCAACCATGTCCTCCGTTGCCATCAACGCCCCACGACCACTGCATGTAGGTGCCCAATGAAATGATCCACAATTTTCTCTACGAGGAATTCGACGTACGTGGGTAGTTGAAGCTACCATCTGGACGTAGATGTTGAATTATTAAATACACATCTACGTCTGGATGATAGCTTCAACTACCCACGTATGTCCATTTCTCGTAGGGAAAATTGCGAGCGATCATTCCTTTTGGCACCGACGTGACTGAGCCAGGCGAGACAAGAACATCAAACGCTCAGGAAGACGAAAGGAAATACAAACAAAGCCAAGACATTGAACATTCATTCATCCGTATCAGCGCTAATCGTGCTGGTGCCGCCCCCGCTGACCTCGCTTACGACCTGGGTGCCCACCACATCGCCAGCTTCGTTGACGTAGATGGCACTGAAGGCCTCCAAACCAGGGAAGGGGTGGTATTCGTACATCCGTTCCGTCACCTTCTGGCCCTCGAACTCGGTCTCGTGCTCACGGCCGGTGAAGCGCATGTCGCGGTCGTAGCTGCCGACCGTCTTTTCACCGAGCACGTTGCCGTCGTTGTCGAGGCTCTGGTCAACAATGGCGCCATCCTGCGCTAACTTGCGGTTGGTGTGCGCGTTGCCGCTGTAGTCGTTGACCGAGTAAAGGATGTTGTTCTCCAGCCGGAACGACTCGAGGTCCTCGCGAGATTTGAGTTTGCTGCTGCTGCTGCTGCTGCTTGACGACGAGGAACTGCTACTGCTTCCGCTCAAGCTGTCGGTGAGGTCGCCGGTGATCTCGCTTAGACCCTGTCCGAGCGCTGCCAGGGCCGGGTTGAGGTCGAGCGAATCGAGGATGTCTTCGATCATGGCCAGCAGGTTTCCCAGGCGCGCCTCAAGCAGCACCTTCGCAGTCACGTTCTGGATCGTCAACGAGACGCGGTCCACGGAGGCATCGACGCCCGCATTAAAGTCGAGCAGAGCGAGCACCTGCGCCGCCAGGTTGACCTTGGCCGTCAGGTTCAGCACTTCGATGTCAATCTCGCCCACGTGCACCGATGCGTTGAGGAAGACATCCGGAGGTGGCACGTTGACGGACGTATTTGCTTTTGTGTTGGCTGTTTCGTAGACGGCCGAGTCTGGGTCGCCTGTGTCGGTAAGAGAATAACCGAAGTAGCCATTTTGCGCGAGAGCGCTGAGGGTAAAAGAGAGGAAGAGAAGAAAGAACTTCATGGTGAATTGGCCAGATGATGTTGGCTGAGGCAAGGTGAAGGAAGAAAAAGAGCAACGAGATCTAATGGCGCACGGATAGACTCAGGCTGAACTGCGCAGGTGGACCTTCCACGTACACTGCTGGGCTGATGTCTGCTCTCAGGAGGCACGGCGCTAGGAAAAGACGGCACAGCAAGGCACGGTGATGGGAAAATAAGAGAAGAAAGCGGTCCAGACGTGGTTCTGGCCGGTGGGGGGATGCGAGAACGGGCTGCACAGCGGCCTATAAGCGTGATGTTTATGCTTAATCGGCCGGCATCTGAGCCTGGCGATGCATGGCCGTTGAGCCCGGAGCGGTGGACCGATGCCGGGGAAGCTCGCTTGCGAAATCCCATTGGCCAGGTTCGTTGAATTCTCTCGTTCGAGCAGACGGCAATTCGCCCGGTGCCTTGGACGGGAAATTGCACGTGGCTTGCCATGACGTCCGATATGAAACAGCCAGTGCTCCTGAATTGCCTAATCCGCCCTCCCCGCCCAATCTTATCACAACGCTGACCATCATGCGCCACATCCGACCCTTGTCTATACTGCGGGGGATGGACCCGCCATTATGCAGCTCACCGGCTGGCTTGTTCGCCTTCTTTATGGCATGATCTGGGCCATCGCGATCGATTAACGACGGACGGGCCCGCGCTTTTTTTCTGTCCATGACTCCGCTCCCCTCACCTAGTGCGTTGTTTTCCAGCTTTTGCCTACTGCTGCTCCCCCGGCACACTGCGTGATCTTGCGCAGTCCCCCTTCTTTTCATCTGATAATCTTCAATCTTTCTCGCTCTTACTCTGCGCGCCACCTGAATTCACCATTTTCAATCGAGCGTGAAAAGGTCAGAAAGGGAAATACAATACAGAAAGAGCATAAGGAATGCAGCCAACTTCGCTTCTCATCAGCGCCTTTGGGCTGTTCGCCCTCAGCGCCGCGCAAACCACAACCGGAGGCAGCAGCGTATCCAGCGCCTCTGCCGGGCCAACCATCACCAGCCAAACAGCAACCTCGACTTTCCCTACCTCGACCCCTGGCACCAACTCAACTACCGGCGGTGGCTCCAGCTCGGGCGGCTCCAACGCCGGCAATTCGACGGTACCGGACGTCTACCTCAACGTGCCAGAACTGTCCGTCGGGCGCATCGAGCTGGACGTGGACCGGCTGCGAGCCGACATCAACCTGAACGCGAACGTAGCACAGCTAGTCCAGATCAACGCGGGCGTGGCCGTGTCGGTGGAGAAGGTCAACATCACCATCGCCGACGTGAACGCGGAGCTGGAGCTGGTGGTGCGGCTGGGCCACCTGGTAGACATCGTCAACCGCGTCTTCTCCAGCCTCGACCTCAACCCGCTGCTGATCACGGCCATCAACAACGTCACCAGCATCGTCGACACGGTCATCGGCGCCGTCGACGGCCTGCTCGGCAGCATCACCCAGGGCGGCAGCACCCTCAACTTCCTCGTCGACAACCTCGGCAACATCGTGCAGGAGGTCACGGGCGCCGCTGGGGATACCGTGAGCTCCATCGTCGGCAACTACCAGCAGAACATGACGCAGGTCGGCGACGTCACGCAGCTCGCCAATGGCCTCGTCCAGAAGACGTTTGAGTACTCGCCGCTGAATAGGCTGGTTGATATCGTCTTCAATGCTGCCGGCCAGGTTGTGCAGGCGACGGTGCAGAAGAGTGGTTCGTCGTCGTCGACGAGCAGTACCGCGGCGGCGACGGGAACGCCTGCGGCGAGGAGAAGGCTGTGAGACGAGAAAAAAAAATGAAACAAAAATCGGGTCGGAATTACGGTCTGTTGGACTCACCGTGTGCCTGCAAAACCCCTTTTCAGGGATTTTCCCCCTCTACCCCAGCTGGGAAGGTGGTGGTGTGTAATAGCATGAGGTTCAAGACCAATACCTACTACACACCGCACCATAGGCCCCCTTACGGAGACCCTTAGGTACAAGGCCATCTCGCCCACATTGTTTATAACCAAGAGGATAGAGCACGGGGAAGAGATGTAGTGACGAAGAAGGTTTCTGGCCAGACAGGTATTTTTAATGCTTCATATTATGCGATTACGTTTTGTATCGACGCCGCGAAATGTACATACGAATTTTCTCTGCCACCATTCGAAATCTCGATGAATCGAATCTACCCTCGCACATACGATCAACATCAAGGGATTGCAGAAACGGATGAAACCGGGGGGATCTGCCGTCAATACTGAAGATGAGTGTGGGGAGCAGGCCTTCTGTGCTACATTGACTGCTGGGGTACTTCCCCTTCCGGCGATGCCGGCAGCACAGGACTCCTCGCCTCCAGATTTTCGCTCTCACGAACCCTCGCGCAGGATCATAGGAGCGGGAATTATCATCGCAAGGTCAGCTCCCCTTCACGACCATTCTTGGAGACGTGCAACTCACAGGTGTGATGTTGCGCAGATGAAGTTCAGCGCTATCAAGGATCGAATAGTTTGCTGACAGCCAATAGAAGCTCGGGTTTTTCCTACAGCTGCGACGCTGCTGTGCAAAGTCTGCTCTAGTTTTTCAGCGCTTCTTCACTGGTCTAGAACATCTTCACGGCCTTTTCGTCAGCCTTCAATCAGAGACATGCATGCAGGCTTGCCCAATGTCGTGTCACCACACTTTCCCGCAACAGTATAACCAGAACGATGGGAGCCCGTATAGTCTTCTAGTCGAGTAGTGCAAGAAACTTGATTTCCAATTATAAAAAGAACTGACCTTCCCCGACGTTACCCAGTACAGCGTGGGTTTCAAAAAAGCTGTTTTTTTTTTCTGCTTATATGCGATAATCCCTGCTCGCTGCAGGACGCAAGTCAAATCAGACCACGCCATGCCGCTCTTCCAACCAACGCTCCACGCCCCGCCCGACGAGCCCACCCTCGAGGGCCACACCATCATCATCACGGGCTCCAACTCGGGCATCGGCCTCGAGACGGCGCGCCAGCTGCTGCTGCGCCGCGCGTCGACCGTCATCCTCGCCGTGCGCAACATCCACAAGGGCGAGCTGGCAAAGGCCTCGCTGCTGTCCGACCCGGCCGTCCGCCAGCACGCCAACCCGGCCGCCACCGTCGCCGTCATGGAGCTCGACATGGCCGACTACGACAGCGTCGCGCATTTCGCTGCTGCGGTTACCGCCACCCTGCCGGAGCTGCATCTGCTCGTGCTGAATGCGGGATGTGGTGGCGTAGGGGATGCGGGGGGCAAGAAGAAGAGCAGTGTTGTTGAGCGCAATAGCAGTGAGAGTAGCGCTAGCAGCAGCAACGGCGGCGGCAGCAGCAGCGTGGGCGGTTCCTCGTCGACATCATCATCCGGCGGCGGCGGAAGCGGTGGCGGTGGTGGTGGCGAGCGAAGACGAGGAGGCGAAGCTGAAGGCGAAGGCGGAGGTGGTGGTGGCGCAAGAGTAGGAGGTGGAGCTGAAAACAACCACAACAACAGCAACAGCAGGCACGAGCGCACGCTTCAGGTCAACTACCTGTCCAACGTGCTGCTCCTGCTCGCGCTGCTGCCCCTGCTTCGTGCGACGGCCGCCCTTTGCGGCCGCCCCTCGCGCGTCACCTGGACCGGCAGCCGCGCCCACGCCCTTACCGCCCGCACCAGCGTCGCCCACTTGCCCCCCTTCCGTCCCGGCGACTCGGTCCTGGGTCGCCTCGACCAGGCAGCTGCGGAGGTCGACTACTACCACCATCGCGGGCAGCGCCGTCGTGGTCGTCGGTGTTCTTTACCAGGAGGAGGCTCTCGCCACCGCCACCCCCAGCAGCGGGAGGAGGAGAACGAGGAGGGAGCGAGGAAGGGGGAGAAGGGAGGAGCAGGTGGAGGGAAGAGGTTGCAGCAGTGGCGGCACTACTTCGACCCCTTTACGCGGTACGCGGATAGCAAGTTGCTTGCCGTCTTCTTTTTGTACGAGCTGCGGCGCCGGTTGGGCGTGCTGGAGGATGGGGAGGCCGAGGGCGGCGGGGTGGTGGTGAATATGTTTTGCCCCGGCATGGTGGATACGCGGATCGGTGATGCACTGCCGTGGTATCTACGATTGCCGTGGAATGCGATGAAGGTTCTGCAGGCGCGGAGTGTGGAGCAGGCGGGTTGGGTGGCTGTTCACGCAGCAGTGGTGGCGGGGGAGGAGTCGCATGGGAGGTTCTTGGGTGATATGGAGGTCTTTGAGTGAGTGTTGTACCCCCCCCTTGACGATGTTGATCGGTGATACTGACTGTGGAGGGAAAGGGAGACAGACTTTATCAAGAGTGAGGACGGGAGGAAGATTCAGGCGATGCTTTGGGAGGAGACGGTGGCGGAGATGTCGAAGCTGATGGAAGTGCCGGAGTGGATGAGGACCGGTGGAGGCTCCGAACATGAGATTGTCAGCGAGAAGAATCTTATGATGCAAGCTGACATGTCAGACAGGTAACAAGTCGAGATATCTGCGAAGAGATTGTGCCGCTGGGATTGTTGGACGAGTATTTCGGTATCGTTTTCGATGTTCCGGCGAGCGTTTTGATCGGATGCAGATTATTCACCAGTGATGCTTCTCTTCACCATGTTTTGCTTCTTAGCACTGCACTTCACGCTTTCGAGGAATTACTCGCATGTCCATCTCATGATTTTTGGGGGGTAGCTTACATGCGCAATCGACGTAATGGCCTATGGGAAGTCGGCTCATTCATTACCCCACACTTCGCTCCTGCTTCCAGTCAGCTGCGTCAAGGCCTGCCAATGCAGCGCCACGTAGACCCTTGATCGTCTCTTATCATCTTTCAAACTTCCGTAGCTCACTGCTGACGAGGCTGAAATTCAGCCTCATTCAAACAACGTTCATAAACCAACCAGTCTCTCCTGAGTCATGGCACAGTCGTGGGAGTCATTTTCACATGTTAATACAGAGGATTCTGCTCATTCACACACGATGGTCGAACCTACGAGCGCGATCTTGGCGATAATCCATATCGCATTGACGACAAGCAAAGAGCTCTCAGAAGCCATCTCAGCCATGAACAACAGCAATGCGGAGGTCACCCGAGTTCATTCTGGCCTGATAATTCACACGGCTTTGCTCAGACAATTTCGCTCCACAATAGATAAAGCGAATTCGATTGGCGCAGAAATGGCTCAACATGATGACCTCGGGCAGAATGTGGTTAATGGAAACAAAGTCATCATAGAGGAGATGAAGAAATTGGTCATCGACCTCGGGTTTCCGGGCAGCGAAGACGTTGTCAACCCTTGGGACAGGTTTCTTTTCCGCTGGCGGTGGTATCTGTACAAGCCAAAGATGACAGCGCTGCGGCAGGAGCTCGATTCCATCAAAACTTCCATGACGCTATTCGTTTGCATGGTGGATCTTGAAAAGAAGATGAATGATCCAACTGATCGAATCAGTGAGGCTTGGTAGGTTACGCCTGGGATTTTTCTCTAATGTGATGAGGCTGATTGTATCACAGTATCACCCTCGAAGAGCAAATCTTTGAGCTGAAGAAGCTGTTGAAGCTGCAGAAAAAGGAGATCCGAAAGACCCGGGAACGGCTCGATTACGTCGACGAGAAGAGAATGCCAGCTTTGACCGTCGACAGGCAGATTTGGGATCTCGCAAACGAACAGCATCGAAGATTGGAGCCATTGCGACGGCAAAGACGGATCGAACAACTGGGACCACTGCAATCTCGATGGCCGAACGATTCGGGAACTTCCTTTACATCTCAAGGTTCGCCATCTTTCGCGCCATCACCACCACCAGGTGACGGCCCGGTCACGCCGCCGCCCCCACGTGAAGTTGTTTCTCCCCTGTCGGTACCACTTCGCTCACCTCCGCCCCAGGGGATACGAAGCCCAAGGATCCGAGTGGTCCAAACGACTAGCTCGCCAAGATCTCAGGATATGGACGCCGTATCGTCGATAGGGACAGTCAATGCGGACGATATGCCGCAAAGAAGCGAAGTCAGCAAGCATCCCTGAAAGACCGTGTCCTGAAAGTTCATGCTGACGGACACAATAGTCACCGAGGAGATGGCTTCGACATCACCGCAGGCATCAAGAAGCAGGCCTTGAACAGGAGCAGGTCTATCACGATAACGGTCCGGAGAATGCTCCGCGGAAGCGGGAGTCCTCTCGGAAAACACGAAGAGGCGAGGGAAGCCGGAAGCATCAGCATTAACGTCATATTTTGAAAAGGAAAACTTTGGAATGCTCGGATATCTCTTTAATGACTGTGGTCTGTTCTCCTTCAAGCCCTATACGTCAATTATAACAATTTGTGTAGCATGAAATCGGTAATCGGAGTAAGATAAAAGGCCTCATTGAACTATCTTTGCTCATGCCATAGGTGGTTGAAGTTATCGTCCGGAAGAGGATGTGGAATTAAAAATTCTCGATGCACGTTCGGACGATACTTCAGCTACCCACATATTTTTTTTTTTGGAAAATGCTGGGGCATGGTTACGTCCAGGGCCTTGGTATACTTCACGCTAGTCTTCGGCAGCGATAAGCCCCTGTACCAACAGCCTATCGCGCATGGCTCAGCCCCATGGCCCCCAAACCCAGCTGAATCGTAAAGCGCTTTTCTAATTGGTAGAGATTGATGACATAGCCCTCTTGTATTCCCTAGGCGAGACTGTATCGCTAGCGTTGCTGTACACCCCGGTGCACTGTGCCTTTTTTTAGTCTGCGCTTGATTTAGCCGGTCAGCGTAAGGTGGCATGGTGGAAACATAGCTATGGACAGAACAACCTCTGATTGCTTGACTTGCCGCGGTACAAGGTATCGGCTGAACTCCAGTCGGAAGATGCAAGGGCCTTGTTCGAGCCAGCCACCGATCGTCGCGCGCTTGGCCGGGAACATGCGTAACCATCCTTTGTATAGCTGTCGCCCATGGCATTAGTTCCTGTACTGCAAGAGCAAGGTAGAGATAGCCCCCATGGATCTCAATATAGAAAATGGTTCCATACTGAGGGGATGATCATCAAGCGCACGCCATACATAAACGCTGGCACTTCATTTCTGCTTTCTCCACCAGAAAGCCAGGACTTTATTGTCTTGATAATTTCGAAGATGGAAGATTACGCCACAACCAATAGTGCGGCCAGCAACTACGAGATTGTCACGGGCTTTTGGACCAACTGGTCCCGTGGATTGGTTTTCGGACAAACTCTCACTCTCACACGGCGGGATGGAGATCTTCTCATCGCTTTCATTGCACTCTTCGTTACCATTGTCGGCACCAGCTTCTGGAGGATCGTATGCTTCGGACTCCATACCACCTTCTCCACGGACTCTACCCGCGATGGCGTCTACCACCAACGCCAGGCCATCCTACGCAACTCTGCGAATGGAGCAAGTGGGTTATGCCGTTTCGCAAGCGCCATGTGGGCGTGGCGGAACCGAGACTCCAAGCCGTTCCGCCGGATAGGACCTCTCATTGTCTTCACCACACTCTTTATATTCGCCTTCGGCGTGGCCTCCGGCTTCTCATCCAAGGTCTCAACGGGCGTCGGCAACGAGGTGCTCATCCAGACGCCTGATTTCGGCATCAGCGTAGGGAAGAACCTCACGTGGGCCCAGACTCTCAAGATCTGGTATCCCTTGTACTCGCGCACCGTGCTGTCACATTCGACGTACGCACAGCAGTGCTACACGAACGACACGAGCACGGCCAACTGCAACAAGTACGTCAAGCCGAGGCTAGACGCCCGCATCCAGCGCAACGCGTCGTGTCCCTTCGACGCCGACATGTGCAAGCTCTCCGACCAGAACGTCTTGCTCGACACGGGACTGCTGGACTTCAATGACGACTTTGGCGTGAACCTCCCTCCGAAGTGGCGCTTCCAATACCGACAAACCATGCACTGTGCACCAATAGTGACGGACGGCTACAAGGAGGCCTTTCCGGAGAAGAATGAGACGTGGTACGGTGATAAAGAACGGACATGGAAGAAACCGGCGCACACGGTGTACTACTACGGCCAGGCGCCGTTCGAGAACTTGACGAACGCGACTTACGAGTATCAGACCGATATTCCGGACATGACCGTGAAGCTGAACACCGCGCCGGCGTTCTACAGCCTCGGGTGAGTAGACCTGACGTTTCTCATCTGATGATCACTAATGTCATGGCTCCAAGGACACGTCAGGTGTATGGATCCAACGGGACTATAATCCCTGAATCCGCCTTCGATCCCATGCCTGCTCTCCGGCGTCCAGATGCGGACATGGTGCTCGTCTTCCTCTCAGCCAACGAGATTGCCTACATCGGCCCTGTGGACGACCCCTGGTACTCAGCGAACGCCAAATATTCCCAGGTGAAAGAATACGAGAACGAGCACCCAGGCAAAATCTGGGCCTACTACCGCGACGAGCCGGCGTCGGTGCTCGGCTGCGTGATACAAAAACAAATCTGCAACCCGCGCATGGCAGAGGACAAGCGCTGCACGCCGTTGGGCCCGACCGCGGACCTGTCCCAGAACCTCGCAGCGATCGTCGAGGGCGACGGCGAGGCGTGGTGGCTGAAGCAGCTGACCAAGCTGCTCCTCGTCACGCTGCCGGAGCTCTGGGATATTATCAACACGCTGGGTAGCTCGTCTTTGAGCGCGTCGTTCAGCCTTACGAATGGCGTGCAGGCGGTGTTGCCGTCGGATCAGTGGCAGCGCGATGTCGAGCGGTGGCACTCGATCATGATGGCGACGCTGCAGGGCAGTGCGGTCGAGGTGGCCGAGGGCCCGTCGGCGCCGGAGTTGCGTGCGGAGCTGCAGAAACCGACCAACAGTTGGGAAAGGGCGCTTTGTAGACGTCAGGTGGGTTTCGTCGATGGTCTGCTTGCTCGTGTCCTTTGACCCTGCTGACTCCTCTCTCAACAGAAAATCCTCTCTACCGCCCACAGCAATTTCTCCGTCTTCGGTCTCGCTTTCATCTTCGTCACCGGCGGCCTCGCGATTCTCGTTTCCTGGCTTCTTGAGCCCATCATCGCTTTCGTCCAGCGACGCCGTAAGCTCGACTCGTACGCGCGCCTTGAGTGGTGCACCAACGAGACACTTCAGCTGCAACGGCTGGCGCATGAGGAGCTCGGCATGGGGACCTGGTCGAAGTGCGATGGGGATGTGCCGGTGACGGAGAAAGGGGAACGGCTGGCGGTGCTGGATCTGACAGACGTGACGCATCCAAGGCTGAAAGCGAGGCCGATGGGATGGGAGGAAATTGTGGCGCAAGGGCCTGTTGGAAGCACGGTAGAGACTAATGACACGGGGAGTAGCACGGAAAAAGACGATAGCAGCTGTAAGGGGAAAGGGGCGAGAGTCGATGTCGAGGAGATCAACTCGCCTTTGAGTTCGTCTGCGTCGGGCAGTGATGACCGGCTCACTCTGGCCGAGGCTAGCTCTTTATCATCGTCCCTGGACAACCGTCATATAGGCAACTGTCGACTCGAAGATGGGAGAGATGGGACGTAAGAGTGTGTAGGCAGGAAAGATGAATAACTGTCTGGGGTATCTTAACTTTTGATCGAAATTCCATGCAAGATGATGCTTCCTCAATGACCCACGCCTATTCTATGCATTTTCTTTTCACTCATTTCTTCCCCTTCTTCTTTTTCTTCTTCCCAGAACTCCCTCCACCGTCTGCATTGGGCCTTCCCCACTTCTTCGCATGCTCCGCCTCAAACGCATCCTTCTCCTTCCGAAACAGCAGCATCGTCGCCCGCGCATCCTCCACACTAGAGTGCTCGCCGCCCTGAATCTCAACCCCAAGGTACTCCTTCGCCAGCTTCTTCAACGCAGGCGCCTTACCCATACTCAACTTCCGAAACGCCGGGTGGCGCGAAGTGTCCCTGATATCGCGCTTCGAATGCGACAGCATTAACGCGTCCAAATCATTCTTAATCGCATGTCCGACGAGTATGCGGCCCTCGAGCAATTCCGCGACGTCGCGTTGCACCTCGGCGAACGGCCGCGCGTAACCCGGTCGCAGCAGCGCGGGAGTTATGCCCGAGACGGCGGTGCGGTAGTCGGTGACGGGCAGCTGCGGCAGCACGTACGAGTCGTACAGCTGCGCGCCGTGGTAGTCGACGACGGAGGCGCGCGCCAGCTGCGAGTCCTGGTCCGGCGTCGGCCCCACCCCGACCATCTCGCAGTCCAGCGCCACGTATTTGCCCGGCGTGATGTTTTGGGTGAGTCCGGCGTTGGGCACGTCCGACGGGTTCGTCGTGGTGCTCGGAAGGGTTGTAGTTGAGCGCGAGGGCAGGTTGTACGCGGCGGCGACGTCGGCGACGGGGATGCCGTGGTCTTCGGCGAAGAGGGCGAGGGTGGCGGAGGGTGGGGCGGTGGAGGATGAGGGCTTGGACGAGTCCTGTGTGGTGGAGAGGAGGGAGCCCATCTTGCGCTTTTTGGACGGGTCTTTCGATTTTGTTGCGGTGGGCTTCGCGCGCTTGGTGACCTTGTAGGAGTCCTCTTTGGGGTTCTTCCGGCTGAGGATTGGCTTCTTGTCTTTTGTTTCTTTCTTGGAGCTGCCGCCTTGTAGCTTCTGTTGCAGCTTCTTCCAGTTGCTGGACAGATCCTTGAGATCCATCGTACAGGATCGCGGTCGCTGCAGAGCGTTCGGGGCAGCGAGATGAAGACCGGAAATGGCGACCCAATGCGGAGGATCTGGAGAAGCGCTGCAACAGCAGCAGAGCGCAATGGGCGGAAAACGAGAGTGGTGTTGTTGGAGTCGCGTCTCTCGAAACTTTTCGACCGGCAGACGGAGTTCCTGGTCACGTGATGCAAAGCTCAGTCGCCGACTTGCCGATCGCCACCGGGTCCGCCAGGCTGGGCTCTGCGGTCGCGCTTTCACGGTCGCGTTTCATCACCAGCACGCGCGACCAGAAAAGCGACTGCATCATCGCCCTTTCATCGCCCATAATCCTCAGCTTGCCCTTCGCACCGGTCTATGGCACCTCGCGACATGTCGCATGAGCCCGCAGGCACCCCCGAAGCCGTCGAGCGCGGCTATGCCACTCTGGCCCAACTGAGGTGAGTTGCCGCAGGCCCCGACCGACCGGCTTTGCATCCAGCGCACTGACACTTCCGCTTAGGGTTGGAGTGAAGGCGTTCGTTGAGAAGGTACGCTGCCAAGTCTCCACCAACACCCTTGAACTGCGCCGTCTTTCCACTTTTTCTTAATCACCCGCAGTGTCTTTCACTTGTTGTTCCTCCTTTTAATTTTTTTTCCTCTTTCAACACCGTCTTAAGCTTTTCATATGTTCTCTGTTCTCATCCTGACGCCTGCAGGATGGCGAAAAACGCAAAGCCGAGATTCTTTCCATCCAGCACCGCCAAGGAAAGCCTCGCTTCTACGTCCACTATGAGGAGTTCAACAAGCGTTTGGATGAGTGGATTGCCGCAGAGCGTATCGATCTCAGCCGTGAGGTCGAGTGGCCGGCCCCGGAGAAACCGGACAAGAAGAAGTCATCTGCCAGTAAAAACCAAACCTCCAAAACCGATAGCCAAAAGTCTTCGAAGAACAACAAGCGCCAGCGGTCCAAGCTAGATCGTGAGATTTCGTCCACTCCCGGCCCCGAGCCGACTTCTGCCAATATCCCCGGAAAGCGTCCCCAGCCCTCAACAGCTGGCGGCAAGGAGAACAAGGAATCCGGTGTCATTGTTTCCACAGAACTCGCTGATGGCGAGACACCCCGTCCTGATGATGATGAGATGGACTTGGTTGATGTGCAGGATGCTGCCGCCGCTGCGAAAGCCGTCCCAAACGAGATATTTTCACGCGAGGATGAGATTGAAAAGCTGCGCACGTCTGGATCCATGACCCAGAACCAAACTGAAATCTCTCGCGTCAGGAACCTGGAACGCATCCAGATGGGCCAGTTCGAAGTTGAGCCGTGGTACTTTTCTCCCTACCCGGTCGAATTCACCGAAATAGACATGGTCTATATCTGTGAGTTCTGCTTGGGTTACTTTGGCGAACAAAAACAGTTCGAACGTCATCGGTCCAAGTGTGAGCTGTTCCATCCTCCGGGGAATGAGATCTACCGTGACGACTACGTCAGCTTCTTCGAGATCGATGGCAGAAGACAGCGGACATGGTGCCGCAACCTTTGCTTGCTATCGAAACTATTCCTGGACCACAAGACGCTGTACTACGATGTCGACCCCTTCCTCTTCTACTGCATGTGTACACGCGATGAACATGGCTGTCACCTGGTCGGTTACTTCTCGAAAGAAAAGGAAAGCGCCGAAGGATACAACGTTGCCTGTATCTTGACCTTGCCGCAGTATCAACGGAAAGGTTTCGGAAAGCTGCTCATCGCCTTCTCGTACGAGTTGTCTAAGCGCGAAGGCAAACTCGGCAGTCCTGAGAAACCTTTGTCCGATTTGGGTCTGCTGGGTTACCGTGCGTACTGGCAGGAGACTATCGTGGACTTGCTGATGGACGGTCGTGCCGATGCCAACGTGGAGGAGCTCGGTGCGTTGACAGCCATGACAACAAATGACGTGCTGCATACACTGCAGAACCTCAACATGCTCCGGTACTCTGTAAGTTTGCGACTTCCTGTTTTCTTGTTCGATATATTCTTTTTTAACAAGCCCTACAGAAAAATCAACACGTCATCGTCCTCACAGACGCTGTCATTGAACAGCGTAACCGCCAGAAGGAGAAGGAGAAGATCAAAGGTAGACGCGGTATTGACCCCGAGAGGCTGCAGTGGAAGCCCCCGGTGTTCACGGCGTCGTCAAGGACCTGGAACTGGTGATCATTTTTCCCTTCGCTGCTCTATTATACCTGGTGGCTTGTGGCGAAATGGGGGCGTCGGTGCCTGGTGTTCTTTGTTACGTCCTTTTCATCTCCTTCACATCTGATACCCCCTTACTCCAATGGCCATATGTCTTTGCTGTTTGACTTGTTGCCTAATACTCATTGCACTCTATCTCGACCATTTGTGTTCTTCAGTCGCATTCTGAATGGCGTATGGCCGGCCTCCTGTAAGTCATTCCAAATGGACCACTTCATTCCTTACATAGATGTAGTAATATCTAGGCTGTGCAATTTAGTGCGGAATTCGGAACGAAGAACTTGATGGAAATCGGCAATCTTCATATGTGATGCTCTCTGAAGCACGGTCCAATTGCTTGGTTTGAGGCTGAAGGCTCCACCTGACATAGCATCTCGGCAACACTACCACCAGTCCAGTCCCTCGGCTGGACCATTTGACGCAGGAACACAAAGACGATCTAATCGCCGTCGCTCCATTTCCAGATTTGGTTAATGGGTGTCTAGAATTGCCGAGAGAAGCCTCGTGCCGCGCCAATTCCGCTTGATGCGCGGGGGCGTTCCGCGGTGTCTTCCCCGCATTCTGCAAGACCAATGAGCGGGGATGATAGTAAGGACGCAAGCGACCTATAGCCAGCCTCGGGTTTCACAGTCCGCTGAGAACCTTAACGCATCCCCACAAGCGCAATGTTTCCGCTGGTAACTTGCTATCTATATGAGAGGTTCCGGCGGTATCCTGCTGGACCAGTCTCGACACCATCACTTCGACCTGACAGCCGTGGCCCACCATGATTGCCGACGTGATTAACTTCGTCCAATCGCAGACGCTCGAACACCCCGTTCGCACGGTCCTCCTTACTCCAGTCCTCTTTCTCCTAGCCTACGTCATCTCTCAGGAGTTCGTCCGACTACGAGCCCGCATCCCCGGCTTCTCTGGCCCCACGGGTCTTCCCATAGTCGGCAACATCCACCAGATCCGAGTCAACGCGGCCGAGCAGTATCGGGTGTGGAGCAAGCAGTTCGGCCCGGTGTACCAGATCCAGCTGGGCAATGTGCCGGTCATCGTCGTCAACAGCGCCGTAGCGGCGCGCGACCTGTTCGGCAAGAACAGCCAGGCGCTGTCCAGCCGACCCGTCTTCCACACGTTCCACAAGGTCGTCAGCAACACGGCGGGCACGACCATCGGCACCAGCCCCTTCAACGAGAGTCTGAAGCGCCGCCGCAAGGGCGCCGCCTCGGCCCTCAACAAGCCGAGCATCGCCACCTACATCGACCACCTGGACCGCGAGACGCGCGACTTCGTCAAGGAAGGCCTCGAGTACGGCTCGGGCGGGCTGGCGGGCGTGGACCCCATGCCAATGATCCAGCGGCTCAGCCTGTCGCTGTCGCTGACGCTCAACTGGGGCACGCGGCTGGGCTCGCGCGACGACCCCATGTTCGCCGAGATCACAGAGGTCGAGGAGGACATTTCGCGCTTCCGCAGCACCACGGGCAACCTGCAGGACTACATCCCGCTGCTGCGGCTCAACCCGTTCGACCGCTGGGCCAAGAAGCGCAGCAAGGAGGTGCGCGACCGCCGCGACGTCTACCTCAACCGCCTCAACGATGATCTGGACAAGCGCATGGCCGACGGCTCGCACAAGCCGTGCATCCAGGCCAACGTCATCCTCGACAAGGAGGCGTCGCTGAACAAGGAAGAGCTGACGTCCATCTCGCTGACCATGCTGTCCGGCGGCCTCGACACCATCACCACCCTCGTCCAGTGGAGCGTCGGCCTGCTGGCACAGCGCCCGGACATCCAGCGCAAGGCTATCGAGGAGATCAGGAAGGTGTATTCGGCGGACGCTGACCCGCTGTGCGACCCGCAGGACGAGGGCAAGGTCGAGTACGTCGCCGCGCTGGTGCGCGAGTGCTTGCGCTACTTTTGCGTGCTGCGTCTGGCGCTGCCGCGCGCCACCGTCAAGGACGTCTACTACGAGGGCAAGCTGATCCCGGCTGGCACTACCATCTTCCTCAATGCGTGGGCGTGCAACATGGGTAAGTGATATTTCTTCCTCCCCCCACAGCTATACTAACACAACAACAACAGACCCAGACGTCTGGACCGACCCCACCACCTTCAGGCCAGAGCGCTGGCTCGAGCAACCCGACGCCCCGCTCTTCACGTACGGCCTCGGCTACCGCATGTGCGCCGGCTCGCTGCTGGCTAACCGCGAGCTGTACCTCATCTTCCTGCGCACCCTCAACTCGTTCGAGATCCTGCCCCAACCTTCTTCTGCCACTTCTGCCACCTCCTCCGAAAAGAACACTACTACCACCAACAACGTCGTGCTCGACCCCCACGGCCACCCCGTCCCGTGGGCCAAGGACGTCGATATCCATCCCGTCACCGGCAGTGCGGATCCGACGAGCTTGGTCACGATGAGCAGGCATTTTAAGGTCGTATTTAAGCCGCGCGATGCGGAGAGGTTGGCGGAGGCGATTGAGCGGAATGTGAGGGTGAAGGGGTCGGGGGATTAAGGGGGTTGAAGAAGGGGGGGTTTATTGGGAAGGGGAAAAGCGGGTGGTTTTTTTTTTGTTGTTGTGCTTGATGGAGTTTATGGGATGGCTGAGCGGGGTATTGCTCGGGTTGTTATCGGTTGGTGGTGCGAGGTGGAGATTGGGGTGGTGTGAGGAAGTGAGGGGAATGGCTTTACTGACGATTGTGTGGACCATTGAGTATCATCCAACTGTATGTTGGACAATGTGAAGATATCGAGCTTTTTCACTGTTGGTTTCTTGGATTGACTGTGCTTGTGGTGTCGACTCGTTGTGATAAAGAGGTGGTGTGTAAAGATAACGAGAAATGTAAGGTAAGCTGGATCAAGGAACAATATTGAGCACAATAGATGGCCGGAAACGAATTGCGGAAGAGCTGATCCGGCTGGATTGTTGGACATTTTATATAGATCTACTCAAGCTGTTGTACCGTGTCGCGACTAAGCACTCAAGAAGGGTTGGTGAGCGAAGGAGGTCTTCATTGAGCATCATTTGGTGCTGGTCAACGGGCATGAGGTCGTTTGGGGAATATTGTAAGTCTTCATAATCAACTGAATTTGGCGAGGCGATGAAGGATAATATTATCAAACGGGGGTGTGGTACCCTCTTTTCTTGACAATTCTTAAATGGGATATCTGTATTCTAATTTTTCATCTATGGTTGCATCTATTATTTTCCTTCCCTATGGTATCGCTTATTCGGCAGCACCGAACGTGTTGATCTTCCTGCCCCTCTTTCCCCTGCCCATGAACCCCCAGCGAATCTGCTGGGCATTCTCAATCTGGACGTCCAAGTCATCGGCCCACGCCCACACCAGGCCCGGGTTCTTCTGGAACAAGCGACCCGCAGCCGCGATATCCAGGCCCTCCTCGAGCAACTGGTTCGCAAGCTTACCATCAGTGATGGTGCCAACCGTCGCGACCAGCATCTTATCACCAACCTTCTCCTTCACAGCCTTCGCGAAGGGAGCCTGGTGGCCCGGACCGCCCTTGATCTTCTGCTTAGGATGCTGGCCCCCCGAGCTGACGTCCAGCACATCCACCCCGTGCTCCGCCAGGATCTCAGCGAGCCGCACCGTGTCGTCCAGCGTCCAGCTCTTCTCAGGCCCAAAGCCCTCGACCTCCTCAAGCCAATCCGTCGCCGAGATGCGCAGGAACAGCGGCATCGACTCCGGAATCGCGGCGCGCACCGCATCCACGACCTCGAGCGTCAGCCTCGTGCGGTTCTCAAACGAGCCACCATACTTATCCGTCCGGTGGTTCGCGACAGGCGACAAAAACGAATGCAGCAGATACCCATGCGCGTTGTGTATCTCAACAAAGTCAAACCCAGCCTGCACCGCGCGCCTCGCCGCCGCCGCGAACCCCTCGCGCACCTCATCAATATCCCCCTGCGTCATCTCCCTCGGCACGCAGACATTCTCATCATACGGCACCGCGCTCGCGCCCTTGACGTCCTCCGGCCACCCCCCGTCCTCGAGCGGCGCCTTCGCCGAAAACGACAGAAACGGCGCCACGGTGCTGGCCTTGCGCCCCGCGTGCGCCAGCTGGATGCCGAGCTTCTGGTTCTGCGTGTGCGCGAAGTCGACGACGCGCTTCCAGGGGGCGATCTGCGAGTCTTTCCACAGCCCCGGGCAGTGCGGCGTGATGCGTCCTTCGGCGAGGACGCCGGTGGCCTCGGCGAGAGAGATGCCTGGCCCGCGCGAGATGATGCCGCCGAGGTGCGCGGAGTGCCATTCGGCGATGTGCCCGTCGCGCGCGGAGTACTGGCAGAGGGGAGACAGCATGATGCGGTTTTGCACGCGCATGCCGCGGATTTGGAGCGGTTGGAAGAGCTTCGGGATTGGTTTGCCGTCCGGTTGCGGGTCGGTGGCTGTGCCGGCGGGGACGGCTTGCCAGGGCGTGAAGTATTCGACCTGGGGTGGTGGTGGTTAGTTTAGGATTGCTGGTAAGCTAGGGAAGTGGGTGCTTACGCCTGGCGCGGCAACGTTGATGAGCTCGGTGTTGGTCATGGTGAATGAGTGTGAAGCAGGCAATTGATGATTGTCGTTGCTGTGGATAAACAGAACACCTGCTGCGGCGTCCGATTTATAGGAACGTCAAGACGGAGCAATGATTAAGGTTTTGATGATAAATCCGGGAATAAGACTATCATCAGGAGAGCCTATGGGATCGCTGCATGGGCAGAGTGGGGGTGAAAGCACATACACCGCGTCTATAATCACACAACGTGGTACAGAAAAGTGCCGAAGTTGCCGCGGGTATTGGACGTTCAGGAGCTTGACTAGATGAAAACAGTCCTGAAAACCGTTCGATGACGCTTAAATTGGTCCGTTGCTTAGAAATGAACCTCCACCATGCGGGGACCTTGCCTCATGTGGCATCGCAAACGATGCTATTGGAAAATTTTGCTGCAGACGCAAGGAGGACTTGGCTTGATTACCAAGCGATCCACAATAAAACAGCCGATGACCTCCTTTGCCGGTAGTGCCTGCCGTTGCGAAAACGCCAGAAAACAAACCGATTGCTTGGCTACGATGGTGTCTGAAGGTTTCCTATGAAGAGATCTAATAGTAAACTGTAGTGTGGTTTTATGTGAGAAAAGTATATCGTCTGCAGTTCGCGTTGCCCAATGATGCCGTGCCATGCTGGCGATGTGAGAGCAACCATTAGTGGCACTAGTCTCCGCTAGTGAGCCGTACATCCCCGATATTTGCTCGTGCCCCATCTGTCCTTTCTCGATGCTTCTGAAGGTTCATAGCTGTTGGCATCGATCCCTCGGCAACCGTCTGGTGCCCTTAAAGCCGAGCGGCCACCCGTCGGAGATGCGAAAGAGAGAAGCCATAGCGCCGGGGCCATAACAGAACCTCATGAGCGAAGCGTGATCACATCTCAAGCAATGGTATTATCTGATTACGCTCCTAAACGTAGATCACTTTCGTCCGCTATGGAAGCAAGCAGTCGGAAGGATGAGTGGGATGGGACGCACGTTGGTCCTACCCGACGCTACCCCAGAAGCGGCAACAGTGGATGAATTTGCCCCACTTTTGGTGCTACCCACGTAGGGTCATCACCACCTTCATGTTTGAAATGAGCAGTATAACGGGCTTCATAGGTCAAACACTTGTCTCACTTAATTGTGCCTCAAGGCCTCCAATACATCACATCGCATCGAAAAAGACTCATGAGCATGATGGAGTAAAGAAGTGTTGAATTGAACCGTGAGTTGACGGTGTGGTTTCAGGTATCTAATCATCGCAAGAAAAACATTCTCCCCTTGACTCCCATCATGTGGAGCCTCACTTGGCGACTGCAGTCCGTCAAGCCCGCTGATGTTCGTGATCCAGCAACAGCAGACTTCGGCGACTCATTAATGTAATTAGAGTCATTCAAAGCCCAATTAGGCCTTGGCATCCATCGCGTTGCCAGGGTTGCCCGTGTTTTCGAAAGGTACAACCTCCTTGCCGTTGCTCATAGCAGGAGCAGTGTCACCGGGGTCGGCTTGGAAAGGATCCGTTAGCATGGCCGGAAGCAAGAGTACTGTATGTAGGGAACTCACCGATGGGAGCCGCGATTGAGACACCGAGGAAAGCAAAGAAAACAGCAGCGATGGTGAACTTCATCGTGACTGGCGTTGACCGTGAATTAAGATGTAGATATTATCGACAAGAAAAGTTCGGTATCGATGTAGCGAGTCGGCCGGCGACAAAAGGAGTGTCTTGAGCTTGGCAGAGGCGGACGGAAAGGCAGTGAGTGTTGATTAATGCTGAGGAAGTTGAGCCAGCGACTGGAAAACCCTCAGCCTTTTCAACTTGGCCTTCCTCTTGATGCCCAGATTGAGTTGTTGGCGCCACGGGTGGCTGAAAATGGACATGAGACAGGTCGTGTATGAGCGGCGCTGGCTGAAACTGGCACAGCTGGGGGCCTCTCGCCCGGATCGCCTCCTTCCGACCCCGCATAACGACGATCATAGAAGTTCCCCAACCAACAAGGCAGGCGAGCTAATCTTGGTTGTGAATCTTGGGCGGGTCCAGCGTAGCCGAGAAATTGTCTGGGTGTTGGACGCGTCAACATTCGGATGGCGGTAAGCCGTTGTGGCACTGTCCGACAACGCTGTGCCCATAAGCCCCTCAGATGACGATATTTTGCTCCAATCGTAATATTACCCTAATATTACGTGCTACTGGGTGTTCCATCACCCTCATACATGGTCAAGAATCATTGGCGGCTGTGATTTCTAAGTAATTCTGCTTCGATTGGTCGTCGGGTAAGTGATGCCCCGCAATCCACGCGCCATTGTGACCCGGAAAGACAGCTTCATCCCCGCCCATCACCGATTCAGAAATACGTCAAGTTTCTCTGTACATTCAAGAGGAAAATATTTTCCAACTAAAAGCCAAGTGGAAAATTCCTCGAAATCTCTGCAACTCTGCGGTGAGCAGTCTCGTCAAGCGCGATTTTCGAATTTACAAAACATCTCACAACCCCCTGTGTACGCTCTTTAAGCGCCGAAGCGACAGCATCAAGAAGAGAAGTATATTTATCGTTGCATAATATACAACACAGGATGTCTTGCCTCTTTCGCTTTTGAGACCTCAGGCCTCCAACGACTCTTGGGAGGATTTTCAGGCCAATCGCTCCTGGATGCAACGCGCATGCTGAAGCGATGTTCGAGACTGAGTAATGATGCCAGCGCCACAGCTTCAGCTTTGCCCTGCCTAGCGCCCGCCCAGCCTCAGCCTTGCAGTGGCTTCTTACCACCAGAACAGATTCATTGGGGTCAAGCAAGTCTGACTGTTACAGAAACCGCTGATCGTCAATGACGCGATGCCGATCAATGACAGCTTTACCAGACACTACACGAAGCGGGCTGCTGTCGTCGCTTAGTGCACAACGCTTTAAGGTACTGAAAGCCAACTAGTTCTTGTCTAATGCCATCGTAAATTTCACACGATAAATGCATACGTGAATATCGCAAAGCCAAAAGATTTCCAAAACAACACCCTTGAACGATTTTGTCACGGTCCTGCAGAAGGCTTTTACCGCACCTTCTAGACTGTGAGCCTGAGACAAAAGCTTCATACCCTTGTCCGTATGATCCCCGCAACAAGGCCCACCGCTGGGGTCTGTGACAACACAACCAACAGGGGAGACAAGCATCTATTCAAGCTTAATCTCACACTGGCCGTTCCATACGAATAAGCGCTGTAACGTCTTTCCACCCACAGCCGCATTAAGCGCCACTCAGCAGAACAACGAGTATATGTAGGCACCCCTCGTATCCCATTTTATCGAGGCAGCGAGACGCTATTTACGAGACTTGTTCCATATCATGATCGCTCAATGCTCCAATGGTGAAAGATACCTTTTTTTCTGCATCATTTATATTCATACGCTGACGCAACTGCTGGCAAGCCTTGGGGATGAGATGGACACTGCTGAGCTCTTATTTCGTCTACCACTCTAGCATTAAGATTCAAAAGTATGAAGTACGTGAATAACAGTGCTGACTGAGTGCTGGTGTGATAGGTGGCTCATGTGACGATGGTGCAGAAGATACTAATGGTGGTACCACAAAAGCAAACACGGTGGCAATGAGTAACGCTCATTGAGTCTGACAGCCAAAGAATCACATGAAATGAGCGTCTTTTCGAAAACTGCGCCAAAACCAGACTGGCTAAAATCTCCTCCGCCGTGCAGCATAGTGGGGTGCTGGTAGGTGCGTTGCAGGTGGGATGACAATCAATTCCGCACAGAGGAAGTGGGCAGTATGTGGCCAATAGGAATTGCAGAGGCCGTCTCATACCATAGCCAAGATTCTGTCTCCACCGCCCTTTTTACGTTGGCGTGTCAATCAACAAGATTTACTGGAAAAGCTTCCTTCCTCTACTCCTGTCTATCACTTCTACAACCATGGAAGAGAAGTATCGTAAACTCTTGCAAGCCACCCTGGAAGTGGAGGCATTCTTTGAAGACTTCGACGACTACTTCCAGGTCAGCGACTTCGACATATGGAAAGAACACGACAGCAACGAGCCAGAGCATGGAAGCGTCACTGTTTTCGATTTCTCCAATGGAGACAAAGCTCAAATCACTGAATTGAACTCCTCAACTGAACTGCGGCACTACTTTTCCCAAGCATCTCCTGCGCTCTCATCCTCCAATTCCACGACCCAGCCCCCGAAGCCCACAAGGCGGCTATTCCTTCTCGAGGGCCTCGATCCAAGGCTGGTAGACGTACTCGGATCACAACTCGGCGTCCCACCCATGGTCTTCATCTCGCAAGCCGCCAGCCCCGGGACCATCGACCTGACCGACGCCGACGGCTTCCTCCACGACCCATCCCAGTACTGGAACGTCCAAGTCCAGCAGCTGCACAAGCTCTCCGACGGCTTCTACACGCATCGCGGCAGATTCTGGAACGAACATGCCACCCCGAAGCGCCTCGCCGGCACTTTCGTCAAGCGCGCATACTCGTGGTCCTTCACCCAGCACCTCGTCTCCTTCTGGAGCACCAAGCACAGCAACAATTCCTGGGACGCCGTCCTCCTCGTCGACCCCGCCTGGCACGCCACCGTCTTTGAAAGCACCGACCGCGAAACTCGCAAACACCTGCCCGCCGACCCCGCCTTCGCCATCCACCACGACGAGAAAGCCCTGCCCCGCGCCCCCAGCGCCTCCATGCACGCCCTCCCGCTGTCCGCCGACCAGTGGTCGCACCCGCCGCCGCAAAAACCGTCGCTCATGTCCATGCGCGCCCGCCTCGTCGACCTGTACACGCGCTTCCCGCACGGCGCGACGGCGGACCCGGCGTCGGCGGCGGCGTTCTGCAAGGGTTTCGTGTTCTCGCTGTGGGAGATGACGATCCGGTGTCTGCAGTGGCGCTACATCGCGCTGTGGGACGAGGAGGTGTTTCGCTCGTACCACCACCACGACGTGCAGTGGCGTCGTGCGGACTTCCAGAAGATGGCGGATCAGCAGTTGGTTACGCGGCGGGTGAAGAGGGATTTTTTTGACGTCTGTCGGAAGCTGGGGGTTGTGGGTGATGGGGGGAATGGGAGGGGTGGTGGCGTTGGGGTGGCGGGGGTGGGTGGTGGTGGTGGGCGGGGCTGTAAGGAGCGGAGTTGGGGGTGGTTGCTGGAGCGGATCACGGTGCTGGATGAGCAGATTGGGGATATGATTGTAGTTTATGGTCAGCGCTCGTCTGTGGAGGAGAGCTTGACGGCTAACAGTCAGGCACGGAGTGTTGGCCGCTTGACTGCGCTGGCTGCCGTGCTGGTCCCGTTCTCGATCGCTGCGGGGATCTGCTCTATGAGTGACGAGTATGCCGCGGGAAAGAGCAGGTTCTGGGTCTTCTGGGCAATCGCCGTCCCTCTCGCGTCTCTGTTGCTGATTTGGGTGTTCTTGGTGAAGAGGTCTCCAACACAGCAATTCAAAAGCACTCTTTACGCTTTTCGAAGATGGGGTTCTTGCGTCTTCATCAAGGCCAATAGGCTAAGAAGCGAAAACCGGGAAGCAATGGAGTTACCGGTGTGGAGCGATGGAGAACATTAAGGTCATTATTATTCAGAAATTGGAGAGACGCTTATCGTTCCTAAGAACGTTTGAAGTAAAGAAGCGTATTGAGAGAAGAGCTAGAAAAATCTTCTGTAGGAATAGAGATTGTAAACCGCGAAATAATTCACGGGAATTTGAAAGCACCACGCCCATATAACTTAGCCACCGTATTGTTGCACCTATATAGCGCTGATATTAAAAAGGCACCTCAGGTCCTCGGTGACTTCCGTCGGAACCGTGGTCGCCTCATGTTTCAAAAGTGCCCGGACGACGGCCTCATGTCCTTTAGAACATGCTACAGTCAAGGCCGTATCGTGGCCCCCGGATCGGTCAACGTCTGCTCCTTTGTCGATGAGGAGCTCGACTGTTTCCACATGGCCTGCGAAGGAGGCAAGAATAAGAGCTGTACATGACCGCATGATTAGGAAACTGTAGGGGTAGACCTTAAAAGCCTTCGCTACGACATCAATGTCGGCACCCCGGTCGATGAGAAGCCTTGCCACTACTGTGTGGCCTTTGAAACAAGCGTTCATGAGAGCGGTCCCTTCGTTGTAATCATTGAACTGTATATCTGCGCCATGGTCGAGGAGGATACTGACCAGTTCCACGGAGCCAATTAGGGAAGCCGCGTTCAGTGGAAGGCTTTCCGGAACATTGTAGCTACGTGTGTCTCTCTTGTTTATATTTATGGTGCTTGCAAAGTTGGGATCTGCACCTCGCTCGAGCAGTAGCTTTACCACATCGGTCATGCGGTTCAGGGTGGCCGACATAAGTGCAGTATCAACCCCCCAACGATGTTGGTGTCGAATGTCAACCTCGGCTCCCCACTGGATAAGCAGTTTGGCGACCTCGCTGTGACCCATATAGCAGGCGGCTCGAAGAGGTGGTCCCAAATGGCTACCAGCCGCATTAACATCTGCGCCTTGGTTTAGAAGGTACCACGCAGTAGGACGTAATCCTTTCAAACACACAAGGTATAGGGGCTGAGGGTCGGCACCATTCGAAGAAAAAGAGTTTATAGGCTCTATGATGCCAAAACAATGGACAAGCTCCCATGCCTTCCTGTTCGATAGGCATTGAATGATGAATTGATGCGTGGACTTGCTGGTCTCCGGTATATACTTCGCATGGTGGAACCAGTGGTTTGCACCATATGGGAGAAGGGGGAACCTTCTTCGAATTTTCGGTTGGGAGGAAATCATGTAAGATACATTGTTGAGAGCAGAGTGTGGTTCACTATGCTTCGATGAGACAGAATGCGTCGGAAGAGTTATTGCATCATCTTCATCATGACCAACGGACGAGAGGTATGCCATAAGGACTTCAGTGATAGATCCATGTGCCACTGGTGGCTCCAAGGCATGGGAGAAACGCCCTTTGTCCTCGTTCGAGATCAGATACTCTTTGACAGAAAAGTGAGCAAGCCTGATCTGTTGACCATTCTCCACCAAGGTCACTAAGCCAGAACATAATTTGAGAATTCTATCAGGATGAGGCATTCTATATCGCCGATGAAAATTCGGAGTCTTCTGGAAGGTAGTTACCAGGAAGTCAACGGCTTCTAAAATGCCCAAAGGCTGCTTCGAATATGCAAGGAATACCAAAAGTCGTTTTGAATGTTCCAAGTATGGCTCAGGGATACTGTCTAAAATGCGCTTGTATGTGTCAGACAGGGTTCTTGGGAGTGAATCCAGTGCTTCGAGCAGGTCGTTTGGCATTTCGAAGGCCTCTAAAGCCTCAAGCTGGCATGCGGCCCACCGAAACCTAGAATTTATTAGTGAATCGTCAATCAAAGGGAGATTTTCGTAGTTGAGCACTTACATTCCATTTGCATGGCTTTTTATTTTGGTTTCAATCTTTTCAAGGATATCTGGACGCGATTGCCAAGTCTCAGCGAGTGTGCTGTCGGGGCTTTGGAGCTGCTGTTGGACGTATGCCGCAATGTCATTGTCAACTTCGCTTCCTTGCGCGTCAACGATGCAACTCTTGTCAAGCCAACCTCTCAAAGCACGCGATATATCCTCTAGGCCTCGACTTGTTAGGATAACACGGCAACAAGAATCTCTTAGCCACTTTAATAATGGCTCGCGTGTCGTACATTCGTCCAGTGCATCTAGGATAATTGGTGTTCGTGGACTGGTCGATATCATTTCCCTGAGGGTTTTCTCAAGAGCGCGCATGCTCGGCGTCTGCGTACCATTCCGATGTTGTTCTTGGAAAATTTGCAACTCTGCTTTCGCAGCGGCATTGATATGTGAAAATTGCAAAATCAATGACCTGATCATACTGTCGAAAGACTGCTTTATAGTATCACTGAAGTCGAAATAGAAGTAGAGAGGCTTCTGAGAAGCGTCCTCTTCTTCCAAGTCTTCAATGATGGTGGAAGTAAGGATTGTCTTGCCACATCCAGGAATGCCACGGATCCACAGAGTCCTGTTTCGCCCTTCCTTCCACGCCCAGTACGTTGAGCTTCGGATAAACCACTGGCCTGAGCCTTGGTGGCGTTGAGCTAGAGCCTTGTGGTAGTTGGTCGATGGATCGGGAGGGCAAAGCCAGGTGTGAATTTTACTTTGGAGGTTGAGAGCTCGGTCTTCTTTAATTTCCTGACTAACTTTAGACATGTCAGTGATCCATTTCTCCAAAAGGAGGAAATAACAGGCTATGACTGACTACTTGAGAGAGCCTCGCTCAACCTATTCTCCGCCTCGATCTTAGTCGGTATGATCCGACCTAAGAGATCCTTCGCATAGGCGGCCGCCGTCATAGCCGCATACCCCTGCCAATCATTGTTCTTGTGGGTGTCCGAGTAATCACAAATGCCTCGGATTATCAGGCATGGAAAATGGTTCATCAGGCCCGCGGCTTCCATCTCGAAACAAAGCACATTGTGATTGTTCGCGAAAGAGTCCCGAATCACGGCGTTCTTCATTAATGTATTCGAAGAAGCGATTAGGCCGTAGTGAATCGCCGGGTTGTCGTCGTCATCTTTCCGTTCATTCCGGCGAATTAGGGTTTCGGACCCAATAACATCGCATGCCTCGTCGCCACTACATATCTCATCACAACTTCGAGTGCTATCCTCATGGATGAATGATGACAGGTACAGACGATCTCTACTTGGGTCGGGCCTTTGGTGTGATCTTTGCAACCTCTTCTTGGTAGCCAGAATGGCCTGGATGTGTTCATGAATTTGGTGGCCGTCGGACGAATATCTGTCTCGAAGAGCGTTGACTGCTGTACGAAGAGCGAGCTGCGGTTGGTTTAGAATACCGGTGTGATGGAATCCCTGGCCTTGTATCGCTTTGCCAAAATCGTATTGGAGGATTCCCGCATGACCATCTCGAGGAGAACTGACAACCACATCGCCTAGCCTGATGTCATGCTTTTTACTCGGTGCTCCGCCTCCGATACCAACCATAAGGCCGATCCTGATGTTCGGGAAACTATGCACCATATCCCTCGCCGCAGTGGCGGCAGACGTAGTTCCGTATTCGCCATCAGGCAGTACAGCGATGACGACCCGGTGTTGTCCCATTCTGCCAACCGTATAGGCGTTGTTGTCATTTGGAGACACGTGGGTGGGCAGGTCGAATTCCTCGTTAAGAAACTGACGGGCCGCGATGCTTTCCGTTGGTATTGCGCATATCCAACCGACCGTGAAAGTGTTTGGATCCGACATGTTGGCGTGGCAAGTCGTCTGGATCGTATTCACCAGCGCTCCTGGGAACGTTCAGCGATGATCATCAACTTTCAGTCGAGACATACACTATTATTGATGACCGATTTGCAAAGTAGTAGTTCAGACAGTGAGAAGAAGACGAGCTAGGGTCAGGAAGGCTAAAGAGCGGTATGCTTATATGTGAGGCTGAACGGCTAGAGAGGGGTACGCTTATGTGTGCGGCTGAACTGCTTAGATATACCAACCCTGCATGTAGATGAACAGCCGACGTTACACAGCTTTAAGACAGCTCCAATAGGCGGGGTATCTGCCCATACACTTTTCTGCGACCACCGACAAATGAAAATTTTGTTGCGGCCGCCAAGAGCTGCAGGCTTCCAAAAGTAAAATAACAGATTTTGTTTGGTTCGACTGATAAAATTTCTCTTTGGGCATGTGATCGATCTTTCTATCAACATGCACAGTATTTCCGAGCTCAAAAAAAAGGCTGCAATCACTTCTGCTCAATCAAGGGGCTCCAATAGTTCTTGCGGTGCAATATTGTCCCCTTTATCCTCTGCTTATCCATCATTACGTAAACTTAAGCCGTTGCTCATACGCCCTCGCAGCCTCCCCAATCGGCTGCACCAACGTATAGCTCGCCTTCGTCCCATTATCCTGCACGCCATTCACCAAGTACAGCGGCACTACCTCCTCATCCTCTGGATCAAAATACAACTTCGGCCTCTCCCTCCGGTACAATACCGTCTCCGTCCCATCATCAAACTGCACCGTTGTGTTATACGCTATCGTCCGCGTATTGAACGTCCAAGGCCCCTCCAGCGTGCGGGAATACAGATGCGCGCCGACATTCGGCCCCTTCTCATCCCGCTCCTCGATGTCGATCATATAGTGCACAAGGATGTGCCAGTGCCCACGCTTATCGCGCCACAAGAACGGATCCTCGCTCCACGGCTGCTCTCCCTCCGCCGGCCGGAAGACGGTAGGTTCAAACGAAGCGTTGTAATTCGCCGCGACGTGAATGATATTGTCCTCAACCGCCAGCGCTATCCGCGCCGTGCTGTTCCCCGGCTCAAATAACGGCCACGGCGCCGGATTCGTCGCGTTCGTCAGCACCTGCCTCCTCGGCGTCCACGTCCGCAGGTCCGGCGACGTAGCAATGGAAATGTTGTTCGGCATGATGCCCTGATGTTTACACGTGTCAGGCAGCGGATAGCCATCGCGCCCAATCATAAACAACAAATACAACTCATCCGCCGGGCTCCAAACCGCCGTCGGATTGTGCGTGAACGCGCCAAACAGCTCCTGCGCCCAAACGTACGGCCCGCGGGGGCCCGTCGTCGACTCGGCGCGGATGATGGTGCTGAACGGCTTCCACCCGCTGAGCCCGCAGCCGTGCGAGAACTGCGAGGTGATGAGGTGGAACTTGTGGCGGTCGTGGCGGTCCGGCAGGATCTGGCCGCCCCAGGAGGCGTTGCCGGCGGTGCCGCCGCTGAAGGGGTCGGAGGCGGCGGAGGTGGACGTGTGGTTGTAGCCGGTGTTGCGGGTGGCGGGGTGGAGGTCGAGCTCGCCGCAGTCGGCGGAGCGCCAGCCCGGGTCGCAGAGGCAGGTGGCGTTGGTGGTGGTGCAGATGCCGTTGAGGCTGCAGTCGTCGTCTGTGGTGCAGCCTGTTGCGAAGGAGATGAAGAGGAACAGTAAACAAAGAGCTGCTCGTTTCTGGAGTTGGCCCATTGTGTACTCGTGTGAAGTCACTCCCAGGAACTTTGATCTTTAGTCACGATCTGTAATAGATAAACTTTTGGGGGATTGGAGGATTTTCAATGCTTTGCTTCAATTGATGTCACCTCCGGGTGTACCCCAGCATCTCGCACAAAGACATGCCGAATCGCCGCGAGTATATTGATGTTGTGCTTAAGCGAAGGGGCAACCCTCTAGTTTATCCGTCTTTCTCGTATACTTCCCCGCAGTGTCCCTCTCGCTTATCAAACAACCACCCGAGATGTGTCGATCAACTGTTGCCCCGCAAAGTGCCAAGCTTACCAGAAAAGCGAGCCATAAATTCCAATCGAGTCCTGTAAAATAAGGAAAATCTTGTTGTATTGTATTTTTGTAGCCGTAGTGCCTTGAGTGACCTCGCATACGCGAGCCAGCTGTATGAGTATCGAATCTCTGCTTAACAAAGACCATCAATCAATCCCTGTAAACGTCAAAGCCTAAACAAAGTAGGAAAACTTGGATCAAGCCCCACTGGGATCGTCCAAAACCGACACCAATTCCCTCAAACAGACATTGCGCTGGAGTGCGCCGCATTACCAGCCCCAACAGAACCACCATCACCATCCGTCTCTCCATCCTTACTCTCAACATTTTGGCTAGGTGTATCCGAGTCAGAAGCACCGCCATTCCCACAGAGCGGTTTTAGCAACGGCCGGCGGCGCTCCTCGTCGAAATCCAGCGTTGCCAGCTTCTCATCACAGCCAGTCGTCACGGGCGCGCTGTCCAGCCTGCCACCCCACGTGCCCGACCCGACCATCTCATGTGCCAGACGTTGAAGCTGGAGCGCGTCGCTGGCCCACCATTCCAACTGAGCATACGCGGTGCCTGCGAGCGACAATGGCAAAGTGTCGTTGTTTTTACGGCGGCGACGGTCTCGGCATCGGGCGTAGAGGTTGTATAGGCGGTCGAGGTTCCAGCCTATAGCAATGATGAGTGTGCCGGCGACGAATATGGCGACGAGGATGGCGAAGTTGAATGATGTGTGGTCGGCGGAGAGGATTTTCTGTGGGGGAGGAGGGTGGGTTAGTAGATGCTGGCGCGTAGAGTGGAGAGGGGATTGTGATTACGGACCTGATTACCGCAGAGCCGTTTGCTGGCACTGGCGACTGTCTCCTCGGACAGGCCCCCATATACGGAGGCGGAGCTGTTGTCTGGCGTCCGCGCTAGGGAGAGGAACATGCGCTGTAGACCAGCGAGCTTGACGGAAAACCAAAAGCGCACTTCGGCGTGCCACTGGTCGTCCGGCAGGGCCTTTTGAAAGCCGATGCGGTCCATGGAGAGTGACGCGAGGAGGGAGGCGTCGCGCAACACGCCGGTGATTCGGGCGAAGGTGAAGGAACATCGGTCCTTCGTCATCATGATCCAAGCCATGGCATTTTGGGAGTCCGGATCGTTTCCCCAGAGCCCGAGGACGTGGTCCTTGACCTCATATGGATCCACGAGGGCAGTGCATTGTTGGGAAAGAGGAAGGTTCGGATTGCAGTACTGCTCGCGCTGCACGCAGGCCATGGGGGAGGCTGGTTCGTCCCGCACGTACATGCCCACATTTGTCTGGCTAAACTTGTCGGCGCCGGTCTTGAACCAAGGGTCTGAAACGGGACCCTCGTATATGATACCGTTAGCAGTAAGCCAGATGATATCGAGTAGGCCGTCGGAGAGCTTTAGTTCGTGTATGGGGATCCAGGCTGAGCCGTCCGGGTTCCCCGGAGACCATGTCGATGTTCCGAGTTGGTATACACTTGCCACGTACATAGACGCTTGCCAGAACGACGACGCCGCCTCGAAAGTAATGTTACTGGTAATGCCGCCAAATAAGTACTGCGCCGTCTCGTATGTGTCATTGTCAACGGTCGTAGCACTATACTCGACATGACCGCGTGTGTTGAGCGGAGCACAGTGTGCGGTAGTACGGTACTTGAACCTCTGCTCGGGTGGCGCGTTGAGGCCGAGATCTTCATGGCTATCCAACAAGCCAGAATCGAGGAAGATATTCGAGGTGTTGGTACGGCAAATGGAATTGCTGAACGGGCATGCTGCACTGGTATTCGAATGAATGGCGAGTTTCGGCTTCAAGAGCTTTTCGCAGGGCGTCATAGCGTCCGTCGGCCTGTCGCTGTAGCATTCCTTGGCATATATGGCGAGATCATGGCTGAACTCGGCTTGTTGAATGGCGTCGATGCGTGACCCTTCGTCAGTAAAAGAATTAGACTCATCAGCGACTTGGTACGGAACAACGAGGCAATCCGGGCTGCTGATGAGCGCTTCACTGGAAAATGATGTCGCTACCTTGGCTGAAAAGCCAGAGGCAAGAGAGAACAGAGCAATGCAGATAGCCGTAAACAAGATGACCGGAAGCATGCGACGCTTCATGCGCTTGGCGCTATGGCGCCAGGCCCAGCTCGACCGAGCGAGGTAAATGAGGCCGCTCAGCGGATTCAGCGAGTTCCTGAGAATGGCCTGGCGTCGGTGGTACAGACCATCGCGAGCATCCGGAGCCTTGGCGGAGAAGATATGGAAGAGGATGTACGTGAAGATTTTCCACAGGCCGGCAGTGATAATCGTTATGAAGAAAGCCAGGAAAGCGATGAGGAGCGCGCCGTGGGCGGCGGTCAAGGTAAGAGTTGAACCGGTGATGCGACCTCTGGACCAGTTGGTCCAGACGCCCGTGTAGACGCCCGTGGTGTTCTGGGCGCTCATTGTTAGCGAGCGAAGCGGAGGAGAGGGTGGAGGTTACAAGATGACATAGAGTATGTAGATAGATATAGCTCGCGCGCACGGACCTCCTTGGTTTTGCAGCTCGACTGCCGGGCTGGCGTATCCGAATGAGGAAGTAACCTGACAAGGCTTGCATTCACGCTTCACTGGATAACACACCCGACCTGCCGATGAACATGAGGACTGCTTCTGAATGCCATTCATCTAGCTTCTTCAATTCCAATTTATGCTCCTAGTTTGCTCACTTACCAACGACCTGCTCGTTGTCTCATTCTCCACGTCACTGCTGTTAATCTTCTACGCTTTCACCTTATTTTCCTTGCTTATTCTCCTAAAGCCGGGCCACCCGCTCTATAATTCCTGAATGATTCTGTTATCACTAAAGGGAGGCTCATTTTGTGCCGTAAATGAACTATTTTCCATTCTAATAGAGCTTAATCAGCCTTGGGCATCAAGTCCCTCGGGACAGTTGACCATTATACGCTTCAGCCGAATACTGCTTCACACACACGAAAATCAGCTCAGGATAGCCCCATACCGAATCGAAGAGGAGTCTCGAATTTGATATCTGCCTGGTCCTGATACCTCGACGACGGCACGACGGCTGGAGGGCGATCCCGGCATTGGTGGGATGTAGGGAGCGATCGGACGAGAGAAGGACTCAAGATATTCACGAGCCAAACACCTCGGCAATTTCAAAACGAGATACAGTTGGTCCGAGGAGGTCGTCGCATTAGCGTTAATGTGTGTGGATCCGGTCTTGACTCGTGCCTCCAAGATGGCACGATGATTGGACCGGGGGTTGATTAAGCTACCGCGATTTCCCGATCAGGCAAGAGGAACGTTCCATATTGATTGCCGATTGTGTCATACCTCAGAGTCTCGCGACACCCGGAGAAGTAGGAAGTTTAGACTCGTGATGCGGGGCTGTGTGTATCATACCAGAAGCCAGTGTAGGCTTGGCATGCATTCCAGGGTCGTACGTGCTACGGCCAAGTTTTGCATTCCATCGAAGAGACAATCTTAAGTGGAGAGATCCCCTCGCACAACGGAATGATGAAAATTCGAATTTTCCTGTTTGCTTCCCCGACGACTTTCCACGACAGATCGTGTCGTCTTGACACGATCGGCGACAAGACACGACCCCGTCCTGCCCCATCCCGCCATGGCCCCTCCCGATCCCGCCAGCCAAGGGCGCGGACGGCACGATATGCTCCTCCCTCGCTACTCGTGCGGCCTCCTCCAGATCGACTGCGGCGGCGGCTACTGCTGCCCCGTCGGCCGCGTCTGCTTCAACTCCGACGACGGGCAGCCTACATGCCGGCTGGCGCCAGGCATCCCGGGTACCGACCAGCCCGCCTCACCAGCACCAGGCGGAACGACAGCGACCACGACCTCTTCCTCCACCACGACCTCCTCCTCTACCACGACCCTCTCGTCAACCACTTCAACACCCCCACCCCCCTCATCCACATCCCTCTCGACCTCCACATCCACATCACCCCCCTCCTCCTCATCCCTCCCACTAACCGGCACGGCGATCTCCGGCAGCGGCATCGCCGGCATCGTCGTCGGCGTTCTCCTCGTCGCCACGCTGCTCGGCGGGTCGATATGGTCTTTCCTCCGCCGACGCAAGCGCGAGCGCGTGCGCGAGATGGCCGTGCTGCCGGGCGGCGGAGGATCCGTGTCACGATCGGGGTCGGACGACATCAAGAGCTTTTTCGCTGGCGGGACGGCGCGGCGGGCGGAGATGGAGGAGGGGCTCGGGCCCGGGCTCGGGCGGAGAGGGTCGATGCAACAGCAGCAGCAGCAGCAGCAGCAGCAGCAGCCGCGGATGGAGGAGTGGTGGCGGCGGCAGCGGCGGCGGCGGGGGGAGTCGAGAGACGGGGTGGTGGAGGGGAGGCAGGATCACAGGGTGGCGTCGTGGGGGGATTGGGAGGATGGTGGTGGGAGCGGGGGCGGCGGGATGGCGTATATGTATGGCGGGAGCAATGTCGGGGTTGGAGCGGGGGAGGTGCCTGGCAGGGTTGAGGCGGAGGGGGATGGGCCGGTGGTGGTGGTGCCGCGGCCGCCGCCGCCGACGCATGTTGTGGTTAGGAAGGATGTGGGGAGTCAGAGGGGAGAGAGGCCGCCCGTGTACGAGTTGGATGGGTCGAGTCCGCTTGCTAGGACTGCTGCGAGACGTTTGACGGATTGAGCACTGATGAGCACAGATGATGTTATATAGTATCGAGCTATGGAAGGAATGGATACGGTACGGAAACTGAAAGCAAACTGAAAAAACTCGCAGCACATCCTCTACTTTATGAAACCAAAAGAAGAGAGATCCCCATCATGTCGTCAATTTGGTTCATTCCCTTTCACCGCCCACGTGGACCCTTTCCGTCCATCTTGTCTCAAAGTGGAGAATGCGCCGATCTTCGCCTTGGGAATTATTGGAGAGATAATAGTCCAAGGGCCGCTTTCTCTGCTCATTGTCTATGAGGATAGACCGGCTCCCATCTACAATGCGAGCAGTGTCAAAGATTAGAGTAGGAAACGGCTGTTTACCAATGATGTGCTTTGCTTTCTGCAGAACCGACTTGATACGAGTAGTCGCAGGGAACTCCCGCGTCTGCGATTCGATAATCGTTAACGACCATGGGTTCCTTACGAATGTGAACTGAACTTGGACTCGTGGTACAACTGAAATAGAACATCTCGTCAGCTTCAACGGAAACAGTTGACCAAAGGAACAATGTACATACTTTCAGGCTCCTCCTCATCATCATCATCGTTATCATTTTCATCGGAATCTTGCACCAAACGACGCGGTGTACGCATAGTAGTTGACTGGGGGGAAGACATAGCATGGCTGGCTTCCCCTTGTCCCTGGTTGATTCGCTGATTCACTCTCTCTTGATGCAGGCGCCGGCGCTCGGCTGGGCTACTGGATGTGTCCCGGAGGCCGTGGCTCGCTGCTGGCTCAAACATTGAGTCTCGGAGATGTGTCGACGTGCGTTCGGACACGTGGCTACATTTGAAACGCCTAACATAGCAACGAACGCAAGCCTTTCCAACCGAGGGATCTGGGCGGAGACATGTGATGTCGTCGTCGGCGCAGCGTTCGCAGGGGATCTCGTAAGGGTCGCCTTCGTGTATGGTTGGGCCACTGAAGGCATTATCTCCGTCTTCATCGTCTTCGAAGACGTCCTCCTCCTCTGACTCATCATGTAATAAGCAAACCAGCCTTTTCTTCAGCAAACTTCGCCTGTTTTGATATTTTCTGAAGACTCCTTGGTACTCGACGTGCTCTTCACAAGCCTGTTTGCTCCTATATTTCGTTGGAAGTTGACCTCCTCGGAGGGTGTAGTCCTGGACGAAGTGCTTGATCCGGTTCAAATTGTCAAGACGAAGTAAAACCGCATTCTGAGTCTCTTTGTAGGTGCCGACTAGGAACTTCCCATCTGGTAGCTGGAGTGCGAGGATAGCCTCGTCCTCGGAAACCTGTCGATCGTGACGGTTGTCCAGAGCATTCATCTCTACTACAGCTCTTCTCATCATTTGGCCTGATATGCGATTCCGCCCTCCGGAAGATTCCGGATAGTCGGCCATCTCGACATCCTCGTCGAAGACCTGCAGCGACGGGGTTGTAGCTTGGTGTAGATTCTTCGCCGGTCGCTCTGGGATGTCATAGTCACCCGCACGTTTCTTGTTTACAGCGACAGAGGGAGAGCTTGAACGCGCGTCTGCCATGATGGTGCCGGTAGATACTGATCGATGGCGGGGCATAAATGGGCTTCCTGCGGGTAATGGATCCAGCCAGTATGGGTCGGATCCAGCCTCAGGTTGTGCGATGTGAACATATTCGCCTTCGTCAACTGCTAAGTTAGCCGGAAATTTCTTCTCACATGATTATGATTGATTGCTTACTGCTGTCGTGGCAGATCGTGACAGACGCATCCCTCTCCTTCTTGACAAAGCATACATAGTAAATTGGAGAAGCCGAGTCCAAGGATTGTCGGAGGATTGCAAGACCTCTCCATACATGTGGCGCTACGTCTCCGCTTCCGTTGCAGGTTTTGTTCTGGTCGTGAATATGGAACTCCAACTCTGGGTTGGTGATGCCGTAGGATCCAACAAGGAATTTTCGGAAAGACTGCATCAAAATCAGCAAGTATACCATAGGCGTGTTACATGCGTTGAATCAGTACAGTGAAATCCATCACTTCTTCTGCCGGCACCTGATCGGCAGGTTCATGGTCGTGTCCTTGGCCTGTGAACAGCGTAAATCGTATGCGACCCATTATCAATGTTCGCGGAACGTTGTACTCGGAACTTCAATGGACTCTTGGAATTTGGAAGAAGCGTCTACGCTGCTTATTATACTTTTAAATTTGCAGTGTGGGTCCTATTACACAGTATGTACCACGGATATTTTAAACCCTGAGCGCATAGCAATAAAATTTTCCATTTAGATAACCGGGTCCATCTCCGTCAGAGACCCAATCTATCCAGTCTCAACCAATGTCTTGCCTCCCTCCCCCCATTTTTTCCCCTGGTAGGACCGGAGAGATATCCCACGATGTCGCGGACTGGCAGGATGTGGCCGATAGTCACAACAGCTTTGTTTAAAGTTTGCTATTTAACGCCCACCCTTTATAAGAAAAGGCCTCAGTGTATCGTCAGATAGGTAAAAGAATCTGTGATGATATAGTTGTGTTGCACCTTAAATGCGGGGATGGAGGAACTTGAGTTGTCAAGAAGGAAGCTTGGCGACATGGTTCTGTTGTCTTTCCTCGTTTTCGCCCCCATAAGGAAGCCAATCGCGCCGTCGCCTTGGAAGCCTCTTTTAACATATTTAAGACGCCGCGCTCGATGTGGCTTGCGATAGCGCTGATTCAGATAGCAAATACCCACCATAAATATCCAGCCTCGTGCCAACATCTCCATCTCCCACCAAACCTCGGCCCTCCCTCCCTCCCTCCCTCCTTCCCTCCCGCCAACCAAAAAAAAAAAAAAGACATGAAAAAGTCCTAACCACACTTCCACCCCCCTCCTCAACACCAAAGAAAACCATGGCTCCTCAACACGCCTCCCCACCCGGACCCGCGGACACGACGCCCTTCCGCGTCATCTGCGCCGGCCTCTCCCGCACCGGCACCGTCTCCCTCTGCACCGCCCTCTCCCACCTCCTCAACGGCCCCGTCTTCCACGGCGGCATGCAAATGCTGCACGGCGGCGCCACGCGCCAACGCCAACTCCTCTCGCTCTGCCAGCTCGATCCGTCCCCGTCACCATCGCCGTCTGGCCGCGACACCCTCGACCGCGCACACGCCCAGCACCTCCTCGCGCAGCTGACGCAGGGCTACGTCGCGGCCGCCGACATGCCGCTCAACATGTACGTCGGCGAGCTGTGCGACCTCTACCCGGACGCGAAAGTGATCGTCTCGACGCGCGAGAAGGGGGCGTGGGTGAGGAGCTGGGGCCCCGTCGCGGGGCTGGCGTCGACGTGGTATTTCAAGCTCCTCTTCTGGCCGCTGCCGCACGTGCGGCGCTTCCCGGACATTGTGGTGGCGCTGGGGGAGCGGATGCACGGGCGGCGAGGGCGCGACGGGAGGATGGTGAGGCGGGAGGCGTTGTATCCCGGTATGTGGGAGGTGAGGGAGGATGTGGAGAAGAGGTTTGGCGCGCAGTATGATGGGCATGCGGAGTACCTGCGGCGGGTGGTGCCGGAGGAGAGGTTGCGGTTTTTTGATGTCAAGGATGGGTGGGGGCCGTTGTGTGAGATTTTGGGGGTCGAGGTGCCGGATGTGCCGTTTCCGCATGAGAATGATTGGGAGAGCTTGCAGGGATCGGTGAAGGGGCTGGTTGTGCAGGGGATTGTGGTCTGGGCTGTGATCTTTGCTGGTGTGGCTGTTCTTGTGCGAGTTTTGGTGAGCCGTTATGGGGCATCCTAGTTGTAGCAGCACGTTGGAGTTGCAACATCAGCTCGAAATATCACGATGCTTGAGGATAGACTAGGAAATCTCAGAGGCATTGGCTGAAGCGCCAACCACTTTGTTAATTTGGTAATGAACAGCTGGTAGTTTGACAGTTTTGATTTTACTTGTAGCAATTTACTCGCGCATACGCTCACCAGATTGTAGTTAGCGACTAATCGAAGTTTGGGGAGGTATGATTGACAAACTATCAGGTGGAATCTTCCAGTGCTCCTTCCGCTTCCTATTTGCCTCCGTTTGTTCTACGCTCATTGTTAGCCCCTCGCAATATATATATCCTCATTTGCCTGCGGGCGCTCTATAGACCATCCCACGTCCATTTTTCGATAGCATATCTTTGGAATCAACATGGGCCGAATGCGGTATACCCGGTTTACAGGCGACGGGAAAGATTATGGCCACATTGAAGGGGTGCAAGCAAGCGATACAATGGAAAACTTTACTGTATGGTTCAACACACGCAACACGTTTAAGTTGTACTTACTAATATTATTGTAGCATTTCCGAAAGTACATTGCCAAGTCCTGGGAAATCACTGACCCGCACTTGAAGGAATTCCATATTCACGATCAGAACAGCACCTGTAATGAACGTGGAGACATCAACCCAAAGCAGTGGGAGGGTCTTGTATCTGTACAGCAAGACCTCGAGACAGATTCCGACACCGTCTACTGTCTTTGCTTTAAACAGAAGTCGAGGCAAGGATCCGGCTCGATTGATTTCTATGACAGCAGCAGTAAGTAATCGATTACTTTTACGATGAAACAGAATTTACTGACGAACAAATGGGCGAAGGGTCGTTCGAAACTGCACCGTCTGAGGTTCAATCACTTGTCTCCCTGGGTCCCTTGGCCGCAGGGAGCAGCTTCACACCATCCACTCCCCGCCGTTCGCCATCCATTACCTCCCTCATAACGGATCCGCGTTCGGAATTTTCCTCGGTCAATGCGCCCAAAAAGCGCCCCAGTCAATACAGCCTGCGCGAGCATGCGGTGAAGAATCTTCGGCTCAAGGGTAATCGTAGGACAAGCGTTTATTCAGAATCTTCTGATGAACGAACTCGAGACTCAGCTGGCCCCGACCAAGTGGTGGACGCAGGCGAGGCACAGAACAGGGTTACTCCGAACGGCGACGATGATGGATCGGAAGTCGAAGCAAAGGCTATTCGTGCGGCTCGCCAAGATGATGGGAAGAACACAAAGTTCCTGGTAGGGATGCTCATCGACGGTACCAAAAGGGCAGTGTTCGTTCATCCTAAACCGAATCGTCTAAGGCACTTCATTCTGGAACACAGCACCCAAGACAATCCACGTGGGAGTAGAAAGAAGATCGTACAGGTCAGAGTAGAGAATGTCAAGTACGAAGGTGTCTTCGAGAAGTATCAGAACGATCGACCGGCATTGCACAGGAAGTTGTTGGAGAATCTCTCGATAGAACCTACGGAAGGCGAGAGCTCCAAATCCCAGCAGGGCACAGGGGATCGTCCTGCAACACGAGCCAGTTCGGTATCAATGGAAAGTGAAAATAGCGCTCGGAGGACTAGGAGAAGCGGTCATCCTACCGAATCTCGCCATGAGGGACGCCATCTTCCGATACGCACTTCTCGATTGACGCAGGATCCAGAAGACAACAACGAGGAGCAACTAGGTATGTGTTCCATTCCTGTATTCGAATGTAGCCTTTGAAGCTAACGAAGGTTTCGATAAAGATGCGCCACTAGTTGAAGTTCACCTCACTTTCTTGAGCTTCGACGACCTATCCGAGCTTATCGAACTGCAAGAACGGGAGTTCCCCATTACAGCTACTATCCAGGATGTTCTCGTTACAGCAAAACGCATTCTCCGCGATGAGACATCGCTTCATGACTTGCACATCGAAAGGGTTAACATTGTAAATGTGAAACCTTCTATCGCCATATCAGAAGTCTGGGAGAAACGGCGGAACTTAGAGCATTACCTCCCAAGAGGTCATCGAGGAAATATTCTCCATGAGTTGGACGTTCAGACAACGTGGACGTGGACGGATGACCCTTCTCACGGGGGTCATGACGGTGCATGAACCAGTCGGCTACATTCAAGGGGTTGTTAACTTGGGAACAATTTGTGCGGAATGGGAAGGTCATAGCAGGGGGAGGTTGTTTCAAAAAAAGGATTCAGAAATGCTGTTATCGTTAGAGGATGTTTATGCACTGGATTTCTGGGAATATCATTTTACGGCGTTGTTCTTTAAGTACGGCTTTCACTCATTTTATTTCCTAGCAGCTTCTCTTTTGATTCATTTCATTTCCTAGCAGTTACTTTTCCTACATAGAACTTTGTCGAATGTCAATCCATGCCAGTGTGCAAACAAATACTATGAATCTTCATAGAAATGCTACAGATGTCATACTCCGCAAATGAAAAGTGATGAAACAATCAAGTCTCATCTATTCGATCCGTGAAAATACAGCCAGGCTTTCCAGAAGCCCTCCAACGCCGTCATGATATTCTTACTACACGTACAAAAGAGCAACTGCTATTCCAGCAGCGCGGGTATCTAACTTTTCCTTCCTTTAACTCGACCCCCTCCACCCCCCTACGCTCCACTCACCCACTCCTCACCGACTCCAACGCCCCCATCCACTCCCTCCTCTCCCCCTCCGTCGACGCAGCCAACAAATGCACAACCCCCTCATTCTGCACGAAAAACGGATACAACTCCGTTCCACGAGGCAAATCGTCCATCACCCCCGCCTTCGCCGGCTTCCTCAGGGACCCCGAAATCGAGCACTCCACGCCCCGCGATGGGATCGGCTACACACTGCGTCAGCAAACCATACCACCTCCAAACCAACGCGAGAGAGAGAGCAAGAAACATACCTTCTCCACCCAAGCCCCCACATCGACCTTAAACCCCTTCTTCCCCGCCGTGACTCCCGGCGCCACCCCCGACGCCCTCTCCCACCGCCCGAAAAACACGTAGTTGTCCATCACTACCCCCGTCACCGGCTTCCACGGGCCCTTCCCGCCGACTCGCCCCGCCAGCGGCCCCATCCGCACCACCCGCCGTCCGTCCGCCAGGAAATCCAGCTGCTCCAGCAACGCCGGCTGCCCGCCTAGGCGCCGATGCAACTCGTGCAGGTCCGCGACGTGCAGCGCGGCGCGGTGCGCGTGGGTGCACGACGCGTGGAGATGCTGGAGCTGTTCTTCGATGGCCGCTGCTGCCGCTACTGCCGCTGCTCCGGCAGCATCATCGTCGCCGTTGGAGGAGGAGACGGTGATGGCCTTGCGCAGCCGCGCCGCGAGCTGCACGTACGCGTCGAGCCGGCGCAGCGGCTGGCGGAGCAAATCGTCCAGGCTATGCGTGCGGCCGAACGTCTCGACGAAGGCGGCGAAAGCCGGATCATACGCGTCGTTGCCAGGTTCGCAGCGGGCGCGGAGGGCGGAGGCCGTATCCGGGTGCTGTGCGAAGTATGCGGTGTAGGCCGGGGAAGCGGCTTTGAGGAAGCGGCGGAGGGATTTGAGGAGGAGGTGCGGCGTGGGCGTTCCGGCTGCTTTGGCGCGTTTGAGGGGCTCGACGAGGTGCTGGGTGCTGGCGTGGCGGATGAGCGCGGTCTGGTGCAAGGCCAGCAGGGCGGTCCAGATGGCGGGCCAGCGGCGGGTGAGGGGCTCTTCGATGAAGGTGTGGAGGATGGTGAGTTTGTTGAGGAAGAAGGTTTCGGTGGTGAGGAGGTGTTGGTGAATGGAGTCGAGTTCGGGGTTGGGGGTGGTGGTTTGGAAGGAGGTGGTGGAAGGGGAGCAGAGGCTCTCGACTAAGGTGTTGGCGTCGTCGTCATCGTCGTCGGGCTCGGATGCGGAGTCGATGGTGTTGGGGAGTGAGATGGTGGAGTTTGTTGCGGGGTTGGAGCCTGTTGAGAAGATGGAAGGTGCTGCTGTTGTTGTGGTCGAGACGCGGGAGATGGTGTCTGTGTTGTCTTCAGAAGCGGTGGAGAGAGTAGCCAGCGTGGACATAGAGGCAGAAGGCATCAAGATGTGACGTCCAGAGGGCAATGGCTTTCTTTGTACCCGAGGCAGATTGGTTCGGGGGGATTCCCAGGGCGGTGTCGGGATGTTCCAAGGTTTTCCTGGAGGTATGCCTGCACTTCCTGGAGGAGTCATATCTTTGCTGGGCTTTCTTTCTGTAGGAATCGAGGGCTCGCTGGAAATGGTTCCCATGCTCCCCTTTCTATCAGGTATGTCAGGCTGGACCGTGTTCTCTTTCAGCTCGGTTGCTGTCGTCGAGAAGCCTTTTTCAATGTCCTTGTCTTTCGATATGTCTGCCTCGTCTTCCGAATCTTGATCCTCCTCAATCTCCTGCTTGATACTCTCAAGCTTCAACGTTTCAACATCGGGAACAGTATCTGAAACAGTATCAGGAACAGGCTCGGAAACGGTCCTACCTGTCGCGGGGCGTTTCTGCGCAGCAGCCAAAGCCCGTCTATACGCCTTCGAATTCACCACCGCATCGTCGAACTCAAACTCGGTCTGATCAATAGTCGACGCCGAGACCGAAGGCGTTCTACCCAACACGCTATCCCTATCCCGCGAAAACACCGACGAGACACGGATGCGCGGATGCGTCTCCCGGAGCGAGCGCGAGCGCTGAGCGACCTGCGAGATCTTCTGGTTGCTGTCACGAACGAGCTGCTTGAGCTCCTGCAGCGACTGGAGCTGCAGCATCTGGATGAGCAGGTTGAGGGCCATCTGCTGGCCGCGCAGCTGCGACAGGAGGTCGCGCATCGTGTCCTCGCGCCAGATGAACCGGCACCGCACCTTCCACGTCATGATGTTCGTATCCGCATCGCGCGCCCCGGCGGCCAGCCGCTGGATTTCCTCCTCCAGGCACGCGTAGACGATGGTGCAGCCGCTCAGCGCGTTGTCGAACGTGTCCCGCAGCTCCGGCCGGTTCGCGAAGTGCGAGTCGAGGTCGTTGGAGGCGCCATCGCGTAGGAGGAGGCTCTGGATTTGCGCGAGTGACGCGCTGATGACGGAAGATTCGGTGCAGATGGCGTTGATGGTGTTGTGCGCGTTGTTGTACTTGTCGCGCAGGTCGCTGAGCGACTTCGCCGTCGTGAGGACGCAGCTGGTGATGTTGACCTGTCGGAGGTGCCTGTCAGCTCCGCATCTCGGACCGCTAGTGTGGGGAAGCGATCAACCAGCTTACCACTGAGTACGTTATTGTGATAGGGTCAACCATTGTGAATGATTCGCCCGCTGCCAAGCGGCTTGGAAGGTGGAGAGCTCTTTTGAGGATCGGAGAGAGTTGCGGAAGCTATCTCGTTGAAACATCAATCCGTTTCGTGGGGGCCGTGTGAAACAGCCAGGAAACCCCCGTCGTATCGCCGGGAACCATTCCATCGGCGCGCGCTATTCGGATCCTCCTCGCTAGATGTACCCATTTTGGCTATTCCGCATCGCTATCCGCCCTACACCATACATGAAGAGTAACTAGCATACAAAAGAAATCTATCCAGCGTTTGTCCGGGAATTGCACCCTTGAACATCTATATCCAAGCAACTGTTCCAATCACTGTATGTATCCATGGCCAAATCATCTTGCACGCTGGCAAGACCCACCTGAACCGTCAGCTCTTCTCACCGCTCCCTAATCGCAATGACCTCGCATATATCGCCAGCCTTGCAGGCTTCTGTCTTCAACATGAGTCTTTCAACATGGAGATCATTCGCAATCGCCTCCCACCGTTCGAGCATCGCCCATTGCCCGACTATTACATACGCGTCGTCCACATTCTACCCTCAATCCTGTCGGCCGCTCCTATCAGATGCCGCATTGCCGTGCACCACGATCGACGCGAACGTCCAAAATATGAGGCGCTATCGTACGCCTGGGGCGATCCGCAAGACGGAGAGCGGACCATATTTGTCGACGGCCGGCCCTTCGTAGTTCGCCTAAACCTGTGGCTATTTTTGAAGCAATTGAGGAAGCATCGCTCTGTTCGGGTGGTCTGGGCCGACGCACTTTGCATCGATCAGAGCAACACTCAAGAGAGGAATCATCAAGTCAAGCTCATGGGCGACATTTATCGGCACGCCGAGCGGACCCTCATTTGGCTTGGACCATCGGACCAACACAGCAACCAGCTGTTCAAAGCTATTCCAATGATCGATCAGCTATTGCGCCCGCATTGGGACTTCTACGAAGAAGTCAGTTTTCGCTACGAGTTCAACACTGAACAACCAATTCAAGAGGACCCAATATTCAAGGGCGTGCGGAGGGTAGCTAGACGGTGCAATCTTTCGGACCTCCGGGCACGGGGCAAGTTGTCCGAATGGGAAGAAGGAAATTTACCACCCGAGGAACAAACTGTGTTGGAAGACTGGTACCGAAACGCTTTGGAAACTTCCTCCAACAACTCAAAAAGACGAAAGAAAAAGCAAACTCATCCAGTGGCGAAATCGGCCCGCCCCGTGAGAACAGACTACCAATTTTCAGTGGACACCGAAGGTCTAGCACGACTATATGCGGAGATACAAGTATTACCGCCGGACGATTTGATCTTGAACCGGATTCCCAAGCAACTAAAGGAAAATTTGAATGTCTTCTTCGCCAGGTATCCCTTCCTGTTGAAGGCTCTCTCCGACCTCTCCGTACGGCCTTATTGGGAAAGACCCTGGGTTGTTCAGGAGATCATGTTATCCCATCATGTTGAGATATTCTGTGGTTCCAAGGTTGTCTCATGGAATGCTTTGGCCGTTCTGCTGCGCAGTTGCGAGTCGCCTACGCATGAAAATGGGCAGCATGTAGTAGCCAACAATCCATGGTCAATCTACCGTGAATTGCGAAAACGACACGAGGTGGTGACACTGGACAGCACAGAGAATTCCGTTGGGTTCAGAAGACTCGAACTTATCTTGGACGCTTTTGAGACGTCTCTCTGCGTTGATGTACGGGACAAGATTTACGGACTACTTGGACTATTTGAAAATGCACCTCTGGAGCCGGATTACTCAAGGACGCCGATCGAGTTGTTTTCGGGACTGATGGCGCAGTTCAGCCTAGAAATTCACAAGGAACTTCCAGAAGACCGCGCGATATCTGACTTGCTCCGTGTGGGAAGGCTATTGCAGCGCGTCTTGAGACTGCATGTAGAGCACCCAGAAAGGGGCGCCAGATCCGATGGATTCGGAAACATCGCAAAAGTCCCAGGGCTTATCGTTGGAAGAGTTTTGGCAATGGAACCGAATGTCTCGAGTCACGAGGTGGCCCCGAGCGCATTCATCGATACCTGCATACATTCGATGGCAATCGGACCATCAACTCACTCAAACCTCTTACAACATGTCCAGGAGCTACAAGGGGTCCTTGCTGGTCATTCAAATAAGGCATTAGGCTGCGCTGATTACTCGCAATTCTTGATGAACTTCAGCGAATCTGATCAAACGAATCGAACCCTTTCGGTCAAGTACTCTCCTAGAGCGGAAATGGGCACGCCGATCAAACAAAAGAATCATCCAGTGCTTACCGACGCACTCTTTTGGTTTGCCCATTCAGGTGGATCCGTCGGTGTATCTGATGTGCACGTTGAAGAGGGTGACCTCGTTTGCAACTGCAATGGCATCGGCCCAACACAGGCGCTGATTTTGCGCGAGTCCTTTTCTGGGCTTCAGATTGTTGGAAGAGCTATTATTTCACCCATTTCATCCGAGAATGGTGGAGCATCCAATTCCGAAGAAATCAATGACCAAAACATGGTCAATGGGCAAGGTCTGAAAGTTACATTTGACGCTATATCTTTACTTGCTCTTGTTCTTCTCCCATTTCCTTGATATGATTTTTTCCCTTCTCAACGGCATTGACTCAACATTGTATCTAGTCCTACTTATTATGTTTAGATTCTGCAAAAAATATATGAGAAAATTTATTTCTCAGACAATATTACGTCCCGATACTGCTACGAGAGCTATGACAGTATTTTCTTTTTAGGAGATGCTGCAAACAAACGTATTGAGAAGTAGTCATTTTCTTGCAATTTGCATATCCGTAGACTGGAAAATCTTTGGACAGATACAGTGATGCTAGGATTACGCTACATCATTGCCCACTAATCGCCGAAGTATGGCCCCATTTTAGCACCAACCCTCAATCTCCGGCTGTGTTGAATTAGCATTGTTCCAATCTATAAAAGTCTAGAATCTTACCTTGCATTCGTTAATGGCGCATGTCGGACCATCCTGTCTGCAGTATTCACAATCGGCACACTACAGAGAATTAGCAGAGAGCCGGAATTATCTAATGAGAAGACTTACCGCGACTGCCGAAACAGAGACGACAGAGGCCAAGACAACAGAGACGACGGCGAAGAAACGCATTTTGTTTAGAGGGTCAGAAGACGTGATAGATGATTGAGAACTTTCTTTGGTTTATTGACGACAGAGAAGCTAGTTAATGGACTATTATATACATCTTGATTGCGCGAGATTACTTCCTATTTGAAGGCTAATAGTCGGCAACTCACCACGTAAGCTCTCCACCAAACACGAACTTGTAGATGAATCCACGTGAGGCATTCCACTAATGTTTCGCTGTTAACTAGGCCGTTGACTACAAGCGTAAGGATCAACGTCGGAATGTCGGCTATAGTTGTTTCATCTACAACCCTACGATCTCGATGGTTTAGCCTGCGGCAACCCATTACGCATGGTGACCTGACAAACGTCTCGCACGGTCCGGCGGTCCGCAACGACACATCAAAACTTGGCGCGGGGTTGACAACTTTTGTCTGCACCACTCTCGTGCCACTATAATCCGACTGGTGGCCCAACACTGCGCTAATACTACTGTAGTAATTATGCAATTGCTTCTTGGCTCTACGTTCGTCGCAGTCTGGCCAGAAATGAAGGTAATCCTACCACCACTGTGAACAGCCTGTGCAACTGTGGCTGCTCTGGTGGAGAAGCCACAGCAGTGGTGGAACACGTTCCATGCATCAGCTCCGATGGCTTGATTCTTGGCAAACATACTTTCTCCTGTGTTCAGCTTGTCGATGATGGATAAGTGGGCAATATCAGCCCAGCCACTGCTTTCTACATGGCATACCGGTGCAGATACCACGTTATACCTCCGTGAGTACGAAAATCTTACGTTTGTACGGTCTTCAACCTCGTTTCCGTTCGCATATCTGCTTCAAATGCTCACAAAGTAACGACATGGTGTCCCCTGTAGAACAAGACTGATGAACTCTTCCACAGCTCACTGCGCCCGTTTACGATGCATGATCATGTGACAGCGTTAAGGCTGACTCATTTGGCAGGGGCATTGCGAACGACCGTATTTCTTCAGAACATCCGATGCAACCCTCTGCTCACCCGTGCAAGACTCACAACTTCAAAAACTCTAAATCTGTCCTTCGAAGGAGAAACCCGCATCCGCTCAGGCAGACACTTTCCGGTAGGCGACGGCCCCCCCTCGGCGAAAGGCGACGTCCGCAGCGTCCATCCACCACCGCCTTCCTTTGCCTGTCGGGCGGTGGTGGCTCGGCGAAAGGAATCGGCCTAGTACACACACACACCGAAAAAAAAAATAGTTTCTTAAGAGAGAGGGCCGAAAAAAGAAGACCCATGACCTCACAGCCCTTTTCAATTACAGAAACCGGACGGACATTCCGCCTCACGTGGCTGGCCGACCCGGACCGAACCACCAATGGGAACACAGGACCTGGGATGCCGGAGCAGGGGGACCTGAGTCGAGTATGACTGTGCTGAATAGCCACATGGGGTGGCTGAAGTGAGACCCCGTAAGCGGGAATGCGGTTTCTGAGATTACCCTATCAGGAAAAAGGGTCGCCTCTCAGCCCTGCAGAGACGAAGGCACGTCATGGATCTCGAGGGACACGGCGCCTACCGCTGAGCTAATAGTGCAAAAAGTAGAAAGGCGGCTAATTGTTGCAGGATCGGCCGCGATACGGGTCGGGCCACACACGGCAAGGATGTAGGCGATGATTTGGGGGCCATTCGGCACTTGTGTATCCACACCACCCCAGGTGATTGGTTTGCGAACGTGACCACCGCCACACTTGGCCCAACATTCTATAGGCGCCGGCAGGCCGTTTATTTTGGTCGTGCGTGCCGATCCTGAAGGATCTTGGGTCTCTCGCTGTGGCTTAACTGCATTAATACTTCCCTTTGCGGGCATGATGGGCGGCCTAATTCTCCGGCTGTGGCACTGTCAGCTGTACCTTGCAACATGTGGTGCACATCGGACTTTGTTTTTCTCCTTCGGACTCTCACGCAGGTCCTCAAGATTGGGGGTTTCGAAATACGCGGAAAGAAGTACAAGTCCTGGAGGAGGCCGCAAGTAGGCAAGAAGTCCGTACGAGAAGTCCGCCCATTAGGCAGCACGTTTGAGGCCTGTCGTCCACCGGGACGATTTTTGGAGGATACAAGCGATGTGGCGCACCAACATGAACACCGGACATCGCGAATTTGGACAGGGCGCAGCAACCTCATGAGCCATCGGAGGGCGGAATCCAACATGTTGCCTGTTCCTGGTCGCTGAAGGAGCCTCAATGCGTCAGACGAATATTTTGCTGTTCTGCAGGACGACATGCTGATATATAACGGCGGGTGCGGCACAGTGGCCAAAAGATGACCAAAGCAACAAGCAGAAAGCAAATCGCAACGAGCCTTTTCCTTGAAGATGTTATCTCAATTCCTTTCTACTCAGCTTAGCTGGGCCACATGGTGTCTGTTGGCTGTATTGTTGTTAGCAGCCGCTCTGATTTACTCGTTCATCTATGAGGACAGACCTTATCCAAACATCCCAATCGTGGGGAAAGTGCCATGGGATTTCCTGAACATGAAGACCAAGGAGCGCTTCGTGCGGTATGCCAATGAAGTTCTGGCTCAAGGCATGGCAGAGGTCAGTCAATCCACTTACCCATACCAACACTCGTTTCTTTTTGTCCAGCTCCCATCCAGCCAGCCACCACATCCAACTGACACACCACCGCAGCACCCCACCCGCCCCTTCCAAGTCAACGGCGCCAACGGCCCCCTCATCATCCTACCAGCCGGATTCGCCGAAGAAATCCGCAACGACCCACGCCTCTCCTTCACCGGCGTCATCGAGCAAAACTTCTTCCCGCACTATTCCGGTCTCGAAATCTTCAGCCCGATCGGGCCGGGCAACGACATCCTGCAAGAGGTCGTGCGCAAGCACCTGACCCTCTCCCTGGATACCCTAACCCCGGCCCTCTCCGACGAGATGGCCGTCGCTACCGCCGCGCTCCTAACGCCTAACGCCGGCGCCGAAGGCAACAACAAGTGGCAGGCGCTCAAGTTCTTCCACGTCGCGCCCGAACTCACCGCACGCGTCTCCTCCCGCGCCTTCCTCGGCGCGCCCCTCTGCCGTGACCCGACCTGGCTGTCCATCAGCGTCAAGTACACGATCGACTCGTTCTTCGCGGTGCGGGCCCTACGCGTCGTGCCGCCAGTCCTCCGGCCCATCGCGCACCGTTTCCTGCCCGAGATGCGCGTGGTGCGTGACGAAGTCAAGGCGGCGAAGCAGGTCGTCGGGGCGGAAGTGGAGTTGCGGCGGACAGCGCGGTTCGAAGCGGAGATGCGCGGCGAGGAGGTCAAGAGCGACGACGCCATCGCGTGGTTCGACGAGGTGGCGGGCGAGCGCGAGTACGACATTGTGCGCGAGCAGATGATGCTGAGCGTCGCGGCGATACACACGACGAGCGTGACGCTGATGGCGCTGCTGTACGACCTGGCCGAGAACCCGGAGTGGATCGAGCGCGTGCGCGAGGAGGTTGTGGCGGTGTTGCGTGAGGATGGCGGATGGAGGAAGAATACGCTGTATAAGATGAAGTTGCTGGACAGCTGCATGAAGGAGAGCCAACGGCTGCATACGGTTGGAGCGCGTGAGTATACCTCGCCCACACTTCTCCCTGTTAGAACAATTCACTGACAGCAACACAGTCGCCATGAACCGCCGCGTCGAGCAAGCCATGACCCTCTCCGACGGCACTTACCTGCCCAAAGGCGCCCTCCTCGGCATCCCCACCTCGACCATGCGCACGCCCGGCGGCCGCTGGGGCGGCGACGCGGCCCGCTTCGTGGGCGACCGCTTCCTCAAGCTGCGCGAAGAGTCCGGCGGCAGCGGCAACCGCTTCCAGTTCGTCAGCACGTCGGCCGACCACATGGGCTTCGGTTACGGGCGACAGGCCTGCCCGGGCCGCTTCTTCGCCGCCACTCAGATCAAGGTGACCATCATCCACCTGCTTCTCCACTTCGACTGGCGCTGGGAGGAGGGCAAGGGCCAGCCGCAGAGCGTCATCCAGTCCGAGCATATCCCCGACCCGGAGGCTGAGATTCTGTTTAGGAGGAGGACGCCTGAGGTGGAGTTGTAAAGGTTTTTTGACTGTATGAGCGTTTTCAACGTGTTCTCCCCTCTGTACATCATGGAGCGGTACCTTTATTGCATAGCGTGGGCGTTGGAGTTTGGCTTGTATAGACCGTTGAGACGGTAGAATTGGTCGCGAGACGCATATGATGGATGGCGTTTGGGTCTGCTTTCCTGTTGTTACAGATTCAGCTCGTTTTTCGCTGTACACGACCCCTCTTCATATTAGCATCTAAAGTACAAACAAAGATATCCTGGAAGATCCGGACGGGAATGTTGAGTAGATAGTTCTGCAATTTTATGCGAATAGAAATTCCACTTTGTTGAAGCTTGTGAAATGCCTCAGTTTTGCTGTTTCTCGTGCTCGCCTCGGAACTGTATCACCGGTTCGCTGTTTGGGACTTCTTTGAATATATCAGTATATTAAGGGTATCGTTATCTTATCTTTTCCAGCTGCATAATACTCCATCTCTTCATAATCCATGATACATCAAACCATCTTCACCACCCTGTACAGTTCCATTAGCCTTTCTTCCAGCCCTCCCTTTAAACCTTCTCGACGTACACCGCACCCTCCTTCTCATCCTTTCCGTGAGTGTGGTGGAGGGGATCGATCTGCTGACCGTACGCATCGACGACGGTAGAGTGAATGTTCTCCTCGAAGACGTTGACCTCGGTGGTGGCGAACTTGCGGGCGCTGACACCCTTCTCGAACAGAAGGTCGAGTTCGGCAAAGGAGCGTCCAGAGGGCTCGGGGAGACGGAAGTAGGTGTAGATGATGCAGCAGAAGCAGATTCCGGCCCAGAAGAAGCCAGTGTAGTTGCCCCAGTCCCAGGCACCGGGGTTAAGCATGTACGGGGAAAGGACACCGCAAATGATACCTGATCGAAAGTCAGAAATTTGGAAACCACAGGGTTCTCTGTTAAGAACTTACCAACAACGTTGTAGAGGTTCCTGCCCAGGACAACGGTCTTGACCTGGAGACGACGGCTGGAAATTTCGGAGACCAGGGAGTAGGCGACACTTCCGACGGAACACTGGTAGACCATGGCCCAACAGATCATCATGGCACCGGTTCCCATGGAGGCAGCCTCGCGGTGGGCCTCAGGGACAAAGCCAAGGCAGCCCATGACGAAAAGCATGATGAAGAGGCCGATCAATCCGTAAAAGTACAGCGAACGACGTCCGATACCCCAGGACATCAGGAACCACGCGCAGAACGTTCCAACAACGTTGATAGCGTACTGGACAAACGTCAGTGAGGTGTTTCATCAATCCAGAGTTTGTCTACTTACTTGACCCAGAGCAAAAGAGTAAGAAGTAGAGGTAGGAAGACCGGCTTGCTGAAGGAAGTATGTGGAGTAAGAGGAGAAGGCATTGCCGGAAAGATTCTGCATAGCCCAAACCATACAGATAATCTCGGTACGGCGCCTATCAACACCCTTGAAGCAGTCCATGTAAGTTGCGCCAGCCGTCGACTCGCTTTCCAGGGCAGTGGTGTGGGTAATCATAGCAATAGTGTCGTCGACATCGAAATCAGACTCCCGGTTAAGGCTGGTAAGGCGCAAGAGACTCTTCTTGGCCTCTGCAACCCTGCCCTTGCGGACGAGCCACCAGGGAGACTCGGGAGCGAAGAAAATGATGACGATGAGAGGGACAGGCCACATCCACTGCAAAGCGTAGGGAATGCGGAAAGACCACTCGTCGTTGCGGGGAAGCATCGACTTGATCACACCAACACCGATGAGCTGACCGAAGCCCCAGCAGATGTTGACGTAAGTAGTCAAGTAACCACGAAGGGCAACGGGAACGACTTCCGAGGCGTAGGTGATGGTGAGCGTCTGGAAGACACCCCATGGAATACCGGCCAAAATCTCGCCAACCTGGAGGGCAACGACGGTCTGGGCAGTGAAGAAGATGGTGATGAAGCCGGTCAGGAACGTGAGGGACACGATGAGAGTCCACCGGTAGCCGAATTTGTCAGAGGCCCAACCATTGATCATCAGACCGATGATTTCGCCAACGTAGACACCGTTGCTGAGACCAGCCTGCCATGCTGCCGGGACCTGGTAATCACCATCGGGAAGCTGCTCGCCGAATTTCCGGTTGAATTCGGGGAAAGCGTAGAAGTTCGACAGGAGACAGGTTTGGTAACCCTGGAGGATTGTTAGAATACTGCGAGAAAAAGAATTGCCTCGGATGACTAACCTCCATGACGATACAGGTCGAGATGGCAACACTCCAAGCAACGGCCTTGGGGTAGAGCTTGATACCCTGGAGAAGAGTCATGCTCTTCTCCTTCTCGGTGGCCAATTTCGCATCATGCTTGAGAACCTCGACCGTCTTGGTGGGCTCGAGGTCCTCGGCGGGGACGGTGGTCGCGATATCGGCCTTGGTGTCGGCCATTGTTGCTGACGAGTCGAACTGGCGCTGGTATCCGGGTGTGGGTGAGGAGGAGCGAAGCAGCTGACCTGGAGCGCTGACCACCTGCGAGCGACGAGGGGGGTCTTATAGGCGACGAGATTGCAGCGATTGCGGGGTCCCACGGGGTAGGGTGTGCGACCAGGCATCCCGGTATGAGCAAATCAGGGCGGACACGGTGCTCTCCGTCTCGGATGTGTCGAGTTTTGGTGCATGGGGATCGTTCAAGGCGCCGCGCGATGCTTCTAGCACCGTCGCAAGCTTGGGCCAGAGCGAGATAGCGACCAGTCGCCGTCAATGCCGACAGCGCCCGTTGAGAGCCGCTGGGACCGAGCCGGCAATTCGATGGATAGTGGGCGGACCGTGCAGCAGTTCCTGTCGGCCGGCAGACCAGATTCGGCTGGTGACTCTTGGCTTACGAGGCCTGGGCTGGTGGAGGCGGACAGCTGCCGACCAGGGCGGGACCGCGTTTTTCCCCGACGCTCACCAGGCCGTCTCCACGCCGTCTTCCCCGCGCCCCGATTTTCCAGTCGATCGAGTTTCCGGCTTCGGTATGACTGCGCGGGCTACTGTCGCCGGGTCTGTCAGCTGCCATCGTCCCGGACCGTGAAGAAAGTGGTGTTGCATGGAATCGATCGACAAGGCGCTGGGCGGCGCTGGGCGTGCGCGGCTTCGTCACAGCGGCGAAAAAGTGCGTGCGGCTTAAGCAGCCACGACGGCGTTGGCGCCCATCCAAGGGCCCGTGCCGGGCCTAGGCGCACGTGATGGCGGCTTATCCGGCCAATCACACTCGCTGGTTGTCAGCTATCGCATACCGCTTCCTGCCCGCCCAGACACCACGACTCGCTCTCTCTTCCGGACGCCACCACAGATGCGGCGACCACTTGCCGACCGGCGCCGACAAACCGCCGCCGAGGTGATAGCAGACACTCGCAATGTTGCCTGTGACACCGGATGCCCGCGTCGCCCTTTCATCTCGCCGTTCGGAGGATGCTGCCGTTTGTGAGAAGGAAGTCATGGCCGTACACTCTTGCTGACTCACTTTCCCCGCTGTAAAGCACCTTCCTTTTTTGTTTCCTGCGTCTGACACGCGTGCGCTCTCCTCTCGACCATGGGTGATGCCACGACGTCACAAACGCCGACCCGTAGAATCAGAGCCCGCAATTTCGCACGGCAAAGCTCGCATCTCCCGCAAAGCCCAAGCGGTGGCTGAAAAGAGGCGTTTTAAGCTAGCCGTATCCCCTTGCCAAGACACGTGGAAACTGATTGCCGACGGGATCATACTCCCTACGACATTCCTCCCCAGACGTTCCCCACGCCCTGAAGGCCACTCGTATTTCACCTTATGCGCCCGCTAGCCCTACCCCGTGGGGAAGATGGACATGGGTCCTGCTCGGTCCGGGGACCGCACCGATCCGCTAAGCTTTTGAGGGGCTTCCGCTCCGCCATGAGCCGCCGGAATCTGTTTCCCTCCCAACGTCAGCGGAATTTCCTTCCCTACAATCGGTCCCCAACCTGCGACGAATCACGAGGGGAGAATTGACCTTCAGCCAATTATGTCGCCCCAAGTTTGCTTCCGTGCTGCTCCGATATGGATCACTTTTGGTGTTGAGATATCCGATAATCGCCGGCTCCTTCCGTGGTAGATTGCATCCTACAGCCACGGTCCGGCATGCGGCAATTGAGTTTCGGGATGCCGTGGCATGGCAAACATTTCTACTGGTCATGCGGAAACGGTGCGGGATCTTCGTAGCTTGTATATGAATCGGTGTTCTCTCTCACCCTCAATATGTCATCAACTCCCCTGTCCGAGTCTCCTCTCGTCCCAACGGTAATATCACTGTGGTCTCAACCACCGTCCCAAACCGTTGATTGCAGTCATCGAGCACTTCCGTAGTCGTTGGCACCAGGCTCCTGGTTTTAGTCCCCATTGTCGAAACAATGGCATCAGCAGGCTTCCTGATTCCGAATACGGACGACATCCTCGCGCTCCAATTCGCCCTCGCAGGAAGACCAGAAAAAGGACCGCTCGAAACACGACCCGGATCGCTGACAATGATACCAACAGACGTTGGCTCCTTAAACAATGATACGTTATTGATCTCGCTTAAAGAATAATCTTGACTAGACTCCTCCTTATAGTCCTTCGGGAACGTAGCCTTGAACTCCTTTCTAAGCCACTTCCTTGCTCTCCTGTTCATACTGTCCTCTGTTGACGACGTCGTTTTCAATTTCACCGGGCCTTGAGATTGCGCTCTGGACATCCGCTTCGAGTAAGTATTTTGATGGGCTCGCTCGATTTCCTTGGTAAAAGCCTTGTGTGCGAAGATAACTGATGGCTCCCCCGCGTTGGGTTCCAATGTGGACACCGTGAAATGACAGCAAGGAGGTGGCGGCAGATCATCCTCGCTCCCTGATGAACAAGTTTCAACGGTTGCCGGAGGTATTCTCCGTTGTGCCAAGTCCACCTTGCGTAGCGGAAATCCCTCATTCGGGTACACACTCCCTTTGTGAGAGTCATTCACTAGTACGGACGACACCGTATGTTGCTTTTAATGGCTGTTAGTAGAATTGTCCAAACCTCAGACGGGAAGCCTGACACGGTGAAGAGTTTGGAACAGGCGTCGGATCCAACTTTGAACAGAGCCAAGAAAAGAGTCGCCCGTATCTGCAGATCAGGCCCTGGAGTAGGTCGGTAGAAGAGACATTTCGACACCCTCTGGATCTACAGATCTCTGTGTTGTGGTGCGTTGACGTAGCATGGCGGCAAGGCTGGTGCAATCATGCCATCTGGTTGTGCCATTCAGAGGGGCGATCCCTCTATTAAGTACTCGGCAACGAGGCTCACTTTGAGACTTCCGAAAGTTTAGCTTTGTCCTTGTACTCCAGGTCCATTAGATCTCCTTGGTTGTTGATAAGCCAATAATTTCGCATGGGTCGTGGGTAGCGCAAGTAAAGAAACCCCTGTTCATACCTCGACAGCCACCGTGCTTCGGCCTCAAGCCCTGTGAAACCACGAAAAGATACCTGAACCAATCGCGTTGCTCATACTTCATCGTTTCGCACGTTCCCCAGCACCATGGCAGCCGGCACGCCTGCATCATCTGTGCACCATTGTATGTGCAGCCGAAGGCTAACTTTTCAATATGTTTGCGAGAAATTAATAATTCGACTTATGCGGAGAGGTGAAGCTATCGTCTGGACGTGAATGTTTAATTATTAATTCTACATTTCCGTCCGGACGATAGCTTCAACTACCCATGATGTGAGCGAATACTAACATTGATGCATCCTTCGAGCTTATGGAATCCGAAATTTAGACTTATACTTCTACAGGGCAATCATAACAGTTGTTTTTCATGTTCTCAGCGCCACAATAGGCGCCGTCTCCACCGCCGTTGCCAACACACTGTATAGACTATTAGATTATCTTAATAAGCTGTTGCTTAAATTTGGGGATACTTACCGAAGTTCCTTTACAACACTCCATGTTCATTGGCCACAATTTGCTACCAACATTGCAGCTGTAACCATTGCAGAACTAGCGGATTAGGAGTGTTAGTGTTTTGCTTACGGGAAGTACGATGAGGAATAGCCACATACACCACAAAAGTCATGATCATCTCTGCACCACGCGGCTGCAACGCCAAGGGCAGATCCAAGGAGAACAACGAGGGAGATGGTATTGAAACGCATATTGTTCAGTGTAGGTCTCCAGAAATATCTGAAGATGTTGATACTGCTGTGTTCAAATCGCAGGAGCGGCCCATTATATATAATCATTTTCGTTTGAGGATAACGGTTTACCTCATACTATTTCAACAATACTCAATACGACTCAACCAGGGTGGTCAATCGTCCGTCCTGGCTCAGTAGCGCTCGCGATTGGTACTAAATCATCAGTCCAATCGCGCGCGCCCAAATGGACGGACGATTAACCCCCCTGGACTCAACGAGACCCTGTTGGCCTTAGACCTTGTTGAGAGCGCAGTTCACGTAAGCGAGTCCGACGAGGCTCCATTAACAAAACACTTGCACTACAAAAGAATTGTCGTTACGCGCAAAACCGCACTTTGGCTTATGAAGAGACGTACTTGTGGTCGACAATTCAGATTAAGAAGAGCGACTTCCTGTGTTGCCAAATCAAGACACCTGCTTCGGGATGAAGGACCGTAAGCGTTCTCTGAGATGTCTCATTGTAGAGTTACCCTGCCTTATAGTATTTATAAGGATTAGGTAAGTCACATGGGTATGCCGGCAAGATACCGCCCATTGGACGTTGGTTGATGAAAGCGTGAAGGTTTATGTAGCGCATCCAACGTCTACGATCTCTGGTAGGATCAGAGGTTGCGTGTTCAAATCGAGCTGGGGGAGGCAAAAAAGACGGTTCCTAATGAGTCTTTCTGCTAGTTCATGCCTGGGAGGGAAATTTGCCTGGGGTGGACTTCAGTTTTGCCATTTTGCTCGATGGTCAGCCAGCCAGGCACGCACGACCACAGTCCCGCGACTTTGCCAGCTGCAGCTACGTTGAATTGCCAATGCCTTTTTTTTTTTTTCCCCTTGTAGTGAGAAACGTGCTGCTGCGTAGCGCAACCGTACTCTTGCCACGTGCGCGGCCCACTTTCTAATGGACATACCGGAACCTAACCACAGCCTCCGCACCCCTGCCCTCCCTCGCTCCCGCGATACCCTTGTGCCTCACCTCACCCTCCATCTCCTCCCTCTCGAACTTCGCATTCTCCTTCTTCAAATGCCGCTTAATCCCGACCGCCGCGACCGCCGTAACGACGCACGCACCGCTCATGACCGCCCCGCCCGCATAGTACCGCGGCTTCTGGCTATCCGGGAACATGTAGCTGGTGTAAAAATGCGCGACGCCGGCACCCATGAAGTTCACAATCGCCAGCGCCGCCGCGCGCTTCGCCCGGGGCCGCGGCAGCGACGCCGACAGCCACGACACGCACAGATTGTACGGCGCGTACGACCCCGACGTCATCAAGAACATCGAGAAGTACCGGGCGCCGGTCCCCGGTGCGAGCATGGCGAGCAGGTTGCCGAGGAGGGAGACGGACATGCAGGCCGCGATGTGGAAGCCGCGCTCGCCGCGCTTCGACGCGTGCAGCGAGACGACCATGGAGGCGATGAAAGCGAAGAAGTAGGGCGGGGCGGTGAGCAGGAGGGTGATGGTGCTGGAGTAGCCGAGGGTGCCGACGATGGACGGGAAGAAGTTGTTGAACGACTGTGCCGTGATGAGGGCCATTTGTTGGAGAGTGAAGGCGTACAGCTTCGGGTCGAGCAGCGCTTGCTTCAGGCCCCACAGCACACTTTCCGAGTCTTCGTCTGGGATGCCGGCGTTTTCTTGGCGGATGCGGTATTCGGCTAGCGCTTGGTGGGCGGGGGACAGCCAGCGGTGGGTGGATTGGAGCGGGTAGTCGGGTAGGATGGGGATGACGAGGAGTGCGATGACGACGGTCATGGAGCCTTCGATGATGAAGAGCCATTCCCAGGCTGGGCGGCCGGCTTTGCCTTCCATTCGGGATGTGACTGCGCGTTGGAGGTGAGTGGGAAGCGTGTCAAGGGAATTGAGCTTAGACGGTTGACTTACTGCCTGCAGCAATGAGACCAGAGAAAGCGGTGGCTAGCATGTTTCCGCCGTAAAGAATGGCGACTCGTACTGGCAGCTCCGTGCGCTTGTACCAGCAAGACATCAAGACGAAGACACCCGGCAAGAAGGGGGCTAAGTGGTCAGTTAAACATGTCATATTACTTTGACTTTTTAGGCGCTTACCTTCTACGAGACCGAGGATCGTCCTAGTGACAGCGAGTGTCGCGAAGTCTTTTGTAAATCCTTGGCACATAGACACGACTCCCCATGCCGACGTGATACCGCAGATATAGTATGATGGTCGGACCTTGCCGATGATGAGATTCGATGGGACCTGCGTAATGACATCTGAGAATAAATCCGTTAGCTCTGGAGACAGTCGTGGGATGGTTCAGCATGATGACCCACAGCCAACGTAGAATAATAGCAGACAAGTGTTGTATTGATTGTTGGTTAGATTGAGCGTCTCAGTTAAGCCCACGATCTTTGCGCTTGCAATGTTATTCCTGTCGATAATATTGAGCAGGAACAGTAGCAGCACGACCGGCAATAACGTGTAGTCGAGGCGCCGAACAAGGCTTCTCTCAAGTCGTCGAAGCTCATCCGGTTCTAAGTTGCTCAGAGAATCCGGCAGAGGCAGGTCATCCGGTAATGGTGCGGCAATTTCAATTTTCTCGATAGCCTCGACAGACTCGGCCTTTACTTGCTGCATCTTGGCTGTTGGACGGGGGTTCGTTGCCAAATTTTGGCTCCAGATACAGTAGACAGCAGGAGCAGTGGGACGACATCCCGACTCAATTTATCTGCCGAAACAACACTCCTTATCACAAAGCCGACGGCTAACAGCTCGGGAAGAAATGCGGAGATGCCGTTGATCAACGCTCGCCTGACGGTGCGGGGAAGCCGGTCCCTCTCCAGTTTTCGGTGCGGGATACCCCACGGGGAGATGAGCTTGCAAGGTGGAGCAGCCGATTTGAGAAAGATCACCGTCGGACATTTATCCGCCAAAGGGAACGAATGAAACACAGGTAAGGGCGCATATCCGATATGCTACTTCTCCCCAACAGAGTGAACGCTCACCGCGCACTCCAATAGAAGCGCGAAACCGACAACAACAACAAAAGCAACACCACTCTTACCCAAACACCTCCATCATAAAATGATACTCAACCCTACTCCCATCCGCCCTCCCCCTCGCAGTCAATGCCCTGCACCGATCCGCCAGGATCTCTCCGACGACCGGCGCCCCGCAGAAGAACACCCCCACCTTCAACCTGCCAGCATCCACATCCACCCCCTGTTCTTCTCCCCGTTCTCCCCGTTCTCCCTGCTCCTGCTTTTCCTTTTCCTTTTCCCTTTCCTTCACCGCCACCAGGTTCCCCTGATACCTCCGCATATCATCATAATGCGCATCCAGTATCCCGACGAAATCAGGCCGCCCGAAGCGCGTCGCGTTCACGAGACCCGTCAGCGGGCTGGCCGGGTGCGCGGGCGTGCGGTGCTGCTCGAGGAGCCAGCGGTAGACGTGGATGGCGATGTCGTCGCGGCGCTGGGTGACGTGCGTGTGGATGCGGATGTCGAGGTGCTGTTCCTGCCGACGGGGTGAGTGACGCGCGTCATCGGCGTCCGGGGTATTGCGGCTGTGGTGTCGGGACGCTTGCGAGCGCGAGACGGTGTTGAGCAGGTCCGAAAACCAGAGGAGGTAGTTGCGGTCGCGCACCATCCAGTGGAAGTCGCAGCGGCGGTAGTCGGGGGCATAGGCGCTGGTGCTGGCGGAGGCGGAGGCGGGGGAGGCGTCGGTGTCAGCGGACGTTTTCTCGTGGGTGGTGGGCGGTTGGGCCGGCGGTGGGGAGGTCAGCGTCGAGCCGGAGTTGGACGTGTTGAGGGTGGGTTTCTCGCCTCCGCTGCTGCCGCTGCCGCCGCCGTCTTCCTCGCTGGACGACGCGCAGCCGTGGGCCTGGTCGTCGCGGGCCTGGAGGTCGGCCAGGATGCCGGAGAAGGGCGTGATGCCGATGCCGGCCCCGACGACGATGGTGTGGGTGAAGTCGTAGAAGCGCTGGGCGGGCGCGCCGAAGGGCCCGTTGATGCCAATGTCGACTGGCGTGGCTGTCCCCTCGCTGTTGGCTAACCCGCGCAAGCGGCCCGTCCAGTCACCGTCCGTCTTGATGTGTAGCTGGAACTCGCGCCCGATGCAGACGGAGACCGTGAACGGGTGCCATTGCCAGAAGCTCAGCTCGGGCACCTGGAGGAAGACGTACTGCCCGGCTTGGTATTTCCAGATGCGTTCGCTTGGTACTTTCGCCTTGATCTCAACGGTCTCTCCGTCGAGGATCTTGACCGTTGCTGGGATGCGGTGGAAGCCAACGGAGATGCGCGTAACTCTTTCGGCGAAGATGAGGAGAGTGGGGAAGGCGAGCCAGTAGCCGAGCATGGGCCATTGTAGGAGAGCGGCCGTGCCATGGGCCATGAGGAGGCCGATAATGGGGTACATAAGCAAGTGACTCAGTTGGAAGACCTCGTAGTTCCACCTACGGATCGGCGGCATGCTGCAGAGCGCAAGGGTCCAGAATAGCCCAAGAGCCGTGATACCGGTCCACCCCGGCACGGATGCGGCATATGCCCTATACGGACGTGGGACAGCGTCAGGCCCGAGGAGGTAGGCAACGGCATCCTGCCTTCCGGGTTGGCTTCCAAACACAAAAGACCCTGTCAGATGGCCGATTGCGTGGAGGGTTGCCAGGGCCAGGGCCACGCAGGATATCTTGATATGGAAATCCTGGGAAAGGTCCCAATTGATGAACCGGGAAATGTAGTATGACTTCCGGAGGAATGTTGAAAAATATCGGCTCATACTCAAAATGACGAAGAAGAAGGTGGGATAGAGAGCCCCGGCACACGTCTTCGCCAGCACAACCCCCCAGCCGAATGCCCGGCGGTATTCGACGACAGTGATGTATTTGACCATTTGCCAGATTCCGAAGGCGAGTTGCATTGAGATGACTAAGGCAATGAAGAGGATCTCCGGGCCATGCACTGCCCAGTAAGAACGCATGCGTCTCCAAACCGACATATCGTGCATGTAATCCTTCTCATCTTGCTCCTCCTTTTTCGACTGTTTCAAAGATGGGATCTCCCATTCTCGAACCCGTTGGGCAAATTCGGCTCTGGGAATGCGGTCCTTATCGGAGCCGATAATGCTGCGTAGGAAGTGATGACGGTCGTCATCGTCTTTACTGTCGTGGTGGAGGTTATGAGGCTTCGGATTTGGTGCAATTTTGGCGTGAACTTGGTCCAATTTGGCCTCTACCTCTTGATAGTCGATTGTTCCATCTCCATTGTGGTCTAGCTCGTCGAGGAATCGGTCAATTTCTTCGTCAGTGAGGAATGCGACACGAGGCATATCGCCAGGGACTGGAGTTCAGAAGGCTGTGAAGCAGTCATAATTGAAAGGAGCACGGCTGTAAATACGGGACAGGCGAGAGCAAGACTGGTCAGGACGCCCAGACGTAGGCCAAGAAGCTGGCTGCTGCCAAGGATCTGGACCATCTGTGGACAACACCAGAAACATGAATGGAACGGCCAAGATGAGAGATTACTGGGGAATCGTCAGTGCGACCAAGCGCTAGGTCAACAAGCGTGCCGTAATTGCCGAACAGAAGCGAGTCTCTGGTGGCTGGATAACGATAGCCTCGCACGTAGAATTAATGCTGAACAACAAAACGTGCTAGATGAAATTTAGCAATGAGCAGGATTGGCATTAGTATAACGTCGGTTCGTTTAATATGACAAAAGATGGGTAGTTGAAGCGTTCATCCGGACGTAAATGTGCAATAAATATGTGAACAAAGACATCCGGACGATAGCTTCACGTCTCCCGATTTGTTCTAATATTAAGCGAATTGGCTTCGTTTCACATCGGGAGAGGGCAGGGGCGTATCAACTGGGCATGTCCACGTAAAGCCGCAGCGCTGAGTCGGCACAGCCGGCAACGACTTCTCTTGGCTCTTGGACGTGACGTCAGCTCGGACTTAAGCTTTCACCACGACCACCGATGCGCACGCCAGTACTCCAACATTGACGACAGCATCGATATCGCCGCCATCAAGCGTAGCATCCCTGTCCGATGCAGTGGCATCCAATCCGGTGATTTCAAACCCAACACCGAACCTACGTGACCAATCACCAGCCAGTTTGGCCAATCCCCGACGGAACTTGCAGCACGACTTGTCTTTTCTATTTTCTCTAAAATACTTGTTCTAGGATATGAAAGCACGCTCAAGGAGAATCGCCTGTTTTTCCCACCATTTTCCAACCATTTTATCCTAATTGTTCTTGGAGACCGGGTACCGCTCCATGATCCCGACACCTGTATCTCAAAGTGCCGTGCCGATTTTCTTCGCGGTTCCCTTCGTTTCAGGAAACAAGAGCAGGGTATATGTCGGATGGCTGCCCTAAGGATTGCTTCGCGAAGTGCTATAGTTTGCAATGCCGGGAGTGCCGAATGGACGGATGGCCGGCTTCGGCGCGGATTGGAGCGTGCAGTTCGCATCCCGCATCTCGAATTAATACTCGAAAAGTTGTAATGACTTGCCAAAAAAGAAAGAAAAGAGAACCGTGAAGCTCGGGTTCTCGTTGCCAGTACAGGCGTGAACCGCATCTTACACCTTCCTCATAAGGTCTCCAATTGTGGTGATGTAGTCGCCTGGGATGACCTGCGCTCTACCGAAATGGATAGGCTGGGTTAAAGACCGGGGATCGACCATGGCCGGGAACCTCCATCGCCTTGCTCGCTTCTTTAACTCCATCAGGGTCGACCTTGTCAGGAGTGACAAAGTCAAAGTTGGGGTTGGATCTCGCTTCGGCTATTTGCTCCAAACTAGGGTGCGTGTCGCAAGGAACATGCTTGTTGGGCAGAATGATCCTGTCAAAGACATAGGAGAACCAATCCGAATCGTGGCAATTTACCCGGAAATCTGCCAAATCCTGCTTTGGTATGCGAATGACCCCGGGACCGTTGCATCCCAGCAAGGCGGGAGACCATTCCAGCCTCATCTTGTCTCTGGGGATCCAGTAACAAAGCTCCTCATCCTGATCGTACAACATGAGAAAGTTCCATACGCCGAATGGTGCCGTAGGGTCCCCACATCCCATCGCATCGACATCGTAGTGAAGAACAAGCGAAGATCCGGCTTCTATGTTCGATCGAAGCTTGATCTCCACAGCCCATTCGACCTTCCCGAACCTACGAATTATAGCGTCACACCCGAGGGGCTGGCACGGATTAAGGTCAAGATAGTATCCTTCTCCCCTTTTCTGAGACATCTCTATGGCCTCGGAAAGGATACTGAAACCGCGGACAGCTGGGACGGGACTAGTGGTGCTGATGTGTCTGTAGTTCACTTCCGCAAGCTTGAAGAGCTTAGGCTTGAATGGAACCTTGACGCCGCTGTGGGGGTTTACATACACCCCTGTAGAAATTGCTGCTTGCCTTACGTTCTCCAGTGCTTCCGGTAGTCGGTAGGCTGGAAATGCTAAGTGGGCGAGTCCAGGAGGGATCCTGCTTGCAAGCATCATATGATCAGGTCGCTGTGTCGGCTTGGTCGTGAGGTGGATCAACGGGCGCGGGATCAATATCAGTGTATCCGTAGCCAGGTCGTACATGTTAATGATGAACTGGCAGTTTTCCTCCCGGGTGTAGTCGCGCGGCGATGTACGGCTGTCGGTTCTTGGTGTAGGATAATCGATAGAGTTCACATCAAAGGGAATCCAATAGCCGCCGCTGGTGTGCTGGTCGGTTCGTTCCTCGGTTCTCTCAGCGGTCTTCTTGCGGACGATGAACGGCTTGTTCTTGAGGGTCTCGGTCATGGCAGAGCCAGCGTAAAGTAATCCGTCAAAGCCGCTTGCCACGAAACACCGGATGACAGGGGAACCAAACGCCCGATGGAGCACATTTGCCTTGACGACGGCCGCCTTTCTGGCCCGCAGGTCATCAGCCCACTGGTTATCGAACTCGCCATCGTTGATCACTTGGAGGCGGAATTCAAAGCCGCCGGGAAGCTGGTTGAGGATTTGCTTGGGGGAATCCATGGTCCTGAGAGAAAGTAAGCTGGTTTGAAGAGCTATGTATGGACAATACTTCGTGATAAGAGGCTAATCAACAGAAATACATACGCAGGTTTACCCGATCGTTAAGGCCGGACCGGGTGGTTGATCGCAGCGCTGGGGTGACGCAGATGGACGAAGGCGAGCTCGAGCGCTTTGCCCAGGACCGTAGATGTTGTGGCAAGGTGTTGGGAAGAAACAGCGCCCGCACATTGGACGATGGCCGGTAAAAGGTCGGTGGAGCTCCTTGGGCAGGTACGCGCACGGACCCGTTTCCCAGTCTAGCAAGCGCACCCATCCTCGCGAGCTCTATCCGCCGCTCAACCTGCGATTGCAAAAGAAACCGACCACATAATTTAGGTGTTACGTCATTAAAAATCGAGGCCGGCTTCGTCGCGGCCGCGGTCGCACATCAAAATCGTTCTCACCTTCCCTTCACTGTCGTTTCAACTACAACTCCACCCGACCGGTCCGTGGTCCGCAATGCAGCTCACCTTCTCCTCTCCGGCAGAGTACCCCTCGGGGAAAAGCGGCACTCGCAAGTTCAACAATGACCTCCGCTCGTGGTATACCCGCACTTGCGACGGAGTAGACACTGCCGCCGAGACCGACAGGCTGGTGAAGCTCATGGAAGAAGACAAAAAGTTCTTCCTCCTTGCAAGGCTCATAGTTCCAGAGCTTCGCTGGACTTCTGATGATCCGACGCCTCCCAACCCCAACTTGAACGAATTTCTCGATCGTGTCAAGCACCTTCAACCTCAGACCTCCACTTCCACGCATGTGCTTGGTCTGCCCAGACCCGATCGAGCCATGGCAATCCATCGAACTGGGGAGCTTCTGGAGCGTCTGCGCAAGATCGAGCCTATGACCTCCAAGGACCTTGCGGCTACGGAAGAATACCGCGAGGCACTGAAGAAGTATTCGGGTAAGTAACGACCAGAAATATGCTGCGTCATGCATACTAACGCGATCAAAGGTTTCACGAAGGAAGTCGAGGACATCTTCAACCGCGCATATGCTGCCGACTCCTTCCAAGGACCTTTGCCTCACCCTACGTTGGCCCAAGTCGACCAGGACTTAGAACACATGCGCAAAAACTCGGAATCCAGTGCGTCTAGACAGCAGAACAACCACGGGGTGGTGGAATCGATGGAAAAAGCTCAAAAGCCCATTTCACCGCCCGAGGCCGTCACAGGAAAGCCTGAGAACTCGCTACATGGCAACTAGCACAAGCGGTCAGCAGGACACATGGAGGATATGCTCGGGATGGTCAAAAATAAAATAACGTTGCAAGCCCGGCACCCATTTGAAGGAAGCCTCGGGGATGATTGTAGAGGATAGTCGGTACGGCTTCTGGGGATTTTGGTAGATGCTCCATTTCATTTCTGCAACTCAACGAGACTCAGATCGGCTTCAGAAATTCCATTTCATTGTTTCTTTCTTTACTTTTGATGCACAGTCATAAAATCGGACAAAAAAGGACGAGAAGGCATTTTGAGTATACAAAAACAGGTGTTAGCGGACCTGTCTCACGCCTAGCTGAAACAAAGGTTCTTCATTTCAACGCTCGGGACAATGACAGAAGCGTTACGCGTCGTGGGGTCCAGTAAGGCAGGAAACGGCCTAGACCATTACTTGAATACGGAGGACACAAATAGTAGATGTTTCATTTCCTTATTCGATCAACTTCCACCGTTGAGAGCCATCTTCCAGCCAGTTCTATTACCCTCTCACGTGCCGTTGCCTACGCTACGGGACACCGGAGTTTCGCCGCTGCGGTGCTCACGCTCCCGCTTCACTCTCGCACAGGAAAGATAAAAAGAACCTCTTCCGCCGGCTGTCCTCTAACCTCCGCACCATGACGTCCATGCGCCCCAGCGTCCGCGCCGCCAACATCACAACCACCAAGACCTCCTTCCCAATGGATGTCACCGCTGAATCCATCTGGTTGAAGATGCAGCTGGGCTTCTTGTACGACGAAGGTCTTGCCATCGGACTCCTGGGCGGAACCCCGAATCCGCCGTGGGAAGACGTCCTGTCCCAGGACAACCAGCCTCATCTCTGGGAGGTTCTTGTAGGTTGATAGAGCCTAATGAAGCTTGATCGTTGGCTAATGGTATCCCAGACGGACATGTTCCGCCACCTCGGCCTTCCTGGCGCTTTGGCTGTGCGTGCCCACTGGGACAATACCGACGACGGAGAACACGTGAATCTCCCTTGTCCATGAACAAACATCTATATTAGCAGTATCTAATCAAATATGTAGTACCTTCGATGGCAATTTCCCGAAAGTATCGCCAAGGAGGTACTGAGCTTGTTGCGCCGCGAGAGCGAGGTCGACGAGTCCGCGCCCGCACCTGAGCCCACGTCTGAGCCCACCTCCGAGCCTGAGGCCAAGGACAACGATGATGACGAGGAATGGGAGAAGGTGGAGGAGGAGACCGATGACTACGCCAAGGAGTAGGCTAAGGACAATCACAAGAGGCTGACTACAGAAGATGGCGGCAAAGGACCTGCTGGCCAAGAGGCCGAGGCGCCGCCCTCGCGCTCGCAAGGCTGCTCGCAGCCCGTCACTGTAGATAGATTGCATCAAGGCACTACCACTGGAGAATTCAAAACACCCCATCCAGAAACTCAGCAGTATACGATAACCAATGATTATGACACTTCTTCTGGTGTCCTGCACGAAAGCTCTCTACTGCGACGTATGCCTCGGGAAGTAGGATTGATCAACGTTGCATACCCTTTGTAACCCTTCGAAGCAATTATTGACCTCCTCCTCCTTCTCGGAGTCGTGAACCACCTTGAGCGCAGACGCATACTCAGGTCTCTTCACAGGAAGGTCCTTCGAGGCCATTTCCCGCAGCCTCTTCTCACTAGCCACGACCGCAGTACGCCGTGGCTGGAAGCCGAGGATGTCCTGAGTCTTCTGCTCAGTCTCCTCCTCGTTGTCGTTGTCATCATTATCGTCGTCGTCGTCGTCGTCGTCGTCCTACTCCTCCTCCTCCTCGGAGTCGGGCACTACTTTGGGCGCCGACGCGGGCTCAAGCTCCTTGACCAGTAAGTCCTTTGATGCCATCTCACGGAGACTCTTGGCCCTCGCCGGCCACAACTGCACCACATAGAGGCCGGGAGGTGGGAAACTCCTCGGCCTCCTTCTCCTCCTCCTCATGATTTACTTCGTCCTTCCATCCGGAGTCAGGCACCACCTTTAGCTCGGGCCTAGGCTCAGACTCAGGCGCAGGTTTCGGCGCGGGGTCAGGCGCGGGACCAGGCTCCTTGACCGGCAAGTCCTTTGAGGCGATTTCCCTTACCCTCTTGGCTCCCGCAGCGCGCAGGAACTTCCGGAGGTGGTCTTCCTAGCCGAACCCTCGTCATTATCAGAATTTTCACTGTCGTCCTCCTCGGCCTCCCCCTCGTCTTCCTCGTTCATCTTCTCGACATCATAGTCGTCCGGACAACGTCTTCCCACGGCGCATCTGGCGTTCCATCGAGCAGTTTCGCGGAATCGAGCCCGTCGTACAGCCGGAGCTTCATCCAGACGAATTCGGCAGTCTCGTCCATTTTGGGAAGGAGGTTCCGATCATTCTGATAGTTGTGAAAAGTCTGGCGGCGTCTGCGTCGGCGGCGCGTATGCGTGCGGGCGAGAGCGATGGCGTCCGCGGAGATGGGCATGACGATGCCGGGGTTCAGAGGACAGCCCGCAGAAGAAGTTGTTTTAAGGTTTGTGGTGCGGGAGTGAAGCGAGGACCCTTGTCGCGGGAGCGCGGTTGGGGAAGGAGCGGGAGCGGTCCGGGGTAGGAACGCGACCACCACCTCGGCGAAGCCGGACACATTGCTTAGCACCGGCATGCGAGGCACAACAGTGCGGGCTAGCTTTTCAGTACCAGGTCGGGTCACTTAATACAATTGCAACAAAAATGGGTAGTTGAAGCGCTCATCCGGATGTGAATGTGCAATAAATATATGAACAAAGGGATCCGGACGATAGCTTCATGTCCGCCGATTTGTGAAAGTATCGAGGATCATCGGCGGGTGATTGTTGTGTGCTGATTACCGTGGAAGAAACGTGGTTGGTCAGATCGTCGAAAAAAAAAAAAATGACGTCACTGTTCACAGATCGGGTAGAATTGGTTGCTGCAGCGTTAAGCCAACGGCATTTTGCATTACTAGATTACAATTCTAAGATGTCTAGACCTTGTTCGCTTCTAATTCTTCGTATGCTCCATCATGTCCATCGTGTAGAATGCCAATGTGCTGCATTTACTGGGAAAGCATGCTGCCAATGCCAGCGTCCTGGTAGCACTGCCAGTGGTCTCCGTCCGACTTAGGGCTCACGACCTGGATCTGATCGCAGCACGTCTTGGCCTTGTTGTCGCAGTCCGATGCGCCGGTGGAGCGGCAGGACTTTGCGCTAGCCGCACAATCAGGGCCAATGTCACGCTTGCTGAGGCGGCTACCGATGCCAGCGTCCTGGTAGCACTGCCAGTGGTCGCCGTCTGATTTGGGGGAAACAACCTTAATTGCTGTTAGTATTGGTAGTGCTCGACGTCCGAAAGAGGTGCATTACAGGAATAGATTTATCGCAGCAAGCAGCAGCGGTATCGTCACACGAGGCACCTCCGGTGGCGCGGCAGGATTTGGCTGCAGCGGCACAGTCATCGCCCGCGTCGCGCTTGTTGAGGCGGCTCTCGATACCAGCGTTCTTGTAGCACTGGTAGTGGTCGCCGTCTGACTTGGGAGAAACAACCTTTAAACTGTTAGCAATGGTAGTGCTCGCCGTCCGAAGAGGTATATTCACAGTTATAGCTTTGTCGCAGCAGCTGGCGGCTGCGTCATCACAACCAGAGCCTCCAGTGGCGCGGCAGCTGTTGGCGGTGGTCGCACACTCGTCACCGGGGTCACGCCTCTGAAGCATGCTGCCAATTCCAGAGTCCTGGTAGCACTGGTAGTGGTCGCCGTCCGATTTGGGTGAAACAACCTTGAAGATATTAGCATTGGTAGTGGTCCCCGTCCGACTAGTCATGGCTCACAGGGATCGTAGAATCGCAACAGCTCTTAGCTGCAGCATCACAGCCAGAGCCTCCTGAAGAGCGGCAGGCGGCAGCCTGGTCGGGGCAGCTGCCGGTGGCGGCGGGGAGGGCGTAGCCGGTGGAGAGGAGAGCCGCAACGGCAATGATGGTGGCCTTGGAGAAGTACATGTTGATTGGTTGAGGTTTGAGTGAGGGATTTGTCAGAAACGACTGTGGATTGGTTGGCTGAAGTGAATGACTTTTGGTTGTTGCGATGAGGACTGGATATGGCGTGCTCCAGGTGTATATATATGTGTTTCTTCCACGCTGTTGAGCGTTGCTCCTTTCTCCAGCCGTTGGGCTCTGTCCTTCAACACGAACGCTATGGTCGAAATTTGGTTGTCATAGGGCTCGTATTCCGTACCCTAGTCCCCGCTCATGTTGATGGGGTCACCCCAGCTCCGGACTTCTCGAAAACCATGTCTCTGTGCAGATGGGGTAAGAATCGACGGTCGTCGTGGACGTGGAACATGCGTAGCTCAGGGGTAGCCAAAATACGAAGCATAAGGCTGAGGAAACTCGTCCCATGAACTACGATCGGCAAGTCCTTGCGTTCATTAACATGGCCCGATTTGGTCTGCACTCAGCCCTGTGCTTGCAACGACTACTTGCCTAGTTCTCAGGATTTGGTGTCATTCGTGTACTAAGACCATTAGAAGAGTGCTAAGCTTCTAGTAACACTACGCAAGCAATTTCAACCGAAGGAGCTATAGCCAAAAGTTGGCCTGATCACAACGTAAGGCTGGCGGCTTAGCCAACGGTAAAGCCACAGATTACGCAGTGCGCTGAGAGACCGGTGAAAACCCCGCAGCTCGATTCCTACTATAGGCCGGGATCGACAACGCTTTTACCTAACCTACAACGTGTTCTACGGCGTTATGATATGCTCGGCGTTACGAGATGCTCGGAGTTATGAGACAACAAATTGGGTGTTTCTCGGCTGACATGGATTTTGGGCCGAAATGCTGTGTTCCTCGAATCATTGGCTCATGAAATCATTTTAACTGGTGAACGAAAGTCCTAAGCAGTTTTCTATTGGATGTCTCATTACCCCGTGCCTTTCATGGACCGGAGAAACACATTAGGCGTCCGACAGAATGTGGTCAAGGCTCATCTGTAGGACAAGGTGCACGGGTAAGGCTGAGAGGGACACCCGGGCGGTGACGGACGGAGTGGAGAGGCACTGAGCCGGCCATCTGCTGAGATACCCCTCGGAACCGTACGTCCCGGTCGCACTGTCGACATTGTGATCCCGCAACTGGCCGTTCTCATAGATGGTCTGCTTTATCAGGTCGAACTTGCGAGCTGCTGCTTTGTTTAGTTACAGGAGCCCAGACCACATGCGGAGCCACTGCACGGCTGGCTCAAACGTGGCCACGGCGGCAGATTCGGCGACGCCGTTTGAGCTCGGGCTCTGGCGTGATAGTAACCGTAGATGGAAGGCATCTGCTGTTAGGATTTCGTTAGGGTAATGACCAAACTCAATCACCGCCGGCCAAAACCAACCATCATCGGCCAAACCCAACTTTTCACCAAAACCCACCATCTTTCAACTATAGTTGAATTTCAACGAAATCAAAATCCTTTCTCATTGCTATAATAATAGCTCGTCCTACAGATAGCTATTGTAATGAAAAATTAATGTTTCTTTTGTAAGAGAATGTCAACCCACACGGTTTAAGAGTGGGGTTTGCCAGCGAGGCGTCTAAGAACAGGGGACTACGAGGAGACAACGAAGGTGTGGAAGTTGCTAAGCGGCTGAATGGTTGAATGAATCAAGTGCCAGAAGGCGGATGTGAATAATGAAGAGGTGGCGAGGCAGGGCTGTACCTGCTGGACCGAGCACTTCGCTGGCCACAATCTGGTACTTCTAGCCGGGACGAGCGGTGGCTGTAGAAGGCGGGAAAGCTGATCAACTCGCCAATCGAGCGGTGTATGGTAGGGCTGTGACGCTAGTACCAGGGGCCGAGGCGGTGGCTACGTAGTGCGAAGAGGTCGACCAGCGGCGGCTAGCCCGGCTATAGAAAAAAGGGGTCAGTATAAATGCGCGGGCTACCCAACGTGGTTTTTGCTCATGTCATGGATAGCTCAAGCTATCGTCTGGACGTGTTTCAAGAATTTCAATTCCACATTCTCGTCAGGACGATAGCTTCAACTACCCACCTCTGTTAATATTTTCTCCATTCTACACCAAGCAAGCTCATTGAATGATGTACTTCGCCAAAGAATGCGTCCGGTCCTCACACCCTGCACCCTTCGTGTAACAACTTCCGCAAAGATCATAATGTCCGTCATCGCACTTCGTACAGCCTAGCGAATATGAACCTTAGTGTTGGTACAGGGTAGCTGTAAAGTAAGAAGACTTACGGTAAAAAGAGTCCCGTGATTTGCCTAATGAGCCCTTACAGAACCTGCATTTCTTGTCGTGGAAATCGCCGGAGACCGAGTACATGGCAGAGTAGGCATAGTATCGGATGAGGATATGGCCAGCCTCACGATTCTTGCATGAACGTCCCATCTCATAGCACCGCTCGCACATTGCGAAATCCCCACAATTGGGGCAGTCTTGTGGAAGTCAGTTCCGATTACCCATGCAAAGGTGCATATGATGACTTACAATAATATGGCCCTTGTTCTACCCGCTTCTCACAGGTATTACAAGGCACTGCATCAAGCGAGATGTATGTGTATGGGCCGACATTTTCTGGCACGTTGGCCCTTAGATAGACGTATAAACGATGTTCGTCTGGAGTTTCGCAAGTGTGGCCAGATCCATAGCAAGACTCGCATAGATCATACCCATCCTTGCTCTGATTGCACGAATCGCAATCTGAATGTTTGTCAGTAAGACTGGTTTTGCCGAAATTCCGTGCGCGAGCTTACAGTAATAGCGGCCTTGGGTGACCTCTTTTTGGCAGCCGACACAATTCACTTTCGGAGCAGCTGCAAGCCGCCTGTTGGTTTCTCCCTTCTCAGAAATCACAACATCTCCAGCAACCGACTTCTGCATGATGACCATTTCGCGATCAGTACATTGACAGCTGACGCCGTTACCGAAGCACGGCATGCAGAGATCGTAGTCATCACCGCCCTGGCAGCAATCTGCAATCAAACCGTCAGCATCCATCCTTGGCCCACATCGCTCCAATCCAAACTTACGCGCAAACCTCCCCTCCCTAATCGACTGCCCACAGCCCCTACAATACTGCCCCAACGGCCCCAACAACCGACTACACTTCCCCTTCAACGCCAACTCGACCTTAATCTCCGGATCCAACAGCTTCTCCATCGCATACGCAAACACCGCCTCCCCCACGACCTCAGCAATAAACTCCTCCGTCTTCTTCGCCGCCAGAATCCCCGCCACATAACCCACCGCATGCCCATCGCCCGCCGCACCCGCCGCGCCGGCCGCCGCCTCCGCCCCCACGTGACCGGCCAACGCACCAGCAACCTGCTCATGCACCGCATGGCCAACCGCATGGCTCTGATCCGCCAGCCCGTGGACAAACCCCTCACTCGCGCCCGCCAAATCGCCCACCACATTCCCCGCCTGATCGAGATGCGTGCCAGGCGGCAACCCCGGCGTTGGCATCAACCCGCCGACCAAATGCCCAATCTCAGCCCCCAAGCCCATGCCCGCCAGCGCCGCTCCCACCGGGATGGCGACGTCGCGCTTGGTCGGGTCGTGCAGCTTGACGCCGCGGGCGGTCAGCTCGGCGCGGATGATGGCGAGCTTGCGGCGGGCGACGACGAGGCGGCGCAGGCCGAAGGCCGAGACGCCGAGGGAAATCCCGGCGCTGTGGATCGAGTGGCCGACGCCGGCGCCGATGGAGCAGGAGGCGGCGAAGTGTTGGCGGAGTTTTTTGATTTCTTCTTCTTGGAGTTGCGGGGTCGTGCGGGCTTTGGTCTTGGCGATGTAGGCGGGTTCGTCGAAGTCGAAGGTGTCGTGGAGACCCATTTTTGATGATTCGTTTTGTTTCGTTTTTGCTCTTTGATGGTGGTTTTCGTTCAAGGGGTCTATTCGTGGACGTCGTTGGGGTTGAGGATGGGAAAAGGGGTATCAGGAGGAACGGAAAAAAATTTTAGTGGTTTGGGGAATCAATGTGAGATGAAATCGCAGCGCTGCTGGTTGTGGTCGTGATAAATGGACGTTGATGACGCAGATGCTATGACGTGGTTGTCGCAAGAAAATTGAGAGCAGCACAGCCGCTGAAGCGGTGTGGCAGAGATCCACCGAGGGTTTGGACGGCGATCAGACAGAAATCCCCCCCGGCTTTATAGCGAACAAGCTTGGTCAAGGCTCGGTAGCAACGGGATGCTTAGCCTGTTGTGGTAAAATGTGGGACCGAACAGGTCTAGACAGGAAGGATAAGCTTTGTGAATCATGGACAGCGCCACAGGCGTGCGAATGTTGATAAGGATTCAAACAGCGCCATTGAAAGCAGCTCCTGATGGAAACATGTGCTTCTTGCACTCGCAAAGATAACTCGAGAGAATACCTTTCGATTGATGATGCATATCGCCTACATCGTGTTGGAAGCGCCCGAGTGCAGGGCCGAACCGCCTACAAAAGCCTCGCTTAAGTAGCTGCACGCAAAGGCGCTACTTGCACTAGAGTATATCCACGACAGCGAATCAAATGCGCATTGTAGGGGTTAGTAGAAACTCGGGGGCTCGGGGATTTTGCTATAGACAAAGGTGCCAAACAATCCTCAGCCATTCGATAAATTAGCTCATCGATGCGACCGGGCAGTGCATTCATCACTGTACGTACCAAATATCACTTGTTCGACATTTAACCATTACACACTTGGATGCAACTCCATCGTTTTCTACTTCAAAGCCACAGTATATAAATCGAAAATGATATCGCAATACAGCATCTCAATACACCCCAATAATTGATACGAAATTTGGCTAAATTCGATGCACCCTCGCTCTGGCGCGTTTCCTAACCCAGGGGAATGGTGACGCCCGTTCGCTCACAACTTCATCGAAACAGTACAGAAATCCGGATCCTCTTCAAACTTAGCCTTCAGCTTCAACAGCTCCTCGACATCCCAAGCAGCCCAAGGCAACCTGCCCTTCAAAAAAGCCGCAGCCGGCGACGCAAGCCACACGGCAAAACCCTCGGGCAAGCTAATATCATCGCCCTGAAGGACCTCCTCCTTGATTCCCAGCGCCTCCACGCCAGGCGTATAAAGCGCGCCAGGATGAAAACTATGCACGCGCACAGGTTGCCCCGGCATCCGATCCAGCTCAGCCTGCAAGTGGCGCACAAAGTGCGTCGCCGCTAGCTTCGTCGCGCTGTACAGAGCCAGCCCCGGGAAAATCATGTGCGTGGCCGCCGACGAGACCTCGATCAGGACCTTGGCGCGGGCGGGGGCGGCGGCACGCGCGGTGGTGTCTTTCTTCGTGCCGACGGGGTCGACGCCGGGCTTCCATCCGGGATTGGGTATGGCGGGCAGCTCGGGCGCGAGGAAGGCGCGCGCGAGGTTCGCGACGCCGAAGACGTTGGTCGCGAAGGCGTTTTGGATCACGGCCGGGTCGAACTCGAGCGAGACTTCGCCCTGGTCCAGCACTGCCGCGTTGGCGACCAGGACGTCGACGTCGGCGGTGGAGTCGTTGCTGGCGGAACGGAGGCGTTCGCGGATGGAGGCGAAGGTCGTGTTCGTGGTCGAGGCGTCGCGCACATCGAGGCTGTACGTCCAGATGGTCGTGCCGTGGTCGGCGTGCAGTTTGGCGGATGCTTCGTCGAGCACGGCTTGGCGGCGGCCAAGGAGGATAACGGTTGAAGCACCGGCTTTGCAGAAGCCGCGTGCGATGGCGTATCCTATGCCGCCGCCGCCGCCGCTGATGGCGACGGTCTTGCCAGCTGCGCTGTTGGCGGGGTTGGTAGGGTCGATGGCCGGGTACATGCTCCGGTGGAGCGTCTTGACTGGGCAGTACTTCTCCATGGTTTTTTAAGTGTTTCGATGACGTAATGCTGAAGAGTAGATGTTGAGAGGAGGTGATTGTGGTGTTGATGGTCTCTTCCATCGCTTCATCGTGCTATTTTATAGTCGTCCCCGCTGAGCACCGACGATGGAGATAGTGAAGTTTCGGAGTTTTGCATCTTCATGATTCAGTATATCTTTCAATGATACGTAAATGGTCGTCCGTAGATTGTTGTCAAGTGAAATTCTAAAGTCATCATGGAGCCGATTAGCGAAGTTGGGCGCTTAAAATCAAAGTTCCCGCCGATTTTCGTCCGCGGATTTGAAATAGGGGAAATAACACCCGAGTTTTGCTCTTCGTTCGTCCGCCGCCTGTTATATCACTACATGCTTCAGTATGCTTTGCAAAACAACTGTATGCGAGATTCCTAAAAATTAACGCGCTATGCGCATCCCTGACCACAATTGCGACTCAATTCCATCGGATAGCAGTTCAAGAAATACCGAGTCCGTGCTCAACCTAAAGGACTTCTAAAGGAGCTATAGCGCTTTGTAGATAGAAGGGTAAACTTATCTAGTAAATACTTGTAGAAATAGCTGTTATTTAACCTGGAAGTAAATTGCATGGTTTAGATCAGCCACCACTATGACGTACATCCACCCGATTCGACTTCAAGAAGTTCAATAGAGGCACTTGCAGGAAATTCTGTTTCGCATTGAGATTTGATCAATCTGACCATGACGTATCGATCAAATTCGTCGTGCATACAGTTCATGATCATCGATCGTACCCTTTATGCCCTTCTAAGCACGGACCGTTCCAAAACCGGACAACGCCCAGCCCCGGAGTTAAATCACGTTATATCCAGAAGAACTCGGACATACGACCAAGTCAGCACGGTAGTGTCAACAACTGCTCACTTAAATAATTCTCAGATGCTCGCCATTGAAGCCGGTTTTGAATCTGGATGTTCTGCAACTGTACCAAAAAAAAAAAAAGGGGGGGGGTAATTACCAAAGAAAAGAGGGAGAGGCAGCGATATCTATCGTGATGAGGGCATGGATCGTGGCTCGATCAGCGGTCTACATCAATGTATACTACCTACGCTGCATGTACGGGCGATGTACTTGGAAAGGCATGTAAAGAAGACTTCTACGTAACTCTCACATCCCTTCCATGTTCGTTTGCTGGGTAAAAGTAAACCTTATGAGAACCTTATCACTGAACAAGGAGCGCCAATTCGATACGAACTCTCGTCCTATATACCGCACAATGCGTCTCGATGGGGGTCGATGATGTTGAAAAACTTTTTCCAACACTCGATCAATCTTCAGAAGAAAGAAAACCCGCGAGAATTAGTCCTATGGGAAACAAAATCCTCCTTACCGGGGCTACCGGATACGTTGGCGGCACTGTCCTCGATCAACTCCTCAAGCACCCTGCACCCTCCCTTCGATATCTCACCTTCGACGTGCTGATACGCGGAGAAGAATCAGCACAGAAACTCAAGGCTGCGTATGGCTCTCGCGTCAACCCTCTTCAATGGAAAGGACTTGGCGACGTCGAGTACATCGCCGACACAGCTTCGAATTACGACATTGTCGTCAACACAGGTTCAGGTTTCATTCCAGCAGGCGCTCGGGCTTTTGTCAACGGACTAGCCCGCCGCATCAATGCCGGTCATCCGATGCCGTGGATGCTGCACATCAGTGGGTGCACGAACCTGGGCGACAAGCCATTCACCGAGTACGCCGATCCCGACCGTGAATTCGACGACGCGGACCCCGAAAAAGTCTACAACTTCATCAAAAGCGAGGACGAACGCGATCCATATCCGCAACGAACCACCGAAGTCGCCGTGCTTACCCGTGCCGAGGAGACGGGTGTGCAGGCCGTCAGCCTTACAACACCGTGCATATTCGGCGAGGGCTCGGGACTCTTCAATCGAGGCGGCCTCGTTGTTCCCATGGCTGTTCGCTATGTTGTCGAGCATGGCTATGGCTACAAGTTGACCGACACTGCCAACTTCGACTGGGTGCACGTGCAGGACCTCGCTGCGCTCTACGTGCTCATCGTGCGTGCCATCCTCGAGCGCGAAGACCGTGGCGTGGGATACATTCCGTCAGGGAAGAGAGGAATCATCTTCCCTGCTGTCGCACGCGTGCTGAACCTCGAAATTCAGCAGCTCGCGCTCGACGCTGCGTTCAAGGCTGGAGTGTTGCCTCGCGAGGATACGCCAAAGGAAAAGGAGATTCGACAGGAATCACTGCAGGCGATTGCTGATGAGATCTGTGCCGGACAGATCGCGATAGCCGAGCGGGGATTGGCTGGGCATAAGGGCATGAAGGGAACAATGGCTAAGAAGTTGTTTCAATGGAACCCTGAGAGACTGGATGATGCGTGGCGGCAAGATTTCATGGATGAAATTGTCGCATTGAAGGAGGGAAAGAGAGAGACGACATTCGAAAGCTGCATTGGTATAAAGCAAAAGGCTTGAGTGGTGAAATAAGGTTATGGACGATAGCACGGTCATGATCCAAAGCGGAAAGGTGTTGTCAATCACTACCATTTTTGAGTGAGGCGCGAATTACAATTAGAGTCTTCAGTACAGCCAGACATGATTGGAGTGCCTCCCCCTGATTGATGCTTCCCCGTTAATTACAACTCCCTCACCCGCCATCCTTGCAGTCTCCCCAAACTTCCACCACCTCCCCCCATCCCCCATCCAGCCAACCACCCGAGCGATCCGAGAACCACCCTAATAATCCCTCTACCAGCCACCACCGAACCCGCTGTTCTCGCAGTAGTTGCCGTAGCAGTTGCACGTGCTCTTGCAGCACTTGGACCGGCTGGTCTCGGTCTCGACGCCGTAGCGCTCCCTGCAGACGCGCGGGCAGTCGTTGTCGGCGTCGCACTCGTTCTTGCCGCCCTTGCCCTTGCAGCCGCCGGAGCAAGCGCACCAGCCGGAGCAGCACTTGGTGCCCTCGTCGGCGAAGGCGTCCTTGCCGAACTCGTCGCGGCACACGCGCGGGCAGTCGTTGTCGTGGTCGCAGGTGCCGGAGGCCCACACGCTGCCGCCGTCGTCCCAGCGCTTGCTGATGTCCTCGCGGAACTCGTCGTGGCGCGCTGCCAGCTTGTTGTCGTGGGGGCCCGTCTCGAAGGCCCCGGCGAAGGCGCTGCCGAAGGTGGCGAGGGTGAGGAGGACGCTGGTGAAACGCATGGTGGTTGATTGGTTTTTAAGTAGTGTTGTTGGTGAGGAGGTTTGAAGTGATTTGATTTGATGAGAGAGCTGATGATGGTGGCGACAGTAAGACGGGTTCTTGCGTGCTTCTTTATATATGTATCTGGGTGATCCTTTAAACGGTCAGACAACACTTCTCCTTTCTCAACGTTTGTGTCCCTCATTGCTCTGAGTCTCTAGCACAGCCATGCCAGAATGCCGAGGGAAACCTTGTTCTGAGTTGTTTCCGGCTCTTCCGAGACGGTGAAGTTGCCTACTGACGTCGACGAGCTAGACTGAGATGATGATCTACTCGTACACGAACTTCCAGAAGCCACATTTCGAGCTTATTCAGCGAGGCTGAGGGATGGAAAGAATGTACTCAGGTACTGGAAGGTTACTTCCTTGAGTAAGGCTCCTGAGTCAACTGCGGGGCTGGGGGGCGTCATTGGCCAACCCCACAAATGTTACTTTTTTAGCCCAACGTTTATCTCACGTGCCTAAAAGTATAGAATCAGCCGCAGGTCCGATTGGGGATCCGAGTTTCGCAAAGTGACGCGTTTCGCTGGCTAAGATTAGTAGCCGGCGGTTGCCGCAATCAAAGCTTACTAGCCTTGGCAGGAAACTTTCATCCGCGCTAATGCCTTTTTCGGCTGTTTCTAGCAGCGATCATGCTTTCAGCCTTCCGCCTTGTTCCTGGGTTGTCTTGTTTAGTAGCTATGTTGTGTATTTGCTCGATCATTCCCCCTATTCAACAATCTAGCCCCTCCATGACTCTGCTTGTGAACTTGGCAGGTTGTGATGGCTGGATGTAGTTAAGCTGTAGAGGACTCGCGAATGTCTCGGCGCCGAGGCCTTGTTCGAACTGTAATAACTTTCGGCAATTGAGTGAGAACCCATCATCACAGAGAGCGTGTCAAGTGTAAGCTCATGTACCTGTGCCCTAAAAATACAACCAATCAGCGAGGGGTGGCTACGAGGGTATGAAGTCAAATCACGCGGAGAACTTCTGCATCGTAGCAATCGCACACAAATTCAATCGCGTAATGTTAAGCATACGCTTAGAGTGCAATTCACGCACCGTAGAAATGAGGCTCTCATAGCAAGAAGAAGTCCAGTGGCAGCAGAAATGGCATTGTACAGACACTACATAACAGTACTTTTGTCTTTTTGGCCTGAGCATTGCATTCTTGTGAACTTTGTCTACTGTGAAACAACGCCAAAAGTTCTTCTGAGAAATCTAATTTGCACTTCATACCTCACCGCCACCACAGTGATGAACTCCTAACAGTAATGTTCTCAGTGGCAAGGCCTTTTCCTGATGCGAACTCCAAGGAACCAGTGGCGGTCTCAATTTCAACTCAATACCTGACATCGCTGGCTCAAAAATTCCCGCAAAGCCTCGAATCGAGGGACTCGGGGATTGTAACCAAAGACTGCAAGCTCAGTTTGTCCTGACAGCTGACTATTTTGGACATTCAAGCGGCTGAAGATGGAATCCTTACCGACCTCCAAAGGATCGCTCGTTCCAGGCCCTTTCGGAAAGAGATGTAGGATGAACGATCTCGCATAGTCGACGCGACTATTGTTGGGGATACGCTTGTACCTGACAATACGAACGAGTCGGTGTGTTGTCATCAGGCACGAGCCCTTGAAAGGATCTAGGGAGCTATGTCCGTGGTCGTAGCCGAGCTTTGAAATGTCGGTGACAGCTCTGGATGCGTAAAGCTTGCTATTTGTATTTTTAAAAGAGTGAAGTGGAGGTTTCATGTATTTTCGCCCCTTCGGAAACCTCCGTGCTGAGCGTCCTCTGCACAGCGATGCCTCCCGCAGTTGTGCCGTTCTCCATCTTCTCTGAGGTCCAGAAGGCGTAGTCGATGAAAAGGTGATAGAATAAGATGATAGGGTCAAAGCCGGCCGTCTTTTCATATCGCCGAGTCTACCCTCGACGGCCAAGTGTACACGGTTGTGTAGAATTTCCGGGGTAATAGAGCGTAAGCGCATTCGAGACTTAACACTACCGAATTACTTGCCGATGGTTACGAAAGTGAATTTAAAGCCTCTTGAGAGTCATTAGGCACCATTACTTACAACACCATTCATCGTTCTCGGGACTATGTCCGAGCTCGAGAAGAGGGATAGTGCATTACGAAGCTTGGGCTACGAAAGGTACACATTTAGCCATGAGCTACTAGCTACGCATATACTTGGCTAGAACATTCTTAATCTGCCTGTCCTAGTTGGGGGCCGGAATCGTTCCGTCGAGGGAGTTGGCCACCAACTGGCTACCTCTAGGCATAGAACAACATGTGTGGCTACCCCAGCCGCATTGGAGAAGGGGCCTTCAGATAAAATAATAACAGTGTAAAGTCTAGATGATATTTCTTTGCACCACACAGGTATGTCCACCTTGCCACACAGCAAGTTGTCACTTAAATCAAACGCCGAAGTTGATCGGATACTGTGAATAATCCATGCGCTAAAATCTTTCGATAGTGGAAATTGTAGCCTTTTGACACACCGGTGAAAACTTAAAGCGCGGATTCTATGGCGGTTCTGGAAAACTGCATAATTAAATTGTCAGTAGCAACAAACAAAGAGACGTTATTCTGAGAAATACCTTGACCTATCCTCGTCGTTGATGAGAAATAGAAGAGCTGCCATCGTTTTGATGATGACGCTGATGACCAAAGCGAAACCAGAACCACCAGCTTTGTATGTCGCGGCTCCGAGAAAACTCCCTGCAATGAGAGCAAAAAGGAATGCCGCCCGCCGGTTGCGGCTTCGATTCTTCGTGATGCCAGCAAGCAAAAACGGGTCGATGAAGATATCGACCCACGCAGCCGTTGCCATTGCGGTCGTCATGCTGTTAGCACAAAGGTTAGTGGTAAAATCCAACAGCGACGGCGCACTCACTCTGTGATCCTTAACGCCCGCACCATTGATACTTGGGCCCCTGCGGAGAATGCCAGTAATCCCAACACTGTTTTCCCCAGTGCAGATGCATTGGTTGACGCTTCAGGGAACTTGTATTGAAGGATCGCGCCCGCCGTGATCATCAATGTCTGCAAGATACTAGACAGAACAAGCCACCACCGTTGCCGCACGGACCGTATGAGGTTCGCGAATTGTCCGAAAATCAGAACGCCGGCCAAGAAGAACCCGAGCGACAAGCCAATTGTCGGTACGGAGAGCATGAGCTTCGTGGCCCGGTCATCCAAGAGACCAACCGCGAACATGACCGTGTTTCCTACATCAAGCTCTCGTTAACGAATCGTTTCGCATATGCGTGTGCAGCTGCTGGAACGTGGGACCTACCTGTTTGATTGGAGGCGAAACATTGAAAGTCTGGGTAAGACACTGCATCTTGAATACCAATCGCAAGAGCAAGGAGAAGCAAATTGAACTCAAGCAAGTGTGACTTTGTGTTCACCTCCCGATTGAGAAATCCTCCGAACTTTCGCAATGATCGGGCCAATGGATTCGAGCCAGTCCCCTCTTCCATTGTATTGAGTTAATGGAAATAGTCTTTTACTCTGGCTTCGCAGACTGCACCTTACTATTGGAAATTCTAAATTAATAAAGTTTGATTTTGCTGATTTACTATATAAAGCTTCAAATCCACAAGTTCGTCCACCATCGGCGACCATGTCGGCGACCTCCTGCCAAGTCCGTGAACGGCGATAACTCACTCAGAAAATGCGCCCGCCAAGAAATGGCCCTGTTCACACCACCAGTAACCATGATATTCCCAAAAGGCTTTGTGCACGTTTTGTAGTAAGTTAAAACACTGATGGCGGAATTGGTAAGAAAAATTATGGCGGCTTAGGCTGCGCCGGTAAGAATGACAAGAACGGGAATGGAGAACGAGATCGGCGAGCAGGAGATAGAACAGGAGGATTGCTATTGGCAACGTACACGGCGATGAACTTCTCCCAGCCTAACAGGACGGAGTTGGTGGGGAGATTGAATGAAAGCGAGGTCGCCGAACGGACTGGGACGGAGCTTTAGTCGCCGATAACACCATCATCACCACCACTACGCAACTATATATGCCAACGCGTCACCCAAAATTGAACCTCCCGCTCATTGGTCTTGAATGATGTATCAATGCCTGGTTTCGCAAATGGCCGCCTGGTTTCGCTGTTTTTCCCTAAATCAGTTTAGGTCTTACTTTGTATACAAACGCTAAACTGTGTTAAGTAATGGAGCCTCTTGAAGCGGAGTTCATACGGATATCAAGCGGAATTCAAGTGGTGTAGTACAGACCCTGTCAGACTGTTTCAAACATGTGGCGGAGCCTATTCCTTGTCCCCCAACAGCCGGATTACCTGCGGAGTACGGCCGAAGCGCCGAGTATATAGCACTACCCCGCCGTGGACAGCTTCCACATCAACACAAAAAATCACACCACTGATAAAAACGCAACAATGGAGAGCTACACGAAAAAAACCTTCACCTCCTCCCGCTCCCTGACGTATACCTACTACGACTCCGCCCCCACCAAACCAATCGACGCCTCCAAACCCACCATCTTCCTCGTCCACGGCTTCCCCGACAACGCGCACCTCTGGAAACACGTCCTCCCCCACCTCGAGCCATTGGGCTTCCGCATCATCCTCCCCGACCTGTCCGTCACACACCCCCATCCCCCCCATCCAACCCAAAACCACTAACCCCGCACCCCGCAGACTCGGCTACGGCTCATCCTCCCGCCCCACGACCGCGTCCCACTACACCTCCCGCGCCTGCGCCGCCGACTACGCCGCGCTCCTCGCTGCCGAAGGCATCACGCGCAACGTCATCGCCATCGGGCACGACTGGGGCTCGTACTACGCGCAACGACTGTATCTCTGGCACCCGGAGCTCGTCGTCGGCCTGGGCATGCTGTCGGCGCCGTACATGCCGCCGGACGCGCCGTTCGACCTAGCCGGCGCGAATGCCGCGACGGAAGCAGCCACCGGCTGGCCGCGGTTGGCGTATTGGGAGCTGTTCACGGCCGACGACGCGGCGGCGGTGCTGGATGGGCATCTCGAGAGCTTTTGGGATGCGTGTCATGGGGCGGGGGAGCATTGGGTTAGGGGGAAGTTTTGTACGAGGGGGGAGTTGAGGGCGTTCGTGGAGGGGGGTAGGGAGGCGGAGGTGCTGGAGTATGCGAGGCCGGGGAAGGGGTGGCGGGAGGAGTGGTTGAGCGCGGTGAGGGAGGGGGGCGGGATGGCGGGGGCGTTGGGGCCGTATTTGGCTATGGCCGGGAATTATCAGTATGAGGTTGAGAAGGAGTTGCCAAGGGAGCGCATCGTGGTGCAGGTGCCGTCGTTCTTTTTAGGGTGCGAGCGCGATGATGCGTGTTTGTGGCAGTTGATTGAGGGGCCGAAGAAGGCGGGGCTGCTGCCGGATTTGACGGTCAAGATCATCGATTCTACGCATTGGTGCACGATGGAGAAGCCGGGCGTGGTGGGGAAGGCGCTGTATGAATGGCTATCTGAGAAGTTCTAAAGTGGGATGGAGAACACGAAAGAGCTGTTATTTGAGAGGCATTGTAATTTATGGTTCTACGTGTTGGCCAAACTCATAAAAGGGTAGTGGAGATAATCAAGGGAGAGGAGAAAATATTATAGGCACTCAGAATCATCATTTATATGAATAGAAAATAGTGATGATGCTTTGAGATGATAGATGATTGTTTTGAGAAGAGTCAAAACTTGTACTACAAGCTTCTTAGTCATTCAAGGAGCCTGTCTAGCTAACATCTCAGACTACAGGGAAGATTAAATTAAGCGTCCCCAAAAGGAAACCAACATTCCCACAAGAGACATTACCTTTCCAGACGAGGACAATGTTGGAGAAGTGACATTTTCCATACCCACTTGACCGGTCAGCATCCCTTTACTTGACTTCGCATCGTAGGCGCCCAGCTGTTGCAGTAGCTGGACGACTGCCTCATGTTTGCCGTGGCGTGCCGCGTTCAATGCCGTCCCATACGGGCCACCTTTAGCATTGATATACGCATCTCGATCGAGCAGGAGCTCGACGACCGCTTTAGAACCTCCATAGGCTGCCGCTTGTAATGCAAAACCGTACCTCCCACCTTTGGTATTAATGTCAGCTCCGCAGTCAAGTAGATACTCGACGATACTTTTACTGCCTCGATAGGCGGCCGCCTGTAGCGCAGAATCAAACTCGCCGCCCTTCGCGTTAACGTCGGCGTCGTTGTCAAGCAGAAGCTTAACCACGTCTTCGTTGCCCTCGATGGCGGCAGCCTGTAGCGCGAATCCGTATTGGCCGCCCTTCGCGTTAACCTCGGCACCGTGGTTGAGTAGAAGCTGAACCACGCTCTTTTTGCCCGTAATAGCGGCAGCCTGTAATGCGAAGCCGTATTGGCCGCCCTCCGCGTTAACTTCAGCGTCGTGGTCGAGCAGAAGCTGAACCACGTGTTTTTTGCCCTTAATAGCGGCAGCCTGTAGTGCGGATCCGTATTTGCTGCCCTCCGCGTTAACATCGGCACCGTGGCCGAGTAGAAACTCAACCATGGATATGTTGCCCGAAGCGGCAGCAGCCTCTAGTGCGGAGCCCATCCTTCCGCCTTTCGCGTTGACCTTGGCGCCGTTGTCGACTAGTAGCTGAGCTATAGCAATGTTCCCCTGTGAAGCGGCCAACACTAGCGGAGTACCAAAATCAATGTTGTACGCGTTGATGGGAGCGCCATATTCCAAGAGCAGGCGGACAACTTCCGTGTCGCTGTGCCCGGCAAACAGAACGGCGTGTAGGATGGTACCGTATGGTTCGTCGTGGATATCTGTCTTGGCGCCGTGGCTCAGCAGCACCCGCATGGTCCCAACATGTCCATGTTTGGACGCTATGTGTAGAGCGTTTCCTTGACTGCCCGCCTGGGCATTTACGTCAGCTCCGTTGTTAATGAGCAGCCGTACTACGCTTTCGTGTCCATCATAAGCCGCTGCTTGCAAGGGAGAGCCCTGCTCCCCACCCTGAGCGTTGACGTCGGCTCCGTTGTCGATGAGAAGCTGAACCACTTTCTTGTGTCCATCGTAAGCTGCTGCTTGCAGTGGACTGCCGTACGTCCCACCTCTGATATTGACATCGTGATGCTCCAGCAAGGTCTGAACCTCATCGAGTCTTCCACTCAGTGCGGCCAGATATAACGGGTTGTCACCCTGATCCTTCTTGCGAACGGTCTCCGCTTCAGACTGAGTGGACTGATCCATGAGCCACCGCGCGATCTCATCATGATTCGCATCCCAGGCTGCCTCCGACGCTTTGCCATGCTCGCCACCTCTGGCGTTGACATCGGCGCCACGGCTCACTAGCAGCTTCACAACATCGAAATGTCCTGCGCACGAAGCTGCCTGCAGAGCGTAGGCATGCCCCTGCCCCTGCGCATTGACATCGGCCCCATGGTCCAGAAGTAGTTGGATTAGCTCGAGGTCCCCGTGAGTTGCGGCTCCTAGTAACGGGCGAGGGTGTTTGCACCCAGAGGAATTGGCGTTGGCTCCATGGAGGAGTAGAGTACGGACAATTTCGGTGTTCCCGCTTGCCGCGGCTATCTGAAGAGCTGAGCAGGAGTCCTCATCCTGTGCATTAACTGTCGCCTGGTGTTCAAGTAGCAACTTGACTACCTTTGCGTGGCCGTGGCACGAGGCCGCTTCCAAAGCGTTATCGAACAGTCGGCCCTTCGCGTCTACATCGGCCCCGTGTTCGAGCAATAGTTGAATCATCTCTTCATTACCTGTGCATGAAGGCTCGTGAAGAATGCTGCCGTGTTCACCCCATCGCGTGTTGACATCAGCGTGGTTGTCGAGAAGCAGGCGAGCCGTGTTCATGTCGCCAGCCAGGACCACGCGGTGCAGCCAGAGGTCGCGCAATGTAGGTAGCTTGTGTAAGTTGTCGGAAAGCCAAGCACGGCAAGTACTTAACGCCGGGCCGGCCGCCAGCGCGTGCTCCTGCCACTCATTGACTATGTACGAAACCTCGGGGCGCAGCTCCAGGAATCTATGCAGATCGGGGTTGGGCGAAAGCTCGCCGTCTTCCTTGCGTTGAATTATCCGCTTTCCGTGTTGGAATTCTCTGGCGCTCATGCATGTCCAGCAGATCCTGAGCAAGAGGAGATGGGTCTCGTCTGGCACGACGTGATACCGTGATATACCTCTGATGAGCCCGAGAGTACCAAGCATCTTTGCAATGACGGAGGCGATGAAATTGTAGATTCGGCTATTGTTCAGTACGGGAAGCTTTCGAGTGAAAAAGGTGTCACTCGAGTAATTGATCGAGAGGCGACGGTCAAGAAGATACTCTTTGGCCGATTGGTGAACAAAACGTATAGCGAGAGATGAGTCAAGGTAAACCAGGGACTTGCAAGCTTTGTGTAGATTTTCGTCAGGCTTCACCTGCTCTAGCGCTTGTATTCCACTGGAACTCCATTTTCCCGGACGTAAGGTATAAAGTAAGCCGAGTTCTTTTGGTCTCAACGGTCGCCGGGCGAGAGCAGCCATGCGCAGGACGAAAGCGGCTTCTTCTGCATTTGCCGAGTCGATCTCTCTCAACATCCTGTCGTACACATCGTGAAGGTCCCGAGGCAGGTTTTGGAGCTTCATAACGACTTCCTCGTTGGTCAAGGCTTTATCAAGATCCTGGAAGACAAACGAGGCCCACAGGTAGGTGTCGCCGGCCTGTTTGCTGATTATCCTGTGGATCTTTGGCTCCATGTTCGAAAAAACCGGAAGATTCTTGATCCGGACTTCGATGAACCTGGAGACGCTGGCACTGAGGTGTTCGGAGATGTTCTTCTGTTCAACTTTCAATATGCGACCATCGAGGATTTTTGGAAAGTCCGATTCGGACCTTGAGGTCAGGAGGATTTTGATGGTGAGATCCCGTTTCTTAATTCTGACCGACTTAATGAATAGCGTGAAGAGTTCCTTCCGTGAAGTCTCATCGCACTTGTCCATCCCGTCGATAATGAGGTATACGTCACCATCAAGACTCTTCAAAAGCCTGACGAAGACGGTCCAGAGGTTGTTAAGATTGTCAGGAAGTGAGTCCCGGTATTGACCGTAGAGATGACTGATATGCTTGAAGTTCTCTTTGCGTTGCTGTAACAACTGCACAAGAAGTCCTGCGAGAACTGCCGTGGTTGTGTTCCTTTGTGTGTGGTAGTCGCAGAAAAAGTGGGCAACGGCCTTGTGATGATCTTGCTGGCTCTCCACGTCCAGTAGTTTGTCTATCAAGAAGTGGGACATCATTGTTTTTCCTATGCCAGTGTTTCCGAGGAACATGAGGAGAGAGGAATCTTTTCCAGAGTGCCAGGACTGGCACTGGTCTAGATCGAAGAACCACTCACACGTGCCATCAATCCACTGTTCTTCATTCTTCAAATCCATGGTAAAGTCCTCTTGGGAAGTGGTTGAGCCCAATCTCCTCAGACAGTCGTAGTAGTTATCCTGATAGCCTTTATTCCATGAAGGACGATAGTTAGCTACGTGGCTTACTAATACTGAGTGGCCGAATAGTCGTCTGCAGATAAAACATACTGGTATTGGAGAACGCATTCATATTGAATTCCTTTACAGATATGCTTCCTGTATGAAGATATCAGCATAGTTTTACAAGCACGAGATGTTAAACTAACCGGTGATTGACATGTTTTTGCGGGCAAAAGCATTCCCCATAACTACTCCACTCGTCTCATCCACAGTCGAGGCGAAAATCGTCCTTCCCATGTTCACAAGTGCCGCGTCTGCTCCTGGTGTGGAGGCCCCAGACTGCGGGTCTTCCATCGGAAACGAGGGCATAGGCAGAGACACTGCGAGTGGAGGCCGAGGATCCTCCTCTTCCATTGGTACAGAGGGCGAGCGGCTGGGTACTGGGCCTTCTGCTAGAATGATCTGCGGTTGCGTGCTGAACGGGTATGGTGTGCCAATGTGCTTCGACGCACTATCAAACACACTCGTCGACCCCAGTCAGAGATATGCTGCTGAAGGACGGCACTTGGTGAAGGTGGGACTTGTATTTAATGCTCGTTTGTATCACCTAAAGTTTTGCTTTGGGGTCAGCCGAGCGAGGAGGGACGGTGTGACTTTGTAGCTGTGACGATCACTGTTGCTAGAGCACGGCATTCCATGTGCATCTGTATGCATGCTAATGTTAATGGGTATTGCCTCGTGAGCCAGACGTGACCGGAAGGCTTTAGTTTATGGAATACGAATGAGACAAGATTTGATCTTATTTCGATTGGAGGAGAGGCATGCGTGCAGCTGAAAGCCCCGCTACGGTGAAACCTGTATGCAATGTGACTTTCATCACAGCACTAATCGACATTACATGGGCTCCACACCTACTTTCTCAGCTTGCCAGCGCAGCCCTCCAAGCTGAAGTCTCCTCGGCGGTCGGTAGCACCTTATGTTCGTTACCGCTAGGATCCACTCTCCCGAAAGGACAATGCTCCAAGAACAGGATTTTACCGAGTATCCTAGGCTGTAATAGGTTATTTCTCCGATTGCTCATTGAAATTGGGAGGAGCGCTGAAATGGGCGATTTCAGTGGAGATCCCGCCGTGCGACCGTGCCGCCTCGGGAGCCAGGCAATCTGAGGATCCCTTCGCTAAGCGGCAGACAGCCATCACAAGTTGCCCCAAAAGCATTTCAAACGTCTCCGCGCTTCACCGCCTAGTGTGGGTGAGCTTGAAAATAGTAACGCATTTTGCCAACTCAGTACATGAAGCGCAGCCGCAGTGTAGGCAGCAAATCCACTCTTTCCGAGAGGGACCCTCGGTCTGATGCATGCACACGGCCACGTCATCCCTGACCCGCATACTGATTCAATTTAGGCCCCAAGTCTGCCTTGAGCCCGATTGCGCATCATTATCCACACCGAATTGATTGACGGTCTGATTCTCACGCCGGCTTTTTGGCTGTTGGTGCCATCGTTTACACTGGTTCATAGTCATCAAAAGTACATAAAGATTGGTTGGTGAATACATATCAAACACGAAAACAACATCCGGTTTAAAGCGGTGTGCTGACACCCTTTCAATAGGGCAAGCCCCTCTTGGTAGGACCTTACAAGATTCTGCGTGGTCACATGCCGGCTGCTGTGCCGCTGGCTCGGCGAAGGTATTGTACCGGCTTGCCTCATCTCCTTCCGGGTGGATCAACCCTTCTAGATTTTCTGGCTCTCCTATATCTCTCAACGCGCAGCGTCATACAGTGTCAAGCACGATCTTATCCCGACTCCCAAATCGTCTCTTCGCCATGGTAACTTTGGATCCGGCGCTCTACACCGTCGCATGGATCGCCCCGCTCCAGATCGAGACTCGAGCGGCCCTGTACATGCTGGACAACGAGCATGACGGCAGGTTCCGTTTGGGCCGGGGCGATGACTACGTGTTCCACGCTGGGGACATGTGCGGGCATAACGTTATCATTGCAACGCTGCCGGCCGGCCAAGAGTACGGCACAGGTTCCGCGGCCGCCCTCGCCGATCGGGTGAAAACCTTCTTCCCCAATCTTTGGTTTGGACTGCTGGTGGGGATCGCTGCCGGCCTCCCGAAGCTCTCTGGGGATCCCATTCGTGATGTCCGTCTCGGCGACGTGCTCGTCGCTCTTCCTACCCCGAATACCGCCGGCCTTATACCCTACGACCTCGGCAAGGAAACTGAGAACGGGTTCGAGCTACTGCGCGCTGGACATGTTCTGGCCGTCACAGAGCCTGTCGTCAGATCCGCAATTGGCAGCATCCAAGTCAGGGCGCCAAACGATGCAGAGCGGTTTTTGCCTTATTACGAGAGAATCAAAAACGAGGAACATGCCACAGGCACCTTCAATGACCCTGGACAGGAGAATGACGCATTCTATGAATATGACAGTGATGGAGAGGAACACGAAGTCAAACGGGAGCCACGGCCGCCATCCAGACGCACTCGAGTATGGTACGGGAGTATTGGGTCAGGAGACAAACTGGTCAAGAGCGCCTGCAAGCGGGACGTACTCAAAGCATTATTGAAGGATGAGGTCATCGGCCTCGAAATGGAGGCAGCTGGTACCATGAACCGCATACCAGTTGGTGTCATCCGAGGAGTCAGTGACTACGCGGATGCCCACAAGAATCACATTTGGCAACCATACGCTGCGGCCATGGCTGCAGCATACGCCAAAGCAGTCTTGGCGGCGATTGGACAGAATGAGGCTCCACTACCGAAGCCACAAATGGCATCAGCAGAGAAAAGCAATGTCAGTACTGTCCCTCTCACGAATACCGATTTTATTTTAGGCTGATGTATACAGATTGACAAGGCATCTCAACCGCAATATGTACGTGAAGGTAAAACTACGTACCATGGACCAATCAGTGATGTCTTTGGGGTTGTGGTGGGAAACGTCTCTGGTGGTCGTATCTCGGGCGCTCAGGTGGTGAGTTTAAATACTCGTTGGACCGTGACAGGTAGCCCGGCTGATCTTCTTCCAGACCAACAACTATGTACAGCGATAGTTGGAAAGTCCAATGGTGAAACAAAACTAACCCCAGGAATGACCCTCTCCCTCACTACAGCCTTGAGGGTGCAGTTCGCTGTCACGTTAGAGGCGATAGAGAAGACAAAACATAAGGACAGAAATAGCCGTAGCGAGAGACTAGACACATTGCATGAAATAGAGGTGACTTAGAAAACTCGAGCAACTGGAGAGTGCATAGCACCTTCTTCACAAACATATCACCGGTGGTTGATGCAGGACAAGCGGGGACCGGAGCAGCGACCTGTAAACTCTGCAGGCTAGGTACAGCAAAAAGCAAGGGAAGAAAAAGCCGAACGTAGCAGGGGCCAGATACCCACGATTACCCGAGTAGCGGTTAATGGTTCCTTACGTGATTCGACAACGGAGCGTCTGCAGAGATAGAGTGCGGGTCATGGTGGAGAATGAGACTGGCCAATTGCAGGGATGCACGAATCACGATGAAAGATGAACCCCACCCTATGTTTATTGAGGCTATGCAGAATTCCACTAAACTTGCAAGGCTGCATTCTTTTTTAGCGAATATACAAGGGTGCATGCTGCTGCCTAATTTAATAACGAAATAACGCCTTGAATCTGCCGTGTTCCGGATATATAGTTTAAGGCTCTGTTGGCACATTGTGTCCCGATTTCTCTTTGAATTTCGCCCTCCTACGACACGAAATCCCGGAAGATCGCTCAAATTTTCCTGTAATTTACTGATTAGAGGGAAAAGGCCCCACGTGGTGATATTTGCCGAGGATTGTTCTTTATCCTGTACCATTTCCACCAGCCCTCCTCGAACATAGTTGCCACTATGGCCGATGGATTCGGAGAGCCCCTCTTTAACCCCTTCCGAGCAAAAGTCGAGTACGTTAGCTGTCAGGGCTTGAGATGTATCTGTCCGAAAAATGATTTCGATGACTAATAGACTTCACAGCGTTATCTTCGTGGATGGCTTTTGTAACGGCCACTCAGGCGCGGCTGAGACATCATCTCATATAGTCTGGCCTCAGGAAGTCCTAGCGCAAACAGGAAAGACCGCCCGAGTCTTTCGATTTGGGTATAATGCCACGTTCAGTGACTTCTTTCCCGGACCCAACCATACAGGCAAGTCAATTGATGACCATTCTGCCAAGCTTCTTCGAGGTCTTGAGGGTATCGCTCAAACAGTAAGCAAAGAGAGACATGTAAATGTATATAGAGTCGGACTCTAATTCGGTAAAGGGAGATCGTCCGATTATCCTTGTCGCCCGCGACCTTGGCGGTCTCGTGTGCGCAAATGCGTTATCTAAGCAGGATGCTGACCCGGCCGTCGTCAACAATATCCGTGGGCTTGCCTTTTTTGAGACACCATTCGAAGGCAAAACGGCTGCCAGGTGGGCGAAAGCCGCTCAAGACTTATTCGCCTTTGACGGATCGAATATGCCCAGCAACCTGAAGGAGCGGACTTGGAAACTCATTGGTGTCAACAACGAATTTTTGGAGTTTTTGAAGCCCCGCAATGAGCATCTTCAGATCCAGTGCTTCTACAAGATGTACGCATCATCGCCACTACTGTCTGAAGATGAATTGGTCGAGATTGCGAGTGAGAACTGGGACGAGATTTCTTCTCAGCTAGCCCAGTGGATTAAAGAATTTGGCACGCCACCGGCCAAACCTGAAGATGCCCCAGTTCCTGTAGGCATCTCTACAACATCCATTCGCTATCATTGCACAGTCACGCTAACTTTCATATGTCTAGCCAGGGTCTGCGGTAGTGGGTGACACCAACTATTATAAAGAGATTTCGGGAAACTCGGGGGTGGTGGCAGGAGGGATTGCCAACACTAGTCGAGACGGTATCCGCGTGACGGGTTCTTCCACGGTGAGTTCAGTCCTTGTTTGGGGGTTACAGATTACGCAATTGACTTTTTCCCCAGACCAACAACTACCGGGGCAAGGGCCATCGACCCAGAAACGATAGTTCCTTACTGAAGACTGGCCCAGAGCGACGGCGCTAGAAGTCTAGCGTAACAAAGAGGAATGAAAGAAGGAAAAGCACCCGAGGTTACGAGAGGCACAGGCGGTATTCCAGGCAGTACCTATGGCACTGACAAGCGGCCCACCGGAGGCGTTTCCTTAAGACCAACTGCTTGCCGATTGCTTCTTCTGTTTTCCTGATTTGCTCTTTTCTTTTACCATTATGGCAGCATTCTTCCCTAATTTGTCATGTTTGTCATTTGCAATCTTATTCGTGCTCTGCCCGTAGACGATGATATCATGCAAATTGTAACATCCTGCACGTGAAGCAAATCTAAAACCCACATAAAATTGAAAAAACATGAGATAGTGATATATATCCTAATAGAAGCCAAGATAATAAGCCCTATGCAACTTTTGACTCATCCCTCGGATCAGTCTCGGCCGGACGTGGAATGTACAGCGTAATCAGAGATGGACGGTGACCGTGCGAAGTTGCTGAAGTAGGAGCACAGACAACATCCGTTATGGAAGTGGTCAGAGTGAACGTCATGATGCTAATTTCAGCATCGGTGGACTCATGGACCAGCACCACCGGCTGGGACCATACCGAGATATATGAATGCACTGTCGGAGTGGGGCTGCAAGTACCGGCCTTGGTAGCCACCACAACAGACGTCACAACCTCGGTGCTGAACATAGTTACTGTGGCGGGTGTAAGCTCACTGAGCGAAGGCTCAACTGTTATCGTTTTGTGTTCGATTAGGGTAGTAGGAGCAACAGTACCATTTCGATCCAATGTGTCCTGCACAGTTTCCCGAAAAATCATTGGAAAGATGAAACCGAAGGCCATGCTGTAAGTCTTGAGTATCGTTACCACGAGAAACATGGCTACTCCAAGTACAATGATTATGCCTGCGATATCATGGGCCTTGATGTAGCGTGCCATCGCGTTCTGTGGTACCGTCCACCGAGCCTGCTCAGGGTTGAACCTACCTTTGCCGAAATGCAGCAGAGCTGCGGGGTTTTTTATTCTTCATGTCCTTTATTCAGGCTAAACAATGTTGTATGAGACATTTGCATTGTTCGCTCGGTTGTGGATCTCACACCAATTCCTTTCTACACATGTGAATCAGAGGCGTGATGAAGCAGGCACTTTAGACTTTTAATTGTAATATTATGAGTTACTTTGAATGGGCGTGTTGGACGTTATGCCTTCTAACGAGAAATCGCGTTAAAGCGACAGTTCACTGATGAATGGTTTGCAATAGGCTTCTGAAGCAATGAGCTTTCAACGTATTAGACAACGCATTGTTCAGAATCTCTTTGTCTAAATACCTTCTACCTTATTCAAGTAATGTCTTTATACTTATGGCCGAGACATGTCTGATATGCCTCTTCAGGCGAGCTTCAATAACCACAAGCTGAAGAGGTTGATATCACTACACATCAGAGCCAATCATTTTCAATAGTAACAACTCATACCAACTGCAGTTCCGAGATATGACACCTTATTCTCAGTCGAGTGGGTGTCGAAATTTAAAATTGCTGAGGAAGTGGCTGATGACCTGACGAACATACCTGCAACAAAGAGAATGGCCATCACGCATGCTTACAGGACTCTAAAAAACTGCGAAGCTTGTGCAAGTGAGGACAAAAATTATATAGCTAATATTTCGATTGCGCATACGGACAATGAACGTTTATGAAATGAATAGATGATTTTTGTGCCTTAGTAGAAACAGTACCGTCATATCGGATACTAATCCTCCCATTCTCCAGCTGACGTGCCACGTGAGTTACCGTTCCATCTGGATAATAAAACCAAATAGTGCGGCGAGAACTATAGATGAAATCTAGTCAGATTGGTTCCACAGCAACGTTTGTTTGGCTACTCACGTGCAGATGATGCAAGGATGAATCCAGCCACAGTGAAGACGGTGGACAATTCTCCACCTTTGAGAGCCCATACCATTGCCACTCCAGTGGAGATGACGCCAGGAATAGACCCAGCGATTGCCACCCGCCAACCAGACCAGCTTTCAATGAATTCAAGAGAATGACGTGCATTATCTTGTCTCAGATAGAACACCCAATCCACGTAATCCCAGGTGGTTCCGGTTTGAGAGATTTTCCAGGGGCAGTGAAAGTACGCCAACATCTCAAAGAAGGCATCGGGCGCAAGCTCAACTGTCTCAAATCGAGCGCTACGATCACGGGTGAACTATACCATCTTGAGTTTCAGTACAGCCAAGTAGATTAGACGAACGTACCTTGACTAGTTGGAACGTGCGTAAAGTTTTCAGAGAACACCACCGTCTCCAGAAGCTACACATATAAGTGTAGTAAACGAAATTCAACTCCTCGAAAAATCTCCGATCATTGTGTACCAAATGCGGGTCATTCATTATCATGCGCCTTGCGTCATCTGGATCCGGGTACGCACCGCTGTCAATCACCTCGATTGTATTGCCGACGTAGCATCCTTGACGCCGACAGAATACATTGAGTGTACATATCGACCTCCTAGTATCCCATTCGGCAGGATTGCTTTTTGATTTTCGAGGAGGCGCTACCTCTGGGTCCTGGATTGGCTCCACTCTCCGCTTCTTGCCACTATGTTTGATTGAACCGGTACTGCGGCTCCTCAAAGGCGGAACTGAATTGCTTCGATACGTGGGTCGTCTGCTTGTTGCTGGGAGGGGCATACTTGGAACGGCATTGGTGTCTCTCAGGACGGCACGGGGATCGCTTTTGGAATGAAAGTGGCTCGCTGGGTCGTGACCGAGGCCAAAGCTTCGAGAAGCCATAGTGGCGGCTCATAGAATGGTTGAGGGATATCGTATTGTAGGCTGTGCATGCAGAAAATAAAGAAACTGGCGGATTTCTCGTGCACGTTATATCCATGGTGAGGCTGAACAAAGCTTACTTCCAGTTGAGCAGGATGCTAGCGACTCATTATGCAAGTACAGGGTAAAAGATTCCTCGTTGGCCTCCCGTTCATTCGGAAAAGACAACGATTGGCTTAATAAGTGGCGCTTTATGGCTCGTTATCCATAAGCAAGCGGGGACATCGATCAATAGAACCATGTGCATGTGAATGATTATTTGGATTGCTGAGTAATACTAAAACCTGTGTCTAGACCAGGTTCATCTTTCCAAATCAGATTTTGAGCACATATCTTCGCTGACCGGTCTCCGTTCTTGTGCAAAGCACTCGCTTTCTCATGCCTTATGCCCACGCCCCCACCAAACTCATCCCAATAGCGCCCAAAAACACGAGTAAGCATGCATAAACCCTGCGCTTGCCCCGCAGAACGCGCCAGCTCTCATCACTAAGAAAATCCTCGGCCATCAGCTCCACGAGCGATGCATATACCAACAGACCAGCAGAGATTGCATTCATGATTCCAACAACTAGGAGACCGACCTCCGAGTCGGGGCTGTAAAGTGTGTGAAGTCCCAGGCCAATGGCTTGCCCGACCGGTGTTCTGCATGAGATGTGAGCAAAAAAGAAATGTAAAGGCTGCAGCCTTGCGCAATGAGAAGAGACTCACGTGCAACCATAAGCCAAAGACATCATCCAAGGCTGGATGGCGTTCGGCTTCCATTTCAACGCCGCAATCCTAGACCCTAACGCGAGGCCCTCAAATGTTTCTACGCAATTGTCAGCCAGACAGCTCTTTTCTGTCAGTCTTTCCGGGGGAGGCTTACGGTGAAATGCGATGGCAATCAGAAGGATGATAAACTCCTTCCCAATCGACACGCTCAACGCCATACCAATGAAGATGCTGTGAAACAAAATCCCCATCTCAAGCAGCATGCACTGCAGCAATGCCTTCTTATGCTCCTGCTCTGGCGTCAACGGCACGACGCCTTTCAGCGGCTCGTGCTGGCTCTCCCGCATCTCTTCTTCCGCCATCCTCCGCGTCTCCGTTGCTGCGTCTTGATCCCGCCTCTCGCCCATATCCGTCAGCCTGCGACCGACACTGTTCGACCTTCCATTCCACGGCCCCAAATGGCGCAAATGCAGTCCCTCCCCTCCCGCTCCCTCCGCCGACCCCCTCTGCCCTCTCACTTCCTCTTCCACCTCCTCCTCCCCATCGCCAACCACGCTACTCCCCCGACTCCCCATCCTCTCCAACCCCCCACCCAAAACCTGCCCCCCTTCCTCCTTGTGCCCATGCATGTGGCCGCCAGGCGAAAACACCATCTCGACCGTCGCAATGAAGAAAATCGCCAGCAAGCATATCGCGCCGGGCATGGCCTGGTAGTCCTCGGTCCAGAAGTTGGACAGGCAGGGGTCGCCGAGCGACGTGAAGGCCGTCGGCAGCAGGTGCACGAAGGCCGTCGCGAGCAGCACGCCCGTGCCGAAGTGGCGGGCGCAGAAGAGGAAGGAGGTCAGGCGCCGGCGGCGATTGGGGGGGCGAGCAGTAGCGGTAGTAGTAGTGGAGGAAGACCGCGCGGCCTTGCGGTTGTTCAGGGCGAGGGTGAGGAGCGGGAAGGCGCAGGCGAGGGTGGAGACGAGGAGGATGATGAAGAGGGCTGCGACGTGGAGCGGGGTGTTGTAGGAGGTGGTGGGGCCGCGGTTGGGCCCGGCGCAGGTGGATGCCATGGTTGGTTGGTGGTGGTGGTCGTGGTTGTGGTGGTGGTGATGATTTGGGCAGGGTGAGGTTCAGGTTTGGCGGAGTTTACTCCGGGTTTCTTGCTCTATGCGGCGGCGGGGTGGAGGGGGATTTTCTGTTTGCGGCCATGGGATTTTGTAAGATCGTGGGTGTGGAGGGAAGGGCTGAGGAAGAAGACACTGATGGTAGGCGAGGTCACCGAGCCATGGGGACGGAAGATTCAGGGCCGCGGGTACGCGTCAGATATAAACAGCGGTACGCCATAAAGGAAAAAACGTGAGCGGGAGAACGGGATCGAAAGTGTAATGCGATGCCGCCTCAAGCCCGAATGCCAAGTGCCAAGCCCGCGTGGAGAAGTGGGTATGCCAATGAAAGGCACGACCGGTTGGGCTTCGCACGCGGGAATCGGCGAGCTGGCTTGGCGCCAACACCTCGCTTCTCACGTGCGGGCACCTTGATGATGACTCTTATGTAAAAGGCATGCGGTATCGCAAATGTTTCGATGAACAATACATATCTTAGATCCCAATGGATAGTGTTTGAGAGACATGTCGTTGCTGTTGATCTCTTGGAAATAGTACTATGGACACGGCTAGTAAGCTTGTTATTAAGGTAGCAATACAGAAGGAAAAAGCAATTCCTCTGCGCAAAACTGAAATGATAATCATCTAGAACGCTTGTCGTTCCTCAACCCAATGAAATAGCAACTTATACCTCACGCTTGTCCCATGACTGCCTTCACTGTGTTCTGGGAACGGCTACGCCTTACATCAAGCTGTTCCTTCTTGACGTTCCAGGCAGCCAGAGCCTCATCGCTCAGTTCTGTAATGTTAACGTCGGGCTTGCTGTGCCATTTAACGACAAGCGCATTATTCCTTGTCTGAGACCTTTCGGCAACCCAGCTCCGTAGCTCCGGACGATTGAGGAACCCTTGCCCCGCCGACATAGTCACATACAGCTCCTCGAGGGCGGGCATCTGACGAACTGCGCGTCCCATGGCCACTTGAAGCGCATTTAGATTCTCTTTAATCGCGGCCCGTCTTTCGAATCCGGTTCCCGATTTTTCAGATTCAAACAGGTCGAACCGTTCTCCTTTAAAAAATCGAAAGGGTCAGCTACTGGAGTCTCAAACTGGTCAATAAAATTGCTGGGCTAGCATTGCGTACCATAACAGTCTGTTCGATCGCATAAGAGAGCAAGACCCTTCAAGTTGGGCCAGTAAAGGGCCGGAATGGCGGAAGGGTCCTCATTCTGGCTGGGCCAAAAAAGCGAGGGTGAGATGGTGAAGTCATGCAAACGCAACCAGCGTAGCTGCGTGGACAGATTCCGCAGTCCGACGCACAAGTGATCTGTGCCGAGCGGCATGGATGCTGGCTGATCGCTTGTGCGTGGTGCGATGAATGCTTCGAATCGCTCGCACGTTTTGGGGAGCATGTGCAAGTTTTGTCCCAGCACTTTGTCGCATTCTGTTAGTGACCAACATGGGCATGGGTAGAAAAGGAGACTACAAACCTGTACGGTATTCCTGCCACAGAGGCAGATCTGCGCTTGATACATCATGCAGCTGGACAGCTACCCCGTTAAGTCCTTCCATAGCCGCCAGGAGATGCATGAGCGAGACTGGCCATACACGCCAATCCCAAACGTCACTTGCTTCCAAACCTCTGGAGATGTGCCAAGGTCTGTTTGTTCCGAAATCGAAAACACAGCGTACGCGCGGCCACGAGACGACATCTATGATGTTCAAAAAGGCTGGGTCTTTCGAAGAAGGCAATGTTTCGGGGCCGTGCTTCTTTATAGGCGCGTGGTGTAGGTTTAGCCTTATCCGTCTGTCTGTCGGCCACTCGGCCAGAATCTGCCAAAAGTCGCGCAATGATTCAGAGAATGCCTTGTCATTGGCTGCAGAACCACACTCTGAGTGAGCCTCGCTAGAGCTCAGTGGAAACTCAAGGCTGGCTGTGAACCAAATACGGCGGACATATTTTTTGCGGCGTTCACCGTCGCGTTCCATCATCTGCTTAAAGCGGCTGGTGGATGTCGAGCCTACATCTCTCTGCCCAATGATGTGTGGTGCAGTTACAAAGAGATTCTGAAAGCTGTGGTACTCCACGAGTTCATTGAATGATTTGTTGATGCATGCGTAAGGGGCGAGCCTTGGTCTGTTGTGGGCTGATATCTTCAATTTCGTGTCTTTACGAAGAAGGATTATGAGTTTCTCGATGATGATGATCTTGATATCGACAGGTAAATTTTCCATTTTTACACTTAAAAGATGTGAGGATTTGGAGAAGTAATGGATGTGAGAGAATACAAGCGGTGAAATAGTTCAAGACTGCTGCCTAGATTAGCGAGAATGTCACGTGTCATCTTTGATAGTCATCGGTCCTTTCATCTAAAGATGGGTAGATTACCGGGACACCTTTCCTAATTTGACGAAGGATTTCACCACTTCCAGAGGACTGACAGAGGAACGGTTATACGTGTGCATGATAATGAGTGCTTCTGCATATTGTCAACTCGATAGTTTCGCTTAGATTGGAATACGGAACAAGGTATCTTTTTGGTTGTTCCTGCTTGTGGGAGAGGGAGTTGAGTACCTTGTGAGCCATATAGATACTAATCTAAATAGAGCTTAGTATACTTCTTGTGTTCATAGTGTTGTTTGCCTCGTTGAAGGCAAACGAAGTTCTATTTGCCACGTTCAAAGTTGCCGACGCTGCACGCTTTACCCTTTAGAACGCCCTACCGCTAGGGTACAACTCGCTAATTGGTTGACAGAGTACCAACGCCTATACGCTATCTTTTAAAAAGCTCGGGGCTTTGCCGACTCGATATGCCCCCGACAATGCCGGTTTTACAAGACCATTGGAGCAGAAACTTTGGTTTGGTGTGTCATGAGAAAGTTCCACCCTACCACTGATCAATAGACATCGTTTTTACCCCGCTTTATCTGGTTACTGCTGTGCTGTATGTCATCAATATCTTCATGCATAGATACTCAGCGCTAATGCATCCTGTGCGTTGTAGGTTTCACTGGATGCGGGGCAGCTTTCTCATCATACACACAACAATAGCGACGTCCAAAGCCGTCGGGCCTCAAATATTAAATCAATAAGCTCCACAGATGTGAGTGACAGGAGCACGGTTGGGCATAAAAGTTACAGGTTTTCTACCTGTGCATCTGTCACATTAATCCTACGGAGATAGAGCAATGGTGAGCTGGGTGATACAAAAACGGCAAAACGGCCGCTATTATGTTACTAGGCTAAAGTGCCTGACGTGTCGCATGACCTATGTGGCGCATATTGGGATCTATCATTGGGCGCAAGGTAGGCTTTGCATGCCGCCGTTATCTCCATAAAATGGATATCATTTAGGACGTCAACCATCACTGTCGCCACTCGCCGGCCTGATCCTCCTCCCACTCGACATCGAGACTACCAACTACACAGCCATGGAGTTTCACACCGGACCTTTAACCAGTGTTGGGTACATCGCAGCACATCCTATTCTCGTTACTGCGGTGGCAATACTACTGTATGGTTTATCTCTCGGCCTGTACCGATTGTCGAGATTTCACCCTTTGGCTAAATTCCCTGGACCAAAGCTCGCCGGTCTAACGTAACATTCCGCATACTGACCTACACTGCTGAAAATGTGCTTACCCACATTAGATATTGGTACGAGATCTATTACGACATCTACAGACCTGGCGACTACACCAAGGTCATCATCGACCTTCACAAGACATACGGTACGGGTATCAGCGACTGTCGTTGGCGTCGACAGTCTTTAACGCTTTGCAGGGCCTATTATCCGAATAAACCCAGATGAGCTCCATGTTAGCGATCCCAGCTTTATCGAAGTTCTGTACACGAACTCGGGCAAGAAGCGAGAAAGTCCACCGTGGCACACGCGACCATTTCAGTACGCCTCTAGTAGATCATGTATTTTTGCAAGGCTGCTGACCACCGGCGCAGATTTGAAGGAGTATGCAGAAGCTGCAATGATGCTTGAAATACATGGGACTGATGCTAACGTAGGCGCATTTCGGTACCGCCAACCACGACCTACATCGCACTCGTCGGGCTCCTCTGAACCGGTTCTTCTCCAAAGCAATGATATCGAAGTTGGAGCCCGCCATCAAAGCAAAAGCAATCCATTACTGCAAAAACCTCGAAACCTGGGCTGGAACCGGCGAACCGCTCGACCTTGTCACGTCTATCTCATGCTTCTCGACAGACGTGATTACGGAATACCTATACGGCGACGGAAACCATTTTCTGGATGACCCGCGGATGCCCCTGAGCCTTTACCATCCAATCCACATGGGCGCTGAGTCCATCCTCTCGTTTAGGCATTTTCCGATTTACATGCATTTGTTTAATGCCATCCCCTCGTGAGTTTGTACGCCAAGTACTAGTTCGTAGATTAATAGTGTACAGCTCCATCATGGAACGCTTAAGCCCTGTCAGTGAGCTTTGGCGTCTGTTTCGAGTCGACGCGCGTATACGCATAAGAAAAATCAAGGAAGACGTCAATCTAAACGTCCCAAAGTCACGGACAACCGTGTTCCATGAGCTACTCACGAGCGATCTACCGGATTCCGAGAAAGGAGTTGAGCGAATGGGTATGGAAGCGCAGTCACTAGTTGGTGCGGGAATTGAAACTGTTACCTGGTGTAAGGCCTTCCACGCTGACCATGACCGACCCTAATGAGTGACGCTTTGCTGTAGGTCTTTCCGTTGCTATGTTCTACCTGCTGTCAGCTCCAGAGGTAATTGCGAAGCTTCACGCTGAACTTGAGACCGTCATTCCCGGCACAGATCCAAGCGCCTTCCCTTCGCTGGCGACGCTCGAGCAACTGCCATACTTGAGCGCTTGTGTTAATGAAGCTCTGCGTCTGAGCTATGGAGTGGGGTCACGTCTTCCGCGCAGCTCCCCCGATGAACCCATCATCTACAAGAATGCTGATAAGACGTGGATGATCCCTCCAGGTTATGCAGTCGGGATGTCGAGTTACCAGATTCATCATGACGAAACATTATTCCCCGACAGCCGGACATTCAAGCCAGAGAGGTGGTTGGATGAGCACGGGAAGAGGAATAGACATCTTGATCAGTACTTGTTGAGCTTCTCCAAGGGATCAAGACAGTGTCTGGGAATGAAGTGAGTACAGTCATTTTCCGCGCACAGTAATTGGGACGCAGAGTTTCTAACAGAGAATATCTTGCAGCCTTGCCCAAGCGGAACTATTTACATTGCTGGCGATGTTGATCCACTGCTACGGTCATCGCTTGCAGCTCTTCGAGACTACGATTGAGGATGTAGAGTTCCATCATGATGCCTTCATCCCTGCAGTCAAACCGGGGAGCAAGGGGATTCGGGTGTTGGTGAAGTAGAGCGCAGATGTCCCTTGTCTTCAAAACTCGGTAGATGCAGAAATTGTATTTCTGCTGAGTTTCTCAAAGGTTGTGCTTGCTTCTACAGTCACCGGTTCATGATAGTCTTTCTGTAATAAAGCTCAAACATGTTCAGTATTCGGTCATTCATTTCACTCAACACGATGCAATACAACGGAACAAAAAATTGGCATACTCATGGAACAAAACGTCCATAACGTCGTCATGAAGATTGTTTTCCTGCTTTCAAGGACGAAAAGAAAGATCATTCAACTAAGAAGACCCGTCGTTTTCACTTCCCTCGCACCACCATCTCGTCTAAATGGGTATCAAACCCGTGTGTATATATACAGAAAAATATGAGAAAAGAAGAATTCACCACAGAAGAATCAAAAAATGATATGCACCACCGCTCCCGTTATTTACTTTTTGTTTCGTTTTTTTTCTTAGTCGCTCGAGACGACGACGACGCGGCGGCCGCCCTTGAAGAAGCTCAGGGGCCACCACGACGAGCCCGAGGAGCTCGACGAAGACGAATCGCTGGTGGTGTCCTTAGAGCTGGATCCGCCGAGGCCGAAGAGGCCACCGAGACCCTCCAGGCCCTCAAGACCCTCGAGACCCTCAAGACCGCTGAGACCGGACGAGCCGGAGCCAGAGCCGCTGCCGCCGGCGATCGGGGTGAAGATGCCACCGATGCCAGAGCCAGTCTCAGTTCCCGAAGACTCACCACCGAAAGGCGAGGTGCCAGTCGAAGAGCCGCCAGCAATGGGAGTGAAGATACCGCCAATGCCGGAGCCGGTCTCAGTGCCGGACGAGGAGCCGCCGGTGGAAGAACCGCCACCGAAACCGGAAGAGCCGCCGGCGATGGGAGTGAAGATACCGCCGATTCCAGAGCCAGTCTCGGTGCCGGAAGAGCCGGAGCCGGAGCCAGCCTCAGGGGTGGTCTCGGGGGTGGTAGCAGTGCCAGATCCAGAGCCAGAACCGGAGCCGGCCTCGGGAGTGGTAGCAGTGCCGGAGCCGGAGCCGGTCGAGGTGCCGCTGCTGCTGTCGTCGGACGAGGAAGAAGAGCCAGAGGACGAAGAGCCGGAAGAGCCAGCGCAGTTGTTGGCGACAGCGTTGGCGAAGATGGCGTAAGAGTCGGCGTTGTTGAGGGCCTGGGAGCCGGTGAGCTGGGTGGCGGCGCTGTAGCCGTAGCCGAGGTCGTCAGTGCCCTTGATCTCGGACAAGTGAGTGAACTCGTGGAGGGTGGTCGTGGCCTGGTCCTGGTCGTAGCAGGTAGTGGTCAGGTCGGGGAGGGCGCTGTAGTACAGGTCGCAGTTGACGACGAGCGAGACGGAGGGCATGGTGTAGGCGAGGACCTGCGACGAGCAGCCGCCGACGGCGTACTCGGAGGGGACCGAGTTCTCGTCGCAGTAGTAAGTGGCGGCGCCGGAAGTGGTGCTGCCGCACTCCTCGGCGACGGCGTTGAGGACCTTCTTGACCTCGGAGGCATCGGCGTTCTTGAAGATGTCGCTGAAGGCGGCGTTGTCGGACGAGGCGGCCTCGGCGGCGGCGCTGGCCAGCTTCTGGCAGTTGGTCATGGCAGTCTCGGTCGCCGTCTTCTTGTCGCCCGAGCAGTCGGTCAGGGTCGAGCGCTTCTTGAGCTTCTCGATCTTGCCCAAGAAGTTGCGGCGGACCTTCTTGGCGTGCGAGGCCAGGACGTTGGCGCGGACGCGGTTGCTGAGGTAGGGAACGGCGCCCTTGATGACGGTCGAGTTGGCCTCGGCGTAGGGAATGGCGCCCTGGGTCAGGATATCGAAGTCACCACCGGCGGACAGATCGTGCATCTCGGCGGCATCCCAAGTAGCCTCGATGGAGCCTCCGGCAGGGATGTTCTGGAAAGAGTCGCTGGTCAGGTTGTTGGTGCCAAGACGCTGGCGGATACCATCAAAGGCAACGCGAGACTCGGCGCTGTAGACCTCGGCCTTCTCGATGGAGGCGCTGTCGAGGAAAGTGTTGCGGATGAAAAGGTTGAGGTCCTTGTCACCATTGTTGGTGACAGTGGCCTTGATCTCGCTGTTGCTGAGAGTCTCGAGCTTGACGTCCAGGGGAGTGACGCGCTTGTTGAGCTCGACAGCGGCCGAAGCGGCCACGGAGGCCAGAGCGGCGTGAACAGCAGCAGTAGAAAGCTTCATGGTGAAAGGAAGGAAGTAGGGAAGGTAGATAGGAAGAGAGAGTGATTCGTAAGAGCAGCGTCAAGCTGGTAGTGACAGAAAAGAAGAGTGACCGAAGGGAGTCGGCGACCTGCGCAAGGATGGGGAGAAGGAAAGTGGTGGTGGTGGTGATGGTGGCTTGAGGGGAGGTAGATCCGATTGTTTTATAGCAACCGCTGGGGGCTGAATCAATTTCCAGGCCCAGCCCAGACGGGCGGATACGCGAGCCGGAAGACTCTCGGTTGGGTAGGAAATGCGGGGACATTCACATAAACAGAGCGTGCTAATCACGGGGATGCTGGTCAAGTCCGGGGCCTTAATCTAAGGGCAACGCCCTATCTGCAACGGTACCGGGCTGCCAAGGCGTGAGTGGTCGAGGGGGAGAAACGGCGATCCGTTTCGTCCTCTTCGGGTATGGAGCGACTCCGGAAAGTAGAGCGGAGGCCTGAGCCACTGACGATGCAAGTCACGAAGTGCGTTGGCACGGCAGTGGCGATGGCCGGACGCCACGAGTCGGCGCATTAGGTGATGGCCTCATGCTGTATAGAGCGGTAGCCAATGGGAGGATGCAAACGTGGAGCATGAAGGTGGGCGAAAGGTGAAACGGATCAACCAGGATGAGGATGGGCGCCATGATTGCTGTCAGAGGAAGGCGCCTGTGCGTTAGAAACGTCTTGGGCGAATCCCCAAAGCTTGGCGAGGCAGGGCCGGCGCTTGCTGGTGGCCAAGGGCGGCATCGTCCGAGTTGTGGTTGGACGCGCGGTGATGAAGGTGAACGGGAAGCGAGCCGAAGAGCCCTGCGTGTGTGGCTGCGTGGTCGATCGGCACTCGGCAGGGGTAAAGGGTCCTCGGTGACGCCGTCGGCGCGCTGAAGAAGCCGGCTGGCGCGCTGTCCGAAAAGCTCCGGCGGCCGTCGGCGAGCACTGCGGACGCACCCGACCGACCAAAACATCAACGGTCCCAAAACCAAACGCTGTTTCTCTGGCCAGGCTGTGGCGACGACAACGCAGCGCAGATGTTGTTATGCGCGCGGCTGGCTGCGTGATCCAAGCAGTTTAGAGCCCGGCTTGGCGCATCGGGCCAGGGGTTTGTTGCGTGAATCGTGAAACCCGCGCCGCTTCACCAGCCTCGTCGCTTCCATCCAAACCGGAATAATGACCGTCTCGAGCGTTTCAGCGCGCCCGTCACCTCACGGCAGCGCCTCGGCCGGCCTCGCCGTTTGCACGTTTTATGCGTTTCTCGGCGGGGCTGATCTGCTGATGTTCCCGCAAGTTTTGCGATCGGGACGGCAAGGCAGAGAGGACCTTCGTAGGGATGGCACGCCCAACCTGCGTGCGCAAGCTTCGGCCTGGCCGCAGTAAGCATAATAATTTGACTTTGCCCTTGACTCCACCTGCTGCCTGCTTATTTCGACCCTCTCGCGAAACTCTTCAGCCTGGTCTCCACCTCCCGTCTTTTTTTCCTGGCCGCATCGTCAACTACGTCATCGCTGGTCGGTGAACCTTATCACTCCACAACGTGAAACCCTCTCGACAACCAACCACCTCGACCACAATCCACCCATGACCAACCTGACCCTGCGCTCCTTCGCCTGCGCCGCCATTCTCCTCATTCTCATCTACAACTTTTCTGCGTCTCTCACCAACTACATCTGCATCCCCTCGGGCATCACCTCCGTGCCACCTTTCCTCACCTCATCCGCCTCATCCACCGCCGACATGGCCAACGCTGTCGACCCCTCCACCCACCTCCGCCTCTCTCTTGCCCAAACCTCTAAATCTCCGCCCACCCTCTCACTTACCGTCACCAACACCCACCCCAGCGCCGCCCTCACCTTCGTTACCTGGAACACGCCGCTCGACGACGCCCTACTACCGCTCGGTCTGCTCGCTATCACCGACCCTACGACCGGCGAGCGCCTGAACAAGGACTCGATCAAGATTAACCGCATGACGCCACCCGAGGCCGACGCTTTCGTCTCGCTCAAGCCCGGTCAAACCAGTGAGGAGCACGTCGTCGAGCTGCGGAACGGTCCGCTCGTGCCGCTCGAGAAGGTGAAGGGGGGAAAGGTCCAGGTGAAGGTCCAAGGCCAGTGGGGCGACGTGTGGGTGGATGAGGAAGTTGGGCCGCAGCGGTGGGGTGAGAAGAGCGGGAAGGGCGTGAAGGGGGCGTTTGACAGTGGGGTTGTTGAGGTCGAGGTTTGAAACTGTGTCGTGGACGGCGGAGGGGAGACAGAACGCTTGTACGACTATTTGGAGATGCGGGAGTGACGAGTTTACGGAAACCACTCGGCGATTCGAGACCGACTGCGATCATGCTCGACGTTGCTGGCTTGGAGTAGCCATTACGGCCCTTCGGAACAGACTGTTGTTTGACGGTAGCTGGACTACCACGGAAGCGGTTAGCAATGCAATCGACAATTCACATGTTCATGTGCTGCAAAACCAAAAAGAAGTGAGATGGTGCATGGGTTGAGTAGTCATGCATCCCTTGAGATCGCTGACTCAGATTGATGAGCCTTGAACCAACGACCACTTGCCACGGCTCCTCGTGCCCGGCACGCGGCTTGATGCTTCTCAAAGCTTGACAATCACCAATTACGCATCGGCGACGCGTGAATTATACGCACAGTAGCTCTCGGCGATCCTACCAGTCCTGGTTTGACAGCACGATCGTCAACCCGGCCAGCGGCTCGCACGTCCCCCGGCCTAGGGGCAACCTAAAACCCTGAAACCTAACATTTAGCTTCAAAGCCGCTAATCGAATCAGGAAGGTCAGCAGAGGATGGACCACTTCGATCAGCAAAACACCCTGCGATCGGACTCCTATGCAAAAGGTACGGTTGTAACACAACTGAATATACGAAGAGTACCAGATCGGCTATGTGGCAATGCGTGCGTTCCTGCATGAGTTCTGCGCCACCGCTCATCTCGTCCGCATCGCGTCATTTCCGCCCGCCGAAGCCCCCCGTTTCAGAGAAACAAGGCCCCGGCGGATTCCCTTTTGAGGCACAGATGCGGCACCACGGCACGATGGCTGCCCCGAGATAGATATTAGAGAGCCGTCTGGAACATTAGGGGCTTGTAAGTCATTGCCTGAACGGGTCATCGTACCAGGATGCCTCCCCGGAGAGTGGTGTTGCTACCGTGGGTCTGGAGGTGCCAGCACGAGAGATCCAATGTATCCGGCTCGGGTGAGCACCTGCTTACCTGATGTGATAGATGGCTGTGTAGTTTTGATCAGGTAATCTTGAGGGGCTTCTGTTCTGGATGGCTCCTGTACCTCGGCTTTGGAAACTTTTAAAGGGGAGCTTTTTAAAGCTGTCGATTTGCGGGATTGAGACTTAGCTGGCTGAAGTCTTTTGAAGGGGGAAAAAAGCTATAGCGGCACATGTAAAACTTCTCCTGCAGTAAACCTTCCAGGTATTAGTGGCGACGCAGTGTTCTATCCATGCCTTCGGCGCCTCGATGTCGGTGTTGTTGGCTTGATCACTCGCAGGTGGACGATTTGTCTCAGTAAAAGCTATCCTTAGAAGCGAGAAGGATCCCACAAGCGTTGCTGGTAGCGAATATGCGGAAGCATAGGTGGCATATGGTTTCATTCAATGAAAAATAACAAGCGTTGCGGGTAGAGCGTGCCTCCAAGAGACCGAGGATTCTAGTGAAAATATCAATACGACACAATGACACAATAGCCAGCAAAACTGACAATTCTGAGATAATTAATCATTGCTCATCTATTTCTCATGTAGCTCCCCTTAAAACCTTTAAAATGCCGCTGACGTTTCTAAATTATTAGAGCAAAAAAGCTCAGGAAAATTATAATGAGGACATTTTGAATACTGGAAGGCGTAAAGCAACCTACAAATCTCGATTCAACCCTCCTATATAATGTGAAATAGGACTGCACGATAAGTGATGATACGTTTGGACTTGTATTTGTGCAAGCGTTTAGTTAGTACGTCCAAACGAGTATATCAATTCAAAGACAAGCTGATGATCGTGCGAGAAAGGTCAGGCTCTACATAACAGATAAATACATTCCATCACTAATCAATAGAAGAGAAACGCATACCAAAACACGACTAACTGTCAAGCAGGCTTTGCCTATACCTGTATACACTGAAATCTAAGTATGCAACGACAGAATCTGAAATAAGAAGGGTGCCATCAATACGCAAAAAAAAAAAAAAAGAAACATTTCACAGATGCTACGACTCAATTTCCACGCTATTTCTTCTTTCGTAAGACTCAGTATTCTCTCCATCTTGTTTCAATGGTGAGTTTGCACTGGAGTCGGCCTTCAGAGTCCTTGGATAAATAATACTCTAAAGGCTTCTTGTCGTTCATGGAGATGAGGGATTCTCCACTTTTCACCCAAGATGTGTAAAAGCGCCCTACGTAGGAAGATGAATTTTTCGAGAGAATTGTCTTAGCTCTGTTGATAACTCTGCGTACTGAGTCGGTAACGGGAAACTTCCGTGTCTGTGGGTCGATGACTGGCGATCCGGAGAAATTGAGGAAAAGAAGTTTAACTTTAACTTCCCGAAGATCTTGTTCAAAGATGATTTTTAGCTGCAATAACCATGGGTGACTGTAAGATGGTGATACTTACTTTCAGGCTCTACTCGCGTGGTGAGGTCGATGACAGCGGAAGTAGAACTTTCGTCTTCACCGGTGCTCCTCATCTTCTCTTGACCAGAGGCCGACGAGGATCTGGCCACCGATGACGCTTCAGTGGACAACAATGAACGAGCGGCCGAAGCCCAGTGCGTGCGTAAGTAGCTGCACTTGATTTGCAGGTTGATGCAACGGACGCACGATGACCGCGTCGTTACGCTTTCAAAGCACAAAAAGCCAGCTGTCCTACAGGGCTCACAAGGGTGGGAGTGTTTGGGTCCTATCTGCCCTTTGCCAACGGGTTTCACATTGGCGGGTAACCCTGAGGACAAACGAAGTAGCATGGATCCCAAGTCCACTCGGGAATGCCGGTATTTCTCGAAAACTCCCCGGTATGTGAGATCGCCGAAAGCAGGGCTTTTCCACTCGTGTGGTTTAAGTGAGTTCCCTTCAAGATCGAAGTCCAAAGTTTGAAAATACAAATGACCCCTCGAACTGGGTGTAGCAGCCACTGCATGCTTCGTCTTAATCAGGGTTCCTACAATGAATTTTCCGTCAGGTGTCTTTGCCCGGAGCATCGACTCATGCTCACTCTCTTGTGAATCATCACCGAGCGTGGCCGAGGGATCTGTGGCAGACTCGACCGGTGGACGACTTGGTGGCAGCGAGGTCGTGTGCAGCCTGGGTGACTTTGTCGGTCGGCCATCTGTGTTGGACCCTGGTGTCCGCCTCTTGTGTCCACGAGGAGAAGGCGGGCCCTCATTTGTCGAAGCGTCAACTGTTATAGCTGGCCGATCTCTGGGCCTGGAAGAGTTTCCTTTAGGTACTGTCCTGGATGAGGTCAAATCCGAATTCGCGGATCGGTGAGCGTTGGGAGATCTTTCGGATGGGGGCGTTGGGGTGGGTTGGGCGGTCTCTTCTTCTTCGTCCTCGTCTTCCTCTTCTTCTTCTTCCTCCTCCTCCTCCTCCTCTTCCTCCTCATCATCTTCTTCTTCCTCTATTTCTTCCTCTATTTCTTCCTCTTCTTCGGGATCACTTGTCGGTCAATCTTTCTTTACGTAACGGACAGGAATAACATACCGTAGTCATCGAGGACACACCCATCATTGTCCTGGCCCTTGGCGAAGCACACAAAGTAAACTGGGAGATGCGACTCCAATGACGAACCCGATGAGGATGATCGCCGGGCTTTTGCAATAGCTTTCCAGAGCCTCTGTGAAACATCACTGTCTCCACTGCACGGCATATCATTCTGGAAGTGAAGATGCACCTCCGCATTTGACTCCATAACCTCGTAATAGTCGAGGAGAAAATCTCGAAATGACTGTGATAATGTAAGTACACTGGTGGAGAAGGTCGTTTGGGTTGTACTGGTACCGTCAAATCTGCCACTTCTCCTGCTGGGACCTTTTCAATGGGCTCGCTCTGCGTTCCATCACCTGTGAAGAGCGTGAACTTCACACACGCCATCCTTGAGTACGGAGTTTGGACTGGGTATGAAGAAGAGGGCGTTAATCCTATGAACAGTTGGTGGCTCCCTTCCCGATGGAGCGTTGAATATTGCTAATAAGATTGTCGCGTGGATTGGGGGGGCGGGATATCCATACATGGAACTACAGCGAAGCGTTGTAAAGCGGCCAGCTGGGGAGTTTTGTGAGAGCTGGGCGACGGTGAGCGGGTAACGGCGTCAAGAAACAGCGGCTGGCAATGCGATTACGCGGCAAGCGATAGGCGGCAGCGAGCGATAGATATAGTAGAGTTGCCACGTAAGTATTATACGTCGCGGAAGAGAAAACGCGGAAAAGAAAACGTGGAAGCGAAAGTGTGGAAGCGAAAATGTGGAATGAAAACGTGGAATGAAAATCTGGAAGAGAAAACGAGGTTAATATATTGCATACTTTCGCGGAGACGCGTGTGTGCAGGCTGCGCTAAGCGCGAGCTCACATGACATTCCATTCAATGCAGCCAATAGGAGCCTGACAAGGAAGATGAGACAAGAAGTATGATGAGGTCATTACCCATAAGTTACACAGAAAAAAAACTCTTCAATTTGTGGTAACCATGGTTCTGAATTCGCTGGATCCTGTTGAGGTCCCATAACATCTTGATCTGCTTCAGTGCAGCCTACCAAATCCTTCAGAATCATCAATTAGGACTCTAGAGTGTAAGTAGACTCCATGCGAGAGGCGGATATAACAATCTTTGCTTCAGGTGGATATACGTAGACTTGACCAACCTGCAAACAAACTGCTCTGGCTAGTCCGATAAATACTATCAGAGCAAGCCAGTCTGCTCTCCCCTTCGTATGATCTTCGAGATCAGTCAATGCACCACAGTCTCTCCTTATTGTCCCACGTTCCATATGAAGCTGTATACATATTCCGTCCACCAAGGTGCACCAAGTATTCTTTCGCATGTTCAAGTTTTGGCACATCTTCCTGAGCATCCAGGTTAGGGTCCCTCTTTATGTATGATATCAGAGAGTCTTCGGCATGGGCACTCTCACAGGACAGCATTCCAGAATCCCCACGACGAGCGTACGTCACTCCATCAGCTACTTCGTAGATGAAGACCATAATGGATTCAGTAAACAGGTCGAAGCGTTCAGGGTCTGAAATGTTGGCCTCGCACAGCAGCGCAATGTGTGTGTAGTCGGGAGTTGCAACGGTAAAAACATTGGGCTCCTCCCCGTCCCTATCGGGAAGCCAGTCGTGTTTTACCATATGATACATCTTGCCGTTGCGATCTTCTATGATGAGATACAGGTGGATGTCATGCTTGAGCTGGGATGGAAGATTATCCAAGATCAGGCCTGGTGCCTTAATCATCAGACCCCGCGGCGTGATTTTGGCATCCCGGTCATCAAAAGTGGCAATGTAGTCAGGGTTATTAATGCCCATAAAAGACCTTGGGGCCCACCTAAATCCAGGATCTTCCATCTTCGGGCCATTCCAGAACAATAGCCCTTGGGGAATGGAAGGCAGATGCGTCAACAGGGTCTTCATGCGGTCCTCACGCGATGCTTTGGCGATGCTGCCCATATCAGCTCCTAGAAGGCTGCCTAAGCACAGCGCTTCGTCCTGGATGACGCTGGTGCTCCTCCGCGCCAGAGCAAACGCGACATCGGTGACCGAAAATAGTTTCCCTGGGGCGTATTCGCCGTTTAGTTGCCATGATCTGTCTTCGCCGCCGCGAATGCGATTTTCGATGTTCGTGAGGTCAAAGTAGTTGACCCAGCCTAGCGCGCAAGTATACTGATGCTCCAAGAGTTCTCGCAAGAAAGGATCGTATCTCAGAGATGAGGACTTGAATCGCATATGGAGAGTTCTGGAGAGGCATCCTTCTTGCAGCGTCCAGAGCCGCGATACCCACGCCGATAAAGATATGTAATGTAGCGAATCGATGATGGGCAGGTCAGTGATATCGATCCCCATTAGGTCTGCGGAGAGGACGAGGGTATCGGCAGCTTTCCGGTATGTTTCGCCCATCAACTTGATGGCTATCTTTTTGGTTTCGCCTTGCTGTGCTGGACAGCACAATGTGTCGATCCAAAGTGGTGTCATCTGCTTATCAGATTTCTTAGGGTATAGTGCTTGGTCTTGATACTGTACCAGTTCTTTGAGGCGCTGAAGCTGGCATATGGGCATCGAATTGCCGTGAGGGTTTCCAAGGCCATCAGACCAGACATGCGATATGGCAATGTAGTCCGCGTGGTCCTCAGAATCCAGGTCGGTGTAAGCAAGGGTAACTTTGTCATCGTCTCCCAGGGTGATTAGTGGCAAGTATCCACATTCCAATACCGCGTCCAAGTCATCTTCATTGACGCCCGCAAAATTACACTTGCAGTCTGGCTGGACATGTTTCGGCTTGTAGGTTCCCTCTAAAACCTGGAGGGCAAGACATTGGGTCTGTGTGCAGTTGCCATGATCAATCGTTTGCGCCTCGAATAATCGTAGTTGAGAGCAGAAGTATTGGGTTTCGAGGGAATAGCCAGCAGCAATAGAAACCTGCCTGGGGCACCATCCCGCTCGAGCCATCTCATAGCTTAAGATGTCGATGGTCCCATGATAGTCCTTGAAAATATCAAAGCGGTTTTCTTCAACTTCAACACATGGTACTATACACCCTGAATCTCGGTGTTGTGTAAAGTCATCCGGGTACATGGATTCCGCGACGTAGGCTAAAAACCGGGCGATTCCTGCCAAAGAGATCATGAAATATGGGTCCAGAGAGGGTCTGGGTGTGCCGCCAACAATCTTTTCGTTGATTCCGAGTGCCTGCTCCAGGCATTTGTCGATAAATGACAAACCTTTCCGAAGCAGGTTCTGTTCTGTCTTCTCCACCTCTATGAATTCTTGCGCAATTTTCAGTAGTCCTCGCGTGTGAATGTACGTAAGGCCAGAATCATTGTCCGTTTCAATGAAATCCGAAGGTCTCGCTAAATTTCCGAAAAACACATGAAGCAGCCCAAAGAAAAGCCATTGTTGAAGGAATGACGTTGCTTCCTCTGGTGTTCGTGTGGATTCTGCATGGCCGAGCTCAACCCATGTAGATCTCTCCATAAGTTCGTCATAGCTCCAGCCCATGCGTTCGGGATAAGTGAGGAATTCTTGTCCGTCGTAGCTCTCTGTGCAGTAATATCGCACTCGAGGGATAGGGCGTGCCGGGTACTTGGGAATGCGGAAGTGGTCCATGGAGACGATTAGGAGGCTGAACTCTGACTGGAGAACACACCTCAGAAACCGATAGTAGATCACTGACGGAGAGTGTGTGTCACTCACAGAGTGAAAAGCACTAGGAGCGCGACGACGAAATGTAACAAGTGCCCTGGCTGGTACTAGAAAAGTTTGCAATAGCAGGAGTAAGCTGAAGGCGTTGTTGCGGGGCGTGGCGCAGCCTGTTGCCCCGCTCTGCAAGGGCACCTGAAATATCATTGGCTATCAATCTGACCCCGAACTCGCAGCGTCGCCAGGTTAATCTGTTCACAAGGAAGTAGTATGACCTTTCATAGCAGCGAGGATATACATGAAAGGTCCAGATTAGGTACGTAAGAACACAGTTAGCTATTGCACTCGGGTTGGAACATAATCATAAACGAATGCAGAATAAGCTTTGTATGAGACACCAGGACAAATAAATTACGCTTCCCTGGAACAGCAAAATGAGTGTCAAGGTATCTTCTCAGGGATGTCTGCCTGGTCCTGAACTAGCCTTCTCTTGCCAATTGCTTCTCACATTATTCGTTACTCTCCGGTGCTCCAACCCGCCTGTCGCTCTGTTTTTGCAATGCCGACAACCCATGGGTACCAGTCCGTTGAAAAGTCAGAGGGGTCTTTGACAGCCTTCCAATGAGTATGTGAGGACCGCTGATCGCCAGAGGACTGACCGGGAAATGCATCCAACGCGTGTTTGGAGCAACAACACTTCCCGCCGTTTGGACGTGGCTCATGGTGCTGAACAAGCTTGCCACATCAAAAGGCGTCCCAAGCGCGAGATGGTCCTGTAGTGCCTTGTCAAGACAACGAGTGAACGACTTCGAGCCGGTGTAAGCCTCAACCTCCTGGTCGGCAGCGGTGAGGGCATGCAGACGCGTGAACTGATTGACCCTGTTGACGCCGTTTGCCAGGTCCGAAAATTGCGGGTATTGAGTGGGATCCAGGCCGACGAACGACCCGCGCGGCACGGCATTTCCGGCGTAACAAGCATCGATTAGGAGAAGGTGGTCGTACATTGAGTGTTCAATGAATCGCCGTTCCAGCTTTTTCCAGTCTAGTTCGCGGTAGCCTGCGATGGAGAACTCCTTGTTGGATTGACTTGGCGGCACCTCACAACCATGGCCACTGTAAAACAGAATGACGAGTATTGGCATGTCCTTGAGTCCGCTGGTGCCATCGATTGCTCTGTAGAACGCGGCCAGATACTTGTCGACAGTGTCCTCGGGGCTCTTGGAGGGGATGCCGATTCTGACGACTGAGAAATTGTATTCGATTCGAAGGGTTTTGTGGAGATCGTCAAGTTCTTGGTCCAGCGATTTCTTAATATCACTCTCTTGCCATTCGAGCATAATGCAATATACTCTCTTGTACTGTTCACCCATGGTTTTCGTTGAACTCGAATAATTAATGATTCCGAGAATGTCTTTTTAGCGTTGTACTTGTGGGAGACGAGGATTTGCTGATGCACGCGGCATGGGGTACAATTTCCGATTGAATTTGAAAAACAAGAGAACTTTCCAATTTATAAGGCTGTCATTGCAACACATTTCTTGAAGGAATCCTGCCACAATAAAGCCGGTAGTAAGCGGCTGATCCACCTTATGCATGCGACTCCTTTCGTCCATCAATTGCAGCTTGCCACGTCTGCTGAAGGATGGGCGGTTGGACCAATAAATTCTCAGAGGCTTTCCCAGTGGCTTGCGTAATGCTAGGTTATTGAGCGCAAGGCTGTAAATTTCCCAAAAAGGTTGCTGATCAGTACTCGAACTGGGATGCGACTGCAGGGCGAAGTTGGCGATGATGAAGGAGCGGCTGGCGAAGCTCTTGAGGTCCGCCTAGCGATCCTCGACGGCGACCGGCATTTTCTGTAGCACCAGCGCCGGGCCGCCGAGGTGGTAGTCCGACGGGGTTGCGCCTCTTCGTTGCGTCTCTCGTTGCCCCAGCTATCGGATGTTCAGCCCCCAACTCGCAGTGGAAGGGAAGCGCAAAGGTGCAGACCTGCGGACCAAGATTTTCTGTTGCCGCGGAATGGCGGGCTCAGGCCATGAGCCATATCGGCGTTTGAAAGAGAGATAGAACTGAAGATGGTATGGTGGATGTTTACATGATTCTTGCTTGAGGAATTGGCCCGGTATATCGTATGTTCTCCGGAGGTAGATTATCCATCTCAACTAAATCAGTAGTACTTCTTTCACGCTGGGGCCCTCTGAGTCGCTTCCGAAAGGCTGCGATAGCTTTGCGAAAAATAGCGAGGGCGAACATGGTGGGCGGGAAGAACAAAACTTGGCGAGAGATAAGAAAACGCAATTCGGGGCATGCGGTGAGTTAAGTACTGCCGAGTAGCGCGCGAAAATTCGGCGGTTAAAACCGGAATTATGTCTGGAAACACATGACCCTGGATAGTGGAAACCTCGCAGAACCATTGACACTCCATACTCATTTGTTCTACAAAAGGTGGTACGAGGTATATATTTGAAGGTTATTGCCTCATAATTGTCTCTCTCGGAATTGATTCACACGCATATAAAGTTTGGTTCATGGTTCTCGCTTCCAGCCAGACTCTGAACCATTGCGCAAACGAAAAAGTATAAAAAAGAGAAAGACCTAGAATCTAACTTTACATCGGTACATTTTGAACTACGCGACAGTCCATCCTGCAGCATTCCGGCTCTTGATGCGGAAGTCACACATGTTCAGCCATGGCGCTATGACGTATCGAGTCAAGGCGCGCGGGTGATCGACAGACAGGGGTCCCTCAGGAGCTCCGTGATTCTGTGCGCCGCCCACACTCTCACCGTGCGCCTCCGCGTCGACACCTCGCTTCTCCCACTCTTCCAGCGATCACGGCCGCACTGTCAAGATGAAGGTCTCAATCACCGCCAGCCTCGGCCTCTTCGCCGCCACCGTCCTCGCCCACGGCGAGCACGGCTCCCCGGAGGTTCCTGCCGACGCCGACTGGGCTACGCGCCACATGGCTGGTAAGTCTGCTCACGGGCTCCGCCTCTTCCGCTGGTAATGGTACGCCTCTGGGGCGTTTCCGCAGTCCGCTGCATCCATTGACCGGCCAATGACTGTCGCATGCCCTCGGCCAGCTCGCAATTCAGCTTTGTCGCACATGCGCTCCTTATCTCTGCTCAAATACGAGACAGACTGTCGCGAGCAACTTGCTGACCGCTACTGTCACAGAGGAGCACCACATCGCCACCTTCGACGCCAGTACCTTCTTCACCCTGCATGACTACGACAGCACCGGCAAGTGGTCGCCCGACGACGTCCGCAAGACCTATGGTCTCCTCGACGAGAGCGCCGCCACAATCCCGCAATCGAAGAAGGACGAGGTCGTCAAGATTGTATTCCAGTTGTTCGATAAGGATGACAGTGGCGATATCAGCAAGGAAGAATACGTTGAGGCGACCAATAACGGCGTGAAGCTGCCCGACTTTGGCACCGGGCCTGGTCACCATGGCGACGACGAATACGAATATGAGTACGTAGTTCCGGGTTGAGGCTGTTCTCGGCACCGGGCACCGAAGTTGTGCTGGACTCTTTGCGGAGGCTCTTCACGATGTGGTTCCAGATGGCTGCCCAGCCATAGCGGGCTCGACCAAGCATTGAAGGGCGATGGCTGACGCGCGTCACAGAATCCACCATTTTGAGAAGTACCACAGTGGAGATGATGTCAAGGAAGAGGATTTGATTCACCCGGAGGATGTAAGAACCGCCAGTTCCTCGACTACTACAACCGACTGATGGCTTTCCAGATTGAGCATTTCGCGAAGCACGACCGTCTCGATGCGGAACAAGAAAGATTGGAGGCTCAGGAGAAGATGAGCATAGTCGAGGCAAACATCCCTGCAAAGTTTCGCCGGAACAACTAGATACTACTGACCTGTATTAATTAATAGTCTTTGGAGCATTCTTCTCACCCTGAACAACAGCGATCCGCCATACTCATGGAAATGATTCGGCAAATTCGACTCCTGAGCTATCTGAGTGCCGTCGTTAATACCGTCTTGATTCACGCAGCATTGCAGTGGCCTCGAGGTAGGGCTCGCTTTTTGCCGTATGCAAGAGCGCATTTCTTATGAGCCCAAGAGTGCTTGCATCCTCGGTCCTTGCAGGAATTCCTTGAATGCTGGTTGATGAGGGAATGACAAGCAAACCGAACCCTGCGTCTGCCCTGGGCTATCTACCAGTCCCTTCTCTGCAGCCTTGTCTGGAGCATCCTAATTGTCTTTGGCGTAACCGGGCGGCTTTGGTCATCTGGAGCCTTGTTGGTGCCTACGGGACTCATTGGAAACGGTCTTGTGTGTACCTGGGGCGTGCTAGAGAAATGAGTAAAATCTCTGAGGCTCGTCCTGAACTCATCCGCTTGCAGTTATCCTTTTGTTTTTGGCTGCACCGGTGAACTTCACTCGGAAAATGTTCAGCCTTGGATGAAAGTGCTCGTCCGGTGAGCTGGATTCTACACCGAACCGTCGCTGAGAAATCGAGATCCGGCGCCTTCCGGAGTGCCATCATTAATGCGACAGTGATTTTAACAAAACAAGACTCTTGGCAGGTTTGGGCTGGCCTATGGCGCTGGTAGTGGCCTGATCAAGACATCGCATCCATGTTGGTCGGCAGTCTTAGCAGGTCCTCGTGATCTGGGCCAGGCACAAAACGCCATAGCCGACGGAACCAACGATTACGGGCATAAGCACCAATGGCAGTCCTCGGCATGCGCATGCGACCGCAACAAGAAGTCTCGGGTAACTCAGCTCAGCCAACGTGTCGTCCGAACCGCGATTCGCTTATCACTGACATGGTGGTTGCGCAATGCCTAACAAAGCTATCCCTGCAGGTGTGCATGGGCTGACGTCATTATCACTCCGGTTGCTTCCCCGTGTCGCTGAAGAAACTGGGCCCCACCTCCGCGATGATTTGCGCGCATTTTCCGTGTGGCTAGGCAGAGCTTAGTTTTTCTGCTGTGTATGCCATTAATCATGATGGAATTCTTCAAAAGGCGCCATTGCGGCTCCCAGAGACCAGTTTCAGTCTCAACTCACGCGCCGAACTTGAGACCTGCACCCTTACTGCATCTGCCGACAACCAATCGCAACTGCCGGTCTTTCTGCGCGTCGCACTCCACGGAAATCATTTCGACGATCTGCCAACACGCCAACGTCAGCGCCGAGAGATTACACACCGGTCGCATAATTTAGCATTTGAGAGTTCTTTTGCTCTCCATCGCTCTTACCAACCTCAGCCAATTTGTTCCCGACTGCACGAAGGCAATTACCACCAGACTCTTTTGTGCGCAAAGACCGACTTCTACCAAGATGGGCGCAGCTGTACGTTTTGCATCTCTATCCCGTACCTATTTTTCGACCTCCAGCCTTGCCACTAAATTGCTACAATGACCTCCCCCTCTGGTTATAACATCGGCTCTTACTCTGAAAAGATACCTCCCTCGGTGTGGCATTCGAGACGTGCAACCGATTTGTATTCAAGGCTGTCCATGCTAACTGATTTCGCACGATACAGGAAGACCTTGTCCTCTACATTGCCGCAATATTCCTGCCGCCTCTCGTCGTCCTGGCGAGGGAAGGCTGCGGTGGAAGTTTCTGCCTAAATATCATTCTGACTCTGCTTGGTTGGATTCCAGGTGTCATCCGTAAGTCTCGCTACTTAATTTTTTGTTTGGCGCATACTAATCGAGGTGGTTATTTAGATGCGTGGATTGTTGTTGCTGCCTCCCCGCGCAGGCGCGTTGTCTATAGGCGCACGGCATATGCTCCTCCACCAGCCCACTACCATCGCCGTACCTACGCGAGCCGCCCGGCACCAAGGAGGAGGCATTACTACTGAATGTAGTGTGTTACATCTCTCTACAATCATTGGGGAAGGCTCTAGGGCAATGACCGAAATGATGAACACTTTACGATTCACGACTCTCTGATCGGAGTTTTCAGGATACCCGGGGATGGATGGCTTCCCCGCTCGTTTGACTAAGGGTGCGGCCATAACGATGATTCTTGTGTTGTTGATGATTTTCCCTATGTTCCTTTTATCACCTCTCGCTCCTTCAGTTGGACGGTTGCCAACGCCGCTGTATTTTAATCTCGATTGCTTCTCTAAAATACCTGCCAGGCTTGTGGCAGCATAGATCCCTATAATTGGCATTTCTCTTCCACACTTTCTCCCGGTACCCTCTCAAGAAACATCATCCACACATCTATACCATCCCGTTGCATCCGGGCCTGCTCCTTCAGAATTTCCAGATCCTTGATCGTCGCCTCGGCCGCAGCTGCCGCCTCCACCTTTGCCTTCCAAATCCCCTCAATGTCTTTCACTGACACTGAGCCCCGTGGCTGAAGCTCTCTCCACAACACTACCAGCGCATCCGCACACACGAGATCCGCCTGTCCACCCATTAGCGCACCGAACACCTCTGCGATGCAAGACGCGTTCCCCGAAGGAAAGCTTACCCGCTCTAGAATCTCCCCGACGCCCCGACACGCGCCCAATACAGCCTTGTCCACCATCCCCGCCGCCCGCCGCACATCCTCCGCCAACCCCAGCAGCGCCGGCACCCGCCACTCCTCGACCTCGTCCAGCGCCTGACTGAACGCAGCTGCCTGGCACGCCGTGCGTAGCCGCCAATCGACGCGTTGATCCTTCGTCTGCTCGTCTCCCTCCGCCTTGGAGACCCGCCACCACAGAAACGCCTTCCCACTCCTGCCGACGGGCGGCTGTTCTGCTACCCCCAGCCCTTCCACCTCCCTCAGTCCTGCCAACAGCACCCCCTCAACCCCTTCGTGTCCCTCCACTAGCGCCTCCACCACCGCCCACCGCTCGCTCGCCCGCTGCAGAGCGCGCACCGCATCCCGAACGTCCGCCACGCGCGCCGCGACCGCTCCTGCTCCCGCCCTCCCACCATCCCCCTCCCTGCTCGCGTCGACGCCAGCGAGCCCAGCCTCCAACGCCCCCAGCGCACGCACAGCCGGATACGCCGCGTACCGCGCCCCAGCCAACACAGGGACGTGCTCGGCCGCGACAGGCGCGTGTAAGGCGAGGAGGTGCTGCAGCGACGTGCGGGCGGCGGAAGCGTAGGGGTAGGTGGGGTTGAGCGGTGCGAATGGCGGCGGCGGCGGTGGGGGGCGAGTGGGCGGCGTATTAGCGGTGCCGGGGTGGAGTAGGGTGGTGGGGAGGATGGTGGTGAGGAAGTGGAGGCGGGTTATCTGGTGGGAAGTGGTGCTGTTGTAGGTGCGGAAGCGGAGGGGTTGGAGGGCGGGGCCGAGGAGGTGGTGGATGGTGGAGAGGAGGAGGAGGAGGGTTAGGAGGGTTAGGAGGGGGGAGGGTCGGGTGGGTGAGGTGATGGGTGAACGGGGTGGATTGGGTGGAGGTGCGGGGCTGGGGATGGCTGAGGGTGGTGGTGCTGGCGGCGGTAGGAGTGCTGATGGGGTTGGTGAGAAGGGGCGGCGGGGAGTGCTGCTGCAGGAGATGGATTCGTTGCGGAGGCGTTGGCGGCAGATGAACTCTTGGATTGGGAGCTCGTCGCGCTCGATTGAGGTCGTTGCGGGGTTTCTGGATCTAGACATGGTTTCGGATCTGGGGAAAAGGGCCCGAGGTCAGACAGTTTTTCTCGGGGTCGGGCTTGGAAGTATATCAGTTCTCATTGCTTTGTTGATGAAATGGTCGAAAACAGCGCTTGGCGTGTGTGAAGACTCGACCAGAACCTCCATTGTCAGTACGCTCACAGCTTCCATTGCATCTTTGTAGCGTGAGCTCCTCTGTGAAAGAGCTTCTTGATGTGCTCGCTGAGAAACCAGGGCAGGGACGAAGGAGCTATGACACTTCAGCTTTTGAAGAGAGCGCATCGAGCTTGAAGGCGCAGGATCCGACACTGGTGGGATCAACTGAATCTCGGTCATTTCTGAACAGGTGGCAACAATTGCATAGAGAAACGCTCGATTTCATCCTCGACGAAGCGCATCAGTGTGTAGAAATGGTTGGTGTTGCATTCAAAGACGACGTAACGCTGCCCCGCACCATGACTAATACAGTTCAGCCAGAGGGTCCAATCTGACTCGCGATTAGAGGTCTTGGCGCAAAAAGTCCGGACGATCAGCACGACGTCGGAGCTCCAGCTCCATTCCCACCACAATCTTGCGCCTTCTTCCAGGCGTACCAGAAAGATGACCAAGAGAACCGCCCCATCAGTCGATGGCGCAGCGCAACCCGAGAAGCGCCTCCCGAAACGACAGAAGCTCGACACGCCCCGGGGTCCTCCACCGAAAGCCGAAGAAATCCACTCTGCGCGCCAGTTGCAACAGCTGCTAGTCTTCCAGCAAGACAACACTCAGCAGCTGCGGAACGGTAAGTAGCAAGCTCCAGCCGATTGCATGCGGCGACTGACGGACCTTTGCAGGCATCCAGAGCCTCAAGGTCTTCCTCGAATCCATCCTCTACCCTAATGACGACCACCCCCTCCCCCGGCAGCGAGCCATTCTTCGCGAATTCCTCGAGACGCAGAAGCCGCGCATAAGCGATCAAGATGCCCCTTTCATGTCGAACCTCATGCAGACCTGGAGCTTCGCTTCGCAATCAAACAACGACACGATTTCCTCCGCCGTCGTCGCCGTTCTGGCCCTCCTCCTGAAGACGCTGTCCTACAACCCTGAATTGCGCGATTATGGCATGCAACTCTCTCGGACAATTCTGCAGGTATCGCAATTGAAGCTGCTGGCCCGCGGACTGTCGGCGCCGAAACACAAGGAGTCGGCCATCTCGCCATGCCTGCGTTTGCTTACCGAAATTGTTTCTTTCGACAGCGGCGCTCTCGCGAAGCAGCTGTATTCGAAGCGCGACTTTACTTTTGAAGGGAAAATACTCGCGCGCAATCTGGGCATAAGACATACCGAGGAAGAAGCGGCAAAAGCCAAGAAGAGGCCGTCGGTTCGCACCAATGCCGTCAAGTACGTCCTGGCGCATTTTAGAAACCAGGAAGAGGGAGCCAAGATAGATATCCTCAAGCATGGCAATGTCATGAAGGCTTTGTTCGACCACATCAGAGATGACCCGCCGGAGGTTGCTGCCGAGATTTTGGAGGTCGTAAAGTCTCACGTCATTGCCGATAAGGAGATACCGAGGTCGAGCAAAAGCAATCTGCTGACGGATCGCGCATTGTCGAGCATAGCGGGCTTGTATAGGGTGGAGCAAACGTTGGAGGAAGATTCGGATGAAAAGGCCATTGATGTGGTCGCACATCGATTCTTGCTCCATGTGTGCAAGTCATCGGAGACTGGGATTTTGATCCCTTCTTCGGGTTGGTATCCGCCCGGAACAGACAAGGAACCCGAACGCGATGATCACGACGCTGGCGACGGAAACATCGACCTGGGACTGGATTCTCTCGAGTGGTACGACCGTTACCAAGGACGTGTGACCGTACGGAACCCCAACTTGGCCTCGTTCATGCAGGGTCTAAGACCCTATGCCAACAAGCTCGAACAAGAATTGGTATTGGCTATATTCGAAGCTTGCCCGGAGCTTTTTGCCGATTACTTCTTCAAGAAGACAAGCTTTACCTTCGACCCCAAGTTGACTGCTACTTGGATCGGTTACGCATCGTTTCTGTTTTCGGCAATTCAACTCCCGGTTCCTCGATTCTTCGGTCACAGAGATGGCTACGCATCCGCACCTCCTCCTGTCTCTATTGCTATCGAAAGCCTTCTGCCGCAGCCGCTTACGCAAAAGGTGTTGACAAGATGCTTGAATCAGAGTTCAGACCTGATAACCTTTTTTGTCATTAGGCTTCTCACAATTGCTTTCCAGAAGCTCGAGAAGATTTTGGCCCAATTCAAAGACGCATCTTCGCAGTACTCGCATCAGCTTTGGCAACAGGCAAGCGAAAGGCTTCTATCGGAATTTTGTGCACGCTGTCCCAAGATGAAGGATGTCATTACAGCCTTTCGCAGAATCTCTGACGCGAATCTCATGCAGAGGGAAGCTATCACTAGGTTGTTGTCCATGTACTACAACGTGACACCTCAAATCGCTCTCGATGAGAAATTCGACGTGTCTATGGCACTAACCAAGTCCCTTACCGAGCTTGATAAGCAGACAGCATCTGGAGAAGAGCGCGAGATCAGACTGCTCGAGCTGAGTCATCTACTGCAGATTGCAAGGAGTGCACCTGACATGCGATGGTGGCAGAAGCCAGAGTCACTACAGTTCTCACCTTTCACGTCTGTCCTCAAGGTTCTGTCCTCCTCTCCAGATGGTGCTTCTTCCGAGACCATCGCGCAGCTGCTCATCTCCGTCATTCGCGACCATGGCATGCTTCGAACTGATGGTTACCCATCATCTTTCGATGCACTCATTTCCAGTCTGATGGCCAATGATGAGCTTGCAGATAATTCGGTCTTCATCTTCCTGGATGAATGCCTCGGCCGCTTTGTGAGACGGCCTATCAAGTATCAGGACGATCTTGACGCGACAGTAGCCTCTGCGGAGGTGGAGAAGACTTCAGAGTCTCCTGTCAGTCTTTTGCTTGCAACCCTTGTGGAGCAGTGGCCGTTTGTCTTCAAACTCGAAAAGAATGCAGCCACTAACGTTTCGCAATGGACTGCGCGCTTTTTCGCTTGCCTTAAGAAGGTCGGCGAGAATGAGTTAGTCCTACAAACCTTGCTTGACGGCATGGTCAAGGCTTCCAGCGGCTCGGCTTGCGGGAAATACCTTAATACAGCGCTGAGCGGCGCAAAGGCACCCGAGATCAAGCCGCTGATCAGTAGACCTGACAATGACGGTTCTGAAAATGAGGCTGGCGGAAACGGCGACTCACTCGACGATTTTGAGATATCTCTGGAACTTCCGCCGAAGGAAAACGAAAATCATCCGGAACTCACGCGGTGGATGCATAAGGATGTTGATGAAGCAGTTGAAGAAGGGCACATGGCAGCTTTGATTATGTGCCTCTGTTCTGAGCACTTGTCAATACGTCGCCAGGCGCTGCCTAATGTGCAGAAGCTGATGGCGAAAGTACAGGTTTGTGAAATTACGACATTCAAGGGACCAAAGCTAACGGAAACCTTAAAGGCTTCGGGGTACGAAGAGCACGAGCTTATCTACCTTCTTCTTGGCGAAGTCTATGAGACTGCCCGACCTCTTATCGGAACGGATGAGCCTCTTCCGTGGATTGCCGGAACGCTCGCTGCTCGTGCGATACCGATCCTGGCAGACCCGACGAACTTTTTGTACCCGAAGGTGGGCTCATTTTTGACGCGCGGACCATCGTGGACGGTCGGCAGACTGCCGTCGTACTGGGCGGAAAAGATCATCCTTAACCCGCCCGAGGGCGATGACGCAGCTCATTGGCGAGAGATTGAGTGGCTGCTGGAATGGTACCTCGATGGACTACGAACGGAGAAGGACCTCGGCATTTTCCGGGCCAGAGGCATCTTCGAGAGGATCCTGGCATTGTACAATGATCCAGCGAGCTCGAGGAGGACGAAGCAGCTGGTCATCCGGCTTTTGTTTCGGACAGCGGCGGTGGAAGGAGGCAGCACGACCTTGATCACTAGAGCAGGGGTGTTGAGTTGGGTCAAGATGCAATTGGCGAATGTCGCAGGCGGGAAAGTGACAAGGGGCAGAAAAAGCATCGCTGCGGCAAGGGAAGAGAAGGTGCTGAAACGGCTAGTGGGCAGATTGCTGGAAACTTGCGACAAGATACGGGTGGAAGAGTGGAGTGGCGGAGATGCAGCGCAGGAGATGCAAAAGCTGATTGAGTGAAGGGGGTTATTTCATGGATGTTCATAGTTTGGGTTGGGTTAAGCATAATTAGCGGCGGCGGAGGCAGTGCCCGCGGGCCCCGCACCCGGCAGAGGAAGCCGCCTTGGTTGCGACCGCTTGAGGCAAAAGGATGAATCGCACGGGAAAATGGCTCGCTCCTGCGCGCGGCTGCCGCGCGGAACGTAGAATACACGAAGAAGAAACGAATTCTGCTTGCTGACGTGACTGTCCCACGGCTGGTGAGCTCATGCTGCAGAGCCGATGACGCCCGCGCTGGCTTGCTGACTCGCGGCTTGGCACGAGTTTGTCGTGTTTGCCTGTCTCCCGCCGCCAACCCACCACGCCGGCCACGACAGTCGCCCAAATCACCCATCGCCAATTCCTTCATCCAAACAAGCCCCCGCCCCGTCGCCAGCCCGCACGCGCCGCGAGCCCGTGACCCTCTTCGCTACGTAATAACGTCCGCCGCTTGTGGCGCCGCAGCCCCTCTGCCTCACCGCCGACATCTCGCCGCAGCTCATCTCCGCGACGCCAACGCCCGCAGCTCCTCCCAACACCATATCCGCCGCGCCCCCGACTGCTCCCCCACCCTCTCATCTGCGAGCCTGCACCGCTCCACACAACGCCCGCTACAGCTCCAGCACCGCGAATTGCGCCCGTTGCTCGTCCGAACCCCGCTGCGTCACCTCATCCGCCTACCTTACGACTCGACACCATCCCCGTTCGTCGCGCATCCGCTCGCCTGACGCCCGTTGGCCTCACATCATACCCTCGACCAAGCTTGCCCGCCTCCACCGACACCAGGCCAGTCGACGGGTGCCCTAGCTGGTAACCCGCCCAGAGTCGCCATGCCTGTGGAGGTCATACGTTACACTCCGGAGGAGTTGCTTCACCTGCGCGAGTCACCCCTCATCCAGAAGCCCGATGGCCTGCCCGCGATAGAACAATGGATGGAGTGAGTCAACCATCAACATGCCGACATACACAGCTAACCCTTGCAGACCTGCGCCCGAGCAGAACCAGCGCAAAGGAGGGCGCACGCAAGGTGGCCGGAATGACGACACGGCGCAAGCCGGCGAGAATGGCCAGCGCACGTCGCTGTTCCCCAACAAGCATTTCACCCGCCACTCGAGCACAGGTGAGCCTCACATTGATCCTGCCAAGAACCACCTCGCTAACCCCAACAGCCCCCGAGGACATCGTGCTAGGACCTCCCAAAATGGCCTTCGCCTCGTCGCGTGTCAAGCTGGCCGACTCCAACGACAAGGACGAGGATGCCGATGCCCGCGCCAAGGATATCCGTGACAAGTTCTTCAAGGACCGTGAGGAGCGCAAGAACGGCGCGCTGAACGGCCGCCGTGGCCGCGAGGAAGGCGAAGGTTGGACCAACGTGCGCGGCCGCAAGGCTTCGTTCAGCGAGGATCCCGACCGCCCGCCTCGCATCGGCGGCCGCTTCAACCGCGAGCCGGATGGAGACGAGCCTGGCCCCCGTCGCAACGGTGCTCGGGGCAGGTTCGAACAGCCCTGGGGCCGTGATGCCGTCGACACCAAGGACGCAGACACTGGACATGGCAGTTGGCGCGACCGCGGCAACGCTCGCGACCGTGACTGGACCCGTGGCAGCAATAACCACAATCGCTTGGAGGAGGAGCCCGAGTGGATGGACTCTACTCCCGTCAAGAAGAAGGACGAGATCGGCATGGCTCGCTTCTCGCGCAACAAGGGTACGGAATGGATGGATGATGCTCCCAAGGACGACAAGAAGCCACACACCCAGGAAGACTTCCAGCGCTGGAAGGAGCAGATGAAGGCCGGAAAGGTTTCGGATGAGAAGGAGAACGTCCCTGAACCTGCTCCCGCCAAAGACACGCCGACATCGTCCAAGCCAATCACGCCCATGCTCCTCGACGGAAAGGACATGTTCGGTATGTGGGGTGCTGCAGCTGTCAGGCAGGAGAGCCCGGCAGCAACAGAAGGTGCTCCAGCGCCGCCCAAGCCCAAGGCTCCCACCAAGCAGTCCAAGTTTGCCAAGCTCTTCTCTCCGCAGGAGGAGCAGCAGCAGCAGCCTCTGCAGCAGATTCAGATTCCGACCGATTCCATTGCTGGTGCGCCCAATGGCAATAACGAGGATAAGGAAGGTTTCCAGCGTATTCTGCAGATGCTTGGTAGCACAAGTATCAGCACCCAGTCGCCCTCTCAGCAGGGCTCCGCAGCTCCAAGCAGGAAGCAGTCCCTCTTCTCTCCTCTTGAGACGCGCTCTCCCGATCGTGATACCGTGCACGTCCAGCCCCAGCCCACCCGCCACCATATCCTTAGGTCGCGCGAGGAGAAGGCTGGCTTCATCGAGTCCGTCCTTGCTCCTCGCGGAACGCCCACGGAGTTCAAGGCCCCTCAGAACGCCTTTGGACCCTTCACTCCCGCTGGCGAGCCTGGCCAGGAGCAGATGCGCCAAGAGCCGCGCCCTGAGAGCATTCGTTCTCCCGAAGAGCGCATGCAGCAAGCGACGCCTAGCAGCAATGGCATGAGCAACTTTGGCATCCAGGGCCTGATGTCGTCTCAGCCTCCGCCTCACGCAGCACAGCTTTCCAGAGATAGGGAATTCCTGCTCAACCTCATGACTCAGCCGCAGCGCAATACCCCGCCTCAACCGACGCAAGCTCGTCCGCCGCAGCCTGAGCTCTTCACCAACTTCATGGAGTCCAAGGCGATGCCTCCTCGTGGAAACCCTCCTCCCGGCCTGTTCGATGACCGCCAGTTCCCCGAGAATGACGTTCGCTACCAGCCCCAGCCACAGCGTCGCATGCCCGAGAACCCTGAGATCGAGAACGCCATGCGCCGTGCGGGCCGTTTCAACCTTCCCGTCCACCCCGGTCTTGACGATCCTGCGATTGCCGGCCTTCAGCGCAGGAACACTGGCGATGCCGGCATTCCCCGCGGCCAGCTGTCCAACATGGGCATCCCTCAGCAGGGACCTCCCGATCAGATGTGGTCCATGAAGCCTCCTGGTCTCCAGCAGCCGCAGGATCGTCCTCCCGTCTCGAGTATGGCTCCTCCTCCTGGCTTCCCTGCGGCCAACCGTGGTCCTCCGGGCTTTGGCGGTCCGAACATGCCTCCTTTCTCGGCTGGCAACACTCCTCTTGGCCACCCCGGCATGCGTGGTCCTCCTGGTCAGGGTCCGCCTTCTGCCGGTCCCGGCCCCTCTCCAATGTTCAGCCCGCCCGGCCACGGCGGTCCTCCCCACGGCTACTTCGGCCCCCCGCAGGGTCCTCCGCCGCCTCCCGGCTTCGGTGGTCCCGGCCCTGGCCCCATGGGAATGAACGGCCCCGGAGCGCACCACGATCACCAGGTGCAGCAGATGCTCGGACTTCGCGGCGGCGTGGGCGGTCCGCCGCCGGGTATCCCCGGTGCCATGGGCATGGTCGGACGTGGTCCGGGCGGCCCCGGCCCGAACGGATTCGACTTCTTCGAGAACCAGAGGAGGGGCAGCCATGTTCAGGGTCCTTTTGGACTTTAGAGTGTGATTGATCATTCTTGGATCAAGTGATGGTTCTTTGTTTCTGCGTTTGAGAGTGGAAGAGCGTTTGCGTGTATGGGAAGCGGGCTCTTCAGAGGTTTTTTCTCTTTCAGGTTCTACAAATTCCCGATCAGGAAAATGGGTATCATGGCGAGGGCGTGGTGGTGCGGGGATCTTTGTTTTTGTCTCCATCTCACTCCCCTTTTCTTCTTCTCACACTATATCGAGTATCACCTGGGGAAAAACAAACGAAACGGCATTTGATACCTCCTTCTGCTTTCTGGGTTCTTTTCTCTTTCTTGTTTTTTCTCTCTTCCTCTTTATCACCCAAGTTTGATTGAAAAAAAGGTAAGGGAAAAGCGTTCCGGAAGGGAGAGAAAGTTATTGAGGGAGGTTTTTCTAGCTCTTCTCTTTTTTAGGTCTACCTTTTTTTTCCTGGATGGATGGATATGGTGCAGGAAATCTTTTCTTTTTTATCTTCTTCCTCCCTCAGGGTATCTTCCCCCCGCACCCGTTCTTTGGCATGTTTTTTCCTGCCCGGGCGAGATTGCTCCTTTTTTCCGTCGCCTTGATAGCGCTGCACACCGCTTTCCTCTGCCCTGAATCTACCCTATTTGGTTCGGGGGTTTTTGTGTTGTGTGTGACACTTGGTATCTTTGAGGAAATAGGTTCGGCGAGGCAGGCTTTTTTTGTTTCCTGTTTGTGCGTGCGTGTTTTCTGTCTTTAGCAGCGAGTTCGTTGGTTTTTTATGCGTGTGAATCACTGGTACTGTCGTTTACTGCTTTTTGTTTTTCTCCGCGATTCCTATCATCATCACCTCTCTGTTGTTTTTGCGTTGGAAGAAAGCATGCAAGCATCTGAAAAGTTCTATCTGTTTTTCGTGCTGCGGTTCTTGCTTACGGTTTTTTAGGTCGTTCATCGTTCGTTTTGATTTTTCTGATTGATTGTTATTTGCGAGGCTACTGCGTTTTTTTTTTTTCGTTATCGTTGGTGTTGTGTGTGCGTTTTTTGCTTTTTTATTCTACACTCGTGACTTTTTTGTTGTTTGTCCCCCCGCCGCAGCTGAAATGAAGAGATGATAATGGTATAAATTGGCATGCTTTGCTGTTTTCGTCGCTTTGCATTTTGGGGTCTTTTTTACTCTCTCTCCTCTCTTCCGCTGCGTGGCGGGTTTCATGGCGCCTTTCTGCCTCGGTACGGCAGGCTTTTGAGACGGACGGGTTGGCTGCCCGCCCCTCGCCTTGTGCGGGATGTTCTCAGGGCCGCAGCGCAGGTGATGGGAAGGGAGGGAGAGAGCAACGGTGGAGGAGAGCGGATGGGAGGGAAGATTGGACGGAAGGTGGATCTTCTGGCAGGCCGCACATACAACAGCAACAAGGTCTTCTTCCGCACTGCGTTTTTCGAATCATCGACTACCTCTCTTCTCGGCTTTGGGTGGGGATCGCGCGCCGTGAAACATTATTTTTATTTATCACTCCGGCGGACGAGTAGCGGGCGGGTCTTCTGCTGGCGGCAATGGAAGGAAGCGTATACGCGACTGAGTAACTGGCGGGCTTTTGTGGGTTGTGGGTAGTTGAGGCGGAGGAAGGGGGCTGTCGTTAGAGTGGGGTGTGGAAGCGATGGATGGATGTACATGCGGGTGGCTTGTGTGGTATGGAGGATCGGGATGAGGGATGGGTGGTGTACTCGTAGTAGTAGCAGTAGTAGCAGTAGATGTGGATCAGCAATGAAATTGGTGCTGATGTTCACTACATACAAGGGATGGAAAGGTGACCATACGATAACACCAGTGCCAATTTCTTACGCTTGCTTAGTCAGGCACGACATGTCGATGTGTCGGAAACAAGAGCTCAGCACCAATTCTGGGGAATATGGTTTTGGAGGGCTGCAGGCCTGGGCGATATTCGATAGCCAATTGCTTGGTGGTACTAAAACAAGCCAATTCGAGCGGGGTTGACGAGCTGAAACCAGAGAGTCTTTCTCATATTCTCCTTTCCAATCCTCTTTGCGTATACGTTGTCGACGCGTTTGTTGCTTGCCTCTATGGCCCTGAGCTGCCGAGATGATGACCTCCATCAGAAATTTCTACCGGAAGCATCTAAGGCGACACCAACATGATGAGGTGAGACCTATTGATCGTACTTGTGGCAGCAGACATGCACGCAGCCCACCCATCACCACGCAATCCAATGGCGCACCTCTCAACTCCAACAGCGCATCTCCTGCAAATGTGCCTGTGGAAAGCGCACCGGCCAACGAGACGCTTACTGATGAGGCAACCCTCTACGGCTACGAGCCCCTCAACGATGCCGCCTCTGGCAATGCGACACTTACTCACACCGCCGCGATTACCAGCCTGCCTATGCGCCATCCGCTCGAAGACCATCCCGAGAACAGCTTCGATCATGTTTCCATAACAGCTCTCTATCCCGGTGGGCATGTGAATGGGCTGCGAGTCATACATAATCCGAAGGATGCAATGGTCGACATCATCTTCATTCATGGTTTGAATGGACATCCATTCAATGCGTGGAAGCATCAGAATGGGTCTTTCTGGCCTATGCACTTTCTGATAAAGGAAGAAGATATGCCTTCTGTCAGGATCATGACCTTCGGTTATGATGCTAATATCACGCAATGGACATTGGGAGCTGTCGGGCAGAACAACATTACGGACCATGCCAAATCTCTCAACGAGAGCATCGGACGCATAAGAGCTCGAAGTAAAACTGTACGTTATTACCAGGCAAACTTGATAGTCTCTGGCGATACTAACCCCACTTTTAGGAAACCCGGAAGATCATCATCGTGGCACACAGTCTGGGGGGGCTTTTGGCAAAGAAGGCTGTTCTCATGTCCGAAACATCCCACGACCCCAATCCAAGTCAGTTGAAAAGTCACATCAGCGCCATAGCTTTTCTTGGGACGCCTCACGAGGGCGCTGGCCTCGCGAATGCTGTGACAGGGCTCGCTTCGATCATGAGAGCTGGAGGCGTACGAGCTAACGTCAAACTTGTGGGTCTTCTGAAGCGGGAGTCGGACGTGTTGCAAGAGATCGGCGAAGATTTTCTGAAGTGGCTCAAGCACCGCACAGACGTCAGCGTGTATTGTTTCTACGAGTCAAAAGAGCTTCCAAGACCCATTGGCATGGTATTTATCTCTGATTATTGCTGTTCGTGCTACCCCGCTCACTGGACTCTTACAGATTGTTAAACGACAGTCGGCCATTTTGGGCGAATATGGGAATGAAACAATTGATGCAAACCACATGGTATGGAATCAATGAACAATACTATCATTCACCGGTTCTTGTTAACAAGCAATAGGATATGATAAGATTCAGCGACCCTAATGATGGAGGGTACCAATCAGTCAGCAGCAAGATCATAGAGTGGTTGGGGAAAATTGTAGCTGAACAAGGTTAGATTCAAATTCTGGACCCGTCATTATGGATATCTCATTTAGTTAACATATATACCATTTAAGAACTAGTGCATACCAAAGAACAGAAAGGTCAGTGACTAGGAATGCAGCTTCATAGAAATTCATGCTAACGAAGATGTCAGAGGTGTTGCAGTCCTTACGATTTGCCAGGAGTGGAATAGAGAAAAAGAAAGTAGCAGCAGATGGAACCTGTTCCTGGCTTCTTGAAACACACGAGTGGAAAACGTGGGTGCGCGACGGGGGGCTCTTGTGGATCAGTGGATCCCCCGGTTCTGGAAAGTCCACGGTCATGACTCACGCTCTTCAAGCCTTCAAGGAAAGTCCTCATTCGATGAAGCCTACCCAACACGCTTCGTTCTTCTTCTTCGGCCAGGGAAGCCACCTGGAGAGGAACCTCATCGGGTTTTACCGTTCAATTCTCCTCCAAATTGCGACCGCGAATCGTGCAATCATGGAACGTCTTACGGAAATATACCATGAAGGGATTGAAGAGCAGGGCGGCGTCCAAGAAACTTGGAATTGGAGTGAAGTCGATCTGAAGGCTGTCTTGTTCGAATTCACGAACAAAGCAACATTTATCAATCGCCTATGGATCTTTGTTGACGCGCTCGACGAAGCTAGCGAGGACACTGCGCATTGCCTCTCCGAGACCTTCAATGACCTAGCCTCGAGCTCGCAAGGTCAAATTCGGATTTGTTTCTCATGTCGGCATTATCCCGTTCTAAAACAACATACCGAACTGAAAGTCTGTGTGGAAGAAAACAATAAGACAGACATTATCAAGTTTTCCAAGTCAAGAATTGGGGCTTATCCACATCACTTGGACGAGGAAGAGCTTGACAAGGTGGTCGATGCTGTTGCTCTAAAATCACAAGGCATTTTCCTGTGGGTGGTGCTCGTGATTAAATTCATCAGTAAGGATCTTTCGAGCCAGCTTCATTTTATCCTTGACCGTGTTGGGCAATTTCCACCCGGGCTCGAGAATTGCTATCAAGAAAGACTCAACAACATATTGTTAGATCAACCGGGAACATCGACAGCATCCGAGCAATCCAGGGAACTAGGGATAGCTCAATCGCGTACCCTTCTTCAATGGCTTTGTTTTTCTATGAGACCGCTTACTCTGCAAGAGCTTAAAGTGGCACTGGTACTCGGTTTCGAACGCCCAGAGAGAAGCTTGCAGGAATGTCTTGATTCAAAAGACTACATACCAAAGGATGAGGCTCTGCAGGATGCTATCGTAACCCGTAGTCGAGGATTGGCACATGTATACTCTGAATCGCCCAAGAAAGTTGAGCTCATTCACCAGTCTGTGAAAGACTTTCTACGGAAAGAGTTGGGTCAACTGGGGCTATCTCCCGGACTTACGCATCACTCTATCTGTTCCTCGTGTCTGAAATTCCTTTCATTCGATGTTCACGAGGATACGATGACGAGACAAAATACCTTCGGACACTACGCACGCAAGTATTGGCACCAACACGGATATCTTGCTGAGGTTGAGGAGATCAATCAATCAAGGTTTCTGCCTTTGATCATGTCTCAACAAGTTCAACAAAACCTGAGATTCTGGTGGAGTACCAAGCAAAATATCTTTTTTAGCAGAGTTGACCATCTCTTGCATTACCCGATCACTCCCCCAAAAATGTCGCATATTCTTTCCGCATGTGGGCTACTCAGTATGCTCAAAGCTGGATTAAATCAAAGTCTCTTTTTAGGGGATGAGAGAGACGATGAATTTGGCGGAACATTACTGCATTGGGCCATAATGGGCCATCAGATGGAGGTCATTCGCTTCCTTCTAAACCGTAACGATATCGATGTCAACGCTGAGGACTACATTGGGAGAACTCCACTATACCTTGCAGCGTCATCCAGCCGCCCGAGATACATGTCGATATATCCACCTGAGCCAGAAGACAAGTCCCAGATCATCTCAAGAAATATCGATAACGAACCCGTTCTCTACCCGTGGCTAGATTCATCCTGTGAGACCATTGTGTCTCTCATCCTTTCGAGCGAGAAGGTAGATGTCCATGCTCAAGAAAGCTGCGGCAAGTCTCCATTAATGGTTGCGGCGACACTGCAATCGAACTCTACCTTTGTCCGGCTTTTGGCCCACGAGAAGACCAAAAACGACATACACGCCAGGGATGAATTCGGTAGCACAGCGTTGGACATTGCTTCCTGGAAGGGATACACAGACAAAGCAGAGCTCTTACTCCAAGAAAGGTATGAGCGCATCACATCAAACGGCAATAATGATGAGTTTGCGGCAAGTATAGCGCGTGGGCGGGTCGCTTTGCTTGATTGGATGAGAGAAGAGAGGACGCCAAGATCAAAAGGTCACAGACCTATGATATCACCCTCTTTTGATGACACAGATACCGATATTGAATACCCTCTTCTGCACTTTGCAGTCAAAGAGGGGCATGCAGATGCTGTAGCCTGTCTATTGGCGCACGGTTGTAGCCCTGATGCTTTGGATAGCTATGGGAGAGGAGCTCTGCACTGGGCCGCAAAATCAGGAAATAAGGAGCTCACCAGTCTTCTTATGAAATGGAGGCCAAATCTGAACCTACAGGACAAACAAAATCACAAACCGTTCCACAAGGCGGTACTTAAAGGCTACCTTGATATTGCGCGGGATATCCTGCAACAATCGCAACCTCATGACAACAAACAAAAAATTAAGGGCCTTGAGGCTGCTGTAATGGACGGCAATGCGGAGAGCGCCCTCGAGTGGCTGAGCACGGAAACTTGTTTTGGGTCACTTGATGAGTTCGACTCTCCCTTTGAAGAAGCAGTAATGGAGGGTGACTTGAAGGTTGCACAATGGGCTTTCCGAAGCACGAAAAGCAAGGTGATATCATCCCAGTACTTCCGAGAACGACTTCTAGCATCGTGCGGATCTCCTGAGGTCAGAGAATGGCTTGAGAGTGAAATTCAGGCGTTTTCTAAGAGAACGTCGAATGGGAATTCCGAATCAGCGGACGTGATGGGTCCGGGCTCGAGAGAACGTGCTTAGATAAATGACACAATCATTTACCTGATGTCTGGGTACTCGTAGTAGCAGTAATTTTGTGGATCAGCAATGAAATATTTCCTGGTGTAGAAGTGAATTCTCTTGCTATTTTGGCTACCGTGAAGGATTAGAGATATCTATGAACTTGGATTTCCTAACTTTCCTGCAATTCTGAATAGCAATTTCCCATCAATGAAAACTTCAATATGTAAAGTTTTAATCTTGCATGAACGCTTTTCCATAAATGGCAACTTCACTATGCGAAGTTATAGCAACTGAATGAAATATTTCCCGCAAAGGGCAACCTCAAAATGAGGGGCTATTTCAACCCGTTTCTCTGTACGGGCTTGTTATAATCTGCATCTTCTTCGCCACCAGAGCCCGTGTAGTCAGTCTCATCACCCTCCCCTGATGTTTCCATCTGGGCAGCCGCGGTATCATCCCCGGCATCAGAATTCGTGTAGTCAGTTATATCATCTTCCATCTCATCATGTTCCCCTGGCGTTTCCACCTGGGCAGCCGCGGAACTAGGTTCGGCTTCATCTTCATCTGGAGGTATGTCGTAGATGGACGGATCCTCATCGGTAGGCTGCTGTGCGGCAAGTAGTCGGCGCTTTTCTAATACGTAAGCAATCCGACTGCGTGGTTTCCCGGATGCTAAAACATTCCGGACCGCTTGTTTATGAATTCCGCCATCGAGGTCAAGTTGTTTTCTCGCATCTGCCATCGACTGGGCCATGACCTCTTCCATTTCTTTCTGAGCATTTTCGATAGCTTCGTTGATTAGAGCCTGGTGTTCAGGGGGCAGGATTCCTTGCTCCAATCTCCGCCGTTCTTCTAGAATCTTTGGCCACTCTTTTTCTGATTCTTTGAACTTTGCTCTGGCATCCCTCTCGGCGATTCGGATTTCTTCTCGTCTTGACTTCAGATCTTCGGCCCTTTGGATGCTTGCTTTTAGCCTTTTCCGTTCGGCTACGTCCTCTTCCAATCGCTGGTGTTCGTTCCTCATATTTGTACAGAACGCGGTGGTGTGACGAACGAATCTTGCAGTGGCCTCCCCCAGTCTAGTGTTGTAGATATCGGCACTGTTGTTGTTTTGATCAGCACTGTTGTAAGAGAAACCGCCGCCATTCTCGGTGTAGCCGTCCCCGATGCAAGTGAAGAGGATTTCTCCAGCAACCGGATGTTCCGGCTCCCACATGAAACATATGGGATTTGCATCCAATCGGTAATTGTTGGGCAGATGGTGGTGGTTGAGGTAGCGGAAAATCGACTCTGTGAGCCCCATTATGTAATTGAAGCCGTCATGGCGAAGGTGAAGTTCGTCTTCGGTCCTTGAAGCAATTGTCCAGCCAAATCGCTGGAGCGGACGTGACATTGGCTTGTCCGCATCTTCCGCCGGTATCTGGTCCAGGCGGGCTGTGAGCGCTTTCCTGAAAACCTCGACGTTGCTTTCTCTCTCGGGTGAGATGTCACCATCCTCCGTCTCAAGATACTTTCTGCTGCTTAAAGCTGGCATCTCGGTTGATTGTTGAGTCGGCATGGCAGCGTCAACTTCACTGGCAAGTTGGTCGTGTTCGCGCAACGGATACTTCGCCATCACCTCCAGCATCTCCCGAAGTTCATTCGGCGTCGGCGCCTCGCCTGACCTTTCGTCGACCAAGGCCAAGCTGTAAACAGCCGGCCGGTCAGTGCTGTTCGCTTTGCCGAATTGTAGTATGTCGGCGAGAGGTCCAGTTCCTCTGGCTGCCTGGCTGATGTTTCCGATCATGATCTCGTTGAGGAGCGGACCTGGCACTGTCGCAAGCAACGGTATCGTAATTTCCCACCAAGTCATCAGCGGCAGGCCGAGCAGCGCAGACCGCTTGTCTCGCTCGTCGTTCCACACCGCACGTAGGAGGTCCCGGTAGTTCTCTGTCAGTAGAGCGGCGTACTGGTTACCGGCGGCGACGGCTGGCGCTAGGTCAGTGCTCTGGAATGGCTCCTGGGCGCTCGGTGGCACGCCGCCAATGATGTCGTCGTGAAGTGTTCCCATTGCGAGGGCCTCGGAGTCAGTGTTGTCGGTGGTCGTGTCTCCGAGATCTGGGTTCGAGGGTCCCGCGGCTGCGGCAGACGGCTGGAGATTAGCGGAGGCGTTATCTTGGGCATTCTCACCTAGCAGTCTTGTTTCGAGTGGTCCCTCCGATGAAGGCGGCACAGGCTCTCGTGCCTCATCATTGTGTCCCGCTTGGCTGCGGCTGCCTCTAGAGGCGTTGTTGGCCCGATTGTTGGGTGAAGTTTCACCTTGGGGTGTATTTGTTGTTGGACTTGGTGATGCTTCATCGTCGGCGAGATAGCCGCCGGACGACGGGGTTTGGAGGTTTGATTGACGCATGGTGTGGTCAGGCGCACGATGTGGGCTTGGATCGGTCATGGTCAAAATGGTGTAGAAGAAAGAAAGAAAGAAAGAGTGAGGAGTTGCTACAAGAAGCACCTTGTTAGCGCGCGGTAGTGCACGGACCTACGGCCACTACGGAGGGCATCGAAGCCGACGGCGAGCATGAAAAATTGTAAGGCTCTAGGCATAGCTGTGTCTAAGCTCGTTCTATGAGAAATAACATACGTCCGTAGCTGAAGCAATCGCCAGGACGTGAATGTATAGTTGTTAGTTCCACATTTACATCCGGCCGATTATTTTATGAGCAGAACGCAAATCCACGCTAGCCATAGGCTGTGAGAGGGGACTGTACTTGTCGATAGCAGTGTGCACAGGCCCTTATGCCTTTCTACCTTGAGCCGCAGTGCATCTCTCTCTTACTCAAATTTTCCACAGACGACTGTCACGATGCCGCCCAAAACGCAGCTACTCAGTGAAATCCTTTTTGATTAGAATTTTCATTGATTTTGGCAGCCGATTCATGAAGACTGCCAAAGCCATGTAACGGTGTTTATACCCAATTACGGAATCGAAATAGGCTAGACCACCCGACTACGCAGAAGATCCCTTGCTAGAGCTGTCATCGCTGTCATCGCTATCACAGTCAGTGTCATCGTCGCTCTCCGAGTCCTCCTCTGCCGCCTCAGGCTCAGAAACTGGGTCATCCTCAAACTCCTGTCCCATAATCTCCCACTCGTGATCCGGATGCAACACGTCTCTGCGCGCGTAGCACTTGTAACAGAAGTTGAAATCCCAACAATCCTTGCACCTGTACCGCACACCGCAGACTTTCTACTCGACCAGTCAGCATCGACTTCAGTTGCGGCCGAGAGGGGGAAGGGACGAATATACTCACAAAAAGACAAGCATCACAAAACTGCGACCCCTCAAACGCCCTCTTCGACGCATGCTCCTCCTCCACCCACACCCTCCCCTCGGCACTCGTCTTAATCCGCGGCGTCAACAACTCCAGCGTCTCCTTCTTCGCGCCATGATAATTCGCCAACTTCAGCGGCGACCACCTCTTCCCCTCACTACTCACCGCCCACACATCCGCGCCCCCCTGCTCCACCAGCCATGCCACCATCTCATGCTTCTGATCATCCCTTCCGCCGTCCCCGTCCTCCCACGCCGCAAACCGATGATACGTGCCGCGCGCCGCGTAATGCAGCGGCGTCCACCCGTCGTCATCCGCGACGTCCAACAACCCGTCCGTCGCCGCCAGCACGCACTGCAGCACGTCGAGCCGGCCGCTGACGATGGCGAAGTGCACGACCGTCCGCCCCGCCTTGTCGCGCGCGTAGAGGTCGGCGTTGGCGTCGCGCAGGGCCTCGAAGTTGGCCGGGGTGCTCGACGACGCCGCCGCGGCGAGGTGGATGGGGGAGCGGCCGGACTGGTCTCGTATGTCTGTCCGCGCGCCGAGCGAGAGGAGGAACTGGATGACGGGGACGGTGGCGTGGTAGGCGGCGGCGCCGAGGGCGGAGCCGTAGAGGCCGCCGGGGGCGTTGACGTCCATCGTTTTCTTCTTCTTCTTCTTGCTGTTGGTGGTGCCCGCAGAGGAGGAGGGGGGGCTGTCTTTGTCTTCGTCGCCGACGAGGCAGCGCAGCATGTCCAGCGTGCCCGGCACGACGACCTCTTCGAAGCCCCAGTCGAGCGGCGACGCGCGGCGGCAGGCGGCCTGCGCGGGCGAGCCGAGGAAGCCGTTGACGATGTTGATGTCCGCGCCGGCCTTCTCGACCATCAGCCGCACGCCCTCGATCGTGCCGCTCCAGCAGGCGAGGTGGAGTGGCGTTCCGCCGGACAGGGCGTTGATGTCGGTTTCGGCGCCGCGCTTGAGCAGGAAGCGCGCGATGTCGAAGTGGTTCCAGGCCAGCGCCTTGTGCAGCGGCGTGCGGCCCTCCTTATTAGCAGCGTTGACGTCAGCGCCGGCGTGCACGAGGAGCTTGGCATCGGCGAGCTCGGGGTTGAGGCGGTGCATGATGGCGTTGAGGGCCGTGTCGCCGTCTGCGTCTTCCAGGCTGAGGTCCGGGCGGAACTCGAGGACCATCCGCAGCAGCTCCGTGGTGCTGGCGTTGTAGATGGGCAGCATGCCGCTCACCGCCTTGATGCTGGTGTCGGCACCGTATTCGAGCAGGAGGCGCGCAGTGTCGTCGTGGTTCTCTTTGAGCGCGACGGCGAGCGGCGTGAAGCCGGACATGTACTCTTCGTCGCGCGGCAGGAACCGTATGTTGGTGTCAGCCTTGCCCTGCTCGAGCAGCGCTTCGACGACGTCCGTCTGGCCCCATTCTGCGGCCAGGAACAGCGGCGACCGCCCGTTTTCTTCGAGGACCCGGTCGACGTCGGCGCCCGCCTCGAGCAGCAGCCGCGTCACCTCGGCGCTCTTGAACGCGCCATGCAGTGGCGTCCAGATGTCACTGTAGACGTCGTTGACGCTGGCGCCCTTCTCAAGCAGCAGCCGCGTCATGTCCGCGTCGTTGGCCAGGCAGGCGGCGAAGAGCGGCCCGCTCGACGGCGTGCGCAGGTTGACGTCGGCGCCGTGGTCGAGCAGGTACTGGGCCATCTCCATGCCGCCGGAAGTGAGGCCCGTCGCCTCGTGCAGCGGCGTCTGGCTCTCCTCGTCGGGCCGCGCGTTGACATCAGCCCCGCATTCGACCAGCTGCTTCACCATGGCCAGCCGGTTGTTCGCGGCGGCTATACGCAGCGCTGTTCCGCCCGAACACATGTGGTTCGGGTCGGCCTTGAATTCAAGCAGGACGTCGACGCAGCGCGCGGCGTTTTCGGCGACGGCCGTGTGCAGAGGCGGCCGTTTCCAGTCTTCGTCGCGGACCGTTTCCGTCTGCGCGCCGTGTTCGAGGAGGAGGCGCACGGCGGCCGGGGCGCCGCTGCTGCAGGCGCAGATGATGGGGATATCTACGCTGTCGTTGGCGGGGGCGCCGTTTTCGAGGAGCACTTTGACGACCTCGTGATTGCCGCGGATGGTGGCGAAGTACAGCGGGGCCGTGTTGTCTTCGTCTGGCGCGTGGACGAGGTTGGGGTCGTGTTTGACGAGGAGCTTGACGACTTCTAGTTGGCTGTTGCGCGCTGCGACGTGGAGGGAGCATTGGCCGAACATGGCTCCCTCCTTGCCGCTGACGTCGGCGCCAAAGTCGATCAGAGCCTGCACGACACGGGCGTGGCCGATCCAGGACGCGCGGCGGACGAGGAAAGATGGCCACGTGAATGAGGGCAGTGCAGTCCGGATGTGGGAGATTAGGTCGAGCAATATGTCCTCATCTCCGCCAGAGCACGCGGCCGTGAGGACATACTCGGCCGTCGTGCTGTCGAGCTCTACTGACCGAAGCAGGCGAAGGACCATGTTACGATGACCATTCCTTGCTGCTTCGGCAACAGAATAAGGGAGCCACAGCTTCTCGTCGGCTTGAGAGACATTCTGGTCTTCTATCCAGCGCTCATAGATGTCCTGAAGGCCGGTCGAGGCCAGGATTGGGAGTTTTGATACATATGTGCGGTCCGTCCTAGAAATCGGATTCGACATGAACCAGCGGGCCATCTGCCATGCCCGTGGAGACGCTTTGTACCGGAAAAAGTCCAACACCTGCGGTATCAAACGGGACTTGTCAGGGGCAAGACTGTAATGTCGGTCCCAGTACCAAACGGCGTAGTTTGCCAGATCCGTCCGTGGCTTGACCGATGGTGTGGACAGAACGTCATGCCGAACACTGCACACTGCGTCCAAAGAGTCATGGGCGGTGGCAGTGTCAAGGAACTTGATACAAGTCTCTACTATCATCTCGTGTGCAGTTCCCTTGACATCGTACCACTCATTCTCAGACTGAAGAATGATATCCCTCAGCTTTGGATGCTGGAACCGGACTTCCTGCACGTTGGAAAAATCGAAGATCGAGACGTCAGCCAGCGCGTTTGTACTATCCGAACCTTGGATTTGCTCCGAAATGCCAAGTGCTGAGTGCAGTTCGCCGATGCTGAGGGGGCGGAAGGCAAATAGGACCCAAGTGATGGCTCTGGCTACCAAGCTGCGTTTTTCTTCCGGTATAGCGTTCAGTGCCCTCTCAGCCAGAATTTCCACATTCGTATCCGGCAGAGCTTTCAGAGCTGCTGTGAGCGTATCTTGAGAGTGGTAGTTCCCGAGATCTTGGAGTAAGAGCCGAGTCAGGCCGATGTCGTTACCGCATTTCCTCAAAAGATCTTCTCTAAACCTCCGAACTGTCTGTCCGACTGCGTAGTTGGTGTCGAATCGATCCAACCTGCAGTCAATCTCATCTCTGACGCAGGGATCGAGGTCATCGGGTGAGAATTCATTCTCAAGCTCGATGCTCGGCCAGCTCTTCAGCCACTCGTCAAGAGAGTCTGCCGACTTGGTGAAGATGAGGAACTTCCAGGGCTTCTCCCGCGATTCGAACACTTCGGCAACCAAACGCCAGAACGAAGACAGCTTGTCCACACATTCGTCCAGATTGTCCAGCACAAACACCGTCTCTCCCTTCGTATAAGTGGATCGCACTCTGGCCAACAAGATGACCAAATCTTCGTCGGTCAAGGCGCCTTGCGCGTGAAAGCGAGACATCTCATTCCTAAAGTCGAAATTGGCTCTGGTCACTTGCTCTCTCGTCACCCACTGCGCCGCCGTGGTCGCCAGAAAAGCTCGCGTGTTGTTGTATCGGTCATCTTGCTGATCAAACGAGAAGTAGGTTGACAGGTCGTCCAATGGGGACTTTAGTAAGATGTCCTCGAAGGCGGCTCCAGAAACCCGTTGCGTCGGCCTTTGTCCGTGGACAATCAAGACATCCGAACGCGTGTTCTGCAGCCAGTTGGTGTATTGTTGGCTGCCGGCCAGAGGGTGGCTCCGATACCGGTGCAGTGGTATCGATCGAACCGGAGACGCAATTGAGATGAGCGCGTCCAAATATGAATATTCTTCTGCTCGCTCTACCTCCCCGCCGCCTGTGAAATATTAATTTGACGCCCACTGGTGTTTTGGTAGCCTTATATTAGCGTACTTAGCCTAAGCCGCTCGTTGAATTCGCCAAACATCGAGCGCAAGTCGGTCATTTCCTCTGCGCAGGGCAAAAACGCGTGGGGCTGGGAGAAGTCGTAGCTGAATGTAAACCCAGTCCTGAGCGTCGACTCATACTCATTGAAAATCTAAAGGTTGGAAGTGAGATCAACTAACTCAATCAGAACATTTTTACGTGGTCTTACGCTTTCATTCAGGTCAGTAAGGTTAGACCTGCCGCTGAGGATTTCTGCGCTCAGAAGAATCTTAGACTCGACGAAAGCTTCATTGCATTCAATGACAGCCCTTGCGAGATTTTTGACATGAAGCATAACATTGCTCTGGGGTGCTTTGGGGCCCGAGAAGACAAGCCGTGCAATCTTCTCTTCCATGTCGTAGACGCTGTGCCACCTGTGTGGATAGCCAAGGAATATCTGAGTCGGTAGTTAGCGAAGAATCATAAATGTGCCTGTGTTGGAGGGTTGAATACAATCCATTTGGTTGAGCAGGCGATGTCGGCGTACTGTGGATCTGTGACGGCTTGACACAAAGCCTACGAGCAGTTAGCCAATTGACACTTCCTAGAATAGAGCTGTTATTACTTGTTTGACAATTGCACCTCCAATATCATGGCAAACAAACACTATCCCTCGGAAGAGGTCCTGCAAGAAGTCATTAGTAAGTGTGCGACTCATTCCCTCATCCCCAACTGTGCCTACTTTGTCTCTCTCCTCTCTTTTCTCTGTAAGCTGACGCAGCAATTTTGATGCTTCTTCAACTATGCCTTCCTTAGAGAGACCCTTGACAGAATCGTAGCCAAAGTTCATCAAGCGAAAGTACTCGTCTTTAAAGTCTTCTAGTCCCAAGACTGTGTTTCGTTTCGACTCATCCCGAGCTTTCCATGTTGTCTCGGGATCACCATGCAAACCATGGACGGTGACGACGCTGCGTAGTCAGATATAGTTGCGCACTGATGCACAAGATCAACGTACTCGAAGTCGTTCGGAAATATATTATGATATCCCAGGACCTGGAGGCCATATTTGTCGCCGCCTGCCTCCTCGCCGGCATCTGCATCGGTTCCGGCGGGGATGCTGATCCGAAGCTCGTTGGTCGTGGTGTCTTCCACGGGCTCAGCGTCTTCTGCAAAGGACGTGTCGTGATCGTCGCTTGATGTTGTTGTTGAAGAATGGTCGTCGTCTGAAGCGATGCTTGCCATCTTCGCACGTGTTGGCTCCCGATTGAATTTGCGAGCAGAGTGGGAAGACTGTCCGCAATGAGCCCGGCGTTGTTGTGCTAGAAGTCGTAGTGGGCGTGCGAAGCTGATGTGGTCCTTCAGGCTCCACTTGCGCAGCTTGGTAGCATGCACGGCTGCTTACAGCTGCATGCCGGGCCGCGGCGGCGCTATCCACATCCAGTCAACACCCGTGGGGGCGGAAAGGGCTCGACACGACACCACATGGTTTCGTGTTGGGGGCCAAGTCGGCGTCGCTCGAATCAGACAAGCTTAGAACGCCACGGCTGAAACCTGAGCTCCCCCACTATTCCGCAGAAAGCATGTTCCTGCGAATCACGATTCACGATGGCCAGGTGATTGCAATAAATGTGTCAGTCTAATTGTTCTAAATATGCTTTACTGCTGAGTCAAGCACGGTCTGGAAAGTCACGCCCGAGAGGGCGCCAAGGTCCACGGATCCAAGTGCCGTAAGATCGTACGTCTGCAACTTATTGGTAGGCGGGAGTTGCGGATCGAACAGGAGAGGATCGTCCTTCGGCCTTCCCCCAAACAGCTTCTGAAGCTTCCTCTCAATGGAGCTCATGGGATCGACCTTGGCTTCGATTTTGAAATCACAGCGGAAAGGCTTCTCGTCCTGCCTCTTCAGCAGGATCGCCGTGCGCATGGTCGAGGGGACTCCGGTCTCGGTGGTACTGTTCTCGAGAAGTGTCCAAGATGCGCTGTCCGCCTCCCCGTAGTTCCTCCCCAGCAGGTCAATGGAACCGATGACTTTCGTCGCGTCCGTAGTCTCGCGGTTGACGCTTTTTTCCCAGCCCAAGTCGGTTCCTAACTCTACGCCAGCAAGAGGAGGGGCACCCAGCTTGACGCTTGCTGATCTTTTCTCGTCTTCCGTCTGCTTCGTCTCAACCATAACCATGCTGTCGTAGGGTGCGATCTGGGAAACCACGGGCTCGGGGTCTCCGGCCTGCTCAGGTGCAAACTGGAGAGTGATATTCACTGCAGAAATGCGCCTTGCTGTCTTCCGGCTGTCGAACTTGAATTTGAGGACAATGAGGGTCGCAAACTCTTCGGCTTCGGGGCTCACGAGGCCGTGGATGACGTCCAGACAGGTGCAGCGGATGTCGAGTGCGCCTTTGCGCTCGGTGACATTGGACCGCTGGTAGGGCGCTGCCGGGTCGTTTTTGGTGCGGAATGAGCTGCCTTCGTCGCCGCCGGGGTTCAATGCGATGTCGAAAACGTTCTCATCGTCGTCTTCCTCCTCTTCCTTCTGCACCGGGTCGTTGTCCACAATGTCCGCCATGGTCGTGTTATCCAGATGATGAGGATAGTGACTTTCTCAGAATTGGCGCATGTTGTTTTTAAGCCCATGCATATCTCGTAATGGAATAAATCCCCGAAGGAAGCTTGCGTGGGTGGGGGCGGTTTCGCAGCCACTGACCCACCTTCCTCCTTGAGGCTGGAGCTCGGGTGACACGGATGTCCAATCCGGGTGATATAGCCGCTGCTAAGGCGTAGGCCCAACACTAGCCCCCATTTCCGTTGGATGCGCCCAGCCTTAGCTGCGACGCGTCTTAGGGTGTGTAGTACGCCATCCCAAGCGTGCACGCATCCACTGCTCGGCTCATCCGACTGCTTGCTGACAGGAAACCCAAACTCCGTTAAGACCTGCTGATATTCTGCCCGCCATGGAAAGTGCACGCTTACAAGACCCTGACGAACAGACTATGGCTGAAGAACATGACACCGATAAGGCCGAAGACCATGACTCCGACAAGGAGGAAGAAGAATCCAGTGAAGAAGAAAGTGAAGACGAAGAAGAGCAAGAAGAAGACGTAAAAGCCCAATTCGAACGAATCATCGCCGGCTTCAGGGACGGCAAGCTAGACATCAGCACCATCACCAGCAAGCCAGACGAATACAACTACCTCGACCAAAAGACAAACGACCACAACCCCCGGAACCTCCTGCACATGATCGCCGAAGCCGGCAAGGACACCACGCGCGCGCTGAAGCCGCTCGTCGAGCACCTCGTCAAGCACCACCGGCGGCTCATGGAAGAAAAGGACAACTCGGGCACCACGCCGCTCCAAGCCGCCATCATGGCCGGCATCGCCAAGCTCGTCGACTACATGTGCAACGCCTACGACGCCGAGGGCGACGTCGACGTCGTGCTCGCCCTGCAGGACTCGAAGAACAACAACTGCCTGCACAAGGCCATGCTCAGCAAGCACAAGTACGCCCGCAAGATCGCCCTCAAGCTCATCGAGCGCGTCCGCGACAGGGAGACCCTGCGGGCTCAGAACAACGACGGCAAGACTCCGCTCCACATCGCCGTCGAGTGGGACCGCTGCACTGAGTCGCAGATGGGCGTTGTACGTGCTCTGGTCGCCGCCTGTGACGCCGCGCTGGACGTCAACGTGGGGACCGATGTCGATCCGGCTCAGCTCTCGGTCTACCGCTACCACGAGAAGACGAGGAAAGAAGCGAAGAAGGCCGATGCCGCCAAAGAGAAGAAGGAGGAGCAGCGCAGCAGCCGGGAATCAGTCGAGGGGCCGACCAGCAGCCGTAACGCAAAGGAAAGCTCGAAAAGCGTGCCGGGAGGGGGGCCCAAATTAGCCCCAGACCAGTCCCGTGCAGCCCCGACAGACCAACTCAGTCGCTCCAAGGAACAACCGCCGAGCAGGTACAAGGACGCGCCGCGCGAGCGCCAGGAACTCCCTATGCGGGGTATCCAGCGGCAGCCGACGAGGATGGACATGAGCGCTCCGAGGAGTGCCCACCCGGACGGATCCAAGTTGGCTGGGAAAACGGCGGGTACGGTGTCGCCAGCTCTGCCCAAGGCACCGGGTGGCGCGGACACTAGTAGAAGGTCGTCCAAGAAGAAGGAAGCGGTGACGGAGGCCACGGCGAATGAGATCAGAGACTTCTTGAAGCTGCATTACATGGGGACGCGGGAGGACCACGAAAGCATTGTTTCGTTTCTCTACGGGCCAGTTCAAGGTAAGCGTCCGACAGTACAGAGAGTGGTGAGCAGGAGCTAACCGCCGCGGCAGAAAAGGAATTGTATTGGTCGTTGGCCGACGGACCGCCCGTCATTTCGCTGCAGAGGCTGGAGAGGATGAAGTACGTCAACTTCGAGGATACCCTCAAATACGTTTTGCTGCCCAGCGTCCGCGTGGCCAAGCCTCCGGCGGCGACATCCAAATTTCTTGCTAAACCTGCTGCCAAGGATGTGGGCAAAGGCCGAGACGACTACACGGTCATTTTCGATTGGCTCCGCCGCAAGGGCGTGAAGCGCATCTTCAATCTGTACATCGACGACCGCGAAGAGCCGTCCCACAGTGATGAGACGATTGAGAAGGCGCTTCAGGGGATCGAGGTGCTCAAGGTGTGGGACTGGCAGAGGTCTGATCTTAGCTCCGAGGTCATCGCCAAAGCTGCGCCCAACGTCAGTCAGGTCAACTTGTATTGGGGCGGGAACAATGCTGTTCTACGCAGCTGGAGCGAGTCCGAGGGTCTCAACCAGCTGAAGAAGCTTGACACGGTTGTGCTGTATGAGAACCAGGCGCGTATAGTCTGATCCTAAAGAGGTGCAGAAACTGACTGGTCTGCAGGGTTTGGAGACACGGGCGAGAGAGAAGAGAAATCTGGACGCATTCTCTGCAAGACTGAAGCACAACAGACGCCTACTCATCGAAAGCATCGAGAGCAAGCAATCCAAAGATGCAAAGGACCAAGAACGGCCCCCTCCGGCCATCAACGTCCAGATCGAGCGAGATGTGCTGCCTCTGAAGAAGGCGGAAGCGGGAGAAGGGGCGGCGGCCTCGCAAGAGCAACACAAAGACCAGCACAAGTGGCTAACATGCATGGACGACTTCGCAACATTCGTCCAAAACGTCGACCTGGACACTTCCCGCTTGAACGGTCTCGAGCCGAAGCCCATCACCGTCGCCCTCATCGACGACGGATTCGACATCAACGAACAGTCCGTAGTCGACAAGGTCGTCGGCGGCCGCAGCTTCCGCAACCAAAACAACCTCAACGCCCCATACTGGGCCACCAGCGGCTTCCACGGCACCGTCATGGCCAGCCTGATCTGCCGCGTCTGCCCCAAGGTCCAACTCTACGTCCTGCGCCTCGACGAGCACAGCGCTGGAGAGCAAGGGAAACGGCAAATCACAGCCAAAAGCGCCGAAAAGGTAACATCCAGCCACCCACGCCACCCCTCCCCCATACTAACACCCCCCACTCACAGGCCGTCCGCGCAGCCATCGACCGCGGCGTCGACATCATCTCCATGTCCTGGACCATCGAAAAAACCGTCGACAACGAACCGGACATCAAAAAGCTCGAGACCGCCCTCGACGAAGCCGCTAAAAAGAACATCCTCCTCTTCTGCTCGGCCAACGACCAGGGTACCGACGCCGACGAGAGCCACCCATCCGCGAACCCCGGACGCTTCAAGATCGGCGCCGCCACCGCGTGGGGCACAGCCTGGCGCTGGACGCGCGCCTCGCACGTCGACTTCATCTTCCCGGGCGACAAAGTCATCAAGGAGCGGCCGGGCAACGTGCCGGTCGAGAAGTGCAGCTTGGTCAGCGGATCGAGCGTCGCGACGGCGCTGGCGGCGGGGCTGGCGGCGCTGGTGCTGTATTGCGTGCAGTTTGCGGCGTTGCACTGCGTCGCGACGAACCAGCAGGCGAAGGTGGTGACGTTGGAGGATTTTCAGGCGATGAAGACGCGGGAGCGGATGGCGGAGGCGTTTCATGCGATTTATACGACGAAGGATAGCGATAATAAGTATATTGAGGTGTGGAATACGTTTGAGACGGCGCCGAGGGAGGGGGAGGGGAAGGAGAAGGATGTTAAGCGCGAGATTATCGTGGCGGTGGCGGATAAGTTGAAGGCGAGGAGGAAGTTAGTTTTTGGGGCGCAGAATCTGCTGTAGTGGATGGGCTCGACATGTACGAGTTAATGGATACCGCCTGTAGGTAAGAATGTACGAATTTTGTGAGAGCGATATGTGCCAGCCTTACTTGTAGGGTCGTACGAACCTATAGCTAGACATCACGGTAGAAACTTAGCGATTCCGAAGGTGTAGACAGTCGCAGTCGTGGGGTCTTACTGATCTAGAAATGATGCTACAGCTCTAAGCGCTTTCTAACAGCCAATCCATGGGTCTATGGGACGATCCGAGACATTGGGGGCCAAATACATGCCAGCCCCGCTCTTGTAGCTCGTAAGAAACACCACACCACGCATCTCCTGCGTTGTATCCACAACATCAAAGTTCAAAGTTCAAGCCGACAGGTATGGGTATCAGACTTGCTTCAGTTGTTGCAACTGGCGCTCGTCGCCTTTTGATGGTGGTGCTGCTTGTTGTGGAGGTTGTGATCAGGCTGAGCGTCCGGGCGAGCCCGGGAGTTGGAATCGGAAGCGAAGACACCCAGTCCAAGAATCTAGATGAACGCCACAGGCGTGTTTCAGCTATCGAACCTAAAAGCTCAGGAAAGGTCGAAAAGCTCCTCCCAATTCCAGTTGTTCGATCCACCGAGTCTGAATCCAAGCGTTCGGCACGTCCGTTCCAACACCACGCTTTGACCGGACCCCGTACAATTCGGCTAGTGCAATTACTTCCTGGAGGTCTAAACGACCCTCTTCGATGCAAGATTCTCCACATATCTCTGGACGAAAATCCTCAGTATGAGGCTGTTTCCTACGTTTGGGGTCAACGCACGACGACGTCTACCTCGCCAGTTTTGATAGTCGAGCCGGGCCACGGACACATTCGTGTGACAGACAACTGCAGCAGAGTGTTACGGATCTTACGCAACTACATTCGGAAAAGAACCCTGTGGATTGACGCAATCTGTATCAACCAGGACAACGATGCTACCGATGAACGGAATCACCAAGTCGGCCTCATGGGAGAAATCTACAAGCAAGCAGCATGCGTGCTTATATATCCGCGAGGTCCTAAAGATGATCTACACTGTGACTTCACTGGCTTGGAAGAGTCATTGAAAGTCAGACCAGATAACTGGGAAGCTCTGCATGTGCTACGCATGGAATGGTTTCGGCGCACTTGGGTCCTACAAGAAGCCTATCTCGCTCGCAAAGCCATAATCGTTCTCGACACTGGTCCGCAAAGAATCAACATATCTTTTGACAAATTCATATCCGAAAGCAGGAAAGGACTTCATCGTCTGTCGCTGAAGGACTCTTACTGGCCCGCCATACTGGACATTCGCCGAGAACTCATGGATCAGGTTGTGAGCAATAAGAGGAGCCTTCGCTCCAATCTCCTAGACTTACTCATTGCCACCAGAGACCTAGATGCGACAGACCCTCGTGACAAAATTTTTGCGCTCCTGGGTATCGCCTCCGATGGACATCATCCAGGATATACGATTGACTACTCTCAAACCACGGCACAAGTCTATGTCGCTTACGCACTCACTATGTTACGCCAAAGGTCAGATCTAAAATTCTTGAGCGCATGCAACGGTTCCCCACTCCTCGACCATTGCGAAGATCGCGACTATTGGGAGACAAAGCGCTTGCTACCGACATGGGTGCCCGATTGGAGGCGCCGTGTCTACAACAATACCATATGGGACCATTCATGCAGCACAGTCCGCGGTGGCTATATCGGCAGAGCGCGCGCGCAGCCGGCGGACATGATACATGATCTAAGGCTCCGCGTCAGAGGCTACATAATTGGAACGGTATACGGAGTGGGTCCTGTGCTACGGGGTTCCCGTATCGTTTCGCAAGTAGCGAAGTTCTTCTATAACGAGTCGACGACCATTCCACTACCGCCCCTTCGGCGTTCCAATCCCTTCTATGATCGTTTCCCCTGGCTTATTCTCTCAGAGAGAGCCCAACACACAGAGTGGCTGAAAGGCTTGGAAAGAGTGCAAAACGCAGAGTGGCTGAAAGGCTTGGACAGTTTGCTTCACGGACGCAAGGTATTCATGACAGACGATGGCTATTACGGTCTGGCGCCCTATCAGACTTCCGACGGCGATCTGTTATGCCAGTTAGGTGGTTGCCGGACGCCGGTACTGCTAAGAAGAGTTCCTGATTTTGTTCCAAATCCTGGCAATTGGTATATGCTCGTTGGGGAGTGTTATGTGCATGGAATCATGGACGGTGAGGAAGTGGGTCTCGATGAGATGGATGACTACGAAATAATTTAGCAAGGTTCAGAAAGTATGGACTTCGTTGATTGAATATAAGAAATGGTGAGGTCGCCAAGCGTCAATTAGCAGCTTCTGATGTCATGTATCTGCACATCTAGAAAGGTTTAGCGCGACATCCTCTCAACAGCGGGGTACTGGGTATAAGAGCTTCAGCCTTGCCCCTCCGAAACTTGCAACCTCTTTCCTCTGTACAATCGCCGGAGCCAACGTTCGGGGTTGCACGATGGTATGTATCCAAATCCTAACATATTCGTCTTGCAATGAAAATGACTGAAGCTCTGGTACTCGCCTGCTGATGGGTCTTTGAAAAGGTCGGTTGCCCATTCTGCTTCGATCTGCACGAACGTGTTGTGGAGTGGGATTTCACGACAGAGAAGATATGGAACGGGACATTATGTAATGATGTCTCAGCCAGTGCCGACCGGGGTTGTGAAGGCTGCATTTTGATTCGAAAGATCTTTAAGAAGCTGGCTCGCGTGGACATATCGGAAAACTCTGTTGCGGAAATCAGGTCTCCGATAAACGTACAAGGGCCCGCGATGTTCATTTTGTGGCCTGAAAACTCTCCAATTAAGACTTCTAAGAGATTTCAGCTCTTCCCTAGTAATGGTAAGAAAATCTACCCTGTTGCATGGCGATCGTACCCTAATTCCAAGCCGAAGATAGGAGCCTCTTCGATGGCAAAGCAAGCAAAATATCCGGAGACACTTCAGCTAATGAAGCGTTTGATACTGCTCGAGCATGGCTAGAGAATTGTGTGACGAACCACGCCCAATGCAAGACGTCAGACATGCTACCTAGGAGGGTTATTGACGTGGGCGAACTGGATACTGAGGACCTACCGAAGGTGATCGAGCCTTGCGAAACACAACACGGAAAGTATGCATGCCTGAGTTACTGCTGGGGGAGGGATCCGGAAGCAAATATCCGAACAACCAAAAATACGCTTTCCCAGCGAAAGTCCGGAATCGAATGGAAGGATATACCTGCAACCATCACCGACGCTATTCTGGCTTGCAGGAAGCTTGGTATACGTTTTCTCTGGGTTGATGCCCTGTGCATTATTCAAGATGATGTTCAAGACTGGGCTCTCGAATGCACGAACATGGCAGAAATATACTCGAACTCATATATCACACTTGCTGCGGTTGCAGCAGAAGATCCATCGCGTGGAATGTTCCAAATATCGCCCAATGAGCACGTTGGCGTTGATTTCAATGTGCGAATTCCGGGAACAGACGAGACGGCACAAATTTGCGCGCGTGAGGTTTTGGATCACATTTCAGAGACAGGCCTCCAGTGTACGAGAGCCTCGATGGTCCGGCCCCTGATGAAGCGAGCCTGGGTGCTCCAGGAGATGCTCCTATCACCAAGGATCCTTCGGTTCAACCCACACGAGCTCTCCTGGGAATGCTGCGAGATGGTGACTTGTGAATGCTCACACATGTTCGGCAAATCGGATACCTCTTTAACACGTCAGCTTTCGTCGTATGAACGCATCGTTCCGGATGAGAAGTACTTTCTCGAATGGCAAAATATCATTTGTTCATTCTCCTCTCGCGATCTCACATATGAAACCGACAGGCTCCCAGCAATCTCTGCAATCGCTCGTGAGTTCTCGTCGGTTGGTGGGAGATACTTCGCAGGAATCTGGGAGAAAAACCTTATTCGAGGCCTTCTTTGGAAATTCAATGGGGTTTGCTTCACCAAACGACGATTTGACGAGAGTGCGCCCAGTTGGTCATGGACCTCATCACCAACAGACATCACCTTCGTGTTTTACAGCAATTTAAGACTTCACGAGCGAGCCGAATTTCGAGATTTCTACTGCTCTCCGGCTACAGCAAACGAATTTGGCTCAATAAAAGGAGGCTCAATTACACTTTCGGGACACCTTACCCAAGTCTTGGTGACTTGCACCAAAGAGACATGGAGAAATATCGTGCATGTCAGACCGCCCCATCCTTCTCGGAAAGAGGTTGATACCACCCATCAGCGGCGAATGGATGCGGGCAGCCTGCGAGATGACAAGATCTTGTCAGACCCTTCTGCTGAAATGTATGCATTCCTCCTTGCTTCAAAATCGTCGAAAAGGGGCACATTGACAAGAAATTACTCCCTCATCTTGAGAAAAGTCTCAAGCGACGAGTATCCAATTTCGTACGAACGCCTTGGCCTTTTGAAAGAACTTTGTCCGCACGATGAGCCATCTTTTCAACTACATTGGGGATCGTTTGCCGGCACTACTGAAGAGACAATCACAGTTATCTAGTTCATCCGTTGTTGAAAATGAAATATCTTCACCTATGAGATATTCAAAGGAAAAGATTGTCCAGAACGGGTTTTACCAAGGTCGACCCACATTCTCTACAGACGAGCTTTCAATGAATGATCGAGGATCTCGCAAATCTTCAGCACTGAAAGAATGCAGATATGTGCCTGCCAAAGTTTATTATTCATTTCCGGGACTCTTCGCCGTATCTCCGTTGCTTTTCCTCAACATCATACACTTGTCAGCATGCTCTTTCTCTTAGCTTCAAACACTACCCAGCAATCTACTGCTTTTGTTTACTATATCGCTCATTCAGGATTCATGTATACAGTCAGGATGAAATTTTAGCCAACCCAAAGAAGCAGCAGTGCGCAATTCCAACCACCCGACGCTGTGTAACACAACTCTCGCCACACCTCCCCCCACTCCGCAGACTGTCTTACGGCCCCGCTTTCCCCTCCCACCTCGACCCCGCATCGCAGTAAGACCTACTTCGCTTACAGAACCCCAGCCCACGAGTATACTTAACCCATACGCGGCTCTAAATTCCCGTCGACGACCTACCCCTCCACCCAGTCTTTTCACCATCGCGCTAGACCCACCCGCCTACCCACCCCACCAAATACCCAAAGAAACAACAATGGCCCTCCCCACCCACCGTCTCGCCGGCAAAACCGCCATTGTCACCGGCGCATCCTCAGGCATCGGGCGGGCCATCGCTCTGCGCTACGCATCCGAGGGCGCGAAGGTGGTGTGCGCGGATCTCACGCCAAAGGCTCGAGGAGCGGCGGCAGGCGACGAGGAAGAGGAAACTGATACGCACGCGCTGATCGAGCAGCGCGGTGGGGAAGCTGCGTTCGTCGAGGCGGATGTTGGGGATGCGGGGCAGATGGAGAAGCTGGTGGAGGCGGCGGTGGCGAGGTTTGGGAGGGTGGATGTGTGAGTGCTGCTTTTTTCTCTCTGCTTTTGTCGATGGCGTTGCGGTGGTTGCGTTCTTGGTAGGTTTTGCCGCGGATGCTGATTGCTCGACCGCAGGATGGTGAACAACGCGGGAGTATCGCTCAGGACGAATCCGCCCAAGCCGCTGCACTTGACGGACGACAGCATCTGGGATGCCACGATGCGGGTCAATGCCAAAGGGGTGTTCCTGGGGTGCAAGCATGCAATAGCGCAGATGTTGAAGCAAGAGCCGCACGAATCGGGAGACCGGGGGTGGATCGTCAATATCTCGTCCATCATGGCGCTTGTTGGGGGATGGCGAATTCGTAAGCAAGAACCAAATCAGGCCTGGCTCTAATGTCTCATAAGGGATTCCGCTGACGATAAATGACCAATAGCTGCCTACTGTGCATCAAAGGGTGCGGTAACGGCTTTGACAAGGCAGGTGGCGCTGGAATATGCGGAACATCGTATCCATTGCAATGCCATCTGTCCCGGATGTAAGCGATTCTTGCTCGGTTACCTGATGTGGGCTTACTCTTTCGTAGATGTACAAACCCCGTTAATGCGTGAAGCAACTAAACACATGGACTCGTGGGACAAGGTTGAGAAGGCGCACCCTTTTGGCGGAGCAGGCTATCCGGAGGACATTGCGAAGATCGCAGTGATGCTGGCAAGTGATGATGCAAGTTGGATGACTGGCACAAGCATCCCGGTAGATGGTGGGTACACTGCGCAGTGATTTTCACGCAAATGCAGATTGAAGGGTGTTGAATGCACGCTTGGAGAACTGTCCCTTGAGATTGTCTCAGGTGACCTGCTAGACCGATATTCGGCTTTTGTAGGTAGTTGAAGTGGTTGTCCGGACGAAAATGTAGAATTGATAATCACACATTCGTGTTCGGAAGATAGCTTTGACGACGAGTGCCGGAACCTTCTGTCCCTCGAAGCGTTTACTATTCAAAATGCTATAGCGGCCGCTAGAGTCCCTTGTATCCGTGTAGTAGTAGATCGAGGCGTTGCGAAGCTGGTTGCTTCTAAAAGCCCAGCCTGGTCTGCGCACGTCTGCCCGACGACCCATCTAGAATTGGCGGAAGTGCGAGCTAGTGAGGCGGCAGAACAAATTCATACTGCTGGTATTAGAGCTGTCTCACGCCCACTCCTCTACCTTTCCAGAAGGACCCATCTCTGGCCGTGTCGTGACCACCTCTAGCAGGTTCGGCCCTCTGGGGAAGCAACCACCCCGCTAACTCGCCGAGGTGGACCCTTACGAGCTCCTCTACATAAGAAGATCTCCTCCCACCATCTCTCCATCTTCCCTTCACTCCCCTTTCTCACCTGACAACGACACCAGTTAGTAGGTTCCTTACCACCTACAGAGTCAAACAATTATCCGAGCTAATGCAACAACAATAGAAAACATGTCCTCCTCATACGCGGTTCCAGACTGGCTGGGAAAGCAATCTACGATCGGAGGCTTGAGAATGGACCTACCCCCACCTCCTGCCGATGGCGACCTTGGCTTCCAGCTCCCTCCCGCACCCACCACGTCGGCAGCAGCTATTGCGCTCATCAACTCGCTCCGCACCGGCGGCCTCCCCTCCTCAACGCACTATAACGACAAGCACAACGGTCTCCGCCAGAACTGCCTGGTACAAGCGGTGTTCAAGCTGCTTCTACAGTCCATGGACGTCTGGGCCTCGGATCAAGCCAACACGACCGCTACCTACGTAGTTGCCGGAAAAGAGATGCGGCGTCATCAGATATCTCCTTTGGGCATCGGTTTCCTCAACGCGGCCACCAGGGAGAGAGCATATCAGAGCTGGGAACGAGGACTCCTTCCAGAAGTCGCCACGCTCCCGGAGACCGCCGATGCCCTCATTCACGAAAAGGCCGCTTCTGGGACTATCATCGAGTGCACGCTCAACCACAGGACCAATTCCGGAAACTTATATCTCGTTTCTACGAAGAACCATCCCTCTCTGGGCCAGTCGTTCGACGTGCGCAAATTACAGCGCCTGGGCAGTGCTGGGATCGACGAGGCTAGGAAGCTGGTTGAGGACAAGAAGAAGCGGGAGGAGCACGAGAACAGGGGCGGTAAGGATCACGAGGTGGCCGTCTACATCACTCCCGGATCCGCTAATGTTTACATCTACGACCCTGCGTTCGAGATGGATGAGTGGCCGGTGCCGACACGGCTCCCCGAAGCGATGATGCTCAATCGGGTGAAGCAGCTCCTCTGCCACCTCAAGGACAAAAACGACAAGGCCCTGAAGAAGGCGAAGATCTTAATCGGTGGAGGTGGCAACGATGCTGACAATTGCCGCGCCATGGCAGTGGAGTGGATTGTGGGCGTGGTAGCACAGCAGTGGATGGGTCTAGATGGCCCGGAGGTGGCAGAGGGGCCTCCGATGTACTTTGGAGATGGATCCGACCAGCAGGAGCTGCGCTGGTAGAGTCTCAAGGAATCGGTAATTTAGGTTGAGCACCTACAGCTCTCGAGCGCGGCAAGGAGCTTGACGGAGAAGTCATATGCGTCCGGTGTGCGTTTGAGAGGCGTCAGGAAGGGACATTGATGGCTACTAGCTTGGCTGAGAGTAAAAGCGAATACACCGATCGACTTTTGCAGGCAGCTGACGCCATCGTTCAGACACGAATGTGGCTATCAATTCTACATTCTGTCTTTTAATTGCCTACGTACGAACATTATTGCTTGGAAAGTGACTCGCTCCCTCGCGCGTCCGATAATTGTAGCGGAGACGTTACACCGCTCCAGCATAGGAACCAAATGATACTCATGTTAAGTGCCAACCCTTCGCCGCATAGATTTTGTATGAACCTTGAAGGGTCAGCCTGTCTACCGATATATTCCCAGTGGTGATTTTCAAGATGACTTACCAACCCAATCGTTGAGATCGACATCGGAAAACCTTGCTGAAGAGTAACGAGCTTCCGTTTTGTCTGCTTCATGACTGTCTTTTGGTGCACAGCACTTGCTTTGCTTCGTGCCATCTTCCTTCGTGTCGGCATAGACGTTCAAGTTCGCCTGCGAGTCAACGATCAGGATTTCTACCTCTGGTTAATCTTAATGAAGTTCTTGAGACCGTGAGGCTCACTTACCACAGAATCCAGCTTGTTTCAGCCATGCTTCGTAGCTCGCAACCAGACTCGCGCCTGCAATACAGCCAAAGTACATTGACACATCCGACCTGAGGTCTTCAGGGAGCGGCTTCTTGGCGAGGATGTCAGAAACGGCAACTCTTCCGCCTGGCTTGAGCAGTCTGAACATTTCCTTGAACACCAACCCTTTTTCGGGCTCTGGTACGAGATTGATGACACAATTGGAGATGATGCAACCCGCGGTTCTAGACTGAATATCGATCGAGGTGATGGGCGATTTCACGAAAGAGACGTTGATCGCATTCTTCGCAGCCTTGATCTTGTTCGCACGTGCGAGCATGTCCTTTGACGTTAAGCAGGTCGCGCACAGTAAAGATATCACTTTATCTTACCTCGTTCATATCAACGCCAATCACAGCGCCGCCGTCACCTACTCTAGGAGCGGCGAGGAAAACATCGAAGCCGGCACCGCATCCAAGGTCGATGATGGTCTCACCCTGAAGCACCGGATCAGAGATCAGCAGCGTATATCTGAGACACCCCAACTGACCTCTTTCACGCTGGCTATCGCCAACGGGTTGCCGCAACTCAGGCCCAAGTTGGCATCTTCTGAAATACTCGCCAACTCCTCTTCGGAATACCCAAACGACTTGGCAACGGTCTTGCTGTAAGAGGCGTTCGTACTCTGTGATGCTGCAGTGTAATGCTTCCGGACCTGCTCGTAGATTTCGGAAGAGTCCATTATGGGTAGTGTTGGATTAGAAGGCCGGGAAAGTGTTTCGGATGGTGGTTGTCGGGAAGCTCAGTGGAGCTTATACGCAGCGGTTTCCGAAGGGTCCTAATAGATTTCTGTGAATTTTTCATTAGATTTTTGAGTTTCTTATCTTTCACGGGCTCGGCTTGCGTTAGCTGCAAACTGACTTTCTCGAAACGGAAATTTATCGGTTTGTCATCGCTCGTGGCAAATGCGCTACCCCACTATGCAGCGTAAGCTGGTCCCCGCATCTCGACACCCGCAACACGATCATAACCCGCTCACATACACCAACTGGAAGCCTACATCATGGCACCAGCAAACCCTGGGAAGAGTCTGACACAGAAATTCTCATCCAAACCGCCAGAGCACAAGGCTACACGACTACGAGAGAACCAGCGCCGCCATCGCGACAAAGTAAAGAATCGGATTACTGAACTGGAAGCTGCGCTAGCTTCCACACGGAGCCAGCTCCATGCTGCTCTCCAGCGTGGCAAAGAGCTTGATGCCGAGGTCACAAGACTCCGGCGTGCACTTGAGAGCCGCCAAGGAGGAATATCGTTGGCGTCGGAAAATGGCGCAACCACCTCGGAAATCATCAATGTTGCTAGCTCAGAGGGAAACGCCGAACACGCTGATGCAATCCAACACCTTTTAAGTGCGAGCCGAACAGCTGCCGAAGAAGGGTCTGACATTCTTGGAGGTGCTTCCAGCTGGTGTGGTTTGGGACTCTCAACTTCTATAATTGAACAGACTGGAGAAGATCCTGGACCCTGCAGTGAGAGATCTACTCGCGAAAGAGGCAACGCTATTGAGGAGGAAGTACCAGGCAATGACTGCCTTCACTTACCGCCAGCAACTCCCGGTGAATCAACGATGGATTGTCGCGCTGCATACGCCATCATTCATGAACAACGAGGGGAAGAAATCCCACCCGAGGTCCTAAAAGCATGGCTCAGGCCAGGTTTTCGCAGAGCAGTCGTCCGCGGGAGCGGATGTCGAGTACTTACTCAGAACTTGTTTGCCCTCGTCGACCGGATTTCTTGAATAGATCTTGGCCCTGCAAAGGTACGTCATTTGGAAGCCTTGTCTTGTTCCAAAAAAAATTTAATATCTGTTTATAGGCCTCCTAGTAATTTTTTACTTACAAAGAGAATGTTGAGTTCTCTTGTCTCCAGAGTCTGCAGGGAACCGACATCTTCTCCACATCCCCCTCGTGTTCCGCCACAACCGAATCACCAATCACGCTCCATCCTTTTCAAAGCCCTCGAAGTCAGACGCAATGCAACGCCGGCGCTCCGCTCAATTCGTCGGACGCATATCCCGCAACAAGAAGGCGCGGCCGGACCCCTGCCCCGATCCTGGCCGCACATCATCAGACGACCGCGAGCGAGGCGAGCGGGGCAGCCCGCTCCGCTCCACATTGGCCTGTCATTGACGCTGCAAAAGGAATGGCTGACGCGATAGCCCTCGCCGCCCGCTCAATCGGGTTGTTGCTTTTACGGACGAGAGAGATGATGTCGAACATGGGGTTTCGCGAAGTACAAGTAGCGCGCGCGGGCGATCTACCCGTCCGTCTTTTCTCTCCCCCCCTCCAACAGCCACTCGCTGTCCGTCCCGTCGTCTGCTGTACGACAGACGCCTTTGGCCCCCAAAAAGCGACGGCCGCAGCGACCACAAGCCCCGCTTTAGTCGCCTCCATCCGCAACGACGACCACGACCACCACAACCACCACCATGGCGCCCACCTGGCTCGCCCCCATCGTCGCAGGCGTCGTCGCGCACGCCGGCATCCAGCTCGTCGAGATCGACATGTTCCTGCCGTACATCGGAATGGCGCTCAGCGGTTTCTGGGCCGCCTGCCTCTACCTCAGCGTGCACGTCTTCGGCGCGACGATCGTCGAGGCGCTGGTGGAGATGCTGCGCTTTTCCGCCCTGGTCTCGCTTGGACTGACCGCCTCGATGCTGGTGTATCGCGGATTCTTCCACCGGCTACGACGGTTCCCCGGGCCGTGGCCGGCGAAGTTTACGAAGCTGTATGCGGTGTGGCTGTCGGCGCGGAAGGTGCAGTGGCATTTGGAGATGAAGAGGATGCATGAGGAGTATGGGGATGTGGTGCGGACGGGTGAGTCTTTCTTCTGCTGTTTTCTCGTTACACTGCACGAGCCCCACTTCGAAGCAAGAAACGTGAAAGGCAAGAGATGGGGAAAACAACCGAAGAGGCGGGCAAAAAGTACAAGAGCAAATTGAACATCCACTCTAACCCCCACCCCCACCCCCAGGCCCCCGCGAACTCTCCATCACCCGCGCCGAAGCCATCGCGCCCCTCGCCGCCTGCCGCAAATCCACCCTCTACGCCCTCTCGCACTGGAACGACGACCGGCTAGGCCTGATCGAGACGCGCTCCATCCGCGACCACCGGCTGCGGCGCAAGCCGTGGGACACGGCGCTGAACAGCAAAGCCCTCGCAAAATACGACCCATCCCTGCAATCGACCATCGGGCTCTTCCTCGACGCGATTTCGACGGCAAGCGAGGCGGGCCAGAAGCCGATCAACGTGACCGACTGGGTCGCGTACCTGGCGTACGACTTGATGGGCATGATCGGGTTCGGCCGCGACTTCGGCCAGTTGCGGGGAGGTGGGGTGGAGCATTGGGCGGTCAAGGCGCTCAGGGCGCAGCAGCTGTTTATTGGTGTGCTGAAGCCGATTCCGTGGTTGTTGAATTTTTTGGCGGCGATACCGGGCGCGGATGGGCCGGTGCAGCCGTTTGTTAAGTATTGCGCTGGGTTGGTGGCGGAGAAGAGGGAGGTGAGATCCCCCTCCCCCTTTCCATTTTTTTTTCTCTATTCTGGGGCAGGAGGGACGGGTGACGGGGCTGAAGTGCTCTGATATCGCCGGAGGAGAAGTTGGTGTGAAGCGGAAGGAAAAGCAAGACAACATCGTACTGACCTCCCACCTTCTCCCCTAGGCCATCGCCGCCGCCGACAAATCCGCCGCCCTATCCCAACCCTCCGACATCTGCACCTACATCCTCCAAGCCTACGAAGCCAAGAGCCCGAACGCCCCACGCACCCAAGCCGCCCTCGACGAAGACGGCCGCCTCATCGTCATAGCCGGAGCGTGAGTCCGCCTTCTCCCTCCCTTTATGCCCCCCTCCCCTCCTCCCCTCCCCCCGCCTCAACCAAACCTAATCTAACCAACCAAACAGCGACACAACCTCCAACACCCTCATCAACGCCCTCTACTACCTCTCCCGCCAGCCCCATCTCTGGCGCGCCCTCCAATCCGCCCTCACGCCCCTTTTCCCCGGCGGCCCCGACACCTTTTCCTACGCCCACCTCGCCGCCAACCTCGCCCAGGCGCCGCTGCTCGACGCCATCATCAACGAGACCATGCGCCTCAAGCCCGCGACCCCCGGTGGGAATCCGCGCGTCACGCCGCCCGAGGGATTGACGATAGTTTTAGAGGATGATGACGAAGGCGCGGACGAAGGAGGCGCCGGAGCGGGGACAGGAGGGGCAGCAGCACGCAAGCCGAGAGAACTCCACATCCCCGGCTCGACAGACGTCTACATGTCACCCTACGTCCTGCACCGGTCGCCGCGTTATTTCGTTGAGCCGGACGCGTTCGTGCCGGAGCGCTGGATCGCGGACCGCGCGCGCGGGGGGAGGCCGGAACTCATCAAGAAACAGGGTAGGGTGGATAATAACGGTGTGCTGGATGGGGGGCCGGCGTTCTTCCCGTTTCAGGTGGGCCAGTTTGCGTGCGCGGGGAAGGCGTTGGCGATGTGGGAGATGCGGAGCGTGTTGGCGCGGATGGCGTTGAGGTTTGATTTGGGGTATGAGAGGAAGGCGGGAGGGGAGGGAGAAGAGGGGGATGTGGAGGGGAGGAGGTTCGATGAGGGGATGAAGGATACGTTTACGATGACTTTGGGGCCGATGTGGTTGAGGTTTAAGGAGAGGGGGAGGTGGTGGGAGGAGGGGAGTGGGTGAAAAGGCAAGTCCAGGGAGGTAGAAAGACGAGGGGGAGAGGCCAGGGATGGAGGGAGAGAGATGGAAAGGCCGGAGGAGGCGACGGGGGGGATACGGAGGACCATTATGACAGATCGCTACGTGTTGCTTTTTAGACAACAGATTAACGTACACTATTTTTTTTGTTTCTCTCTGTACAAGAAACCAAAGACCTCGCTCGATGCGGAACGAAGTTGAGCGAAAGAAGCGGCACCACCACCCCCCAACAAACCCCGCAAACCACCCCCCATCCCCACCCATCGCCCGTCGTCAAAATAAGCAGCACCCAATAAGCAAGGCTACCATGCACGTGGCTAATGTGCCATGTGTCACCACACACGCGCCGCCGTACACGCCACACCCGGCCGCCACGCTACCCGCCGGGGGGGCCGATTCGATCGGGGTCCGGTCCCATCGCCGGGATCCCGCGGGGCAACACCCGAACTTCCTTCCGAACAAAGTAAGCGCTGGCGCCCGCCCATTAGTGTGTGGCTTGTTTTGCTCATAATTGACTTCAGTCCGTCCGTCCGTCCCGGCTGTAGCTTGTTGTTGTTGTGGTGGTTGGTGGGTGGCTGACGGGCTGTGTGTGTGTGTGTGTGGAGCGCGCATACATACGCGAGGGGGGATGATTTGCTGCAAGGGAAGCATGTCTCACATCCTCTTGCTTACAACGGCTAAATGGACAGCAAGGCTTGTCGTCGCGACGAGGCGAGAAAAATCTCCGAGTGGATGGAAATAGGCGCGCTGTGAGGGACGACGACCAACAGTGTTGTGGGAGGCGGGGCCGCAGTTGAGTTCTCCACATCGCTGGGTTCCCTCCTACATTACGATTGGACAAGTCTTCGGGTAGCGAGTAGCTGAAACGTAATGTTCGCGATCAAGTGATGGGAACGATTTTGAAGAAACCAAACACGGCGTGCGTGTGTATTTCTAATTAAAAATTGGTCGAATATAGTCTCTTTGGTACTCGGACGAGAACGCTGGAGAAAAGCCGCCGAACAATTGAAACAAAACGAGCCGAAAACTTTATGCAATGATGTGCTTTGAAGAACCCAGATGACTAGAACGCTGAATATGTATACGCACAGGTTCAAACGATGAAAAAAAGATAGCCGCCCAATATGTATACGCACAGGTTCAAAACGATGAAAAACAGATAGCCGCCCAATCCGATATCTTGGGTAGTCCTCCGCCCAACCGTCCATGCTCCCTGCCGGGAGACGATCCAAATAAAACTCCAAGAAATGCAATACATACAAGACAATAAAAAACACAAAGCAAATGACAATCTAGAGAGTGTATGCAGACGAAAATGAAAGCCCGTTTCTAGGGGCAAGCGAGCGAAGCAGAACTGTTTTCAACAGAAAGGCTAAGCCTATAATAGAGCAAACGGCGACGCAAATAGACTTGCTGCTGGTTGAATAACCTATGGTATAAGGTAAATGCACAATGTCTTGTCGTTGAAGATGATGTGCTCGACCGTTGCTCGTGGAAAATAAATTACTTTTGGTGCGTTGCGTAAAATTCATAGACGTGTTTTTTCGGGTTTGATGGTCCAGGATCAGCCAGTGGTGTGACATCCAGATGGAATCCGGGTTGTAGGTCCAGAAGGAAGAGATCAGGGGGGAAAGGGTCCTAGTCAAACGGGAGTGTTGACGGCTTCCGGCCAGGGAAACAGGTGTACTACAGGTTAAAAGATCCAGGAAGTAGGCCAGAGTAACGGAAAGACGGGGTGGAAGGGAGAGTTTAAATAGGCCATGGATGTGGTCCACCGGATGTAGAGACCGTTCTAGACTCCACCAAGGATATCCCCTTGGCAGAGTGCGAAACAACGGCTCTTGTCCTTATTAACTGGATCCGGCACGATCCGGATGTCCCGGGGCTCCACCGGAGTTATGCAAGTCATTTGCGCCGTCGTGCCAAGGATCTAGAGCAAGCGTTCGGACTGGTCTTTGGTGGTTCGACGACGCGTGCGGGAAGGCCCGTCGTCCGCAAGGCGGGAAGAGCATAGGGATCTGCGGACTAGCGGGAAGATGAAAAGTATACGCTCGGACACGAGTGAAGTAGAGTCGGCTTTCCAGGCCAGATAAAGCACAAGCTTTACCCCCACAGGCAAGACACCCCACGGCCAAGGCTACGCAACGACTCTCGCCAACGGTGGTTGTCAAGCGAGTTCCTCAATGCGGTCAGACACACGGCAATCCCTCTGGTCTCCGGCGTAGGGAGGGGCAGGCAAAGCACGCGGAAGGGTAGGCACACTCGGATCAGCAAAGGTGAATAGGGTCCTCCTGCGGCTCTTGCCAAAGGCGTACTGGGCCAGGAGGAACCAGTCATCCGTCTTGGTCCACCAGCGCGACTTGGATTCCAGCACGTGGAGGAGGTCCGGGTCTATAATGTCCAGGCCGCCGAAGCGCTTGAAGACGGGCCAGCTAAGGTCCTCGACGACATACTTGACTCTGGGGTACTCGTAGGTACCGTATTCGCTCGAGTCGACGAGCTCGCGCGTCTCGCGGCGCACAATGGCGGTGACGCCAAGGAAGCAGGCGTTCTTGCGCACCTCGAGCACGCCGCACACCTGGGGCGGCTGGTAGCGGACGAGGGCCTGCGAGTGCTTCTGGCGGCGCTGGCGGGTTGGGCTGCTCGGTGGAGGCGGCAGCGGGCCTTGGGCGAGGGGCAGCGTGGAGTCGCGCTGCTCCCAGGAGCTGTGGAAAATCAGTCAAGGCGAGGCGACCAATGGGGGGCTGGGGAGGCAGGACGGACCTCGAACTGTCAATGGAGAGAGAATCCATTTAGAGAAGGACGCCTCGGAGCAGCGCAGGCGATCTCGCAAAAGATGATTCAGACGTGGAGCTGGGTGCACCTTGGGAGAGCATGGGAGAGGAGGGACGGAGGCGTTTTTGGAGAAAGCCCATGGCCTAGGGACTGCACTTCTGCTGCACTTGAGGCTTGGAGTTGCTGTATCCGTCAGTCCGGAGAGACCTCCGACACGGCCGGCTTCCCGTTGATGCCCCACGGACTGGCGAGCAATCTCGCCAGGGAGGTGATGCCCAAGCGGCACGACTCGCCCGCATCCGCGGCGAGTCAGCCTCTGTCGCTCGCTGCCGCATGGGGCTCAAGATGTGCGTGAGGCTCGTTTTCTTGCTCGGGCGCTCGTTATCCGCGGCAGCTGATCCGAGACGGCGCACCTCGCCATATGAAGAGGCGTGCCCCTTGGGCGTTCTGCGGATGCGACTGGTCACCGCGCGCCATGGTGTACCGGCCGGCGGCGCCGATCCGACCGCATGGCGCGCGCCGACATCCGCGGGCAGGATGCGACGCCCCGGCGGTTGTGAAACGCCACTCTCCTATCTCAGGCGGGTGGCGAGTCGAGCAGGCGGTCGTCACGATCGGTCAGGGCGCGTTCGGGGTATGCCGGCGTGCGTCATGTGAGGAAAGGGGCCCGCGATTGGCATGAATCGGCGGTCGTTGCGGTATGCGACGGCCTGACGCCATCAAGAGCCGACGACGCGATGCCCCGCCCGTGCCTCTAGCCGCTCGTCTCGCTTTCCCCACGCTTGCTGCTGCCAGAATCCTGCAGCTTGCGCGCCCCTTGCGCCCGCCTGGCTGCACGCGGCTGGCTCTTCTGAGCAGCGGCAAAACGAGAGGCAGCGGCGCTGAGTAATGCGCGCGCGCGGGCCCGCAGCCAGTAGCACGACTCGGAGGGGAGCGCCCCTGCGCTGATCGCGCGCCAGGGCTGGGCTGCTAATCTGCGTTTAATACCTCTGCCCTGCCCTGGCCCACGCCGCACCGCGAAAGCTTCAAGCAAGAAGCAGCAGGACAGCTCGCGTGCCCCGAGACGAGTGCCCAAGAGGCTCAAGGCTGCGGCTTACCTTTCGCCCTCCCCCGCCTCCCCGCCTGACCCACTGTGTTGCTGCTCGCCATGCCTTTCGCGACCCTCTTCAAGGACAAGTCGTCCTCCAAGAACCAAGACCCCGACAATGGCATGACCCGCCAGCGCCAGACGGCCCTGGCTGTCATCGACGCCTTCAACCGCATCGACACCACGACCGTGTGGAAGCTGCGCGACCGCAGCTGCTGGCGTGAGATCTACCCCAAGTCGCTGGGTGCCATGCCGCAGGACAACGCCGCCTGCCAGCAGGCCCTCAACATGCTGGCCAACACCTTCAAGGAGATGCACATGTCGGTGCACGAGATCATCGAGGACATCCCTGCCCGCAAAGTGTGCCTCTGGATCATCGCCACCGGCCGCACCGTCTCCGGGCCCTTCACCAACGAGTACGTCTGGAGCCTGGAGTTCGACGAGACGGGCAGCCAGATCATCCGCTGGAAGGAGTTCGCCGACGCCATCTCCACCAAGAACCTGTTCCCCGAGCTGATGGCCGCCCACACGGGCAACGACACGGCCTCGCAGAACGACTCGTCCTCGATCCGCAGCGGCGGCACCTCCGTCGGCCGCAACACCGCCAGCACCAACCCCATCCACGACGGCCTGCCCACCCGCGCCGACAGCATGGTCTCGACCGCCTCGCGCGCCTCCTCCAACGTCTCGTCCCCGGGCCTGTCGCACGTCTCGTCCTCGCAGCACAGCCAGCAGCCGCTGTACCAGCCCCAAGCCCAGCACGTCATGGCCAGCAGCCCGCTGCAACAGCAACATCCGAGCCTGGACGGCCCGCTGCCGCCCACCCCGCCAGGACAGCAACAGAACTCCGGCTCCAAGCCCACCACCCCGCGCCCCAACTCGCAATTACCACCCACCCGTTCGCTGCGGGGCGTGCCGACCGAGATCCAGGGCAACGGTCGGACCCTGGGTACCTTGCGCTGATTGGTGGGGAGCCGGAGGAGGAGATCCCCGAAGCGGATATCGTGTGTATAGCCCGGAAGCGACGTGCATATCCCCAAAGTTTGTTTCGTGGTAGGCCCCACACTCCCCCATTTGGATAGCCCGACCGGGGTTGAATAATGAGCGGTAGCGTATTTTGTATTCTTTCTCACGAGGCGGTACCGAGGCAACAATCATTTTCCACGGCGTAGAGAGAGGACCAAAGAAAAAAAAGTTTCGGGCCGTTGCGTGGCGTGTGAGGTCGTCTTTTTTATTTTCCATATTATCCGGTTTTTCTTTCCCTTTTTCCAAAACACCCATTTATTGTTTCTCTCTCGCAGGCCGGGGTTGGGAGTCGGAGTCTTCCTTCTTTTCCTTTTTCTCAGGGGTGGAGTTTGTATAACGCGGGCTGGGCTCTGACATTGTTTCTCTGCTCCTACTACGCCTCCTCTTTCTCTCGCTGGGTTTACCCTCGCCTTTCCTTTTTGCGAGCGCCACAATTCCCCCTTTTTCTTTTCTCACACCACACACACACACTCCAAAAACAGAACCCACTTACATGAGCTTTGCATGTCTGAGATACCCAACGGCCGGGGGGAAAACATATATAAGGGAAAGCCAGAATCCACGTAATGACAAATCGTAGAATATTTCTTTGTGTTCTTTTCCATCTGTCCTCGTTCGTTTCACGACATGCGGCTGCGGCCATTCGGTACTGATTCCACCGGGAAGCTTCGTGCGAGGGGCAAGGCCAAGGCTGTCATCGTCTCTCTCTCTCTCTTCCTTCCATGTCGATCAGCCCTAGGGATCAGCAAAACAAGCAGAAAGAGGAAAGAGTAAAAAGAACGAGCTGAAAAAAGTAAAAAAGGAAGATCGCAAAAGCCTCCTGACAAACGGTACACTTTCGGCTCCACCAAAGCCTTTTTATCATGACGCCTGTGGTTGGCCTGATGATCTCCACAAGACATGGATGATCGTTCCCCGAAGAGAGTGAGGCTGCATAGAGGAGCGAGGCTGCGGGGGGGCGGAGGGAATGGGAAAGTCAAATCAGAAAGAAAAAAAAGCGAGCGAGCTTAAGGGGACCGTTGCTTCGCGGCTACTGAATTAGCGTTGCCAGGCGAAGCTGGGCATTGGGCCGGAGTGATCCACGAGGGATGTGATGCGAATCCTTCTCGCTTACGAGCTTCGATCCGGTCGTTCGTTCGTTCGCCCGCCTTGTTTTGCTTCTTCTTCTTTTTCGATCCGATCTTACCGCGGGGGCCGGCTATCAGTAGTTTGGCGCTTCAGATGTAGGTTTTGTTTTTTTTTCCGTTATCTGCGGCTGAAACGGGTGCCTTGCAGTATCGTCTCTCTTTCCTTTTTGGCCAGGGGGCGCGGGCCGGGCTTGATCAGACGGCAGGGAACGGACGGACGTACCGCATTCTTCGACCAACGACAACATCCATCCATCAATCCATCGAAAAGCTGGGCAGCAGCAGCGTGCGCGCCCTTATCTAGCTGTCGGTAGTGCGGCGTAGAGGCAGGGCGATGATGAATGATGATGCGGACGAGAGGTGGTGGACGAATTAGAGCCGGGCGTTCCGCATCGCGCCGCGCCGTCGACGTGCCGTGCCTCCCGGGATCGTGTGTGGCCGGCCTGACCGCTCTGTTTTTGTATGGGAGAGCCTACGTGGCGGCGCGCCTTGGGGGAACTAGTACTGCAAAGAATCGGACTAGCGGAAGCTGGAATGTAGGAGGTGGATGGCCGTGCTGAAGGAATGGATGGAGGGAGCTCGAGAGTCTTTCTATTGTTTGGGAGTGGAGTGCACGCTGTCGCTTCGTTCGGGCTGCTCGGCAAGCTGTCGCTGAGTTGTTCTTGTTCTGCGAGCTAGTGGTAGTGTGCATGCGCTACTACATGCGGTGCGTCCTGATCGGTTTCCGCACTCTGGGCAGTGCCAAATGGCCTCCAGGCATCCGGAAGAACTTCGAACGACTTCAGTTTTCCTACTCGTTCGCTAGGCACGGTGATAATATCGTGGATGCTTGTGCCGGGTTAGATTCTCGGACAACTGGCGCTGCTGTGGAGGGGAATCCTGCTGGCGCGGACTACTCACATTTCAGGAGCACTCCGGACTGCATGTAAGCCTGGGGCTGCGGCCTTCATAGACCTTGGCAAAGTTGTCCAACAGGTGGCAGCCAGCTGTGATATCATCGTTGGTGCAAGTTTGGTCGTGAATCGGGAGTATCTGATACACAGAGCTGGCGTCACTGGGCTTCCGCGTGCTCATATCTATTAACAGAGATGCATCTATATTTCAATATTTCAACACTCCATCGCGAACCGAGAAACAGCTGCTCTTGAATCGCATACTTTCTTCGACGGCGAATGTGGCCACTGCGTAAGTTGACAAGCGCAGGGAATGTGTGCTGATCAAACTTCCGCACTCGACCAATTCCTCGCTGCTCCGGAACTCAGCGAGGACATCACCCGCAGGTAACAACAAGCGATGCTCCGACGTGCCAAAGCCATCGCCAGGAAAGCATACCACACACATTTCCCAGACTTCTCCATCATTGCAGCCATGCAAGGGGCATGTACGTCGTCCATAACACCTCGGCCTATGCCCCGCTCTTCAGAGCGGCACAGCAGCAGCCTTCTAGACTGCACACCCCCCCGTCACCGCAAGAACCACGCCAACGCAACCCCCCCGACTTTTTTTCCCCACATGCTCGTTTCCCCCTCTCCCCTCAACGAAACCTTACCCTTGAAGGGAAAAAGGCGAACTTTCCCCAAACAAGAGCCCCTAAGAATGCAACTTCGAACGTAGTGAGCCAGGGGACCATGTCCGATGTAGTTACGTGCAGCCTTGAAGTGGTAAGGTGGTGAGCAAGGCCGGACTCGGCCGAGTGACGGCCCGTGTGTTGCAGCAGGGCTGGCCACGCGCAGAACGCACGCTCCAAAAAAGAACACAAAAAAAGCTGCACACATGCAACCGGGGTTGGCGAGAAAGGGGGGGAGCGCGGGCGGTTTGTCATGGGTTTTTTCGCCAATCTGCGGTAAGGACTGATTGCAGGACTGTGTGCTCGTATAACGGGACGAAGCATATCTGTTTTTTTCTCTTTGCTAATCTCGTCACCAGATATGTGGCCCCGGATGGGTGGAGACCATCAGAGGTAGAGAGAGACAGACCTTCATGGGCCCGAGGTTAAGCGGCGCGAGCTATTACTGGCATCACGTCTGGCCCCCCTTCCCCTCCCTCACCGCTTTCAGAGTTCCCATCCGCCAAGGCACCGTACGGCTGAACACCATCAGATGCCGGCAACCGGGAATAACACATGTTGTATTGTAATCAGTAGCCGAGGGTGTACCGGAGTTACACATGTCCGATTTCTCCGGCGGCTAACTGAGCCTCTTAGGGCGGCCATAACCTCCCGCGAGTATGCTCGAGTGGCCTCTCATCAGACCGCCTGTCACTAATGGGTCTAGAAGCACGAAAGAACTCGAGGATGCGTATCCGCGCGTTCTGAACGGTGGACATAGTTGATCTTAGGTACGTCGGCTTAATTCCCGCAGCCGGGCCGATGTCTCTACTCAACGTCAAAGTGGTTTGTCCATGCGTAGAAGAAAATTCCAGAAGCACTGTCAGACTCTAATGAAGCGGTCAGACTGCTAGGAAAACGCCGTGACTGGTCATGAGGATCTGCAATGGTCCGGAGCCGCATGTCCTCGTGAGCTGAAGAGTAATAGTAAGGACGAGAACCAAAAAGTTCGTTGATGTATAACTTTTCCTGTGGACATAACAATTGATAACTCCCAGCACCGGACCCGCGTAACTCATTCGTCTTGCTCAAAGTCTCTTCTCGCACCCTCGGCGATAGCGTCGTCGGATAGTACTCTCCAACCCAACATGGCCATTCCCTTAGCGCACTTGATTGCGGCGGCATGTGCTTCGTCCGTGCCAGCGGCGGCCGCGAAGCCCGGGTGGTGCCCGACAACGTTCTCGGGAGCCGGAATACCAAAGGCGCCATGGAAGCTTGGCACGGTGTATGAGACATTGCCTGAACGAAATTAAAGTCAGCATCCTGTGACTGAAGGAGCATTAAGATTTTATACGAGCACGTCAAAATTGGAAGGTAAAGCGGCTTGTGGGAGCCCAAATAAGACCACCATGACGAAAGAAGAGGGTGAGAAGATGGAGAAGATGGACAGAGAAAATTCAAAATCACGCTGGACAGGAGCTGGTGAGTCACAAAAATGCAAGACATACCCATATCGGTCGACGCAGTAGCAGGCTCATCCTCGTACACGATGATCTTCTCGCCCAACGCCGCCATGTCGTCGACGTACGTCCGACATAAGGTCATGTTGGCACGCAGATCTTTGTACATCGGGCCCCTGGTAAAGTTAGAAATTAAACTCCACGGGCCGAAGGAAAACTGCGGGCCGACTCACTCAACAATGTTAACCTTGCAGCCCGTGGCCGCCGCGGCCGCGTGGAAGCAGGCATCGACGCGTTCGCGCAGGGCGTTCGCGGCCTTGACCTTGGGGGCGCGCACGTTCCAGGCCATGCGGGTGTACTGGGGAATGACGTTGGGCACGCGGCCGCCGTCCTCGATGACGCCGTGGACGCGCTCGTCCGGGCGGATCTGCTGGCGCAGCATCGAGACGTTGGTGTAGGCGGCGACGGCGGCGTCGAGGGCGTTGATGCCGTCCCACGGCTGCGCGCCGGCGTGGGCGGTGCGCCCCGTGAACTCGACGCGGAACTTGTGGCTGCAGATGAGCTTGAAGCCCGCCAGCCCCGACGCGCCCGGGATCTTGGCCATGTGCCCGGCCACTGGGTGCGCCATGATGGCGGCGGCTGTGGACGCCGGGATGGCGCCCGCCTCGAGCAGCTTGATCTTGCCGCCGCCGCCCTCCTCGGCCGGCGTGCCCAGGATGCGGATCCGCCCGTCGAAGCCCAGCGCCTGCTGCGCCTTGGCGGCGCCCAGGAAGGCGGCGATGGACGCGGTTGCGATCAGGTTGTGGCCGCACGAGTGGCCGATGCCCGGCAGCGCGTCGTACTCGGCGCAGTAGACGATCTCGCGCGCGCCGGCGGCGGTGCTGCCGATGGACGCTTCAAAGGCGGTCTCGAGACCGTAGGCATGGCGCGTCACGGAGAAACCCTGGCTCTCAAGGAAGGTGCACAGCGCGTCGTGGGCGTGGACTTCCTCGTATGCCGTCTCCGGATGGTCATGGATGTCCTTGTTCAGGGCGCGGAGAGCATCGCCGGCGGCATCGATTGCCGCATTCACCGTCCGGCGGACTTCTTCGACATTGGACGAAACCTGGACGGAGAGCTTGACCTGGGTCATGGTTGGAGATCGAAAATTGGCCAGCCTCTAGCTACCGGCATCGTGCCGCCTTATTGTATCCCTTTTATTGCACCATGCTGCCGACTGCACGCTGGCCAAGTGGACCTCCGGAATGGTGCCAGCAGTAAGCTGGGGTCAGGGGCCAGTAGCCGGCGATGGATGGTGCTTGCGATGGGTTGAGGTCGTCGGCTTGCGTGCGATTGGAGGGTGTTGAAGAATTGCCGAGCAGCTTTCTGCAGGTGCGCTGCTCACCACCCGACCGTCAGGCCGACCGGCTCTGGGCCTGCGCCGCACCCAAGCCGCATCCGCAGTTGCGCCGCCACGCCCAAGACGACCACAAACTCTGCTGGTCCCCAGCAGGCCCTTTGGCCCCTTTTATTTCGCTCGTGATATGACACCCCGCGGCGGCTGCCCCGGAAAACGCTCGCTCTGGGAACGCATGGACAGGGCTGTTTTCAGCTCCCCATGGAGACGGGTGCGCGAGCGCCACACTGGCCGCTGGGGTCCGCTCTCGCAGCGTGACTCGGGTGCTCTAGGGGCTGGCCCCAAGCCAACGGCCGGCTAATTCGTCGGCTTTTTCGTCAAGAAGACCGCGATTCCGCCTCAAGCGTCACCTAACGTTCCCTCGTTTCCCTGCCATCCCATCGTACGGTACCGCTCAGCCGAGTATGCAGGCTGATCAAGCCGCACCCAAGCCGACCCAAGCCCAGACGCCCGACGAATCATCGAGCTCGCCGCCGGCCCAGCCAGACGACACCACCACACCCGCGAGCCAATCTACACTACCACACCGGCCTTCGGCCAATCGAAGCGGGCCGCGCTCGCGCCAGGGCTGCTGGACCTGCCGAGAAAAAAAGGTCAAATGTGACGAGGGCCGTCCCGTGTGCCAGAGATGCATCCGCCTGCGCCGCCAGTGCGACTACAGGCCTCGCCCACGCAAGCCCTACACCAGAAAGGCCTCCAGCGCCCGCACTCCGTCATCTTCATCCGGCCGGGCCGAGACACCATCTCAGGGCGCCGCCAGTCCGTCGAGCAGCAGCACTAGCAGCGGCAGCAGCGACCGCGACCCCCAGTCCCCGCCGGATTATGCCCGCCCTCCCATCCCCAGCTCCGCCGCGCAGATCATCGCCAGGAGGGCCTCGAGACATGATAGCTTGGCCACCCTCGCCTCCGGCCTGCAGCAGCCAGAGATGGCCGCCGCCTGCTCCGTCGTCTTCACCCCTGCAGACCACGAGGCCATCTACTACTACCGCACCCGCTTCTCCACTAACCACCACACCAAGAATCCCGAGTATTCGGTCTTCTCGCTGCTGTTCCTGCAGGCCCAGCGCCATGCCATGCCCATGCACATGATCTTGGCACTCGCCGACCAGGAGCTGATGTGGCTGCGCAGCATCCAGCAGGACCTGGTCCCGGCTGCCAACCGGCCCAATTCGCAAAAGTCCGTCAGCCACTACACCGAAGCCCTGCACCTTATGACGCAGCAGATGAGGCCGGAGAACGGCGAACTGGACATCGACCAGGTGCTGGCCGCCCTGTGGCTCATGATCGCCTATGAGCAAAAGTACGGTGACGGGGGTGGGATCGGATTGTCGAAGCACCTGCAGGGAGCTGCGTCGATCTTGCGGACACGCTTCCAGCCTCTGCTGCAAGTCTCGGCCGCCGATAAGGATCTGAGTCAAGCCATGGATGTGGACATCGACAGCACGAGCCAGGCGGTTGTTGCGGCCCCAGCAGCCTCTTCACCGCCGGCTAATCAGGCCTTGATCTCCTTCTTTGCGGCCCGCATGATGGTGTGGATGGCGGTGCTGGATGCCGGGGCCGCCTTCGGCATTGGCTCAAACTTCGGCGGGTCCGTCAACAAGCTTGTGCGCCAGATCGCCGGGGAGGAGAAGGGCAAGCTGCTGCGCGGCTTCAACGCCATCCATGAGTACAGTGAGCCTCTGTTCCGCACCACCTGGGGCGAGCGGTACCCGCAGGCCGAGCTGGTCGACGACATGGACAACCGCAAGGTCTACAGCCTGTACGCCAAAGCCGCGCTGATCCGGTACGAGAACGCCGAGTTCAGCGCCGCCCTGCACCGCGGCGACGATCAGGAAGCCGCACGGCGCGCCATCGACATCGAGGGCGCCTTCTGCATGCTGCGTGACGAGTTCGCCGAGCTGCTGGATCTGGCCTCCCGCCTGAGCCCTGATGTGGACCACAGCCGCCGCCTGTACCAGAACATTCGCTACGTGGTGCCGCACTACTACGCCATGGAGCTGGAGTTTCTGCGGCTAACGCGGTTCGCCGAGCCGTTGGCGGCCCCTAGCCCCATGCAGAAAAGGGCGCTGCACGAGATCATGAACTTGGCGTACCAGGGGTACAAGCACGAGGGCGAGCGGTTCCTGCAACGCATCCCGCTGCCGCTGCTGTTCGCGGGTATGGAGACGGATGACCTCATCCACCGGGCGTGGATCCTCGACCGGTACCAAGGCCTCACCAAGTACGGCAAGAACTACGCACGGGCATTCGACTGCCTCAAGGCCGTGGTCGAAGAGCAGGACAAGGCGGGCGGGCGGCGCGTCGATCACATGCTGTTGCTGGCCGAAGGGCGGTTTGAGCAGTTTGTGATCTGACCGAGAGCTGCTGTTTTTCTACATACCACACCACTCCTCAGGCTTCTCCCTTTCTTTTTCTTACTTTTTGTACACACCCACCGTTGTATTTTGTTTTAATCAATGAGACCCCGTCACGGCCCGGCTGGTTGGAGAAGAGAGATACCCGAGGACAGAGATCAGCAGAGAGATGACCAGCACACGCTATTCGTATTGCATGTATCTACTAGTATATAGAGTCTAGCTATTTAGAGACGCGTACGAGTTTATGGACGACGATTGAAATGAGAACAACGCTTGGGCCACCGCTCATCGAAACTTCTATCGCAGCTCATTCGGAGCGGCAGTACTCGTTTGCATGTGCAGCAGTACACCGCACCTTTTACCAACAGGCAGTCGTAATACGAGCTGCTGCGTGGAGCTTGTCAACTCTGCTGCCGAACAGGGCGAGACAAAATACGCAAGCGCTACTAGACCGGTCTAGGTCGAGGCCGGGGTGGAGGCGGGGATACGCGCAAAACGTGCCCCCTTTGGCGGCGCGACAGCGGCATTCCCGCCAACGGGTGGTCCCACGTCCCCACCGCTTGTCAAAAAAACGCTCTTTTGTCTCAACGGCGTGGCGATGTGTGTTTGCGGACGCCCTTCATCTCGTGCCAGCCGTTTCCAGCGCTCAGGAGCTTACGGCCGTTCGTTGATCGTTTCGTCGTCAGCGGTCAACAGTCTCTTCAGCTTGACATTCAGCCGCACCAACGACCCTTTCATACCGGCCAGGCGCACGGATGCCCCATTTGAGCTTAACGGGCGTTAGTTTGATCATCCGGAGGTGGTTCGCGACATGCAACAGCACATGGATGCCAAATTTGAAACGGATCGCTATGCCGCGAACTAAAATCTACACGTAGCGTACGCACGTTTTTTCTGCTAATTCTCATGGCCTTGCGCGCGTAGAGTACCCTGCTCGCCCGCTATTCCACAACGCTTCTTATCAATAAGCATGTGCAGGAGTCAGTCAATCGCATCGCACGCCACGAAACGCCTTTTACAAGTCATGGTCCACAACCACGCCGCAATTCTAGCCCTCTGGTGAACCCGCCCTATTCTTCTTTCGCTGTCCTCTTGCCGTTTCGTCACAGAAGCACAGTGCGTCGTGCATCACGCACCCACTTTTATACATTTGCCATCGCCTTTGACTTCGCCGCACACGCGCACACTCGCTTCAACTTAGCACTTTGTCCGCCTTCCGCCTGCCTGCTTCGGACAGAACGGCGACAATCAGATGATTGACGAAGTGGATCTTCTCCCCGCTTTATTATCCAGCAACACGTTCTCAAAACCGCGCTCTAAATTATAATAAGTATCGCGCGCAGGTGGCCAATCCAGGCCTCCAACTAGTTGCACGGTTCCTGCTGCTTGGCTTCTTCTCTCTCCTCTCTCCCTTTCTCTGTCGTTCCTGTCGTCGGGTTGTTGCGGTCACGACACGACACGACACGAGTCCATTTCTCCACGCTACGATCGGATCAAGGCGCTTCGGCTCGCCCACGCGAACCCCCTGAAGATCTTGGCTCCGCCCATTCCGTCCGCCACCGCCCGATTCTCGGATCGAGGCCCTCTCTGCTTGAAGGACCGACGGACGCACAACTTCCTGCGTCCACCACCACCATCATCGCTGCTGGAGCAGCCCGACTGATCTCTGCTCTTATCTATCGACAACGCGCTGGTCGCAAAAGCATCATCTACGCAGCCGTCGGAAGGCAAGCGGCAGCAAATTTACCCGGCGAATTTCCTCTCTCCGGGTAAAAAAAAATTAAAAAATTAAATCGTTGCCACCGGGTAGAAAGAAAAATGAACATGTCCACGGCGGAAGCGTACGCACCTGAGAAGGGCGAGGGCGTCGGTCCCACTACTACTACGTATACCGCTGCGGTGTCAGCCGATGGTATTGTGCATGGCGATGCGACGTTGGAAGATCTGGGGTCGGATGCGGGACAGCTGGATGATCTTGAGGTCACCGAGGAGGACAACCGGCGGATTTTGAGGAGGATTGATTGCTGGTGAGTTTGGTTTTCTCTTTTTTACTCTGTTTAATTTCTTCTCTTCGCTGTTTTTTTTTTTTTGTGGTTGGTACGGCGGGCTGTCGGCAGCATCGGACGGTCTGGTCTCGTGACAGAGATGCCCTCTATCTCTCCATCCGAACCATCACGCCTCATTCCCTACCCACATCCCTCAAACCCATTTACGCCGCCCCATTTCGAACCCACCGCCCGACCCTCCTCCCCCGCTCGACCAGCACTCAACCACGACCATGACTAACCCAAACCACCCAGCCTCCTCCCCGTCCTCGCCATCTCGTACATGTTCCAATTCCTCGACAAGCAAGCCATGGGCTACACGGCCATCCTCGACCTGCGCAAAGACCTGCACCTAACGGGGCAATCCTACTCGTGGGCAGGCAGCATCTTCTACTTCGGCTACCTCGCAGCCTCCTGGCCGATCGCGCACCTGCTCGTGCGCTTCCCCGTCGGCAAGACGCTCGCGTCGTCCGTCTGCGCGTGGGCCGTCGTGCTCATGCTCATGGCGGCGTGCACCAACGCCGGCGGCCTCCTCGCCGCGCGCTTCTTCCTCGGCATGTGCGAGGCCGCCGTCGCCCCCGGGTTCAGCGTCGTGACCTCCATGTGGTACAAGCGCAGCGAGCAGCCGCTGCGGCACGGCGCGTGGTTCATGGGGAATGTCGTGAGCGGGTTGTTTGGGAGTATTCTCGCGTACTCGATGGCGAATGTGAGGAGTGAGACGCTCGCGGCGTGGCAGGCGGTGTTTATCATTTTTGGCGCGTTCTCGCTCGCGTGGAGCGTGACGCTGTTTTGGACCATTCCGGATAGCCCGACGCGCGCGTGGTTTTTGAAGGGGAGGGATGATGCGAAGATTGCGGTGGCGAGGGTGAAGGGGAATTTGACGGGAATCAAGAGTCGGGAGTGGAAGTGGGGGCAGTGCGTCGAGGCGTTGAAGGATCCGCAGGCGTGGTTGTTCGTGTTGATTCAGCTGTGCGGCAATATCCCTAATGGCGGTGTTACGACGGTGAGTTCTCGATGGAGGAGAAGAGTGGCGAAAGGAACCCCCCAAGCTAACGTACCGGGCAGTTCGCCTCCGTCATCGTCAACGGCCTCGGCTTCAGCGTCAAGCAGACGCTGCTGATCGGCATGGTCGCCACGGCCTTCCAGGTCGTCTACGTGCTGCTGGCGGCCGGCGGCGCGACGCTGCTCCGCAACACGCGCACCTACTGGCTCGTCTGGAACTTTATCATCTCGCTCATCGGCGCCATCATGGCGCGCGAGATCGACCCGACCAAGCACATCTGGGCCAAGTTCTTCGGCTACTGCCTGCTCATCTGCTTCTCGGCCAACTTCCCGCTCATGCTGAGCTTGACGGCGGCGAATGTGGGTGGGTTCACGAAGAAGAATACGGTCAATGCTATGGTGAGTGACAATAGAAAGCTCTTCGTTTTGGGACACAGCGGGACTAATGGCGTTCTTACTTACAGCTCTTCGTCGCTTACTGCGTCGGCAACATCATCGGCCCCCAGCTCTTCTTCGACCGCGAGGCCCCCACGTACCAGTCGGGCTTCCTGGCCATGCTGATCTGCTTTGTGCTCGGCATCATCTTCAGCATCGCTCTGCGCGTCTACTACATCTGGGAGAACAAGCGTCGCGATGGCAAAGCCGCTGTCGGCAGCGACGGACTTGGCGGCAACGCCGATATCGCCGAAGCCGAGATCCGTCAGGAGTCGGCCATCATGCTCAACCTACTCGATCGCACGGACCGGGATCTGCCGCAGTTTAGATATGTGTATTAAGGAGTTGTCTGTTTGTATGAGCGTGTAAAAAGGAAAAGGGGGAAAGATTTGGGGAAAGAAAAAAAAAACTGCACTACGGCAGACTTTGATATGACTTTGTAATGGATTGGGTGGTAGAACGTAGATGATGGAGATCTAGCGTTCGAGCGAAGTTTTCATGTTTCGTTTATTTCTACTTTCCATATTTTCTGAGCTGCTTGCTCGAATCTATCCTGAGATGATCTCTATTCAATCCCGGCGGATGACCTTTGGTGGGAGATGGAACAAAGCAGTCTCTCATGTCAAAATACGACCAGATTTCTGACTTTGTGATGACATCTGCGGAGAACCCACACTCGAAAACCGACTTCCACCGCGTGCATCGCGTGGTTGCCCCTAGAGTAGTCAGTGTTACTTGAACAAAACATGCTGAACACGACTCACATATTCGCCGCGAAGGCGCATCGAGAAGCTCTTGGGTCTCGGGCGCTCAAACGACGCGGGCCTTCTTCTTCACCCTCTCACCTTCTCCATATTCATCGTAGTAGTCCGAATAGCTTCCCCACTCGGCGAGAAGGTCAGACTGGTCCTCCCAATCAACCTCCTCCGTCTCCTCATCGACCTCCACGATCTTGAACCGCGCCGCATACTCCGGCGCGAGGACATACTTTGCACCCGTCGTCTCTTCGTCTTCCTCGCTGTCGTCATCGTCGTCGACCACCTCATAGGGCAGCGCGAGCGCCGCCGCCAGGGTGTACGCTCCACCCGGCATATCCCCCTCGTCCGTCGTGTCCGTGTCAGTGTCCGAGTCCGAGTCCATCTCATCTTCGTCGTCAGCATCATTGGCTTCGTCGGCGTCGTCCACCTGCTCCCAGTCCTCGTCCTCGTCCTCATCATCAAGCTCGCCGCCGAAAGCGGAGTCGATGATGCTCCCGTCGCCCTCGCCATCCTCCTTCTCCCGCGAATCCTCCCAGCTCGCGACGACCGGGTGGCGCAGGTCCAGGACGTAGTCGTAGTCGTCGTCGCCATCGGCGCGGCTGGCGTCTTGCTCGTTGTTGTTGTGACCCTCCTTCCCGCCCCGATCATCCGCGTGCCCGGTGTAATGTTCGATGTTCTCGCCCGCTTGCTGTCCCTTGCTCTCGTCAGCCCGCTGCTGCTGCTGCCTGCGGACCCTCCTCCTGGCATCGATAATGTCATCGATCAGGTCGTCGTCGCAACACGTCTTCCCGCCGCAGGCAATGAAGGCGTCGCGGCCCTCGGGGAAGTAGGCCACCGCCGTCTCCGTCACGAGCGAGGCTAGGCGCGCGTCTTCGTCGTCGTCGGTAGTGGGGCTGCGCTTGCCGCCTGCTGCTGCGGTTGGATGGAGGTGGGAAGAAGTGGGCGCGGGTCGGTGCGCGAGCGTCATGCTGGTGGCGGTTTGACCAGCGTCCTTGATTCGGACTTGGCGGCAGATCGTGCGGCGGAGCTCGGAGAGGTCTTCGGGACCCCAGTTGTCGGTCATGGTTGTTGTTGGTGGTGGCGTCGCCATCTTGGTCGTCGTCGTCATTCAGGCGTTTTTGCCGTTGTTGTCAATGCTGTAGAGGGTGAGGGAGGAGGCGCGGAGGGAGGATGTGCTACGTGAAGAGAGGATAGCCGGGGTGACGTCGGTGCTGTGTTTACTTTCGGAGGTTCGCTGTTTGGAGGACGCGCGCGGGGTCGTCTTAAAGTTTCTGCCCCCGCTTGTCACTCGAGCTCGGGTTTGCGCTTGATTTGGATCGGTATGCGCGCTGGCTTGCCTTAGACACATAGCTTCTCGATAGTAGGCGGCAACGTTCTTGGTTATGCCCGGCGTTCCTTCGGTCAGGGAGCATCCCAGGCGAGCCATAAAGGTAATGAGGACGTTGATCGCATGAGCAGGGATGTCCTGTGCAACCTTCTTTCAGACCGTATATCCCAGCACATTACTGCGGAAGAAGCAATGAACGGGGTAACAGTAGAGAGTATATCAGCTTCGGGCTTGCGAAGAGGAATTCCTAGCTCAGACGCTGCTCCGAAGGAGGGTAGAATGGATAGGCTGGAAGGAAGTAGTGCCGATCAAACTACTTGAAGTGGCAAGGGGCGCAAGGGAACTAGCCAGTCAGAGCGCTACCCAATCCTACACCAGAGCCATTCCCGACGACAGTCGCCCACTTGTTACATCGCCTTTTCTACTCGCGTTGCCGTCTGAGAAGCTGCATCTTACTACTGACAGACGGGAGCAGCATGCCGGGAAGACCCTACGATGCCGTTGGCAAGTGCGATAGATGGCGTCGGTCTTTGGGATATTTGGTGCGTCTCACTTCCTCAATCCTGTGTAACAAACCTCTCAACGTCGGAGCTTCATGCTCCGATATAAGGCAACCATTGAAAAATCTATTGACTCCCATTGTCAGATCATACAGAGCGCACTTGAGCCGTTGTTTGGCATTCATCCGACAAAAGAGCCGAAACCATAATTGCAACCACATGAAAATTATTGTGAATGGCGAGTCATGAGTCATACCTTTTGCGTCGGTTGCGCACGGCAGCGGCGAGGAGCAGGCGCACATGCAGCTTCGTGGTCGCGAGGGTCCCAAGCGATCCCTAGTGACCCATAGCCATGGCCATCTTTCCCTGTCGTCTCGCTCCTCTATTTCCATTCGACAACCACGACGCGCCGACACGCCCAAAAGTCCCGTCATAGCAACTCGAAATGGCACCGCTGGCACCCGACCGCCCGAAAAGGCCGGTCGCGAGCAAGCCCTGGTCAGTACCCACGTTCGCATCATACCAACGACAAAAACGCGTCGACAAGCCCGAACCCCGCGCAGCTCCAGAAGCCGCTTTGCCACCCAGCCCGACTTCGTCGGTGAACAGTTCAACAACCCGCAGCAGCGTATCAGAAAAGGTAAGCGCGAAGCACCGACGCCGCGAGAGAGCTGTCGCTAAGACCCTTGACCAGATCCCACCCGCCGAACGCCCTCGAAAACGGCCGAGGCTGGAAGCGAGCTGGATGAAGCCGTCTCTACCGCGGCTTCCGCCTCCCAAGCCACGAGATGCCCCGCCGCGCAACCGAAATGCGAACGACCAAGGCATGCCCCCGCGAAGTGGTGGACGGCGCGGAACGGAGATCCTGACCGGGAAGGACCTCGCCGCGCAGCTTGCTGCCATCACCGGCGGCGACAACACCGCACACACTCCGCCGCGTAGAGAAAAGCGCCATGTCGAAGAGGTATGTCACGCACACGCGCATTAATGTAAAGAGCTTACGAAAAGAAGACGAAAGCCGTGCCTATTTCGCGCCCGAAGCCTCCTCCGCGGATGCCGGCTTGGATGACGCCGGCCCGCATCGGTTCGCTGCCGCCGCCGCCAGCGATGGAACAGAGCGCCCCATCTACGCACAAGATGGTCACTAGGCAACGAGCGGCTCGCGGCGCTGGGGCCTCTCGCGCGCGCGACTCACCTACTCCCGGGCCGACTGCGGAGGATGAAGAGGACGACGATGGCCTCAGCATCGCGTATTGGAAGGCACAGATAGAAAAAGTTCCGGATGGGGGAAGCGTGGGCGACGACACTCAAGCGGGCTGGGATCAGGGACGCACGGGTTTTAATGGGCCGGAGGAGCCGGAGCACATTAATGCGGCATTTGAGGAATGCTTTCTGCTGGACCCGACTCTGGCAGTCGAGGAATCACAGGAGGAGGATGAAGATCTTGTTTTCGTGGGTGATCAAGACTTTGCTTTCTTGGAGGATGAAGATCTTGCTTTCTTAGAGGATGAGGATTTCTGAACAAGTTTGCGGATAAATACCGTGCAAGGACTATCTTTTGCTGGAACATTCTGACGTAGGCGCAACAAAGGGGGAACAAAAAGTTTGGGGCATGGTTCTTTAGAACAGCAAACAAAAGTTGTCTTAGACAAGAAAGATATGAAAAGTTTTAGAGAAAAACGATGGCATTGTATCCCGGGATTGTCAGGGTCCTTTGAGACACTCAATTCATTCGCGAAACTGCACGGGGTATACTCACAGAATACTCTCAGATCTGCAAGGTCAAGCAAATACATAAGTTCCCGGATAGTAGCAAGAATCAATTCTAAAGATGGTTCATGTTTGTGTGTTCAACGTGAGACATATGCTCATTGATGCTGAATTTTGGTCTCAGGCAGTACTTAGAATGTTGGTATTTCTTCTGCTGCATTCGCTAATTTCTCCAAGGCCAAAGCACGACCAATATATACGTCCTTTTTGCGGACTATCCCTATACCTTATATACAAGTATTACGCCACATGTGTTCTTATATAATTACGGAATCGTTGAGATTGAGAGTGCATACTCGCCTAATCCGCACATGGGGTGCGAAAGTATCAATCCTCTTCTGCAGAAGCTGAGATGCCATTCACGAACTGTTCAGCATTTCATCCCTAGTTTATTTCAGCAGCCTCAAGCCGAGAAAAATGGATACGCGGCTATTGAGCCGCGAGGGAAATAACCTAAAAGATAGTCACTTCTATGCTCTAGCATGGCCAAGGAGATCCTACCCGCCGACGGAGTCGGTGAATGTGCACGCCCGGGCGAAGATTCGACACAATTCGCCAAACACTTTTAACACTACAGTGTTCACCAACAGCGGTGGTGATTGAAAACAGTGCACCTCTGCTGGATGTATGAAACTACTGGCATTTTGCGTCTTTTTCTAAGCACCAGCGAAACTTCTACGAACATTCCCGACATCGACACTTACGACAACACGAACTCAAACCTACCAACTATTCCCACGACTCAAACACTTGAAGCAGAACAGCATCAACATGTCTAACTCATCAACCAACAACGATATTCCCAGGGCCCACCCGGAGCTGGACAGGCTGCTGAGTCCTATAGTCACGGACTTCACTGTCGGCAAGTATGTCGACAGTGACCCGGAACGTACGCCAGTCTACCCCAGCGTCCATGACCTGCCTCGGAACGAACTCCTTCTAAGCGAAAGGGAAGTCAAGGCCTACCGTAAATCATTCCAGGGCAGGCCTATTGAACACTTTAACCCTTACGCGCGTCTCAAGCCCATGGTAGCGGAGATCTTCGACTCCATAATGGACAAAAGATACGCACTGGACAGCGACCAAAGCAAAGCTTTTACCGGACTTGGAATGGATGAGAGGGGGGCATTCACTCATCCCGTAGAGCTTGTCGTGACAGTGGCTTGCAAACTGCTGGAACTTCTCGTAAACGGCACCCGCTCTGGCTTCATGCAAAGCAACAACGAAGACCAGATGAAAGAGGCTGCTGGCCACGAGATTCCCGATTTTGCCGCGAGAAAGCTCGAGCTGTGCAACGCGCTGATGCTGGAGAAGAGCATCGCCCACGACGTTCTCAGCGGCGACGAGCAACTCTGGGTCAACTTTGTCTTCGCGCCCGGCGCCTACGCCGTGGTCAAGAGCAGGCTGCGCTGCAGCATGGAACGAAAGGCGAGGAGGAGGTCTAGGATCGCTGAGAGGGACGTGTACATGCCCGACACCGATGATGAGGTCGACATCTCCGGGTTCTACCAAGCACATCGGGAGCCCCGATACGAGGCCTCCAGATACCCGTTCTACAACGAGATGGGCCCTGCACTCACGTCCTGTAGCATGATTAAGGCGGATGCCTACTTGAAAGAGGCTCTGCCCCGCCTTCCCCCTCAGCCGGACCGCTTCCTCGACACGATGAAGGGAGCGAAGCCTTACCTCGTCATCAAGATGTACGAGGCTATTCGGGATGTTACCGATATCCAGAACGCTCCCAACAGCGCCGACTACAAGCGCTTCGTCGTCCCCGAGAATGGCAGGCAGCCGGCCTTTACCCCTCGCACTTCCCCTAAGGCCATGATAGAGGCCTGCTGGAGGATCCTGGACTTCTTCCTCGAGGGCGTGGAGAACGGTTTCCTCCTGCCCTACAGCAAGCCCAATCCAGCCAAGGAGCCGGTAATCGTCAGCCACAGCGACTACCACTGCGTGCGCCGCTTCGCCAGCATGCTGGAAATCCTCAGGCGGGAGAAGACCGTCTGCTGGAAGTTCCTCAAGAGCAACCACCAGCTGGACGAGTTCGTCTACTGGCCTTACGAGTGGACAGACTACAGGCGCGAAGCTCACTCGATCAACGAGTGGCTCCGCGCCCGGAAAGAGGACCGCGACCAGATGCTGGCTGATGCGATCGAAGAAGAGGAGGAGAACGATGCCTATCACACCATCGCGGCAGAAGATGGCCTCGTTTCAGCTGACGCGGCAGCGTTCATGGAGGAGTTGAGGGCTGCATTCAGCGCGACCGAGGATGTCAACGCGCCTGAGGATGCCAACGAGCCTCAGGACTACAGCACGGCTGAGGACGGCAACACGTCCGAGGACGACGACTTCGAGGCCCCGGCTGCTCCGCCTTCCGATGAAATTGATGTGGAGGAGCAACCCGAACGCCAGCTGACTGCATTCTCGGACGGCTTCGCCACCAACGGCGCCCACGTCAGTGCGGTCGAGGCTGACGACTGGGACATGGATGAAGAAGAGGGCCAGGCTGCTGACGACGCAGAGATCCCGATCGACCCTACCCTCGAGGCCACGACTGATCTTCTGGACGAGCAGATGGCCTGGGACGCAATCGGAGTCGAGTGGGTTGATCGCGACACGTTCTTCGGCGCTCAGGAGGCTGAGGTCGATGCTGATGTCATGGATATCGACTCTCTGCCACCAGCCACTCAACGGTCGGGGGCGCCGACTACTGCAGCCAAACCCGCGGTAGCCGCTCAGCACGATGAGGATGGTGCCGAGGAGCTCGAAGATGACGAGTTCCTCAAGAGCTGCACGATGATGGTGGAGAACACTGACCAGGATGGTCAGGTTACCATCAATTAACTCGAAGCAGAACTCATCAATGCCATCGAGCCTCTCTGAGCTTCCATCGTAGCGATTGATTTCCTGGAGATTTCTGCTGATTCGCAGCAGTCTGGGGTGGAGAACAATGAACACTCGGCTGGAGAGCCGCAAACGGAAGCGAATTTCACAACTCCAACAAAGAGTGTGAGTAGGTAAATGAACGCCTTGGCAAAATTCAAATGTCGTGTAGATCAATGTAAAAATGAATGAAAAGAAAACGGTCCCTTCTTTGTGCGAAAATTGACTTGAATCCTGCTGTTTCCCGCTACCATATTAATTTGACCTTTCCGCCCACCAAGACTTGTAATAAGACGCACGACGAGAAGCCCACAAACCGTTCGGTTACAGCAGAAGCAGATCAGATGCCGCGTTCTTCGGCCCGGCTAACCGCTAAGGCGAGCGGAGGTGGTAGCAACGCTGCCGCAGCTTCCTCTTCAGCTCAACCCAACAACATCAACAATCCCTTCGTTAACCCGGAACTGGACAAACTGCTTAACTTGAGGCGGCGCAAGCTCAAGGGCCATGATCCAGGTCATGCGCCTCGGTTCCCCGCCTTTCACGAATTGCAACGCACCGATATGCTTCTCAGTGAGGATGAGGTCAATACTTATCGACAATCACTCTGTGGCCCGCCTAACGAGTACGGATTGCAACAAATCAAAGGGCCCAAATTATTTTCATGGTACGAGGATATTTATAATTCAATAACTGAGACGAGGTATGCACGGGTCTCCGATGGCAGTAGGCCAGTCGACAGGAACATGACTACAGGGGATTTTCACTATGGCCCACAACTTATTCTGGCGATTTCAGCCATGCTCGTCGTAAGGCTCGCCAAGGGTTCATCCCGTGGGTTCATGGAGAGCAACGATGAAGCCCAAAAGTCCAGCCTTAAGAACATTTTTCTCCCCGAGGAGGACCTGCAGAGGAAATATGAAGCCCAAGAGCCCAGCCTCGAGGACATTTCTTTCGTTGAGAGGCACCGCGAGCTATGTCTTGTTCTGTTGTTCGAGAAGAGCATCGTCGAGGAGGTCTTGAGGGGCGATAGCCAGAAGACTGCGAATTTACTTGCTGGGCCGGCGTCTTACGCCCTGAGCAAACCAGGGGTGCGCAACAGCTGGGTAGCGGGCATCCTGGAGGCGAGCAGGGCCGCTGGGAACACAAATAACCCGCCAGTCCTACCCACGCCTCGTCGGAATGCGTCGATCCCCGCTTATCCAACTTTCGACGAGGTCCTTCGCACATTGCCGGAGCCGAAAAAGATGCCTGAATGGGGGCAAAGATACCTCAGTTCACTGAACGAACGCTTCCCGCTGAAGCCGGAAGGGCGTCTTGACTGGCTGAAGAGAAATAAGCTTTACCTCGTCATCAAGCTGTACGACGCGATCCGCAGCGTCTCTGATATCCGGAGCCGTGAGGACGGCATCAACGGCGCGCACTTCATCGCTTATGACAAGCCATTCTTCAGCCCGCGTACCTCGGCCAAAACGATCCAGGACGCTTGCTGGAGGATCGCGACGGCGTTCTTAGATGGGGTCGAGCACGGCTTCTTCAAACCCAAAATGCCGAACTGTCGCGACGAACGGCCGCTCCCTCCTATCAGCAAGTACTTGCCGTGGAATAAACGCTTCGCGCTCATGCTAGAAATCCTCAGGCAGAGGAAGGCTGTCTGCTGGCGGCTCGTTAAGAGCAATCGTGGCATCGAATGTTTTATTGCCAACCCTTACGTATTCAGGAACCTTGGTATCTGCGACGCTGATCCGGATGCCGCCGCTTTCCATCCAGACGACCAGGCGACGATCGATTTTTTATAGTATTTTGTTAGAAGAAGGGATAGCACCGTAGATTTGGTAGTTTAATGAGAGACGGAAATTCTTATGATAAATCATTGATTCATGTATGACCTTTATTTAAAACCAGCTAGAAGTAGCCGGACGTTAGAAGACTAAGTGCGGGCGCGAATGACTCGTTGGCCAATCCCTTTCTGGAGATATTCAAGCATGCTTTCTTATCTACTCCACGGCAGAAGTTTACAAAGCACACCACTTAGCTGATGTAGGAAGCAAATGTGTCAGGTGATAATATCTTTGGAGACAGCCCAATGAAATGAGACAAAGCACAAGAATGAACAGATAACTCTTATTTCACTACGGAAAACACCTTAGCTTGAATATACGAATCTAATTGATAAATTCGAAGAAATGTCGATTAAGGAATGCGATGAGTGGTAGCGATACCACTGTAAAACGAGATAATCTAAGCTTAATCGAGCAAGAAGCAACGCTTAAAAAGCGAAAAAGGAAGCAGATTGGGCAAAAGAGCAAGCGCAAGTAAGTATCAGGAAAGCCATTGGCCTTAAGGCAACGCATTCCCAGAGGAGCGCTTGTCACCAATCAAATCCATATATTTTAGGGACGACCCAGAATGCAGGATGATTAGTTAGCATCCCTTCCACGGGATGATTTGAGCAGCTCAATCATCCGTAGTCTAGCGAGCTATCAAGATAGCTCCGTTGCCATGCGCGAATGATGTTAGACTGGGATTGCCATGATGCGTGTTTTGCGGACAGTCTCTCCTTTGCCCTGCAGGTACCGACCCGTCCGAAAGCTATAGATCGTTAGTTATTAATTATCGTAATAACATGTCCGTGATTATTGAGAAACACTTACCTCCAGTAGATGTTGCCGATGGGAACGCGCTGCAGCACTTCGATGTACTTGAACACCTCTCTGTCAACATGCTCTCCCCATATCGGCATTTCCGCAATTGCCCGATACCAGTCCTTGTAGAGCTGTGTGAACAGAACCCCAAGAGTGTCCACAGCTTGTTGTTCTGAAAGGCCTTTTTTCCCCAAGATCAGAATAGCGTTATGCACACAGCCCTCAGCCTAGAAGATGGAATTAGAATTTTCCTAAGATCGACTCTCGGCCTATCTGGTCGGATGGATGCATGGAATGAGGGAATTCGGTAAACTCTGAGAAAGAAATGTGTAGTTGACATGAAGCCTACCAGGTCTTTCGTATACGAGAGTATGTCATTAGCACTATTTAGTGTAAGCAGTCCGTCGGGATGGGTCGAGTTCATCTATCCATACAGCAATGTAGCGTCGGCTGAAATCCTCCTCAATTCGTTTAGGGAGTTGTTTTCAAAGACGTATGATGGAATATTGATATTGTAACACCACCTTGGAATGTCAGCAAGTAAGCCGAGGCCAGTGGGAAAACTTACTCCACCAAGTCCTGTGTTGGAAAGACACCGATTGATCCTCTTCGATGGTCCAGAAATTCATCAAGGTCCAATTCCACCGAGTGTGACGCCGTTCTGACGTGGTCTACCAAGCTATCGAGAAATATCTTGACACTTTTCTTGTATCTTTCTTGCTGGTCCTGTGAGGCTCTCTACGTCGACGTTAGTCCAGATTCTCTGCTGATTTATTCCTTGAAGATCTTGTCGCCTACCTTCTGAAAACAAAGCCACGTATGCTGGAACATGTGGCCCAACGGGTTCTCCACAGCGGACAAGGTAGGATGGCTATTACTCAACAAGGCAAATGTGGAATCACATTCTGCTTGCGCTGCCTCGACATCGTATTGCAGGTGTCCTTCGTCAAATTCTGCCACGGAGGTTAGTCCCTACTCATGGTTCGGAAAACTGCATGCCAAGACATGCACTGTCAAAGATCTGAAGCATACGGTCGTCGAAGAAGAAAGCCCAGTTGTTGAAATCCATGAGCACTCGAAGTGACTCTTTGTCAGCGTCTGGGGCCCACAAGGAGACTAAATAGTTGAAGTCTGCCTTGACAACTCGTTGCCATTGCTTCTCATCCAACTGAAGCACTCTGAAGCATATTAGCGCTGCAATTCTATCCCTCTTCGGAGAAGAGTATACTCTTTGATCCAAGCATCTGCACTAGCTTTAACCTCATCATAATGAGGGTTCTCTCGTGGCTCAGCAGACATGAACGACGCAAACATGTCCGGTATATGGATAAGTCTACTCCACGATTTTAGTATGCCTCTGTAAAAGCTTTATCACTTGTCCTTACCTCGTGTTCTCGTCATTTCTGCTGACAAAGCCTTCTCTTACAGTCGTTGTGATTCCTTCCATGCTGGCGAGAACACAGGCCGCTTGCAACAAAGTACAATCTTCACGTGTTCGATCCAAAATCTTGTTTATCCAAGGCCCCCTTAGGATTTTCTGAGACTCAGAGATTGCGGCGAGGAAAATGCATTGACGGGCGAGTAATGTTTGACCAGCTGTGATGCTAATTCTGACAATGAGGCTTTTCGTTGCAGACTCATCAGGGACTTGCTCAAGTGATGATTATATAGCCGTGACCGGGCTAAAATTCGCCCGGCTTTACGCGCGAGGTAGCCTGAGACTATGGGAAGCGGGAAATTCCAAGTCCAGCCGTTGCTGCTGTGCCGCCGGGGAAGGCAGAAGCAGCGATTCCTTGTGGGGCTGTGATGTCTCCACTGTCGTTTATCTGTTGCTCTACTTCCAACCTTGGAACATCATGTTCTGAGGTCATTGCGTTAGGGCTACGCTATAGCTTTAAGGGGTAATTACCAAAAGCGACTCGAGTCCGTTGGGGTTCCGGGTGTAAATACCGCAGATACAGCCCGATAAGAACTTAAGCGCAAATCTGCAATCCTCAAAGCCATTTCCAGCGGGTCGAAGTTATATATATATGTGGTGAAATTTGAGTGCAAAATATGGGGTTGCAGTAGAAGTTTTGGTGAGGGCGATGCGGCGCATGGGCCAGAAAGCTTCCACCGCCGCAGCAGCACTCGCTGGGTACGTTTTTCTTTCTTTTTTTTTTGTTTGGCAGAGGGCCCGGCGGGGTTGTTGATGTACCGAAGCTCAACGAGCGAGAAGAGACAGTACCATCACAGTAGAACAAAATTAAGGCATTTGCAGTGGACGAGTATTTCATAAGTGACAAACTGAATCTCCTGCGAACATCGACGGATGATTGAATCCAAATATCCAAGCGCAAATGGGACTTTAAAAACTGCACAAACACGTCGTGATATTTCGTTTGGCGGCACATTTGCGTCAAGATGTTTGCTTCTATTGCCAGAGTAGGAGTGGAATTTAAACCTGGGCCTGCACCAGGGCATCTCCTCCAGCTAAGTCTCCGTGAGTGTGCGGAGTGGGATGCCATAGTTTGTTATATATATGTCTTACTGTTACTTCTACATGAACGATCGCGTACTCATATACCCTTTATATATTCAGATATTCCAATAACTCTTCTTTCAGTTGAGCCTGTGTAGAGGATTCATGATGGGTGGCGATTCTGGTGGTTTAAGCCATGAGTAAGTCTAAACACAGTCTTCAGTAGATGTGTCAGATCCAGAGGTGTCCAAGAACAGTGCGCCGTGGATAATGGCATAGTTCAGCGACAGCGTTCTGGGTGCGTGTTACTTTCGCGCGTTGTTCTGCGCCTGGCTCCCGGCGACGGCCAGCCCCTACAATGCCGGATGAGATCAAAAACCCCCCGGCGGGCGCGCTTCCTCTCCACCACACCCTCTTCTCAGTCACTCCTTCACAGTCATACCTAGCATCTTGCTCTATCTTTGAGGCTATCGCACCCTTATCTAAACTTTGAATCTCCCTCATCGCACTACGAATCCTCCATACTGCCACCATATCAACACCATCTACCAGCAACATATCTGGCACTCGTAGCAACTCGCCCGAGATGCCATCCACTCCTTCGAAGCGCGGCCGTGACGACGAGGAAACCGAAGAGCAGGTCCAAAAAAGGCAAAGACTGGACGATGGCTCGGTCAGCCAAACCGTCGATGCTTCTTCCTCGTCTGCGCCAGCCATGATCGGTGTTCCAGCGCAGAACGTCAACAACACCTTAGCCAGCTCGCTCTTCCCGCAGGGCAGCTCTTCTTCGTCGCCTGCAGTCGCATCACAGGATGTCGCTAGTAACGCGATCCCTCAGCAGGCAAACACCTCAACCGTCCCCCCCTGGGAGCTATGCACCATTGGTGGCCAGCAGGTTACCGTCCTGACGGATCTAACCCAGGTCCCTGCCTCTCTTTTCCAGCCCGGTCTCATTTTTTGCGGTCTCACCCAAACCGCAAGGCTGTTCTTCGAGTCCAAAGTTGCCGTGGCTTTCGATGCCACCCGTGGGCAGAAGTACTACTCCTACAATCGGTTGCCACATGAACTGCGGATTCCGACGAGAGCTGACGCCCAGCAGCATCGCGCCACCGTCTGGGAGCGTGCTGCCGCCTACCCTGACCATACCCTGGCTACTGTCCGTGCCAACGACGCGCAGAACGCAGAGCGCTGGTACAATGCAGCCATCGACTTGAGCCAGATGCGTGACAATCTGGGTGGGAAGGGCAAGGGAGCAAGTCGCTTCCTGAACTTGGCTGAAAATGGCCAGCCGCACTATAGCCACGAGGAACTTACCATGCTCTATTTCAGATTCATGGACATCGTCGATGACGGCAGTCAGAACGGTTTCCGGGTGTCCACTAACACTCGCCACTGGAAGCAGGTCCAACGCAAGGACTACAACCAGACGATGACAGCACAAGAAAGGCTGGAGGACGCGCTACAAGCCATTCGCAATGAGAAGGCTATCTTCAGCGATCTTCTCGGCGCGGAGGGCCTTGGGAACCTGGTCGAGTTCGCACATAATCCTCGGGCCTACGCCGATGTCAAAAACGAAGATCGCCGCGCGAATCTCAACCGCGGCCTTGCCAAGGACGAACGCAAAGGGCCAGATGCACCGGATTCCTTCCCGTGGTCGGAGAAGCCAGCTGGACAGAGGCGAGCCTGCGTTTACCCAGGTTGGACCGATATTCCTCCTACTCATCGCATCACCAGCGCGGCGGCTGCCAACGCCTACATCCAGTCCACAATCCGCCGTTACTACATCCCGAATGACCCTACCGTAGCCTTCTTCTGGGCACACCTAGACGACTTCGCCCACCTCCTATACGACTCGGTTGTGTCCACTCGCGGCATGCAAGACAATGCAAACGGCAACCAGGCGAAAGCCTTCATCAGTGCACCGCCGGAGTACGATACGGGTTTATTCGAGCGCGAGACTCGTAACATCCAGGCTTGGTGTTACCTTCTTTGCGAGAGGCTGGTTGAAGATGCTGTCTATGGCTACCTGATGCCACAGACGGATGGTCAAACGCCAGTTGAGAGCGGACGGCACACCCAGTGCAACCTGGGTCAAGTATTCTACGGAAACAGGGACTTGGACGTCACCCTCTTTCAGCGTTTCGGTGCTATCCAGATGGCGCTAGTCTGTTCTAAAACAATCGCCAACCCATTCCGCGGAGACGTCAGTGCTTTCTTGCGACTTAGCGACCTGATCTGGCAGCCTCTGGCATACCTGGAGACCAAAATCCAACACCGGAAGTCGAACAACAAGCGCAAGACCCCGGCTGGACCTCGAAACGGTGATAACGGAGAAGGGTCGTCGAGCGGTGCGATGGGGAACCAGGCTTCTGGACCCGCCGCGAATCAGCAGCACACTTCGACCCAGGGCAATCAGCTTGCACAGGCTAACAATGCCTTCTTGAACGCAAACACTCCCATGGACGGCATGGGACCGGGTCCAAGCGGCTCCGGGCCGCTTACTGGTTCAGGCATTCAAAATGGCATGCAGTCCGCCCCCTCTCGTCCTTTAGTTAACACCAACAACTCGACGTTGCAGCCTCAGAGCGACTACCCGCCTATCTTCGCCACCCAGCCCGACAACAGTATCCCGTGCTCCCAACCCGAGAGTATCCCGCCGCCGGTCGTCGTTGATCCATTTGACGAAGAGAAGTGGGATCTCAGCCTAGACTTTGACCGCCTCCGGGTTGACGAGTCTGGAAACCTCACGACCCTTCCAGTGGACCCAGCGATACAAGGACAAGTACCTGGCTCTGGATACGAAGCCCAGGGCATCCCTCCGCAGAATATCTTAGCTTCCCAGATTCGGACGCTGGCTTCAGCACCCGCCAATACCTCCGACAGCCAGCCTGCGATGCCGGACCATCTCCACGTCCCGACGCCCGCTTCGGGAGACGAGATGGATACGGGGCTCAACGCGCCATCCCAGGAAGACAGCGGCAACAGCAACGTGGACGCACCTGTTACCGACGGCTCACCCACCCACACATCAGCGGAGCACCCCACCGACGACTCGGACCGCGAGCTCGATGAGATGAGCGAGCTAAGCGAAGAGGAGTGGGTCGAATACATGTTCGGCTCAAGGGAAGTACTGGATTGGGAGCGCGAAATGCTACGCAAGCGCGCTGAGCGCGCACAGTCTGCAACTCCAGCACATGCCACCGCTGGCCTGGAGGAGAGTACCGGCAACAACAACAACAACGCCGGCAGCTCCGACCCTTCTTCTTCTGACAGCCACGGCGTCTCCGGCCAGGCCGCGGCGGCTGACGGCAATGCCACTGCCACTGCCGCCGCCGCCCAGGCCCAGGCTCAGGCTGCTGCTGACCCGCCGACTCAACAACAACAACAAGAGCCCTCCGATCCGTCGTCAACCCGGCCTCACTGGCGCCCGGTTGGCGACGACGACGACGGCTGGATCGGTATGCCGAACTTCGATCCCAACGTGCCCGAAATCATCCCCGAGTACCAAGCCCACCTCTTCGAGATGCTCGGGATCGGCCCCTCCGACCAGCCTTCTGTGCCGGAGGGGGAGCAGCCGTTGGAGAGCGGCGGGGGCGGCGGCGGCTCCATGTCGGGGGCTGCGAACGATATGCCATCGGAGGTGGTGGCGTCCGCTCAGGACCAGCAGGAGCCTGTTGACGACGGCTCCGACCAGGATGCGGAACACGACGAGTTTGACAGCCTTTTCGAGGAGGAAACTTCTGCTGCCGCGGACGCATCCACTGTTGCTGGCACGCCGGCGGCGGACCGGGACTACCAGACCCCCGGAACCGACTACTCTGATGCCAACTCGTAACTTCAAGTAGATGACAGTGCCCATCGTACCGTCGCCTACTTCTTTCGTGCTAGCTCCGCAGGGGCTAGGCGAGCAGTCTTGTCTTGACTTTTGTTCTTATTCATTTCGGGAGTACTTTCTTCTTATTCACGATTGTATTTTTCCTTTTACGTTAGACTAAAATTTGGTAGCGTTCGGGATTAGTAGTATTTAAAACATAGCGTTAGTTTTTCTCGAGGCTTTCTTATCTTTACAGAGCAGCAAGTTATCGTTATAGCACAGTGAGTTACCGTTATAGATTGCGGATCCGTTCCCGTTCCGCGGAGAAGTCGAAGAGTTCCTGAGGCAGAGGGATCTGATCTGGGAGCCACTGGCCTACCTCGAGACAAAAGTATATACAACACCGCAAGTCGAACGTCAAGCGGAAGGCTCCTGGCACGTTGCATAACAACGGCAGCGAAAATGTGGATGAGAACGATGATGTAGATGTTGCCCCGGGCGCCGGGAACAATGGAGAAGGGTCATCGAGCGGCGCGAAGAGAAGGCGCGCTTCCAGACCTGCCGAGAACCAGCAAGTCACTTCGTCTGCCGAGCCTCATCACAACGCCAATAACTCAGCCGGGCAGCCCCAGACCAATCCGACAGCCGCTCCACCGTATCCCGCTTCCAACCCTCACTCCGCTGCGTAACCCCACAACGCCATGCCGGCCACTCAACCTTCTGGAACGGCCCCACGGTCGTCGGTTGTCGACCCGTTCGACGCCCCTCAGTCCTGCATCCTCCCCTATCGTCCCGCAGCCTCGTCGTCGACACAAGCACAAGGTTCTGGATCCGAGCCACAGAGCAACAACCCGCAAACCAACACCTCAGCTCCGCAGGAAGAGCAGGGCGGCAACACCGCGGACGCAGATGCTTCTGAGAGCTCGTCCAACGCCTCAGACTCTGACGACGATATGGCCGACGCGCGCAGCGATTGCAGCGATCCTCAAGAAGCGGCGTGGGCGGACCTCTTGTACAGCGGCGTTGGACCTAGGCGGGCTTTGCAGCTGGTGTACCCCGAAGAGTATGCGAGTTTAGTGGCGGAGGAGGCGGCGGCGGAGGCGGAAGCGGCAGCGGCGGCAGCGGCTAACGGCTATGGTACCGCCCAGCCTTACCCAACGTACCCATATCCTGGCCTCCCCCAGACCGACGTCGACGGCAGCACCTTCGCGCCTGATCATCGTCAGCCGCCCACGAGCCTCCCCAACCAACAACCTCCCGTCGGCTTCCCGAACGACGCGAACAACTCTGGAGGTTGGCCGGGCTCTGGTGGTCCCGACATGGCCGCCGCCAACGTCGACCCTGAAGCCCAGCGTGAGATGACTGCGCTCCACGAGGCGGCCGGCGGCACCGAGTGGCCTGCGTGGCTGGATCCGCGTTTGGAGGATGGCTCCGTGTCGGGAGCCGCAAACACCATCCCGCCGTCCTTGCCCGAGGTGGCGCCCGCTCAGCATCAGCCACAGCCTTTCGAAGGATCTGAGGAGGACGCGCCGCATGAGATGGATTGCGATTACGACTACGGCGCCGGCGACGGGACTGCCGCCGCTGTCGATGGCGCGTCCACCGTCGCTACTGGCACGCCGGCGAGCGGAGCTTACACCCCTGGAACGGAATGCTCTGATCCCAACTTTGGCTTCAAGTAGATAACAGTCCGTTGTACCGACGTGCTGGCTCTGCAGGCTGGTTGTCTTGTTTTCACTTTTATTTTCATTTACTTCCAGAGTTGTTCTTTCTTTTTGCTCTCAGTTGTGTTTTTCCATTTGTATTTGACTGAAATTCGGCATGGCATTGGGGTTTTGGTGGCTTTCATATTCTGACAGCACAGCGAGTCATCGTTGGGCTGGACTGTCATACTCCCTAACACCCTAAGTTGGATTAGCGGGCCTGTAAGAAAGTGGGTAGATGATATGCTCAATTGTGACACAAGTTTGTAGACGAATCTCTGGCCTCTCTAGCTATGGAATCTGGTCTGCTTTATATACGTGACTTGTGTACTTATGTCTGGGCTAGTGAGTTTCGTGCTCTCTGAAATCTCGCATGTGATATTGTATCCTCCTGGTTCTCAATGGGTGGCAGTGAGACGAAATGAGCTAGTTTCTGACAGGCCCTATCGGGGTTGCTTTCTATTTCTCCCAACTCCGCGTTAGCAATCCTAGAAACTTCCAGGTTCCTCCGGTGACTTCATAGACACAAGGATAAATTCCCCCGTCGGAAACCCAGAACCCTTATCTGCAGAACATCCCAGCTCCTAAGACTGACATCCCGGCCTCAGCCCCCCCACAACGACAACAACATCGACCCTTCGCTGCTGGACGAGCCGAACGTCCCGATGTCTGACTCTGAAGACGCGACAAACGCCCGTCGCAATGAGCTGTTTGAGGAGCCTCAGGACCACGCTAACGTACCTGCTCCCGATAACGCCAACATACTTGCTCCCGACAACGTCCCCAATCCCTCATCATCCGAGAACGACGTCCACGATTCGAACCAGGACCTCGACGACGTGCCGAGCTCGCCGGGCGAGCTGAGCGAAGAGGAGTGGGAGAACTACATCTACAGGGGACCCAATGGACGGGGTTGGGCGCGTGAGAAGGCCCCCCTACGCCCGAGACGCAAGAAGCCGTCCTCGAAAAAAGCAGCAGGAGGAACCGCGGGCCAGGGTGATACGGGAGGCCCCTCCTCCTCCCATCAGAGCCACGGCCTCTCCGGCCAGGCGCCAGCGGCTAGCGGCGATATTGCCGCCCAGGCTGTCGACCCGCCGGCGGCGGCATCCGAGCACCACCACCACCCCAACCCGCAGACCGGCGGCAACAATGATGTCCAGCAGCATCTTGACCCGGCGACGCAGGAGGAGCTCCCCGCCGACCCGCCGCCTTCGAGCGGCCTGCCGTTCCGGACGAGGAGCCGTTAGAGGGCGGATCTATGTCGGAGGCCACGAATGCCATGATGCCACCGCCGTCATTCCCCAAGGGCGCGGCCGCTCAAGACCAGCAGCAGGAGCCTGATGACGGCACCGACGAGGATGCGGAACATGATGAGTTCGATGACCTTTTTGAGGAAGAAGAAACTTCTACTGCCGCGGACGCATCTACTGTTGCGGGCACGCCGGCGAACGACTTCCAGACTCCTGGAACTGAGTACTCCGATGCCGACTCCAACTTCAAGTAGATGACGCATTCGCCGTCTTGTTATCTACCATCGTGTTGGCTCTGGGGTTGGGCTTCTTGTTCTGACTTGCATTCTTAATTACTTCTGGAGTTGTGCTTTCTGTTTGTTCTCGACTGTGTTATTTTCTTTTGCATCGGACTGAAATTCAGCATAGCGTTCGGGACTAGCGGTATTAAAAACATGGCCTTGGGTTTTTAGGGGCTTTCTTATTCTCATAGTACAGCGAGTCATCACCAGGCTGGACATTCATACTCCCTAGAACCCTGGGTTGAGACAGACGGGCCTACCGGGTTTGCATTACCCTCATATTGCTTGTGGCTTCAGATATTTGTTGTTCCTTGTTTCAACTCTATAGGTCCATCTTGTTTTTGTTTTCATATGCGAGAATGTAGTAGATTGGTCTTAGAAAAAGCTCAAAAAGTATGCTGCTTAGACTATTGTGAAAAGACGTGGCCAAGCTTGACATAACACAAGCGCGTTTGCTCGCCATTTACGGGGCCCGAGACCGCCTCCTCATTTGAAAATTGGAGGTGGCTCAGCATTCCGTCGCACTTGCCGATTACCTTGCTGCTTGCTCGCTTAGCTTTCGGAGTGAAGAGTTCCCGTTGCAACGCGCCTGCCGCTCGGGAAGGTGCAGCTGGCAGTCTGGAGGAAAGCGCATAAGCGGCGACCCGAAAGCCCAAGCAGCGACAATCTCCCATCACCCGCACATCCATCGCCGCTGAGCCCATCGAACAACATCGCACATTTCATCAGCCGCATTTCTACCCTCTTCCGCCACGTTGCGAACGTTCTTTCTTCTTAACCACGTCATTCTATACGCATTATCTGTCGCTTCTCGTCCCGTTCCCTCTGCTATGCATCCATCATCAGGGCCCCATAGCACACCGGCTGCCGTCCCCGTCGCGAATAATGTCTCGGATGCTGGACAAACTGAGCCAATGTCAAACATAGCAAGCGGCGGATCTTCCGAGTACACTCTCAATCAGGAACCAAGGCCAGGCGATGCAGTTGCAAACGACAGCGCCCGCAGCCCGATCCTCGGTTTTTCGATCAGCGACACGGATCGAGAACTCTTCTTCAAGGACGACACTGCTCTGCAGTACAAGGCTCAACCGGCCGAGCTGGTCCGAAAACTGTACACGGCAATGATTGACATTAGTGATATACGGGACCTGCCTGGTATAAGGGACTTCCGGCTTCTGACGGAGAAGAAGCGTGACAAATCTGGTAGAGAAGACACGTATTATGAGACCAAGACGCTGGTCGCCTTCTGTTGGCGCATTGCATTGTTCATGCTCGACGGCGCTGAAAAGGGCTTTGTGCGCGCCGACGATCAACGACTGCGACTCAACAAACGGCAATGGCGGTGGTACCGCCGCTTCAACCTGCGCCTTTCCCATGCTACCAACGCTCTAAGGAGGGAGAAGTCCGTCTTGGCCGCCCTACTGCACGATGGAGTAGGAACAATACTCAATTTTGTCTACGCCCCGCGCAAGTTTGAACTATTGAAGTCAGGCCCTCTTCAAGAGTGGCGAAGGGTATGTGAGACGAGCGACCTTGATGGTAAGCTTGCAGCGGCAAGACGAAATGCAGTGTGCGTTTATCCGGCATGGGAGGAACTACCAGCGGATGAGCGCGGTATGAGTGCCAAAGACGCAGACACATGGCTGAATGAGAAAGAGCGCTTTCGTGGCAGTGGGATCAAAATTTGTCGACTTGCCTGTAAACCAAGACAGCAGCAACCACAGGAGGAGCAGCAGGTGCGGACAGAAGATCGCCAACAGGCGGAAGAGCAAGTGCAAGCCGAGGGACAAGCGCAGTCCCAGGGCCAAAGCCAGCCAGAAGGGCATACAGCAATAACGCCACAGCAGCTACATCAGCCACCGCCATCATCTTCACCCGCTGAAATCGCTGGACCGCAGCCCAGCATGCTCACTCCTATCTACCCACCCGCACCTCAGTCCGCCCCTCGCAGTACTCGACTCCAGCCGCAACCTCCCGCCTCGGAACCCACACACGCAAACACAGGTGCTCGTCAATCCGTAAATCAATTACGCATGACTGCAGATGCACGCCAATCTCGTAGACCCGTACCTCACCAACCCTCTCTGTCATCGTCGCTCCGCCACTCCACTACCGTCGAGAATACCACGCCCGTGGTTCACCGGTCTTCTTATTCACAAGAAACAATTGGCGCCAGGACCCCCGCACGCGTCACAGAAACACTCGGGAACTCTCCTCAAAACGCATCGACCGCCTCTGTGCTCTCAACTTACTCAACCCCAACATTCGGTCGTGCACCTCCACCGCGTCACGGCCCTCAGACACCGGCTCCGACACCCCAGCACCAACAACTGCAATTTGGAGCCGCACCCTCATCAGCGTCTGTGCCGGCTGCTGGCCCGTGGCGCACCGCTTCGTCCGCCACGACAGCACCTCGTCCTCAGACATTTACCTCCCGCAACACTTACTCTTCCGCCCCGGCAGCGTGGCCCGCAAATGATTGGATACCAACGTTCCAACCCGCCAACGCCTTTACCGCGACCGTTGCTGCAACTTCCGCCGCTCCTCCTGCCACTACCATCGCCGCGCAGCAGCAGCAGCAGCAGCAGCAGCAGCACCACTTTGCCCCTATACGCCCACCAGCACCGCCGCCGCCGTCAAAGACTCTATCCATGACCGTAAACCTCAACGCCAGCAGCTTCATGAGCGGCAGTCCGCACGGCGTCATGCCGCTGGCTGGATACGCGATCGGAGACGGCAGGACGTGGTACGATCCTACTTTCCACGGAATGCCTTTTCCAGCGGCGGCGCAGTCGGCGCAGTTGGCGTCGGTGGAGGGTACGCAGCAGCAGGGTGGTGGAGGTGAGCAGCCCGACGACGACGTTGTCGCTGACGCTGAGGGAGAGGAGGTTTGGGGGGTTGATGGATGTGGATGATCAGGGCATCACGATTAACACAGATGTACGGCTGGATCGACGGAGCAGAGCAGATCCAAGGCGAGGGAAGGAGGCCGTGTTTTAACAACAGTAGACTTAATTGCATGCATGAACACAGCGGCTATTTTGTCCGAGGCTTCTGAGAGTAGCTGGGAATCTGTACAGCAACCGTGGTCCAGAGCGTAGTTTGTGTCTGCGCGAGCGAGACTAAGCGTTATTTTCAGAGATAAGGGAGTGTTCATAATGCAACCGACCGACCATTTCAACCGTTTTTATTCCTATTTCATGCCTTTAGACTTTTCTCACCGTAAGCAACGCTTTGAACGTCTCTCTCCGCGTTCGTGGTCTCAAACACAAGTCTCGCATCAATAGCACCAGCATCTCCAGTACCGACACCTTCTCCCTCTCCGGCCATTGTATCGGTAAGACGTCTTGGAAAACGGATTAGATACCTTACTAAGATCGCCAGACAAAATTCAATCCAAGCCGCCGCCCTTTCTACAACAACAGCACTTCCCCCAGCCACGCAAGTCCCGCACCAACTCCCTCCGCGCGCTACTCATCCCACTCCCCCTCAAACCTTCCGCCCCAAAACCACCAAAAACGGGAAACCAACCCTCGTCCTCCCGCCCGCCACTCCTTCGCTCGGATCCTCAATCTCCTTCTCCAACACAAACGCCGTCTCGACGCGCACATCGACGAACCCGGCCTCGCGCGCCAGCCGCGCGATCTCGCCGCGGTCGATCCCGTGCCGCTCGACGTCCGCGCGCTTCGACGCCGGGTGGAAGAGCACGCTTTCCGGCCCGACCGCCTCGAAGTCCGTCAAAGCGATGAGGCCGCCGGGACGGAGGGAGGCGTGGCAGGTTGCGAGGAAGGGGGCCAGCTGCGGGATGTGGTGGAGGGTTAGGTGGGAGGTTAGGAGGTGCCAGCGGATGGGTTTTCCTTCTTCATTGGCCGCTGCGGAGCGCGACAGCAGGGCGCGCGCGGCGGATTGGACTTCGGGTTGGTCGGGGTCAGTGAGGAGGGTTTCGATGGCGGTGAGGTTGGTGAGCTTCTGCTGCTGGTCCTTGGAGACTTTCGCGTTGAACGCCGCGACCATGCCGCCTGCGAGGTCGACGCCGAGGAGCGTGCGCACGTGCGGCGCGAGGCGCGTGGAGAGGAGGCCGGTGCCGCAGCCGATTTCGAGGACGTCGAGGGTTTGGTCTGTTGGTTTTTTCATGCTAAGAAATTAGCGTAGGCCTGTCGTGGAGGAGGAGGTGGTGGTGGAGTGGCGGCGGGAGGGGGGTTTTCCTTACTGCTGTCTTCCTTCGTCAGGGCCGGCACGTGTCGCAGCAGCGCCTCGTATGCGAGCTCACTGCTGCGAACCGTCACCGGGTTGCTGTCCCAGGCCGCGGCTTCGGCGTTGAAGCGGTCGGTGCCGGATGACATGTTTTTGCCGACTCTGGGTCTCAATTCGTTCTCTTTTTTCGGAGGTTGTGGTGGAACTGATCACGGATGCTCTTCAGGCTTGGACAGAGTGAGGTTGAATTAAACATAACCGGCGCAAGCGCCGTATTTAGAGCTCACGAAGACGGATGCGGGGAATTTGGCCTCATGACTAAGCTTGATTCATTCCCCCACTTTCCCGCGTAGTTTTCGGCTGCACGCAAGCTTGTGGAGCATTTTCGCAATTTTGGCGCGAATTCTGTCGGCGATCAATGACTTTGGTCGGCGACTAGGTATTTTGAGGATGCACGCTTCGCGAATAGGATTCGCTGTTTCGCAGACCGTTCTTCTTTTCTACCCATTTTCTATCTCAGAGACTTCTCACGACTCCTCGAATCTGTCTACGACCTATGAACAAAAAGCCGCTCTTCGGCAAGAGAAATCAGAATGTCGACGAAAGCCGGGGTATCAGATTAGGCGCCCGAATCGAACACCACTCCTTACCAATGTCCAATCCCTCGTTCGCCTTTTCCATTTTCCGAAACTCTTTCGCCGCGCAAGACCCAAAACCAGTTACCAAGTACCCCCAAGAACCCAGTCGTGCACACAACCGTAAACCCAATCGTGAACCCAATCGTAAACCCAATCGTAAACCCGTTAAACCCGTACCCAATTGCACCATTTCCGTCATGATATCCAAAGGATAAAGGCCAATGATGGTGATCCTTCAAATGTAGTCTGAAGCCCAACCATCTTCCGTCTTGATCTCTTCCTTGACCTCGTCTTTGATATCGGTCTCCATCTCCATCTTGACCCTCTTAGCCTCCTGCTCCTCCTTAACCTCCTCCCACTGCCTCTCAAACTGGAATTCCTGCTCCTCACAGAACTCCTTCGTCTCGGGATTAGCATCATGTATGTCCGTGCAGACATGGCACTTAACGTAGTACGCCTGCCTGACTTCCGCAAAGCCGAGGAGCTTCAGCTCAGGGAGAGTGTCGCCGATAAGCTCGGCCCGGTCGAAGTTGAGGCAGTCCTCGCAGAAGGCTAGCTGGCACCAGCGGCAGCGGTACAGCATGCCGCCGGCCTCACTCGTGCGCTTGGTACACTCTCCGCAGATATGCTGTGGGCAGATGAACTGCTTGCTGACCCCAACACCCGCCGCCTGCTCGTCCGTCAGGCAGTCCTCGTGGTAGCTGCGTGGACAGAGCGAGCAGAGCAAGATATCGCCGCCATCCCAGCATTCTTGGCAGTGATCTTGGTTGACAATCGCCGCCTTCTTCTTCCTGGCGCGGTCCGCCAGTCGCGGATCCTTTCCAGCTAGGGTCGGAATAGCCTCCCAGTCGTCGCACATCATGCTTTGCTTGCTGACCGCAAAACCGTCAACCATGACCGTCGTGTTCTTTCCCTTCCGGCGATCGTTTCGGCTGAGATCCAGATTCACACGGAAGAGGCCAGGGTCCATGTTCCGTTGGATTCGGCGACCGTCGAAGACAGCGGTCTCGACTTTCTCCATAGATGAAAGCCATTGTTGTTCATCGATAGTGTGGTCATCTTCGCCGACTTGAGGGTCACTTGGCTTGTCCCGGCACTTTTCCAAAATGGTGACCACATCCCAAGACAGCATTTCCGTGAAGTCAATCTCGGGATGGCTGAGGGTCTGGGCTCCGCGACGGATAAGGGTCTTGAGCTGAGACACGTTGAGATGCGGCCTATCCTCCTCAGTTGCAGCTGCATTGGTACGCTTCCTCTTGGCTGGAGTGCCGTACACTGTCTTCATGGACTCCGTGATCTTGGCGGAAAGGTAGAGCTTCTTGCGAATTCTCCCCATCATTTGCTCTTCGACGGTTCCCTGCGTGCAAATTTTATAAATAGTGACAGGCTGCGTCTGACCGATTCGATGAGCACGAGCTTCGGCTTGAAGAGTGATTTGAGGATTCCAATCCTCGTCGAGGAAAATTGCCTCAGTCGCGGCAGTCAGGTTGATGCCAAGTCCACCTGCCCTCGTTGAGACGATCATCACCATGTAGTCGGAGGACTTATCATTGAATAAGCGAAGATCGAGGTTGCGCCGTGCTCGTTCGGTCGACCCGTCGAACCTTAAGAAGCGGAAGCCCTCGCCATCGCCGCCAAGAAGGTTTAAGACGTCTTCACAAAGGTCCAGGGTACTTGTAAATCCCGAGAAGATGAGGACCTTCTTGCCACGCTTGATGATCAAATCCTCTAAAAGCTTCTCGAGAACAATGAACTTTCCAGACGCGCGGATGATGTGGTCGCCGAGGAGGTATGGTTCTGGCTGGACTCCAGGAAGAAGGTACGGGTGAGTGCAGCATAGGCGAAGCTGCATGACCAGGTTCATTAGCTTGGTCCAATCACTGGTTTTTTCCTCCTCGCGTTCGTTTGCCAGACTTTTCATCATGCTCTCGCGCATCTCCTCCCAGACGTCTGTCGAAGCTTCACCGGCCTCGGCCTCTTCTAACACCTTAAGCTTCTTGTCTTCCTCGAATTCCTTCTTCAAAGCCTTCTTCTCCTTGCCCTTGATGCCAGCAAAAAGGTCGTTAAGTACAGCTCCATCAGAGCGCGTTAACAGCCTGAGGTACCAAAACCTCTGCAATGGAGTTAGTGGAGAATATAACAGTACTTCCTCTTTGGGGGGAAGATTTAGGTCGACACCGGGACTGTTCTTCATTCGTCGCAGCATAAGAAGTTCAAGAAGCTGACGCGCATTGTCCATAACGGAGATGTTAACTTGTCCATTGGCGAGATCGAACGACTTTTTGAAGAGTGAAGCAGTGTTAACGGTGAAAACTTCCGGTAACATCCAGTGAAGCAAGCTCCACATTTCATGTAAGTCATTCTGAAGGGGAGTGCCGGTTAGGATCAACCGATATTCTGCGCTAAAGCCCTGGAGTGCCTGTGCCAAGTTGGATGAGCTGTTCTTAATTCGATGGCCCTCATCAAGCACGACGTAGCGCCAAACAAAGGCTGTCTTCAGCCAACTCTGCTCGGCGACGAAGGTCTCGTAGGTTGTGATAATGATCTTGTAGAGATCCTCGTCGTTGTCATCATCGAGGTTGATAGTGTTGTTCGCAGCACGACGGCGATCACCAGTCCGCCTTTTGGAGCGATTGGTCTCGTTGCCATACTTGTCCACATGACCGGTGGCGACCTTCTTCAACGCGTCGCGTTCAGCCTTGGGACCATGGAAGCGGAGGACTTTCAGTCCAGGAGTCCATCGCTGCGCCTCGTTGACCCATGAATTGACAACACTTAGAGGGCACACCACAAGATACGGCCGGTTCTCACCATAGCGATTCGGGTGTTGCTCCTCCAGCAGTTGAAACAACGACAACGTCTGTAGTGTCTTGCCGAGACCCATCTCATCTCCCAACATGCAAGGCATTCCGTTGTTGTACATGTGAGCCAGGAAAGACAGGCCGCTTAACTGGTAGGGCTTCAGTGTAGCCGTGACACCTTCGGGTTGTTCGTCAAGCTCGCGATAGGAAGCAAAGGCTCTATGCTTCTTATCCTTCAGCTTTGCAACGTAGTTCGTTGCTGGGAGGAGGGGAAGAAAATAGCTGCTATGGTGGTGCAAGAAGGCGTCTTGCTTCACCTTGGTGTTTTGCTCAATCTCAGCGCGGATCTGCCTACGCGCGGTAGAGACCTTCGACCTGAGAGATGCCGCCAGTAAATCCTCCATGTTGGAACTCAGCAACTTCTTCTTCTCCTTCTCCTTCTTGGGAGACCTTTTCGTGCGAGGTAAGATGGTGTAATCCGGATTGCCATGCGGACGGAGAGAGCGCCTTGGACTGAACTCCTCACTTGCAACAGGTAGGTCGTCTGAAGGTGAGTCTGGCAGCGGACTGCCGAGCTTGATCATTTGCGGGGTCGCGGGACGCTGAGGCAAGGATAGCTCGTCAGGGAGCATCCGATCTGGATCAGCAGTGTACATTGTCTGCGCGGAATTGGCGGCGGGATTGGCGGCGGAATTGTTGGACCTTCGAGCGCGGGTGACCGAAGTCGGGCTGCGCTGGAATCCAAAGGCGTTGACGAGATCTTTGTAAGTGTTCCTCCGCGGCGTGGTGGGCGCAGTCCGATTGCCCTGCACAGGCACAATCGGGCGGTCCATTGGGAGAACTCTGCAGGATTGCAGCGGCAAAAAGGTTAGCGATGCAGCCGAGAAGATCAGCTCCGTAGAATTGTAACCATGCGCGGCTTGAAAGAATGGTTGTGGTGGTTGGGCAGGGTCAGAGTACTAAGGCTACCATGGGCAGGAGACGCGCCGCGGTGACGCGCGATCCCGTGCCAGATTGATTGATCCGCGCAGGGGTCCTCAGCTCCAGAGCTTGACGCCGCAAAACCACACCCCCGCTCTGTGCATCGCCGTCCAAACATCGCTCTGACCTGTCGCTGACTGCTTTCATTTGCAGCGCTTCAGTCTGCGCGCGCACCCGGCCGCGCTGCTGTGTTCCGCTAAGAAAGCCATCTGACGCCAGCTGCCGACGCAAGCCAAGCATTCCACACAGCTAATTCTCCGATCGCTCGCCGCAATCAACACCTTGCACGCCGCCACTCCAACACGGCCATGCTCGCGCGGGCTGCCGCACCACCGCCATGACACGATACTATCCGCTCTATGTGCGCCGCTCTGATGGAAAACTGGAGACGGTGCATGGCAAGAAGAAGGAGAAGAACGAGCCGACACCCGAGCAGCTCAATGACACGCCCGACTCAAACGGCGTGAGCGATTACTACCGTCCGATCGCTGAGGATGAGCCGAAACACCTGGACTGGCGTCGCAAGCTAGGAGGCATGCTGATGCGCGAGCTTGCCGGGCCTGGCTCGGAGCACCAACGTAGGCCTCAATTTGCCCTCTCGCCAGACTCCGCTGACCCACGCAGACAAAGCATGCATGCTCGCCGCTCTCCCCGAGAACTACCGACTATTCGAGCACATCAAGTCGCGCGCCCACGATGGCGATCCCCAGTCCCGAAAGGCCTCAAAGAACCACGCAGGAGGCGGCCACGACCGCCAGGACGCATACTTGTATGGACATCCCATGGGCCGGAAGAAGCGTTTCAGAAGTCCCGCCGACTTCTTCCCACACCTGTTGTGGCTTGCCACGGACAAAGACGGAGATGCGAACAACTGCAGCTGCAAGGTTTGCTGTCCCGAGGAGGTGCAGGATGAGAAGCCAGCGATCAAGAAAGAGGCCCCCGGGCAGCCAGCTGCGCAACCTGGAAATGCCGGCATTGGCAGAGACCCTTACGTCGCTATTCAAAGACCTCCCAGCAGTCAATCGTCGACGCCGAAAACTCAACCTGCAGTTCTCAACCGTCCAAGCTCAGCCGGCGCTCAAGCACAGCCTAACCCAGCTCCGGTTCAGCAAGCGCCTCCAGTACAACAGGTCCCTGCTCCTCGTACGACAACGCCGCAGAATGCTCCTCAAACCCAGCCTCAGCCGGCCCCATCTGCGATTCCGCGACTGGCTTTGCCTGATCACCAGCTCGACTCCCAATATCATTCCCTTCTGTTCCGGCCTGGCGAAGTCGTATGGATGAGTCGCGGAGAGGCATGGGGCCTGGGTGTTCTGATTCGAAGGTACCTGACAAAGGCCGCCAACAACCAAGTCGAGCGCCACTACATTGTCCAGCCGCTTTCACATCCGCATGACTTCCAGACACCGGTGCATCTCAACGCCGAGAATCTGCTTCGCCCTTGGCTTGCATGGAGCGCACCTCCACTTACTTTTGCTCACCTCCAGAATCGTCGGGATCTTACGTATGAGAATGTGGATTGGCAGGCTGCCGTCAGTGGACAGTACGGCCACGGCAACCCAGAAGTAGACGCGAGCATTCTCGCGGCCAAAGCAGTCGACAACACCTACACTCCTTTCAAGCTGATAAGCTCGCGTCCCGGCCCCGGCACCGAGGAGCGTCGTTGGGCGGGCGTATTCCTTGGCGCAGAGAAGATTTGGGTTGGAGAGCCTATTCGGATACAGATGGACGTGCCCAACATGAGTCTGCCCATCATGGTCGTCATTGATATCGTGGAGCGAGTCCAGCAAGGCCGCTCAAGTATCACTATCTACGGAGACCTCTACGGCTTCATCGGCAACCTTCCTCTCAACCAGCCTGTGCCACCAATGGACCATCTCCCGCCCCGAATGATCATGGATTTACGCTTCCGCAACCAAGTCTCCTCCAAGGCCAATCGAAAAGGCGCATGGAAGCTCCTGCGCTCCATGCACCAGGTCCCCATTGAGCAGGTCAAGGGCCGCTGGTACGAGAGCAGCGTGCTCCTGCCCATCATCCTCGGCGACAAGGACTTCGACAACACGATCCGCTCCGGCAACCTGCAGGACGCGTCGCACTGGATCAACGCGCGCAACGACAGCAACGATGCCAACGCCATCGGCGTGCGCCAGAGCCAGCGCAAAGACGCCTTCGGCCGCTCCGTCCCCGCCGCCGTCCAGATCTCGGATAGCCTGGACCCGCCGAGCCCCGAGGAGCTGCAGACTATCGTCGCGCCGGCCCAGGCGCAGCAGGCGACTGACCCTGCGCTGATGGTTGATGCGGCTGGCTTTGGCGGCATGGGGGCTGTTAGTGATGTCGTTGGCGACTTTATGAATCTGGATGGCGATTTCATAGCTGGTGCGGGTGCTGGTGCGGCGCAGGGAAATCCGCAGGGAGGCCCTGGTGGGAGCAACTGGAGTATGTGATGGCGTGGGGGATTGAGGAAAGAGCTGGCGGTTGTTATACCCAGGCGTTGCATCACTGATGTTTTGAAGTTCACGCATGCATTGGTGGAGTTTATGGGACACAAATAGTTAGACGGAGTTATCGCAATGACAAGACTCGGATGGGATGCGTGTGAGGACCACGTGTACCTGTGTGTGGTTGATTCCAATATCTGGATGTATTAATTGAGTTCTGCCAAATGCGGAGAAGTGCAGTTCTGCCAATGTGGAGAAGTGCAGTTCTGCCTGGAGAAGTGCAGTTTTGCCATAGAGCCGACCGCCGCCCGTGCGCTGTTGCCTTTCCGCCCGCATGAGTCCCACGCGTGAAACAGACGCGGTGCGAAATGATAGGTCAAGATGAATACCGCACAAGGCAGCAACGCTCATCCTTTCCCTCACGGCATCAGAGAGCATGGTAGAAGTGAGAGCATATAACGGCCCAGCATTCCTCAGAAATTATCACTCACACATCATTCACCACCACCCCATACTTCACAATGCTATCCATGTTCAGAAAACCTTCTTCCAGCGGGTCCTTCGTCGATGTGACCGACACCAGCGTCGAAACACCCATCCCAGACTCCAGTACACCCGCCACGCCCTCAGCTCCACAACCAACCCCTCACCCCGCCCTCACAGACGACGCCACCGGCCCTTCGGAGCCCGACACCATAAACAACGCCAAGCCCACCAAAGGCAGCCTCTGCTCGATCCGCACCCTCTACGAGGGCCTCACCAACGATGACGGCCACTGGGAGTGGCAAGCCGAGTACCCAGCCGACTTGGTACGCAAGGGCCCCGCGCCGGTCAAGATCCCGCCCAACGGGCTGTACGCCGTGGTGGTGCACCAACGGCGGACGGGTCTGAGGAACGCGCCGCCGCTCCGCGTAGAGTCGGTCACGGTACAGAGCCCACACATCAAGGCGGTACTTGCGCCGCTGCTGGCCGACCACCCCAACGCGGACCAGCTGCGCAGAGGGAGTCTGATGCTCACTCCGCCGTTCCGCGAGCTGTACGACGCGTGGCCTGCTTTCGAGGAAGCGGTGCACACGACGGAGGAGAGCACCGAGGCGGCGACGCACCTGCGCCTGCTGTACGATCTGACCAAGCGCAAGATCGAGAGGCTGCGCCGCAAGCAGTTGCCGCTTGACCGCTGCCACAAGGTCACGTTCGACACCCTCTTCACCGTCTTTCGCCCCGGCACCGTCGTGTATCATAAAGATGAGGAGCAGTTTGACCGCTTCTACAAGGTGAAGGCCGTCGACTATGGCGACATGCCCGGCTGCGGATTATTCCGCAGTAACCCGCAGTCGTTCACGTGTTCCATTACCTGCGCAAGCCTCGAGTTGGACGGAACCAGCCTTGGCTGGGTCGACCGCGTCTTCTGCATGGACAAGTGGTCTGGCGCGAAGAAGTTGACCGAGCTTACCATCTTCCCTGCGGAACTGCATCCCGAATATGAAGATGTCAGGGCGCGGGTCTTGGAGCGCGGTAGGAAGTGGGAGGCACTGAGGGAGAAGCCCACGGTCGTTGAGTATGAGGGCCTGTCCGTGAAGACGATTCAGCCAAGTAACTCGCTCTTTGGTGGAGCTGTTCAGAAGGCTCAGATGGTAAGTGGCCCCCTCTTTTTCAGTCCCTCTCCAGGTTGCTCTCACGATATTTCTATTTCCCGTCCAGGCCGCCTCCAATGTCTCTCTCTTGTTGAGAAAATATGACATGTCATGGGTATCTGAAGCGATTGTCCGGACGTAAATGTTGAAATTTTCTAATGGTGACTGACGCACTCTCCCTTATGAACAGGTCAATGGACGGGTTATCATCGACGCAGCTGCCTACGTGACTTATTCAGGAATTCTGCCTTTAGGACTTCCTCAGCACGGCAACGGCGATTACTCAAAGCCCCCTTTGACAATTATCGATCAAGACGAAAAAGATGATGAAGATGGAAATGATGGCTCCGTAGAGGCTAACGATGGCTACGGATCGGATTCCGACTCGGATGACGAGGAGTCACCTGATGATGAGCATGGTAAGGCATTTTGCGCCTTGCGTGGTCATCTTTGCTAACATGCTCTAGGGGTTGGAACTCATAAGGATGACGTCCTCAAGGAGCCATTGAGTGATGAGAACTTGCTTCTGGCCTCTCATGTGGTTTCTGGATTCTATCTCAGATCGAAGACTTGGGGTATGTGCAGGAAATCACCTTAAGACATTCAATAATGACTAATACGTCGCAGTCAAGCTATACATTGATCCCATCAAAGAGGTTAACTGGAACCATGCGGCCTTTGATCGCCTCATCCTGCCCGGCAACTACAAGCAGCTGATCCTGGCTTTCGTGGAGAGTCAGGCTCAAAACCGGGACGTCTTCGACGATATCATTGAAGGAAAAGGTTAGTGTTTGCAGTGCAGTATCTCTAAGTGACATATTAACACAGCCTCAAGGACAAGGCATTATCATGCTACTGCATGGAGCTCCCGGTCTTGGCAAGACACTCACAGCAGAAACTGGTAAGTTGCTATACAAGTCCGCTCTTTTTAAATGAACTCACGACTCACACACATTGAACAGTGTCCGACCGGCTACAGAAGCCTCTGTACTCCGTCCAAGCCGGCGAGCTAGGCTCCAATGCCACCGACGTCGAGGCCACGCTCCAGCGGATCCTCGACCTCGCCGCGAAGTGGGACGCGGTGCTCCTTCTCGACGAAGCCGACGTCTTCCTCGAACAGCGCCACCATTCGGACCTCGAGCGCAGCAAGATCGTCTCGGTCTTCCTGCGCCTGCTTGAGTACTACCGCGGCATCCTCTTCCTGACCAGCAACCGCGTCGAAACCTTCGACGAGGCTTTCCGCTCCCGGATCCACCTCAAGATCAACTACCCGGACTTGAACGCCGAGGCGAAGATCGGCATCTGGAAGAACTTCATCGAGGCCTCGCGGAAGAAGAATGGGAGCAATGTCAGTGATGCGAATATCAGGGAGCTGGCGGAGTACCCACTCAACGGTAGGGAAATCAAGAATATGGTCAAGACGGCGCAGCTGCTGGCGTCGAGGGAGAAGTGGCCTCTGGAGATGCGCCATTTCAAGGTTTGCTTGGATGTCATGGAGGATGCCAAGGGAGAGCAGGGAAAGTCTTTGGGAAAGACTGTGGGAATCTAATGACGGGCAGTGCTCGCTGGTGATGGGGTGGGGGCACCAGGTTTCCACATATATAGTTTGCAGGACTATGGTGAGGTGGTCTTATAAGAGACATTTTCGGACTATGCATTTGATGAAGATGATCTTATTAACTCTCTAAATGATGCATCCAGCAAGGGACAGAGTAGAGGCGAGCTTTGCTATAGAACCCTCTCGCAGCCGATGGCTAGCTCTGCCTTGGAAAACTTAACATATGTGGGTAGCTGAAGCTATCGTCCAGACGAGGATGTCGAATTTGAAATTCTACATATACATCCGGACGATAGCTTCAGCTACCCACATATGTTAACTTTTCCAAGGCAGAGCTAGGGTATGGTTGCGCTATATTCTAGACCCATACTATTCTTTATGCTAGCTATCGGCCGCAGAACCCCTCTACAGATACTGACAAAGAAACAAAAGTCGCTTTTAGAAGGACAAGCGCAATAGAGGGACACCTCAGCCGAAGGCCAACATGGACGTATTTCAGTCATGTCGTGGGGAGGTGAAGCTATCATCCAGACGTAAATGTTTATTAAGCTCTGAGTTACACTTCTATATGTTAAGAGAATGTCTCTACTACCAACCTCTCAACTCCACGACTTAGGCCACAAACCTGGACCACCCGTCAACAAGCTGGATCCTTCCTCCCCCGACTTCTGGCAGACAAAGTTCTGTCGTAACCTCAAGAACCCTGACAGAGACCAACTCAGACATCTCGCCAGCGCGGCCGCTCAATTCAGAGCCTACAGTAAGCACAGTAATGTCCACGCGGATCTTATTCGCAGCAAAGACGCTGAAGCCACACTCTACGCGACCCTAAACGTTCTGAAACCTCCCAGAACGCAGTTGGCCCCTACTACGCGCACCACGCGAGCGTCGGCACTACAGTCGGGCAACATCCTAGGTTGCCCTCACACCTGAAACACCTGGGTTAACTTAGGGCGAGAAGCCAGAACCGCCACCAGGCTCTCCCTCCAGGATGTTCGGGACTCCCCTTTGCCTCACTTCCCGCCTTTCCAACAAGCCTTGTCCACGACCAATTCATCACCTCATGATTCATTGCATACGTGCACCACGTGACATTTTTGAGATAAATGCTACGAACTACCACGGAGGAGAAAAAGAGGGCGCCTGCGTTTTGCACACGCCCATTTCTTATTTGCACACCCCCGTTTCTCATTTTACACCTACTAGAGAGTAGCTTTCGAAGTTAATACTTAGAGGAGGTGTGTAAGTAAGAAAAGGTGGTGTATGAAAAGTAGAAACCTATATAAATACTTAGCAGTATTCCTCTTATTTAGTAATTAATAAACTTCCACCTTTCTCCTTCGAATCTTAGTACCTAGGTCTCTTTTAGATAGATCGCGGGAACTACGAAACCACTTAATTGCGCGCACGAACTTTTTTCTATACTTAACTAAGATGCGCGGACGCCCCGAACTAGCGGGGATGCGGGGCTTCTCCAGCCCATTTGGTCGTGGTGCAGCACACCAAGGAGCTTGTCGTGGAGCGCCGGAGACCAACCAACTCCACATCAGGTTCTGGGAAATTAGCATGGGGTCTGCATGACGCTGCAGAGTTAGTTGCTCTGAGTGGTAATGAGGAAGATTACTCACACGCCTTCGGCAAGTGTCAGCTGGTCCACTATCCTTGGCACCCGCACGCTGTTCTCGAGTCTTCTCCTGGCCCATCATTAACTCATAGGCAACAAGACACCTCTGTATCACCGACTGGCCTTGCAAAGCGACAAGTGACCCCATCTTCAACAAGTTCTGACGCCCCTCAAAGCTTCACAGCCTCATTTTAGCGCACAAAACACGGCAACATTACTACGCCAAGTGAGACACGCGTGAGTACGAGTTTCCTTACATGCAGCGAGCTCAGCTGTTAATTCGAGTCTGGACCATGCACGTCTGCAATGCAAGAGCCTGGCTGCGAGGATTTGGTGTGTTGGCTGCAAGCAATTCGTCTTGGAAACACGAACCGAAGCTATCTCCAGGCGGCGGTCGCGTGTGGGCCAGCCTCGAGAATCAGCGAGCCAATCACAAAGTCGTACTAAATAGACATGATGGCGGTCCAATTGTGTTTAAACGCTAGTGCATGCGGAACGTAAGCATTGCAGCCACTCTGCAGCTGAATGTCATTGCTGACGCTGTCGTACTCATTGGGAATCGAAACGCAAGTATCAATGGAAGGCAACTTAAATATCTCATGCCATAGCTGCACACTGCCTAATCCTCCTTCTCCAGTTAGCTTCAGTCGCCTCCTTTCGTTTTTCTATCACAACACTCAACAGCGCATCGAGATGTCTTCTGATTCCAACCAACAGCGCACCAAAACGTCTTCTTATTACGGCGAACTGCACAGCGAAGTGTCTTCTGATTCCAACCAACTGCGCACCAAAACGTCTTCTTATTACGGCAAATAGCACAGCGAAATGCCTTATTACAACAGCGATCATCCCGCCAATCAATTCAGCGCTGACGGTTCTTCTTATGGTTGCTATTCAATGGATTTACATCAGCCACAAAACTTTTCGGCATACTCATCCCATTCTGGCGCCCCTAATACGTATCCTGACTTCCCCCAAACCACATATCCATCACCTTTGGCGCCTCCAGCAGCAGCAGTGACCCCCGTAACGACAACCTCCATCGAAGCTCTTGTAGCAGAGATCTCCGCAGTGACCTTCACCGAACCTCCAGCAGGAGCGACCTCCGCAGTGGCGGCCTTCACCGAACCTCCAGCAGCTGTTGAACCACCACCCCGTAGGGGGCGAGGACGCCCGCCGGGCAGCAAGGACTCCAAGCCGCGCAAGAAGAAGGGCGACACCGCAGCATATACCACACGAGAGGCGGATAAGTAAGCAGATAAGGGGTCTTCGCAGGTCACGATGCCGCCGAAGCCTCCTAGGCTCAACTTCATACACTACAATGGCACTGGATCAGGGTTGGATTAGGCTTATGAGGCTGAACATCATGCCAGGCCTCCTCGCGCGCGCCGCGGAGCCTCATGAGGTACCTACTAAGGGGGGTTATGTAACGGGTCTCTTATGAAAAGCAACTGCGCTAGTCGTGCATCTCAGGCAGTTCTCAGTAGATACAGGTAATAAAATATGGAGAAGCAAGAGAAACGACCTTGCCTGCATGAGTCATTGGGTGTGATGACGCAGGTGGGATGCCGGTGAGCCCGCCGCATTTGCCTGCTACATATTTGCCATATAAATTTGAGGCGAGCCACGGAGAAAAAGTGAGTATCTCTAGGGGGTTTAAAAATAAGAAATGGGCGTGTGCAAAAAGTAGAAGCCAAAAAAAGAGGGCTATTAAAAAAATGCAAAAAGGAACTTGGGGGGCGTTCTACGGTCCGCAGGGACAAACATAGCGCTGGTGAGCAGGAGGAGGTCCCGGGCCCGGCCGGAACCCGGGACCTCGACCGCCATCACCAGGCCGGAATCGAACCTGCGGACTCGTGGACCAGCTCTCCCCAAGGTAACCCTACAGATACAGAGCTAACCGGTCGGGTTTTACCACTTTTAGGGTCCTGGCTGGTGCAATGGGGCGCCCTCCACTGCACCAGCCAGCTGTTCTGTAATGGGAACGATCACTTTCGCGGTTTATATATTGCAGGGCAGGTTATTCCTGCTGTGGAGGGTCGCGCCTAAGCGTGCTACGCGTTAAAGGTCTCCGATGCCTTGTCATTGCGGGTGGGAGATCCGAGCCGCGACAGTTTTTCACTACCAGTGACGTCACGCTACTCTTCACTTGAGACTCCAGCTCCGCCACGACATGACCCGCAACGGTGAGATGCTCCTCCGCTTCCTTAACGTACGTGATGCCATCGTCGCGCTGATTCAGCAAACATCTACTTCTCCTCCTTTTAAGTGAAGGGGGAGAGCCATTGCGTGCTCATCTGGCCGTCTATCCATGCGGACTCACGTCTTCTCGGGTCTCAACCATTGCCGTTGATGATCTTCTTCCGCGAGTTCACGGCCGCGGTGATCGAATCACTCATTTAACTACATGAGAGGATACATCCCATAAGCGCTCACTCTGCCGCGCTACTCCTCAAACACTGACCCGACACCAGATGTGCTAATAGACCTGATCCTCAAACTACACCACAACCGGCCCTCTAGCTTCTCGCCGCAACACTGGCCCGCTCATATCATACTTACTGTTCCGGACATGATCCGGCCGACACACCAGCTCGAACCCATGCTTACGATACAGCCGCTCCGCCACCGGCGACGACTCGACCCAGACGGGCAGAAACAGGCGGTCCGCCATCTCGCAGCCATTCCGCACGAGGGCGCTGGCGCAGCCACGCGAGCGGTAGTCCGGGTGCGTGTAGAGCCGGTTCAGCACTGCGGACAAGTCAGAGCACGCGAGTACAGCACATGGGCGTGTGCAAAGAAGAGAGGAGGGGAAATACACTCACAGACATGCGGCTTCCCGTGCTGCATCTCCGCCCGCCGCGCGTAAAACTTCCGCACTACCTTTTCCCCCAACGCGCGCTGTTCGCTCCCCTCCGCCATCCAGTCTAGCTCCACTGGCGGCTGGGCCGCTGCCCACGGCTGCTGCTGCTGCTGCGGACTGCCGTCCTTCTCTGCCATCGTCGCCGTCGCCTCTGGCCAGCTCGGGTAGACCTTCCAGTGCGCGGCGCTGACGATGCGGCCGCTGATACCTCCCTCTCCGCCATCTCCTCCGCTGCTGCTGCCTCCTCCGCTCCTGTTTCCTCCACCTCCGCCGCTCTTGCCGCCGCCGCTGCCGCCGCCGTCATCATCGTTGGTGCCGTCAGACTCCACATCAACGACCTTGAGCCACAAGTCCGCCGGGTCCTCGGCCGCTTCGCGCGTCCACCTTTCTGTCGCGGCGCGCCGGCAAGCCTCGGTGTCGTAGCCGATCAGGATCTCGGTGAGCGGGCTGGTGCCGGTGACGTCGTAGTGGAGGTCGACGAGGGCGCGGATGTCGTCGGTGGTGGCGCGGGAGAGGTGGAGGGGCATGGTGGGGGGTGGGTGGGGTAGGGAAAGTGGTGGTTACGGAGAGTGGGCGGGGTCCGGGTGGGTATGGGGGTGTTGGTTGAAGGCGCGATTGGGCGGGTGGGCAGGCGGCGGGCGGTGGTGTTGAGGTTTCGGGGTTTTTAAATGACGAGTTGTCCGGCGCTAACACCGAAGTCATGATGTGAGGTGCTCCAAAGAACGGGCTAGTCTCCCCATTGGGCAGGCGAACGGGAGATGTGATGCAGCGAAGCGTCGATCCGCAGCTCCAGGAGGAGGCTCGGGTGCATGATTGCGATAAGTAGCGGGGCAAAGCTGCGGGGCTGGCTGTCGGCAAACGGCAGTAGTACGATCTCACCTGTGAACCCCATGGGGAAGGTGGGGTCATTAGCCTTGTCGAGCAACGTGCAACGTGCGTGGAACCGGCATCGGCAAGCAGAAACCGGCGGGCTTGCCGACGGGCTTTTGTGAGGTCGAAATAAGATTATGGCTAAGGTAAGGCTGACAGGGACTACGTCCTGTAGAGATTTGCGCCTGACCCCACAGAAACCATCTTTGTACTGAAGGCTCTACTCGTCATTTTCACCACCAACGATTGAATGCCTTCGCCATTTAAGTTTCGATTTTTTGGGTCTGCAGAGCTTTTATAGAGACGCCGAGCTATGAACCAGATTGGATCTGAATTAGAAGTTTGCCTCAATCCCATGAGATGTCGAATGCCGCAACCTTCCGCCTGGGCGCAAGCAGCTTGCCAGAGAGAATAACCATCCGTTTGTCCACGCACCCATTCCCATGAGCGCCTCCTTTGTTTCGCCAATTTCATGAGTCAAGAGGAGGCAGAACCAGTTGCTGTAACGCATCATCCATATGCGCCAATCCGCATCCAAGCCCAGAGATGCCCCGCTCAGCTCCAAACCACCCACGTACTGCAATCTTCTCCTTCAAATGTAGTTCTTCAACCACTTCTCAAGCTCGGCCTTCCTGGCCTTCTGGGCCTTCATCTCTTCGTCATCCGAGATCTCTGCCAGATCATCCGAAGTCAGCGGCTCCAAATCCAGCTTTCGTTTCTTCTCTTCCCTCGCTTCCTGCTCATCAGAAGAGGACGGATTGATAGGCAGAAGCCGCTTCAGAGTAGGAGACGACTTCGGAGTAGAACGTGGCTTCGGAAACGGAGCCAACTTCAGCTTCTTCTCTTCCCTTCCCTCACTCGCCAGCCTTTCGTCCTCCTCCATCTTCCTTCCCATCGCCAGCGGCGCAGCAACATACGCCTCCAGAATCTCCTCCGTCGACCCCGACGCCACCATCCCCGCCGCGCTGCGAAATCGCTGCAGCAACTTGCACACGGCGACCCAGCGCTCGCGGAACTTGAGCTCCCTATCCCCAAGTTCGCCGCCGAAGTGGCCCGAGAAGTCCATCGTGTACCGCAACGTGCATCCGCCGTCGTGCAGGCGCTTGAGAGCCTCGAAGAGCAGCCACGCGCGCGCTTCGACGCGGTAGCGGGTCTCGTGGACAGCGAAGTTGGTGGGGGTGACGGTGGTATCGGACGTGTATGCGACGGCGGCGTCCTGGAGACCGACGCTGATGGAGTGGACGGCCGCGCGCACGTAGGCGTACTCGCCGGATGGGGTGGTGGGGCGGCGGCTCTGGTCCGGGTGCTCGGAGGGCGGCGTCCACCTGGGCACCTTCTCATTGAGGTGGTGGCGCGCCTCTTGCGCGTTGGCGAAGCGTTGGATGATGGCGCCAGCCGCGGCGGGGTTGGATGCGCTGGGGTTGTTTGCCATGGTTTTGTGTTCGGTGAGGGTGGAGCGTTCGGTCTTTGGGGTGGGAGTTGCAGTCATGGAAGGGCCGGGTGAGCGTGGAGTGGTCGGTGAGCGCGTTCCGAAAAGACTGCGTTTGGTTGTGGGTTTTCCCAAGTCAGGCTTGAGCACGTCCAGAAGACTTTCCATGATGAACTTTTCACGCTCGCCAGCCATGTCTAAGGTAGGTGAGTCGGGTTCAGGTGTGGTTGATATGCTATTTGGAAGGTGAAGAGAGTTACTGTGCAGAACAGAAAGATTTAGGTGTCTCGGTGGACTCCAGTGGCGCATGCGCCTTCCAGTAGGGGCAGGCGAAGGCGAAATGATGTCGTTGAAATCGTTTTTGGAAAGAGGTCGACCGGGCCGTGTAGGGCGTGGCAGAGATAAGAGGTGAGAATGAAACCCTTTCGGAACGCCTGGAAGTTTCTGGTCCGTTGGTGAGATGCCCTTGTGACCATTACTAAGGTCAATGTCGTCCCTCCGCTTCGTGAGATCGTGGGAGTTGTCTTTGCAAAGACGTGTCTTCTGAATGCAGCGGCAACAGATATCGTAGTAACCGGCAGAGCAGATGTAACAGGGCCACCACTCGCCGACGAGGTTGCAATGGCACCTGTCAGACCACATCCTCTCTTTACTGTCAGATAATTCCATCATCGACATGTTATCAGGTGAAGATGGGGGGAGATCGTAGTCGGTGTCCATTTTTAGGCAAGAGAGAAGGTCTGGTATGTATGGGGAGCCTGGCCGCGGGCTCATAGAAGTTTTATAGAAACCACTTGGACCCTCTAGTCGTCACACGGTCTGAGCGCTGTTTTTCTTCTGGATGCGCTGGGCTAAAGAAATTGTAATGGATCATTCAATGGGAGAAGGAATAATCGAGAGATTTATGTAGAAATCGCGATTATAGGTATATAAGCTGATATGATCTCTTGGCTGAATTCTTCGACCGTGCAGATCGGTGTTTCTAACTTGGTCATGCGTTTAAAGCTTCCCTTTAAACTACGTTCTAGATACTATTACGGCTGTCGCTTGCTATTTATTTAAGGGGAAATTATTTATTTAATCTTCGCAATCAATCCCATCATTATCCATGAAATATAAGTGCATTGTCTTCATAATGGAATGCTGGAGAAGTATCGTAAGTATTTATGTCGCACAGCACATATTCTATAACGAGCTAAAGGTATTGTGTTGAAATAATGTCACATAATTCAAGCTACACCGCTTTCTCCATATCGATACTATCGTGCATATAAGCATAATTAAGCAGTCTACTATATTCACTTGTGATCGATGCTCAGCACATTTAAACACTGAGACTTGTCACAACTTAGCTGTTAGACATAGTCTCAGAGTCAGAGCTAGTACATAGACTAGAAATGCCCTCTTCTCGGTTATCGCATACTAAGTAACATGTTCCGGTTCCTAATACTCCACCTAGAAGCTTTCACGGCAACTCCAGCACACGTCAATGGGTCCGCTATGGTGTGCTAGTCCCCAAAATAATTGAAAGCCAGTAAGATATCATATGAAATATCTGGAAAAGGGTTCGATTCATTCTCTAGAATAATAAGATAAAAACGAATGGCCTTGATTTGGAAAAACATTGAAACTCATGTCGCCTTAGTCTTATCGCTCCGTATACCGTGCTGAAGGGCAAAGCTTGCATCGTCGGATTGAAGCGTGTCCCTCATGTACCTTTTGAAGTTCTGAGACATTTTGACCACTTGATCAATATGATCATCAGTGACTTTCGGCACCGCCTTGGTCTCACCAGTACGATCCTTGTTCTTTTCGTCTATCTGCTTCGCATGGAAAGAAGCAAGGGCAACGGCAGTTTGAAACGCTATCGCAATCATATTAGTACGTGAAGGAAGTGGAAAGTGGGTCATACCGTTACGAATTTCTCGACCGTTCCATTCGAGGTCCTTCAATGCTGTGCTTTTCTCTACATATTCCATAGCAGTAATGGAATATTGAATCTCGCGTCCTCCATCCTCGTGATTTTTTGTAAGCTTCCTGAAATGATTCTTCCAGATCTGGATCCGAGATTTATCATCCAGCACATCGTATCCGATCTGGACATGAATTCGTGACATGAAGGCCTCGTCAAAACAACCAACGCGGTTAGTAGTCAGAAATAGTATGCCTTGGAAGTAGTCCAAGGCCCGGAGAAACACTAGTAGGCGCACGGCATTAGTAAGACTTTGACCACGCGATAATGGGATCCAGGTTCTCACCGGAGACAATGCTGTTCCTCTGAAGGTCATGCGTCGACCGCCTCTCAAGATATACATCAGCTTCGTCCAAAAGAACAATGGCGTCCCATTTGTTAGCGTTTCGAAAGAATCTGAGCAGTTTCTTTTCAAGTTCCTCGGGCTCGTGTCCTAAGTCGGCAGCGGTGATGCTGAGAAGTGGTCTTCCGGTCCACTCAGCCACGGATTCTATGAAGAATCAGAACATGGTCCGTCAGATCCGACTCGTAGTATAATACTACTCATATCACCTCCTTTGACTCACCTGCAGTCAGAGTTTTGCCAGTGCCTGGAGGACCATGAAGTAGCAATATTTGGCCTTCTCCCTTGCCTTGGATGAAATCTGCGAAAAACAGATTCTGTGCCTCAGAGCCATTGAATGTCTCGCAAATGGCCTTTATCATGGACTTGTTCTCGTCTGATCGCATGACGAGGGTATCAATGACACCCTTGTCGATTTTTGGCGGCTTCAACCCACACAGCAGGACCAAATCTGCAGTACATTAGTGGCAGTAAAGTCTAATGAGGACGGGTAGAGAGAGATACCCCAGCAGCGGTCTTTCAGGATGAATGCGTAGACATGGGACCAACACAAGAGGTACTGGTGTTCAGTCAATGGTTCTCCCAAGCTCAAGTCGATGGTATCGTATTCATCGAACTTTCGCCGTCGGAGGCTGTGCAAGCCCGAATCTAGAGATTCGCAGTTTGTACATGGACATCCTGGTATTCTTGTACTTGAACCTAGTCGTTCCATTTTCTTTGTTCCCGGTTCATGTGCTGTTTTTTCCTGGAAGTCTGGTAGGGTCCAGGGTTTGCTGGTGTGATCCACGACTACTCGACTGCGATTAAACTTCAAACACTTAGTAAATATGATGGTATATGCATGATATGCGGCTGGAAAGGAAACGAAAGTAGGTAGACAAGACTCACCTTTCGCACTCCTTGGAAGTGACTTCGTCCAGTATACTCTCGGAATGACGGGGATTTTATCACTTCAACGTAGGATTTGCCTCGCTCGATGAGTTCTTTGCAGAGAGTCTCTGCCTCTGTACGGCCTTTGTGGAAGCGAACCGGGTAAATTGGTAAGGAGTGGATGTCTCTTTCGCCATCAAAAAGGGGGATCGAGACCCTCTTGGTATTTCGCGTCAGAAACTGTCCGTCGAATTCCAGGTTCCATACAAGCACGTTATACGGACAAGCCCAGCCGGTTTGATTTCCACCATAGAATGATTCAATCACATAGACATTGAGTTCTCCATCGTCATCACGGACAACCACATCTGTCCCCGGCTTCAGAAGCAGCCAGAACCAACTAAAAGCCGTTTTTGGGTTTTCTTGGCTCCATGCGGCTTCAGCTTCCTTCAAAGGAATGGTAGGTTGAGCGTAAAGGTACCGGATGAGCACGTCGATGTGATCTCTACACTTTTGATTGTAATCAGTACTGTGGTGTAGTTTCGCTGAGTTCAAGCCTTTCTTGTACTCAATGAGGGCATCCTTGTGATGGAAAAGGTCCCTAAATGGGTGAACAAACACTCCCTTGTTGAGATCTGTGGCTTCCACAGGTAGATTAGATCCCACATTTACTGTCGGTCCTTCTGGGTATGATTGGAACTCGATCACTGCTTTGAGAGCATCCAAGAGTGTCGTTGAGTGGATGAACAGTGTTGGGTCGTGGACGGTATCAGCGCTTCCGATTTTTCCACGGTCCGGGCTATCTTTCGCAGTTTCTGTTTTTCGGTACACTTTTCTGTGATCCTCAAGGACAGATTGAGCTTCCTGTGAAGCCTCGGGTACTATGACTGTGATTGGGTCTGTGTTTTTCATCGTATAAGCAGAGTCCCAGGTCCCGAATCTCCCCTGCTCGTAGAACTCGACGACATAGGATACATCTGCAACGGGTTTTTCCTCTTGCAAGGGCTTGTTGTCCGGTTCTGAGCTGGGCTTTTTTGTTTTGAGCCTTTTATTGTGGATCTTCTGCCTTCGGATCGCTTCGAGTACGTGTGCGTCATTTTGGAACTGTATCTCAACTTTCCAGCCAGGCTGCACCATTGCATCCCAATGTTCGGGCAAAATCTTCGCCATCTCAGGGCTGACTCGGATAATCGAAATGGAGGCTGAAGTGTTATCTGTGTTGTCGATCAAGTCCGAGTACCATGGTGGTAGGGAACAGTCGAGAAAAACTCGTTTGACCGCGTTCTTCATTTCCTTTTGGATATTAGCACATGCTAAGGTCTACTTGAGCCGTGACTTACCCCCCAACGTCTGCAAACCTCGAATGGAAAGTTCCATGGTGTGCCAATAGGATCTACAAAGACGATGAAGCTTCCAGTTGTTCCTGGATCGAGTTGTTTATCTCGTTCATCGTTCCGCGTATCACTCTCAGGGTTATCGTTGATGGATACTTCAATCGTGTAAGGATTTTCGTGTAACAGGTCTATCGTCTCGTTCGTCTTGTCGGGGCTGTTACTATTTGTTTCACTGTTTGATGCCTGATGTTCCGTCACATCCTCTGCGACCATTGACGAAGGAAAGTCTATAAAGTAATTAGCGTTCTACTTTAGTAAAGTTAGAGATATATTCATACTTTTCTGTGGCTCAAGATGTTCTACGCCGGTTTCTCCCACAACCTCTTCCTTGGATGAGGCATGAGAGTCTCCGACGGGAGAACCTGACCGCTCTTCCGACTGCATCAAGCTTAGGTTCTAGAAGCAAGCGCTCCGTAACCGTTCTGTGTACAGGTCTCTGCTCAGGAAAATAGAGACAATCAAGAGCCAAACCCCTTTTATCTATTTCGAAACTCAAAGCCTCATACCCCGCAGATGTACGGTCTAGCCGGCTATCAACGAAAATCGCCGTGGCCGAATTCCTCTCAGCTGAAATGCTTCACAAAATCCATTTTCGGGCGAACTCACAGCAAGAAATTGTCAGCCGGCTGGTCTAGCCCAATAACTGGGTGTCATTGCTGATCTCTACTTGGATGAATAATGCTGACAGCAATATTGGCAATCGGGCGATCTATGCATTGTCTCAGCCACTTACGATAAGACTGTCAGCCAATAGTACGGCACACCATCACCTTAAACAGCCTTTGTATTTCGTTCGCTTTCACGAAGCAGTAAGGATGGAGGAAACCCATTTGCTAACCTTTTGAAATAAGAAAAGTCCTGTGATAAACCCGCCGAATATCTCCAGTGCATTGTCATATTAAAATGGCGCTTATTGGTCGTTTGAGTCAGTCCAAGCTGAATATGCAGGTCTCAGCCTTTCCATGGTTCAAAACAGTGGCTCTTAAATCGCGCATGCAAGTGAGATGAGGCTGAATGATTATTATGCATGCGTCTGCTTTTTGGGGCATTTACTGGCTCTTCAAAAATCGCGCATGCGAGTGAGACAAGGCTGAAAATTCATTATGCATGTGCATACCTTTTCGTGCCTTGCAACACTGGCCCTTAAAATTGCGCACACAAGGATAACGAGACCGAATACGCGTATTTTTGCCTTTTGAGGTGTTCGCTAATGCAGCACATACTTGAAAAGGAGCCGCCACTCTTACTACGCAACACTCCCCCCTCCCCAAAGATGTTGTCAAACACGTAGTTATGTTTCATTCGAGCACCGCGACCGCACACTATGCCCTAGCTGTAACCCCAATTTGTAAGACACCACATTCTTCGTATAATAGCATCCCTAGGCTACCCATGAGAAGACTCGATGTGGGTTTAACATCCTTTCTTCAGAATGCATTCGCATATGTCACATTAATCATATCGAATACCTCCCAACTAAATCTATACTGTAATCCTATTGCACCACGCTACTGATCTCAGCAGACCAACATGGAGGACGATGTCAAAGCTCAAGTTGTACGCAGATTTACGAATGACCTCGAAGGGGAGACGACGCTTGAGGTTCAGACAAAACAAGCTCAAAGAGCAGTAGATGCGGTAGACAACATGAGACAAAGAGAGCGGTTGGAAATTCTTTACAAGGACCCAGACGGCACGAGCGGGTATGACCCCGAGAGCCTAACATTTCCCAAACTTTCTGACACAATTAAGTCTATTTGACCATGTTGAATATGAACGAAAAATGCTCGCAGAATCAAGCGATAGATTCATCGAGTCATTGAGGAAGGAGCGGGGGGAGCGGGAGGAGCAGAAGCGGAACAAGAGAAGATTCTTCAAGCACAAATCTTTGTCTGCAAGCGAGAAACTTGAACAAAGGATTACGGAAATGAAGCAACTAGGTCTAGAAGATATACAAGGAATTATGAAAGAGCTGGAGAGTGACTGGAAGCAATCGCATGGGAAGGTAATTATCCCAATCTTTTGAAAAAAAAAAAAAAAAAGAAAAAAAGGAGCTTAACCACAGACAGATCTTTCATCGCTTTGAAAGAATTTGCGGCACTCTTGAGTGTCATAAAGCTATTTTTGAGCTTTTCCCCAGCGAATCTCCTTACACAGCCACTCTATGTGGAGCCGTCTCCATGGTTATCCAGGTGAGTTTCTGGCAAATTTTTGAGTGGTTACAATTGCTAAAATTTCGAAATAGGCCTCTGTCAATCATGCAAACATCGCAGAAACACTGTCGGAAACAGTGCAAAATCTGTGCGAAAAAGTCTCTGTTTGCTCAAAATTGCTCGATGTCATCACAACACGACCGATGATGGTAAGACTTGCGACCGTCTATGAGAAACTGTTCGCGTTCTTTCACGAGTTTTCAATGTGGTTTTTGAAAGGAAGACTTGCCAGAGTCTTGGACGCCATGAATGACAAATTTTTGGAAGAAGTCCAAAGAGCCAATGATTGTATCACTAATGCGATCAACCTGATCTACCAAGAGGCTCAATCGGGAGGGTATGCTATCCAACTGGATACTCAGTGGAGAGTCAAGGACGTTAAGGATGACACCGAGGAGATTAAAGAGACGCTCAAGGACATCATAAACTCGGACCGTCGAACGAATTATGCCGGGCAGCCAGACTCCCAACCAGGAATGGCGATGCTGGACTTACTGCGTGATATGTTTTCAACGAATATCCCGGTCCTTGGTAAGTCTCCTGCAAAATGTTTAGAACAATCGCTTACGATGCACTTAGTCATACAGAATAACGCCGAAGACCGACCTGGGAGGGCTTCCATCATTCCGATGCAGCAAAGGATACCCGCCAGCCAAGGACTCTCTAGAGAGGAAGCCGACCAGCATCGCGAAGACTTACTGAGTGTGGTAGACCATGTCGGTGGTGCTGATGGTGTCGAGCTTGCCCAGCATGCTGGGCCTCTACTGGCGGATCCCCGTGTGATCCAAAGGCTTGGAGACTGGATGAGATCGTCAACTAACTGCCCGCAGTCCATATGGATCATAACGCCAAAGGAGCCGCAGGAAGCAACAAGTGCCAGGCTTGCGGCGCTTGGGGTGATTCAGGCGGCCGCCAGAGCAAACGCTCCTTTCATCTCCTATATTTGTAAGAAGCCAGAAACTTCTAACACTCATCCCTTCAAGAGCGCAGAGGAAGCAGGCTGTTTTGCCCTGACCTACAGCTTGATCTCCCAACTTTTGCAGTTCAGGCTCGAAAACGACGATTTCCAGTTTGGCTCTGAGACATATGAGCAAGTTTTAGGCCAGTACAATTGGGAAGCCGGACTCTTGCTGCTACGAAGCCTCTTTGAGAGTACGCCAGTGGTTCGCTTCATCGTTCTACATGGCTTGAACAGCCTGGAAACAGATCACACTGGGGAAAGGCTTTGCAACAGTTTCCTTCAGATGATCTATGAGTCCGCGCACAATACAGGGCGACCGTTACGAGTTCTTTTTACAACATCAGGGCAATCCGTTGTTCTTCACAATCACGTGAGTATGGATGATCGAGTTCGTACTGATCACGCCTTCCACGAAATGGAAAGAAGGGGGGAACAAATGCGTCTCCAAATTACCGAGTAGGGAAAGGGTTGTTGTGTACTCTATGATCTTGCAACACAAATTCAGGATGGATGGCTATTTGGTCACATTTGCTTCAGTCCACTTCAAATATTGTATTCAATTCTTAAATCTTACGCCCGCTGCTCGAATATTTATTCAGGTACATGACTCGTCCAGTCTTTTGCATCATGTTATGGCGTGCTGATTCTCCAATCACCATTAATTCAGATGCACTGGTGGCGTTATCACACATCTTATCGGCTGCGCTGAGGAGAGAGATGAGTATAATGACGCCGAGAATGATGAATGTCACTGCTGGATTCTGATTGGCTCGCGAGCCTTGCCCTGTTTCAACTCACAGATATATTGTACGAAACCTACGCATGGCTTACATCTACCAGTAAGAGTCAACTGAGAAAATCACCTCATCTTTCAAGCTCTCTAAGCATTGTCTTGGGGGTTCTACACTTCCCTGGTCTCTCAAAGATGAAGTTGCCATTTTACCCCACCACCCATTACGACGCCGAAGTAATGCCACACCAAACTGCCATCCAAGATGTCGAAAAACAAGAGTCTACTGGTATCGCAAACAATGATTCTTCTGTATTCAAAAGGCTGGGTTGGCTGGACCGCTTTCTTGCTCTCTGGATTATTCTGTCCATGGCGTTGGGCATCATCTTGGGCAACTTCGTTCCAGAGACAGGGTCTGCACTGGAACGAGGAAAGTTTGTTGGGGTTTCTATACCTATTGGTACGTTTGAGTTCTTCCAGGCTCCATTTCAGCTTGGCTTACACTTCTACAGCTATTGGCCTTCTTGTCATGATGTATCCGATTCTCTGTGCAGTAAAATTCGAGACCCTACACCGCGCCTTTGCCACCAAAGAGTTATGGAAGCAGGTGCTGTTCAGCGTCATAGTAAATTGGATCCTGGCTCCATTCTTAATGGTGAGAGTACCAGCCACATTTTTGTAAACGAAGCTTATCATTACAGCTCGCCCTCTCCTGGGCATTCCTTCCAGACGAACAAGGACTTCGTGAGGGTCTCATTCTTGTTGGACTGGCGAGATGCATTGCCATGGTACAGCCCTCTTCCTCTTCATTCTGTCGGCTTTACTGACCTTGATGCAGGTACTCATCTGGACCGGGCTGGCTGGTGGCGACAACCAGTACTGCGCCATCCTGGTCGCGATCAACTCCCTACTCCAGATGGTCCTCTACGCTCCGCTGGCTGTCTTCTTCATCAACGTCATCAGCCACTCCAACTCCGAAATAACCGTCTCATACTCCACCGTGGCGACAAGCGTTGCCGTCTTCCTCGGTATTCCCCTCGGCGCCGCCATCGTCACTCGCTTCACTATCCGCCGCCTGATCGGCGCCGCGTGGTATGACGATGTCTTCCTCAAGTATGCAGGACCTTGGTCTCTCATCGGGCTGCTCTACACCATAATCGTGCTCTTCGCCTCTCAGGGGAGCCGCGTCGTGCATCAAATCGTGTCCGTCGTTCGGGTTGCCGCTCCGCTGGTGGTGTATTTCTTTGTCATCTTTGCCCTTACGCTATGGGTTACCCATAGGCTTGGTTTCGGCTACGGACTGTCCGCAACCCAAAGCTTCACTGCCGCTAGCAACAACTTTGAGCTAGCCATTGCTGTTGCGGTGGCAACATATGGTGCGGAGAGTGACCAAGCATTGGCATCGTAAGTTCATTGAAATGCTTGGTGTCTGTGACCATGCGAAACTAACTAGTTACCAGCACCGTCGGACCCCTTATTGAGGTGCCTGTCCTGCTCAGTCTGGTGTACATTGTAAGAGTGGTTGGGCGGCGCCGAGGATGGAAAGAGTGAAGGTGGCATGGCCGCTCTCGCCCAGTATTATCCTGAACTGGGTGACACGGGAACATTACGCCGCGCACATGCTGCCAGCCTCCCGGAAGGTACCCAGCTTAAAGACTCGATATGTCTCCTGATTCACTCAGAACGGGTTGACTAGGCACCATAGTATCGCAATTCACAAGCAGATGGTGGGATCTCAGCTATCAAAATTCTCTTCTTGATTAGGCTACATAAGTTCTTCACCCCCTAGTATGGGCAAGCCGAACCTTATTCCTCCCCTGCCACATTCTCTTGAGATGTAGTTTTTTCTGGCTTCTGCGAACCACTTCGAACGGTGGTTGGGCTCCCAAACGTTCCCGCTTCTGTCACAGAGGGGCTCCTGCTATCAGGATGTCCAGTACCCGCTATACGGCTTCGGCTCTCAGGTATCGATGTGGCATCCGGTTGCTCAATTCGGTTCATTTCTTCCTGTATCTCGTCGCCGAACTCCTGGTTCCCTCCACTGAAGGCATCCAGCTGCCTTTTCTTGATCTCATTTTCCAGTATACCCAACAGGAATTCGTCTTCTGTGCTGCTTTCATCTTGATCTTGCGTGCCACGCTTCCGAGCTTCACGGAGTGCTTCTTCGTAATGTTCCTTGACGCGCTCCATATTCTGTTCTTTCCGTTCCCATCCTGGCTCGAGATCGCTTGTCAGCTTTTTCGTTTTCTTGATCTCGTCGTCGACTTCTTTCTCCCATTTAGCAATGTTGGTTTGGAACCTCTCTGAAGTCCTGCCCCATGAGTCGAGAGCCTCCATTGTCGAGGCAAACTCGGCATCCCAGAAGTCACCAATCGAGGGCTCGGGAGAAGTCTTCTTCTTGTCTGTCCTGTCATCGACGGCAGCAGTATGTTTTTCTTTCATCATCTCTGCATCATCATTCCCATAAGCGCTCGCGTATTGTTTTGATGTCATGGGCGTGGCCAGTAATGGGGGCTTTCCTGTTGACACGCTGCCTTTTAGTGAAGGTTCAGAAAACATTGGTTCGTTTTCAAGCGTCGTGGAGGAATTTTTGTCTTGAGGCAAGGCCATTAGCGCATCCGGCAATTCAAACGGTGACTTATTCTGAGGAACGCGGCGTGACAGGCGCACTGATGTTGGCAGCTGCCTTGAAAACCGCCGAGGAGGCGGTACAGCTGGTGAAACCAGGCGCGGAATCCGAGATGGTCTCGCGACGTGTGAATTTCCCCTTGCGGGCATCCTCGAGAGAGGAACATGTTGACCATGCTGCGTCGGTGGAGGCAGTGGTCTCACTTGCTGGCAGCTATCGCGGTTCTAAGATGAAGGATTTGCGGACGTAGGCGCGGCTTCTGAACCTGTTGGCGGCCTTAATTCCCGTAACGGCGCCCTATTCGAAGGGACTGGTCGCGGTAGTAATGAACGTTTCGCGTAAATTTCCCTTGAAGGCGCCTTCGTCGGAGGGTCTGTCGGTGTTAGCAGTGCACGCGGTGACGTCACTTCCCTTGTAGGCTCCCTCAATGGAGGGTCTTGTCGTTCTTCGACTTGCTGTTCTTGATGTTCTTTCCGCCGAGGCAGAGGAGGTTGAGGCATTTGAGCCGCGCTTTGCGCGTCTTTATCGCTTGGTGGAGCCATATTGACGTGCGGAGGATGGTTTGGTGAAGAGAACAAGTGAGCGCAAGCGGGAGGATATTGTCGCCGCCCGAACGCGACGCGACCGTTGCCGCGATTCCGTTTTGGGAAGGGGCCCATTCGCAAGCTGTGAATGCGAGCATCCGCGCTTCACCCAATTTGCCGCACTACTATGCGGCAGTCCTGAGATGAGATTTCGAGTGACGTGTACAGCACTCTCATGTTGACAGTAAATCTGAGCACAGCCCTGCTTCCGAGCGGGGGCCCACAAATGCAGCCGTACAAGCAGATTACATCTCATAATCTCTGTACGAGCAGCATCCGATAAGTCAATCTAGCAATCTTGTAGGAAAATGGCGGGAGCGAACGCTGCAGTGAGACCGTGAGATTTCATCTTAACAGACTCTCAGGACCGAGTTTCCTAGGGCGCCGGGCGGATGGTGTGATGTCAGGCTCGCCATGTTCCCCCGCGTACCTTACCTGCGGAGCTTCATTGAGACTGTCATCCACTGAACTCATCTCAGCTGGCTCCCTGGGACATTTCTGCGAAGATTGAAAGACATCGTTGAAGCTTCAGTCACCCATCCCACCCCACGAGCGGCGGCGATTCAGTTCATTTTCACGCATGAAACTGCGGCACAATTTCTGCTAATGTAACCTGAGTTGGCTTATCTAACCAAATTGATGCCATTTCCCGAACATGGTCTGCTCGAAGACCAAAGAGTACACTTTTTCTTCTTTTGTTTCCTCCACCATTTCCTTTGCCATCCCCCTCACCAGGTTTTCAACCGTTTTGTCTACCGTTTCCTTTTTTTTTTTTTTCAATTATTTCATCTGCCCATTTCTTTCATCCAGAAACAATATAGTACTTTTCAGATAGCAAGCCGTTCTACAAGAGTTGGATGTTATCAGAGACCTTTTACGAAGTCACACAAAGAAGGCGCTCCGATTCCCTTTCAATATTTAGCTTGTGTAAGGACAATGTTTTTTTTTCTTTTTCGTCATTGTCGTTCGGATTAGAGCCGGATGTCTTCCGTCAAGGCCGGGACCGGCTTTCTCAGTAGCAAACGTAGATCGAAGATGACGCGCGAGTTTGAACAATGTCCCTTATTGGGGCACCAGTGACCTCATGGCGAAGCTCTACCTAGGCTGGCCATGAAATGCCATCCTAGACTATCCATGTTACGGTCAGTTAAGGGACACGAAGAGGCTCCACTCAGTAGACTTACTCGGCCAAGGAAACATTACCCTCCACGGGCCCCGGGCGCATTGTTACGCGTACTCATGAAATCAACATGGCCGGTTAATTTTACCCCATCTTCCGGGCTGTCGGGGGAACGCTCTGGTTGGTCGTAGTTGATACTGCCTGTGGGAATGCTTCAATGGGTGTCTTCTGCAGCATGCATGGGCGGCTGTGTGGGCGACATGTGTGGTGGAGCACCTAGCGCCTGCGTCTCAACCCACCCAAGCAGCCTGTCATCGGAAGGACCAGGAGAGAAGACATGACTTTCCATGGTATTGTGATTCAGAGCCTCGTATGGTCGGGAGCTGGATCGCGAGCGATGACGCGAGCTGGAACGACGACGCGAGCGGGATCTGTGGTGACGCGAGCGGGAATTGTGACGACGAGAGCGGGACCGGTGACGAGATCGAGAGCGACTGCGGGCACGATTATGATGACGAGATCGAGAGCGATGCCGCCTGTGGTCCTCCCTTGACTCGTATCTCCCAGCGGAGCGGCGATCAGGCGTTGAGCGGCTCCTCTCACGGCGGCTTTCCATTTTGTTGACCTTGTCTTCGAGCCGTCTCGTATAGCGTGCCAACTCCCTTAGCTGGTCCTTCTTGTCATTGTACTTATCGAAGAGGTGTTGCGCGTCATCCTCCGCGGTAGCTCTAAGGCCAGCCTCGCGACGGAGGCGTTGCTGCTGCTGCTCATTGTGGGCTTTCTCTTCTTGTAGCTCAGCCTCGATGGAAGCTCTGAGGCCACATTCCCGACGGACGCTCTGCTGCAGCTGCTCAGTACGGGCTGTCTGTCTTTGTTGCTCAGCCTCTAGAAGCTCAATATAGGCGTTCCGCTTTTGTACATGATCCTCTAGGCGATTGATTTGGTCCTGCTGGCTCCGAATCAAGTTGTCTTTGGCCTGGAGTCTTTGCTTGTCCGAATTTGTCTCCCCAACGTTGGTGCCACCCATGTCCTGCCACCATTGCGGGTGGAAGCCGGTGTTCGGACAAGGCTGCCCCTGGTGAGTGTTGGGCCCGGTGATGCCTTTGCTATGGTTGCAGTGGAAACACTGACGGCCGCATTGTCTCCAGGCACCGTGACGGGGTTTCGCACAGACGAGGCAGAGGCCTTTCCAGAACCTGAAGATCTGTTAGCATGTACAGCTTTGAGACACCTGTTTCACGTACCGCTTTTGCTGATTTATGTCATAACTAGCGTATCGAGCTTGTGGTTCATTACCATCGAGGACGGCGCTTGGCTGTAGGCCAGCTTGTGAGGTTGGGAGGAATCGGTCCATGTTGAACTATATGGTTGTCATGCATCGTCAGCGTGAGGAACAAAGAGGCGCGACGGCCGACGAGGCGAGGCAAGTCTGGACATACCGAGCTGAAGCGGTCCAAGGGTGAGGAGGAAAGGTGCGTGAGTCGCGCGCCCGCGAGCGATATTTGGCGACGGCACCTGCTGCACCTGCACCTCACGTGCCGAAGTGCTGCCATCGGTCGCCGTCCACCCCGACGCCAAACTCACGCTGCACGAAGACCATGCTGTGCATCGCGCGCGCATTGCGGACTTTTCGGACGCCTTGCTCACCATGATGAGCCGCGCGTGGTTCAACCTAGCACTATGGCGCTTGCGCTAGACTGCCATACGCACCCAGCCACCAACATAACTCTTGCAACAGTGGGTGTGACAGGTTGAGCTCGATCTCAATGCAAATGCACGGTATAGTTGATTGAATGGCGTCACAATAGTTGCCGATACAGCATGAATTGGTCTATATAAGTACACGGCCTAATGCCAATCCCAACACTGGGCTTCCCAAACAAGGATGAGAGCATTTAGTTGCCTCCACCATTTGCACCACCATTTGCACCACCATTTGCACCACCATTTCCACCACCATTTCCACCACCATTTCCACCACCATTTCCACCACCATTTCCTCCGCTATCTGCTCCAATCAGAATGTCTGTAAGAGGGTCCCAATGTTCGGGCTTGCTGAAAGTAACACTGCTTTTTTTGGGCGGGTTTAGGCGTTCTTTGCGTCGTTTTTTGTTTGGGTTTTGTCTTTTTCCAGTTTTTTTTTTGGTGGGGTTTCCTTTTTTAGTTTTCGATAAAGGACTCTGGGTTCAAGATTTTTCCCATGTAAGCACTAGTGAAGTCAGAAAGTTTGCCCGGGTTGATTGTTGGATCCGGGATACGGCTTCCTATAAGGAAGTGAGTGGAGGTAACACGAAGAAGGACTCTGGTAGACGTTCTCAGTTAAGGAACATTACCAATGCCTCGAGTTGTAATTGTCCTTCTTCTTCTTCCCATGCACTCGACCTTCCGAATAGTCATCATCGGCACCCCCCATAAAGGTATCATCATCTTCGACCACGGGATGGGAAGGCTGCCTATGGCTTTGGCTTGACCTTTGATTCCGCATGAGCGGCTCATTGAAACGAGGCACTGACTGGCGATCACTACCAGAGTAATTGCGAAGCGTTGGAGGAGACTGTCGTCTTGCTGCCTCTTGGAGATAAGGCCTCTGTTCTCCGAACGCAGTTTGATTCCTAGCTCCACCGCGGAAGATGTGCGTTCTAGGGTCAGGCTGTGCAATGGTTGGTGCGTAGTACTCCCGGATGGGAGGAGAGTTGGGGCCATCCAGATATGCAGACCGTTTCATCGGTTCTTTGTCTGCGTCGGAGTCGTACGGAATCCTCTCGCGACTTGGGCTCTTGGATCGATTTTCGGATTTCCGGCTGGCCTTGTAATCGTGGTGACCTTCTCTCATCGCCCTCTTTTGAAACTCCTTGAACCTCAAAAACTGCTGATATTCAGCGTCGTTATCAGGCGACCTTGGCGGGGAGCGGGCTGGGTGTCGAGCGCGATGACGTGGGCTTTGTTGGCGACCCTTCCTTTCATCATGATCCCCCCTGGTGTGGCTGCGAGATCTCAAGCTGTCTTCTCTCTCACGATAGTTTCTCGAGGGATTGCTCATCGTAGGTTCCGTTGCTTTCACAGCTTGGAGTTCGCTCTTGAGCCATTTGATATGCTCCTGGCTGGATTGCATTTTCGACTCTTTCTTGACGTCCCCGAGCTTGTGAGCGATGTAGTACTGCGCAGAGTCTAAGTCGCCTTCAAGCTCGATGATTTTTTCTTTTCTTCGTCGAAGTGCTTCACCTTTTTGTAGAATTTGTTTATCCATTCCTTGAATTTTCTTGTCTTTTTGTTGAAGCAAGCGTTCCAGGCTTTGTACTCTTAACTTGTTCCAGTTTGTTTCGCCGATGGGGCCGCCACCAACGTCCTTCCACCAGCGGGAGTTGAAACCAGTGTTCGGGCAAGGCATGCCGACGTGAACATTAGGGCCACGGATGCCTAGATGTTCCCGACAATGGTAGCATTCACGCTCGCAGTGTTTCCAGTGGTTGTGAGGGGCTCTTCCGCAGATGAGGCAGCGGTTTTTCCAGATCCTTGAGATTTGTTAGTATGTGTAGCTTCGAAGCGCGGGGGATACGTACCGCTTCTGTTCTTCCTTGTCGTAGCTGTAAGGCACACTCTCAGTAGAGGTATTGCCGGGGGCATGTTGACTTTGAAGGGCCCTTTGATTTTGAGGAAGAAGAGGAGAAGGAGGAGAAGGAGGCCGAAGCCGAAACTGAGGCGGAGCAGGAGGAGCAGCTTGTGTCTTAATGGCTCCTTGGTCTTGAGCAGGAGGAGCAGGTTGTTTCTGAATGGCCACTTCGTTTTGAGAGGCGGGCTGTGTCTGAATGGCCCCTTCATTTCGTAAGGCGGTTCGTAGTTGATCTTGCAGCCATCTTCCGTTGTGAACTTCGGTGTTGGTAACTACATCACGAGGGACGTTCGGGTTGGTATTTGTGTGCAGCTGAGTGCGTGAATCGCCTTGTTGGTTCATGTTGAACTGCAGAGAGTGTCATAAATGGTCAGCACAAAGCACAAGACACGAGAGGCGACAAGACGAGCGAAATGCGGACATACCGAGCTGAAGCGGTTCAAAGGTGAAGAGGAAGAGTCTGAGAGTCGCGCGCGAGCAATATTTACCTAGTGGTGGGCAAGCCCTCCGCGCCGGCACCGCACGTGCCGAGGTGCTGCCGCCGGTCGCCCGCCCACCGCCCGCCGCAACGCGAACCTCAACTCCGGCGAGGGCGATGCTGTGCAGTGATAGCATTCTTGCCGGACTTTTCGAATGCCGTAATCGCCACGACGGGCCGCGCCTGCGTCAACCGAGCGCTACCACGGTCGCGCTAGACTATCATACGCACTCGGTCACCAACGAGATGATTCTCTTGCAACAGTGGACATGAGAAGTTGAGCACTATCTGTGTGCGAATTCACGGTATATCTGTCAGATCGAACGACGTCACAGTAGTTGCCAATAGCATGAATTGGCCTATTTAAATGTATGACAATGATGCTAGTTCCCAGATTTGGCCCGTTCAAAGACGGATAAAAGCATTTTCTGTCTCCTCCGTCGTTTTCTCCGCCGTATCTTCCTCCAATAATGCCTTGCAGATTTCCCCAATGACTGAACCTCCCAGAAGAGTTTGGTTTTGTCGGGAACTCTGTACGAGGATCGTGCAGATGCAAAGCTTCAGTATTTTTCCATTATCTGGCTTGCCCAAAAACATGATTGCCTTTTTTCTTTTCTCTTTTCATACTATTTTGATGGGTTTGTCTAGACGTAGCCCAAAGCTGCTGCGAGCGTGAAGAAATTTCCCCTCTCGAGCACCAGTGACGTTGCAATGAGTATGTTGACTGAACCAGAATTCCGTTTGATTTTCCGGCTAACGTGAAATTACCATTGCTGTGCGTGAACGCAATGTTCAATCCTTCTTGTGAGATTAGCGCTCGTAAACGTTGCTTTATCTTCCGATATGTCAGCGGGATTGCGCCTCGTCATCATCATCGGCATGGCCCATGGGAACATCTTCATCAGTGTTTTCCGTGGAGCTGAACTGCGGCTGTGTAGGCGTTATGTTCGGCCTAGCATTGAGGACTTGCCTTCGGTCCCGTCTAAACGGTGTGCCATTCGGAGAATTAGGCAATGTGGCATAGTCCTCCATAACGGCATACGAGCCCATCATCGGAAGAGAAGAGGGTCTTGCGGCTGGCTGTTGGGCTTGGGAGTCCTGTTGTGCGCTAGCACGGTAGCCGCGAGGGCCACCACTTACGGGGTTAGTCTGCAGGTGACTTGAAGATGCCCTTGTACGGCTAGAGTCATTGTCCAGTAGCGCAGAACGGTTGGACGTTGCACCCACGGACGACCTCCCAGGATTATGGCGCGAACGCGGACTTTTGGAGCGATCCCGATTGCCCATGGAGTCATGTCTCGCGTCGTGGCGGCGACCGTGTGTAGGAAAGCCCCTCTCACGGTAGCTTGTCTGTTCGTCTTCCCCAGCAACACGACCGAAAATAGTCCTGTTTTGTTGATTTTCCGTAAGTAGAATTGCCGGTAGTCGTCCAGAAAGTCTATTGGCATAGTGGGGTGAGATAGGCCGGGGTGGGTAATTGACTGTGGCGAATCTGGACGCCTGCATCCTCGTATGTGTGGCCGCAGTGGCCAATTGCTGCTGTGTACGGTCAGCGTTGACGGTAATCGTGCGATTTGTGCCCGAAGCGATGGCTTCTTCGTAAGTTGGTGGCGGCGTTCGAGCTTCTTTGTACGGCGGCGGTGGTGTTGGAGAACGGCGGCCCGCTGTAGTGGCATTCAAAGCTCAAGGTTGGGAAGCCCTGGCCCGAATTCTGTCTCGAGGAACGTCTGACTGAGCGAAATTACCCATCAGCCTGCCTTCATGAGCCCTGGGGGCCCGATATCTCCTCTCCAAATCGTCCAGGTCAGACTGTAGGCTTTGTAGGCGTTGCATGTCTTGCGTTAGCCGCACTTCTTCTTGGGCGACCGTAGATATCCCTATTGATATAAGGTACGGAGCGGACTGTAACCTGGACTCCAGGTGTCTCCGAGTACATTCAAGAGCTTCTCTGGTAATCCGGAGATGTTCGGCCTGGTCCTCTTGGATCTGTCTTTCCAGTTCCTCCAATTCTGCATTTCCACCCGTGTCTAGTACTATGAGTCAGCGGAAGCTCGACAAATTTCCCAGTTTGATACTCACAAAGAGGGTTCATGGTGGTCCGATGTTGTCCGGCATGGCGTGACGTGCGCGGGAAAGGTTGATTGTTTTGGAAACCCCGGTTGTTCTCCGGCTGGCGCGTGTCTTGACCAGAGTCAGAACGATGTAATGCAAATGAATGATGTAGGTTACCGTAGCTGCGACTTCCATTGTCCTCATTGTTGGAAGACTGGTTGTCTGAATTGACTTGATTGCACCCTATTTCACAAATCAGATTCTGCCAGCTCTGCGACCGTGAAGGTGACAATGAGATGAGACTTACGTTGGCGGTGATGGCCGAAGCCGGAGAAGGTAGACATTTTTGCGCTTTTGCTGTTAGTAGACTGTACGAGTTATGCGCGCGCGCTCGGTACTTACATCCTGGAAGGCAGAAATGTGCAGGGTGAAGAGGCAAGAACGAGCAAGGCGCGAGAAGTTGCAGATATTCGTGGTGGGCGCGCCCGGCAGCACTTCGGCACGTGACGGGGAGGTGCCGCGGGCTGCTGTGCCTATCCGCACGTAGTAATGCGCAACGTGAGCCAGGCCGGAAATGAGAGTCCAATCTCTTACAGTCTGTTCTTCAGTACTAGGGTATGCGATACTCAAACCTTGTCATTCACACTCAGTACTCGGCGTAGGTAGCTGAAATCAGTCTCCGCCAACGCATTACGCGTTCCTCTTGGTGGTTGGACCGCTCAGTATCATGGGCAAAATTCCCTATCACCACAACTACGGGAGCTGAAAGGTGGGAAACAGCGAAACGAGCAGCAGCTTGAACAATGTAAGGTCTCTTTTGTCGCTATCAATGCTACTTGCTCCTGAAGAATGAAAGGTTGCTCGATAATGAATGGTCGCGGGGATGTTGTCGTCGCTCAACGAACGAAGCAAAGCTTCATCAGGTATTAATGGCATAAGGGAGGTATCGAACGTCCATTATCGCTGTTCACGAGTCGTGTCAACTCTGCCAGAAGCGACGGCTTCTTCGTACTTTGGTGGTGGCGTTCGAACTTCCCGGTATGGTGGTGCTTGAGGATAGCGACCCATCGTGGTGGCTTGAGGTTGGCCTGGCTGACCAACATTGTCCACCCGCCCGTCTCCAAAAGCGCGGGAGGGCCAATATGTTCCAGTTTCCCTTTCGGTCAGGCTGAACCGTAGTCTTAGCAGGCTTCGCGTCTCTTCCGCCAGATCAGGCGTTAGTCTTTGCAGGTTTTGCAATGTTTCCCTCAGACTCAACTCGTGGCGGGCGGTGGTAGAAAACACCGATCCGATAACGTGCAGAGAGGACTGTCGAACGAACTCCAAGTGTCCCCGAGCACATTGGACATCGCGCCGGGCAAGTTGGACATCCCTGTGGGCAAATTCGGCATGTATCCTAGCCAGCTGGACTTCAAGGGCTCTGGTCTCTTGTTCCCCTCTGGCTCTGGGCTCTTGCTGCAGTCGCTGCAATTGTTCGTGTCTAGCTCTGAAGTCTTGCTGACATAGTTCTTGTCTGGCTCTGAGCTCTTGCTGCAGTTCCTGCAGTTGCGTTTTTCTGGGTCTGAACTCTTGGTCTGGTCGTGGTGGTTCATTATCCAGCGTGCCTCCTATTGCTATGCGTCAGCGGAAGCTCGAGGGGCTTTACCAGCTTGATGCTCACCAACATGCTGCAGACATCGATCTAGAAGCGCGGTTGACGAGGACGGGTCATATTGGCCGGAGGTGCGCCAGGGCAGTTGATTTTCTCGGTTCCGACCTTTTTCATCACATCAGCGGATGCTAGCTCCGCGACCGTGAAGGCGGCGATAAGACAAAGATGGAACACTTACGTTGACCGGAACGGTCGGAGCCGGTGTGGGAAGACATTTTGCGCTTTTCCTCAGCGACGCAGAGAAGGAGCGCCGAAGGTTCGACGACGTAGTGGAGCTGGGTATTACGGTGGAAGTGTATCGGTGCGGGTGTGCTTTGGATAATTCATGGAAGGCTCTTTTTGGCTGCAATGAACCCGACGTCATGTGGCTGTCCACAATTGAGGAAGGAACTACCTGGAGCCGCTTCTTCGCCGCCGTTCCTCATCACCGCCACTAATTTCGTCGCCGCTGTTCGCAGCTGTACTCGCAAACTGCAGAAGGGGATGCCCTCAAAGATTCGTAGCTGTTCTCACAGCCGTCGGTCCTCGCAGCTCTCTTTACGGCTGCATCTCAAGGCTATCTCTTCCGCGGGCGCAATCCTCTGGCACATCCTCCGACACGTCCTTAAGTTCCTTATCATAGCTTATCTATTGGCCGAAACGCTCAGCACTGCAACTTAAGGAAAGCGCCAAGCTTAAAGAAGGCGCAGGAGGACGTGCCGGAGGATCGCGCCCGCGGAGGAGATAGCCAGACTCTTTCCTCCAACGAAAACAGCGTGGCTGAGAGTAATAGACTATGGGCTAATGCGCCTCGCAAGCTCCGCGATATACGACACTTCGCTGACGTTCCTCGCGTGGATATTTCGTTCCCCGATCCACGCGTTGGATTTAAGGAAGGATCCACGCACCTTCGCTTTCCTCGCCAACATTAGTAGACGCTTCCGCAGCCCGCCATCGGACGCGAGCAAAACTGTATGCCTAGTCCACCGCAGAGCTGAACGGGCGCAGTGAAGGCACTCACAGTGAGGGAGAGGAGGAGAAGTCCGTGTGGAAAACAAAAGCCTGCGCGCTTTCCTCTTTGGGTAGTTTTGGCTTGGCAGAACAGCAAGGCAAGTAGCAAAAAGGCAAAATGGCAAAAACCTGGCGGCACACTCCCCGAAATCGAACCTTGAACCTGATGCGGCTCTCGGCAGCGGTGCGTAAGCATCCCAGGAAACCCTCACAAATCTGCTAAGTGTTTTTTTTCCTATTCGGTGCTTGAAAGACCTTGCTGTTTAGCTTATATGCTAACCGAAAACTCAGCTAGCGGTGGCAGTGTGGGTTGGGCCGCTATGCTTATCCGCATATAGAAATGTGCGACGCAAGCTGGGCCAGGAATGAGAGTAATGGGGATGATGTCGTCGCTGAACGAACGACGCTAAGCCTAATCAGGTAATAGCACAGGGGAGGTATCAAACGTCGTAACATGCCCGGGTAAGCCGCTGTCCTCAGGCAAATGGAGCATGTCTACCGAGCTACACGTGAGATTCTAGCTGCTGCGGCTTGGGAGAGCAACTTAACGTTGAGCATGACGACGGTTCCTAAAAATAATCGGAGTGTACGGGATGGCATTTGTTGTCTTCTGAGGCACTCTCCTGGTGTGTCAGCGTTTTGAGATGAGACAAGGGCTGAAACTAAAGTATTACGCAAGGTCGTGATCTATTCAAGAAGTTCGATCGACAAGTACGAACACATCCCCACAGAAAACCGCGCGTCGGCCGCCGAGTCAGAACAGAGCTTTCGGAATCTCGAGCTCGATTGCCTGCAGTCTCCGCTCTTCGATCACAGCGCAGGTGATACAGTTTTCGTCCGATAATGCTTAGGATCCGATGCTAGTATATGCGATCAGTTATCACTGTCAGGAACCGCGTCCCCGGCAACACGGTCTTCTCCGTGCCCAGCCTCTCGGCACTGTGACAAGAAATCTCTCCATCTCTTCGTTGGAAATCCCGAAATAGCGGCTGGCGGTAGCTCGCATGACGCGAGCTCCCCGTTCCGCACGCGCCTGGAAACCGTGACTGTGCCGCACAGAACGTGTTACCCGGCTCCCCATGCGCCCCGCCCCCGGTCCACTGATTCGCAGCCGTTCGTCATTGGCCCGCTAGCTAGCCTGCTATGGCCTTCCATCGACAATAGATCGACTGCTGTAACCGCGCGCGTTTCTCTGCCGTCTGGGGCGCTAGGGCCTCAAGCAGGTCCGCCTCTGGGGATCGCGAACGGGACGGTCGATCACACTGGCATTTGCCGATTGGCTCGCTACTGTAAAAGTATCCTGAACATTACCAGCGGGCGGCTGGCCCGTCCATCGAGGCGAGAGGGGAAGGTATGGATGCTGACGTGAAAGAAGGAAACAGACAGTGGAAGTGGCTGGATGCCAGGAACAAGTCAATTTGCATGAGAGTATCTGCTTTACAAAGGCTTTTCGCATTAAAATTTACAAGGAAGGGTATCGTCGTACTAAAAACTACACTCTGCACTATGTCGTAATGTCCGTATTCACCGTCCCAATTCTTGTGAAAGTCCGATTGTCATGCTGCCATTCCCACTCAACGATTTCCCCCTCTTCGATAGCATACACTCTCCCACCAGCAGATGCCGCTATACTCGAAATGTTGAAATCGGAGGGAAACGCCGATGCAGCGACGGTGTTGGCGGAGAGCGTCGATCTCGAAAAGTTGGAATCCCACACACTAACTCCCCCGGATGTCCCAGGTTCATTCACCATAACCTCGATATCTGTCATCGAGTCGTTGTTTCCAGTGTATCCTAGCGAAAAGCTGGCGATTTCGGCGTTCGTCGCGATTTCTCCCTCAAATGTGACTAGCGCGCTCGTCAGTTCAACATGCTCTCATCAACGGTAGTAGAAAGGTCTAGCTTACGGTTATAAGACCACGACTTCTCCCAGGCAGTGAGCTGATTCCAACGGAACCGCGTCAGGTTCCCCGTGTTGGCATACATCACCACCGTGCTGGTATCGTTCGTCCATATCGGCGACAAGGACATGCTGCTTCCCTGGACCAGCGTGTGGTTCTGATCCGCATTCACCGCCTGCGCGTACCAGCCGTAGTTCTGAATGTATGCCGCCCACCAGAGACTGTAGTTGTAGTTTTGATACGTCATTATCGAGGTCTGCGCGCAGAAGTTGTTGCACTGTTGGCCGTACGCCGCGAGCTTCGAGTCGTTGCCAGCGAAGAGGGTCCCGTTCATCGCGTTGTCGGTCTGCGTGCCCCACATGTCGGAGGGGTCTTTGGTTCCGCGCTCCCAGATTTTGTTTTCGTTGTCGAGGAAGAAGACGTGGAACTCTACTGTGGTCTGAATGAAAATACATCGTCAGTGATTGGTAGGACCGTGTGCAGGTGGTCAGTTGAGTCTTACATGGACCCCATCCCCCAAGGTGTACGCAGCCAGTGGGGTGCCGGGCTTAATCTCCGGCCCTGCAGCATTCCCGGGGTTGAGCGGTGACACAAGCCATTCTTGACTGCTGGAGTTCCATGCGGACTGATAAAGCGCATTCGACTTGGCTTGGAAGTACACGCGGTAGTGTGATACGCCGTCTCCCGAGGTGTAGTTGACTGCTGCGAGAGCCGCTGTTGGTAGGAAGGTCGTTGACGGACTGCTTTTCGACGATCGTGACCCGACGACTCCACCGACAACGGCGGCAATGATGACGATGATGATAATGATAGCGAGGATCACCCAAAACCACAATGCTCGTATGCCGCAGATGGTCTTCGCTGGCTTCTTCTCCTCTACTGCATATGGAGGCGAGCTATCTCGGTGGACCACTTCCGGTGCGTTCTCATTGTAGGGCTGTGGATAGTTGTTGTTGGCTTCGTAATGTTGGGGGAGAGAGCCTTTATGGCTGAACTCCGAGTAGCTGACTTCAGGATAGGTCTGGGAAGTTCGGTGCACGATTTTCTCGGAGTCGTCGCCGACACCTAGCAAGCCGAGTTTGGTATCGTTGTTGTGATTCGGCACTGCTTCCGGGAAGATATGGCCTCCTTCATTTTCTGCATAGGACTGTTGTTGGGTGGTATCTGTTGATGGAAATGTGTCGGTAGTGGAAGATGTATTCTCGCCACTGGACGGGCTGTCGCGCCGAGACCGAACATTAGCTGCGAGCGGGTTATCGCGCTTGGGTCGGACTTACGTCGTCATCGAGATCTTCTGTGGGTCTTCGGGAGGCACAGCAGGAGGGGAAGACATGATTGTGTCTCGTAGTGCGTTGCGCGTCCCGTTCCTAGAGAGATGACAGAGAAGAAAGGGCGGAAGGCAACGAGCCTCTGTAGCCGTCGATCCTGCTGGACCTGAAGGAATCAAGCCCTGGCTGTGTATTCATACGATACATGCAAGCGGTCCCTTTGCGGCTCAGCAAGCCCCTTCCCCCACACACCAGGCCACGGCGGCTATTGACTGACCTCCTTTGGACCCCATGTTACGAGTAATATCCAGGCTTTTTGCCGTCCGCAGCTACACCTACCTTGTTGGCGCGCAGCTCATCTCAGCACTACTACGAAGTAGGCAGATAATCGCCGTGCATTCTTCAGGATGTGGCCACAACGCTCGAGTCTCTTGCCCGTGCACCTTGTGAAAACGTTGCCCCTATCTTCTCGTTCAGTCTGATAGAAGTCGGCAACGACAAATTTGTCACCCAGGCTCAAAAATAGAATGAATGAGCTTGGGGCAGTCAGAGGCTCTTCATAACTTTTCGATGTGCCTGACACTTACGCCTAGCCGTACACCCTACAACGGTTTTTCGTTAAACAAGGAATCACCTTTCTCATTCTCACGGTGACTTGGCATCTCGACGCTCATATCTTTGTTGAAGTCACTCTTCCCAACAGACGTAGTCAAGGAGCAAATTGCCAGCAAAAGCCACATCATGTGCTGAAGAAAAAGAAAAAGAAACCAGGGCCGAAATGGGATGATTCGCGGAAGGCCCTGGGAGACCCAGAACTTTACAGACGCATGAATTCCAAGATTTGGCACATCCTCCGCCAGGGCAGGGCAATCAGTGGGTAATAAGGTTAGACGTTGCAAGGTTGTGGTACGGAAAATGGACGAAAAAGGTTCGGGACATGGCCCCCAAAGTAAGCCCGGAGGATTACCGGCCATTCATAAGCGACCTTTGTGTAGCAGATCTGCGGACGAAGGATACGGGTGCACGGCTAAATCATCAGGCAGCGGTGGAGCAAGTCGTCAATCTTGGACGGGTTGGGCTTAGCGAGATAACCCATGCCACTTGGCACCGATCCTCCGTAGTGAATACACAACCAAAAGCTTACTTCACAATCCGTTCCAGTGTGCGAAGGCTGATACAGTTGGAAGAGTGGCTTTTGCTCTCCTACCCGCCTACTTCTTCCATGTTCTCTGGTTCGCCGAGGTACTTGCAGTGGCGCCACGTAGGCTAGCGCGGCAATCACAGGGAAGGATCTGCAGGACCTGAATCATGAAGAAAAGGTGTGCCAAATAAATGAGCCGAGGGCATTCCTATTCGTCCGGTTGTCCGCAGTATGCAATACGGCGTGCGCTGCACATGTGGGTCCATCTTCCACGAGTCAAAGAAAGGCGGCGACCCACGTTGGATGCTTACTTCGAGTTCATGCTCCGGCCGCCCGCTCTCTTTTGGCTTTTGACAACAGCAGGTAAGCACAGCGACAGGTCGACGAGCACGCCTCTCACTGCTCGGCATCGCCGTCAAGCTATCTCCAAGTCCATCGCGGCTAATTGCGGTAGTCTTACCAACCAGAGGCAAACCGAAAGAGGCTTAAACAAAGGCTTGTTCTTTCGTGTTGGATGCCCACTGATCTGCGAAGCAAACGCACCGCGATCTCTCAGCTCTTTTGGCACAAGCCGCCACGCGCCCCTATGACGCCCGAATCGCAGACGTCATCCAACAAGCAACACACCCTCCGAGTTCCAGACCATCCGTCTGGGTCTTCGAGCCCGCTGCGCGACATCGAGGCGGGAGAGCCTCATCAGGGGGTGCTTCTAGACGACATGGAGGCGTGAGTCAGCAAAGCCTGCCTTGACTACCATTCCATTTCTCCTCCATTGCTGACATAACGCCCCGAGCGTGACTAGAAATCCGAGATATGCCAGGTCGGCCCGACCTCGTCGAGCAGGAGCACCACCGCCGTGGTGGGCTTCGATGTTCGAACACTACCTCGCTGCCTCGTTCATGATGGTCACGTCTTCCATGGTCAGCACCTTCTGGATCGACAATGCGCTCCCCTTCTGCTCGAAATTCTGGAGTGTCCTTGGCAATGCGGATGAGTGTTATTGGAGACCGAATGTGTTCATGATACTTGCCGCTTGCACTGGGTACTCTGTGTGCGCTTTTTGGTGGTACAACCAGCATAAGCGCTGGCCTTACCAGCTTCAGACGATCGCGCTCTCTCTTGTCGGCGGGATCGTGTTATCACTTGTCCTCAAAGCCGACCTGGAACACATCTTGAGGAACACCTTGACGTGGAGCATATTCACAGGGCTGATGGTTAGCGCTATAATGGACCGCCGGAAGGCTCCCCGGGGAGGAGCCATCCTCTAATACACTCAGTGTTGTTAAGGGAGTGATGCTGAAGGCGCTCATTTATTTGTCAGGCGCAGAACAGAACAGCAGTTCGCCTCAATGCTGAAAATCGATATTCGGATTGGTCCAATCGCCACCTTCGGTACGACAGGCAGTCTCGAGGCACCCATGGACTACATGTCTTATCGCTACAGTTGATGATGTCGACTCGCTACTCACCGGATACCAAGCCTCGCCGTCACCCGTTTCGAAATGCGCACTTCTAAGGATGCCACAGCTACAGACAAGCACTCTAGCGAAGAAGAAAACAATGATGACGTCCGCGTAGAGCCTCTATATGCCAGCGCGTTAGAGAACACGGGTGCACCGCCGTTAGATTCACCGCTGGGTCTATTTCCATGGCAGTTTGCGAAGCCGTCATACATAGCTGGAACAGGGGAGGCAGGAATGTATATGTTTCAATTTGTAGGTAGTACACTCTGGAAAGAACCAATCAAACCAACAAACAATTGAAACGGCTAGCTCCCTGTGGAATCTGAGTATCTCACGATATTATTTGTGGCTGTGGGGGCGCTTCCGGGACTGCCCGTGTCTCAAGTCTCAAGGGGGAAGACCCTTAAATGTTTGGTCTCCGTGTTATTGTAGACCTTTCGCAAATCTGTCCCCACCTCAGTTACTCCATGGAACAGATGAAAGGTATTCAACAACTTTTAGTGCCGAAAACATAACCAAGTTAATTCCGCTTCCTCAATAGCATGCACACATAATCTCTTAACGATTAGCACATTGATTATTCTCCAAGAGTCACCATGTCCGCTTCCACTACATGTCCAATCCGCGAAACCGTGCACAGCATTGTGGTAGTGAAAGGCACGATCCCTCAAACCTCAAGAATCGCTGTCGTTGATGGACCGATTACATTCGGTGACAGCGATCAATTTACACCAAAGTCGACAGCCTCAACAACAAGTGAAGAATCGGTCTCTACACCAGAGCAGACACTTGCAACAACAACCGAGACTATATCCTCCACAAGAAAGATGGCAGCATTCACAACATCCATTAACAACTCCGCAACAATCGCCAGCAGAGGGTCCACTGCCCAAAGAGACACTCCGAGCTCATCAAAGCTCTCCACTGCGCAAGCCTCGGAATCTGTGGCGCACAACGGGGGTATGCAAATCGATTTCAAAGTGGGTTGTTCTAGCCATTGCAATACCAATCGCCGTAGTAGTGATCGCAGTTCTTACCATCACTGTTTTTATACTAGTCCGGCGATCATCATCATCCAGGAAAAAGAAAAGTAATGAAAAGCAGATCCAGACAAAGGGCAGGAGCTCCGAAAATCACGAATTATTAGGGGATGGTCAGGTGGCCAGTTGAGCTACTGCAAAGATCTCCAGTAGAACTAGGGTGAATATTCAGAAAGGAAGAAAATGATAAGGGAGCGAGAGGGCTATATGAGGGTACGTGCATGTACATGAAGAGAAAAAGCAGGACCTATGACGCTTGGGGAAAGTAGAATATGTGAATATTTAGGTGAAGGAGGAGGATTAAGATCCGATAGAGTTCTCGGTGCCGCTGATGCGGCTGGACTGGACGCGAAGCTGAGAAGGTGAACGGGTCATGTATTGAGCTACCCGAAAGAAAGCGCTAAATACCCCCCTCGACGATCGTGCCTGCCAACACCGCCGTCGGGATGCTTATCCTGTGGGAGCGACGGTGCAGGCCTGAATATGTAGGGCGACACAGGAAAGCGGGGCAATGAACGGCCTTCCCCCATCGGTAATCTACCTGTCCAATTATGGTGTAAAGGGGGCTGGCTTGTGGTACATTCTAAAAACGCGACAGGTAGCACGAGGGTTGAAACACAGCCCCAAACAGCCTCCTAAGGAAGAGAAAGCTGCATCAAAGTGTTTCGTGTGGTGATACAGCAGCTAGCTTGATCCTAAAAATGCAATTTGCATGCCAAATACCCCATTCGACTTCACTAAGAAGGACAGTTGGTGCTACCAGAGCGAGTCGCCTGCTTCCTCCCCCTTTGGCTACCATGTTTATCACTCAGCCTAGTACCAAGTGGTGGAACCCGTATCCGCATTTACATGTGCAGGTGTTTCGTTTTACACTGCACCAAACTCCAGCAGTAGGACTTGCCCAGTTCTCTTTTGGAAACACAAGCAGCTCCAGGGATCCTTTCATTGCAAATTTATTTTGGGAGGCCCCGCCTGCCAAACGCATCGCCACCTACTGGTCGCAAGGTCGGGAGGCCTGGTCTCCCTATCACATTATTATACTCGCCAGCTGCAGAAAATCTCCCGCCATACCTAACATCCTCGGTAAATATATTCAACGGCCACACTTTTCGTTCTCGTCTATGCACCGAAAATTGATTGCTCCAAAGCGGATCACCACAAACGATGATGGCGTCTGACTCTGTCACGTTGGACCATGCCGACCAAGAAGAGAGCTTGACTCAATCTTCAAGACCTATAGGAGCTTCAAAAGCGTTAATCTACTTACCGAACTCGGAAGAGATCAATCGCCGTTTTCGAGAGCGGGATGGTAGTACGCATACTGTTTTTGCAAGGCCTACCGTTGAAGTCACCTTCAAACAGAACGCTATGCAGAGAGCTGGTACGGACATGAAATTTTCCAGTTTTCGAAGTTTCTTCTGCCTTTTATATCTAATACAACTTTTTAGTTCTGAGCACAACAATCGACGAGAACACCCATGCTGGTGAAGACTCCGGATCAAAAGTACTCCCATTACAAATACCAGTCCCTATATCCGCCGTTTCAGATGCTACTAGTAGCCCATCACAGTTGGTGCTCACATCAATTACTACTATATCTGCATCAGCCCCCGGTCAGACGCCATCCGTCCAGGTGATAGTGACGACTGTCTCGACAATACTGGCCGCAGCGCCGACGGCGACCCCAGCCCAAGACAGAAGCATTTCCACCAACACAAAGGTCGCTCTCGGAGTCGGAATACCGGTCGGTATAGTGCTTGTCATAATACTTGTCGTTGGTGGCTTCATTTTCGGTCGGCGAGCAGCCAAATCACAGAAGGCAGATATTAATACCGGGTGGCGTCGTCTGTGGAAGAGAACTGGAGAAAACAAGCAAGATTGTGAGACGCCTGAGAGGCTGTGTCTGTCGGCTTCCAGGGAAAAGCACGAACTATCGGGAGGTCGGCCGCCTCAAGAGCTCCCAACGGAGTACAACGTTCAGGAATTTCCGGAGGAGCGAACAGTGGTAGAATTGCCACAGAAGTCTTCAGATGAGATTGTGCAAAGATCTCCTGTGGAATTGGGGTGAAGGGCTTGGAATATCGGGGAAGAAAAGGATGTTGAGAAGTACTCTACTGGCAAATCGCTTATCATTCAGCTCTCGGGCGGACTCAACCGCAGGTGCTTCAATATAGAATCACACACGCACCGGACACGGCTTTTGCTACGAGATCATCAGTATGTACAAGCGGATACCCAAAGTCCTGGTTGGATTGGTGCAGTGTTCTAATTTAGTTGAGGACGAGCAGTCCGTGTTGAGTGTTGAGGATGAACGGCGGACATATGAAGCGGGCCTTCTCATACGCATCGAGTTCTGTTCTGGGGGGTGTTACAAATGGGTAAATTGATGGCTTCCAGGTTTATAATTACTATTTCTTTGCTAATATTTATATATTGAACCCACCATGCTCGGCAGCTTCCACAAAACGCCACAGACCTGCTTCCCTAGCAGCCTTCTTGACGATTGATACCTCCTCATCCTTCACCGGCCGGTTGATATCCTGATACCTCACGGTCTCACTTCTTTTCTCATCCGCCTTCACACCTCCAGGCTCCGTGACCTCATCATCAGCCTCTCCTTCCTTCTTCTGCTTTCCACCTCTCTTCTTCTTCCCGACATGTGCCCGGGGAAAATACTGCTCCATGACATGAACGAACAAGTCCTTCGACACATTCTCAGCCAACCACTTCATAATCTCCACGCCCTCATCCTCCTTCCCCGGCATGACCAGATGCCTCACCAGCACCCCCGACTTCGCAATGCCATCAGCCGTGAAGCACAAGTCGCCGACCTGCCGATGCATCAGCTTGACGCTCTCCATCGCGGCCTCGGTGTAGCCATCCGCCTTCAACAGCCGCCTACTCGTACTTCCCTTCCAGACCTTAAAATCCGGCAAATAGATATCGACCAGCCCATCCAACAACTCAATACTCTCCGGACTATCAAACGCACTCGTATTATACACAATCGGAATCCGCAACCCCATCTCCCTCGCCGCTAGAATCGCCAGCACGACCTGGGGCACGACATGCTCCGGCGTCACCAAATTCACATTATGGCACCGCCCCACCGTCTGCAGCTTGAGAAACCACTCCGCCAACTCTTCCGGCGTGAGGTCGAACCCGTTCCGCTGGTGCGCGATGTCGTGGTTCTGGCAGAAGACGCAGCGCAGGTTGCACCCGCTGAAGAAGACCGAGCCGCTCCCGTTGTGCCCCTGCAGGCACGGCTCCTCGCCAAAGTGCGGCGCGATCGTGTTGACTTTGACGGTGAGTGCGCCGATCAGGCAGACGCCGGTCGTTTCGTACCGGTTCACGCTGCACTTGCGTGGGCACAGGTTGCAGTTGCGTAGGTGCGCGTAGGCGGCGGCCCGCTTGCGCGCGGCGCGCCGCTCGTCGAGCAGCAGGTACCGCGGGATGTAGTCGTCGAGGAGGAAGGGCGGCGCGAGGTGCAGGGGGCGGCTTTGCTGTGGCGGCTGCTGTTGCCGCTGCTGGGTCGATGGCGGCGGGAGGCGTGGGCGGTGGAGATTGGAGAGATGCGGCGGCTGCGGGCGGCGCGGAGGTGGAGTCGCGTAGGTGCGGCGGGCATGGTTGTTGTTATGGACCGCATCGGCGGGTTTTAGCCGTACGAGCCGCCGCGTGCGGACGAAAGGTTGCACGGAGAACATGATGTGCGATTAGGCATGCTCGGTGGATGGGTTGCTGGTTCGTGGTTGAGACCGGCGCGCGAAAGACGTGGTGGGCAACGGTGCGGCAGGCGGGCGAACGGCCATGACGTCGCCAAACGCGGGCCGGCCATTCAAAACCCCGGACATTAGTCACCCGCTCCATCCCCCACACCTAACACCAACGCACATTCGACGACTTCGCTCAAGACTCATCGGACACAGAATTACCCGAGGCTGCTCCATGGTGAAAAACACCGTTCCGCGGATTCCGATCACATTTCCAATCGGTGCCCCCTTTCGCGGTATGAGCCGCAACACTTCGGCGCCTCCGCCGCCTGGATTCGGTGTGGTGAAGGAGATACCCGCTGAGGCGTCACGATAGTCTCGGAGGATTTTGCGCCACGATGGGCTGAGAAAGCCACGAGAAAAGTGTGGCGCCTCCAGGCTGTACTGCTCAGTACCGAAAGCACACCGCCACCGGGGTACGGGAAGCGCTGTTATGGAAGTCATGCGGACCGTTCCAGCTCGCAGACTGCCGAATTTCTGCTGCCAATTCACCGGAATCGAGAGCTAAGGGCCTAGAATCATGGCTGGGCCGATCCGCGGCTGAATTTAGCTTAAAATTAAAGCTGACGTCTTGCCCGAGTAGGCTTAGCGCTCTCGGACACGTAGCTAAGCATAGCCTGTGAATACAGCCACAACCGCCAATGTACCTGAGTTCTAGGCTCGCCTAGCAAAATCTGTACCAGACCTCACCGGCGCTTCCCACGCGCCGCCATTTCCTGTCACCGACGAGAGGACTACGGAGATGAATCTCTCCAGGATCTCCAGGTGACTATGAAAAACTATCTAGACCTTATCACTTTGCCAGAAAAGTATCGAATCAGTTCCATGCGACTACCTCGACTTGTAGTTTCAACGGCACTTTCCAGATAGGTTAGGTAAACAGCCCTCTGGCTAGTTAATTACCGAGTCCGAGCTCCACTGTCCACCGCATTGCTTGCAGCTATACGCTCCTCAGCCCATATCCTAGCCGAATTCGGTGCGGCTGGAGCCGCTTCCAGCACGTCCCCCCTCGTATAGGGTCAACCTTGCTCCGATCATGGCTGCTCAGCTGGCTCGGTTGGGTCTTCCGGCCCTCGCTTCTACTCCAGGCGAAGCTTGGCATTATGGTCCACGCGACTGACTTCGATCCTGTGGGATGTCTAGGGTCTTTGGTTGCTGGCAAACACTCTGGTGTTGTTTTCTATAAGAAGATGGTGATGGGCGCCACCTTTGCTTCTGCACTGGTCCTCAAGCACTCAGTGATTACTGCAACAGAGCCAGTCCTTCGGCGCTCATCTCATTTGCAATAATGCACTCCGCCGCCCTCCTCCCCCTTCTTGCGGGATTGGCTGTTGCCAAACCAATCGCAGCCACCACCGAGGCCCCGTCGAGCGCTACGCCTGACGCTCTGCCAATTGACTTCCTGGCCAACGTTGAGATTCCCACCTACTCGACCATCGAGGGTGTCTCTTCTCAGGATATCCCTTACGCCACCCCTACGGCCATTGCTGCCGTCAAGGCCGATCAGTCTGAGACGCCGCTGAGTGTCTTCCCGGCTGCTACCTCGGTCGCCATCAACGCCGCCGGCGAGGATGGTGATGCCGCCGCCCCGACTTCCACCGCCACGGCGGAGAAGCGTCACTTCGTCGACATCCAGAGGCGTGCTGCATGCGACAGCCAGGCTACCATCGAGAGCCACTACGACATCGATGTGAGCAGCGCCAGCGCTTTCCGGGCTGACACGACCATGGCCAATGTGGCTCAGGCCGCCTCGGTTCCCTCTGGCTATCAGAACAACTTTGTCAACCTGCAAGGTGCCAGCAGCGCCTACGCATACTTGGGCTACACGGTTGTCGACACTGGCTACGACGTCCAGTACTGCGCCAACCAATGTGACAGCAAGGAAGGCTGTCTTTCTTTCAACATCTACTTCGAGAGGGACCCAACTGTCGAGCCCGGCACTGGCTGTGAGAACCCTCCGGCCTTTGCCAATGTCAAGTGCTCGTTCTGGGGCAGTGCTCTGGATGACCGCACGGCGACCAATACTGGTCAATGGCGTGCTGGCTTCGAGGTGGCCATTGCCGGCTCGAACGCATACACGTCCAACAGAGTCGGCAAGACCATCTCGGGCTGGTCGGCTCCCCTCAACCTGGGTAACGCGGCGATGAACGCCCCTCTCTGGGATGCGTCCAACACGTGGACCTACATGGGCTACAAGCTCTTCCAGGACGGCCCCTTCGATGTGGCCCTCTGCTCGGCTGCCTGCGAGGCTCAGACGGCGTACAACGTCGCTCACCCTCCCTCCTCCGGCTACACTCCCCTCTGCGCCGGCTTCGGCACCTACCAGCTCACCGTCACCGACCGCAACACCGGCAGGTCTTCCGTCGTCGGCCAGATGTGTACCATGTACACGTCTGCCTGGGGCGCTGAATATGCCACCAACACGGTCGCATGGAACGACGCCATCATGACCAAGTACACGTACAGCCTGAGCTTCTTCTACTCCAAGCCCGAGCTCCAGCCCGTCACCGACTCCAACCTCGCCGCCCTGCAGTCCGACGGCGGCCGCTTCTGCACCTCGTACATCAGCTACTCGGCGCCGACGTCGACCACCACCTCGACCGTCAGCCCCGTCCGCACCATCACCTCGTTCTCCACCTCGACCGTGAGGACCACTTCCACCCGCACCGTGACCAGCGCCACCGGCGGCTTCCAGCGTCGCGATGATGGCGACTCCGCGACCGCCGACGACAACGCCATCATCGTCTCCTACATCACCGCGTCGTCCGACCTCGTCCCTCCCCCTCCCGCCGCCACCATCACCGCCTCCAACGCAACCATCGTCGTCGACCCCACCCCCACCACCCTCGCCAAGCGCGCGGGCAACGCCGTCGCCACCCCGGCCGGCGTCAGCGACTGGTCGCCGCTCAAGATCTCCGCCGCCTGCTCGCGCGTCGCGACGGGCACCATCACGACGACGGCCACCACCACCCTCGCCACCGCGCTGACCACCATCAACCCGACTACCACCACGACGACCACCATCTTCACCACCACCACCGTCTACACCTCCGCCCCCAGCTCCACCCAGCTCGCCGGCGCCAACAACCCGACCTACCAACAAGCCCTCCTCACCCTCCCCTTCTCCGTCTCCATCACCGGCATGAGCAACAACCAGATCAGCCTGGACCGCAACGGCTGGCTGTGCTTCCAGAACCCGTACGGCAGCGACGGCAGCTGGGACCTGCTGCGCCTGTACTACCAGGGCTTCTACGCGCCCTTCGACTTCCGCCTCGATCCCGCCGCCGGCCACTACATCAGCGCGCGCGTGGCGGGCGATGCGCCGAATCGGAAGATCGTCTTCGAGTACAACCTCGGGTCGAACGAGAACGCCAACGGCCTCTACCATTTCGACCTCACGGTGTATGAGAGCCAGGGCGGTGTGCTGGAGATGAGGTACTACACCATGTACAACAATGGTAGGAGTGGATGGGCGCCGCAGATTCCGGGGTACATTGCGCCGGTGGGGCAGCAGTTGAATGGTAAGACACCCCGACTTCCCTTGTTTCGTTTTTTTTTTTTTCAATGCTAACTCCTTTCCAGACTACAGCTCCCAGGGCAGATACGGCAGTGTCATGGCTTACCCGTCCAGCATCGCTGGCGGCACCATCATCACGTCCAACTGGAACACCCGCCAGACTACGACTGGCACTTTCTGATTGCAACGAGTCTAGTCTGGTTTGCGATGAGTTGGTTGGGGTGAATGGTGGAGTTGCTCGATGATGAAGGGGGGGGTTTCTAATGGCCATAATGTGTAAAAAGTCGAGTATATTTACTTTGTATAATGAATCAAGCCGTTACGATTTCGATGACAAAACCAGCCTGACCACTCTTTTCCTTTTGTTTATTGTGAATTCGATATTTTCGTATACCCAGGAGTTTCCTCAGTGCTGGAACTGGCACAGTGAGCTATGGGTGCCCAACCGAGATGTAGTAGAATTCGAGGCGGGGGTTGGTTTAGACTTACACTTATTTCACGCTTCCTCGAATACTCTCAGCATTCTTCTCCCCCTCGAAAAAGATGATCTTTCAGCAACAAAAACACACCATGATGCCCAATGTTCCGTTGCTCTCTTCGGTTCTTCACTCCAGCTCCACTGGTGATCTTTGCGGCAGTTCGACGACCTGTCTTCCCTCTAGCATCTCTTGGACATCACATCTCGTAGGAAGTTGGTGTGCCTCTCCATCTGAGGATAGCTCCTGCTTCTTTGAGGTCTGGTCGTGTCTTCGAGCTTTCCACAGGGCACGTATTGGGCAATCTTTTCCCGATTGTGATGTTCGTCGACCAAAGATGAAAGCGGCAGGAATAAGAAGAGCGATGAAGATCACGCCGGTTGGGATCCCAACGGCTAAAGCAACTCCAAAGTCCATGTGGCCGCTTTCGTTGTGAGTCGAAGGTGCCGAGTTTGTAGTTTCTGCAGGAATTGTTGCGGACTTGGTAACAAAGGATGTGAATATTGTTACTGGTGTGGAAGATGCAGCCTTAACTGAAGTCGATGTGTAGGCACTTATCCACGGAGGTGATCCGGTCATACTAAATAGCCAAGGGGGCCAATGAGATGGAAAGGGGGCCCGGAAGGTGTTTGAGGCTGAAACAGATTGATATGCCTCGAATGCGCTCGAAAATCTGGTGTGGATGTCGTCTTGAACTGGACGAGCGGACATAATCGCATTACCTTGCAAAATGAGAAAGACGTATTCTCATGTGTGGGTTTCGAAAATAGTGAATATTTTGTCTGTTTCTTTGCATGCTGGGGTGGCGTGTAGTGTGAAAACAAACCCTGTCACGGCTTGAAGTCAACCATCTTAAGCCACTCTTCTTCCAAGGCAGAAACGTAGGAAGCCTCCACAGCCACAGCCAGGATGGTTTGCGGAGCAGCCGAGTATCACCAGGAGAAAAATAGGTTCAGCTCCTTGCTGGCTGCGGTCGGCTCCTTACCGAGCGTACTACCGGCATGCCGATGGACGTACACATTTGCCTAATTCGCACAAGCTTTGAAAGACGCATTGGCACTAGCTTTCGTCTTAGCACGATTTCTAAAAGACAAATTCTACAAGGAGTTTCTTTTCCTCTTCTTTTTTGTAAAAAAAGAAGAGGAAAAGAAACTCTGTAAACTCCCAGTAAATTGTTTGAATCTCGAATTTGAGTGCCGCGGAATAGAACAGACTCGTCTGTGGTCTCCTTATTTGATTGGTGTATGCCCCAATTAGAATGTGGTACAAGGCTGATGCCGCTAGTAGCCGACCGATGTAGCACCAGAGGCCGCTCTTGGCAAGGCTGAGCTCGAAGCGGTGGTGCGGCTTACTGCAGTGTCACAGCATGGAACGCTTGGTTTGAGCTCCCTTTGATAAGAAGTCTCGGGCTAAAGCTACATCTAGGGCATGCGTTGCGCGCTAAAATTGGCATCATGCATCACGGTACAAGAACGCTCCCGCCGCTGCTACCAGTGGTACTACCATCAGCCGAAAGACGGTGTCCATCTTCTGCCTTATCTATCTACGTGCCCCGCCTTCCGCCCCCTCTCACGCTCCGTAGACTTCCAGGAGGAGTTGGCACGGGTAACTCCACCGGTTCCCTCCTCTCCTCCATCTCCTGAATATTTACGCTTGTCGGCAACTCGCGCAAGATATCCTCGCCCGGCAATTCGAAACGCTGCGGGCGCACATACCGCCCTTCCTGGTCATCCAACCGAACATGCCCTGCCCTTCTCTTCCAGAACACCCACCATCTCTTCGCAGGGTGCTCTGGCCAAGTAGAAGCATCCCGTTTTCCCATCCTTTTACCGATTATGATTCCGCTGAGCAAGAGGCCGGCGACGACGATGATACCGACAGGTATGGTAATGCCTAAAATCGTCTTTGTAGACGAATCAGTGCTTCGGGTTGATGTTGGTGCACTGCTGCTGGATGTGGTTGTTGCCGCTACACTAGTCAGCAGAGAACCGTTCGGCGAGGGGCCAGTTGGCGACGAACCGGTCAATGAGGTGAGAGTATTGATACTGGAAATATGCGTAATGGGAATGCTGGTTGATAAAACAGTTGGTCGTGCACTCGTTATTGATGAGACTGTGCTCCGCAAGGCATCGGAGAGATCATCGGTACTCAGACTCATCCACGAAGGAAGGCCTGTACTATCAAGAGTGAACGGGGCGCCCATCGTGATAACTATAATCGGAAAGGCAGATAGGGTCTCTCAGGTGTCTTTCTTTTTCGCATAGGAAGCTTAGTGAGGTTCGAATGTAAGGCTGGGGCAGTTTTTGTCCTTGTTGTGGCTTGAAGTTTGTCGGGTAGGCGTTTCTATGGGAGAAAATACTTCCGCATTGGGTTTTCAAACGAGGGATGAATGGTAGAAAATGTTTTCTTCGCTCTGTAGATTAAAGGAGCGTTGGAAAAATAATTCAAGCATCAAAAGAAGCGCGGGTTATACCTTAAGTGTCACCCTGCGAGGCTGAGCTGAATTCAACTCAAATGCAGGATTTGCTAAATAAATAAGCAAAAACTTGGCGTAGAGCAATGCCAAGGGCGCCACTACAGTAAGTGGGTGCATGAGAGGTTGCACAGAATCCTGCATTCTACATTCATTGGCGCGTTTGCAACGAATGGAGTCGCCTACCCCGCAGGAGAAGCAAGGTCAGAACACTTCCCGCGAACGCAAGCCCTGCGAAGAACCCGAACGGTACGTCGCATCGAAAACCCTCTGTCCGGGAACAATGGTCGCTGCCGTTCGGATATGAGTTCCTTTAGGTTTGCTAATCACGTCTCAGTGGAATGAATGTCCAAACCGTCTTGATCTCTCTATATTTCTGAGCCGTTTCAGCGACACAGACTGGTGGATGAAGGCTCTGAGAACTTCGCAGGGTTTTTTTCCTCCTCCAATATTTAAATTGGTAAGTAGCTCACGTATAATGCGCTCCCTGGCAGCTTGATGTGTTTGACGTTCCTTACCTCCTAAGAGTCCGGCTGAATATTCCGGTTCCTTGTTCCCAGACATACATCCAGATGCTCGTCGTTTCGCTGTCATCGCGCCGATTTTAGCGCCACTCAGTAGGATTCCAATGCTTATGCCGGTCTTTGTAGCCGGCTCGATTCCTCTATCTGACGGAGTTGTTGATCCTGATAAGCTGGTTGATGTGGTTCTCGTAGTTGATGGTGCATTGGCAGACATGATTTTGTTTGTATGAGTATTAAACATCTGCTACAAGCCAGAGGATATGCAGGTAAGCTCTGCAGCCGAAGGCTAGTGTGAAGTTGTTTTTCTGCAAGCCGTAAAAGTCTACCTACCACTTCACTGGGATTCGTAATCGGGGCGCTAGCTCACGGCTACAATTAATTTCTCTACAGAAATGGCCAGATACGGCCGGGCGTCTGCAAGCCACATAAACTATCAACAGCTGATCTCTGCGCCCACCAATGCAACAACCAGCGCTTGTAGTACGAGGCTGTGTGAAAATAAAACCATACGCCTTCTAAGCTATTAGTTCTGCTTACTGTATGCGGGGGAGAGGGGTTCGGCAATGGAAGATGGCGTGGCGGGGAAGAAGCTGAAAAACAAATTCAAGAGACTCCAGCCTCGCCCGCGCTTGCACTTGAACCACGAACCTTCAGGCTCGCATGCTAAGAGTATCTTTATTCCGCGCATTTGCCTTCATTTATTCAAAATATTACTCCCATTACCAGAGAAGCAACCGTCAAACAATCCGGCACCAGACATGGTGGTGTCACTAGTGGCGGGAGGGCCCAATCATCGACCCCAGCAGAAGCAGCTACCGCTACCACACCGGATCGAGGTCGTGTGAGTAACGACGGTTGACATAGATCCTGAGCTGGGGATATGTGAGTTTATGGAGGAATATCCTTAGCATGCCTCACGGCATATAGCTTCGAATCAATTAAGACGCGATAGTACGACAGTGCGATCAAGAAAGCCCCACCAACACAAGTGGTGACATGACGGATAGCAATTTTCACTTTGATAAGTGCATACAATATTTGCATTTGCGTGGCAGATATGAAAAAAAAAAAAGAGTTCAAGAAGGTTAAGGCAGCGCGAGGTCATTCTCTTAACGTATTACTGTGCTGTCGGCTACCTAGTCCAGTAATGGCAAGGCAGTTTCAGCCTCTGACGTTAATATAAGATTTGACAGGTCTATCCGACATAAGGTTAATGCTATTCGTCGGTTGCAGAATGCAAGGGATATAAGGATCCGACGGATATGGTTAGACGCGCATAGGTTACCTAATCTATGGTAATCCCATTCCTACAACACTATTATTATCCCTTGCATTAGGTATGAGGCTTCGTAAATTGAACTGCCGCGCATTTTAGGGGCGGTAATTGCCATCTAATCGTCGGCATCGAAGGGTTCGGAAAATGGAGGAGCTGAATGCCGACCTTAAAAGAAAACCGCTTAGAAGGCTCCATTCTTACTTGGGGCCTTCTCTGACACACACTCGGCCTCGCGGTCGAACAACATATTCAACTGCGAACGCAGCCCCATTGCCTCTAAACGTAATTCTCATTTCTGGACGAGCAGAAGCGAGAAAATGCAAGCGACGCCAGCGACACCGGAGATACCGATGCTGCCCGCGATAGTAAGGACCCTGTCGACAAGGACCCCCCGTAACGCAACGGTCTACACATCCGTAGCTACTCAAGTCGAGACATGCAGTAGCATATCAGCATCCACGCCTATAATCAGCATCATCACCGCAACTCCTAACTCCAGCCCGGACAACACCAGCAAAGCCGGCTCCATCGCAACCTTCGCCACGTCCGTCTTCACCACGAGATTCGATATCGGAGGGGGATCGGGTTCAACGTCTACTGCGCATGCCGGAAACACTGCCGGTAATGGAATGGATGGCGCGGTCAAGGTCGCGCTTGGTGTTGGTATTCCATTTGGCATTGCTGCCATTGGGCTTCTTGTCGCCGGTGCGTACTTTTGGGGAAAGAGAACAAGTCGAGCGCCGAAGACGACCGAAACAGCTGAAACACACGAACTGCTGCCGGATAGTATGCGACATGAGCTGCCTACCGGGTCTAACGTTACAGAGATGCCATCATTGAGTGGGTCTCGAGAAGTGGCGGTTCGGTCTCCCGTCGAGCTACCGGTTGATGGATACTACCGTTGATGCTGCGACTGGAATAAATGTTCGGTGTAAATCCCAGAACACAGAGATATGTATCAAAGCCGCAGGAACTGTATCACTATACTGATTACCTGTCATATGATCAGCGCCACATCGAGGCATGAAGATTCATTGTATAAATTAAGATAAAGTAGCAAATCAATAGCAAGTACACTTTGTTGTGTCGCAATGGTGTGAATCTGTCTGTCCTGCCTTTTAATCATTCATTTCCGTCCGGACGATAGCTTCAGCAACCCGCATATGTGCTTTTTTTTTTCTTTTGATAAGAAAAGAGTTGAGGCTGCCGATATCTCTGCCAATACAACCTCACCCAAGTCACAATCCCGGACGGAGGCAGCACACAGTCGCAACCAACTCCCGGATCCCAAGATCGTCCCCACACGCATCACAGCCCATGTTGGAAACCAAAAGTTCTTTTCATTTTTTATAGTCCGAAATGCTATCATACAAGATACGATGTTCTCCTTTTCAATATTTCCATATTCTTCTTTTTCTCCCTCAAGCCGCCCTTTTCCCTACTCAGAAACTCCAGCTACTACTTACGCAGCTACACAGATGATAACAAGGCAAGGCTTGATATGCAATTAACAGTAAGAAACCCCGCCCACCTCTCTCCGCTTTTTCTCTTTCTCTTCTTGAAATTACCATAAACAGTACATCCCACATGGGATATGTTTTCTTTTCGTTTTTGAAGGAAAAAGTAGAACAAACCGAGCGCTGGCCACACCACTGGTATATCTTCAACAACGCCTTCGTTCGTCTCTTTCGTCAACCGTTGACCAGTGATCGATCATCACGGTCTTTTCTCTCCCGATACCCACCATTACCACTGATATTCCTTCAAGGAAGAGCTGGGTAGCTTCACTTAATACTTGGCGCCGCTGGGCGTGGTGTTGCCGCCGGAGCTGGACATGCTGTAAGGGGCCTGTGGTGAAGGGGAAAGGGGGGTAAAATATCAGTAAATGGGCAAATCGGACAGTTACAAGAAGTATCAGGCAAAAGAATATCGACAAGAAAAGAAGGATGAAGGAACAAAACCAGCACCGCCGGCCTCGCAAAACGGCCTCACCACCGCAACCACCTCCTCCTCAACCCCCCAACCCCTCTGCACAACTCATCCCCCCACCCCTAAACAACAGAAACAGGAAAACTATGACTCACCAAAACCTTCTTCGCATTCACAATCCGCCACGCGAGGTTCCTCACACACCCATCCGCCTGCACGACCTCAGGCGCAAACTCAACGCCAAACATCTGATGCACAGCGAAAACGACCCTCTTCGCGAACTTGCCGTCACGCTCGACCAAGCCGCCAAAGCCTTCGTCTTCCGTTTCAGGCGCGATCTCCGGGTCGCGGTCGAAGCAGTTGCGCACGACGGGCAGCAGGGCCTGCTCGACGGCGAGGCGGAGCGAGCTCTCGACGATGTTGGAAGAGGAACCATCAGACGACAGGCTGGTGTTGGAGACCGACGCGCGGATCTCGACGTCGTCCTCGTCGAAGCGGCCGATGCGCAGCTCGAAGGGCGGGGAGATGGCCATGACGTTGTGCTTGCCGTCGTGGTGGTAGCGGAACTCGAAGACGCCGGTCGTCCACCACAGCTTGTCGCCGGAAAACTCCATCTCGCCCTCGTAGTAGTCCTTCGTCTCGCCGTCGTGGCGCTGCGCGCCGGGGACGAGGCGGTCGGACACGAGGATGCCGGCGTCGGCGCGGACGCTGTCGTAGGAGCCAGGGTTGGTGGCGATCCAGCGCCCTTGGGAGGCGATGCGCGTGACGTCGCGCGACAGGTTGTCCGAGACCATGTACAGGCCGACCCAGTCCTTCTTGGAGTGGGTGATGGGCGCAGTCCAGCGCACCTTGATGGGCGCGCCGTACTCGAACGAGAGCGTCTTGAACTCGCTGTACTTGCGCGCGGGTCCGCGGGCGTCTTCTCCCTCGCGGCCGGTGCGGCGCTCACGCTCGGCGAGGAGGGAGGAGGGTTCGCCCGAGACTTCAAGGCTGTAGTCCTTCGGGTCGACGCCGGCGAGGTCGGGGGTCACGCGGGTGATGCTGATGCGCGCCGGGTAGTTCTTGAATAGGTTGGTGGCGTCCTTGACGATGGTTTCGACGCCGGCGGCGAGCTTGGGACGGGCGGCGTCGATGAAGTCTTCTACGAACTCGACCGTGTCGCCGAGAACGCGGTCCATGTTGCCGTGCCATTGCTGGAATGGAGCCGGGAGGGAACGCTTCAGCGTCTTGGAGATGCCCGAGTCTTGACGGATGCTCTGGCCGTACAGTTTTTGCATGTGAGGACGCTCAACGAGTTGAATATGCATAAGAGTGAGGATGTGGCTGAGGAGAGCAACGAAGAAGATGGCTTTGCTCCAGGTGATGACGACGGCACCCCAGATACCTGCGAGACCCAGGAAACGTTCGGGCTGGTTAAGGAAGCGGTAAATGCCGCTGTAGTTCAGCTTGGGCGCGTGGTCGAAGAAGAAGTCACCAAAGAACCATCCGAACTCTCCCAGGCTCTCGTAGATACTAGCGGCAGTCCAGATCTGCAGAGCAACAAGGGCAGCACCCAAGACATGTCTAAGAAGAGCCAAGCCGTACTCCCAGTCCGGAGGCAGCGAGTACATCTTCCATGCAGCAGCAATGAAACTGGCGTAGCACATGGTACAGCTGATATGGTACAGACCCTTCCATTGGCGCCAAGCCTCCTCGGTGCTCTCTCCGTACTTGATGAAGTGGCGCGTCCAGCGTTTCTTGTTGGACTGCTCGTTCAGGATGATACCGATACCAGCCGAGAACCACAATCTCCAGGCCACAGCGTGAGCGACGAACAAAGCCTGGTAGAAGGGAGTTCGTGGCGAAAGCACCGTGACGCTGAATATGTAAAGCTGGAAAAGAATTACGGAGACGTCAGTGACGCGGTGCAAATCGTGGGTCTGCCAGCCCATGAGGTTGTGCACGGGCGAAGGCTGAGTGGACGAAGCCAACGGCGGGGCACCATTCACATGACCAGCATCGACGTTGGGACGAACATCACTTTCGCTGGTGAGAGTGCGCTTTTTCGGGGGAGGCGGGTTGTACGTCTTCTCGATGTGGGGGTTTTCGACAAGGGTGAGGAAGGCAAATTGAGCAGCGTGAGCGATGATGGAGATGAACAAGACTTTGTAGCTGGCGGCCATGAGCGAGATGCCATAGAAGCCCGCGTAGCCGACCGAATACATGGGGTGGGGAGCCATCTCAAAGACGCCGTCGAAGGTAAGCTCCTGGTCGATGAGATAGAAGAAGTCACCCCAGTACCAGGCGTAGTCCTTGACGACGCGGTGGGCATCGAGCTTGACCCAAAGGTTGAAGAGCACGAGAGCCCAGCCAGCCACCCAGCGGCCGATGGTCATGGTGATGCCTTCGCCGTCGGGGCGGCCGCCACATGCAACAGCGAAGCAGCAGTATGAAACAAAATCGCACATCAAGATCAAGTCAACTACTCGGCGGAACACCAGCCAGGTATTGTACTCAATTGGAGCGGTCTCAAACTTGTAGTCGTCGGGGATCTTGGTCTCCATCTCACGCTTGAGCAGCGCATACAGCTGAGGATGGCGGTTCTTACCCGCCGAAGGGTCCTCGAATATTTGCGTCTTCCGTGCCCAGTTGATCAGTCTGAGATGTTCGGACTGCTCCTTCAGAAGCCAGCCAATGCCCACGTTGTAGCCCGCGCGCCAGAACAAGAAGACGACGGCAAAGAAGGGAATGCGCAGGGCGGACGGCAGCAGCCAGAGGGCCAGGAGGTGGGCGGCAAGGACGGCGAGGATGATCAGGTCGGAGAGGTTCTTTGGTTGCGTTGGGCTAAGGAGCTGCGAGACCATGTCCTCGGTGTGCGGCACAGTAAAGACTGGGGGACGTTAGCATCCGGGGCGCAACGAGGACCGGAGGGCATGGCTCGCCACGGGCTTCACTAACTGGTTCCATCGGGTGTCCTGCCAAATGTCTTCTTCTCTTTTGGTTCTTCGTTGAGCTCCCTCACCTTTGCGGCGGCGGCGGCGGTGTCATTTTCGAGCTCCGCAGCGGCGCCATTCGCGTCGAGCTGCGGACGACGCTCGCGCAAGGTGGAGGAGTCGGTTCCTGGAGTTTCGGAGCCTGGCATCGTGGTTACCGTGAGGTATCCAGGGTGAGGGGTTGGTTGGCGGAGAAGCGGAGGTGATGAAGCACAGCGCGGTGCGTGTCGCGAGCGATTTGAGCTGTGCGGCTGGGACTGACGTCAATGGGGAGATGCGGACGCGGTTGAGCGCGAGGGCGAAGAGGACAGCTTGGTGAAAGCTGGGAGAAGGGCTTGGAAGAGCGTGGAGACTCGGCAGCGGAGTGGAGCAGTTGTTGAGAGGATGCGCGCGTGGGGTGCACAACGGCAGTTGCCCTTTGGCGCATCCATGGCTGGGAGCTGCATGTGACAGCGCTCGGACCCTGTTGGCTGCGCCGCTGGGACGCCATCAACCGTTTGACGTCGCGGCGACAGGTACACCAGCCCACGCTCAGCTCATTCGCAACCGCTGCGACTCGCGACCTGTCCCTTCATTCGCTGCGCAAAGCTTTGTCACGATGCGGGGGGGTCAGATAGAGTTAGCCACTCGATTGACGACCCATGGTGTTGGACCCTGGCCCCTGTGCCGCCCCCGGTAACCTTCGAAGAATTAAACCCTGGTCCACCGGCCCTGTTCGCAGCTCTCACTCGCCGTCCTGGCGATTATGTGAAGCTATGTTGTTTACCTTTCATCAGTCCTCAGTCGACTCCACGACACTAACTCTAAGCGACAAGCGGAGGCCTGCGGAAGCCTGCATACACGCCCTTACTGTGCCTTTTAATCGCGCAATTTTTTAATTTTTGCTGTCATTGCTCGCAACACCACTCAGCATCAATCCTTGATCAAGCTACATAAGAATCGCTGCCCCTCATTCGTTGCGCGCTTGGGCCGCTTAATCTGCTGGACCGGCGCCGTACATCCATCTTCGATTGCATAGGGGAGAAATAGACACTATTGTACTACTATCCCGCAGCTTTACGTATTCGCACTGCGGGATCTTGAAGAGATGCTATCAAGCCGTAGCATCACCGGAGGTCCAGCCATCGAGTCATGGCCGAAGCGACATCTTCTCGTGGCGGCCACGACTTATTCAACTTCCTCGTTTGCACTCTTCCCCGCTCCGGAGCTAAAAGTGGCCTCACCACCGAGCGCCAGCGGCTAACGTCCCTCGTAGCCGGAAGCCTGCCAAGATTTTTTGCGGGTCCAGGTCGTGTTCCTCAGGCTTGTGCTACCAGGCTATTTATCCTTTCCCGTCGCCTTCTTGGAGAAAATCAGTTAAAGCCACGTCGTTTCCTGTCCGTCTTGTGAACACCTGCGGCCGCACCATTTCCTCCATTTCATTTTCCTTTATAGAGCAGGCAACAAGCATGAAAACCAGTCCTGTCTCTCAACGTAAATGCAGCTCACCCTGGGATTTGTCACGTTTTCACATGGCACAGTTTTGGTAGGGCGAGCCAATCAGAGGCCGTAGAATCCCGGAAAATGGCAGCATGGCCCGTCGTCCCGTCGCAGAGTCCCCTTGTAGAGTCATTCGTTGTTCGCGTCGACAACCTTTTCAGTAGCAAAAGACCCGCTTATTATTCACAAATTTCTCTATCGATGCTCTCAGTCGTCCAAGACTTGTTCTTTGTCCGTTTCACTCCCATGCTCTGCAGCCGGAAATGCCCAGCAAATCCCGGACCAACCGGCTTTCTTTGTCCACTCCCATCCTTTGCTTTTCCAACCCACAAATGTCTTAATCTAAGAGGCCGTGTTTCTCTGTCTTTCCCACGCCAGGAGAAACACTTGTCTCTGCTCCTCTACCTCGCAGCTGCATCGTGCTTGAAATGACCTCCCCGTTCAACGGGGCCTGTCCGGCTCCCTTCCTAGACGAACATCTATTCCCGAAAAGCGGAGGATGTGAGTACAAGTGCCTTAGCCGGGCCCATGCCAATGCTGATCATCGTTCCAGTCTTACCTGGTCGGGCATGCGCCCTGAACCCGCTCGAGGGTGACAACGCAACCACCAGATGCTGCGTCCCGTGTCCGCTTTTCGATTACGTCTACGACGATGGTACGATCCATGCGTTCTTTGCACAAAGAATGCACAGCTGACCGAGATGCAGACTTCAAGCGGATGACCGACGGTGCCGCCTGGGTCCACGTCGTCGGCTTCATCCTCTGCATCTTTCTGCTCATCTCCATGGCCATCCTCCCAACCAACGTCACGCGCCGGTCCTTCCTCAACATCATTCTCTTAGTGGGCATCCTGCTCCTGGAGCTCGGCTTCATCATCCCGCTGGCCCGGCAGCCGGAGCAATGCTACAACGAAATCACGCCGAACGACATGAACACCAGCACGACCTGTGCCTTCTCTGGCGTAAGGCCCCCCTTACCCCCTCCCCCCTTCTCTCCCTCCGCCTCCCTCCCTCCATCTCCCACCAACTAACCACCTTCCTCCCCAGGCCTTCGCCGCCTTCGGCGGCATGACGCTCGTAACCTGGATCCTCATCCGCGCCTTCTTCATGCACCTGCAAATCTGCTGGGACATCACGCCAACCAAATACCACATCCTCTTCGCGAATCTCAGCGCCTGGACAACCACCATCGTGCTCACATCCGCCGTCCTCGCCCACGCCGGGGTATCCTTCCGCTTCGGCGGGTATTGCCACGTCAACCACACGGGCTCGATCCCGACGTACTGGGCGTGGCTGCTCGCGTTCGGCGGCCTCGCCTTCGTGCTGCAGGTCGCGACGTTCGGGTACTGCGTCAAGGTCTACCTGCAAGCGGCGCTGCTGCGGTCGGCGTCGTCGATGTCGGGGGCGCAGTTGGATAGCGGTGGGAGTGCTGGGGACTTGAAGGGGAGGAAGAACAGCGCGACGTTCAGTGCGCAGAGCCGGTCGAGGGCGCGGGCGGCGAAGGCGGCGGCGAGGAGGGTAAGGGAGGTGTTGAAGTTGCAGTGGCGGTCGTTGGCGATTGTGGCGCTGGCGATTTTCACGACTGCGTTCGTCTGCGTCGTGTTTATTGTGCTGGACAATAAGCAGGAGAAGCTCGCGCTGACGGATACGGAGGCGTCGCTGCCGTGGATCACGTGCATGATCTTGACGAGGGATAATGAGCAGTGTTTGGATAAGACGGGGTCGGTGGTCATTTCGCAGCGGGTTGTGGTGGCGACGCTGTTTATACTGGCGTTTGTGGGGGTGGAGGCGTTTTGTTTGCTGTGCAGGGTGGATATGTTGAAGGCGTGGGGGGATTGGGGGAAGAAGATGTGGGGGAGGAGGCCTTGGAGGAAGAGGGATTATTTGATGGGCGGGCCCGAGCCGGAATTTGATCTTGTGGTGGCACGGAATCAGAGGCTGGGGTCAGCGGAAGGGAGGACAGCGTCGCCGGCTCCGAGGGCGGTGTCACCGGTTGAGAGGGGCGAGAGGCTGGAGGGGATAAGCGCCGACAAGTCTGAGAGGAAGGACTCGACGGGTACGGGTGAAGCGCCGCATGCACTGTAAGGTCTGATTTCGGACTGAGATAATGGCGATGGTCTTATGATGATGTACGAGGCGCTGGGTAGAAAAGCTGAGGCCATGCGGCTTGCTTTTATTCGCTCGCTCAAGAATAAGCGGCAACCTGAGATTATCGGACAGAGGTCAGAAGCTGTTATGTTGTGTAACGCCGGCCAGGCTGTATATGCAGCCCGCCGCCTCATCTTTTTCGCGCCCCGCCCCGAACTTCATTGCTCCACCCCGACTCTATTGTCCACATTCCGAGCCACACTACGCAACGGCTCCCGAGGCCGCACAGACGCCGCGTGCTCCTTGATCGCAGAGCGCGATGAGCGAGTTTTCACCTCCACCAGATCTTGTTTATTGTTCCTGACAAGCCCCGCTTCCTGACGGTTCGGCAATGATGTGGCATGATCAGGGTGGTGGTGGTGGTGTTGGGTTGACCTATACTGTACGAAGCATCGATTCACCTACTTCCGATCCACCAACACCCGAATCCTCAACACCTAGCTCATCAACACCCAATTCACCAACATTTCGCTCTTTCATCGCTGAAAGAAGCGACGAAGAGCCCGCACAGACGCAATGGCATACATGTCCCGGGGGTTGCGATGGATTTGGATGCCAATTCAAGACAGGCATGGAGCTTCCGCTGGACGAATGCGGGACTCTTGGCCACGGAAGATACGGCCTCGTGAAAAAGATGCTGTGCCAACCAGCAGGACTGATGATTGTGTCAAAGGAGATCACATGGACGCGAAGTCAAGGACAAAAGAGGCTGGATGAGATCCACCGAGAGATCCACACACATCGGCGTCTCCGCCACAAACACATCACGGCAGTTGTGGGCAGCTACACACGACAAGACTATGGGAAGAGCTTCATTGGTATTCTGATGCAGCCTCTCGCGAAGTGCGACCTCGGAAGTTATCTGGAACACGTTGCAGAGATGCAAGATTCCAATAATTCGGTTGACTCTCAAGTTTCTCTCTTGAAGGACTGCCTTGGCTGCCTTGCTGCGGGGCTCGCTTATTTGCATGCCGAGCAAGTCAAGCACAAGGACATCAAACCAGCGAACATATTGGTTTACAACGACACGGTTCTTCTCACCGATTTTGGTCTAGCTAGAGACTTCTCGGAGAGTGGCCGGAGTACCAGTACAGGTCCAACCGGCTTCACAAAGAAGGTAGGCAAAACCCGCCATTCGCGTTAAACCTCAACTAACAGCTACCTGCAGTACGCCGCTCCGGAGGTTCTTGACGACGAGCCCCGCCATACGTCTGCCGACATATTTTCGATGGGATGCGTCTTCGTTGAGGTTCTTACAGTTCTTGCGAAACGTTCGTTGTCGGAACTCACAGACCGCCTGTTTCCTGCGCGTAAGGAACTTTACAGCCACAACATACAAGGATCAATCGATTGGGTGTCAGAAATATCGGACAAGCTGAGCAATCAGAAACATTTCCTTCAAGCTGTACAGTCCATGCTCTCAGGAAAGGAAGCTCAAAGGCCGACAGCGCTGGATGTTTGGACGGTGGCCAGATTCTCACCTAGAACCGAGAGTGGCTATGGCCGAGGACTTTGTGGCGGTTGTTGCCACTGACTATTGGTCGCACCAATCGCGTCAGGATCTGAAGTCCAGTGGGGGTTTACATCATTCGTCGATCTAAAGATAGTAGATAGAACAAAATATGATATCACGGCCGCACCGAAGGGCACCTTCGAGAGATATAAAAGGGTGTACCATATTCCATATCCAATCAAAAGAGTGACATTCATTTCATTACATACACTAAAAATCCAAAAAGCTTTCGTGTGATATCAAAAGGGCTAAACATCAGCAAAGAAGATCGCTCATCCATCTAATCGATCATTCAGCAACAGAACTCCGCGCTTACGCTCATCATTGAATCGAACATGAGAAGACAAAAAAAATCGGTCGACAAAGGAGAGCGAGAAAAAAAAATCAGAAGAGAACATTACCAAGGACATCGCAAGAAAAAACAACCCACCCAACTTTTCGCTTTTGTTGCCATTCATTTTCTTTTGTTCATCACACCTGCACCCCGAGCCCCACGACAGCCGGGCCCGGTCCACCCATCAGCCCCGCATCCCCGCTCTCCTCCCCCACCGCCACCATCTTCCCCATCGCCTTACCACCCGCACCAGCACCACCATTCAAATTCTTCCTCCAACTCCTCCTCTTCTTAATCGGATTCGCCGCATTCTCGCGGAAGCGGTTAAGCAGCAGATCGACGGCCGCAGCCGAGTATCCCGCCGCAGCGGAGTAGCGCCGCTTGTTTTCCGCGGAGTCCGCCGCTGCATCGATCGCTGCAGCGACGTTGGCGGCAGCGGCAGGAGGAGGGGGGCTGTTGACGCTGTTGGTCGACGAGAACGACGACAGGCTGGAATCCAGCGCGGGGGGCGGCGGCGAGGCCATGAGGTCGTCGTCGGAGATCAGGATAGCCACGGGCCTGGGCACGGCAGGCTCAGCAGCCGCAGGCATGGCAGCAGGCGCAGGTGCAGGCGTGTCCGAAGGGGCCCGCAGCGCGAAGAAGCCGGCGCCGGGGACAAAAGTCGGGCTGGTGGGGTCGAGGCGAGCCTTGCCCTTGCCCTTGTTCGCCGCCTCGCTATCCACCACCATCACCGCCGACGGCGGCACCGCAGCAGGAGCAGCAGCAGCAGCAGCACCGCCATCCGGCGCCACATCCTCGTCCTGCTCCCGCAGCGGCTTCTCGAGCCACCCGCCGAAACCCATGTCGCGGGCGCCGCCATCCGAGTTCTGGACGAAGTCGGCCGTCGTCGTCGACACGTTCATCCTCGACGAGCCCGGACGGTTGTACGAAGACGTAGGACGACCGTAGCCCGATCCAGGACGGCCGTAGGCGGAGCCGGGACGGCCGTAGGAAGAGCCAGGGCGGCCGTAGGAGGAGCCGGGGCGACCGTAGGAGGAGCCGGGGCGGTAGGACGAACCGGGGCGGTAGTCGCCGCTCAGGCTGGCGCGGCTGCCCTTGCGGCCGCCCTGCTGGTCGGGGACTAGGTCGTCGATGTGGAAGATGCGGCTGCCGCGGGGGCTCTGCAGGGCTGACAGCTGGCGCACGTGGCGGCGACGGGGCGGGCGGCCGGGGGTTCCCGAGGCGGCGAGGACCTCTGCGATCTTGGGGGAGCCCATGTGGTCGTCGGGCGGCGGGCTGCGGCCGACCTTGAGGGCGGTGGCGAGGTCCCAGGATTCCGGGAAAGGGGAGAGGCAGGGGTCGTTGTTGGCGGCGGTTTCGATGGGCGAGGCGATGGGCTGCGGGTAGGGGCTTTCGTCCTCGTCGATGGTGTCGTTTTGGGAGAAGGAGCCGTCGGCGGAGAAGGAGAAGGAGCTGTACGGGTCGTTGTTGTACATGACCGAGGACGGGTCGACGCAGCCGTAAGCGTTGTTGTTGTTGATGGCCGCCGCATCTTCGCTGTTCTGCCAGTCGTATAGGTCCTCGGCTGTGGTTTCCGAATCGAGCAGGAGCGGGGAGGTGATGGCGGGGGTGTAGGCGAATTGCTGGGCGTAGATGGCCTGCAGCTGGGCGAGCTGGAGCTGGATGGCGTAGTGGGCCTGGGTTAGGGCCGTGTTGATCTGGAGCTGCGCTGCTGTTTGGGCCATTGGCATGAGTTGTGGGTTGAAGATCGGCATGGCATTTCCGTTTTGGGGAACCCCGCTGTCTCTCATCCAGGTATCTGCCCTAGGATTGTTGCCGCACTGCTTTCCGCCGCCGTTGACAGGAGGCATCATTCCCCCATTTGGCACGTTTCCTGCGAAATCACCGGGGCCAAATCCGCAACCAAGCTGAGCGTTCTTCTCGCCAAAATCACCTGTCCATCCGGGCATCCAGGGGGCAGCGCCAAAGTCAGTTTGAGCCATGGGTCCTGGCATACTCGAGTCCTGTAAAGCAAGCTCTTGGATATTGAGGATACGGTCTTGCACGGATCGCAGATTCTCAAGCAGGGCACGCTTTTCAGCCGAGCAGTTGCGCAGGGTACAGCGAGCGCGCCAGCGGCTGTGCTGAAGCTTTTTCTTGGAAGCACGGGAGAGAGGTAGTTGTTCTTGGCTAGTGTCTTGCAACTGATCGTCGGCTGCCCGGGTTGCTGGCGCCTTGGGGGATGCGTCGCACGGGTCCCTGGAAAGGGTCGAAGAGGAGGCGCGAGAGGGGCTACACGATGGCGGGGGACGAGCTCGGTCGGCGGAGGTACTGGTGGCGGAGGACTGGCGCTTGTGACCCGACAAGGCGTTTTCTATGGTGTTGAGTCGCGCGCGAGCACCGTCGATGATTATGTGGGTGCGCTGGAGGGCGGAGACGATGTATAAACGCTGCTGGTGCAGGACGGCCAGGTGCGGTGAAGGGGTTAATGCCGTCTGGAGAGCTGCTGACATCATGGACCCCGTGCGTTCACTTACTCCTGAAGCTAGTCCGACCATCTGAAACTCGACCGTCTGATGGACCGTTAGCACCGCTTAGGAGCCGCTGTGGACCCTATCGGCAGTTTCACCTTATTCTGGAAGTCTCCAGGCGCTCTAGACTCAGTATATCATGAGTAGAAGGTGGGGATAAGCCGCCGCTTGAAGGACGAGCTGCTACCATGCTGCGCCCCGGGCCGCTATCGTGACGTCCTTTGTGAGCTTGACGCGGCAGTGGCGCTTGCAAGCGTAAAAGCATAAAGCTTTGCATTTCGCATCTCGTTGTGTTGCAACGCACGTGGGGTTGGGGTATGGCGAAACTGCAAACAGTCTCAGATGGCTACGCGAGAAACGACAAAGCCGAAGCTTTTGTCCGTGTCCGGTGGCACAGACGGGAACCTGTCATGACTTGAGTAGTGGGACAAAGAAAAAAAGGCGGAACCGGATGTGGAAACTGCGCCAAGAGAATCCTGCAGACGACAAAACACAACGCGATTGTGAATGAAGCTGGTAGCCGAGGTCAAAACGAAACTTGCAGGTACAGTAGCACTTCATGTAAGTAGTCATCTCAAACCAATCGGTGTAGCTGAATGATTGGGCGCAGTTGAAGGTGCAGCGATTAAGCATGAAAGAAGCATTGACGCGGGGTTTCGGAAGCACGTGGCCTCGGGAGAGCAAAAAGTGTCAAAACAAAAGAAAAACAAACGTGCGGAAAAGAGCACACGGAATAGCAGCGATTGGTCTCAAATCATCATTGGCTGGGCCATGGGCCTAATGCTCTCGGATGTCAGTGACGCGTTCCGCGCATCGGTCGTAATGAGCTGCTCACCGCTGCTGCTGCAACATGCAGCTGGCCGATGACCAACGTAGTTGACGCTTGGGTTCGTGTGCTGGCTGGCACAAGTTCAAGTCGAGCTTCTTCAGACAAATCGATTCCCCGGCTTACTGTTACCTTGCAGTTGGCTCTTCGCAGAGGATCAAAGCAGCGTCAGAACACATTAGACAAACAGCGGTTCATCTCGATCATGCCACGGCGGAGACGGGGAATGGCGGCATCAAGACTTGAAGGAAGCGGTAAGAGCCGGGAGGCCTGAGATTGAGCTCTTTTACGATTATTCTGGAAGCAGGGGAAGTGGGAACGAGTCATTGGCAGAGCGGGGACAGAATTCGAAGGCTGACCGCTGGTCTGGGGTCTTGGAATTCGATGCCCCATGCCCCCGGTCGACCACGGTCTGGGTTGGGTAGCCCTACCGGCGAGAACGGGAGTGCAGCATGGCAGGCGGGAGAGTTGAGCGGGAGGATCTTTGCATGGGGGAAGAGGGGCCGAAATTTCGGGGAGAGAGGAAGAGAGTGCGGTGTGTGGTTGTGGTGGAGAGCGGGCGGAGAAGAAGAGAGGCCGAAGGCGGGTACCTGCAGCCAACCAACCAAAAACGCGCCTTCCACCTGTCGCCGGCCCAACCCCGGCAGAACCGCCAAACCAATCGCGTCGCCGCGCGCTTCCCCGCCTTGCATCCCCAACCCCTCCGTCTGTGATACGTCAACCACAACCTCAATCTATCCCGCCAGCCACTCGTTTGCCATTTCCCGCTTCCGCCTCTTGCGCGCATCTGGGATCTGCCCCAGCCCCTGGACTTCGCCACTCTATCGAAGACCAGGCCGATCTCATGGCCGCCATCAACCCCCGTTTCGATCCTCTCGGCCCTGGCGCCGAGGCATTCGACGGCCCGGATGGCGAGTCGGCCGGCATCAATTGGTCTGACCCTGCAAGCTTCTCCAGGTTCCTATCACCGAACCTGCCCGTACCGAAAGCGGTCTCGCCTGAAGAGGTCCGTGCAAAGGCCAGGAGCCACTCCGCCCAAATCTTCCAAGCGTGGAATTTCCTCAATGCAACAATCGAGAGGCACGAAGCCACCATCCAGAAGCGATGGTTCAAGAAGACCAAAGAGCAGCGCCGCAAAGTCCTGCTGTCGGCCTGGCCAAACATGCCTTCTACTCACCGCCCGGACTTGGAGGCTTTCTTCACGGGTGAATCTGACTACCAGCGCACCGCCGGCACAAAGTTCGCAGACTCCTACAGGTTCCCATACATCAACCAAGAGGATCTCCTGAAGCCCAGGAACTTGCTCCTCATGCTCAATTCCCGTGCTCGCAATCCACCCGATGCATTCGCCATGGCCGACTACGAGGCTGCGCATTTCGGATACACATCCAGAGCTTTAGTGGCACCTTTCCTTAATGAGTACACCATGATGTTCACCGCGAGAAGGACCCCGGAGACATATGGCGAGCTCCTTTCTTGGGATGATGAACCTGACTCGTTCGAGTGGATGACCTCTGGCAAAGGGGTGCATCCCGGCTACGGACTTGATATTCTTGAGGCTCAAGACCGTGTTCTGAACTTTCTGGTTGAATGCTGCAAGCTAATCCTGCACGACATTCAGCCTGAAGCCATGACCAGTGAACAATTCCCCGTTCAGCCACAACCGCCGTCCGTCTCCGAGAACGAGACGGGTTTTAGCTCACTGGCGGTGGTAGCCTCCGAAGCTCCTTATCGCGCCCCGGCAAATCTAGACCTGAAGCGGCTTGAGTCGCTGGTTGCGTCTAAGCTTTCGGCCGCCGAGGACCATGTGTGGGCGCTGCGCGAAGATCCTGGCTACTTTGCCGATTGCGTCACAGACTACAAAGAGCATCGACAGGAATTGATCCCTGATTCCAACGGCAAGCCTCACCCTATTTTCAGGCCCGGCCGGGAGAATACCTTCTGGAATCGCGTCATTGGCGAAATCATCGCCAACGCTTATCTCCAGCTGGAGCTCTGGCACGAGTTTCGCGATCAACTCGCGAACTTGCAGCGTTTGCAGGCCAAGTACGCTCAGGACATTTCCATCGAGAAGGATCTGCCCGACGAGTACCTCACTGCCATTCTCAAACTGCAGCACTACCTCAACCATGCGACCAAGGGGCCCATCGGACAGTTGAAGCAGGGCGTGGTTGCATCGCCCCCACTGCGCCGCTTCTGGGTTAGAGAGCCCCCGGATGACCCGCAGTCGACTAGGATCCGCGTCCGGGAAAAACCTGGCAGCGCGTCAGATCAGACCCGACAGCGCCTCGTGTGGCTGTTCAACGCTATTTGGGATGATGACCGCCGGTACCTTGCCGGGATCACCGTTTTAGTGGATGAGCTGGAGCGCCTGCTCCAGAATAACGCGGACGCAAGGGAACTCACTTCTCCGTACATTGTGGGTGTTGTCTCAGATCTTGCCGTAATGGTCGAGTGCATCCGCCACATCAACCTGTACCAACCGTGGGCGCAGACTTTCGAGTCCCATATGAGAGGAAAGGAGGGGGAGTTCACGAAGGATTGGGCTGAACGAACTAAAGGATGGGTTCAGTTCCTGGCAGTTGCTGACGGGACGTCCCTCGCCACCCTAGGGAACCCGTCGGACCAAAAGTTCTTTTATCCGGTCGACAAGCGGCGGACTCGGGAGAACGTCGAGGCCATGAGGCGGGCCGAGCAGAACCTGGACGCCTTCTGGAGCAAGAGCGACGAGCACATGCTAGCCAAGAAGCGGAGCCTGGACAACACTGCGGTGCGGCAGCTGCTGTCACAACCTCGGATCTTGCAGAGGACGGCGGAGTGGATTGAGCCGGCCAAAGCTCCCCAGACCCCAGCAGGGGATGTACAGTCCCTGTGCAAGCCTCTGTCCGAGCTCTACTTCGATCTAGAGCAGCGGACAGAGCGAACGATCGACCGTTCCGGCGCGTCCGCTCCCAAGACCAAGGAGAAGACCAAAGGCACAGCACAGACGACCGACAGATTAGGCACGCCACCAGCGGAGCCCCTTGAACGCCACCGACCCGACGAGCAGCCAGTGTTTACGGTTGACAAGAGGGCGCAGAAGGTCTTCTCCACTCTCTTCTTCACCCCTTCGGCTTCGGCACAGCCAGGCGAGGTGGCCTGGGCAGACTTCCTGCACGCCATGAACTCCACCGGCTTCGTACCTGAAAAGCTGTACGGGTCGGTGTGGCAGTTCAGCCCTACAAAGTTGGACGTTGAAAGAAGCATACAGTTTCACGAGCCTCATCCGTCAGGCAAGATCCCCTTTCGGACGGCCCGCAGGCACGGGCTACGGTTGAACAGAGCCTACGGCTGGCACGGCGGCATGTTCGTCCTTGCCTAGGACGTTGGACCAGACACGTGGGAAGGGAAGATCAAGGCGGGCAAAAGGGTAGGCAGAGCAGGCAGTGCACGCTTCACGGCTATACGGAAAAAGAAAACGCCATGGCGTCTCGTATGTGCTTTATCGATTTACGTGTGTTGGGGCAGCAGTACGCCCAAAGTGCCCGCAATTCATTGATGGGCGAGCTTTTGTGGATGATCTGGATCAACGCCCTTGGCTGAGTAGCGAAATGACACGGTCAATTGATTGGCACGCGGCCACCGATACCTGCGCCTATTAATATCCGGCGGGGCAGGCCTCGTTACATCACACAGATTTTGTCGGAACCGCGTCGGCCGCAGGGCTGAGTCTGGTGATGGGTGTCAACCTCGAACCGACCGCGCCTCCTGAAGGTGTTGAGAATCAAACCGGCATGTTCCGGGCGGCTTACGACCATCAAACACGACTGCGCGGCGCATGAAGGCTGCTACCGAGCATCAAACATCGTCGCTACCGATGGCGATGGTTTTGGCGGGAGGGTTTGCGCAAGTGTCTCAGCTCGCTGACCAACTGACGTGACAGCGATGATCGGAACTGTCGCTGCGCTGTGGGTTCGGGGATCGCCCATTGCGAATTTTCTCCAACACGAGGGCCACACTGCTCCACGAGTCGAGGACCAGGATTGTGGAGCAACACCCGAATGTCTTCCAAATCCCCCGTGGCTTGGACGCGTCGCCAGCCTCAGCTATGTTTCTTTTACGACGGCGTCGCAGCAGCGACAGGGAATATCCATTACGTACGGAAGTGACCGCTTCCCCGACGCGGCACCTAAGGTGGACGCTAGGACGCTGCACGACTCAGGCGACCACGGGCCGCGCAGTAGTGTCGAACGGGCCGCCGAGCGCGACTGGAGCTAGTTCGCTTCTAGACCCTGACAGCGCTCCTTACTCGAAGGTTCGGCGCCCCTGGTGTTTTGATACGGCGAAACAGCCCACGGCGGCGTGATTGCGGTGGCGATTCTCGCAGACTCGCGACGCCGGCGGTGCGGATCGCAAAGATCGGTGAGCAACAAGGCTGAGCGGCTATCACGAGCGCCCGTATACTGTGGGGGGCGGGTGAGCTGGCAGTCTGCTAGGCCCTTGACCGGCTCTCAACAGCCGCGATGGTGAAGAAATAGCTTCGCGGAGAGGCGAGCTTGATAGGCAGCCGGCGCGGCCGAGGTCGCAAAGCGGCGGTCAACAGCGCAAACGCGTCTGGTCCCTGCGACTGTTCTCCGCAACACGGGGCCCGTGCCATGCGCTCGCCTAACGCGCTACTTTTGGCGCGTCCGCTGAGCTTAACGTCCTCTCGGGCCGGCCCAGTCCGAACGTGGTAATGGCTACACACCGCTCTCAGCCCGCCCACGCCTTCAACGATCGTCTACCACCGCAGAAAAAAGGGGCCCTTCAGCTGGCCCCACTGCGCCATGTTCGACGCCCTTTGCCACGGCGACTGGCCAGCGCCTCCGCCCGACGCCATCTCCACACCAGCTGAGACCCCCTGCGCGGCCGATCCCCTCCTGGCAGCACGCGGCCATAGTGACCCTTAGTCGTATGTCTCATGCCAATATCTGTCCCCTCCCAAACTTCACTCCCCTGGAAGCGGTACATCCTCCCTTTTATTTGGCAATTTGCCTTAATGAGCTTCACATGACGTTTCAGGCTGACCTCAACAGATACATATAGACTACTTACCAACGGTCTTGAATCTGCAAGAACCCCCGACCCTGTACCCTCATTTCGTCCCGCCCGACCTGTACCCGTAATTTTCCCTATTCTGAAGCCACAAAGGCGGTGAGATCAGCAGTGATCAATGCACCCTAAAACGAAAGACACGAAGCTACCCAGCTTCCTCCAACGTGGCAAGAAGCACCGCGTACGCAAGGGTATTACCGAAGCACTGGGGGTTTTAGGTCTGGGAGGAGAAAGCGAGGAAGGTGGGTTCTCCGAGAAGTGGGCGCTTCTAGATTGCTTCCATCACGCCGCACCGCCACGCGCCGCCCGCTAACTTTTTACCAGTCGGCATAGCTCAAGGACTTGCTACCTCCTCATCCTTCGCCTTCCACCCCGCAGCTTCTCAAAAGCTACCCCCTCCCACCAGATCAAGCTCAACCTGGTCAGGAGCATCATCCTCCAACGACATGTCTATTCTCTCCAACCTCAAGAAGCCTCGCGACTCCGGCTCCGCAGCACCCTCCGCCGCGACCAGCAGATCCACCTCCCAGACCCTCCAGCCTACCTCTGCACCCCGTGCCTCGAGGTCCCTTCCCGTCCCTCGTCCTTCCAAGCCTGAAGCTGACAGGATGTCGATCAACTCTGCTGCCGGCACCGTCGTGTCGGAGACAACCACAATTGCCAATGATGAGTCGATGCTGAAGAAGGCAAAGAACTCGATCCGCAGGGCCGTCTCGCCCTCGCCGGCACCGAGGAACAGGGTGAGCGAGACTCAGTTCATCCAGAATGTTCACGAGGCCCAGCAGTCGTTGCGTGCCAAGCTCCAGGCCGAGCTCAAGGGCTCCAAGGAGGAGTCTCTTGCTGCTGGCATCACCATTGAGAGCTTCCTCAGCTACATTGGTGCCGAGCGTCTGAGGAGGATGCCTGCCAAGGGCAGCAGGTGGGATAAGATCCTGAAGTGGGCCGAGTACTTTGCTACCTCGCTGTCCCTCTTCGAAGAGGCGGTTGAGACCTTCGTTGCCTCCAGCCAGGAGGCCGTCGAGCTCATCTTCGCATGCCTCCAAATCCTTCTCCAGGTAAGTCGATGCCATTGACTAGCCATTGGCCTGCCATTGGCCTCCCACGACCTCTTACTGACATGCTACACAGCTTGGTCCTGGACAAGGTGAAGCTATGGAGAGGGCCTTCTCCATCTTCCACGAGTATGGCCTGGCTTTTGCCTTCTACCTGAAGCACTACAGCCTGCTCCGCACCATCCCCGAAGCTAGGTCGGAGCTGAGCCTTGCTCTCGGTGACATGCTTGCTCTTGCCATTGAGATCACCATCTTCTACCGCAAGAGCATCAGGTCCATGTCCACCACCGCCGTCACGGTCGACTTCAACATTACCTTCGGTCGCCTGATGGAGACCTTCATTCAGCACAAGGACAGCATTGCAAACATGTTCTGGACTTACCAGCTGAAGAACTCGCCTGAGATTGCCGGTATGTAGCCATTGGCCCGTGACACCAATCTTTACTAACGTGCCCAGACATCCACGTCTCGATCCAGGAGATCCGCCTGTGGCTGCTGCCCCAGGACCGCAACCTGCAGGCCCTGGTCTCGGGCCGCCGCGCTACCCGCAACCTGCGCGCCGAGTTCACCTGCGAGTGGTTCGACAGGCCCCTCATCGACTTCACCAGGAGCAAGGACAACGTTCTCACCATCACCGCCGAGACCGGTGCCGGTAAGAGCATTCTCGCGGGCTGGATCCTCGAGAGGCTGCAGAGGCCCATTGGCAAGAAGACGTACCAGGCCATCCACGCCACCGTGGACAGCCAGGTCCCTGCCCAGGCCACGCAGATCGCGCTCGTCAAGACGCTTCTGCACCAGCTCCTCGAGCAGAACGTTGGCAACGTCGCCCTTTACAGGTGCCTTTCCAACGTTGTCGAGCTCGACACCAACACCAACAGCACTCAGGATGCTGAGGACGCTCTGTGGTACACGCTCGAGACCGCTCTCAAGCCCCTCAACAACGTCGTTCTCGTCATTGACGGCCTCGACGCTCTCGAGGGCGACGAGTCGGAGAAGTTCGAGGCCTACGAGCAGCTCTGGAACATTGCGGCCAAGAACAAGAACGTTCGCGTTATTATTCTCAGCCGCCCCATGTCCAAGCCTTGGCCCAAGCCTACCCGCGCTTTGACCATGGGCCCTGAGCGCACCACCGGTGACGTCAAGCACATGGTCCGCGCCTACCTCTTGTCCCGCGGCATTGGCAACCGCTACGAGGTCGACGAGGTGGCCGAGCAGGTCGCTCAGCGCAGCAAGGGCTCGCTCACCTGGGCTGAGCTCGTGCTGCAGCTGTTCGGCTCTGCGAAGACCATCACTGAGGTTCAGACGACCGTCAAGGAGCTTCCCAGCACCACCAAGGAGATCCTCGACAAGCACGTCAGCACCATCTCCCTCAAGGGAGATGCGCGCCTCATCTTCGCCTGGCTGCTCGTTGCCGACAGGCCCCTCACCACCTCTGAGATCCAGTGCCTGCTGGAGCTCAACGTCCAGAAGGGCACTCACCAGCCGAGGTCGACCAACATCATCGACGACATCCAGAAGGCCTGCGGTTCTCTGGTCATCGTCCAGGACAAGACGGTCCGCTTCCGCAACGAGTCGGTCAGGCTCCACCTGCTCGAGCTCAGCAAGGAGAGCAAGTACCTCATGCCCCCGACCGAGGCCCACAAGGACTTTGCCACCAGGCTGCTGCTCTACAGCAAGGTCGTTGTCAGCCGCAACACCGAGCCCTCGATGGAGGACCTGAGCCCCCGCGAGGTCGACTCTCTGTTCCGCTCCAACGCTCTGCTCGAGTACGCCACCCGCAACTGGCTCACCCACTTCAAGAAGTCTCCCTTCATCGTTGAGGGTCAGCTGCAGGCCATCACCCCCGAGCTCAAGCTGGCTTTCCCCAGCTCGACTCTGCTGGCCCTGCTCGAGCGCAGCACCTGGGAGAAGCAGACTCTCCTCAGCAAGGCCAACGAGCAGCACCTCCTTGCTCTCCGCATCCGTCAGCAGGCTCTCGGCGACACCCAGCTCTGCACTCTCCAGAGCTCCATTAACGTCGCCCAGTCCTACAAGAAGCTCTCTGCGCCTGTTGAGGCCAGCAAGTTCTTCTTCCAGGCTGCCAAGCTCGGCCAGGCCGTTCTCGGCAAGGCCAACGACCTCGCCATCTCTTGCGCCACTGCCACCGTCGACGCGCTCGAGGGTGTCAAGGCCGATACCCGCAACGACGAGATCACCCGCAAGGAGGAGATGCTCAAGTACGTTGTTGAGACTGAGAAGCAGCGCTACGGCGCCAACAGCGCGTTGGCCACCAAGTACAACAACCAGCTCGCCCAGCTCTACACGGACATCAAGGAGAACGACAAGGCCGAGGCCGTCTACCGCGATGTGTACAAGCTCACCATCGCCCAGAACGGCGAGTTCTCCCAGGAGGCCTCGCAGGCCGCCGAGAAGCTCAAGACTGTTCTCTACAAGGAGGCCAAGCACGAGGATGTCGTCCAGTACACTCAGCCCATCTTCGAGTCTGCTGAGCGCAACCTCGACATCTTCGACATCCGCCGTGTCGAGATCACCCTCCGCATGGCCGACACCTGGGAGGAGAAGGAGGACCTCATCCACGCTGAGGAGCTCTACATCTCTCTCTGGCGCGGTCTGACCGAGTACTGCCGTGCCAACTCTGGCTCCAACGATGCCCACGAGCGCAAGATCCAGATCAGCATCGCTTACGCCAAGTTCCTGAAGCGTCACGGCCGTGAGGCTGAGGCCCAGAACATTCTCCACGGTGTCTGGCTCGACTACCAGCACCGCGAGAACAAGTCCGAGGCCGTCGTCAAGCAGCTCAACCAGGTTGGTGAGGAACTCAAGGCCATGGGCATCCTCGAGACTGCCATCGCCGTCTTCAAGTCCGTCTGGGGCTACTTCAAGGGCACCGGCCAGCAGAACTCCACCGCTGCCGTCTCCACCGCCGTCTCCCTCATGGGCGCCGTCCAGGAGAAGGCCGAGAAGAAGAAGGAGGAGGCCAAGAGGGAGGCTGCTGCCGCTGGTACCACCGAGGAGGATGCCGACCTCAGCGAGGACGAGGCCGATGACGAGGCTGACGCCATCCTCGACGAGGTTGTCGAGACCGCCATCGCTGCCGCTCCTGCTGCCAAGGAGGCCGGTGCCGGTGCCACCGGTGGCGCCAGCGGCGGCGCCAGGGGTGGTGTCAAGATCCAGACGCCCACCATTGAGCAGCAGATCCAGACGGCCGAGACCCTCTCGACCTTCTACATCAGCAAGGGCCGCTGGAACGAGGCTGCCGATGTCTGCACCAAGATTCTCAAGCAGCTCTGGGCCAACCTCGGCGTCGAGAACAAGTACGGCTTCCCCAAGCACTTCACCACTGTCTCGATCAAGTTCGCTCGTCGTCTTGCTGTCTGCTACACTGAGTGCAACCAGACCGAGCAGGCCGAGAAGGTCTACAACCACCTCTTCCTGTCTGCCCGCTCCAGCCTGCGCATCCAGGATGAGCTCGTTGCCGAGACTGCCAACGACCTGATCGAGTTCCACCTCCGCACCCAGCAGTACCAGAAGGCCCTGGTTGTCTACCAGCAGCTGCTCGAGAGCTACCGCACCACCCTCGGTGCGCGCAACCCGCTCACTCTCAAGACGCTGCACACCATGGGTGACCTGTGCTTGAAGTACCGCCTCAAGGGTGCTGACCAGTACTTCCTCGAGATCACCAAGGCTGAGAAGGGCCAGGACGGCGTCCTCACCAAGGACGGCTTCAAGGCCGCTCAAGCCCTGTCCAAGATCTACTACGAGCAGAAGCGCTGGGACGAGGCTCGCAACATCTACGCCACCGTCTGGGTTACCTACACCAAGAAGGCCAAGGAGTACGAAATGTCGCCCGAGCTGGTCCAGGCCATCTTCAAGCGCTACCACACCGTCCTTGAGACCCACCTCAAGGTCGACGTCAAGACGGTGCGCCAGCTCGCTCTCGAGTACCGTACCACCGCCACCGCGCACTACGGTCCCGAGTCGCAGATTGCCACGACTGCCAGCCTCCAGCTTGCCGAGGTCTCTCGCAAGATCCCTGAGCACCAGGAGGAGGCCGTCAAGATCTGCGAGGAGGTCGTCACCAAGGCTGCCGAGAACCCCGACAAGGCCAAGGCGACCCCCGCTCAGGCCATCCTCCTGGCTACCGCCAAGCGCCACCTTGCGGCTCTCTACGCCACCCAGAACGCCAACGGCCAGGTCTCTGCCGAGTCCAGCCAGAAGGCCGAGGGTCTCTGGAAGGAGCAGCTCGAGATCAACAAGAAGCAGCACGGTGTCGCCCACAAGTCGACGCTCGCCAGCTTGTCTTCTCTCGTTGGTGTCTGGGGCAAGTCGGAGAAGCCTGAGATCAAGAAGCAGGCCGAGACGCAGCTCCAGACCACTGTCGTTGAGGTGCTCACCGCCCCCACCGCCAGTGACTCGACCAAGCTGCACGAGTCTGGTGCTTCCCTGGCCAAGATCTACCTGTCGGCCAACATGTCGGCTCAGGCCTGGGCTCTTCTGAGGGATCTGCGCTTCCAGATCATCTCCAAGGAGGCTCGTGGCACTGCCAAGGTCAACGTCAAGCTCCCCGAGACCGTCGACCGCCGCAGCATGGTCTTCATCGCTGCCTTCGAGGAGACTCTCCGCCAGACCGAGACGGTCGATGCCACCAAGAAGGTCACCTTCTCGGACATCATGACCGACATGCTGACCGAGGGCATCCTGTACGACCGCTACCACCTTACTCTCCAGAGCAAGGAGGTCACGATCGAGAACAAGCTGTTCGACGGTGCCCGCCTGTACGCCTTCCTCAAGGGCAACAAGCAGAACACCGAGCAGTGCCTGGCCGTCGAGGAGACGCTCTTCAAGCTGTTCATCGAGAACTTCGGTGCCAACATCAAGGTGCAGAACGTCGTCACCCGCACGTTCTTCATCGCCCTCCTGGAGCAGCTCGGCCGCCTCCGCCACCACGAGGACCTCACCGTCGTCGGCTGCGAGGCCGGTGTCGCCAAGGTCTACTCGCTGCTCGAGGCCGACCAGTTCCGCCAGGCTTACGAGGTCGCCCTCTGCGTCTACCAGTTCATCCAGTCCAAGGACGGCTTCAAGCAGTCCAAGAACATCCCGCACAGCTTCAAGCTGTCGCTCTACCTGGCTGGTCTGGGCGTCAAGAAGAGCGCCGACGTCAAGCTGCAGGGCTCGATGATCGAGCTCTCCAAGGCGGTCCTCCGCGAGACCCTCACGGCCTGCCGCAGCCTGGACATCGACCTCGTCCAGCTCCAGGCCGCCGAGCTCAACAACCTGGTCCGCCTCATGGGCGAGCAGAAGAACTACGAGGATCTCGAGTGGCTCCTCACCCAGCTCTGGCACTCTCGTCTCGTCCAGCGCTCGTGGTCGGCGACCACCGTCATCTCGGTCGGCCGCCGCCTCGTCGAGGTGCTGTTCGTGCGTAACAAGCAGGACGCTTCCATCTCTCTGTGCGAGAGCATGACGTACAACTTGCGCCGCACCTGGGGCCTGCTCGACCAGGTCACCATCGATCTGTTCAACCTGCTCTCGACGCTCTACGTCGCCGCCGACCGCCACGCCGACGCCCTCGCCATCCACGAGGAGATCCTCCGCGCCGTCCTCCAGGACGACGAGTCCGAGGACGTCCTCGACGACGCCCACGCCGCCCAGATCGCCGCCGACCAGCTCGAGCTCATCAAGCGCGTCTACGCCCGCCAGGGCGGCTGGGGCGACGAGGACGACGATTTGTCTGCTCTCGTCCAGGACGTCGTCGACCAGTACGGCGATGCCTCTGAGGGCGGCCGCCTGCAGTCGTTCCTGCCCGTCGACAAGTGGAGCACCAAGGCGCCCCCCGCGCACGACACTTTCGGCACCTTCGTCCTGCCCCAGGGCTGGGAGTTCTCGGCTGATGGCGTCCTCGCCAACGGTGCCGTTACCCAGCGCAAGCCTGACTACCTCCTCCGCTGGCTCCAGGTCAACCGCCAGCAGAGCTTTGGTGATCTTGCCGCCGAGGCCAACAAGCAGGACGCCGCGGATTCCGTCGCCGTCGCGAAAGTTGGCGGTGGCGCCCACGGGAGTGGTCCGATTCCGATCGTTGTTAACGGCCACTAAACGCTTCGCGGTGTGTTTGGCGTTGATGAGGAGATGGGGATGTGGGGATGCTGCGAAGGTTGAGGAGTGGTGGTGGTTGAAGGAGATGAGGGTTGAGGAGGAGAGGTGGAAGAAGGTCGAGGTGAAGGTGAAGTGGAATTTCGACGGCGAGTGGTGGTTGCTGCTCGCGATGGAGTGGGTGCTGCTGCCGCTTTGCGCGGTGGTGGTTTGGCTGTATTATATCGAGGCTTGGACGGCGTTGGACGGGGACGGTGTTGTTGCTGTTGTTGTCTAATGTGTTAATTGCTGCGATGGATAGGGGCAGGCGGCGGGGAAATGGGTTGGTGGTGTGGGACATCATCAAGGGGCGGTGGAAAAACTGTGTTCAAAAAGTGTATTGCTTGTTTTGGTTGTTGTACTTGCTGTCTTTTTTGCTGTTTGTTTATTGTATTGCTTTTTGTACTGCTGTTGTCTTATTGCTGTACTTCTTGTCTTGCTTGTACGCTTGTACGCCTGTTTGCTCCTGCTGTATTATTGCTGTTTTGATTGGTGTATTGATAGCGTTTGTTGCTTGTTGCTTTGTCGCGCGCGTGTTTTTTCGCCAGTGATGTCGACTCACGCTCTCTTTACTACCTCCTTTTCCTTTTATCTCTATTCACTTTACAACGTTTCTTATGTCTTATGTTTATGTATCTTGTGACTGTAATTATTGTAGCTTCTCTCTGTACATTTGTGTACTCTTCTGTACATTCTGTACCGCGTTTGTAAGATCGCGTAGGAAGTCTAGAAAAAAAGAGTGTTTTGGCTAGAAATTAAGTTGTTCGCATTCCAAGTGATGGTCTTCCTGCTTCCGCTACGTGATCGTGTTGATGTGTTTAGTAAAGTGACGTTCTCCTTGAGCAGTCTCCGTTCCAAAAACGGAATGGAAAGAAGGACAGCAAGAAACGCCTATCCATTCCCATGCCCGCACTACCCAAAAGCCACGAGACAATCATCACTCCTATCGTCACCGAAACCTTCCATGCTGCTCATACGCCGGCAGCCCCGCCGGATACCGATAAAACTCCTCCACCTCGCCCACCGGCGACGGCAACTCCGTGATATTGAACTCAGTCGGCATCTCGGCGATATCATCCTGCTGCTGCCGTCGTTGCTGCTGCAGGTTCCACGGTGCTGCCGCTGAAGAAGACGTCATCGTGCTGTCCGGCGACGACGGCAGCTCGTGCCTGACGTGCCTGATCGTCATCCGCACACCGGCCTCGAGCTGTTTCTGTCCAGGTGCGGCGGCGGTGCTTTCGGGCGGGAGGATGCGGCTCTCGTCGTCCTCTGCTTCGTCCGGCGGCCGACCATGGGCGGCGTCATCGTGGTGTCCCAATGCCTCGCCGCTGTTGTTGTCCTCGGCGCCGCTGGCGAACTCGTTCTTTTCTTTTGAGTGCTGACGCGAGGCTGTTCGCTTGCCCCAGAGGTATGCGGCGAAGATGAGGAACGCGATCAGGATGATGCCGAGGGGGATGCTGACGCCGAGGGCGATTTTGGTGGTTTTGGCGGTGTGGTGGTTGGTCTCGCGACCGATTCCGTTTGAGGTCTCCGCGGACGGGTCTGGGGAGGTTCGAGCAGCTGTGCTTACGGGTGTGGAGGCGGCCGTGCTCAATGTCCGGCCGGGAGAGCCTGTGACCGACGCTTCTGACCATTCGGTAGCGGTCACTCCTGAGGGCAGCAGTGACGACGACAGTCTAGAAGTACTGGCCAGCTCTGATTCGAGCGACGCGAGGATAGAGCTCGCCTCGGGGCCGGACGCAGCTGATGCTACCACGGAACTTATTGATCGGGCCAGAGAGCTGGCGGATGCCGCTTCGGCGGAGCCCAGGGCCGTCTGGACGACGGAGATTACGGATGAGCCGAGAGAGTTTGCGTCGGAGACTATTGCGGAGATGTCTATCCGCTCTTCCAGTCGGGCTGGCGTCGACATGGTGGTTCCGTCTGCTCGTCAACGGTAGACGGCCGAGTCTTACAGGGTCTTGGAGATAAGTTTGGGATAGTTTGGTGGTGTGGTTTCAGGACCATGGATGGATGTCTGCACAGCTGCAGACGCCATTGTGCAAGGCTTGCGCTCTTTAACTCATAGACTCTGTTGCTCGGAATCAAGACTCCACGTCGAGAGGCAACAATGCTCAGCTCATTGATGTCAGGAGCTAGGCAAGGTACACATGCTAGTTTAGGGTGCCTTTCATTGCGGTTACTTCAGCTTCTGTCATTGGTTGGGGACGGTTAACGCGGGAGGTAGGGGACCGGAAATCAAGAAACGGAGGGTCGGACTCCCGACATGACCTGCGTCGGAGGGGCTTACAAGGTTTTTGATTTGTCCAAGAACAGGTTTGGAGCGTTGTTTAGGGAGCCGACTTCCCGCTCGCTTCCGAGTGAGGCAGTATCGTGTGCGTGGTTCCTTCATTCGGACAGTCGCCGCGGGACGACTACGTTCAATCCTATCTCAAGCCGCTCCGCTAATTGTGTGCTTGTCAATTGCTTTGTTGGAATGAGTCTCGTACTTTGCAGCCGCTTCGTTGTCTTTGGTTTATTTCTCTTATAACGTGTTGTGAGAAACGACTTGTTCACACATCCCTACCATCTGTACTCGACGAGGATTCCGTTTTCTGACGGCAAGACCAGACTTTATAGTGATTCAAACGTGTTTGAGAGATGTTGTTCTCTCTAATGGTTACAGGGCCAAAGAAGCTGACATTCAATTTTGCCTTCAGAAGCCCATCAGCAAGGGCAGCCGTCAGGGCGCGCGATCGACCCGCCCCTGCGGGGTATCCAGTTTTAACTCCACGATGCGGGATGGATCTACCTTTGTAGTGCCTTGTATGAGAAGGTATTGCTGCTGTCTTATTGGTGGGTGCTGTGGCGACCCGTCGAAGGATCCGGTGGCGTTAAGACGGCTCGCCGTCCGCGCTAGAGCTACGGAACCACCATGGCCCCGCAGCCGGCAGTTAGCGGGAGTAACTAAGACTTCAGGTCGCACGTAAGGTAAAACTTTACAACATTAATGCTAGTAAATACAGTCCCCTCTTGCAGCTGATGGCTACATCCATTACCAGCTACAACTCCCTATAGCCACTTACCTACTTGCGTTACATTGGAAACTTGGCTTTAGTCTTGGCCTCCGATCCATTTCATGCAACAACGCAGCTGGAGACCGAGCCGCTGTTTCTCAATGACCATGGGATGTGAACATCTCCGTAAGGCTGTAATTTTTGGGTGTCTTCTGCTACATACTCCCCAGTGGCAGCTCATGTGTGATTGTATTCTTGCGATCTAGGGATTCTTGTTATAGCACAGCTTTGTTACCAGTCACGAGAAGATCATGACTTATTCAAAGTTCAGAGCATTTCTATCACTTTTTCTCAATGTAGAACTCATTAATGTCGCACCAGTACCGTTGCAAATTCAAAACTAATACCCCAAAGATCTGTCCACCTCGTTGATGAGAGGCTCGCCCCTGCTCCTCCTTGCCAGGTTGTACGCCAGTATCTTGCAAATCCGCTCGTAGTAGTGATTGGAGTTTCCAGAACAGTGAGGCGTGAGAATAAGATTCTTGCACTTCCAAAGCTTATGATCAGCCGGCAAGGGCTCCGGCTCCGTGACGTCGATAGCAGCTCCTCTGATCAAACCCTGGTCCAGCGCATCTACAAGATCATCGGTATCAACGATAGACCCCCGGCCGACGTTGCTGACGTATGTGCGTTTCTTGCTCAACAGCTTGAACTGCTCACGTGCAATCATCCTCCGTGTCGTCTCGGTGCCGGGGAGGCTGATGACGAGCAAGTCTAGATCGGACGCGAGGAAGTCGTTGAGCTGATCGGGTCCAAAAAACCACTTTGACGGAAACTCGCCGTTGGGATCTCCGAGTCCGGGCTCAATGAAGGAGTCGTCCTTGCGAGACTCGGGTGTCGGGCGCTCGTGCAGGGTGTAGGCGTAGACGTCCATGCCGAATGCCTTAGCAACCCTCGCGCACTGGCGGCCAACGCAGCCGTAGCCCAGAATGCCTCTAGTAGTAAGTCAGCCGAATGGTTTTGTTTGGCAAAATAATAGTGGAATGTAGTGGGAAATGTGGCCCAGGAGTCACGAGATATCGGGGTTACATACACTCGCAATCCGACGGCATCTTCAGTGTCGTCGTCAGATACAGGGTCAACCCATTTGGCCATGCGCTGATTCTCAAGATACTCCGGAACTTGAGATAAGCTGTTAGAGACTTGGTTTCATCATGTTGTTGGGGTACTTACTGTGGTGTTGAAATGCCAAAAAGGTTGCAAAGACCCATTCGGCAATTTGTGGTCTAAAAACTTTATGAGCACAATTTATATAAAGGGGGAGGTGTGGTACCTTACGGGTGTAAACCATTTGACGTGCAAAAGGAAATGTCCGTATCTCTGAACAGTGGCAGGTCCAAAATCTGATTGCATCCAGCGCTGAGCAGCTGAACATACTTGATGTTCGGTGCCAGCTCTCTGGTTGGAAATGATTTCCAAGTGAAAAGAATGGTCACCTCCTGCCACGTCTCGGCAGGAATATCTGCAGGAATCTTGTTGGCGTACATGTCAACTTTGTAACTTTTGACACGGAGTCCAGGGCTAGTTTTGCGAAGGCTCTCAACCCAATTAGGGTCAGGAGTGAATGGCATAAGAATGAGAAGGAGATCTTGGCTGGTCATTTTGAGTGAAGTCGAAAAGAAAGATGGAAGATGGTGGGTATGAGCAATTGAACACAGACACCGAATAGCGACGAGTACCGGGATTTTTATCCCCAAAAATGTCAGTGAATGGTTTGAAATCCATTGAGATGCGTTCCATAGGGTATCTGACTCGGCTCTGCGTTGGCATTTTTGGTGTTCCCCACGACGTCTATTAATCACGATAACGCATCTTCCCCGCACAACATTTTTGACTCGGCTCAAAATAGCGGGGCAATCCAAACCTAACGCGAACTTTGACCACTACTTTCTGGCGCGGAGATAGATCCCCCGCACATGGTGTCATACTCTCAAACAAACCGTAGAACAGAGTTTGTTTGGCACCAGTTACCCTGATTCCGCTTTTTGAGAAAGAGTCGCCATTTTTGCCCCATTCATGTGAGCCAGAAATTGAAAAGATTTTCCCTTGAGGAAATTTCTATTAGCCCGCTATACAAGTTGCCTCATCTGGCGATAGCCACCGTGAACTCTTATCGGAGATAAGCTGACGGTAGAAGAATAAACCAATCGGAAGACATGAACACGATAATTCAACAAGAGGGGACTAAGAATATTTATGCTTCCGCATACTTTAGAGTTATCTCAGAGTATGCATCGAAATCTAAAACTGGGAGGCACGTGAGCTCATTTCATGTTGGGGGTTCAGATTGATGTGATGTTATCTCCGTGTATTCAGATAGGAACTATCGACCCCTGCTTAACTCGGCTCAAGTGGTGACTCAGCCGAGTGTGACTGTCAGAGTACGTTTTTGGATGTATCTCTTCTCGAACCCCGCACTTCAGCGCATACGGATGCATTATCAACGACTGATGGGTGTCAAGTGAGCTACTGGCCGGCTCATATCCCATCGATCCGAATGCTCCTTAAAACATAAATTGGCTCAAGAGCAGCCGTCTGTGCCTCAGCAAGTGCCATCCGATTCAGTTTCAACGCTATTCTAGTTCATCTGCAGTTCATTCCAATTCTAGATAGCTTTTACACGGTTTTCCCCCCCTTTGTGCTTTATACCACTACCACGGTGGTGTTGATTACTGAAGCAATGGCGAACCGTCAACGTACTCTTCACCCCAAGATTCTCACTATCAAAGACCTCAAAGAAGAGGCATCGAAGAAATTACCACCCATGTATAGAGGTATCCTCCCTTCTCTTCTATCCCCTACAGGGCTCTCTCAAAATCTAATCGTCTCAAACCTAACCACGCTTCTCCCCTACCAGACTACTTCAACGAAGGCGCCATGGACATGATAACGTATGTATCCCCCATCCTTCCCTCCTCCCCACTTACCCCACCCACGCACTCGTCTACCAACCCATCTACTAACTCCCCCACCCTAGCCTCCACGACAACGAAGCCGCCTTCACCCGCTACAAAATCCGCCCCCGCATCCTGACCGACGTCTCCGCCGTCGACGCTTCCACCACCATCTTCGGCCAGCGCGTCGCCTTCCCGTTCGGCTTCGCGCCCGCCGCCAGCCACAAGCTGGCCCACCCGGATGGCGAGGCGGCCACGGCGCGGGCGGCGGCGCGCGTGGGCGTGTGTATGGGGTTGAGCGCGTATGCGACGACGGGGTTGGAGGAGGTGGCGGCGGCAGCGGGGGAGGAGCTGGGGAAGGGGGTGCAGAAGGGGGAGCAAAAGGTGCAGGAGGGGTGGCAGGGGCCGCCGCTTGCGATGCAGTTGACGATGTTTAAGGATAGGGGGGTTTCGGCGAGGATTTTGAAGAGGGCGGAGGGTGAGTACGGGAGAGGGGGAAAGGGGATAGGGCTTGGGTAAGAGATTGCTGACTTGATCTGTGTGTACTGCAGATGCGGGATACAAGGCTGTGTTCTTGACTGTTGATTGCCCCGTCCTGGGTATGAGGCTCAACGAGTACCGCAACAACTTCGCGATGCCCGACGACATGACGTTTCCGAACCTGACGGAAAACCCTGATCAGCCGATCAGCCTCGCGGATGGCGATGCTAAGCTGTCGTACGGTGAGTGAGCTCGGCGGACTGTAGATTCATTTGTTACAATAACAACCTTTTGACGATTGCAATGCTTACGCAATGAGAAACAGACAGCGGTCTTTTGTGGGAAGACGTCATCCCGTGGTTACGCTCCAAGACAAAAATGGAGATCTGGGTCAAAGGCGGTATAGTTCCTCCCGCTCCTCTCCCTCTTGCGCCAATTTAACTTTTAATTTTATAGTCTATACCGCCGATGACGTTATTCTCGCAATCAGACACGGCGTTGACGGCGTGATCGTATCAAATCATGGCGGCCGTCAGCTGGACGGCGTGCCAGCGACACTGGACGCGCTGCGCGAGTGCGCCGCCGCTGGTGCGGGCCGCATCCAGATTGGCATCGACGGTGGCATCCGCCGGGGGACCGACATCTTCAAAGCGCTGGCTCTGGGTGCCACGCATTGCTTTGCGGGGAGAGTTCCGATTTGGGGGCTTGCGGTAAGTTGTGATCCTCTTTGGAGACTTCGTGTAATATTGTTGGATTATGGCATTGGATAAGTGCTGAAATGTTCGATTTGGCTAGCACGACGGACAAGAAGGAGTTGAACTCGCATTGAACATCCTGATGGCGGAGTTCAAAATGACAATGGGTCTGGCTGGGTGAGCGCCTCTTCTCCCTACAACATTATTCTTTTACTTGAGGACTGACTTGTTCCACTGCGGCTCAGGTGTAAGAGTGTGAAGGAAATTTCGCGGAGCCACCTCTCCATACTAGGCATAGATGGAGTTTTAAGCAAGCTATAGACCAATAGCAGTTCGGTTACAGAATGGTGCTTTGATAGCTGCCTGTCACTGCCGCCCAAATTACAAGTGAATCGCTTTCCCTGATAGGAGCACTTCGGGTGGCACTTGGTTCTCTATTCGGGAATAAATCTGCTTCAAATGGGGGACGACACACTGTAACTCATCTTTTAGTTTTCCTCGCCTACAACAAAAGGCGGTGTTGGGCCGTGGAAAAGACATGTAGGGTACTGCAGAATATTTAAGCGAACAATCCGTAAGATTTTGGGGGTAGAAGGGCATTTTTTCGATTTAAATCATTGCCACCATTTGATCAACTCTTATGCTTGGAGGCTATGATATCAGGCGATAATTCCAGCTTTTTCGCTATGAGTTTTCACCCAAAAAATGAGCGGATATGCCTCAGCCATGATTCCGGCCGCCACTAGATGCCTCCTTATCTATAAGGCACAGGGTCGCGATGAAGAGAGAGAACCACATCAACTACAGCCATTCCTTTCCCTCCTTTACTCCCACTAATACTTTCTTCTCTCTAAAGAGTGGCACTTGTCCTCATCGCTCCGGGATATTATAATCGGATGAACCATACGAGCCGAAACTTCGGAATAACGCAACGTTCGCTACTCTATGAATTCATTTGACAGACTATACATAGTTGTAATGCGGAAAAAGGCGACCTAAGAAGCGATCAAGTGCATGGAAGCTATCGCCCTCGCGAAACAATCTGACGTCCTTGTCCCGGATTGTGTGCTCGTTTACCTCGGTCGGAGGTGAAGCGTACCTCACACGAAGCACATCCTGTGATTTCCTTAGCCAAGATGGTGCAAGCATGCTCTTAACACAATCGAACATCCTGAGCCTCGAGACCCCGGTAGATCTCACGGTCTATCTTACAACGAAAGCAATCAGAGCCATGATCCTGCGGCAGGACTCCATGCAAGAAGAACTCTCCCACGACTTTGAAGTCACGTCCATTCTTTCTTAGTGCAAACAACTGCTCTGCACCATCTAACTGCCAGACCTGATCTCCTTCGTGTACTTCTCTCGCACCGAACCGCGGCTCTTTGTCAGTAATAAACAGCTCTGCTCCCGCTTCCAATGCTTTTCTTGCCTGGGATATCCAGTTTCGACTCTTGGGGCACCTGGAGGACCAGACTGGAAGACGCATGCTAATACCAGGTTCCGAACGACGCTGAACAATGGCCAAGCAGCGACCACGAACTAGGAGAGTCCTGGAAACTGCGGGACAGATTACAGGTGTCTGTTCATCACCAAGAAGTGTGTCCAGCTTAGCTCCGTTGAAAGAGTGCTTGACGTACTTTATCAGGGGTTCTCTGCATTTTGCTGACCAGTCAGGTACCCAGGAAGGCAGTGAAAGGCCATTACTCTCACCCGAGCAGTACGCTAGTACACTGAGCTTCCGAGAACTCCTGATTATGTACAAGGTTATCTCGGTGTACACCTCTTCTGTACTCTTGTTGTAGTCGGCGATAAGTCCGTGATCTTGCGCTGAATCAATAATGCCAAGCAAAGCGAATACTTTATCCCTCGGGTCCGTGGCTCGGCAAGCATTTGTGCCAATAAGAAGCTGAAAGACTTCAGTTGCTGGTACCGACTTTCGCGGCTCGATGCTGAGGGCCCCTGGGAGTGGATCGCAGATCTGCCCTTCAAGGGTACTCACTAATTGCGCGAATCTGAAACCATTTCGAATTGAGTCGAAGCTGCCACATGTATTTTCTCCTAGCATGACTGACTTTCGTGCTCTTGCCACTTCTTGCAAGACCCATATTCTGGTAAACCAGGGAAGGCGAAGCAGTAATCGACATCGCTCGCTTTCGAGTGCAGATGGTTTCTTGAGGTCATGATGTAGAGTAGGGAGCATAATGTTGTCGATGTGAGAGCTTCCCAAGTAGATTAGTACTTGAGATGCATTTCCGTAGATCTCCGCCATGAGCCCAACTTGATGACTTCTCTCCAAGACATCAGCTTGATGTATGCAAAGCTGATCCATCCAGACCAGCCTAGGCTTGGACCGCATCCTCACGCGTCGCAAGGCTGCTTCACCATTCTTAGTAACGGGAAGGTACCCTGTTTCGCACCAAACGTATGCTGAGTATTCCCGATCTCCGTTTTCGTCAGCCCAAGTGTAAGACAGAGCCTCGTATTCGGGTTGATCCTCAGACCCGAGTATAGCTTTGATAAACCGACCGAAGATCGGGATTGACGGAGGACCTGGATCTAGTACAAAAATGCGAATCTCTTTTTTGGCATCGCACACCGGCGAGTACACGTGCTGCATTTGGTTTCGTGGCGAAAAGTTGTCGAACTGCTTTGGGGAGGACGGATTCAGGGACTTTTCCCTTACTTTGTAATGCTATCTCTTTGAAAGGTCATTAGCATCACACTCCTCTTCTGGATCGACCTGATCTACATGATGTCGTTCGTGGTCGCTGACCTTGATGTCCTTCGTAGTAACGGCTGAGGAATCGCTCTCCGAACCAGATTCTCGTCCACATAGCAAACAATTCGCGGGAGCGATGCCATAACAGCCATTTTGGAACGTGATTACGGGTGGGGAAGGCGTTGTGGAGGGTTTCGAAAGCATCATCGTTGTCCGATGCTGGTCATTCCCTATGTTGACGGACCCTTTCAAAGTAGTGAGCTCCTACTCGCATAGGTCGGATTGGCATACTGAAAAACTAACCGAGAGACATGATGCAACGGATTAGTTCGATGCCGCTTCAGTTGCGATGATGATGAAGAACAGTGCTGCCAAACCCGACTGCTTTAAAGCTGGAGCCTGGACGGCACAAGGCTGAATCGGGGCACGAGATAATACAAGACTCGTAGTGCTTACGTTGTTGCATCCCTGCAGCTCGGATAGGAAAACCCATCGAGGAGCCTTTGGAGGCCTCGGACGTTGATGTATCGATTACTCATATTTATGAGGAGCGATGCGTGCCCGCACCTATAACGCTCATATACATCTTGCCGAATCCCCGTCTCGTATATGCTCTCCTTAAGATTACGCATTTTTTTGCAGGAATAGGCCTCTGAAATTTGTTACCGTGCTCTGTGAGAGAGGGCTGCAAGTAACATACCCCGCAGTTTGAATTGATGTCCCAAAAATTCTATGTGATTCTGTTGTATCGACCAATAAGATCTCCGATTTGGGGGCCAATCGTAAATTCCTCTAAAAACCTGTGGCTAGATTCTAGACCCCTCTCAGGCTTCTCACGGAGGTGCTTCAGCGTATTACGTTCAAATTACGTTTTATCGCGTAACCTCACCCCTTGCATAAGGAAAGCGAACCGTCAACAGGAATTCAAGAAAGAGTTGCGTCAGGGGGTTTCTTCCGTGTTTTATTTTCCGAAAACGTCTGTCAAGTTACAAGAACTCGGTCTGAGAACAGATAGCTTGGTACATGAGCAGTGTAGTAGTTGCTATGTGCCTGCATGCACATATCAAGATGATTTTGGTATCATGGGCCAACCTTCTCCTATTCTCACACAGCGAGATGAGTAAATCATGGCAAAGCAACTCCTTACGGAGAACATGTCTACAGAGTACAAAAAATCAGGAAAAGTAGAAGTTGGCGTAAATCCCCCGGGGAAAGGCGGGCCGGGAATCCTTACCTCCATCCAATGAGTTCGAGTTTCAGTAGATTTAAGAAACCTCAAGCACAAGACACGCCGCCCCTCTTCCTCAACAACCTTCTCACTACCTTCCACCCCCTCACGAGAGAGGAATTCCCTCCCGGCTATAATCTCCCCTCTCCCCTTCCTTTTCAACAAGCAAGGCAACGCCAAGCCGCGGCGGTGGTGTAGTTGGTTATCACGTCAGTCTAACACACTGAAGGTCCTGAGTTCAAGTCTCGGCCGCCGTACAAACACGGGCGCAGCCTTCCTTTTTGTATTGCGCGAGGTTGTATCCAGATGTGGATACCCAAATTTTTTTTTTTAGGCCGTGGTGGACAATGCGTACGGCGGCCGGCCGGCGATATCTCGGGCGGACTCACACAAAACACCCGCGCGGCACGAAGCGATATGAAAGTTGCTTCCGTTCCTCGGCAGATTCGGATGACGCAAGAGGGAGGGCTGTGTACGTGTGCAAGGGTTTCCTGACTTCGTAGGAGATGGTTGGGCGGCCAATTGTGGGGTGTGCTTGGAGATTGGGCGATGAGATCGAGCGAATTGGAAAAGGGCTTGGCTATGAATGTTGCCCAGGAGACAAAATTGCAGAAATTGGACAGCAGTGCTGCTGGTCGGTAGGCCTACGAAGTAGTTGGTGGAATAGCATTGTTTTTGGGTGCAACGATTTGCTCCGTGGCGCCTTTCGGCATTCAAGAAGACACTGCCGTAGTAAGCCACGAGAATTATGCCAATTCTTAAAATACTCACTGTGCATGACCGCCAAAGCGGCCAAGATGCCACGACGGGAGAACCAGCCGAGGTCATAGCATACCACACTGCCTTCACATGAAGAAGTCCTTCTCAATCCTCACCGCTCATTCACATCAGTGCTAGTCTCTAATTTATTTTCATTTTTACGTATCAATCCCTTTTTAACTAGACCTCGCTTACGCGCAAAGCCTTCTAGTCCTGTTGATGATATATCCTCAAAGTTTGACACCGAGCCCAAGTCCACCCGCCGCATTAACCATTAGACTAAAAGAGAGAAAAGGAGAGCGATGATGGTTGCAGAAACAATTTCAAAGACAAAGCGGAAAAAAAGAAAAGCTCGTAGCCACCAGAAACACAACAAACACGCAAACTCACGCTGGCAGGAACAAGCAAGGCAAGGCGGACGACAAGGAAAAGGAAAACAGTATGATGAGTGAGTGAGTGATGAGCATGAACCGACGCTTGCTGTGCAATGGGCAGGAGAGGATGCTGTGTTGTGTTGTGATCGGTGAGGCCTGTTAATATATCCAGAGGCGCATAGACGTTTCAAGAATTGCGGGGCTGACCAGAGACTCCCAAAAGCAGACAGATGACCTTTCCCCAGCCGGGCCTTCCAAGCCCGGCGATGATGACTGTTGTGTTGTTGTTCCCTTACCGAATGTTTCGTGTACAGTGTGCCCTGAGAGCTGTTCAGGGGTGGGTATCTGGGGATGGTGGAATCTCAGGAGAAGAAAAGAAAACGTGACAAGAAAATGCCATACGGCGACATGACGTCAAGAAGCGAAGAGTAAGTATGTGCAAGAAGAAAAACTCTTGACAGCAAAAAAACAATAAAGACGCAATCATGGACAGCCCTATAGCTTCTCGCTCAGAGGGCTGTCCTTCTTAGCCATCATAGTCCGCACGGCAAAGCAGCCGATCAGCGCGAGCTCGAGGATCGCCGAAACAATCGACAGCGCGAATCCGGCATTCTGCAAAGCACAGTAGTCAGCACCACCACCATCCACTCCTCCAACAGGGGGGGAACTATCAAAAAAACTCACCTGCTCCGTACAAACCGCGGCAATCTCCTCCTTCCCCGTCACCCCATCCCCCTGATGCTCGCACGCCCACCCACTCAAACTCTGCCCGCCCGCCCCGGCCTCAAACAGCTTATACACGGCCAACGCCGCGATCCACGCGCCGACGAAAAAAATCCCGAGCCCAACCCTCCACCCGGCCAGGCGCTTCACCGGCTTCATCAGCCTCGCCCGCAGCGACAAACCCCACACGACAATCGACGCGCAGAAGCTCGTGAAGCCCACCGCCAGCAGCAGCCACGTCGGCAGCAGCGACAAGTCGGACGGCCAGACGGGATGCGTGGAGACTGTGTTGTCGATCGTGCCGTCGACCTTCAGGCCGCCGTACAAGCTCAGGCTGTGGCCCATGACGATGGCCTCGGCGGCGCTGATGATGACGATGAGCGGCAGGACTGTCCATTGCGCTAGCCGTGGCCAGCTGTTGGCGTCGGGGGCTGGGCCGAGGCCGCCGCGGCTATCGGTCTTGAAGTTGCGGGCGGCGGCGGCGTTGGCTTGCGAGGCGTCGGAGAAGCGAGAGTGCGTTGTTGGTGCGGGGACGCCGGCGGGGGGCGGAGGGATGGTGGGGGGTCGGTCGGGTTGTTGTTGGGTTGGTGCGGAGGGGCCTGGGGCGGCGAGAGACACGTCGTGTAGCTCGACTTGGGTCGTGGCTTGGGAGAGCGGCGAGCGCGTTCCGTCCTGGTAGCCGTAGCCCGGGCTGAAAGGAGGTTGAGGGCTGCGCGGGGCGGGAGAGGACGAGGGGACGGGCCGGTAGTCGGAGGTACGGTAGTCGGAGGAGCGGTAGTCAGAGGAGCGATAGTCGGAAGACCGAGGAGAGGTTACACTGCGCTGGTAGTCCGGACGAGGGGGGTGGGGTGATGCCGGGCTGGCGTAGGTGTGGGAGCGAGAGGAGGAGGCGGTGCCGGGGCGGAATGGTTGTTGTGGTGATGCGGTGCCGGACCGTGGTGGGTATTGGTGCGGTGCGGGACCCGGGCGGGAGTAGGAGCGCTGCGATACCGAGGAACCAGGGCGCGGTGATTCCGGAGAGCTGAAGGGAAAGCGAGGCTGTTGCACGGCGGGCGCGCCGGGTGGGTAAGGAATCACATTGTTTGTGCTGGGAGTCCTGTCGGGTCGCTGAGGACGCGGCTGGTACGGTTGGGAGTAAGACATGGCCACGGTATGTCCTTGGAAAGTTGGTCGGGAGGGGCGAGGATGGAGTGACGAGAGTGTAAAGTCCAGCAACAGGCCACGCGACTGGCACGACCGGGGGAGCGAGGCCGAAATAGGCAGGCGATTGATGAGCGGTAAGGACAGGCGACAATGCAACGAGCGACGGTGGTCTTGCTCCTACTGTCTCAGAAGCTCGACGGAAACTCGCTGAAAGGCGCGGCCGCGGCGACGGGGAAGGGTCTAGCCATATAGGCCCAGACTTATCCAGGACTCCACCGGGTGCCGCAGCTTGACAAGCCTCGTTGCGGGCGTTCGCGTCATTTCAGGCAAGACAGGCGAGGGCTAGTGGGCCGATGGAACATCTCCCGTAGGGCTGGGGGTGCCTGATCAGGCGCATGGGCCCGACGTTACTAAATTAGATTAACTTTGATGAGGCCGTGACTTGAAAACCCATTGGCAGGCCGCGTGGGGGCGACCGCATCTGGGCGGATGCAGAGATGAAGTGCAAGGGAGCTGCGAGCCATTGAGGTGCGTCGCGGGCGAATGTTGCTGGGAAGTCGGGTGAAGGGCAGGCCGAGCATGAGTGGGGAGACGGTGCCTGAGGTCTGAAACGCGGCGCGATTCGCTTTCTGCTGGCGAATCTGCGCGGTGCGACACGTCAACACCAGTCCAGACTCCGTGCGCCATAACGGCCGTGCAGTAATGATGCGGTGGCTTGGATGTAGCACGTAGTACGAACCTGCGGCATGCCGTCTCTGGCCCGCGTTTGATGCTCACTGCCGTGTTGCACAGAGAGGGGGTCGACTCACTCCTGGGGGGGAGCGGGTGCCCTGCATACAAAAATGGTCTGAGCGATCCGCGCGCTTCCAATAGCCGCCTTCCAGAAGCACTGCAGCCAACGGGGCGGTGAGTCTGGAGAGGCATCGCGCGCTCTGTCCACCGCTTAACCATTGCGCGCGCGTCGGAAGCAGGCGCATCCCCGTTCGGCGCGGAGCTCGGCGCTGCTGCGCTGTGTGAGACCTGCTGACTTCTCCTGAGGCCGGATCCAGGCACGGGCGACGCGGCTGACGAGGCTCAACTGACTACGCGGCCTAGTACGTGGTATGCAGGTACACCCGCCCCGTTCCTGGAGATCGGTCTGTCCCGGATTTTCAGGATCAACACATCGGAGTCCGAGAGCGAGTCCGCTATATCCGACTCTGCTATACGCCAGCCTACCCTCGCCCGCACTAATATTGGGACCAACAACCTTCGTTTTTCGTATTCGAGTCCCCAACCCAGGACGAAAAAAAAGCCACATGCTAATTATAGAAAGAGCTTTAGCGTCGACACCACCCACTAGTTCCCCCATACTCCCGTCCCGTCTTTACTAAATGAGCAGAGAAAAGCAATCGATAAACCAAAACATCAAAATGTAGTACAACTCACTCACCGGCTCAATCTCTGCACCCTCCTCCCTTGTGTACCTAAACCGATTACGCAGCCTCCCCTGCTAATACTCGACCTTACTCGGCACGACTCTCACCACTCCCCGAAACGGCAGCACCGGAATCCTCTTCCGCCCCTTAAACCTCCTCTCTACCTCCCTGACGCGTTTCTCCAACTGCTTCCTTCCTTCCTTCCAACACCTTGCTCTACCGACTCGCCCACGGCCCTACCTTACTCCCGCGAATACGCGTATTGTAGCACACCTAACTCTCCTCCTCGCTTAGCCCCCTACCTTCCCTTCTATCCTTACATACCGGTGTGGGATTGCGTGAGCAGGGCGAGGGAGAGAGGTCGCGGCGTAGTCGAGGGCGCCTTCGTAGGATCGCGAGGCGAGGGCGGGCGCCGCTGTCGCCGGGGAAGCTTTTATTTGTGGTCAGAAGGAGCGCCTAGCGAGGCGGCGGCCGTGGGGACGGGCCTTTGCTCCTTCGCGGCGTGGAGCATAGTTGCGGCGGCGGAGGATTGAGTGGTCGTTGCGTCGCTGAGTGGAAGTGCGGGGGAGGAGCGCGCCGCGTCTGGCTGACGAGATCCTGCGGACGGAGCTGCAGCTCAGAGGTGAGGGTGAGTTATATATGCTGCCGCCGTGCGAGGTGGTAGAAAGAAGGTTCGACGACTCATTGACGCCGTAGTGGGGATGCGCGACGTCGAGTGACTTGCATGACTCTTTTTTCCTGTGTGTATGACGCGCTGAAGGTCGCGAGACTGTCGCCGTCATCGTTGGTGCTTGCGCCCGCGCCAGTCGCATTTCAGCCCTACCCGCCCGCGGGGTCCACGCCAAACAAGCTTCGACTCGAGAAAAATATCTTGAAACCCTCCACACCTTCCCTCACCCTCACACATTCGCCCGCCCGCCTTCGTGCACCCGGCCACGACGCGCACCCGCCATGATCACGCCGCCCAACACCACCGCCGCGCCAGCGACCACCAACCCTTCTCATGCGCCCACTCCTGCACTTTATTCTTAACCGGTACACTCGAATGGCTCCGAACGCTTTCAATCGTCGGGGGGCCCGAGTAAGCTGCCGAAAAGCAACAACCACCGCACTTCTCTCCCGACCGGAGGTCCGTCAGACAGAAATGTCGGGGCTGCTGGGTTACTTCACCTAGCGAAATCCATCACCCATGGGCTCCGCTGTCGTGCTTAGTAAACCGCATGAGTGCATTGGATCGCTGGAAGACGAACTTCCAATTCTGCAAGCTGTAACACTTGCGACCTCGGTTGAAACTCTCATCGTTCCTGTCGCAGATGAGGCCCAAGCGAGAGAGCACTTGGGAATACGTCGCTACACAACTGAGGGGGTAGAGGAAGGAGGGCACGTGGGGTCCTGGGGGAGCGGACCGGCCATGCGCTCTGTGCTAAGAGTAACAATGTGCGGTGGGACATTTTTTAACCTCACTCTTTTCCGTGCGTTTTAGGTCTCATCTGGCGACTTCAAAATCTCCGGAAGAAAAGGATTTAGTGCGCATTGGCCCGCACCAAAGGCTTCAATCGAATTTCATACAATCATGTTTACCTCGTTTCCGCTCATCTCAAAGGAGCTTGAATACAGCCTCCCCGCACGCAGTATCATCTACTCTTGTTTCTTCTGACCTCATCCCCCGGCAATTCCGCCAGCGTCATCGGACTATCACTGCTCATCGGACTCACCGACGACAGCGGCTCCGTATGATGGCTCTGATTGCCCGTCCCAACCGGACTGATCGGCGAATATGAGGAGTACGACCCTCTCGCACTGCCGCTCCCACCACCGTCCGAGCCGTTTCCTCTCGACGCCCCCGCCTTCGCAACCGGCTTCCTATTCGTACTCACAGAACTCACCCTCCTCCTCCGCCTATCCCCCGCCGCCGCCGCCTCCAACGCCCCCGCCGCGATCCCCACCCCATTCAATTCCTTCGCCAACCGCTCCTGCACCAGCGGCTCCTGCTGCTGCTGCGGATCCTCCTCCTCCTGCTGCTGCCCCTCCTGCTGTCCTTCCCTTCGCCTGCTCTGCTGCTCCTCAAACACCCGCCTCTGCTCAAACGGATCCCCCGCCGCCAACTCCTGGCAATTCACCGCCGTCGGCAACTCCGGCCTATCCGGCCCCGTCTCCAGCTCCGCCGGCCCTGCCAGTTTCAGCATCGCTTTCTCTGCATCCTCCTCCAACTCGCGGCCGTCCGGCGAGGAGAGCGACGAGTCGGCCCTCAGCCTCCGTCGTCGTCGTCGTCGATTGCCGGTGAGGAGGGCGAGGATCCCACCGCCGCCGCCGCCGCCGCGGTCAGAGGGAGACGAGGGAGAAGAAGAAGAAGAGTTAGGACGCCGCCGATGCCGCCCCAGCATGTACGCGCCCCAGACGATAGCGAGCAGTAGCAGCACGCCGAGCGGCACGCCGACCCCGATGCCGATCTTCGCGGCGTGCGAGAGGCCCCCGCCGCCTGCACCGCCGCCGCCGTCGCCGCCGTCTCCTCCGCTTCCGCTGCCCGTCGCCGTTGCAGACGCAGAAGTGGACGCCGCGGTGCCGTTGATACCGGGCGTCGTCCCCACCGCCGTCACGGTGCGCGTCAGCGCTGCGCTTGCACCGGTACCACCACTGCCGCTGATGCTGGTCACGGTTGCGGTCGCGAGGGTGATGGTCGTCGTTGCGGAGCCGCCTGAGTAGATGGAGATGGCGATGGTGCCGACCGAGGCGCCGGGGATGGAGGTCGAAGTGGTGGTGTGGTCGTCGTCATCGTCGTCGTCGTCGGCGTCGGCGGTGGTGGTGGGGAGGGCGGCGGTGGGGATGGTGGTGGAGGTTGTGGAGGAGGTGGAGGTGGTGGATGTCATGGTTGGTTGGTTGGGGAACGATTGGAGGTTACGGGGGTGGGCCTGCGCAACGAAAGCTACAATGGCGCAGCTGGTGGTGAGCGATGAACGAGTGGATGGTTGAGAGCTGCTGCTGCTTTGAGAGCCCTCTCTCCCTTCGATGCAATTGGAAAGCAGGTGGACAACAACAAGAGGTGGGAGAAGACTAGCGGGGCAACCATGCAGTAAATAAGGCGCGCTACGGATGCTTGGTCTCGGGACACGGGAGATGATGGTCCCAGTTTCCAAGAAAACAAGAGGAGGTGATTCACAGCCCCATTTACGCGATACGACCGGCAGCCTTGTCTTTTTTTGCCTGGGTCACCCGTTTTCGCTGTTCCTGTCTGCCGATGAACAGAACCCCCGCCAATGCTTGCGGGGAGGCTGTGCAAAATCGCCGGGCCGTGGCATTCGCGGCGCCGTGTGCCGTGCTACCCACAGGTACTGGTGAAACGATGCCAAGTGGGATGGGTTATCGGTTTCTGTCGTGGGTAGTGTACCTCATTCGTCGGCCGATCATGGTGCGGCCGGGAAGTTGACTCCGCAACCCCGCAATGGACGAATCGCAGGTGCAGCGGGCCTGGTTTACGTCAACTGCTCAGCCCCCCTCCATTCCACACGAAGAACGTGCAGGTTGCATTAGAGTTGGGCGCCAAGCAAGGCCGGTCAATTTGTTTGGTGGGGTAGGTACCTACTTTGGCGTGAGACCGTCGACCGGCAATGATCGATGATGTAAAAATCGGGTAATGGATGGTTGCGCGGCCTCAGCCCTCATTCGGTGAAGGAGTCACTTTCTTATTTTTCTGTTCTGGTTTGCTGTGTCTATTTTTTTCTGTTGCTCTCGTATCGCCTGGATGATAAGGCTTGCAGGTATCTACGCGGGGTTGAACGGGGGTGTGTGAGGCTGTGCGTCCCTGGCGCTAGACGTCATTCGCTACTCGACAGCGCGATCAATCGTGTCGTGCCACCATCTCCTGCCACGGATCCGATGTCATGTGCATGGGCTTGGCCGATCTTTCTCCTCAAGCAATGCCGTGCTTGCGCGTCCGTCCTGCATGCTTTCGCGGCCTTGCTGCACGTCGGCGGAAGCGAGTCTTAATATCTCTTTGCTGTAGAACACCTCTCCTCCAGACTTGCACATTCTGCTTCCGCATTAGCCGAGCGTGTGGTTTCCGTCTCGCTCACCGACGCCATTTGCCCGGCCAGGAAGAACCGAACATATTGCAGCGATGGATGCAAGGGTTACTGACGAAGATGGCAAGATGGACACGTGCCTTTCGCACATGGAATGCATTCTGATTTTAGAACGAGCCGAACGGGCATAGCCTCTCATCACATTGGCGACACAACGTGAGGGTTGGGGCGTAAGACGGAGGACGACGGTCGCTTCATTGCACTTCCAAGAGAAATGGGTACACCCAAAAAGAGGAGAAAAGGAAAAAAGTAGGCAAAAGTCCGCCACCACAGAAAACTTCGCATTTTGTCCATAATTTACAAGCAGGCACGAAACCCTCCTCGATCTACATCCTGATTAATCCACGCCGCAGAATCACAAATCTTACCCCCATCCACCGGCAACGCGAACCCGCCGTCCGTCTCGTATCCAGTCTGAACCCGAAGCACGCCGGGCCAGTCGGTGTCGAACGTGTTTTGCGCCACCACATGACGTTTTTCACACGCTGCTGTGCGTTCGCCTCGTGGAGGATCTTCTGCGAGCTTTTAGTGTCATCGTTTACGACTTACAGCCCCTCATGGGGGCGTTGTCGGATGATTTCAAGATCCGAGTACTCAGGACGCATTTCGGTTTTTTAGGCAAGGCTTGAGGGGAAACAACGGTATGCCTGTGCCACACCGCACCAGAGCGACCCTGTTCGTATCTCAAAAACGGCTTCTAAAAACTGCAACTGCGCCTGTCTGTTCTTCTGGGGATATCCAAAACACGCACGCCCTGATTGGTCATGTGTCATGGGACATGCAAGGGCTGAAGTGGCACAGATGGTTCAGAGATCCTTTGCAACCTAGCTAAAGCCATACTTTGTCATTTCTTCCGGCTCCCAGAAGGTTCGAAGCAAATGCCATGCCATTGTGCTATTTTGCATTATTTCTTTCCAAAATTCTCATATGGCGCTATCCTCCATATACCCTCCTTTCACGTCTCATTAGTTGCAGTCCTCCACATATCACATCTTCCACGGTCATGGTTCGAAAAGTATGGGTCAGCTAAATGACTCGATAGTGCGCTATCTTAAACACACATCACACAAGCGCAAGGCTGAAGGATCCAAAGGATTATTCATGACTGAGCAGACGGCGTGGACACAATTTTTGAAAACACGTCTTCCGCTTGATTACACGGCGAAAGACTCTCCCAGTGATCGCTTGCCATCTCTGTCGCTGTCCCACCCACTTGTTGTCGATTTCAAAGTAGTACAGCATCTCTTAATTTGCCGTACCATTCTCTGTACGCTTAAGCAGGCTCTAGCTCTGGCTCCGTGCTTTCTCCAGTTTTCACCCCTAAACAAGAGCACTAATTATCCTCATCTATAGTCTTGTTAGAACCAAAGGTTTACATCCAAAAGCAAATGCCACAAAGTGTCATTCTAGATTTACACTTACACAATCCTCAAGACATCTGACATAGGTATGATCATCCACCTGTCTCCCTCCCCTGCATTGTATGGTACACTCGTCGTAAGGGGGAGGTGGTATGACGGATGACCTGACAGCCGCTGCGAAGACGGCGATAGCGAGGATAGCAGGCTTCATGATGTAGTATAGAATTTGATGAGAGGTCGGTTGTAGATTTTAACGAGAGGTTAGTAAGGCTTGACGTAGAGTCTTTATAGGCGTTTTTGAAAATGGCTGTGCCAATCAGCAGTTGCGTGGATCCAGGCAAAACGCACAGTTACCGAGAAATCGTTGGTCCAACTCGTGAATCAGTGATTAAATTTGTTGTCGGGAAATATCTCACGGGCGCAATGGGTTTCCGTGTTAGCTTACCGGATTTTGCACTAGAGATGTACAGTGGTAGGAAAATCAAGAATTTGCACCTCAACGCAGGGTTCAGGGAGAATTTCATCCAATTCTGGTGGTTTGTAACGCTATTTCGGTAAGGCGTTCTTCTCTAATTGCTAAGCTTCGAGCGTCCACAGTACTAAGAGTACCATCTACCGCCGTCGCCCAGCCAAGCCCAGCCATTCCGAACACAAGGCCCTACTAGCCCCACGCGCCCCCGTAGCGTTCCGTACCGGCAGTAGGGAGACGAGGAGGCTATGCTTATTCCGAGCAGCAGACGCCCACCAACCGGCCTCCGGGCGGCAACACCGCGCGCCCCAGCAGGGCCGTTCTGTTTCGCATAGGTTTGCCGGAGAAATTGCCACTAAGCCTTATTTATTCCATTAGCTGTTCCGAATTTAGACGTACGACACATCTACCAATGAGCTGGTTGAATATACGCGCCGGACTTCTGCGTTCGCCCCACATTCTGCTTGTAAGCATCTGCTGTGCCGCCCCCTCATTTGTGTCAAATGTGCCATGGGTTTACAACTCATTCATATTGTGTTAATTCCCCAGCTCCTACATTCATGTCTACAATTCACCTTTTCTATCGAATTTCAAGACAGTCTGACGGAGTTAGTGGATTCCATGCTATTCGACTCCCTTCGTTGTTTGCTACCTTGTTTGCTACCTGCTTAGTCATCTGGCGCGTATATATACCACGCTGCCCCACAGATAGCTTATGGATCATTCTGCGCAACCATCACAGTCATGTAAGATATATCATTTACGCATAAGTGATATAGCTAATAGTCTAGGAAACGATCTGGGGTTTTTGAAGAAGACAACTCGGCGTCAAAAAGAGACCGGCAGGACGCAGACGCTGGTACCAAATTAGCCTTTAGACCCAGGCAACACAGTCCAGGTACGCTTGGTACTATATCAGCCTTTTTTGTCTATCGCTTACTTTTTTTAGACTCTGAAGAGATTGAGCGCAAAGAAATCCTTAGCTGGCTCACTTCAACCAGTCATGTAACAAAGCATACCAGTTGCTCTGCTCAATATCTCCAAGGCGCTGGCCAATGGTTTTTGACATCTCCTCATTTCAGTTCATGGCTCAGAGGGCGTGACAACGCCCTATTCTGTCCCGGACCTCCGGGATGTGGAAAGACCGTTTTGGCTTCGATCGCCATTGACTACCTCCAAGCGACACGGAAGAGCAAGGATACAAAGATTGCCTTCATATACTGCGAAGAACATCCGCGAAAGTATCAAAGCGCTTCCAGACTGCTTGCTGAGCTGCTGAAGCAGTTGGTCGAAGAAGACCCGTCGCTTCCGAAAGATGTCAAGAGGCTCTATGGGCAGTTTCCAGAAGTTTGGGAACTAACAAAAGCTCTTCGCTCCGTGGCGTCTCACTGCGAAAGGGTCTTTGTGGTGATAGATGGGATCGACAAGTGCTCGGATGGAGTCCGAAAACAACTCTTGGACTCCATAGAAGATTTACGGGGGGAATCCAACACAGCATTTCTGGTAACATCGCGTAGAGAACCATCCATTGAAAATCTCTTCGCAGGTTATTCCCGTCTAGACATCCAGTCTTCCGATGAAGACATCGGGGATTACGTGGACGAACAAATTTCAAAACGACTAGACTGGCTGAAACAACCAGAATTCAGAAAAAGGATCCGAGAAGTGCTTGCAGAGACTGCAAGCGGCATGTAAGTGGGCTTCCTAATATTTTCAAACATAATATACACCTAACATACTTTGATAGATTCCTCTCTGCACAACTATGTGTAGAGTTGCTCACTGATAAACTCACGCAAGAAGAGGTCGGAACTGAATTGAAATTCATCAAAAGCTTGCTTAGTCATGCAGGGGCATTCAGCCAGCTGTATTCCCGGCTATTAGACACAATTGACTGCGCCGGAGACAGGCAGCGAACTTGGGCCCACCGGCTTCTGGCCTGGGTATTCCACAGCGAACCTCCATTCACAGTCAAAGAATTACAGCACGCGCTAGCAATAAGAGAAGGCGACAAGGAGTTGTACAACGACCGCATGGTATCTATCGACAAGGTATCTACTTTCTGTGCTGGCTTGGTGTTTGTGGACCGGGAGAGTGGACTTGTGTATCCCGTGCACGATTCCGCCCGGGCATATTTTGCGGAAAGTCCACCGAGTTGGATGGCAGAAGCACGAATGGATCTCGCCCGCGCGTGCTTGGCGTATCTGCAACTCGACCGTCTTAGAGACGGACCAGCAGCAACCCTGGAAGAATATGAACAACGGCTGTCAGAGATGCCTTTGCTTTTTTACGCAGCCAACAACTGGGCTGGCCTTGCACTGGGTTTACATGAAGCTCTTCTCAGGCCAGCCGCTTCATTCCTTCTGGACAATGCACTCACGGCATCAGCTGGTCAGGTCATGTTCTCCGCGCGGAGCTTTGGCGGAAGGCAATATATGAAGAACTACACAATCAACCACGCACCACACGGCTGTCACATACTCGCTTTCTTTGGTCTGGCTGATCTACTCCGCCTGATACTGGACGAAACCAAGGGATCCTGGGATCTCATTGACGAGAAGAATTCAGAGGGCGAGACACCGCTCGCAATGGCTTCGATTCACGGGCATCCGGAAGTGGTAGAGCTACTCTTGAAAATCGAACGAGTCGACCCCAATACAAAAACGCCCAGGAATATGACACCTCTGCACCTTGCGGTGCTTCATGACAACCATTCAGTTGTCAAGGCGTTGCTGACCTCGAGGCGGGTGGACGCGAATTGCAGAGGTAGCCACGGAAACACGCCCCTCCACATAGCAATCGAGGATGAGAACAAAGCTCTCATCAGGCTGATGATCGACAACTTCAAGGACCGTATCAACTTTAATGCAACGGACCGAGCCCGTTACACAGCACTCCACAAGGCTGCAAAATGCGAGGACTCGGATATCATGAAAATGCTTTTCGAAGTGCTCAATGACCTCATTGATTTCAACGCTAAGGACATCGACGGATGGACTGCCCTTCACCATGCCTATTTCTACAAGCGTGTTGCTATACAGCAGTTTTTATACACACAGAAGGATGTGTTCGACACCAACGTCGCAGACTACAGCGGCTGGAATCCGCAATTGGATCCTGCAAATGAGAAATCATGGTACTACCGCACGAAAGGACTAAGTTACGAGGGAAGGAGAGGAAAGAGCCCACACCCTCTTGTTTACTATCTTCAAAATCCGTAAACAATCATATCCATCTTCTATTTCAAGAATTTGCACAATCCTTCAAGACCTCTCTGTGTTAAGGTTTGTTCAATCGCAGTATTCACTTTTCAACCTTAGCTCTCTGCTGCATTTAGGAGTGTAAGCAGTTGCTTATTATCATTGCACAGTTGTATAGCTATCCTATTGGAGGGGAATGTTCCTGATGCACTCAGCGATGTGAGGCTCTCGGCCGCTGCCGCACGGCGATTCCAATGAGGACTACTGCGGTAGTCGGCCTAGAAACACTGCGAGCGCGATGTCTAGGAGCTCGCTCGCGGAGGTCCGATCCCTCGCCCGCCGCGCCACGTCGTGTTCGCCACCAGCTGCGTGTATGGCGATGACATTGGTCTTTTTCGCGTTTGGGGCGGTAACGCGTCGGCGGGGCTTTGGGTTGGTGCAGGTGACACACGATTCATTGTGTTTGTCAGTCATGCTACGCATACGTAGATAGCGTGGAAGAGAAGGTTACTCGCACATGTGGATCAACAAAAATTATCCTACCACAAAATTGCGAGCCTGTGGCTCAACAAATGCCCTTGAAACTGTCAACGGGTAGGCGGACGTGGTCGCGATCCTCGTGCAGGCTCTCGATGAACATTTTGATCAAGTGTCATGGCGATCGGAAAACTAACGAGTAGGCCAATGAGAATGGGATAGGACTTAACTAGGAAGCGGGGTCGTCAGTGTGGCGGGCGGGGTATCTAGCGGCAGAGTGCATGAAGATTGTAGAGATGACTGGTTAACAATCGACTCTGCACGACATACTTAAACCCATATTGACCAGTTCTCTGGATGACAGTCAATTTCACAGTAGATATGAGCTACACGGGTGTCTGTACAACCTGTTAAACCCTCGGAAAAAGTTTTCCTTCCTTTACACGAAAATATTGGTTCGGAAACTTGCAGCAGGGAAGAGGGTCGACATTCGTTCCTATTTATCCGAGTCCAACCTGAATATGCATTTTTAGAATTTTGCGTTCGAGCAATCCATCAGTATCATAACCTCCATGTACTCAATCAAGGTTGCAACTATCTCTGACGACTATCACTCAGCGCCGGCGTGGCCTCGCATGAGAAGGGACATGATGCCTTCGGAACCAATATCATCTATTTGGACCACCTTTCCAACAGAATCATTTCGCGAGGGATCTCCCGGGGACATTCCCTTTGCAACAGAACCTTTTCCTGGAGTTATTTCTGCTGATTTAACTATTAAGGGTAAATTTCACTGCGAAGATTAAAGTGGCTTCTATAGTAACTGAAACTACAGCTCCCCACAGCATGACTACGACAATACATTCTACCTCTACACCCATCTTTACAACCACCCATACAATCATGATACCTCACTATAAGGCCACCTCTACAATCACAGTAACCCCTATCATTACGATATACCCTAGCTCCACAGAAACTCAACCTCGGAATCGTCCAACCAGCAGCGAGTCGCTGGTTTCAACCACAGTTACCACGAAATCGTCTGTAGGAGCTCTACCTGATCCCAGCTCCATCAAGACTGGACTTGCCATCATCACCGTCACCACATTGGACCACACTTATCTAATAACCCTCCAAAGGTCTACCAGCGCCTCATTGCCTACAGCGCCCTCAACATCAAATGACACTATTTCCACGACAGTTCCCGGCATCGATAGTAACGCAACGACAGAACACAAAAACGCGACAAGGATTGCCCTCGGTGTCAGTATCCCCCTGAGTATGATCCTCATAGCATTGCTCCTCGCTGGCGCATATACTTGGGGGAAACGAACCAGCCGATCATTCAGGAATGCCCCAGAGGATGCACCAGCTCGGGAAGAAAAACAACAAGGCATGGAGACGCATGCATGGTCGCCGAAAGTGCCGCAAGAGTTAGCCACCGAGTTTAACTTCGCAGAAATGTTCGTGCCCGAGAAGCCTCAAGAGATGGCACATCAGACCCCTACCAAGTCTTTGGATAAAGAGGTGGTCGTGGACAATGCAGAAGGGGAGGGTAGTCAGACGGCGCAGCGTGGAATTGTAGAGGTATGTCTCAAAGGTCACAAACATCGCGTCGTTATACTGATCATACGGGGCAGGTATCGTAGGGGAGCAGGATTTACAAGAGCATTCACCCTCATTGACCAATGCTTGCCGTCTTGAGTTCATGGTGGAAGAATGCCGATTCAAGCTATCGCTAGTACTGTCTTGCGCACGGCTCTGGTGGTATGTTTATTGTGTCCTTCAAACCGTCGATAATTGGGTCCAGGTATGAGACTGCGGCGAGCTACAGGGCAACGATACTGCCACAACATCTAAATGGTAATGATCTGGTTTCGCTGTTGCCTAACTGCCCCTAGAAGTAAATCTTGATTCAGATACTTTTTGATTGGTTTATGTGCTGCGACTGCGCGAGGCTATGTGCGCGTCCGATGATCCTTGTCTGCACTGCCACAGAATCCTTCGACGACTCAGTTTCACACCCACCAATACCACAATCGAAGACCTGAACACAACGAACTACAAAAATAGCAAACACCCCTCATACGCGCAGCAGATCATGCCGATCACCGCAAGGCAAAAAGCCGGATCCGATATATAAAACACAAAGCACCCGCAACCCGCTGACCCCACAACACCAAAGCCCCAAACTTGCCCAGCGCAAACGACACCAACCCTCAGTCCAAGCGCCACTACACAACCTCATCCTCCGAGAACCACAACCAGGCCACCCACCCACCACCATGTCCCTCGCCTCCGCCGCCTCCTCGCTCGCATCCGAGCTCGCATCCAACATCTCCGCGCTCTCCGCCACGACGCCGCACACATCCGCCATCACGCGCACCTTCACTGACGAAGCGGGCTCGCCCAGCGTCATCAGCCTGAGCATGGTATCATCACCACCACCCGCCACGACCACCCCTGGCCCGGAGATCGCAACCGTCGCTGTGTACGGCGACGACTCGAGCGTGCTGACGTCGTACACGACGACGTTTCTGCCGCAAGGCACTGGTGCTGCTGCTGCTGCTGCTGCTGCTGGCGGTGGATGGGGTGGAAAGTTGGGGGAACTGGTGGGAGGGCGGGATGGGACGGCGGTTGCGGTTACGGTTTTCTTTGGTGTGCTGGTGTTTGCGAGGTTTATTGTTGGTGGGAGGGGTGCGGCTAGGCCGGCGGTGGGGGCAGCGGGGGCGCGGGGAGGAGAGGGGAGGGGTGGGCAGTGATGGCGGGTTCGAAGGGGGGTGGGGGGGTTTGCTAATGTTTTCAGACGGGAGATGAATGTATTGAATGCAACGAATTACAAAGCGATGCGCCTTTGGACTAAACAATTTCAAACGACTGTGGTGGAATCCCCATCTCATCAGCTTCTCCATTCATTATCCCATGGACGTAACACTCTCCGAGGAACTCATGTCTTCCCTTCCTTGCCTTCCGCAAAATGAACGGTGTTCTCCCTCCGAAAAGCACTACAACTTTATCACCGAGCCGTGTCGAACGGGGGCAAAGACCCATGTACCCCTTCTTTGTGACAAATATATTTCGGCCGTGCGTGACGGAGAACACTTGCGAACTGTACGCAACGAGATCCTTATACATGGCACTGTCGATGTCCTGCTCGCCGGGGCGAAGGAACCCGGCCCTCATCATTTCGACAGCATTGTCCCGATAGTATAGTTGGTAGCACTTCTCAAGATACGTCGGTGTCGCATCTTCAGGTACCATGTTCGCAGCAAGGGTGCGGTAGTACGCTGTTGCAACGTCCTCGCCTGTCGGGTAGCTCTTGAGGCTGAGGCCTATCTTCTCCCACATGCGGACACGCCTGGAAGACACGATGGTTATCTGGTCCGAGTAGCCAACCTTGTTGAAAAAGCCCTGCTGGAATCTGGCGAGCTTTGCGTTGTTCAACGGAACCAAGTGTTCTTGCCGAATGTTTGTGCGCGGGTTGCCAATGCGGGATACGGTGTCGACTTCCAGTCCCCGGATTCTCAAAGTACGGCTGTCTAAGGAAATCTCGAATTGGGGTGGATTTTCGGTAGGGCGGTATCGAGACAGGCTCAAAGGGGTTTCTCGGCGATAGGACGGCCAGTCTGGTACCCAGGTGGGTAGCTTTTGGCAGCCCTTCCAAGCAAGGTCGCCGTTGGAATTGAGGATTCCGATATCTCCTGATTCTAGAAGCTTTATCGTACTCTTGATGTAGAGGTCGTTGGCCGATATGGAATAGTCTGGTTGTATTCCAAGGGAATGCGAATCACTCGATAGACCCAGTAGGCCGTACACTTTATCTTCCCGCAGAGTAGATACGCTCATTCGAGTAGCGTCTAAAAGGAAGTGCAATGGCAAACCTGGCCGTCCTTCATCTACTCCGTGTGTGTAGTACCATCCGATTTCGTTGAGGAAAGAAACACTGGCCAGAGATAGCGGTCCGTGTATCAAGGAGAGAATATTGGTATTCGCCACACATTGCACAGCCAGTAAGATATCGTTCCAAGCGAGCTGCTCTCCTCCGATCAAAAATGTGGCCATGTTTGACATGATGACTTCCTGGATTATCCATACGCGGGAGAACCACGGCCGCGACAACAGTTTATCGAGAGCAAGCCACTCCTTGTCCCATGGGGCCGGCAGTCCGAACGATTCCATCTCGGTCTCTGTGACGGTGAGCCCTTCTCTTCGGTAATATGCCTCTTTCAAGGCATCGTTGGTGATTATGCTTTTGATCAAGGACACAGCGTCCGAACTGTCTTTCGATGCCTCTCCCAGCCAAACTACGACGTTACTGGCTCTGGAGTATATTTCTTTCATCATGGTTACTTGATGGTTCCGTTCTTCTATGTCGTCCTGATTGATGCAAATAGCATCGATCCATAAGATTCGGGTTTGGTCTGCATGACGAATCCGGTGAAGAGCGTGCCATAGATTTTCTGCCACGCCCATTCGGAGACCGTCGCACGAGATATAGAACTGCGGATCCGGACGTCCCCAGGTATAGGATAGAGCTTCATAGGGCGGTGCTTGATGCAGCGCATGGGTCGACATGGAACATATTATCGGTGAGTTTAACTTCCCGGGCTCGAGATGGAGAAAGCGAAGAGTTGCTCTTTCGGGTAGTTGAGTATGTTCAAACTTAGTCCTACTTCTAATACGTCTACATTAGACCTCAGAACCTACAAGGCAAGTCTAAAGCTTACTGGAATTGTGGGTATTCAGGCAAGGGCTTCAGCTCTTTGTCCCAGTCATATAACGTGTGTCGAAACTGCAGATTGAAACGGCGCCTCCTTTGTTCCCTGTAACAATGTCAGCATGTAAATACTCTTTGCTCGGGTTTCCCAATTACTCTGTTCTTAGCTTGTATGACGGTGGGAAGAGTGGCGCTATTTGTGTCCTTAACTGATGAAAAAGAAAGAAGAAATGGACGTGAATCTCCCACCAGTGAATGGTAGGGACGATCGCTCGATAAAGCGCCTGATCAAGACGTCGCAACAAGCCTTGGCCCTCAGAAGGTCCCTGCGAGGACTGCATGGCTGCAATTTGGTTCTTCCCCGCCTTTTGAGATGGAGCTGTGATGGTTTGAAAGAGGCGGTCTAAATATAACCTGTTAGTTTCGGCCCCAGACCGCCACGTGGTAATGAAGCCAGCAAGTGTTGAATTTATTATGAGTATCGTTTTAAATAATTATAGAATGATTAAAAGTTGAAGAGGAAATGTTATTGGATTTCTACCATAAGCATTCCTGGAAGAAGGCGTTGCAGCGCGCCTTAAAGATCACGTGATCATTTAGCGTAATGGCACAAACTGCTGGTGTTTACCCAGCAAAGACTCATCGAAGAAGTAGGATAGGAGTTAGACCAATCAGACCAACAGAGAAGCAGGGAAGGCGTCGAGCGATGCTGGAATTGCACGCTTATATTTGCCTCCAAAAAGTCAATAGCGAAGTGCAAGCAGATATCTTTGCCTCTACCATAGCTCAGCATCTTCGCGCTACCTCTTCCCACAAAACACAAGAAAGATTCCGACATGCGACCTCCAACGCCCATAAAAAAAAGGAAAGTATGAACAGCCATATCCCACCCACATCATCCACCCCCAAGACCCTCTTTTTAAGAACGAAGCCACCTCCCCCTACAACCTCGCCCTCGTCTGAATACTCTTCCTCCGCCTCTTCCTCCTCTCCGACTCCGCCACCGCCGCCGCCTCCTCCTCGGCCCTCTCCAACGCCTCCCCCTTCTGCTTCGCCGACACGCCCACCTCGGCCACCTTCGCTCCCTCCAACACCTTCGTACTCCCCGCCACCGCGCCATCCACAAACAACTGCGCCCCCACCTTCTCGACCAAGCCCAACACCCTCCCGACCACCGTCTTCCCATCCCTCCGATTCTTCCCCTCACGACGGCTCTGGCTGATCATCTCCGCGAAATCCCACAGACGGCCTTTGGGCAGGATGTGCCCGGTGGCCGGGTCGCGCAAGGGCACCCAGTCGTCGGCGAGGCGGAGGGTGGGCGGGACGCGGCTGTCGCGCGAGCGGGAGACGGCGATGATGCCGTCTTCCTCGAAGCGGGTGTAGGCGTTTTTGAGGGTTTCTTTGTTGACGGCTTCGAAGTAGGAGAGGTCGCCCTGGTGGTAGAGGGTTTTGCCGAGGAGCTGGGCGCGGTCCTGGACTTTCTTTTGGTCGAGCCAGGGGTTGTTGTTGTTGGTGGTCGTCGTAGCGGTGGTATCTTTGGTTTTGGATTTCTCGGGAGGTGGTGGTGTGAGCATCATCAAGCTCACGGCGCCAAGCCAGCTGGCCTCGACGAAGGGCCAGATCATGAAGCAGTAGAAGTCGTAGTTCTCGCGGCCGCGCTCGCGCTCCTCGTCGCTCAGCTCGACCCATTGCACGGGAGCGCCTTCTTGCTCGTTGGCGTCCTCGCGCTCCACCCGCGTGACCTTGATGACGCGGTCGGCCTCGAGCGAGCGCAGCGTCTTGTCCAGGTTGGTGGCCAGGCCCTCGGTCGGGAAGATGAACTCGCCGCGGAAGAGCTGCGACAGGAATGCCACTTGCTCATACAGGTCGGCGTACGAGATGCGCTGGTGCGAGGGCGCGCCGCCTTGCTTGACGCGCGTGTACATGGCGGCCGAGACGAGGGCCGGGAGGATGAAGAGGTGGATCGTCATGTTGCGGTAGAAGGAGAGTTGGAAGCTGCATCATCAATCGTGTCAGTACTGATTCTCCGTGGGCCAAAGAAAACGTAGACGAAAGCACCCCTCTCGTCCACAGAGAGCGGAGGGCAACGAGACAACTCACCGATCAACAGCATAAAACGTCTCCTCCGGCAACCCAGCCACGGACCCCACCAGCCCGGGCCCCAGCACATCCAACGCCCTCTCAACCACATACTCCGTCGGCGCGCCCCCAAAATGCGCCACCCTCCCCCCGGCATTCCTCACCCGCTCCCCCAGCCACTCCACCCTCCGCACCAACTCGCTCTTCCCCACCCCGCGCCCACGCAGCGTCAACAGCACCGTGCCGACCAGCGCCGTCGGCATGACGACCGACACGGCATTGATTTCCGACAGCACGCGGTAGCCGAGGGTGCGCAGCAGGCGCAGACGGAACTCCTTGTTCTCGGCCTCGGACCCGTTGCTGCCGTTGGGCGCGGGGCCGATGGATGGAGGCAGGCGCGAGGCGCGGGCCTGCTGCGCGTTGATGAAGCTGCGCAGCGACCAGGGTTCGGCGAAGCGCACGTCGACGCGGCCGAGCTTGAGGGAGAGGACGGACGAGGCGGAGAGGAAGTCGCGCAGGTTTTCTTTCGGCTTGGGTTGGCCGAGGAGCTCGGAGATGTACGAGCTGGAAGGGGGGTTATTAGTTTTGCTGGGGTGATGTAAAAAGAGGGAGAGACGGAAGGTGGCTTACTCTACTTCGATGACCTTGTCGTATTGGGTGCTGACGGGGCAGATGATGGCGTCGTCGACGCGGCCGGACAGTACGCTGTCTAGGAGGAAGCTGAGGATGCCGAATTTGGGAGGGAGAAGCTTTCCGGTTCGTGATCGGCCGCCCTCTGATGGTGAAGAGTCAGCCAGGGAACTCGCAGAGGGTTGCGGCCAGGACAAACGTACCAACGAAGCATTCAAAGTTATAGCCATGTGTCAAAAGAGCATCCATGTACGATTGCACAACAGCTTGATACAACTGGTCATCTCCAAAACTTCTGCGGATCCAGAAAGCGCCTGATCGAGATGTCAGTGCTCATTCCTTTTGGTAACATATAGCCATAGTCTGCTAGAAGCTTAGCGAACCTACCAGCATGCTGCAGGAACTGTCCGACAAGCGGAAAGTTCAGATTGTCACCCGCGACGACTGTGGGCAGCGCCAGGCCCAACCGATAGCAGATGAGTTGTAATGAGACGTAGTCGACATGTGAGCGGTGACAAGGAAGAAAAATGATGCTGTGTTTATCTCTCTCCGCCTTCTCGGCGACAGCGCGTAACCGGAGGACTTCTTCGGAATTGACGTGGATGCCTATGAAACGGTAAGCATAAATTCAACGAAGAGCAATAAACGCGATGGCCCGAACAACGGAAAGGGAGGGAGGAAGGGATGTGAACCAGAGCCACGCCAGCCATCCGCCCCAACCCAAACACAGCGCAAGTCGAACTTGAACCCACCTTGATGATACGCCCTCGTCAAAATCTGCGCGCACAGATAGTACGCCCCGCGAATAAACCGCTTACTCTCCATCTTACAAATCATATCGTCCGTCATCCCCTCCACCACCTCCTCCAACTGCGTCTGCACCTCCCTCCTCCTCCTCTCCTTCTCCTTCGCGCCCCTCCTCCTCGCCTTTTCCCCACCACCCGTTTCTCTCGTCCCACCAAACCTCCCCTCCTCCCGATCCTCCACCTCAACCCGCTGCGCCGCCAACTCGCGTATCTTGGCCTTCAGCATCGGGTTCCCCGTCACGCGCGCCTTCATCTGCTCCGAGAAGCCGGCGTAGAAGACGGGCTGCCCCACGACGTTGTCGTAGCTGCGCCAGCCGTGGCCCGACACGTGCGACGAGAGTTCGCGCAGGAACTCGAAGGGCGCTTGGCGGAAGCGCGCGACGCCTTCGACCAAATTGTGGTCGGGCGACTCGTGTTGTTGTTGTGCTTGGAGCGATTGTGGGGTGTAGGGTTGCGTGCCGCTGGGGAGGAGCGAGGTGGTGGAGGAGGAGAGGTCGGGCGTTGTGCCTGTGAAGCCGGTGGGGTGCAGAGACACTTGGTCGCCGAGGATGGAGAGGTCGGGCGCGGAGGAGGCGTTGGGGGAGGCGGGTGGTTTGGGGCTGCTGCCGCCGCTGCCGCTGCGAGCCATTGTGGTGGGTGGGGTGGAGCTTGGGAGCTCTGGGGGGTTGGAGGTGCTGGGCGGAATGCGTTTGAGGGCTGTACGGTGTTCGGCGGTGGAGCGGAAGTAGGTTCGGTGCGGGCGCGGTGGTGACGTCCTAGCTCAGTGTATCGTTTCGTCTCGAGGACGCATGGGGAGGATGAACAGCAGCTCCCAGAAACGATAATATGCGGGGAACAATTGCAGGAGGGAGAGGGTGCAAGCTGCGACGATGGCCGAGGCGGGAGGTGTGTTGGTGCCGACGTCGGCGGTTCTCGGGACGATCGCCGCGATGAGATGTCGATTGACGTGTGGACGACCGGAGGACCAGGCTTTTGATTTGTCTCGGATGCTCAGATGTAGAGGAACCCGGGCGCTGGCGTCGGGGGAGAGCGAGGCTCAAGCGGAGGTGCGCTCGAGTCGATGGCCACATGCGCCAAGTCTGGGGAAAGAAAGCGGAACTGCCGAGGCAACGTCAGGGATCTGAAGCCCTCGCATCATCCCGCATTCCTCTGACTCGCGCATGTCGCACTGCCGTTTGCTCTGTACAACACCATCACGGGAGAGGCGCTGGATGAGGCGCTGCTTCTGGATTCCATCTCTGCAGTGTTCCCATCTCCCTCAACATCATCATCGCCTCATTTTCCAGTCAACACGAATGAGCAGGCTTCTGCAGTGCGATCCTAATCAGTGACCATGGCCGCAAAAAATTCAGCACCTGCCCAATCTGGGTCGATCCATTGGAAATAAACATCGGCTCGTGGATCACGGCTTCCTCAATTCAGGAGTATCATGCATGAAATTTGCCTTGGTCCCGCTTTTGCGGATCCTCAGCCCACGCGCGGCACAGCAACAATGCATTAAGCGGGTGATGCTCAGGAGATACTGAATTTTTACAACTGCAATCGCGATTTCGAAGTCCGCAAACCAGCCACCATCCTGCCCGAACGTCAATGGCTCTGCGATCCAACCAACACCGCTACGAATAACAGCCAGCCGTCGAAATTTAGTAGGCGGAGTCCTGCCTCGCCAGCCCCAATGCGGACTAGCTTATATTCCCAGCCACCGTGCCGTCGCCTGCTCTGCAGTCCCTAATCGTTCCTCGAAATCAGTAAAAACTGAAAGGAAAATCCGGAATGATTATGCTCAGCGCAAATTAATGTGTCGTCAACCGTCGCAGGATTGTCGTTAGAGAGTGGATCGGGTGCAGTCGGCCAGAACATTGCGTGGATGGGTATGGTTCTCGAGGCCATGGCCGTTGACCTGTCCGTTCCATTTGGTTTGTTTTTTTATAATCCAACAATTTGGTCCTCCGGTGGAAGGATCCAGGCCAAGGCTGGGTGGTGTTTCATGAAGGTCCACATCGCCCCGCGACTCCCTTGGGTGACAGATGCTATACCCGAAGCCCACGGCTCTGCGCCAGCAGAGTCAAGCGCTCCGAGGACTCCACTCGCAACTTGCCGTGGTCCAGCATCGCAAGTTGGCTTTTCTTGATGACGCCGCTGTTACGCGGCCCTTTCCGGGTGATTGAGGCTTCGAATTTGAGGCGTGAGCTGAAGAAGAGAAAAACAAGAGCAACAATGACGAAGAAAGACATGTCGTCGATGGGAAACATCGCTGACAGGAGGCGTCGTCCTCAATGAACGACCATTGGGTGGACGTTGGGGGGAAGGATGTGCGGGCGGGGTGCGAGTGGAGTTTTCATAGCGTGTGGCGGGGGAACAAGCTTATTTTGCGGCTGAGGCAGGAACTTGCCTCAATGGGTCCGGCTCAGGCAGATGTTGCCGACTAAGCATCTTGCACGCGTGCTGCAGGATTAACGAATGCTGACCGCGTCAGGTTCTGCACCTAAATCTAGTTGCGTCGCGTCGTGGCAACACTATTCCTTTCAGGCTCCTGGAACTGCATTGAAGCAGGGTTTCAGTGCAACAAAGCGTTCTACGCTGGAAGGTCTTGAGGATACAAGAATCAGTAGGCCGCAGGTAATACATTCGGTTTGTTAGTTGCTGATCTCTCAATTCTCCACTCATTTGTTTCAGAGAGATCGATGCGCGCCAGGTATGTTTATTGCGCAAGAACGAAAAGCGATCGATTCGACCTGGCCGGCGCTATAAACGACAGGGGAAGATCAGAAAGCTTTCGGAAGTTACAGCCGTTGGAAGAAACCAAGCTTTCTGCCTGCGCGGGAGATCAACCCATTGGTTTGCCTATTGATGAGCGGCTAAGTGGGTTTGAGCTGGAATGAAAGACGGCACGAGAACCTTTGTCGGCTAAACTCAACTACACCTCTATCCCTTTTGCCGCCACTCCCATGCGTCATGTACAAACACATCTCACACACTGGCGCAACAAAGACTCGGGAGCGGCCCTTCGATGTGGGGCGGCAGATGGTAGGACAGTTTCAATTTTAGCGTGTCGGAAACGCTTCGCTTACTCAGGGGCACGGGTCGAAACAAGGTGATCAGCGCTCGGGAGGCCTCAACCAGATGTTTCACAATGCCCATTCGCTCTCGCGGCTGTTTTCAATCCCTCCCTTTCATATGCTATAGCCCGTAAACGGCGTATTGAAGCATGAGCTCTCCAGATGCTCGCCTAATGTGGATACCGCGGTCAAGCTTATTATAACGGCAAGCCTTATATCTACCTTTGCATATATACCAACTCTCCGCCCATGTAATTCCAGATCAATCTTCTGGAAAGCGCTGAGGTTGATCCTTCCAAACCATCTTCCATTCTCCACACATTCATTTCACCTATACATTCGCATCACAAGAATCAATCATGCAGTACACTCTCGCTAGCAGCCTCCTTCTCCTCACCGGCACCACCCTGGCTGCCCCTGTGGTTGAGCAACGTGCCGCCTGCGCCGACGTGCACATCTTTGGCGCGCGCGAGACGACCGTGTCGTCAGGCTTCGGCTCGGCCGGCACCGTCGTCAACCTGATCAAGAACGCCCACCCGGGCGCCACCACCGAGGTCATCGACTACCCGGCTGCGGGCGGCAACAGCTATGGCTCGTCGGTCCAGACCGGCACCAAGGCCGTCGCCTCGCAGGTCGCGGCTTACGTCAAGGCGTGCCCGAATGCGAAGATCGTGATGGTTGGATACTCGCAGGTTAGTTGCCCTCCTTTTATTATTGCTCTCTAGTTGGGTCTGTCGAAGACTTTAGATGCTGATTGCTGGATAAACTGCAGGGCTCGCAAATCATGACCAACGCCTTCTGCAACGGCGGCGACGTCAACCAGGGCATCACCGACACCACCGCCCCCATCTCCAGCGACGTCGGCTCCCATGTCGCCGCCATGATCTGGATGGGCAACCCCCGCCACAAGCCCGGCGCGTCCTACAACGTCGGCACCTCCACTGCCGCAGGCGTAAGTCCCCCTCACTCCCAGCTCCACCGACACGTGAAAGTATGATGGCGAAAGCTGACATTGAAGCAGTTCGATCCCGAGGCCCAGGAGTGCACCGCGTATGCCGACATCATCCAGTCGTACTGCGACGCCGCGGACCCCTACTGCTCCAACGGCAGCGACGCGTCCGTCCACCAGGGTTACGGCACTGAGTACGGCCAGGCTGCGCTTAAGTTTGTCAACAGCAAGCTCGCTTGAAGAGGGGAAATGGCTTGAACGGCTGCGATTATGTATTTTGACGTTCTCAGTAAATATGAAAATCTATTGTGGCAATGGCCCCGTAGAGGCAGGCCAAAAGCATGCGCATTTTGTGCTCTACTTTTTGACATGTTTGTCTGGCGATTTCTCAACACTTTCAACGATATGGTAGGTGGGATAACTGGGTTTGCGGCATTAAACTTCACTGAAGAACCGGAGCTGGCGAAAGTTGTAGTGAGGGGGCCTTGGAAGCGTTCCATCAGCGCGACTTCGACGGCCTAAATTCACTGTACCCACTTGATTGCACTGCTATTGTGTGCAATTATCAGCCACAGTGCGTATTCAGTCCTACGAATGGCCACCCATGCTCTAGTCAATAGGTTATCGATAAGGAGTGGCTGCCGGCATGCCCCTCAAATTCTACGCAGAAAGCTACGTTAAGAGTCGCGATACTACATCGTACTACAATCCTCTTGCTATCGCGCGTCATCGCTGACGGGCAGATGGTGTCGCAGGCTCGACATTCGTTCGTGTGGGCATGCGTTCGGGACTTTTGAGGGACAGAAAGGTATTCGAAGACATTATTAGTCTTTACATCAGGGCAAGATAGAGTATATGCGCGACATAATGCGGAGGATCTGAGCCTCAGCTTTGCCCCCATTGGCCAAGTGGGGTTGACAAAGCCCTCTTTATCTTCGCTTTACTCCTTTGACAATTTGCTCCCTGCAACCTACAATATTATCTTCTTTTATATTTCCGTAGATTGGTTCGAGTTATATGCTAAAAACTATTCCTCCAGCCATGCCGGTCATTGTGTACAGCTCTCACGGCTGGTATCGGAAGGTCCACTCTTGCTCCGCCACCGTCTACGTGGCAATGCATTAGCGAGAAATTTTGGCGAATAGTATTACAGGCTTACTCGTAACATAGTTTACTCTTCTCGATGAACTTTCCGGATGTTATTCAAACTCTGCTCCCAATCGATTTTGTCGCTTCATTTTCCTCCATCTCAATACCTCTGTCCAGACGTCTTGGATCGATTTAAGGGCCCCGAATAGCAGAAGCCGAATTAACAGAAGCGATCAGTCTTACCGTCAATACACGGATGGCTGACCTGAACAGCCCTCTTTTTGATTCTAATCGACGTACGAAACTCTCGTCCTCAAAGGTCCATTATTTCTCTTTGGGCAACCCGTATCGCAACATTGACACCGTACGACCGGAGAGTACGACCAGTCTTCAATGTGAACTCTGCAAATGCGTACAGCTGTTCACAACTGGAGGAAATGGAGTTAGTCATGAGAATCTCCCATATTTCTGTCAAAGGTTCTTCCACGACAGATGTACCACATGCCTTCCCCCGGAGCCATCACCAGAGCCTCTATGTTCTTTTTGCAACCATCTTCGGCTCCCGCACATTTTCGGTTGCGTCACTCCTGAACTGGAACATCTTCCGTCCTCATCATCAGAAATCGGATTTTCCATTGATTGGGGCAAAGGCTACAAGGAACTCTTGGGCGATCAGACCTGCCTGTTGTGCGCACTTATAGGGACAATACTCAGGAGTCGCGCTACGAAAATGCATAAAGTTGAACACCTTTTTGGTGACTTCATCTTCGTGGACTTTATCATGGAACGTCAGATTTTCGACCGACCAAGTTTCTGGAAGCTACGGATCCGTCGTCCCCAAACACCGCAGTCGAAAGCAATCTTGGCCACAAAAGGCATCATCGCTACAATTTCAATGAAGAATTCGAAAGAAAGAAGTGGTAAAGAAACCTATTCCGACCCTCCAATTGGCCTGGATGTAAATTGGGATCAGGTGAGGCGATGGATGGGGGTATGCCATCTGCATCAGCGCTCGCGACAGAAATCCATCGAAACCACGGACAAGGACTTCAGGCTCGTTGATTTGTGGAACAATTGTCTAGTCAACGGGTCTCAAGCATGGTCGTATGCGGCCCTCAGTTACGTCTGGGGGAATCCGAGGGCTTGGGAAGCGCAGACCGTTCTAGCCAACGTCTCACAACTTGAACAGAAGGGAGGCCTGTTGCTTCATGAACTGCCCCAATGCATTTTGGATGCTCGGACGGCATGCAAACACCTCGGGATCAGGTTTCTCTGGGTTGATCGACTTTGCATTATCCAGGACGATGCAAAATCAAAACACGGTCAGATCAAAGAGATGGGAAACATTTACGCTTCTGCGGTTGTTACAATTGTGGCAGCCGCTGGCAAGAACGCAAGGTATGGCCTCATTGGCATTTCCAAGCCGCGTGCTTTTCCTCAACAGAGGCTGGTCTTGCAGGGCGTGGAGTTCACAGAGACTCTTGGAGCGTACGATTTTTTCCACTTAATGAATGAGTCTATGTGGAGAAGTAGGGGATGGACGTTCCAAGAGGAGAAGTTGTCAACGGCGCTACTTGTATTCACAGAACGCGGGGTTTTCTTCCGGTGCAAACATAACCCAAAGCACATGAGGATAGAAGGCCAAAGCGGAGAAGACATGTCGCTGGAAGTCGATGAATACCCTATTGTGGTTCCTAAATACTCTCAACGGAAGCTCAGCTTTGAATCTGACATCCTCAATGCCTTTTCAGGATATCTCAACATGATGTTCAAAGATAAACATTACTTCGGACTACCTTGCGCTTATTTCAACTCGGCCTTGCTATGGAGATCAGCGGACGATTCAGGGCTCCCACGCGAAAGTAATGGCAACGACACCTTTCCCAGCTGGTCTTGGGCATCAAGAACAGGCTACGTCAGTTACCAATCATGGTATATGCCTGGGAATCACGAACCTGTTGCGTCCTGGGCTGCTATCTTGTTTCCACCAGGAAGTACGAGTCCACAGCTTCTCCCTGTATGTGAGGTGCCTTCCAAGCTTCCATCTCTACAAGAGCTGCTGAGAAAGAAGCTATATTGGAAATATGGGCAGGAGAAGTTCGCGTGGAAGAGATATATCCTCAAGAAACGCCTACTCTCTCCTATCCTCAATGATGAGCTGATCCGTTTTTGGACCACGCTTCCACGACAGGTGAAGAGCTACAAGGGGGTTTGGTTCCAAAACAGATGGCTCTCGATAAAGCATAATCTGTTCCCAAATGTCATTGCAGGTCTTGAGCCGCGCGAGGTCTTCCGGGCAGGCCGTCTTTTGGCATACACGCAGATTACAAATATTTCCGTCACTCGATTGGTTTGGCCAACCTCGATCGCCCGCCTAAGGAACGCTCCATTCGTCCTTAGAAACAAATTTGGCAAGTGGATCGGCTTCGTCGATCCTGACACGGCCATTGCGGAGCGCATTGATGCTTATGCGCTTACAGGGGAGACATATTCTGCAGAATGCCTTGCTCTTTCTCTTCACAGAGAAAATGCCAATATTCTTCGATTTTCATTACTTCTTGATGAAAATTTAGATACGCTACACGATCGAGCAGAAAGGCCTAACGATGGCTATGAGTCACAGGAAATGTTCAAAAAAAGATCTCATGAATTTTGGAGGGAAATGGGAGGCCTGAAACATCAAATTCAAGAAGCCAAGCGAGAGACTCCCCCTTGCCCATCCAGTCCGATCGATGATCCGCATTGGGCCCATCCACTTCAGTTGACGGTCATGATGATTGAACGGACGGAAGGTGTTGCTCGCAGAGCAGGAGTTGGCGACGTTTATCTCAAGAGATGGAGGGAATCAGCGCCAAGTTTTCAAACGGTCGTACTTGAGTAGCGAGAGATATACGTTGTACGGAGTGAGAGAGATGATCTAAAGTTAAATCACTTTTCCTTACCTTTAGTCTTATATCCCCCAGAACAACCGTCAGTAGTGTTGATAATCTCTTTCCTATTATCACGGGTAGCACCATTAGGGGCTAACTACATTTAGACTAGCTCTGCTCCGACGCTGGATACGTGGCTGAGGTCTTACATAGCCCCACTTCCTCCAAAATTCCAATCCAACCTCGGGGCCACGAACTGACTGTTCAACCACCTTCGCAGACGGCAGTTCTATAGACAACTATACCGAGCTTGCAAGCTGAGGACCATGGACATTCAAGATTATCCACCTGTGCATTCGTGCATCTATTGTCGTAATTTCATTCTGGATCAGTTCGACCTCCCTCCGGATCAGTCGCGGGCGAAAATAGGTAATGGTCGGAAACATGTCAGCAAGGATTCATTTTCACTTTCAGAGCTTCGCGAAAGAAGCCAAGACGGCTGTATCTTCTTCGGAATTGTTCTTTCTAAAGCCCCGCAAGAAAAGTCATCTCCACAGGCTTCTGTCAAGTTCTGCCTCCATCTGCTCAAACCATTGCGTTTCAACAAATATATTTGCAAGCTTGAGTGGGAGTGGGAGCTGCATAAAGAGTCTGGGAGCTTTCAAGTCTTCGCAATGCCAGGTTTGATCATAATCTCACGACCTCTCAATGCTGTCGCTTACCAAGTGCAGGCGATGCGGCTTTCAATGAGCTTAGATCGGGCCCACCTGTTCGGCAAAGAGCAAACCAGTCAAAGACATGGAAAGAATGGCTCGAAGAATGTGACTGTTCACATGAAGAGTGTGAATTAGCAACCGATTACAGGCCATCTCGACTCCTCTTCGTAGGCAGCCATGAAGAAGAGGCACTTCGTCTCGTCGACAGCCATGCCGAAAATAACATCCGATACGCAGCACTGAGCTACTGCTGGGGCATGGACCAAACCTACAAGACCACGCAGGCGACAAAGTCGCTCTACGAACAAGCGATCCCGCCCTCAGCCCTATCAACCTACCAAACCATCACCGACGCCATCCACGTCGCCCGCAGCCTGCAGATCCACTACCTCTGGATCGACGCCCTCTGCATCGTCCAAGACGACCCGGCCGACGTCACCCGCGAGCTCGCCAAGATGCGCTCCATCTACGCCGGCGCCTACCTCACCCTCACCGCCGGCTGCACCACCTCCAGCCGCGACCCCTTCCTCGCCTCCGCCATCCCCGCCGCCGAACACCCGGACATCCAAATGCGCTTCCTTTGCCAAGATGGCACCGAAGGCTCCCTCCTCCTCCAGTCCCAGCAAAACTTCGTCTCCGAGCGCGCCGACGACCCCATCGCCGCGCGCGGCTGGACCCTGCAGGAAGACCTGCTGTCGCCGCGCGTCCTGCACTTCGGGCCGTACAGCGTGCTGTGGCGCTGCGCGACGATGATCGCGACCGACCGCAGCGGCGGCGAGCCCCGGTACCTGCAGGCGGCGGCCGAGCGGCAGTCGCTGGACGTCGCGTCGCTGCGCCAGCTGAGCACGCAGACGCTGATGCAGCGCTGGATCGAGATCGTGCAGGACTACGCGCGGCGCCGGCTGTCGGTGCCCGCGGACAAGCTGCCTGCGCTGGCCGGTATCGCGGACTTGTTCGACCAGGTGTTGCCGTCGTCATCGCCGTCGTCGTCGTCATCGCCGCCGCGGTACCTCGCCGGCGTGTGGGCTGCGGATCTCCATGCGCAGCTGCTGTGGTACGTTGACGCGCCGCTGCCGCGTCCGTGGCGCTACCGCGCGCCGTCGTGGTCGTGGGCGGCGACGGAGGGGTTGGTGTCGTTTTCCGGGCGGTATCCGGTCCATGTGGTTAGTCGACTGGAGATGCTGGACTGTGCCATTGACCTCGAGGCAGAGGAGCTGCCTTTTGGTGCCGTAAGCTCGGCGGTTATGCGAGCTGAAGGGCGGGTCAGAAAGATTGGTTGGTCGCGGTCGTGGCGGGGGCTCGACTCGGGGTTCTTTTTTCGCTTTCGGCCGGAGTGGGAGGACCCGGAGGATACGTTGAACGATACTAATCTGATTCCTGATAGTGCTGAGGATAGGGAGTTGCTTGAGCGGGACACGCCGGAGATATGGGTTTTGGAGGTGACGACTGAGATCAGTGATAGCCCGTCTGGACCGATTGTTTGTCTCAGTCATGGACTCGCGCTTGTGCCGGCGGGTGATTGCTTTAGGCGGATTGGAAGGTTCAAGCACTCGCGAGTCGTCAAAACGCCAGAGTATATGGAGCAGAACCAGGCGGTCGATTATTACTCCGAGGATTACAATGGGCCCACGGCATTTTGGGTAAACGAGGATGGTGACGAAGAGGGACACTACTGGACAGAAGAGGATATCAAGGAAGTGCCTTGGGAAGACGAGGACTGGTTTCGAGACTGCGAGACGCAAGTCCTTAAACTCGTCTAAGCTGCCGGTAACTATTAATATCTGGTAGATTTCTTTCTGGTTGTGACGATTGATCTGGGTGACTTCCAAGAGCAAGTCGCCGTCTTGACATATCTCTTCAATACTTCCCTTTTAATGTTGTTGTATATACGCCGATTTGAGGCTTGTGCTTTCCCCAGGCATCAATGTGGGGCGTTCCACGCCGCAATCAGAACACAGACTGCCCCGCCACGTATTCGCGTGCCTATCACTGCTTCAAACATAAAATGGTCCCTTGCATACTCCCCAGAAGGATTCAATCCATCCGCACCTTTCCTCCTCCCTCTTCCCAAACCACCCCACACTCCCACCATGCGGCGGCCAACACCCCACCAAACCGCCATCCTCTCCGCCTGCGCCACCCAACCCCTCCAAACCGTCCTCTCCCTCCTCTCAACATGCCCGGATCCACCCCCATCCGCAAAGTGCATGGCCGACGCCGCCGCCACCCACGGCAACGCCCCCGTCCTGGACCACCTCGTCCGCAGCGGCGCCATCCACTTCAAGGGCTTCCTCCTCTTCTACTCCGCAGCCGCGCACTCGCGCGCATGCGTCGAAATCATGCTCAGAGACCCCGCGCGCCGCGGCGGCGGCTGCGACATCAACGACCGCGACGACCGCATCGGCAACGTGCTCAACTGGGCGCTCGCGGGCCGCCGCGGCTGTCCAGACGCCTTCATCGCGTGGCTGTTGGCGCGCGGCGCGCGGCCTTGCCGCGGCGACGACGAGCAGGTGCCGCAGCAGGAGTGGACGTTGCGACTGGCGGCGACGCGGGGCTCAGTTGGAATTATGCGCATGCTGGTGGCGCACGGGGCGGGGGCGGATCAGGTGGATGCGTCGCGGGCGCTGCATACGGCTGTGGCGAGGGGGGAGGTGGAGATGGTGCGGTTTTTGGTGGAGGAGGCCGGGGCGGATGTGAATGAGCCGGGGTGGTATCGGTGGGAGGTTACGGGGTGGATGAGGGATCCGGGGACGCCCGTTGCATAGGGCGGCGGAGAAGGGGTTTGGCGGGCTGGTGGAGTACCTGTTGGCGCATGGGGCGAGGGTGGATGTTAGGGATGGGGCGGGGAGGACGCCGTTTCAGGTTGCGTTTGCGAAAGGGCGAGAAAATGTGGTTGAGTTGGGGATTGGCATGATTGGGTATGTGGAGGGGCGTCGTACACGAAGGTTTGGGTAACTATGGTTTTGTGTGCTGGGGATTCCCTCTTGAAGTCTGACAGGACTTGTTTCAGAGGTATGGTTTGCGAGAGCCACCACATTCGGACGAAGACAAGCTAATTGCTATCTCAGACATAGCTCGTCGCTTTCAGGCCGCAAGGAAGGAGGACAATAGCCAACAGGGAGCATAGTTGGACCTTGTCAAGGATCACCGGCCCTGACCATTATCTTGGTATGCACGACAAACCGCTCGTCGCATCGGTCATTGGCGTTCTAGTGAGGTCTGTCGACCCATTGAACCTGTATGGCAAGCTCTGGTCGGGTATTGCTACAATTAAAGGGTTTTCACGCGGTGCGTCTACACCTGTAGCGGCGATGACCACCGGAGTCTCTTGTTTCCTAGCATTTCACTATCGGGTGGAGCCGCGGTCACAGGTGGCTTCTTTGTGAATGATAAAGAAGAAAGTCCCAGCTTCTTAGACAGACATGCCGCCCTGTTTATTGGCAATCGATTGGAGCTGATAGCTGCCAATATTGGCCACTGGGAGTTGTATTAGCGTAGAGAACTGTCATAGCCATGCGACGAAGCCTTGAATGCATGGATGGTCCAGAAGCAGGGTATAATCACGATGTTATAGAGCTTTCCTCGCAACTCGGAAGCCCGGCGTCCGTGTAACTGCTCCCACGTATGGCGAGAGTCTCTGATATGCTCGACACGTACGCATTTGGTGGGTTGCTTTGGGCGAGGTGCTTGAGGAAGAGGCCAAGGCAGCTGGTGCTAAGGGTGGCGGCGTTGAGTTTGCTGAGGAGCGCGCGCTCAGCGAGCGGCTTGAGGTACGTGTCGATACCCAAAGGAAAGGAGCAGAAGGACGTTCCGGAGCGGCAGGATTGGTGGGAGAGGCAATCGTTGTGGCGGTGAGCCCGAACTCTTCTGCGACGGGCGCGTTGTTGCTGCTGCTGCTCACTGTTTGCGTCGCGGCTGGAGCGCTCTACACTCCGCCTGTCCTAGGCACTAGCTGTGTGCTCAAGAAGCGGCCTTGCAAGATTTTCGTCCTGTCAAGCACGTTAGCCCGTTAGCTGACGATGTAGCAAGTCGCGGCAGTGCGCACAACAGAACGTCGCAGCAGTCTTTGTCGCTGCGTTCGTGAACTTCCTTCTGTCGCTCTCCTGCGCCTGCCAGCGCGTTTTTGGGGCCAATCGATGTCGTCGCTTTGCAGTGCTTGCGGAAACATTGGTCATCCTGCGTTGTCGCGTTCTTACTTCCCAGTTGTTTGCTCAAGCGTTGTCACTGCAGACGCAGCGTACTATCGGCCCACAGGTCTGGCCTATGACGTCAGAACTTGTGGGAACCCGACGCGCACGACGCTCACTGTGCTCAGGTGAGTCCTTCAGAGGCCCTCCTGCACGCATGCAGCGCGCAGAATCTTGCTCATTATCGCAACGCGCAGTGCATAGACATGACGAAGTATGACTCGCAAGCGGCCTCTCTTTGCGCCTTGATGCAGCGCACGCATGATAGCAGGTCAGGACGGCAAGGAAGAACGCGCCGGGCGTTGGACACATGCAGTTGCAGGATGTGTCATAGCGAGTGAGCACATTACTACTGCTGCTCTCCTCAGTGTCCTTCACTTTTGCTCACTGTCGCCCTGGTAGAATTACACACTGTGTGATCCTCATCGGTTGCTGCCCAATGAGGCTTGAGCGACGCTCGCGACAACGAGGCACTCAAGTCCTTCGAACGATATATCCTAGAGTGGGATCCAAACTACCTAATTATAAGTCCGCTCTAGGGGGCCATAGACTAGCCCTCGGGCAGAGCTTGAGCCGTCCGTCTGTCCTCCGAATTGTCGTTCATGTCTGAACGCCCTGAGCTGGTCCACCCTTGTCTTTACGTAGGCCACTGCACCGCAGTCGTTGGAAATGACTGTATACATCTTGTCTAGATAGCTATGGTGGTCGCTATCCATTGTGCCCGCCAAGCATTCCTCATGCAAGGGGTGGCTCCATTCTCAGCCGCATTTCCCGCACTTGGCACGCTGGACCTACAAGTCCTCTTCATAAAACGCCGCAGGCTACTTGAAGGTTCCTGAAGGACCTAATTCCACTAGGACGTTCCGTTGAGGGCCTTGCTGATTGTAGCAAACTGCCTCTTCGAAGCCGGCCTTGTTCTTTGTTGCCCAGACCCCTAGCTACCATCGCATTATTTTGCCTCTACAACCCTAACCCTAGTGTGCTAACGAGTATATTCGCAATATCAAGATTTCTCCGGTGTAGGAGCCTGTTACTGCATGTTGACGAGGTCTTCCGCGGGTGGACGGATCGTGAGAAGGCTTGGGACCGTACCGGCACTCGTCGCGCGCAGCTGGCGCCGTCGCCGCTGGGACACTCCGAGGGTGTCATCGACAGGGGCTTGCGCGGGGCATGGGAGGTAAAATAATGGTGGTTCTGGTGCGCTACCTGGCGAGGAGACCTCCTATGAGCAAGTCAGCGGTTGAGGTCGCGGACGCGACATTCTCCCTTGGCATCCGCGATGCCGCGCCGCATCCTAGCAAGGATTGTAGCAGTCAGGAGGTGGATTGAGACTTCTCTGAGCATTGGAGGAGGTAGTGGCTGTTGGGCGCAGGCTGTTTTGGCGGAAAAAGCCAGGGCATAGTCGTGAATTCAAGAGTAGAGTCGCCTAGCGCCGCATCGCTGTGTCAGCACAGCTTCCCACTCCAGCGCAGATATACTGACCGTCAGGAGGATCTAGGAAGGCCTTGCGCAAGCCGAAGCGGTTTCCTTCGCATCCTCCACGATGTCGTGCCAGGGTGTGAGCTTGTCCATGTCGTCAGCACCAACCTCCCCCGGCGCGCGTACCGTCGGTGACGACATTAGTAGGGAACGGGGGTTCTGAAGAGGAGAGACTAGGACTCGAAATGGCCAGAGTACAATCGTTCCGAGGTGTTGAGCGACGCCGGGAGAGAGGGGCACTGGGAGGCAAACAGAAGCAGACACCAGAGCCCGCGGCCCGCTGCGACTGCCACAGCCCTAGCCATGCCGCCGCACCACACAATCTCGCAAGCACAGCATCCGCGTAGCATCCTTGACCTCCCTCTCAAAAGACCTCCTCCGCAGGCCCTGTGTCAAGCTTCCCCTGACCGCGAGCGGCGCAGTTGCTTTCAGCGCATCCTCCCACATGTCCGCCTTCCTGTCTTGAAGCAGCTGCGCGTGCCGGCCATTCCATGACCTTGATGGACCTTTGCGGTCATCTGTCAGGCTTCCAATGAGCTCATCGACCAATCAGGGGCCAGGCACATAAGCACAGCTGCGCGCTGGCACTGCAGGGTCCCGTCACGGGGGTGGATGCGTCAGTGACGGCCAGCTGCCTGAATCTGTGGCCCGAGCGTCTACCGCTTCTTCAAAAGCTCCTCCTCCTCCGACTCCAGACCTTCTTCCTCTTCCTCCAACAGACACCACGACCTCATGGCCGCAAAACACCATGAACAATAATCGACTGCCTTCGCCCCTGGCGAAAAAGGCTTTTTTCATTGTTCGACTGCCCTCGGGGCCTTGGCCTCGGGGCAAAAAGTGAGTCGCGCGCCTCCTCCCTCCTCACCTCCCATCGCCCTTCAGCAGCCCTTCAGCATTGTTGTCAAGTGATGAACTTCATCAAACTCTACCCCTCATGACGATTGCGCGCATTATTTGCAAGATCTTCCGCAAACACCCACCCTTCTGGCCTCTTACTCCTTGATTGCGACAAGACACTCCTGCTGACATCCACATTGCAAGCAGAGTCCGCCCTGCTGGATCTTCTGATCTGCTGGCCCGACCCCCCCGAATCGATCGCGGCTAGGGTCCTCCCCACTTCCCGAAACCGCATGAGTGGGGGTTGGGCCGGCGGATCAACCATGGAGGTCACGTTGACCAACACCGAGTCGCAGCCCAAGCAGGGGCCCCAGCCCCAGGTAAGCCATCCCCCTTGTACAGCACAAGCATTGCCGCCCAGTCCGCCGCGCTTTCGTACCCTCTTTCTACTCCTGGATGACACTGTGGCTGACTTGAAGCAGCACCTGGGCCCCTGGGGCTTAGCGGATGCCGTTCGTGCCGCCATCAATGCCTGGCGGGATGCCACATTGACACCATGAGATCGCATTCGCTTCGGCGCTTGCCGACGAATGCGAAACCATCGAACAAGGCCCGGTCAAGTTCCACTGTGAGGACGTCCTTGGTTTCTGCAAGATCGACAACGGCGATTGGTCTGCTGCCTACGCCTTCGATGCATACCATATCATATGCCTGTGTGACGTAGCTTTCGATTTACCGTCGCTCACCCAGACATGCCACGATCTCGATCTGAAGGGGGTCATGATCCACGAGCTCTCACACTTGTCCCGCGTATTCAACCCGGACACCCACGACTACGCAACCGGGTGGCCTAATGCAGCCAACTTGCCAGTGGACATGGCAACCGAGAACGCGGACACGTACCGACTCTACGCTTAAGGTATGTCTTCTCTATTGCCAAGTCCAGATGTTCTTTGACCACTAACGCCACCAGCCGTCTACCTCGGATGCCCCGTCGACGACGACACCCTCCAAATCTACAACTGCAAAGAATGAAAGCACGCAAAGGAGCTAAAAAGCCAAAAGTACGGCGTGCATTCGTTACTTCAAAGGGCACACGGACACCGTCACCTGCCTGGCACTGAACCCCTCCAACGACACTCCTCGGATCGGTCCATTTGCTAAACCGCCTTGAGCGGCATGACTGTGTGGCTATGGGCTCTGAACTCTCCCAATAGCCAGGGCTTGCTCAAACTGCACGGCCCCTACCTTGCGGCCTATGACCCCTGTTCCAGCGTCATTGCCATCGCATCACCCCCAACTCAGACCATCCTTTTGTACGACGTGCGCAATTTCGACAAGCCACCGTTTGCGATTTTCGACAAGTCCAGCGCCGCGAGCCAGCTCGATCCCGAGCTGGTAGCCCAGATAACGGAAGAAGTGAGGAAGCAAGTCTGTCTGGTGGTGTCGTTTTGGAAGATCAAGACCTCGACGATGAGGCCGCCTCCTCTCCCGCGCAATCCCACGACGGCTTTTCACAGCTTCGTGCGACGCTTCTTCATGCAGTCCGCACAGGAGCCCAGCAACAGAGCCGAATGGGAGGCGTTCTTCCTGTTCGAGGTCTACCGCGACTTTCTGCTCCGACCCAAGTCCTACAACAAGTACCACATGACGCCCGTGCAATGGGTCTACCTACGTCACTCGTTGAACATGCTTGGATCATCTGAGCTCTATGTCTTCGTCGACATCGCGTTCCAGATGTTCTCGTAAGTAGGAAACTTCTTGGCTCCGGAAGATCTACAGCTCTAACCAACCCGCCAGCTTCGACTACGACATCCCCGCTCGCACCATGGCGATCCAATGCCCGAGCAACTCGCAGCAGCGCTTCTCCTACTACCTCGTCCTTACTATCCACGAGCAGCTCTGTATGGCCCAGCACCGCCTGCCCGGCTACCGCGACCGCATCCAAGATTACGATGCAAGCGACGATTTCCCCCAGCGCCACGCCACGTGCGGCGTCGACTCTCTCTCCGGCACAAACTGTTCAATGCCAGTCGTTTGGAACCCACGCAGACGACTTCAGCAAGCTCATCGCAACCATGGGTGACGACCGCATCATCGCCAACGACCTTATCATGTCAGTCAGGACGCTTTGAGGAGCTCTACATGACCCAGTGCACGCCCAAGCTCTTGGAATCAGTGAAATCAATTGTTTCAGCTGGAGTCCAAGACTTTTGCAACCGAAACATCGCCACGCAGGCACCTCACTCCACCATCCAGACAGTGCCATCATGGATCCAGCCTGGGCATCTCATGTCACCAATGAGCTTTCTCAGATGCGCCAGGAGATGGCCGCTCTCCGCAACGAGGTCAATGCGCTCAAAAACGACGCGTCGACCGACCTTGGGTCTCGCACATGATCAAGAAGGCCGACCTTGAAGCCGTCATCGGGAACACAAAAGCTCAAATAACATTAGTGCGATCACTGATGTCTTCGACTGGGACTTTCCGGACCGCACCATCGAGGTGCTCACGCTGTGGCACGTCGGCGAGAAGTACCATTGTCAACTTCAAGCCCATCCCCGGCTTCCCCGCCACCGTCGATGACTTGGACCGTCTCACCGCCAATGCTGTCGACACAGTTTTTGATCACCTCGATAGCAAGCGCGATGGTCTGCTGTTTGAGAGGAAGGAGCGCCTCAAGTCCATCATTGGCTTGGTCAAGAACGCTCCAGGCGTGGCAGATGCTTCAAATTGGACCGTTCCTCTTCTGGGCCGCACCGAGAAGCTCGCCGAGTCCTCCCCGCTGTCTGTCTACCCGACCGCCGCCGACGCCCTGTCCCACAAGATCTCGCGCCAGATGGCCGTCTTCGGCGCGCTCGACGAGGAACGCCGCATGGTGCGCCGCCAGCGGGCCGGTGTCGACGGCACCTTGGACCGCGAGATGTTCGTGCGCAAGGCGCCGGCGCATGGCTGGATCGAGATCGTCCGCAGGGAGCGGATTGAGGGATACGACAAGAACCAGTTTTCCTCATCCCACCGGACGCAAGCTTCATCCTTGGAGACTGCACGCGTGGCAAGGACCTCGAAAATGCTGTTCAGTACATGCATGCAAAGTACGACCACCCGAAGCAATTCGACTTCATCGTCATGGACCGTGCAAGGCAGCTAGGTCTAAGTCTCGTGAAGGATTCTATGTGGAGTGGGCCTTGTGCGCGCGCCAACGAGCCGCGCTTCCTCCACCCGACCTTCACCGACGACCGCATCCTCACCTGCGCCTTCGGCCACGCCTACCACGCGGTCTGCCTGGAGATCGAGATCAACAGCCCTCGCAGCGACGACCGCGTCTTTCAGGACCGTTGCCCGCAGTGCCGCCGCCGCCTCTTCGCCGACACAGCGCGGATGTCTTGGGTAGAGAGATTGATGAATGCATCGTTGGGTGGAAAGGGATTGGGGACTCGATGGATACCAGTGGCGAGGGGTCTTATGTAGTTTCACGCAATGGAGATCTTCGGATAAATTGACTGCAAACTACTCGCGTGAGAAGGGTACGTCGATGCCATCGTGAACGACAGAGGGATTCTAGCTAGTATTCTTGATTGGGAAGTGCCAGGCATTTCAGACTCGTGGCCTACAATCTCCTGCAGTGAGGCGTCTTCCATTTGCAGTTCAATAGGAAGAATCCACCTTGGGTGGCCAGTTTGCTTTGATCCCACGCCGCTCACTCCAATCTTATTTCAGTAGATGGCGTGTCGAGAACCGTACAGATACGTCTTTGGCGGCGTACGTTGTGGAAACCGTGAGATCGCGTCGACGTACTGTACCACCAACAAGCCTCTTGGAAACCTAAGGTTGGATCAGCAGCAGCAAATTACCTACGGAGTGGTTCCATTTTGTGGACTCCATCAGACTGATTGAGACTTATCGGATGTATTTCCCATTACCGCGGAGTGCAATGCCATACGACACTACTAGATCTACTAACGAACAAGTCTCTAGCACCGAAGAGAGTAAACTATCTTGAGCTTAGGAATACTAGAGTGCAGACAGCGTACGTAATAGCATCAAGATAACTACAAGTACCACGTCTTATATTGCGTTTCCTCGAGTGTGATAGTGTACCATAATGAAAATTCATCAATGCGAATCCAATTTTGCCCAATAATCGGACTTTACATCTCCTCATTAACGCTTGATGGCTTAGACAAGCTTGAAAGTACCCGTTTCCCAATTTTGAAGAGGGTCTTTACCTTCCCTCTTGTCTAATAAGTTACGAAAAACTCCAACGCGGTACCATTCGTTCTCCTTCTCCGCTCGAACAATCAGAAGGCCATTCATGGTCTTATCCTCTGAGCCTTGTCCAACCAAAAGCATCACCAGGTCATTCAGCCAGCTGGCAGAAGCAGCTGTTAGTACGCGTCTCTTGGGGTATGCCTTGTCATCGCCTTCCTCTTGCTCTTCCTCCATAACATCTTCGAGGTCTTCGTTCACATACCAGTCGAGTTCACATTCCGCGGTAAAGTAACCGCTGTCTCCTGCTGTCCAGTACCGTCTCTTAAACCCCGAGCGGATCTTCTCATACAGAGTCGGACCAGGAAGAGACTGTGATCGCCCTCTGATTAGAATATGTGCAGATTGGACGCAGCCGAACCGATTTTTCCCTTCCACGACCGACTCCGCTTCAATGATGTCGCACGCAGCAGTCGCTGTTGATTCATCCCACTCTATATATTGCTGCTTCATGACCGGATTTATCCAGCTCCATGATGGTCCAATGTACTCCTGCCGAGACGAAACCTTGTCCATGTGGCTTTGGTGATCCAATTTCGCATCGGCTGACGCTATTGTCCAGCTCAGCCCTTTTGGTAGATCCGATCTCCATAACCCGCAGAGATACTCGTCCCCTATCTTATCCGAGAGGACTGTTGCGATCGCGGAAACAGCCGGCAGAATATCTTGCTGGAAGCTCAAAGACCTGCCCGAATATCCTGTGATATTCAAATACCAATAGTCATTCAGGACACATCCTATGTCCCCTTCCAGTCCAATCTCATTGATCCAGTCGCCTGTAATCTCGGTTCTTTCTGGTATTGATTCGCCATGGTCGCTTCTTGTCATGTTTTGGCATTCGAAACATATACCAGAATCGCCAAAGCAGAGTCGTCTGAAGGACATGAGAAACTCCTGGAATGTCCAGCCGCGGGAAAACCACTCGGAGCTCTGAAATGAACTGGAAAACAAGTCGCTAAGATCACCCGTGACGAATAGCTCAGGCAGGGTCTTCCGAACTGTGAATGCGCCTTGAATATTTGGATTGACAACGGAATTGAAGGGAACTTCAACATAGTCTCTTGATGCTCTCTGTCCCAGGAAGCCTTCAGAGCTCGAATTGCTCCTTAAGGGAATGATCGTTATGAATGCGTTGGCGTACGCATCTGCCATTCTCGAAGCCTCATTTTCCCAGTCTTCTTTATCACCCTGGATGATACAGAGGGCATCAATCCAGAGCCATTCTACGCCAATGGCGCGAGTCACAAGAACAGCGTCACGGCAGGTTGAGGGCATGTTTTCCAGTGGGATTTCTTTAAGATGGTCTTCCAGATTTGCTTCCACGGTCTTCAGGGTAGGCGAGGTTCCCCAGCAGTAACTAAGGATTGCGTATTTCGGGCGGTTCTTCATCAATTCTTCTTGCCTGCCTGTGATTACCAAGCGTGGATTGTCAAATTTGCTGCCAGTACCGTCGCCGACGTAAATGAGCCGTGTTGGAATTGAATCACTGAGCTGTTTGTGGCTGCAAAATGTCGTACATTCAGAAATGCAGCCATTGATCCATGATATCTTTTCCGATGTAAAAGCATCGTGGGCAGGAGGCATCTGTGAAATGCTTAACCATGTAGCAAGAGCCCCTGAAGACTAAGTTACTACAAAGTTACCGAGAATGGTCATACTAGAGCTCACCTTGAGGAGCGCAAATTTCGAATCTAATATCGTGTTGCAGACGCCTCTTCTGAAGTTCGAATTTCAACCTCAACTGAGAATTCCAGCTGCGCGGAGGGACTCCAGAGTCCTGATCTGCCTGAACCCAAGCGTATTCGACCAAAGGAATATTTAAGTCATCCCGTGGAATTGAGGGATAGTTATTTCGAAGATATCCCTGGATTGACCGCCTAAGGAATGAACAAAACTGGCATCCAGCATCGGCAGTTCTCTTCAAGCCAGGCATATCTGGCAGTATGTCTCGTCGGTTGTAATCTAGCTGTAGTATGCGCTCCTTGGTCCCTGCCGAAGACTCCCACTCGAGTATTTGATCGTCGGCGAAAGAAAGCACCGCCTCGTTCGTGTCGGACCTACCCACGTATCCGCCACAGATAGAGTCATCGAATTGCAGCACCTTGCAATGCTGGCAGAAGTTTGACATGGTGGGATGTTCTGCTTCTCTTGATGGATACGCTGATGCTGTCCACGGAGTCGACAGCCTATTCCAAGTGCTGTTGCTAGAGCCTCGTGAAATCCAGTGGCAAGTCGCAATGTTGCTTTGATTGAGAGGATCAGAGATGTCAAATGTTCCGCGATGCTCACCACAACGCTTGTCGAAAAGTAGTTGTTGGTTTGCGGGATCTGGGCTTGACGATCGGTTTGTTCGAGGGAGGGTATGGCGGTCGAAGTCTGGACGAGGCTGAAGTGTAGCTGAGATGACGTGGCGTGGAGACATAACAACAAGGCTAAGAAGCGCAGTGCATGCTCATTGGTTGTATCACCTCTGTCAGGTGCCTTGCTCGAACGGACAATTCTCAAGAACGGTAGAACTTTACCATCATAATTTTCAAGCTGGTCAATCCGCCATGATATTGCCGTTCTACAGCAATCGAAAACCTATCCATTCCTCGCGACTGATATCACGCCAAAGGCATCTTTGCCTCACGTGATCCTCCGCCATTCAACAAGACGCTCCTTCCTTTTTTGCGCTCAATTTCATCGTAAAAATCATGATACTGTCTCATCTGGAATTACGCCTCTCTTGAAAATATCTATGGTGATCTAGATCGGATACTTTAGCTTAATTTGCGCATTTGTTTTGAAGGTGCTAATCACCGCAGGTTGTTCCTCCTCTAACAAAAAAAGAGAGCTCAGCCAGTACCTGATAGCGCCGGCTAGGTCTGAGAAAAGGCTTTTCACGTAGGTTATGCTGAGCCTGATTCATTATCATCTGGGTAATAATTCAAATTAACTCTGGTATCTATGATTAACGCGTATGTCTTGCGACCATCTCTCTATCTATATCCGCCATGCGATGCTGTGAACCCTTCAAACCTTCTCCCACCACAAGCTCATCTTGGTCCCCTTCCCAAGATCTGAATGCAACTGCAACAACATCCCCTCCCCACCCGACCTATTCCCCCCACAGAACACCAGCTCAAAATCCCTCGGCTGGTACGTCCCCATGAAGCTCGGCAACGTCGCCACATCCAACGGCCCGTGCACGACCTGGCCCTCGACGCCGCGCTCCGTCGCGACGACGGGCACGGAGGCGTTGAGGCGGTACGGCCCCGTGTACGCGATCGAGTGCTCGCCGACGCGCGCCCAGTCGGCGTCGGCGCGCGGCGCGCGGTCCTGCCACGTGAGGTTCTTGGGGCGGTCTTGCGGCGTGGTGGAGGCGAGCACCGCGGCCATGTAGCCGTCCGGGTGGTAGTGCACGAGGCCGGTCGGGTGGGGGCCGAGGCCGGGGTCGAGGTTGGGAACGCCGTTTTGGGTGCTAAGAGCGAGCGGGGGGTGGTCAGCTGAAGTTCGTATTTTACCCACAAAAAAATATTAAAAAAGATCGGCGTTTGCTGGATGGGGAAGGAGAAGGACTGGATTGGGGAAGGCTGGACGGGAGTTGCGCAGGTGGCGTGGTGCCTGGTAGGGCTGATTGGGGGTGGAACGAACCTTGAGATGTTTAACAGTGACCATGTCCCCACGAGCAGCGAAAGAGCGTTTTCGGGACGCATTTTGGATACTTTGGTTGATGATGGTAGGGAAGCTGAGTTTATGAATGGTTTTGTGCTTGTCTGGTCTGCTCTGGCAAGATGATGCTGTTGGAATTGCTCGGAATTCACTTCCATTTATAAGGACGCTGGAGCGAAGGTTTCAGCCGCACATCGCCTGCGTGTGATTCTTAGCAACACTGCCTCCATGGTTCCTAACAACACCGCCTCCACGAGGCCGCCCATTGTCTGACATGATGTGGTAGACTTTATGGTCAGCTACGTTTAGCGAAGTCAGAAATCCTTATGAGAATCCGACGACTCTGGGCCGTAGAAGCAGTTATTCAAACGCAAATATACTGTATTAGAGACCAAAAAAAGAACTACATTTCGTCTTTAGCTTTCACTGTATGTATTTGGTTGCGGACTATGAGCCCATGCTATGATGTACTAGACTATAACAAATGGTATGTTCGTGAAGCGGCTCAGCTCGTCAGATGAAGCGAGCCTCATGGGAATATTCCATCAGGATTCGACATTACCATGGGACCATTCCGTCGGCAATCCAACAATGAACAACTTCCAGAAGTAAACAGGAGTGTGAGTGAGACACTTCCTGAATATTCAAGAATATCAACTTCCTACAGTTTCGCCCTCTCATCAAACAAGGGCATCAATCCTGCAACTCCAAGGTGAAGGTGGCGTACAGCACAGCCCCCATAGCTGGAATAGCAATTAGCACAGCTTTCTTTTTGAACCATCCTTCACAGCCGCATTCACGTTCTTTACTGGGTAGAATTATGTAAAAAGAAAACTTGTGGTGTGGCAATTCAGGACCACGTGGTTATGCAATGCTGGGCATCTGACGTGCAAAGAGCGGAGGGCTTTTCAGGATCCTCCAGCCATACGGACTTCTCCGAACACATAGCCGCGTTGTTCATCTGTTCAATTCTGCATTGCGTCTTGGTCAATTAAGCTCCCTTCTTACTAGCCTAAAATAACAGTGGGCGGAGAAGTGAAGAACAGCCAAGACGCCTGATGCAACGAGTAAATGGCCCCATAAGCACTTGAGCCTCGTCTAACAACGCAGTATAACAAAGCCATGAACGTTCATAAGATAAGCTTATGAGAGAAGGAGATGTGAAATATTCCTTTACGTGAAAAGTACGCCCGAACGTCACCACCCCATCCCTGACTCGGAGTTTTTGTTACGATTTGTAGTACCTCAGCTTTTGGGAAGATTCCCGTCTGTAAGGCTTTTGTTACAAATAGTGTAACCCACTCTGCTGCGGTTGTATTTTGTTCAAGACAATAAAAACGTCCCTCAAAACCTCCAGTGTGTGCGGGCACGGCTTCTTCTGTAATGCTACCTCCCAAAGATCGAAATGGGTTTCACCCAATGGGTGAAAGCGCCAGTCAGAGATGGAACCCCTGAAACACTGGTCGTGATAATGTTGAGTGTCCCAGAGCGGTTGATTCGAACTCAGTATTCTTGTGCTTAGATGATCAAGGGCTCTATCCGACACGTCCCATAACGTGCCATTTGCCACTTGAGAGGAATCATCCAGTCCAAAGATATCAGTCAAGATCACTCTAAACTCAGGTTCTGCCTTCAGCTTAACCTTCTTGAAATGGACCTTGCTTTGGCCCCCTTTTTGCTTCATTGCGTTCAACAGTCTTTGGCCGAGGGCATCGCTCTGGAAATAACTTGCAACGATAGGTAGAGGCTCCGATTCAAAGTCAAACTTAACTTCGAATTCTTCCGTGCTTCTGCTCTTCCATTGAGGATAGAACTTGATGCTGTGTGTCAGATTTTGTACCAACTGCCGCGGATTCGCATTGTGGTCAATGAACCCCTGGATCAAGTCCACCCACAACATAACCGTGTCCATGTTATGCAACACTTGCCCCGTGCCCAATCTCTTATAGTAGAATCCAGCTGTTAACATTCTCAAAAGATGGGACCATGCTGTCTCTCCAGCCACGAATCGTTCATGAATACGTCGGGGGCCGCTCAAAGTATCATTGCTCTCCAATGTTCGGAAAATCCCTACCATTCCGGTGTTGGGGCAGCCGCCTGATTTCAGTATTTCCGATATCAGTGAGACTCGAGCTCGGAAATCTTTGATGGCGAACTTATCGTCTTCTATACAGGTAGATGGGGCTAGAACTTTTTCGTTCCCCCAGTGAAACCTTGGGCCTTCAAAGCGGCCATCCCTTGGATAGGTGAGCCCGTTCAATGTACAGTTCAGAGCAGCTGTACATTTTTCAGGGGATAACTGTGGAAGCTTCACTAATGTAGTCTGCACCAGGCCAGAGTATGCACAGAGGTCGGCAAGGGATGTCATGTTTCCATTGCGGATATCTCCAGAGACTGCGAAAGACCTACTTGGAGATAATAGTACACACCAGTGGACTTCTGGTGCAAAGTTTTCCTCTTCGGCAATGAGGTGTAGCAAGGCTCGGCCATGGATGTCCAATTTCTCCAACATAGCTCGTTGTGCAGTACATCGCTCCAGCTCCACACATCGGATCGATAGCAGGACTATATGAAGGTATTCTGCAGCATGACTAAGATTGTCCGCTCCCGATGGACGGTACGTTCTTTGACCTTGCGATATTTGAATGTTGATTTCAAGCATGCGAATGCATGCGTCTGCTCTGGCTACCAATGGATCCCATGGGAATGATGGTTCTATGGTGGATATATCAAGGACTTCGGGGTATTTGTGGAAGAAATCAAAGACTGTTTTGTGGAGAAACTCCACACGTAAGTTGTCAGCTTCTTCCAAAGAATCAAGCTGATGCTTTAGGGGGTTGGTTGAGCCGTCCTCAAATTGAAAGTGCAAAAGACCTCCACACCTCTGCTGTAGATGGAGAAAAGTGCGGTTGCATTCTCTCAGAACGGAGTTGAAGTTGATGACTTTGTTCAAACTTGTTTTCTGTGGCTTCTTTTTTCCTCCAAAATCAACGCAGGACATAAATAGGACAGAAGGTTGTATTTCTTCGTTCGAATATTTCAACAGCAAAAGCGTGAAAATTTGCATCGCTTGAGTTCTGTATCTCGCTTCAAGGCGAGCTATGATTGTTCCATAAAGTTCTTTGAGCTTGGCTGGTAACTCGTTGATTCGTGATTGCAGCTCGTCATGATCATCGCCATTTTCGATCCCATCGAGAATAGATGCAGTTGCCAGGCTGACCCACAGGAAGACCCCTTCAGCTTTGCTAACGAGTAAATTGGTAATTTTGGATGTCTCGTCTTCTGATAATTGCACTGGAGAGGATACCGCATTGAGTTTCCCAGAGACAAAGCGACGAATGTCAATCTCCGTAAGTTCTTGGAGGCGAACATGGGGATATGGGCTCAATCGCCTGTGAAATACTGCCCATGGACGGCTACTGATGACGCATTTGAGGTTTTGGTTCGAAGTGATGGCGCACAGCAAGTCCACTAACTCAGTCGGGTTTTCCATGGACTCGTCCATTCCATCAACAAAGAGGCAAAACTTTAACGGGAGAGGAATGTTTTGCGATGCGATTGCAGAAAGGGCATCAATCAAGCGGCTTTCTGTCCACTCCTGGCGCCCGACATGGTGTTCGGTGCCAAAGAAACCTATCAAGGCAGGACATGCTGACAGGAGTTGGTAAAGTATGGATCGAAGAAGACCGATCCGTGAGCGTTGAAGTTCATTGCCTTGCGACCAAAAGAAGTGAGTGGCGATTACAGCCTTGAAAGAGCCAGACCATGTGCTCAGTGCTGTTCGCACGTTTGCTTGATCGCCGACGAATTTCATAAATGTCGATTTGCCCGATCCAGCTTTTCCAGAAATCCAGTAGAGACCATCCCCTTCTCGAAGCCACTTCAGTAGATTCGGGGTTGCTGCACTCGGATGATACTCCTGTTTCTGTTCTTCCGGGGACTTCAAGGCCCATTTGTACGTGTCTGGGTAAGTGGACGGTATCTAATCGCGGCGCGAAAACATCGTCGGAAAGAGCAAGCTGGAAAGGAGCAGTTTGACTTGCGGGTGATTGTGGTCGAGCTTTCTAAAAGAAGTTCCAGCTGGAGGTTGCTGATTGCTGTCGCTATGTCCGCGCTTTGATTTTCCAAGATTGTCATCTTTTGGTTCTGGTTGTCCAGGATCTGGCTCAATTCTGTCTTCCCATCTTCCATCTTGAGGGCCAGGTTCTGAACTTCATAGCTCAGATTATCAAAGTGTTGATCCGTTCGAAGTGCTGTCAAGTTGATATTCTTTCTGCAAATAGATGTTACTCGATGTATTGAAGACTTTGAGGGAGCAAGAATTTACCTCATTCCAACCAGCAACTGGGTCTCGAGAACTCTTTGGCAGAACGCGAGTTCCTCATCCAGTTTCTTGATGCCAGGTCCCTTGAAAGGAGCCCTCATCGCCAGCTTCAACCTGTTAGTATCTTTCGTGGGCCCCAATTCTTTCAAGAGGTTGTCTGCTGCGGTCTTGCATGTTTGTGCGATTTGGAGAAGAGACTGATCTTCAGCGGTGATTGGTTGGGACTGCAGCGACAGCTGCTTTTGAAGCGAGCCAGTGGCATTCTGGAAGTTCGTAGCCGCATCTCTCTGGGTCTGGTAGATTTCACCACCCTTGAGTACGTCAATGACTTGGCGACCCCAGACAACGACCTGAATGATGTTCACAGCCAAAGAGAGAGCTGTGATTCCATCCATTTGCTCGGTGTTAGTGCATGACCCGAAGGTCGCTGGAGCTTAGAGGGTTCGTGACAGGAGGATTACCGCCACTTACCGCGGTAAGCCTTGAAATCATATATGAGCTCGCTCTTGCACAGCCCTCTAGTCGGAATCTTATCTGCTTCGTGTTAGTTTCTTATTGGTGGCTGGCTTGGGTGACACGACGCGAAAGAGAATCATGCACGGCTGACTTTTGCAGTCGCTTTGTCCCAGGCATCTGGTGATTGGATAATCCCGCCAGGCCTTGCATATGTTTCACCACACCTCGTCCCACTCTACCGCGCTTGATGAGCCATTCACTAGCCCATGCACCAAAAAAGCGCGCAAGAGGATATTTCCGCCGATATCGACATCTACCATGTAAAAAAAAAAAATGTAGCTGGGCGGAAGCAAAAAAGCTTTGGGAGGAGCCAAGCAATCTATCTTGTGGTAGCGGTTAATGGCGACGCCCTCTTCGTGGCCGGTATACTAGTAGTACTAGTAATTGTACCGGAAGCCCAAATCTTTCTTATCCGTCACATCCTGGCCCCCCGGCACCCCCATCGCCTCCAACCCCAGCCTATCCCTCCGCCTATTCTCCGCCCAACACAGCCACCAATACGCGCACACAGCCACCACCAGCAAACACCACGTGACAATCCCCGTCACCACGCCCTCAAAGTACCGCGGCCCGACCGTCCACAGCTGCGGGGCGCCAATCAATGCAGCGCAATAACCGATGAAAAACAGCGAGTTGACGACGGCGCGCTTGGTGTTGCCCTTGACGTTGCTGGCGCTGAGCGACAGCAGCACGGACATGATGGCGCTGATGCACGACGCCAGCCAGCTCGCGACGATCAGGCCCCAGCCGTCGGCGATGGAGAGTTTGAGCAGCAGGATGTTGCCGACGAAGGGCGGTATGATGAGGGCTAGGATGACGATGCAGCGATGCGTCGGGAGCAGGCGGCAGCCCAGGATGCCGAGCCAGATCATGAGGATTTGGACGGCGCCGGAAGGCGCGGTGTAGAGCATTGTTTCGAATTTGGTGTAGCCGATGGATTTGATGACGAGGGAGGCGAACTGTGAAGGTGAAGTGTCAGTCATCACCGGCCCGCAGTTATTGCCTTTCCACAAGGCCACTACTTTCAGAAGGTAGAAAAGGGATTTTGTATGTTCCGTTTGTTCAACCAACCGCTCGAAATGCGAAGGAAGTATCTTACCGTCAGCACCGGACTCTGCATGCATACAAGCACGCCAAACGCAAAGGAGAACCAGGCTCTCGGGTCTGTGAGCGCCTCTTTCAGCTGCTCGACCGAAAAGCTCGTCTGATCACCACCCTCGTGATCGAGGGCCAACCGCGCCTTCAAGCACTCCCTTTCGCGCTCCGTCAAGAACCAGGCCTTGTCAGGCCCGCTCGGCATGAGCACGTAGAAGCAGACGCCAAGGAACGTCGTGAACGCGCCGCACACAAGGAACAGCACGCGCCAAGGCGCCAAGTTCAGTGCGCCATTCCTGCCAATGCCGTACATGAGGAAGCAGCCGAGCACCTGGGCCAGGCCATTCATGGTGATCCAGCACCCGATGCGGGTGGCGTGCTCGCGCTTGCGGTACCAGATGGACGACAGCGTCACAAAGGCAGGCGACACGGCGCCTTCCGCGAAGCCGAGCAGGAAGCGCACTGCAGCGAAGCTGGGGTAGTCCTGCGCTGCGGCTAGGCACATGCAGATGCCGCCCCAGACGATGATGGTGGCGCCGACGAATTTGACCAGGGGCAGTCGCGACATCAGGTAGATGAACGGATACTCGGCTACGAGTTGGCCGACGTAGAAGATGGAGGTGCACCATGAGTATTGCGAGCCGGTGAGGTTGAGGTCTGTGATTAAACCAAATACAGAAGCGTACGAGATGGTTTGTTTGTCGAGATATTGTGCGAGGAAGACAAAACATAGCTGTTTGAGCGGTCAGCATGGGGTCAATGAAGCTGATAAGTCACTACCGCGAATCCAGAAGAAGGAAACACTCACTAGAGGCAGCACGACACAATCAATCTTCCTCACTATTCTCCTCTCTTCTTCCTCAGTAAACGTTAGCGACTCGCCCTCCACAATCACATCATCTCCCTGTGACTCCGCAACGTCTGCCTTCTTTTCCATCATTTTTCCGATCCGTGTCTCTGTCTACCGCAATATGACCTGGAGTAATGGGACCATCAAAAGTCAAGTCGCGCGCGATTACCGGCTACTTTGATATACCACTCTGCTCCCACTCTCCACCTAACCCAGGTCGTACACCCACCCCCGCTATCGCGTCGGCTATGTCCCGCACTTCCGATCAGCGACCCCACATCCCATTCGCCAACGCTTCCGATAGCACATGCATATGTATCAACACGGAACAAAAGTTCATTGGCTCAGAAATGAGATGCGATACAACAAGCGGTTTGCCACGGGCCAATGTGGCTTGACGGATACATATACTTGCTTCGGCCGTACGTCATGCGTATACCTCCACTCTTGCGCAAGTAGCTGCAGATATAGTGGCGATTTCCTCCTGCGCGGTTAATGGCTGGATGATAGTAACATAGTGTATTTGACAGCATAACGCAGGTTTCATGGAAAATAAGACCCATTTTCGGAAATTCGGCATGCTCTTTTCACTAGCGCTTCCCCCATTCCTTCGAAATCCCGGTGCAATTTAGCTATACGGAAATAATATACACTAAAATTCCAGGCGTCGGCTCTACTGCACCTTTATGCCAATTTTCTTGCAACTGAGGATGATGTTGTTCCTCACAAGCGACAGCCCTAGAAGTTCTTCAGCGGAAACAACTAAAACTCTATACACCTTGTTCGATTCCCACAACGTTCCGCAGGAAATCTACAATATCGTCGATCTCTTCAGGGATTTTATACCAATGCCCTTCATCATACTCTGTCCACCGAACTTGGCAGCCCAAAGCTTGAAACACATCTCTCGCTTGCTTACCCAGATTTACCGAAACTTTCTCATCATTCCGTCCATGTCCGAGGAAGATAGGCGTTCGCGGAAAGAGTGCAACATCCTCAGCGGCTAGTGGGGGCAAGCACGCGATATCACGGGCTGTATTTGCTGCTTGCAGCTGAAGGTTGTCGAGAGAGACATCTTCGTCACCACCAGCGCCAAATAGATCCTCCTCTTCCCCCTCGCCTTGCTGCCCTCCTCCTTCCCTCGGATCCAACACCTCAGCAAACGGCAGCCACCCACTCATCCCTACAAATCCTCCCAGCGCCTCCCTTTCTCCCTCCTTTCCATCGTTCTGAAAGTTAAGCAAGACATGAGATGCAGCCGCAGACCCCATGCTCAACCCCCCGATAACCACACGCGACGCCCCACCAACCAGCTTCGCTTCGTCCGCGATTAGCTTGTGCACGAATGCGCTCGTCTCCTTCAAGCCGTCGTACTGCAGATCTTGGCGCTTAGATGGATCCTGGAGGGAGAAGTTGTCGAACCACTGGTTGATGGGCATGCGCTTGAAGACGGTGGCCCGGCGCTTTTTGGCGGTGGGAAAGATAAATTTGACGGTTGGGAAGTGGTCGGTGAGTGTTCCAGCCTTGCTGTCGTCGCAGCAGGTAGTGGAGGTGGCGGAGGAGGAGGAGGTCGTGGCTTTCAGAAGCTCTGGACCGAAGCGTTCGGCGTTGCTGCCCAGGCCGTGGAGGAGGATGATGCTGTGCGTGTGGGTTGCGGTGGGGTTGATGACGAGAGGATCGGGCCAGATCATTTGCTGGCGCTTGGTATTGCTCATGGGCGCAGTTGTTTCTTCTTGCGAGGCTGTCAACGCCATGCGGGTGGCATTTCCAGTCTTCAAAGCTGTTTTCTCGTCCATTTTGAAAAGACCTGGCGCATCAGATAGCTTCTCGAAGGTTTCAAGGATATCTGATGTGATCGTGGGGTAGTTCTGATTGGACACTATCTTGAGATGAGGTGTTGAGAGTGAGAGAAGTATGTTGGCTAGGCAGCAGGAATGATGCACTGTGCCACATGCCAAGCTTGACCCACGTAAACGAGGCGCTTAACCCAAACCGGCGCTGGAATTCCCCTGCAATGACTGCACAATCAAATCCATGTATCATCTTCGTAGTCCACTTGGAGCCACACTAGCACAATTCAGTCCACCAAGCATACCAGTAAACCTTCTGAGCAACTTGCTATTCCATATGTCAAATTTATACTAATCATGGTTATAATAGCCATGGCTGTCGTTGCAGAGACCCATCCGTCCGAGTCACTCTCGGAAAGATCCAGAGAGTGCAGTGTGCTATGACCGGGAGACCATCAGGAATTCTGAATCAACGCTAGGTTCAGACGCCTGGCTAGTTCGTTCTCCAATGGAATCAAACACATGCATGGTTTGTAGTGGGAATAAGGACGGGATAATTTAGGCGGACTAAAAAGGCTAAGCAACACCCGACTAAGCCCACTCGCCATCACTACAGGCTTTGAGTCCATACGATACAACCCACCCTAATTACTGCTTAGTGCTTGAGTCTAAGAAAATCTTCAGCTGTTCTTCGGCAATCAATAAACTTACTATATAACGCACTGCAGTCTCGACATCATCATCCACCGAACAAGGTTACAGCGATGGTGGTGTAGTTGGTTATCACGTCAGTCTAACAGTTCCCTTCGAGGATCAGTTCACTGAAGGTCCTGAGTTCAAGTCTCGGCCGTCGTATCATCGAGTTCGCTCATCTTTTTGCCCTCCTGGAGGGCTCGTTAGCACTTTTGCCGAGAAGGGCAACTCTTTTTGTACCGGAGTAATTCGGTGCGGTATCAGCTTAAAACTCCACGTGTGCACAAGGGAGACTCATAGATCGTAGAAACATACTCAAGAGCCATTCATTCTAATGTTTTATTTATCGTGGGTCGTGGTTTCGTCTGAACGAATTTTTTTTAGTCAAGTGGTCCGAGCGCCTGAGGCTTCATTTCGGCCCATTTGGGTGGAGACACAACGCTACCATACCTGATCTAGCTAGACTCTTAATCGAGATTGCTTAAACCAACAGCATTGAGCGAGAGAACATCTTTTCTCATACTCCTCATGTCTTGCGTTCCGTTGGCCTCAATGTTATTTCGGTTGTCTTCCCTGCATCTCAAACGACTCTGAGCCAGAGCGCCGCGGAAGGATTGGGTTTTAGAATATCAATAGCTATGCAGAAGAATATAAAGCGCCACAAGACAACGTGGGGTAAGATGTGGTGTAATCTTTCAGAGTTGAGTGGCAATGCAGCCAGGGGTTAAGCGTTGAAAATCTGAAGAAGGGTGCGCAAAAACAAGCAACCTATTCTCGCTCAACATTCCTGGATAATAACATTACTCTCTGTAAGATCATACACGCCGTTGGCGAATCAGTCCAGGAGTGCACTTCTTTGATATCTGACAGTCTCAAAAACGAAATGCCCCTTTATAATTGCTAAACAAATGATCCCGTGGGTATGCGTTCTACGCTCTGTCTGACTAGCCTCTATTCTTTGTCGCCATTCTGGTAAGTTTCGGACCATGTGGGCGCGGATGTTTCGTGCTCCCAGTCCGTCGTTTTCTTGCGATTCTGGAAGACCGCCTCCCGGCCCCGCTCGATAGTGACCTTCTCATAATTCTTCAGCAATGGTGCGGGGTTGGTTCCGTTGAAGCCATCCAGTGCCTTGACAAAGTCGATGGCATCTTGCATTGCATGATTGCCGCCTTCGCCTCCAACTAAAAATTTTGATTCAGTATAATTCTGTAATGAGGTTTAGGGGATTACTTCTTACAAGGACTCATCTTGTGAGCAGCATCGCCCAGGATGGTGGCGCGATCTGAAGAAAAACCATCGACTGGCGGAATCCAGTCCTCAAGGACATATGGTGGCTGGACCATGTTTTCTGGCGAAGTCTTGAGAATGACATTCGCGAACTTTGGATGCAACAGCTTGGTCGTCTCGACTGCTGCATCATACAGCTGTTGCTTAGTCCAGCTGAGATACGGATGGACCTTTCCCGTAAGGTCCTTGCTCTTCCTGAAAACCATCCAGTAGTACTTTGCAGACGCCTTGTCCTTAGCAATGCTGTGGAGGCCCGTGAAGATGTAGCCAACAGGAGCTTCGGCAATCCAAAGAGAACGAGCGAATTGTAGCTGCTCTTCGTATCCTTCTTTCCCCAGCTCTACTTCACCAACTAGCATATCCACGGGGATCAGATTCAGCTGGGCCTTTTCTGGACCAAGAAGCTGGTTGCGTACTTCAAACATTCCATACGTCAGTTTCAGAAAAGTCGATTCGGTAATTCATACGCACCGCGACTGTTTGCACCATCTGCACCAACCAAGATGCTTCCTGAAACTGAGGTGCCATCCGCAAAGTATACCGTCACTGCATCAGCACTTTCCTCGAATCTCTCAAACTTCTTTCCCCACTCGATAGGAAGGTTGGTTGAGAGCCAGGTTCGGAGCTTTTGACGGTCCGCGCGGAGAAAATCCGAGAATCGAGTTTTCTCTTTCCCGGTGATTGCATCGAAGAGTGCGCCTTCGCATGTCAAGTCGGTTCCGTGCAAATGCGAAACGACTTCGAATGGCGGAAGATCGTCCGGCATTTCAGCCAACAAGCCTTCCAATATCCTTAAACATTCAGCATCTTGAGCAAGTGCAAGGCCTTCAATCTCTTACCAATGCAGGGCGAGTCCGTAACCTTGTCTTCGGGTTTCAGGTCCGTCATCTCTCTCAAAAATCCTGAATGGAATGCCTCTCTTCCGCAACGCCTGTGCGAGGGTAAACCCTCCAAGGCCTCCGCCGATGATGAGAATCGGCAAATCCTGGCTTATGATATGATTCATGGTGTTTTGATACAGTTGGTGAACACACCAGGCATTGTTTGACAGATATATAAGGCAACGGCAAGAAACCACCACCTTTGAAAGCTTCCGAGCCCGGGTCCGACGCACTAAGCGCAGGGGCCCACCTCAACCGACGGTCTGACGCGTATCGCGATAATAGTACCGTATAAGGATGAAACCTGGTTCGGCGAAGATCCAGTTGCTGTTCTCGGCCTCGGCCTCGGAACGGGAACTGTTTGGAAGCCGAACATGATGGAAATAGTGAGACGCTTGAGTCTGTAAGCGGATGTGCTGATTGTATTTCTTCAACGACTATGGCAAGAGAGAAAAAGAATCCACGTCTTTATGGCATAAACCGCTGATCTTACGCTTAATCCACATCAATGCCTCCTAATGCAAGAAGATTGTTACTTTCTGTGTCTGATTGAATTAGCTATCCGATGATTTCCTACCTCGGCGATAGCGCTGAGTTTCTCATTGCGATCCCAGAAGCATTGTTTGGTTTTGAGAAGCTTCTGAGCCCTCGGACTTTATTGAAAGCTTATTCTGATGGCCGAGGAGCAGGTATGTCCTTTTCCTTGCGAATTGAAGCGGGAATCGCACCAACAGTGTTTCGGAGTCCGGAGACTTAAGGGATCGTCCGGTCCGAGCGAGTCCGTTTCCGCTTTTGATCAACAATTAAAGACCTACCTCCTTTAGCTGTGACGCGCGGACTGAGTGATAAATACAAAGTACTGTATTGCTTCTCGATGGATGTTGGGCGTTCCTGGTGGCTGCCATGGCAATGCTGCAATTTCGGCTTTGGTGTTGTAAATGCCCGACGGAGCCGACTAAACGCGGTAAAGGTCCACGGACAATAAAAACCAACAACTAGAGCCGTAGCTAGCCCCGTATGACTGGTAGCATACTAGGATGTAATTCTTGATAGTTCTATACGATATAGCGTTTCAGCTCAGCCAAAAGGATACGGAGGAGTGGGATTGTCTGGCTCCACCCGGGAATCACCAACCAACCCGTGATCAGCTAACGAACGGACTTGACCACCAGCTGACCCACTATCACTCTGGCTATCCGCGCCCGAAATCCTGCCGGTCCCAGACACGTGACAGGTCACCACCGGATCAATGAGAACCACACACCAACTTCGTTTCTGGTTCGATGTAGAGAGCAAGAGTACTAATAGAAATTAAAAACATTTAACATGAGATTACACTTTTAATAAAAAGCCGAGCGAGCCTAACCCTAAATTTGAAGCGACAGCCGTAGAGCATTTCTCCGTTGCTACAATCACTCAGCTCAATCCACATCTATATTTATATGAGTGCACCACGTCGGCACGTGCATAAACCAGCCCTAGCCTCAATCACGATATGAAAGATTCAAACATTCCGAACCGATCTCGCAACCATTTCAAAGTACGACTGGCATGCCAATAGCGCGACTCCAGATGTAACAACACTCGGGCCTTTACACTCGGATCAGGTCGCACCACTGGTCAGGAGACGGCTTAGCCACGCTTCTCCATGCTACTAATATACCGAAGACGTTTCTAGCTTGTAATAAGTCTCATATCAAGACAAGCGGCGGAGCTGGGAAAATTACGCACAATTTAAGGCGATGGGTAGTCCAGCTAACGGACTCTCTTCTATTTAGTATTGCAATAAGCCAGATTGAGTGAAGGGGTAAATACAAAATTGCATATATTTGGTAGCTACCCGGTCCAAACAGTACACCCGAACCCAAACAGCATATATCTAAAATTTTATTTCTAAAACGTCAACGTTTCTATCTAGAAATTAATTTTTTTTATAATAAATAATATTTTTAAGTCTCTCTACTTTTATAAAAAAATAAAAAATAAGTAAATTTTAGTCTTTATTAACGTTTTCTTACGCGAAAAAAAAAAGTCGATTTTTAAAATTTTTTTAACTAAATAAGTCCATATTTTTATTATAAAACTTTTTATTTTTTACTAGAATTAGTAAATTTAAGCTTTAATAGTATTATAAATATTAAAAAATATTTATATTTCTTATTACGTTAAGAATTTTATGTTATTATAAAATTTTAGATATATGCTATTTGGGTTCGGGTGTGCTATTTGGACCGCGATGCTACTAAATATATGCGATTTTGTATTTACCCCTTGAGTGAATCTCTTCTTCGGATGTAATTTTCGACAATTATGCCGTGCATTTATGCCCTGATAGACGCTTTGTCTACTTCAATTTGTTGTAGCACCAATGGTACCAATTTCGTCTACGTCTGCCGTGATTGAGATCTATCTGGATTGGGACCGAGGTCATAATAAGTATTCGAATGTATTAGGAGCACGCGAGAAAAGGCTATTAAATAAAACAATTTCACAATTCTATCACACCCACGTACCGCTCTAAGGTATTGCATTCTTTAAGCTTTTCCTAATTCAAGAGTCAGCCGCAGTAACTTCGGGTCCGATCTAGCGATACAGGCAACCCCGAGGGTCATAACCCGCTAAACCGCCTTTGGTAACTGCTCGGAGTTAATGAGTTGGAGACCGAGCAATGTGTATACAGTATGCCGAACCGACTGGAAGTGTTCGGTGCTTCCAATAAACTCCCTCCATTCCGATAGTAGACTTCTCATCCAGCGACATCGGCTAGATACAAAGTGCAGCGAAAGCATAAAAGCATGCGTACGAAAGGTAGGGTCCCATCGATCGCAGCTTTCTAAACACATCTGCTTTACCTCAGAACTGGCTTGAATATTCAATTTTCCCAACATGAAACCCACACATCGTTTCGATGCAATCATCATTGGCGCCGAACTAGGCGGAATCAACAGCCTACACGAAGTACTGGAGCTTGGGCTCTCAGTTAGGGTTCTAGAGGGTGCCAGTGAAGTTGGTGGCACTTGGTTCTATAATCAATACCCGGGTTGTACAAGCGATACACCGAGCCTTCTCTACCGCCTTTACTGGGACAAAGAGGACCTCCGAACCTACCCATGGCCCAACCGCTACCTGACGCAGGCAGAGATCCTCGCCTACATCAAACACGTAGTATCAAAGCACAACATGAGCCCCCAAATCCAACTCAACACCGAAGTCACATCCGCGACCTGGGACCCCACCCAAAATCGCTGGCTCATCCAAACCAACACCGACGAAGAATACACCACCCGCTACCTCATCACCGCCGTCGGCGTCCTCCACGAGCCCATCCTCCCCTCCATCCCAGGCATACACACCTTCCGCGGCCACCTCCTCCACTCAACTCAATGGACCCCTGACGTCCAAATCGCCAACAAACGCGTCGGCATCATCGGCTGCGGCGCCAGCGGCATCCAGATCCTGACCGCCATCGCACCGCACGCCGCCTCCCTCACCTCCTTCCAGCGCACGCCGCAATACGCCATCCCGGCCCGCAACGCCGCCGTCACTTCTGCCGAGCGCGCGTCGTACAACGCGCGCTACGATTCCATCATCGACGACGTGTGGAACAGCACCACCGGCTTCGGCTTCCGCGAGAGCACGACGCCGACGATGTCGGTCTCCCCCGCCGAACGCGTCCGCGTCTACGAAAAGCTCTGGCGCGAGGGCGGCGCGATGCAGTTCATGCTGGGCGGCTTCAGCGACACCTTCACGGACGCAGCCGCGAACGAGGCGGCGTGCGCGTTCATCTGCGCAAAAATCGCGGCGACGGTGCGGGATGCGGAGAAGGCGCGGAAGGTGGTGCCGACGGAGCGGTTCTTCGCGCGAAGGCCGCTGTGCGAGGAGGGGTACTACGAGGCGCTGAACCGGGAGAATGTGCGCGTTGTGGCGCTGGGGGAGACGCCGATTGAGGAGTTCACGCCGGAGGGGATAAGGACGAGTGATGGGACGGTGTATGGGTTGGATGTCATTGTGTTTGCGACGGGGTTCGATGCGATTGAGGGGAGTTATACGCGGTTTCCGATCAGAGGGAGGGAGGGCAGGCTGTTGATGGAGCATTGGGGGGGTGGGGCGAAGAGCTATTTGGGCGTGAACTGCCCGGGCTTTCCGAATCTGTTTTTTGTGAATGGTCCGCAGGGCCCGTTTGGGAATATTCCGCCTGTGCTGCAGAGCACTGCGCAGTTGACGACTCAGTTGATAAAGGAGAGGGAAAAGAGGCTAGCCGAAGGTGGTCTCGGCGTGGTGGAGGCAACGCCTGAGGCAGAAGTGGAATGGGGTCAAAGATGCGAGCAGATGATGAAAGGTTCATTGTTCAAGCACAATAGCTCTTGGATTACTGGGCGCAATGTTGAAGGAAGAGCGTCTACTTGTCGGTTCTTCTTGGGTGGCATCAAGCTGTATCGGTCTGCTTGCAGATATGCGCATGATCAAGGATGGCCTGGTATCCTTAAGCTTCAGAGTACCTAGGCGAATACAATCCGCTGAGCACAAGCGGAGTGCCCACCTTCAACGCACGAAAGTTGGTATAAGATGCTCCATCCGCTCCGATTGCTTTAGTAACCGCCACTTCCACTCCCACAGCTTTGTTCCCCTCCAAGTCTACGAGATTCTTTCAGCAGGCGGCTTGCCGCAAATGGTCAGATTATCTAAGCTTGATCGCGGCGGTCGTAGTAGAACGAAATTTAGTAACTCGGGCTATTGAGGGGCGGGGTGCTCGTCGCTTGTTTGTGAATTGTAGTAGCTTGTTTTGAGCGACCTTTGGTATCTCTAGTCTGCTGGAAAAGTCGGAAACTAGTTATGGCGTCGCCGCTCCCTTGCTCGCTTCAACAGCTGTCGACAAAAACAAAGAGCAACATAGACCTTTCACCACTCGACACACTCCGCTAAGTACAAAGCATCTAGCGTTCAAAACTGGTACACTTCCTCTGCCTTTTCAATGTGACTTTCAGAGCTTTTCTGTCTTTGTGTCTGGATGATCTTTCCCAAGAACCTTCCTTCTCAACGCAAAACCACCTGGTCTATCTCTTGGGCCTCGATATTTTTCCCCTGAAGTTTTAAAACCCTTTCTAGCTCTTCCATAAACTCAAGTGTTCTAGGATCCTCTCTACCCAATAGCTCCTCACTTAATGTTGCAGCCTTCCGGAACATTTCCTCAGCCTCGACGTAATTTTCCCGATCCTGAAATAAAACTGCTAGGTTTCCCATAGCTCTGAGCGTGTTGGGATGGTTTTTACCGTAGAAATCGGTGGCCAATGCTAGACATTGTCGATACATCTCCTCGGCCTCAATGACCTTTCTCTGGTAGGAGAGGACGATTGCAAGACTGTTCATGCTTGCTAAAAGCTGATGGTCAATCTCCACTGGAGTTTTCTTCCACTTTGCCAATACCTCTCTGTACAGCCTTTCAGCCTCATCGTACTTATCCTGGCCCACTAGAGCGTCTGCTAAGCCAGCCATGGATTCCAGCGTGTCTTCGTGTTGCTTCCCAAGCTCCTTCTCTCTTAGTACTAGCACTTCGCGGTGCACTTGCTCGGCCTCGGCAAACTTTTCTTGCCATACGAGAGTATTTCCAATTTCTACCATGGTGTCCAGAGTTTCAGAGTGCTCTCTTCCTAGAGTCCTCTCCCTTAATGCTGCCACTTTCCGCAGAACCTGTTCAGCCTCGACGTGTTTACGCCGCTTACGTAGAGCCCCTGCAAAGCTCAACATGAGCTCCAGTGTTCTTGGATGCTCTTTCCCCATCTCTTTTTCTGTTATCTGGAGGGCTTTACGAAAAGGCTCTTCAGATGCACCGTAATGTCCAAGAGCGTCCTGGCAGTTGCCTATCCAAGACCACAACTCTCCTAGCTTCTTTATCTCAACTTCCTCAGCTCTCGTTGCAACACATAGCGCGTGTGGTAGATATGGTGCCCATGTCTCCCTTGTCTTAGGGTCGTGATCAGGCATGATTTCCAATAGCTGTGTGCTTACTTCTTGGACTTGGAACGTCCACTGCTGATTCATCTTCAGCCAGTTCTGGGTTGCCAAATGTACGAGCCGGTGGGTGTCGTATGATTTGTGCTTCTGCTGCTGATTCTCCCGTTCCGTGATAAAGGCGTATGCAGTCAATGTTCCAATCGCTTTCGTTTGCTTTACCTCAGAGTTTCCATGTGGTAGCAGAGAGGCTGGTATGTTCTCGCGTAGTATACACGAGATGAATGAAAGGATCCGTGCGGCAAGCGGATCCTGCGTCCGAATCTGATCAAAAGAAATGATCCATGTTGTCGCGATCGGATTCTTTGTCTCCCGGTATCGCCCATAGTCTTCAAAGTTTTCGCTTAGAAGCTCGATGATCTCATCCTGATTTTGAAGCAAAGACGTATACTTCGAGATCGAAATGTCGTTCTGGTTGATAAAAGCCGCGGCTTGGACGATGGCGAGGGGAAGATACGAAAGGTCCTCCAGGAACTTGTCGATTGCATCATCCTCCATTAGCGACTTTTTCAACAATGATTTTTCCAAGACCTTTCTAGCTTCGTTTTTTTCCATTTCAGGGAGCGGGATTATGTTGTTCTCAGCTTCTGCAGTGGCAGCTTTGCGAGTGCGAGTCGTGAATAGAAGGGAGCCTCTGCGGCCGTTTGGGAGACAGTCAATCAACCGAGTGCCATCGGTGTCTTCTTGAAAGAGGACATCAATGTCGTCGGCATTATCAACAACCATGAGCCATTGGCCTGAGCGCTCACCGCTGAGCTCCCGTTGGACAAGCTGCTTGACGTCTGCATCTTCATCCTGAATGTTGGGTATTTGTAAGAGCATGCCAATATCTCGGTAAGCATCCAAAAAGCTCTTTCGGCTGATTGCTGGCACCCAGAATACGGCGCAGCGAGGATGTTGCTTCCTTGTCCTGTAAGCGAACTCCAGGGCGATTGCAGTCTTGCCACATCCGCCAAGGCCCCAAATTGCGGCTCGCTCGCAGGTTTCTGACGATGATAGCATTTGGCTAAGCGCCTGAATCTCGGCTTCACGGCCGACGAAGCGCTGGTTCCTCTGAAATGGAACTCGCCAGGGTGCTGTTCTATATGTTAGCGCTGTAACTAGAAGGTCAAACATAACAGTGCGTGAAACGTTGCAGTCAAGTATCAATATTTATTCTGAGATATGATAGTGATAGAAGCCTCTAACTTGCCTTGAACTGTGCCCTCCATGTCTCTGATCGTGCTTGCCTGCATTGTGCACAGTAATTCTCGAGCGAAGGCCGCAGCATTCCCAGCCGCGTAGTGCTTCCACATGTCATTCTTGTGTGAGTCGGCATAGTCGGATATGCCGCGGATAACAAGACATCTCCCGTTGATGTCCACACCGGCCGCTTCCATCTCAACGCACAGCACTCCACCGCATCGCTTGCTTATCTTGTCTCTCAGTTCGCCATCGCGGATAACCGAGTTACCAGTCGCAATTCTCCCCTGATGGAACACAAATGTCTTCCTTTGTTCGTCCGTGCGGACGGGACGTTGAACGAGTTGGGCGAGATCGCAAGATTCGCAGCTGGACCCTTTGTCGCCGACATGGTGGTAGCTTGCCTGAAAGAGCCGATCCTGCTTCACATCAGGCATCGCGAACTTAGGCCTCCCTTGCAGCCTCGATAGCTGTTCGGGGAAAGCAGTCATCTCCATCTCTTGATTAGACGATAGCAGGCTAAGTGCATTGAGTATCCTCCATTCCGGTTTGTCCATCGCCCCCACTATCTCAAACTCGTCGTTCACCATCGCTCGACCCAGGTCGTGGTAAATGACGCCTGGCTTTCCATCACCAGGCCAGCCTACCACTACATCACCGAGATGGATGTCCTCAAGGGGGTCGTTCGATGGCTCGGATCGAGGGACGCCTCCGCCAATTCCCACAAGCAGGGCTATTTTGATGTTCGGGAAGGACTTGAACAGTGACCCTGTTAGCCTACCGGCATTCACATTGCCGGTCAAGCCTCTCGGGAGAGCAGCGATAACGACGCGGTGGCCCTTGATAGTGCCACAGATATAGGTGTTGTCGTCGTAGTTTGTATCGATAGAGGGAGGGTCATGATGCTCGTCAAGCATCAGTCTTGCGGGTATCAGTTCGACGTCCGGCAGCGGACAGATCCATGCTACGTTGTAGTCGGTGCGGAGGTACCTGCTTGCGGCCATTGCGGCCGCAAGAAATACGTAGAAAGATCGAGAAAGTGTGATGCGAAGGAAGAATAGCTTTGCAGACGGTCTCTAAAAAAAAGGCTCTGGACACATTATTTAAATTTCAAGTCCAGATGGACGACGACGTAAGAGCTGGGCCTAATGGTTCTGGTTCAGCCTCAATTATCCCTCTTCCTGGATTTTACTTGTGGGACACAACAGATCCAATTGGCGACGCCGACTGACTGACGTGGCTTCGCGTCCCCACAGTAGCCCTTGTCAACCTTGTTGGCATGCAAACACGGCCTCGCTTCTGTACCTTTTCTGCAAGGCTCAACAAATTACGTGTCGGCTATAGCGGTATGGCCCACCCTTATAGGCTACTTTCATTCAAGTGGCTGTTACTGTTCCCAGCCAATTATACCACAGGCAGGAATCCTATTCGGTGACATGAGTATGCAGCAAAAAAAAAAAGCACAATGGGCTGTTACTACTGGGGACCGGCTGTTACGACTGGGGACCTTGACGGGTTTTTCCGTGACGCTGTTCTCAGCCTTGTTCCCGGCAAGTGCACCTGGCTCCACGTATCATCCACTGACCACATCTTAGCCTATCCGAAGTGTGCAGGCCTAAGCGTTAACTGGACCGAGTGGACCTGTGTTACGGCGCAGCAGCCCATGCAGTGGGGCTCCTAGCCCACCTGAAGTGCCGAGCCACGTCAACTCCGTGATTCAGGCTGATTGGACAAGATACGCTTCAACGCCGCCCGGAAGTCTGCTCAGCTTCCATGTGTAGGAAAAAAATGATTAGGGATCTTGGCGAGCTCACTCGCAAGTGTAAAGAACATCGTGTACTTATGCAAGATCGGTTTGCGGATGGCCATTCGGAGGCCACCCGTAAACACAATGCACCTCTACTAAACCTAGATTGACTCCTCCATGAGTTCTGAGTATACCTTATTCAGAGGATAGCACTTAGTTATCTCTATCTTTCTCTAGAAATTTCATTCCAAAATATATGTGGTTACGTGGTGCAAAAAGGAGTTTAGAAAACGTCGACTCTTTTAGTGTTCCCTCTGCTACTACCCGGCGACTTTTCAATTACAGACGGGTGCTGCAGCCGATTGCTAGCGTGAAGGCCTCAGAAGATAGCGTAAGTACATTCTTTTTTTTAAAAAAAAAATATCTTCCAGACGAGAAAGTCGAATTAAAAATTCTACATACAAGTCCGAACGATAGCTCTAAATACCTATAAAATGAGCAAAAAAGAAATCCACGCTAGCCATCGGCTGCGAGGGGACTGTAAATTTCGTGCTGCGAACGGACGGCCATATATAAACCGATCTTACAAGGCACTATATATCATGCGCAACCGTGCGTGTGAGCATCAGGCTTTCCGCGACTTCGCGTGTATAAACCACGGTGTGCACAGTATCTCTTACCTCCGGACTTGACTAAGAGAGGCTTTTCCTCGGTCATAAATATATATAGACTTATGTACGTGTGAAAAACGCATCGTAAGCGGTTAATTCTACAGCAAATAAAGCCTTTATATCTACACCGCTGCTTACGTACGTACTTTCCACGACGGCGGCTTTACATGTGGGTTTCCGAATTCCCCCACGTGCCGCATCTGTCAGAGCATCAGCATCTCGCAATTGCTCCTCCATCAGAACATTTAATAGGCGACTAAATCCAGCGCACCATAGCAGTCAGCGGGGGGTGCCCAAGATGAGCAAGCAGAAGCGCTGAGAGGAGGATGCAGTGCAAGCGTTTGCCATTGCGCGACCATGCGATTTGCCTTCAGAGGGGCGAGTGAGTATAGCGGTGTCTTAGGGAGTTGGTAGATGAGGTCGCAGGAGCGAATTCGAGGTCCTGAGTCTCACAGAGTGGCCATTGGCCGGAATAAATGAGTGTGGGGAGCGGCTGGTTGGCTGGCTGGCTAGCAGTCCTGGGCGCCTTCTCCGGCTGAACCTAGTCTTCTTGTTCGTCACGCTTTTGCAGGTCTGGATGCAGGATCATCCCGTCAACCCGGGCACACTTTCGAGGTACCTCGCGGGGTGGGGCCGGCATCTGAGATATGGGCAGACATATCGGCCATCGTCGTAGTACGCAGGAACTGCAACTCCTGTGATTCTGAAGCGACTATCTCTACGTGATTTACGGACCAGATTTGTTGCGCATTAGATTAAGTAGGTAGACGCGGAGTGGTGCCGGGAAGACTTGCCATAACGGTTGACCGAAGTAAGCATTGCTGGTCCAACAGTGTTGCCAGTCTCCTTCTCTGCGAGACTCTTTCAGCAGGCGGCTTGCTGCAACTAGTTAAAGAAATCTGAGCTTGGTCGTGGCGGTGGTAGTAGAATGAAAATACCAACTCCGGCTGTCCAATCTGGCTCTTCTCTGAACTTTGAGGACGGAGCAAGCAGATTAATCGCCGTTACACCTTCCATCTGATCCTTGATGCCTAAGGTTGACAAGATCAAAGAGATAAATCCTTGCCATCACGTGCACGTTGTTCAACAGGATCGAACGAAGCAAAATGGTCCGTCGTGATCTAGATCTTGCGTAGCGTAGCGGCTGGAGCGGGCTATTCAGATACGAGCCTATAGCTTAGTATTTATAGCGGATTAATTATTAGTGGCCTCCTTTTGCAAGCACTAGTCCTTGTTGCTAAAAGTAGCACTATATAACAGTACATTTATAGATCGCTTTCGAACAAGCCTGTAACGTAGCTCGGATCTGCACGATCGTACGAGCATCCGCCGCGGCTCTAAGTAATCTACGCGTAGCCGGCCTGGAACTCGGCCCACCCCGGCGGCAATCATGGTAACACGGGCCCAAATGCCGAAACGCGCATAAAACAACAAGCGAGAGTGTCATTTCCCATCATTTTCGCCTCTTCAACACCCAACTAAGTAACTCGCCCGCCCTGTTCGCCCAGTTCAAAAAAAATATTACCTAAAACCCAACCAATCAAATCCCGAAGCGCCCAACCATTTTCCCCCTTCCCTTCAATCCCTACTCACGAATCGAAAATCGCCCCGTACGCCGGAATCCCCCTCGCCTCCATCCCATACACGACCTTCTGCGTCAACTTCTTATTCGAAATGATGCACACGGCCTCGGCCCCGCTCTCCTTCCACAACCGGTACGAAATGGCCACCATATCCGGCTTCCCCATCGTCCGCGTATTGTGCACCACGGCCTGCGGATCCGTATCGTAGACAGCCCGCACAATCTCCTCGCCAAACGTCTTCTCCGGATGCGGCGTCGACCAAAAGATGCGACACGGCACCCTCTTCGCCAGAATCACCGGCAAACACGGCCCAATCCCACTCCCCGTCGCGACCAGCACGACGCTTTTAAACAGCGGCGCGATGCGCAGCACGCCGCACGCCGGGATGCCGCGGACGTAGAGCTCGGTCGGGCAGCGATCGATCTGGCGCTTGGTCCAGTCGCCGGCGTTGGACACGACGAGCGAGAAGCCGCGCTTGCCCGGCTCGCTGATGGTGGCGAAGGCGTGCCACTCGACGAGGGGCCGCTCGGAGAGCCGCACGGCGGTGCCGGGGACGGTGTCGGTGTAGTCGAAGTAGAGGCGGATGGCGTGGTCGGAGAGCTTCTCGGGGACGACGCGGACTTTGCGGAGACGCGTCCACGGCAGGACGATGGAGATGGTGATGACGACGACGAGCCAGAAGCCCGGGCTGGTGACGAGGGCGCGGCCGAGCGGGACGGATCCGCGGAGAGAGGCGGTTGTTAGCACGGTCTGCGCCCAGATCAGGGCCAGCGCGGTCCAGCCGGCGAAGCGGTGGACGAGCTCGAACGAGTCGTGGTGTTTCTGGCGGAGGGCCGGGTAGGCGAGGACGATCATGGCGAGGAGGAGCGCGACGACGAGGTAGGAGACGACGATGGCGGCGAGGCTGATGGGGACGTTGGGATCGTGGATGGCGTAGTAGCGCGTCGCGCAGATGGTGAACGCGGTGAACCACGCCGTCGCCATCATGGCGCACCCGCTGTGCAGGCCGCCGATGTGGAAGACGCGCGCGCACTGCCGCCGGATGCAGAGCGGCCACGACGTCGGGACGGCTGTGGCGAGGTTGAAGAGAAGGTTGATGACGTATTCCTGGCGCATCAGCACCGCGAAGGTCAGGTTGGCGGCTGTGGCCGTCGTCATGCTTTGCAGGCTGAGCGTGTTGGTTTTCCAGTAGTTCGACGCGAGAACGATGACAGGGATAAGGTTTGCAATCCACACGATCGAGAAGAAGCGCCTGTAGAGCGAGAAGAAGCGGTGGCGGAGCCAGCGTTCGCCGTGGAAACCATTCTTCTCCGGGAGAGCGAACGGATCCTCCTCTTTCTCTTTGAGCGAACTTGGCGACGAAGACGAGCGCGATGTAGCCGTGACGATGACACCCTTCTCCGGATCCTTGGAGTCGGCAAGTCTGAGAGACTCTGGAGGAGTTTCCGGCGGAGTATCTGGAAGCTGAGCTGGGGAGCGCTGGGCTGCCAATTCTTTCAAGTGTCTCTTGTCAATCTTGCCGTTAGCCGTAAGGGGCATGCCGGGGACCGCAATCCATTTTGACGGGACAGCGTAGTACGGCAGGAAGTTTTGCGTGTGCTCCACCACCGCGTCTGCGTCTACCTCGGTGCGTGCAGCATAAAAGCCCCAAAGCGCGCCATCGATCAAGAGAGTGCAGGCTTTCTCGATGCCGGAGAATTTCTACAGGCGTCAGCGTGGCTTCAACACCAGTCATGTGTGCATCTTGAGACCAACCTCGATTGTCGAAGAAATCCCATCCAACTCGACGCGGAATCCCTTCACCTTCACCTGGTCGTCCGCACGACCAAGGATGTCTAGCGAGCCGTCGGCCCGCCAACGAACGAGATCGCCCGTGTTAAACATCATGCTTCCATCGTCCGCGAAGCGATCCCGCTTGAACCGCGACGCCGTCAGGTCTGGAAGATTGAGATAACCGCGAGACACACCCTCGCCGCCGACCCACATGGCTCCAACTTCGCCGACAGGGACGGGCTGCTCGTCTTCATCGAGGATGTAGACGGTCGTGTTGGGGATGGGCTTCCCGATGCTCAGCTCCTCTCCCGGCGTGTGGATGTGAGCCGTGTTGAGGATTGTGATTTCTGTCGGACCACAGATGTTCACAAAAGTGGTGTTGACAGCCCACTCATCAGCCAGCCTATGAAACGTCAGCATGCCCAGTTGGAACTATGCTGCACACAGATACTTACGACTGTGGGCACCGTTCTCCTCCGACAGCAATCGTCTTCAGGTTTGGGTAATCCGACTTCCGGTATTTACCCAAGATGGACGGAGTTCCAATGAAAGTGTCGGCCTTGGTGCGGGTTAGCAAAAGAAAGGATATACTAGGTGCAATCAGGACTCACCTCACGGAGGCACGCAGCCCAGTCAGAAGTGCGCAGAACCAGCGTACCGCCATTCATCAGGCAGCCGAGGATTTCCCAGGCTGCCATATCGAATGAAACATTGAGCACCTGGCATACTCTGCTACCGGGGCCGATCTGAAGGTTGGCTGGCGCCAGGCACAGAGTGTTGGTGACGTTCCCGTGGGCGACATCAACGCCCTTGGGCATGCCAGTGGTCCCTGTCTCGCGTGAGTGATTTTTCGCTAGCGAATTGAATTGAAAGGATAGCCTACCGCTAGTGTAGATGATGTACGCTCCATCCTTCTCATCCACGGCCACATCAAGCCGTTCGGCAGATGTGGCTGGCTGGGCGTCGTCAATGACGCAGATTTGCTGATCGTAAGCCGCCATTCGCTTAACTTTTTCCTCGAACTTTTTCAGACAAAGAATGACAGGTGCTTGGGTGTCTCGGAAAATGTGAGACAACATCTGCTCTGTGACGACTCCACCATCAATGGGGATGTACTGGCATCCGGTCTTGAGCACAGCAAGAATGGCTATGAGCATGGGGATGGAGCGTTGAACGACAACACAGACGCGCTGGCGCGGCTGGAGCCCCTGCTGGACCAGGAGGTTGGCAAGGCAATTGGCCTCGCAGTCAAGCATGCCGTAGGTAATGGTCTCGCCATTGTGGGTGGCTGCTGCTTGGTTTGGCTGAATGTCTGCGAAGTGCTCGAAGGCCTTGTGGATGAGGGTAAAGGGGCGGGGGATGGTCTGTCCGCGTCCAAACTGATTGAACAAATCTTTGTCCTGTCCAGACAGGTTTTCAATCCCTCGGAAGACTGGCTCCATGATGGGATGAATGGGATGCAATAAGAAACAAAAGAGGGCCTGGTAGGAGAGACACAGGTTGGGGAGACAAACACATGGATGCTCCCCGAGATATATACTTGGACTGGGCCATGGCAGCTAGTCTGGCCATTTCGGAAGCTGCAGCACCTTGCGGGAAGTATTTCCTGATACGACGGATTGAGACAGGCAATATGGCTTGCAGAATACGGGCCATTGGCGATGAGGAGGGAGCAGTCGATCGTGCCATCAACAAGCAAGTCGGCACCAAACAACCAGGAGGCCTCGTGAGCAGGGGGTGGCCTGTGGCTTCAGGCGAAGGAACTAGACTAGGAGCACAAGCAACGTATAGCGGAATCGGAAGCGGGAGCCGGATTGAGCGGTGCTGGGTCTCTCCGTAGCATGGGCCTGTGCGAGAAAAAGACCTGGCAGAGCTTCCCGGCCGAGTAACGCTCACGGTTTCACAGCGGCTAGCGATGTGATGGACGAGCTCTCGTGGAGCCCAGAAGATTGACCGCACGTGGGCATCGGCGGCTAGCCCCGATCAGGCAGGAGCTTTGACACGGGCGCGTTTGGTCCTACGGAGGCGCGGGCGGTACGACGCCGGGCTGGCGTGGGCAAAAGACGAGATGAAGGCTGGAAGCCACGGCCCACAGTTGCAATGTCGTTGCGGGGCGGGCGTGCGCAGATTGAGATCGGTCTCAGGATCCAAGGGTTCCGAGGGACCGTTTCATGGGCGGAGTTGCGGTCCGGGGCCGCAGATGGGAAGGCGTTAGAGCAGTTCCAAGCGAGCGAGCACGGCAAGGGAAGCTCGCGGCATCAGTGCAGAAGTCGGACGGAACGCCTGACACATGCAGCTCGATGAAACGGGCTGTGTGTTTGCCGCCGGCAGCTCTGTTTCGCGCGAGTCAGTCGCCGTCCTTATACATAGCTGCCAGCAAGCCAGTGCTCAGCACCAGCAATAAACAATGGAAACAGTGCGTGTGACGACCCGGCCCGACGGCGTGTCCGTCGTCGAATTCAACCGGCCCAGCAAGCGCAATGCCTTCACCCAGGCCATGATCGACGATTTTACTTCCAAGCTTTCTGCTCTCGATCAGGACACATCTGTGCGCGCCGTCGTTGTCACCGGGTCACCTGGAGGGCCTTTTTCTGGTAGGTCGAATGGTCCTCTGCATGCAAAGTCTAACGAGTTGCAGCTGGAGTGGATCTCAAAGAATTGGTCCAGATTTCAGAGGCCGAGGCACACGAGCGGAAATTCCTCCGGGACCTGACGGACGCTCTGACAGCCTTCAGCAAGCCCATCATTGCCGCCGTCGTAGGCTTCGCGGTAGGCATAGCGCAACTGCTCAAGCAATAGTGGGTGCTGACATGGGGCGGACAGCTTGGCGGCGGGTTCGAGGTTGCGCTGTTGGTAGGTGGTAAATAAGGTGGCAGGAACGACGGATAGCACCCGGCTAAGCGATCAGCAGTGTGACATCATCTACGCCGCCGACAATGCCCTCCTGGGGCTCCCCGAGATCCGAATAGGCACCATCCCAGGCGCTGGCGGCACCCAGCATCTTACCGCGTTGCTGGGCAAGCACAAGGTTGGTTGCATCAGATAATGCCTCGTCCCCACTGCTGATCCGGAGCAATAGGCTATGGAATTCATCCTCACTGGTGCCTCAGCCACCGCGCAGGAGCTAGAGCGTCTCGGCCTGGTCAATCGCACCTTCCCTGCCGATCGCGTGCTGGACGAGGCCCTGCAGCTTGCCGCCCGCATCGCATCCATGTCTTCCGCCGTCGCCAAGCTGGCGAAACGCTCCGTCCTGAACGGTACGTACCTCCGTTCCCGCTGCATTCAAATCACACTGACAACGGTACCTAGCTTCTGAGAACCTGCTTTCTGCTGGTATGGACAGAGAAAAAGAATTGTACTACGCCTCTTTCTCCACCCACGACTGCAAGGAGGGTATGACTGCCTTTTTGGAGAAGCGCCCTCCAAAGTTCGAGCACCGATGAACCTTCTACATCATCACTAGTCAGCCCCACGTTTTTTCTTGGGCACATCCCATCGGCTGCTACATGGGGGCAACCATTTCCTTGCGACTGCTTCATCGAGTAACGTCCGAAAAACTATGATGTAGCACATGAGAGAATCTTATCTACAAGACGTCATGTCCTCTCTTGATCGTGCGATATTGATCGCCGGGTCTGCTCCAGGCGGGGTAGCTATCTCCAATGATGTCTTTTATCGCCGTCGACGTCAACTTCCTAAAAGCTCTCGCCCGTGCATCCAAAGACCCTGGTATCCCCGCACCAGCTCCTTCTCAATTCTACTGGTGGGATGATCCACCCTTCCCCGGACCGGTCTACATCCGGCATGGCATTTGCCGATGCCGCCGTTATCGGGAGCGGGCCGACTGCCTTAACGTTAAACCCGTCCATCTCCTTCTAGACGCGCCTCTCGTTTAGAAATTAATAGCTTGGGCGGGGAAGTGCATTGGCCAACGAAATTCTGCGAATTCCGTCGTAGATTATCTTCGGGGCATTAACACACGATAATCAGCTTAACATAACTCCCTTATTGGCCCAACGCACTGATCCCGCCTATTTCGTTAAATCGATAGAAGGAGCATTACGTCTAAAATAGAACACATCAGTGAAAGCTAGAACGTTCACCCGAGCGATGAAGTAATTACGGCCGATACCAAGCTTTCCAGCAAGTCTTTAGCACTATATCCTACACGCTCATCCGCGGCAACGCCTTGGCATGCCTAGCATCCCCTCATCGACCCGACGCCGACATCGTCGCAGGCGTTCCAGGGTTCACACTTGGCAAGACGAGACAAGACGCGTGTTCCGTCCCTCAAGACGTCTTGGCTGAGAATTGGCAAGACGTTTTGCCAAGTGCCACCCCCCGGCATCTCCGTCTCCGAGTTCGGTCGGTCTACTCCTCTACATCCGTATTTCCGGGCCGGTGTCTACACAGCCTCCCGCCCCTTTCAACGCCAAGATCAGGATCGATCGAGTCGTACCTGGCAGTGCAGGAACGAGCACATCGTCACATGGACTGCTCATCCGCCCGCCCTACTCACCGGCGCTATCTGCGGCTGGATGCGCTCAAGTCAGAGCATTTCAGGTCCCCGAGTTCGGCATCGAATACGCGGCGGAGTTGAGCGCCACGGTCATCTAAGACAACGGGCAGCGCGCAGTTCCGCCCGGCACGGACCTGCATTGCCATCGGCAAAGCTCTCGTTACGTCGCTCTTTAGCGAGCAGGCGTCAGGAGACTAAGAACTAGTTGGGTCGGCTTGCCGACCGTATACGGTCCGGGGACGAAGTCTAGAGCAGGCCGCGGCGTGCTGCTAGCGCTGAGTGGCCGGGATGGTGTTGAGCACAAGGATCCGGACATGTTGTTGTTGATGGTGTGAATGATGATGGGGTAGCGGGGAAGGATGATAGTACTGTCAGCCTCTTTGAGTTACTGGTGAGAAAAAAGCAAGTCGGTTTGTAGGGGCTATTGTGGAACGGTGCGTTGGCTGATGGTACTGGTCGGGCAGTGCTCGACGGCAGGCTGCCCTGATCAGCTTCTGCGGAATGTGTGGAGGAAGGTTTTCTGACAGAAGTCCTGGAGTGCTTTCATTAGAATAGTGCTTCTATAGCATTGGTGTCTGATACCTTGACGCCATCTCACGAGATTTTGACTCCTCATGAATCATCTCGTTGACTATTCGTCATTTTCGCCGCTAAATCTTACGCGAGAATAATAGTAATTACTTTTTTTTGCATATTTTTCCTTCGCTCTAACAGCTCTCTCGTACTGATTGTTGCTTGCGCTAATGGTGGCTGGTGGCGTTTTGTGGTGATGGTGGCGGCTGGTGGCGACGGTTGGTGGTGATGTGGCGGTCAATGGCGGCGTTTGTTGGTGATGGCTATGCTGGTTGGTCACTGGTCAACCACTGGTAGTTTCTGGCTTTGTTTTTCCCGTGGTTGTGCTGTTCGTAATTGTATCCTTGGCGGTTACTTTCGTAGGATTGCCCGTGATAATTTTCCCAACATGGGCAAAATTCCCTGCGGCACAGGAGCGCCTAGTAGTAGCTGACAGAGTCAACAGAGCTGAAGATGGACGCGTAAGCTCTACGGAAACTCGCGTTACCGCTGGCGCCTTCCAGCTCCTCAAGATCCTCCAGCAAGCTCGGGATCGATCCAGTACCTGGCTGCGTAGGAATGGGGTGACAAAGGGCTGTCATGGGCACTTCCTTAGGGTAATACAGCTCGGCCTGTAAGGTCCACTAGAATGATAAACTAGGCTTACCGAAAGAGGTCCGTAGGGTAGCGTAAAAATAAATAGTTGTAGCTGACTACGAAGATGCTATCTACTGTAAACGACTGTGGTTTATATACATACAGACTGGCTAGTGGTTGGCCAGGTTGTACTGCTGTCTAGCCATTAAGGTCACCAATTGCAAGTCTCATCCCTTGGGTGAGTCAGGTGCTGGCCGGCAGTTTTTCAGGTTGGCATCGGATAATCTAGTCACCGCCCAATCTCACTGTGTTGCTTCACTGGTACTCATCCCCGGGTCGTAACAAAAGAATGAGGTGCAGATTGTGAAGTGATTGATGGCTTAGATAACGGCCCGTTCCAGAATGGGCCGTCCAGACGGAATTCTGTTGTAGAGCAGGTCCGAGAGATCAAGGGTACGGAAGGCTCCGTAGACAATAAGTTCCGCAAGCGCTCTCCCACAAGCCGGTGCCTGTTGGCTCCCATGTCCGGAGAACCCACAGCAGAAAAGCAAATTCTTCACTTCCGTGTGAGGACCGATGATGGCATTGTGGTCAAATGTGTTGAACTCGTAGTGGCCGACCCACGATTGAGTGATTCTGGCCGTGGAAAATTGTGGCACGCGCTTGGCAAGGACCGGAAAGATCTTCTCGTTCCAAACATCCTCCGGGTAACCGAAATCGTCGACATCGACAGCGATGTCGGGTCCAATGGGCGGGCAGCCTACAAGGTAGTCTTTCTCGCCGAATGAGCGAAGATGTACGCCAGTTGGGTCTATCGTCAGCGGCAGATCTTGATCGAGCGGCTGATCCACCTCGAAGATGTATGTGTAGCGCCGGCGCGCTTCGATGGGCAGGTTGACACCCGCCATGGAAGCCACTTGGCCAGCACGAGTGCCACTCGCATTGACAACCCTCCCAACTGCAATGGTTTCTCCGGTCTTCAGAGTGACTGTTTTGATTTCATCGCCAGCTCTACCGACGGCGACTACCTCGCTGTGCACGTATTCAACGCCTCGAGCAGTGGCTTTCTGTCGTAGCCACTCCACCATGCCGAGTGCATCAAACGCGCCTTCATCTACGGTGTTGAGGCTGCCACAGACAACGTCTTCGAGATGGTAGAACGGATATTTCTTGGCGATCTCGCTGCGAGAGACGATGCGTGTGCCGGCTCCACACGACGCCTGCAAATCGCGGTCCTCTTCCAATACTTTGGCAAAGGCTTGGTTGTCGGCAAGGTATAGGTAGCCGAAGTTGCGGATCGGGATGTTGGGCACGTTCGGGTCGTTGTCCAGGTTTTTGTGAAAGTCCTTGATGAAAGAGGCCCCGTATTGTGCGATCTTGACGTTGATCGAGGTCGCAAACTGTTGACGAATGCAGTTGTTGCTAGCCTTGGTTGCGGAGAACTGGAGAGAAGGGTCTCGCTCCACGACGAGGATACGGCCGTTGAAGTCGGGGTTTGAGCTCAAGAACCAGGCAATAGATGAGCCGCTTGTAGCGCCACCAATGATGATGACATCGTAGGAGGCGCTTTTTGGAGTATGAGGATAATTGTTGATGGACATGATGAAATGATCTTGGATTGTTGCATTGTCACACAGCTCAACCAAAAGCTAATTTATATCACTTTCGAAGTCTTTACTGCTCTAGCCTCTAGTCCTTCTCGACAAAAAACAACTCAGAGGTAACTACAAGCTTGGAAACCTTCGGCGGGTGCTGTCAAAGTAGACAAACATGAAGAGGTCAATTTGTAAGCTGATGGCGCTTACCAAATCGAGACAGCTGACAAATGCGAGTTCGCACTCGGTTTCGCCTGCCCTAACTAGAGGAAAAAAAGTTCTTCAGCATAACGTGCTGCTAAGTAAAAGTCAAAGGTCTAGAGAAGCAGCAACTGTTGTCGTTATGGTCATTATCACATCTACACGTAGCCGGCATACATAGACTGTAGCGAAAACGCAATGCTCATTAGATAGGTTAACCCCTATTCCATACACTATGTCCGTGCATAAAGCATGCTAGAGAGAAAGTCTCGCCGAGACATTCTTCTCTAGCGTGTATGGTGTGTAATACAGGGCTTATGAAGCGGAGTTGATGGGCGTTACTATCCCGCTTCTCCTGTAGGCTCCCTTTCCCAAGCATCTTAGGCACTTGGAACACCCATTTCAGGACTACAAGTCCTCGATCCTACGACGAGCCGTCTTTTCAATAATCAGTCATGGTGAACAAAAGTGCCATTGCTGAGTTAATTACCTTCTGAAGGCACCCACTTGTAGGATTAGCACACAAGCTTGGTAGTCGATCCCGAAGGACCGAGAGGGGGAACAAGCCGCACCCCGAACATGTGCCTCGGAAATTAGAGAGACTCTTTCGGTCTATAAATCTTACGAGTAGAATAGTCGCATTTAAAAGGAAGAAAAACTGTATAGATGGACCGTGAACTCTATCCTACGCTACGAGCACGAGTCCGTCTACGTTATAGCTTTTGACTGCTTGCCCGTCTTATTCTATACCGTGTACTCAATAGTCTGCTCTTGGCATTTGTGCAAATAGCTTCAACCGAGCCTTCTACAGAACGCCTGACATTACAGTGTGCGTACGTGCTCGGAAGAATGCGAACGCGGCCAATCAACTTGCCTGCCTTCTCAGCTTTCAAAGCATCGACTTCTTGAAATCTGATCAAACTGAGATTCGATTGTAGTTGCCGCGATGTGGTGGGGTATCTGGACAAATGACTGCAGTTTGCAGACATCAGTAATGGAGAGAGCAATATTACGTTCGTAGCATTGCGAGTGGCGATTCTCTTAGGCGTTGTAATATCTTTGCGATTCTGGTGGTGAAAAGGCGAAGGTAAGTGGTATTTAATGGGGAGTTACATTGTGCTGAGGGTGCGTCAAAATTATAACCACTGTGGCTCAAAAACTCCTTCACTATTGCATGCTATTGCCTTGTAATTCGGTGTCAATCATGATGTCGCATTTCGAAGAAGTTGATCACGGTAATGGTTCTACAACACCAGAAGCACATGAGGCGAATTCCGGTGTTGAAAAGCGCAGTAAGTGAAGAGAAAAAAATAAAGGGAAAAAAAAGCTCGGTCCCATCGTTCGACCATCCATCACCACCAACAATTTTTTTCACATGCAAAGCCACAACTCTAAACCACACCACACCACACACCCACATCGCATTTCCCCCCGGGCACCACCCTGGAGTTCATCCCTCATAGCCGCCGACGCACACCACACCACACACCCCCCACACCCCGCATGCATGCACCCCGCAGCGCGTACATGCCCAACCCACCAACCAAACGCCTTTTTTCCTCACCACCACCACAGCCCGCATCGAACCACCTTTCCGTAATCAATTTTCCCGGCGAATAATCACCCAACATCGAGATAGCCACACACATACCCGCACCCAAAGCCCCAACCATCTTACCTTGTGTGATCCCAATCGAGGAGTTTCCAATTACCTGCAGAAAAAGGATCAGGCCCAGAGCGCCAATAGAGAAAACCAAGCAAAAAACTGTTGGGAATCGATACTCGCCACAACCGAGAGATGGCGTCGACAAGGGTGCCGCGGACGGTGGGGCCGGGGTTTGACAGCATCAGCACACACTCTCTTCGACGGTCATCAATCCGTCGTTATCGCCAGTCGTTTCGTCACGAGTCACCACCCCGCATGAAGACGACAGATGCATAGAGGCTGACGGCAGCAAGCAATTGGAAGGCTGATGGCGTACGAAACTAAGCGACGATAAGGGTTTGTTCAACGTCATAATCACAAGCCTGCAAAGCGGAGATCGATGCGCAACCTTAAATCGGCCGTGGTGGGTAGAACACGAGTAGCAAGGTCGTAAATTCGAAACGACGAAAAGAAAAGAACTCATAAAAAGCGACCATGGTCTCCCCATAAGGGCAGAGGGGAAAAAAAGCATCAAATCCGTACTCAACATTCACACGAAACACCAAGCACGCTAGCAAACACCGGACAAAAGCCCAGAAAAATCCAGAGATTCATAATACTAAAAACACTAACGGACCGGACCGTACGCCGTTCTAGCCCCAACGCCCGCCGTCCCGCTCGCGCGGGGCGCGCGGCGCGCGTACATCATCCGCAACGGAGAGCGGCTCTAAAGCAGATATGGATCTGCGGGGGCGCCGCCTGCCGCGCTCTCGCCTCTTTACCCTGACCTGTTCTCATTCCTTGTTCTGTTCCATCATCTTCATCATCTTCCCCCTCTTCCTCCGCTCTCTTTATCTGTATCATTCTACAAAACCCCAAACGAAAGACTAAAACGACAAGAGAGAAATGAAAAAAAGGTTCTTCCTCCACAAAGTATCAATCTCCCCCCACCTACCATCATCATTCGCTTACCTACCAGTAGTCTTCGCACTTACAATTTTTACAAGAAGACACAACAACTTACAACCTCTGCCTCGCCCACACGGCCTGCAAGAAGGCGCCGTAGCTCCACGTCAGGTCCGTAGCGCCACGCTCGTAGCCGGTCCAGCGATCGAACTGCTCGCTCAGCGCGCCGTCGCTGCTGGCATGCTTGCGGATGACAGCCAGGAAACCGTCACCGAGGTCCTTCAGCCTGTTGAGGGCCGTCTCGACAACGCCGGTGCCGTCGCCGAGCTCGTAGCTCTTGCGTTGCCACGACAGCGGGCAGTCTGACGACGACTCCGGGCAGACAAGGCCGCGCCAGAACTCCCAGCCCGTCTCGCTAACCTCGACGGTGGCTGTCTCGTTGACGCGCGCCGCAGTCTGGAACAGGATCTCAGCGACGCTGGCGGTGCATAGGAACCACGGGTTGCCGGCGCCCGGGTGCGGCGAGGCGTAGCCGTCGTACGCGTCCTCGGGGTAGCGACCGACGCCGGCCGGGCGAAGCGGGTCGCCCTCCGGGAAGGCCGACAGCTCCTGGCCAGGCTGCGCGTTGATGGGGTAGCGGTCGCGCTGGTCCTTGACGAACTTCATCAACGTGACGAGCACCGCGTCGTCGTGCGGCGGGAACACCGCTGCGTCCGGGTAGGCTGGCTCGAGCGCGTTGCCGTGGATGCTGCCGAGCAGCACGCTGCAGTCCATACCGGAGCGCTGGAACTCGGCGTCACCGCCGCGCGTGGCGCGGATGTAGCCGCCGCGGGCGTCCCAGAAGTCATTGCGAACCATGGACTCGAGGCGCGAGGCCTGCTGGCGGTAGTACTCAGCAGCGCCGTCGTCGGCGAAGGCGGCGGCGACCTCGGCGCCCTCGCGCAGCGCGCGCAACTGCGCCTGGCCGGTGAAGAAGTGGCGGCCTTGCACCTCCTCCCACAGGTCGAAGCCCGAGTCGGGCCAGTGCCGCGCCACGTACTCCAGGTCCGCCTTGATGATGCTGCGCGCCGGCAATTCCGCGCTGTACAGGCGCCCGAACCAGTCGTCGGTCGAAGCGGTGGTGCGCGACTCCCAGACGCCAGGGTTGCTCTCGTTGTAGGCGCGCATGAACTTCATGAGCGCTGTCGCGCGCAGCGCCGGGCCGTCGCGCTGGGGGCGACCCCAGTTGGAGGTGAAGGGCGACCCATCGACCATGAACTTGGGCTCGCCGAGCCCGTTGAGGTCGGGGAAGGTGAAGTCGCCCGAGGGGTTGGATGTGTGTTGGATTTTCTGCGAGATGGAGGCATACGATTCAAGAGTTGGGAGGAGGACCGTCCGGGAGAGTTCGGAGGTGGGGTCGGCAACGTACAGGTCCACGACCGTCGCCATGGTTATGCCGGCGTCACGCACCCCTAACAACGGACAAGGTTAGCGGAGATGTTAAGAAGCGCGACGAAGAAGCTTACATTGGTAGTAGTAGTTCGGATGCTCCTTGGACGGACTGGCAATGACTGTGCCAGGCGCAGCATGTTGCGCATTCCTGCCGTTTGGCGCAATATTGGCCAGCAGCCTGTCGACGGCGATGTGCTCCTCCTCCTCCAGCCATGTATCGAGGCTCTTCTTGGTGGTTGGGAAGAGGCCTATCTGGTCGGAGACGGCTTGCGCCTTCTCAGCGAGAAGGTCTGTGAGGGCGGGGACTCGCAGCGGGGCCTGGTCGAGCACGGCGGGGATGACGAAGGCATCGGCGCATAGCAGCAAGGCGGCGCCTGAAAGAGAGAAGCGAGTAAACATGACGATGCGAAGGAAGCGCGCTAGAGGGTATCACGTCAAACGAAGAAGAGGAAGCAACTGGAGATGTCTCAGAAGAAGAGCGCGAAGGATAAAGAAGAGGCGGGCGCCTAGGGGTCTGGGGGCATAGAAGAGCGGCGCATGCTCACGGCGACGAGAGCGCGCCTGGCGGATGAGGGCGGCCTAGTGCGGGATGCCATGACTGCCGCGGGCAGAGTCGCGATGCGCTCGTGGCAGGTTCTGTCTCGCAGCTGCTCACTGCACCGCCATTGCCCCGATCCAGTCAGCGCGGCGCGGGAGCGATCCGACGAGTGAGAGGGCCCGGGCGGCGGTTCTGTTTGAGCTGGAGCTGAAAATGACGAGAGTTGGAGGGGCCTGACGTGGGCGCATGACAGACAAAGAAACGTCGCGGGACCGTGGCGACTGGCTGCGGGTCGCCGGGGCGCGTCATAGCCCGAGTCACATGCTCTCGCCCGCTGTTCCTGCAGTAAGAGCCGCGACTGGGCTGGATTTGACTTCGCCCGCCAGAGCAGCCCGCGCTGCAGCAATCACCCAACTCGAAGGCATGCTGCGCAGAAGCTGAACCGCGCCGAGGACTCTGCGGCGCAGCATTTCCGATGGAGGTCCCCTATTCTCACCGATCCTCCAGGCGTCCTCACGCGGACTGTTCTGTGACGTAAGCGGTGCACGCGACGCTCCAGCCCAGCCAGGCATTGCGGGGCCACATGGGCGAAAACCTGGGGAAGGCGGCCGGCCTAACGGCTTTGGCAAAGACGACGGGTCACTTCGGGGAGATCAGGACCAACGCGACCGCGGGGTCTTGTCCGACCACCACCACCGCCTCTCGCCAGCGCATGACGTGGAAGTGCGCGCTGTGGGTGCTACAGCTCGACGATGATGCACCTCCGCGATGCACCCGAAACAGCTTCGCGATTCGCCGGCTTCCGTCAGGAGACGTTTGGCGTCCAACCGGTGGCGCAACGGCCAGCCTGCGGTCCGAAGCCGCACGTCTCGCGACTTGCCCACCAGCCAGTCGGCTTGAAGAGCATGTGATTTTCAAACTGCCGACTCGTCGCCGTTGCAACACGGCAGAGCCACGGCAGCTTCAGAATTTTTAGCAACGTGCAGTCCGGACCCATCCCGCACTTCCGACTGGACGTCGACCGCCAGGTAAGAAAATAAAAAGCGGGTAGATCCATAGTTGCGCGGCCCGACCGTCGGGTCCAGGCACGTCTCAGGCTGACTCCAGGGTAGCATTGACATGTGAAAGTTGACGTCCGTGAGCATGCCCCTATCAGTTTTCCCAATCCAGAGTGTGAATATCTGCATAGTGGAGCGTCAAGATATGCATGATAAGGCGATCAGGTACGCGGTTGGCCCGCTAAGCCCTGCGGAGCCTTGGTGAATTTCCCCGACCCAAACGGTGAAGACGGCAAACCTCAGCGAACCGAATGCTTCTGCCTGGAGATATCATGTCATACTGTCGCAATACTGATGGCTTGTCGTCATGACAAATCCACCTGCGTACCATTTTTTGTGAAGTCCAGGACTGGGTATCACCAACTCCTGACACAGCCTCGCTCAATTCTCGGGAACAGCCGCGCACGCCCTCTCACCGGCGTCCAGGTGTTCTAGAAAAGGTCGTAGCTGTAGCAATAGGTAGTGCCCCTGTAGACGTACAGGAAAAAAGAATCTGTGCATACGATTGCGTACTTGCAATAATCTCGTACATACTATTACGGTGCAACCTCTCACGTCCCGGCTTTGCACCGCAGTTAACCCAAGATCCTGACCGGTCCAAGCTGGTCACAGCATACTCGAGGCCACAGTCCACGTGCCTTTCTGGAACTTCTTTTTGTTTTCTTTTTGTGTGCACGAGCCCTTTCCAATACTTCTAGCTCGTTCATTGCCACCATCAAGCTCGTGATGTCGTGTTCCCGCTCGATCAGCCATCGTCAAAGCTCGTTTTCACAAACAGTGGTATCTTCACCCGCCACAGCACAAAGCAGATCGTGTCTTCCACTCCACGCTCACCAGCATCGCCACCCACCTCCCACCTCTCCAGACGTCACCCCACTCATCCCTCTCACAACTTCCCCCTCACCGCCCCCTTCCGCCTCGCCCCTCCGCCTCCGCCTCCTCCGCCGCCTCCATCTTCGACAACGTACCCGTGCGCTACCGGATTCACACCGCCATTAGCCGCCGGCGGTAGTGGGAACGGCGGTTTGCGTAGGGCCGACGAGAAAAAGACCGGATGCCGGATGGCACTGTCATAATGTTGCGTGATTGGCGTGTGCAATAATCTGGGCTGCGGTATGGGCGGAAATACTATTCCGGGGGAAGAAAGAGGAGTCGCGAAGGTGGGATGGGGAGGATGCGGTGGGGGAGGCAGTCCTGCTGAGGAGAAGGGCGGCATGGCTTCAATCTGGGAGCGCGGCGGTATTTTATTGATGCTTTGGTTGTGCGACGGTGCTGTCGTTGGAGAGAAGGCTGCAGTGGCTTGTGAAGGTTCGCCGGGTGCGTGGGTGGAGGTTTGGCGCGTTGGTTGCTGGCGTAGCGGCGGCGGTCGCGCTTGGCTGGCAGGCGGAAACTGAGGGCGCGGTTAGTCGCGCGAGGAGCGCGATGCGGATGCGATTGATTCACGCACTTTTGGCCGCGAGGGCTGCAGGGCGGGGAGCATTATTGCGGGTTGGGAGTGAGTGAGCAGCACTTTTCCCGCGGCACTTCAGGTGTTTTGCGGGGAAGCATGACGAAATTCCCGAGCCCTGCGAGACCGCGCGCGCCTCAGCCGACGGGCCGACCGCCACGGAAAAGTTCATGGTGCGAGGCAACTTAGCAGAGGTCCCAGGCCCATCCACCCCATCGAGATGCGCTTCCTCTCCCCGAGAGCGAGACGCGTCTCGCCGACAATTCTACGCCGCTACGCGACGAGCGCTCAGCCGCCGCTGATCCGCATCGACAATGCCACCTTCTACCGCAACCACCCCGACTCGCACGTCGCCAGCGATGAATCACCGAACCCGCCACTGTATCCCAACCTCAATTTCGCCCTACCCTCCCACTCCGAGCCCAATCAGCATTGGGCAGTCCTGAGCTCGTCATCGGCCAACCGCACCGCGTTCCTGCAGATCCTGCGCGGCCAGTACCTCAGCCTGCCGCCCACCGCTCGCTCCTACCCGTACCTGCAGACGGCCGAGATCGCCCAGAAGGACGCCCGCCTACGCAACCCCCACCATGCGGTCCAGTACGTCGGCTTCGACGCCGAGCGCGGCGGCCTTCCCGGCGGCGCCAGCACCAAGGGTGCCTACATGAGCGCGCGCTACGAGAGCATGCGCGAGGTAACGGATTGGAGCGTGCGCGACTACCTGCTGGGCAACACGGAGCTGAATGCCGACGAGGCGCTGGCGTTGAAGCCGCCGGAGGAAATGGTCGAGCAGGTGATGCGCGACCTCAATCTCGAGGCGCTGCAGGGCATGCCCGTCAGCCACCTCAGCAACGGGCAGACGCGGCGCGCCCGCATCGCGAAGGCCCTTCTGCAGCGCCCGGAGCTGCTGCTGCTGGACGGGCCCTTCATGGGCCTCGACCCGCACTCGCTGCAGTACCTGTCCGGCCTGCTGCAGCGCCTCGCCGACGCCCAGCAGCCCCGCCTGCTGCTCTCGCTGCGGCCCCAGGACTTCATCCCCGAGTGGATCACCAATTTCCTCGTCGTCGGCCACAAGCCCAAGGTTAGCGTCATGGGCGACCGCTCCCAGATCTTCGAGTTCCTGCGCGACCATTACTTGAAGACGGACGAGACCGATATCGAGTTCCGCAACGCATTTACACAGATGGCCGAGAAGGAGAATGGACTGGACATAAAGTACACGGGGAAACATCTTGTGGATATTCTGGATAGAGACGATACCGACGAGATGTTGGCTCTCTACGATATTGCACGGAAGATGGAATCCAAAGGCGACTTTGACCAGTTTTCCAAAGATCCGGAAAAGTGCGAGAAAATGCGTAAGAACTTAAGACGACCGAAGCACACATACCTGGAGGCCATGACCAGAGACGGCATCCCTTTCACTGACAATGACGAGCCACCCCCACTGGGAGACCCGGTCGTGCAGATGGAAGGTGTGAAAATAAAGTATAACGATAGTAAGATTCCTGTCCTGGGAGACTGGAGGGGCGGTCTTAGGTGGGAAGTAAGAAGAGGGCAGCGTTGGGGAGTCTTTGGGCCGAATGGTAATAGCCCATTCAAAGTATTATTAACACTGCTAACTTATTTCCAGGTTCGGGCAAAACCACCCTCCTTTCGCTCATCACGTCCGACCATCCGCAGACCTATTCCGCACCGGTCAAGCTTTTCGGACGCTCTCGCCTGCCGACACCAGGCGAGCCCGGCATTTCCATCTTCGAGATCCAATCCAAAATAGGTCATTCCAGCCCCGAGGTGCACACGTACTTTCCCAAACACCTCACCGTCCGTCGGGTCCTCGAGTCAGCGTGGGCCGACACACCCATCTCCAAGCCACGTCTCGGTTACTCGGAGGACGAGAAGGTGGACGCGTGCCTGCGGTGGTTCCGCGCCGAGCTGTGCCCGGATCAAGACGACACGCTCGACCAGCGCGCCGAAGCGTACTACAGCGCGCGCAACTTTCCGACGAAGGACGACACAGCCGGGCGTTATCTGGAAATCACCGAGACGAGCCTCCGCGACGAGGAGGCGCTCCTCAACCCGTCGATCGACTGGGCCGACAAGGTGCGCTTCGGCGAGCTGACGTTTAGCGCGCAGCGCGTCGCCCTTTTCCTGCGCGCCATCATCAAATCGCCCGACCTCGTCGTCCTCGACGAGGCCTTCTCCGGTATGGACGAGATGGCCCGCGACAAGTGCATGCTCTTCCTCAACCACGGCGAAACCATGATCCTGCGCCACGTCCACCGCGAGAAACCGCGGTTGCGCCGCCAGGGCGCCTCGGCCCACGAGTCGGCCATGGAACGGCTCCGCCGCGTCCGCGTGCGCGGCCTCTCGCCGCAGCAGGCCCTCGTCGTCGTCGCCCACGCCCGCGACGAGGTCCCCAACTGCGTCCGCGAGTACATCACCCTCCCCGAATCCGGCACGGGCACGAAAAAGCCCCTCATCGGCCGCATCGACGGTCCGATCTCGGTCGACTACCGCCGCTGGGGCGAGATCTGGGGCATGCCGCAGGTGTCCGGCCGCCCCAGAAAAGTCTCTGAGGAAGAGCAACTCGCCCGCGACGCCCTCTACGGGCCCGTCTCCCCGCTCGAGGTCTACAGCAAGAGCCTCAATGTCTTGACCGGCGCCATGGGCATCCCTGGCTGCGCCAAGTCGGCCGTCACGCGCTGGGAGAATGCGCGCAAGTTGATGAACGAAGAGGAGCGCAAGGCGGATGATGAGCGCATCAAGAAGCGGAAGGCGCCGAAGTTGAAGATTGGGAGGCCGAGGGTGAGGGGGGTGAAGGGGGAGGGGGTGGAGGAGAGAGAAGAAGAAGTGGAGGGAAAGGCGGATGAGGAGGAGGAGGTTGAGAAGGAGGTTGAGAAGGAGGATAAGAAGAAGGCCGTGAAGAAGGCTAAGAAGACGAAAAAGACGGATAAGAAGGAGGAAAACGCAGAGGAAAAGAAGTGAATGCGGAAAAGAGGAAGCTGTGAGGTAGGTGTTTGTATTATATGACGTATCTGGGGGAAGAAGAATTGGAAAAGGGAAAAGTAAAGAATCTTGCACATATATGGTAGAACAGAGAACAGGTGGACAGAGCAACTGAGAGACCGAATCTCCAATCGAACAAAAAAAAGAGTAATTTGAATTTCTTCTATGCCTCAAGTGCTGTGATCCATGTCTACCGATGGTACACAGTCCGTTCTGACATGAATTCACCTACTTTTAGTGTGGTTGCACGCCATCAGAACACCTCCCACAAACTGACCTTCCCATCCTTCGACCCAGCCGCCAGCCAATGCACCGCCCTCGCCCTCTCTTCCCGCCTCGCCCTCACCGTCGTCATCGTCCTACCAGCAGCACTCCTCGCCACCGCCCGCTCCCCGCTGTCCTCGATCTTCCCTCCCACCTCGACCACAGCACCGGCATCTACTGCCCCCTCCCCACCACCTCCTTCCTTCTCCCCCTTCTCCTCCTTCCCACCCCCATCCCCGCCCCCCACATCCGCAAACGCAACCGCATAACACCCCTCCTTATGCCACGCCAGTACCGCGACTTCCTTCAGCCCTTTCGCGCCGTACACGCGCACCCGCCCGTCCCAGCCCGCCGTCGCCAGCACGCGGCCGTCGGAGCGCACGGCGAGCGATTGCTGGCCTGAGTGCTTCGTGTGGACTGCTTTGGCGGGGGCGACGGGGGCGGGGTTGGGGAGGGGTGGTGGGGCGGCGGATGAGGGCGACGAGGAGGATTGCGAGGCGAGGGCGGCGGAGAGGAGGGATTGGGGTTTTGTGGGTGTGGGGGTGGAGGGGGATGCGGAGGGGGGTGATGAGGGGGGTTTGGGTCGAGAGGGAGACCGAGGGGCGGAGAGGGTGTGCTTGGCGATGAGGTCGTCGGCGCCAGAGGTGTAGAAGGTGAGGTCGGAGGAGGGGGAGGAGGAGGGCGGCGCTGGGGAGAGGGAGAGGAGGGGTTGCGAGTGCGGCTGGCTGGTGTAGATGTGCGACCAGGTGTTCGTAGCGGGCGAGAAGACGTGGACGGCCGTTGCGCCGCTCTCGTAGCCGGTGATGCAGTGCAGGACGGGACCGGACGACGGCGACGGTCTGCTGTGCACGAGGGAGACGGACATGGTCATGCCTGCGGTCTAAATTAGGTGTGGTCCCGGATGCGGGGCGGAGTGTTTGTGGCGGGCGGTACGGTACCTGTTTTCTGACCTATATTTGGCACGGTGCTCATGCGGTGCTCCGTGGGGAGCTGGAAGACGTCTACTTCGCCATCTTTCATGCCCGGCACGGCGATGAGGATGGGGTTCACGGATGGTGGGCTGTCATTGGACGCATCGGGATGCTCGGGGCAGGTTGCAAATGAGCAGAAATTTAAGGTATTGACTCGGAGAGAATGCAGCAGCCACGGCTGCTTCCGATGCGTCGTCGTGTCGTCAACCGGCAGGGCGGTCGAGAAGTCATGCTCATCTGCAGGGCCCAGCTGCCAGACGCGAAGATGAAAATCCCGGCCGTGCCTGTCTCGGATGAACCATCAGCCGCAGATTGCTCGATGGATCAAGGTTGTAGATTTCCGACTGGGGGTCATGCATGGTTGCTTTTCAGAGCTGAACCCAAGGGCGCGGGACGTTCATGCGGCGGTTTCCGTTTGGGGCAGGCAAGCAAACAGGCGGGAAAACTTACGTGATGACCTTGTCTTCAGGCCAAGTGCCGAAGCCGAGAATGGCGCCGTCGTGGGCGCGCCAGACGGCGACGGCACGCTTGGTCGCGACATTCCAGAGCACGACCCAGCCGTCAGCGTCGCCGGTCAGCAGGCGCTCGTTGTGGCGCAGGAAGCGCACGGCGTGGACGTGAGCGTGATGACCGCGGAGGACATAAGCAGGCTGAGCGGGCGGGCGCTGGAGCTGAGGAGGGTCGGACATATTTGGGTGTTGGGCTGAGAGGCAAGGCGGGACGAGGAGGATCGACGGCGATCCTTTTTTGAGTGGGCGCTTGCTTCCGCAAGATGACAACTCGGAACGACGCGTGCGCGCAGTCAAACCTTCCGAGTGTTCGCCATCTCCCGCGGCCAGACCGTGCTCGTGCAATTAAGGTTTGCTGCGACGGCACGCGCGGGTTGTGTTGCGCAAGCTGTCGCAGCCAGTCGCAGCCTCACCCCGGGCCCGCCCGCGCGCCGCAGCGACTTCGTCGCGCAGGCTTCACGCCACGTGGGCGCGCATCTCGTCGTGGTGGTGTTGACGGTGGTGCAGGGCCAGGACGGCCAAGCTGCGGGCGCACGTCTCTCTGGGGCGGGCTGCACCTGCCCGATCGCCCGCAGCTTGGGGTAAGCTGAGGCGAGGCGCTCCGGCGTCATCATCATCGTGCATGCACTCCCCCAAGCCATGGCAGCCGTGAGCAGGCAGCCGGCCGGCAGTCAACTGCTGTCACCCGATGCAAGGGCTTTGCAGAGCGCTGGAAAGGCGAACTCGGGGCGCTGGGCCGCGGAGCCACGGTTGGCGTCGCTGCTGCGCGTCAGACGGGCGCCACCAGTCTCAATAGCCTTCTCAGCTGCGGCAGACAACGCGGCCATTTTTATCCTTCGAGGATTGGCGGCCGCCGTCGTGACTGGCGGGTGGCTTGCACGCTCGCTTCGAGTTGCGCGGGCGCGCGATCCCTGCCGCCTTGAACCTGCTCGCCGGCCCTTCGTCGTCTTCAGCGACAACATGTTCACCCTCTGCGCCCGAACTCCCACAGCCTGCAACAATTCCCACACCCGCGCTCGCGAGCGCTCCACACCGCCCGCCCCGCCCCCGAGGTGCCGGACGCGTGACTCGCGTCCCGCCTTTCGCGACGCCTGCTTCTAGGTACCTGAAACCCTTTGCATCCACCCACCCGACTCCTCTCTCACCACCCAAACCGCCAGCCAGCCTCGCCTACGATAAACCACAGCACTCCCACCATCGTCCCACGCCGTCGAGGGCCGTTCCCCGACCGTCAGACACCGTGGCTGCCCCGCCCGCCCACCCCGGGTTTGACCAACCCCCGCCCGAACTCTCATACCTCTATGCGAGCACCCAGCCCGTCTCGCCCTCGTCGACTCTCCGCTCCGGCCCAGACAGCCTCCCAGACCCCTTCGCCACCCCCGTGCGCAAGCGGACCTCGAGCTCGGCCGCGAGCCAGCCGCCATTGAAGAAGCAGAACAACGGCCGCCAGCCCGCTTCCTCCAACGCCCGCAAGAGCAGCCACCAGAGCAGCCGCACCATGAGCGACGCAGACTCGGCCCAGGCCGCCCCGCCTGTCGAGCCTCCGCAAGCGAGCAAGCCCAAGCGCGTGCGCACCGGCTGCTTGACCTGCAGGGAGCGCCACCTCAAATGCGACGAGGCTCTGCCCCATTGCCAGAACTGCCGCAAGTCCAACAGGGTGTGCAAGCGCGGCATCCGTCTGAACTTCATCGACACCACCGTCCAGGCCCCGCCCGTTGTCCCCACCTCGCAGGACTGGAACATCACTTTCCTCGACGAGTCCCGAGACATCGCTTCCGAGTACAAGGGAGGTCTCAGCAAGTATGGCGCCCCGGAAGTCCAAGCCACCACTCAAGCCATGAACGGCTTGCAGTTGGATTTTTCACAAGGCCCGCCTGCCGCTCCCGAGCTCTCGCACCAGCCTCTGCCGCCGATTCACGGCGTGCTCCCCGACATGTACGCCGATGATCATAGCAACATGTTGTACGAGACAACCCAAGCCCCCTCCAATCCGCACGTGCAGCACGCCGGAATCGACTTTTCCGCTTCGAGCTCCATCCAGGCCGCCTCCGCCTATAACAGCCATGAGCCGACTACGTCACCGCCTGCAAGATCCCGGGATTATTTAAACACTCAGGAAGAGGTTTTGTTTATGCAAGTTTTTGTCGAAGAGGTCGGCTTGTGGATGGACAGCATGGACCCTCAGAAACACGTATGTGCTGCTGCAGTCCCTCCCCCTTGCATTCGCGTTGTAACCCCATGACAGTTTTCTAGGCTGCTGCCGTTTCACGCTCTTGGCGAACCCATGTTGCTGAATGCTTTCTTGGCATGCGGCGCCCGCCATCTGTCCCTCGTCAATGCCCGGTACACCGAAGACAAAGCACTGCATTACTACGACACCGCCACAAGATACCTGCTCAATTCTCTGCAAAACCCCAACCGTGACACCGTCATCTGCGCCACCACCGCTGTCATTCTTAATGTTTACGAAATCATGTGCGAAAAGGCTCTGCAACGAATGAACCACATCGCTGGCGCCCGTGCCCTCATCAAAGAATGCGGATGGAACGCGAGGTCGACTGGAATTGGAGCTGCCTGCTTTTGGTTGAACGTGGGGATGGAGTTGCTGAGCTGTCTGCACTTCAATTGGCAAGTGGCCTGGGACCCCGATGACTGGGGCGTTGATATGGACTTTAGCCGCGAGACCGAGGCTGGGCGTGAAGAGATGTGGACCTATCGCATAGTCTACGTTGTGGGCAAGATCGCCAACTTTCGGGCGGGTATCCCCAGAAAATCCACGGGCTCTCCGCGAGACGACCAGCTCCGACTGCAGAAGAGGTTTGCTGAATGGCAGAGGCTGAAAGATTGGTGCGATTCCTGGAACGAGTGCATCCCTCGGACCATGCACCCGATGGCATATCTTTATCCCTACCAGACGACGTCACAATCAGCCTTCCCCGAAGTTTGGCTTATCAAGCGGACAACCATCGTGGCACGTCTCTTCTATCACACGGCCATGTGTTTGTTGGCACAGATTAACCCGATTGAATCCAAGGAAGGTAATGAGATGCGCGACCTCCTGCAACGTCATTCGCAACAAATCTGTGGAATCGTTGCGCATGTTAAGGACCGGTAGGTACTCAATTGGCATGTGAAGGTGCTAAATTGCTGATGGTTTTTCAGTGGCGTTGCTAGCGTCGCCCTCCGTTCGCTCGCCATTGCTGCCGAATGTCTGACGAACCGGCGCGAGCAAGAAGAGGTGCTACAAATCCTGGATAAGATACGTCAGGAAACCGGGTGGCGTGTTGCATTCATCAACACCGAACTCAAGAAACAATGGGGATGGCCGGAAGATCCGCCGCAGCAACAGCAGCAGCCACAACAGCAACTTCCGACGCCAAACATGGGCGGAGCTGCGCAGATGCCGTACGTGGCCGCCCAAGCACAGGCACAAGCGCAGGCACAGGCGCAAGCTCAAGCTCAAGCTAACGCGGCGGTTGCTTCGGTGCAACCGCAGGCCACTTCGCTCCAACCAATGGCGAGCCTGCAACCCACTTCGACCACCACGAACGTGAGCAATCCCGCCCAAGTGGCAGTCGGAGCACCCACGACGGCCGCACCCCGACCCCGCCTACCTTCAGGTATCCTCAATCCCATGCTCGCCGCTGCAGACTTTTCGATGCCTCAACATCCTTATCAGAGTTACTATGTCGCGCCCAACAGCATCAGCAGCGGAAACAGTTGGGCTTTTAATACGTAAGAAGGGGAGGTCTACAGTACACCTACCTGGGTTGGGGTTAAATGTGTCTGTACGAATATGCTTGTTTTATTATGGCCTGGAGTTTTTTCTCAGCGGTATGCAACGAGGAAAGGAGGGGAAAGAAGGTGGGATGGGTTTCCTTTTTTTTTATAAGTCAGCATGGTCACCATCGGTCTCTTGGAAGCATACGGCATCATTGGGCGAAGATTTCTCTTTTTTTTTCCTGCTTTTCTTCTCTCTAATGTCTCCTTTCTCCCAATGAGGAATCATGTTCCACACGTTCCACACGCTGGATAGAGGGGGGCCGGCCTTTTGCTGATTTTGCTTTTTGCTGGGTGTTTTCTTATTTCCCCCCATGTTCCTTCCTCTGATGGGGCTCTTTGTTGTCTCGTTTGACAAAGACACAAACACGACTTACGAATATGGTGCATGTGTAATTCTCTTTTTTTTTCCCTTTTTGTCTGGCTAGTTATTGGAATCGTTCGGCGCGTGGGAGTGGGCGGACAGGAGGGTTCTTTTTTCCTTTTTTTTGATTTAGTCGTCGGCGAGGCACCAAAAAAATCTGTGTTGTTTTTTTATTTCCGTTCTGGAGTTCAAATCAGAAGTGTTAGGGGTTGACGTGAAAAAAAAAAGGAAGAAATGAAATTTGTTTTTCAAGTATGGTGTTGGCTTTTTTGATCTGTTGCTTGATTTGACACGAGTTACGCTTAATGGAATTGCTGAAGAGATGACGTGCGTGGAGATAGGCTTTTGCCAGAATATAAGGCCTCGTTCCCTGCAGAGACCTGCAGTGTGGCGTCATACTTTTTATTTTGTCCACTTGCCGAACGTTTTCGGTGACCATTAGCTTGGCGCCCGGTAGAAAGTGGTTCCGCAGATTGTGGGCGGTGTCCCGTCATATCTTTGTGCGTTGTCCTTTGAGCCGATGATGATCGTCCCTCCTCTCCCTCGTACCCTTATTCAGTTAGAGAGAAATAATGGAAAACAACTCCCTCAACCCCCCGTCCGTCCGGCTACTTCGGTTCGGCGTCACCGATTGTTTCTCTCTCTTGGTTGCCTTTTTCCCGTTCATGCATGCCTGCCTTACCTAGCCTAGGGTGTGGAGCTGTTCTCGCTATTTCATGCAGCCGGTGAGTTCAGCACGGATGCTGCTAAGCACTTGTGTCCTCCATCGGTAGGGCCGGGGGTGGATGGGAGCGGGGCCGCTGTTGCAGGGCCAGGGTTCGTGCGTGGGTCCCTATATTTTTTTCGATGAACCGCACACCTCCTTTTTTCGGTCCCTTGGTGCCTGAATTTCGTTTACGAGAGGGAGGGTCCGATTGCCAGGTACCCGCGCGCATTTTGCGAATCTCCAGGTTCGGAGAAGTGGAGAATGGGGGGGTGGACAAGGGCCAAGGGGGTGGGGAGGGGGGTGCTGGCGGGTATAGGTGGAGGGACAGTGGCGTGGTAAGTGCAAGAGGGACGGCAGTCTGGACTGGTCTCTGGATGGGGACGAGCTCGATGAACACTGCTGCACTGGCTGCACGGCTGCAAGACGGGAAGGAAAGACAGGGTTGCAATCTTGCGGGTGCCAGATGCCGCCCCTCCCCCGTTCGTTGCGTCAATGGTGATCTTGGATGTTTTTGGATAAGGCTGTGCGGCTGAGCTGGGCGCTTGCGCAGCAGTGTAGACGAGGGCGGAGGGACGGGCGCTTATTTTTTTATTGTTCGTGTTTGTGTAGTTCGGATTTTTTATGATGTTTCGTTGTGCAAATATTTGTTTTAGCAAACTGTTCTCTTACGTACAGTGCAAAGACTTTGGAATAACCACCACCATCACCACCACCACTGCCGCCGCCGTCACCGCCATCCACCGCCTAAAAAATGCAAGACCCTGACCACCACCAACGGGAGGGTTACCGGACCATCTCTCCGCCAATAACAATAAAAAGCCGCTTTCCAACCACCACCGCCTCTCTACCATGCTTTAAAACTGTTAAACCCAAAAAACACAACTTTGAACCGCCCTTGTCCCTGTGATGATGCCCGTATGTAGTCCCTTGGTATGCGCCCTTTTCCTTTCTTTCCCAGATTCCCAGTCTTTGCTGTTGGTACAAATTTGCTGTGTGCAATAAAACAAAAAATCAATCTTGAGCCGCCTGTAGATTAGGATATGCTGTATCCGGTCCCTTGTTGCGGGTTCTTCCGTTGACCGCCCTTCCGTTTTGACAAATTGGGAAAAAATAGCAGAAGAGTAAATATTAGGGCGGCGCTGTTGCGGTGAGTATGCGGCGCGCCGCCAGGTTGAATAGCCGAAAGCGGCATGGGAGGAGGAAATGGTTCAGGGTCCTGGGGGAAAGCGGGCAGTTTCCCTTCAGGACACCTATTGCTGGACCCTGAGAGGAAGGAATGAGTTCGCTTCGCGCCGGTGAGCCTCGCTTCGAGCCTCGCCTCGGCCCGGTGGCGGTGAGGCCCGGAGACGGGAATGCGCGGTTGTCGAAATGTAGTGAGTGAACGGACGGGAGGGGACGAGCGCCTTTATCGTCACTGGTGGTCCGGGCGTGCCGGGTATTATCTGGCATCATCCGCGATGAAGACCGCAATCCGGCACGACCGGGAATAAATGAAATAATGAGCGGAATGACAGCCGTCGGTCTGTCGAAGCTCTCGACTCGAGATCGAGATTGTTGTGGCCCCTCGGGGTCCGTGAGGCTGTGAGAGAGTGGGTAAGGTGGTGGGGTGGAGAGGGGCGAGGGGGGGCCACGGGGCCAAACGACAACGAGTCGTCAGGTGAAGGGAGCGATTATTTTTTCCCCACCACACACCACCGCAGCTATTATCGCCCGCTTTATCAGTGGAGTAATAAATCGATGCTGATCATCATCGTCATCTCTTTCTCTTTCCTTACTCCACAGGCGCAACAGGCACCTGCCCCGCCGTCGGGTACCTCCCCAGCGACACGCAGCTCCTTCCGTTCCCGCCGAACCTCAGATGGCTCTCAGCGTCGAAAAAGGCGGTGCTGGGCCTGCTGTCGTAGCAGTCGGTAAAGTCCGGGGACGGCGAGTCGCGCAGCGTGGCGGAGCGCTGGGTCCGGTAATCGTAGTCTTCCTCATCGTCATCACCGGCCAGGTTCTCGTAGTGACACGCATCAACGGGCGTCGGCGACGTGGCTCCGTCCGAAACGATGCGGATCGTCGGCGCCATGTTCGAGACCGGGCTGTCGGCGGCCGCGTAGACGGTGTGCGGGCGGCTGCCGCCGGAGGAGCCATTGCTGACGGTCGTGTTGCTGCCGTTGTTGCGCTGGTGGTAGGCGTAGTGCCGGCCGGTGTGGCGGTGGAGAGAATCCACAGGGCTGTCTGCGGGCTTCTCTGAGACGTCCGTCGTCGAGGGGAAGAGGGACGGGTTGCGGCCGGCTGACGGCACGATGATGGAGGGCGGCGGCGAGGCGCGGCGGCGGCGCTCTTTCTGCTGCGCCAGCGCGAAGTGCTTGCCCGTCGGCGTCAGGACGCGGGCAGGCGGGTGGAAGGAGTCGTCGGCATCGTCGGCGTGCGTGTGTGTGGGCGAGGATGATGAAGTGGTGGTTGAGGCTGCGGATGATCTCGCATCGTGGCGGGATCGGCAGGCGAAGAGGCAGAACTTAGGCATGATGGATGATGGATATTTTTAATTTCTTTTTACTTCTGGAATGCAGAAAGAAACGAGAGGCAGAGAAGCTTATTGCAATTGACATTAGAGAAGAGGGCGAATGGCACAGATAAAAGACGGCCAAAGGTCTGGACCGAGGGGCTCCTGTCCCGCTCGGCCCCCCTGGTCCTGCATCTGGAAGGCGCCAACCGAGCGAATGGGGCTCTTCGATCAGAAGCATGGGTCCGCTTCTTCAAGATCCACAACCCCTCCCCGATTGGGGCGCTCTGCGGGGCCGTTTTGCGGGACGGCGGACCGTTGCGCAACCGGTGTGCTGCGGTCTGGAGAGGCTTTCGGGCTGACCGGTCGAAAACGCGTTGGCCTCTTTCCGGTAAGCGGCGATTCTTACTCCACATGGTACCTTTTTCAAACGCCCCGGGTGGTATCATCACCTGCATGATCCCCTGTTCATCACTCTATTTTCCCTCAATCGAAGCCACATCGAACACCGCCGATCATTCTTTGGTTTCATCCCAGGTTGAACTCGCTGGCCCCACCTGCCATCTTCCTCGCCAATGCCCTCATCTTCCTGCCCGCCTCGTCTACCTCGTTTCCGCCCTGCACGCCCGACGCTGACCGGCTGGACGAGTCTCCACCCACCGCCTTCTCCCTGACTCTGCGACCCTTGTCCTCCTTGCCCTTTGCCGCATCCGGTCGCAGCCCCGGCACCTTGATAGCACCGGGCCGGTCGCGCAGCCCGAAGGCTTTAGCCAGATGTCCGAGATGCAGCTCCTTGATGTTGAAGTAGATGCGCTCGTCCTGGACGTGCGTCGCATAGGCCCGTACATGGCTCTGGTACGCGCGTCTCGCCAGCTCCAGGCGGCCCGGCTTCGCAAGGGCCCAGCGCTCGGCGTCGAGCTGCCAGCTGGTGGCTGCGTCCTCCCACGCCGCCTTGGAGATGACACCAGCTGGCATGAAGGCCTTGCGGAGCAGTTCGTTGGCATCGTGCCGAACAAGCCCGGTGGTACCCGAGTCGGTCGAAGGCCGGTCTTGCTTGAGGATGTCGACGTAGCCCTCCTCGTCGCCCGGCTGCAGGAAGATCATGGCGCGCCCGTCCCTGCCGGCACGAGCGGTACGACCGATGCGGTGGAGGTGGTCGTCCCGGGCGAACGCCGGGTCGTATTCAATGACAAAGTCTACATTAGGGAGATCGAGACCACGTGAAGCTACGTCAGTACAGACAAGCACAGCTGGGGTGGTGCTCTTAGTAAAGGACTGAAGGGTCGATGTACGGAGAGACTGAGCGAGGGAACCGTGGAGTTTGTAGACGGTGACCGGGTTATCCTCGCCGGACAAGGTGGGTGATGGTGCAGTTGTGCGGTTTGTCGTAACAGGTTCGATCTTGGTCGGCTCAAACTTTTTGCGCTTCCTATCCCCGAACCTGGACTTCTCGTCCTTCTTTTCCTCCTTATCAGCCTCTTCGCTGCGCTTCTCCTTGGACTCCTCCTCTGGATCTCGTGCCAGAACTTCAAAGTGAAATTCGACCGAGTCGGCACACGAAATGAAAACGATGACCTTCATGACGCTTCCTTTCCTTGCAAATGCACGCTTCAAGACGGCGACCAGGGTAACCAACCGAAGCTTGGCGGGCACGACAGCGTATGATTGGCGAAGCTGGGCTGGGGCCAGGAACGTCGTCGACTCCTTCGTTTCTTCTTCGGAAGAGTCATTCTGAATGTGCACGGCATCCTTCAAACTGATCTCGCCCAAGCGCTGAACGTTCATCTTCATGGTTGCCGAACACAGGATGGTCATCCTCTTGGCGGGCAACCCGGGTATTCTTGCCTTGCTCGCCTTCATGCGCAGGTTAAGGGCACCGACGATCTTCTGAATATCGTTCTCGAACCCGAGCTCCATCAGCCTGTCGCCTTCATCCAGCACCAACCATCGCACGTTGCCAACGTCCAGGGCCTCGGTATGCTCAAGATGATCGACAAGCCGACCGGGGGTGGCGACCAGGATGTTCAAGCCTTTCCGAACGCGAGCCTTTTCCGACTTCTTCTTCTCACCACCAATGACAGTGCCAGAGACAATCCAGTTGGTGGCACGCAGGACGTTTTCCAGCACGACAGAAATCTGCTTACTCAATTCACGTGTCGGCGCGAGGATTATAGCGAAAAGACCGGAGTCACGGTGGACGTTATCCTTGCCCAGGTTCACCAGCCGCTGTACAATGGGCAACACATATGCCAGCGTCTTTCCGGAACCAGTCTGAGCCTGTATGAAAGCATCCGAGTCATCGCTCACCAGCTGTGATATGGCCGACTTCTGAATGGCAGTGGGGGCTTTTATGGAGAGCTTGTTCAACAGATGGCTGGCCAGGTTCGGGGAAAGGCCGAGCTTGGTAAAGGTCTCGAGCTCGGGAGACAGCGGGGCGTTACTAGGGGCGATAGGCTCTTCGTTATCGAACTCGCGCTTCTTCTCGGCCTGAGTCTTGGAGGCCGGGTTGAAGGTGAAGAGGGAGGACACGACTTGTTTGGGCGGCGCATTTTTCGCGGGCTGGTTGGGTTTCGCGTGGCTCTTTTGCTGACCGAAGTGGTCATCGACGCGCTGGCGCTTGACGGGTCTCGGGTCGGAATGAGGTTGTGCATCGTCGTCAGCAGTGGGCTTCGGGTTTGACTTTTTCTCGCGGCGCGCAGCGGCTTTTTTGGCGGTCAATCGGTCTTTCCAGCGGCCACCCTTGAAGGTGGGCTTCGCGACGAGCGGGCCGTCGCCGATGTCGAAGTTGAGGAGCATGCCATCGTCAGCCATGGTTGCTGAGCGTGGTGGTGGGGAGCGTTGCGGGAGTCGGTTGGTCGCGGTCGGCGGCCAAAATTTCCTCAGAGTTCAGAAGCCGAACGGCGTTAAGGCGCGTAGCCCCGCAGTCACGTGCACACGGCCCGGGCCGCTGGCTTTGGTCGTGAGCTGCTCTACGGCGCACACAGCAGCACGACACCACAATTTCTCTCTCTCGGCACCAGCGCAATGGACTCGATCAGCCTTTCCCTCTCTGTCAATCCCGACTGACTATCAGTCAGACCACCTTAAGCCACCCCCTATCATTTAATTCCGCCCAACACCGCCAAAATGCTGCGCTTCCTCATCAGCCCGCCGCTGCGCGCCTCCGCAACGCGACAGACCCTCTCCTCCGTTCGTCCGTTCAGCACTACAATGGCCGAGAATTCGCATTTCCGCATCTTCCGCGAGGTCGAGCCGCTGCGTGCTTACCGCCGCGAGCAGACGCTGGCCCAGCGGACCGTCGGCATGGTCCCCACCATGGGCGCCCTGCACGACGGCCATCTCTCGCTCGTGCGCCAGGCTGCCGAGGAGACGGACGACATCTACGTCTCCATCTACGTCAACCCCACCCAATTCGGCGTCAACGAGGACCTTGACTCGTACCCGAAGACGTGGGACGCCGACCTCGAGAAGCTCCGCGCGCTGGACGACCAGCTGGCGGCCTCCTCCGCGCGCGGCCGCGTCAAGGCCATCTTCGCGCCGACGTCCAACATCATGTACCCGACGCTGCCGCCGGCTTCGGAAATCGACGGCCACGGTAGCTTCGTGACGATCACGCCGCTGGCCAACAAGCTCGAGGGCGCGTCGCGGCCCGTCTTCTTCCGCGGCGTCGCCACCGTGTGCACCAAGCTGTTCAACATCGTCCAGCCCGACCGCGTCTACTTCGGCCAGAAGGACGTCCAGCAGACCGTCATCATCCGCCGCATGGTCCGTGACTTTCACATCCCCACCCACGTCGTCATTGGCCCCACCGAGCGGGAGGCTGATGGTCTGGCTATGAGCTCGCGGAACGTCTACCTCGGGGCCCGCCGTCGTAAGGTCTCGACAGTTCTATCGCAGGCGCTGTGGAAGGCGGAGGAGCAGTATATCGGTGGCAAGCGGAAGAGGGACGACATTCTCTGGCCGGCTCATGATCTGACGAATAACAAGATCCGGGAGCAGGAGGAACTGCCTCCTAAGGAAAGGGCCCTGTTCGATGTGGACTACATCTCTCTGGCGGACCCTGACACTCTTGAGGAAGTCGATGTGGTTGACGAGAAGAAGGGTGCCATCTTGAGCGCCGCTATCAAGATGCAGCCCACCGAGGAGCCACAGCCTGGCGAGGAGCTTGGTCTCGGCGGTGGTCAGGTCGCCGTGCGCCTCATTGACAACATCATCTTGAAGCCGGTTGCTTAGGGGTGATGCTTGGAATGGCTCAAGAGGAGGACAGCATTCAGGGGTGTTTTCAGGTACCCTGCACTGCTTGACATCCCGGCGCTGAGTCTGTATGTAGTGTTGGCATAATACCCGTTCATCTTTGAAGATCTTGTACCACGCCCTTCTCATGATTTACCCTCCCTTTGATAGACTTCATGTAGACATCATGTGTGGCATTGTGTTTTCTGCATTTCATCCCCGTGTCTGTCCTTGTTCTTGCTCTTTCCTGTCTTGTGTCGAGAACCTTGATCACATGCAGTGCCGGCTCTACCCGTCACGGGGTCTATCACAGGCCCGGCCAAAGATCTATCCAGAGGTCAGGTCCTTCTTCCGCTTCAACCTCAACCACACACACCCAACCTCCGACCTCATCTAGCTACCAGCCTTTTGCATCGCCAACCACCTCACGAAGGGCTTTCGGATAGCGCCTTGGAGGCTTTGACTCCGCCTCTTGAAGCTTCTGAGGCCGCATCGTTCTGGTTCGCGGAACGACACTGGTGCCCGACCTCGACATCTGAATGTGAGGTTCAGAGTTTTTATCCACCGGCTGCCATTCAACCGACGCTAACGACCTTTCTGACCCGGCTGCTCCTGCGGTATTTGCAACTCAGGTCGTTTCTCACAACTCGCGGTCCATTCGCAACCTCGCCGACCGGTGCCACCTTCCACTCAAATTACGGACAACCACTGCTGCCTAGCGCTGCAATCTCTACCGCTCAAAATCCACATGCCTGCTTTTCATCGGCACACTTCGGCTCGTTGATTCTGGACTTACACCGGCACAGGCCTGGAATTCCTGAACAAGTGCATTGTCACTATAAGAAGGACCAGTTTGGCAATGGCTCCTCCGCGAGTCGACAGAGTGATCAGCAGATCGTCTCAGGCGAGACTTTCCGAGCTGCTCAGCATGGTCGTTCAAGGGATGAGAGCCATTGACGACGAGTTTGGTGGCGCTATGGGACCCAACGGGGAGGCTTGGGATCAACTCCTCAACCACATGCTCCCAGGTAAGCCGTGCTTCTTCAAGCCCATTCCATGTCTTTATATAGTTCCCTTGCTGACAGCAAGTGTAGGTTCTTCCGAGTCCGGACCTCCTCCAAGCTTCGTGCAGATTGCTGCTCCTGTCAACGATCCCGCCCAGTCGGCTTCCGGTTCTGCTTCTGTCCACCCGGAAACATCGAATGCTCCTGAAGTGAACCAGACACTTCCCGGAAACCCCACGACTAGCAGCAACCTTACGCCCACACGACCTAACGTCACCGGCGCAGCCGCCATCCCTGCAGCGGCATCTCCCAAGGAACTCACTGAGGATCAGCGTCAAGCAGAATGGAGGCTTATTGTCCACTACATGGATGCGCGGTCCAAAATATCACAAGATCAACTTGCCCGTGTTCACGCCGCCTTCGTTCGCTGGTTTGGCTGGGCTCCAAGCAAAGAAGAAATGCAAAAGGCGCGAGAGGTCGGTCATACTATCTTCAGATTAATAGGGATTGCTGGACCATGGTGCAGCCCTTTCGCGACGGAGATCTGGATGAAGGCTACCCGCGACCGGAGCATTGCACAGATCCGGGAGCTGAAGAAGACGGACTGGACAAAGGCCGGCCGCCTTGCGTCTTATATTGGCGTCACGCTCAAGCAGGAAGACAAACCCAAGCCGAAGCCGAAGGAGGCGCCGAAGGTGGCGGCGAAGGTGGCGGCAAAGGATGCTGTTAGCAGCTCGGTTCCCGCCATGAAGTCTTTGATTGTGAAGCTGAAGGTGAAGGCCAACGAACACGCGAACGGACTTGCTCAGCCTCTGCCTCAACCTCAACCCCAGACTGAGCCTCAGATTGCCCCTCAAGATCAGGTGCAGAGCAATGTTGTTCTACCTGAGCAAAAAACGGCGGTCGTTCCCGTCCCAAGCACGGGACCGATGCCTCTACCAGCTCCATCTACTGAACAGCAGCTTGGCCCGGACAACAGTTTCACCGGCTACATCCATCAAACTCTTCCTGACGGCTTCGACGATCACACTGAGGCTGCCATGCCCACTACCTCTGCAGGCAACTTCGGCATCGACCCCCGCATGACTCTTTACCACCACCCAATGACCGTGTACCCAGGCCCTGCCGGCTTTCCGGATCAGTTTCCGAACCCGGTTCCCCTCTGGGAGCCCATGTCTGCTTTCCCGGTCGGCACCCTTCCTGCTGCTTCCGGCTGGGTGAACCCATGGAACTGGATAGCCGAGCGCGCAGCAAGCCTCGGTCGATCACTTTTGCCGTCTTCTCAAGATCAGGCTGATGGTTCCGCTCGTTCGAGTCAAGCGGCGCCCTCCGCTTCTCATGATCCGAGAGCAGATGCCATGGAAATTGCTGATATTCTTGCGGCTGCTGCCAAGGACGTACAGCCGGTGGAGGAGGCTGATGACGACGCTGATCCCAATGACCAGCTTCGCAATGAGATGCTCATGCATTATTCAGCTAACGATGATGCCGATCCTAGCGACCAGCTTCACAATGAAATGCTTATGCACTCCTCTCCCTCACCTAAGGATACTCAGCCGGAAAAGCAGGCTGAGAAAGAGAAGGAGCCGGAAGAGAAGCACGTCCCGACTTCACCTGATCCTAAGCAGCAGCAGGCTGTGGTTGTGGCAAACAAAAGCTCTGCTAAAAAGAAGGCCAAACAGCTTCCCACCGTCCCTACAGCCAAGGCAGCTGAAAAGAAAAGCAAGGCTGCTAAGCCTGCCGCACCTCACTACAACTACGGCGCCGACGTAACAACCGATCCGCGTGCTAACGCGCTCGTTGCTTACATTGTTGCCGCTTGGAAAATCACCAACAAGCAGGCGCTCGTGGAGGATGCCGCAGCCATGCAGCAGCTAGGCGCGCACGCAACCGCTGCCATACCGTTCCTGATACAGGACAATGAGGCCAAAGAAAGTACCAGGGGCATGTTTCGCTGGGGTGATCAACTCTTGACTTGGGAGATGACACTGAAGAAATTGGACAAGTTTGCGGAGACGCGTGCCTTGCAGAAGCATGAGATCGAAAAGGCTCGTGATAATGCAGGGTCCAGCTCTGCCACCGCTAAGCCCGATGATGCTACTACCCGCATCGAGACCTCTTCCTCTTCCTCTACCAACGCACCACCTTCTTCCGCTCAGGCAGCTACCCCACCTCCAGACACCGTCACGATGCCTCCAAAATCCAAGCCTCGTCGCGACCCCTACCCTGACACATCCATCGTCGCCATCTCCGGCTTCACACCCGATGCCCGCGCCAACGCTTTCGCCGCTCACCTGGCTAAAACCTTCTACAACGCTCACGGTATCGACTTGATGGCAGACGAAGCAGGCAGCCGCCGGCTCATGCTGCATGCGACCCGCAACGAGCACCGGCTGCGCGGAGCGAGGGAAGTCACGAATTACGAGATGAATTTCTACGCTGAAAAGGACCTCAGCTGGAAAATTACGGGCTTCAAGCTCGATGCTCTCGAGCAAGAATGGGTGAAGCGATTTCCTCAGGATGAGAGTGAGGGTGAGGATGAAGATGGGCAGGAAGGTGGGAATGGAGGTGAGGACAGAGACACCGAGATGGGTGGCACAGCTGAACCTGACATCGATAAAGACACTTCAGAGCACACTGAAGCTCAGCAGCCCAGCGCCGGACAGCCGCGCGCCGCTTCGGTGGCTACCTCGGGCCTCTCGTCCGTTCCTCCCGGCGCCTTTTCAACGGCCGAGCGCCCTTCGCCTGCGCCTTCCTCGTCTTCCGCCCACTCGGCTGCATCCGCTCACTCCGCCTCCGCGGCTTCAGCCAGCTCGAAGAAGCGCAGACGCTCTGAGCAGCCCGACGCCACGACGCCGACCACCGCCGCTGGGCTTTCCGATCCCGCCGTCGCCATGCATGCCCGCGCTCTCGGCTCTCCGGTGCCATCTCCTGCTACTGCTGCTGCTTCTGCTACTGCACCTACCAACACGGACGGCACGGCGTCCGAACAGCAACCTCCTCCCGCCAAGAAGCAGCGCCTATCTCCCTCGGCGTCGCTATCCCAGCCGGAAGTGTCGCCGTCGTCAGAGCTAATGCCGCGCGTGAAGGAAGAGCAAGAGATGAAGGAGGAGAAGGATGCTGCAGCGGCGGCGGCGGCTCCGCTTTCTGGATCTGCTGCTGAGGGTGAAACGCAGGCTGTGCAGGAGGGCGGTCAAGCTGCAGGTACGCACGCTGATGATGATGACTTTGACGCATTCTTGGACATGTTTCTCGAGGAGATTTTACAGGATGAGGACTAACTTTCGGATGCAGGTGCTGGTGCTGATGCCGACGATGCGGACGTGGAGTAAGACGACAGTGGCTGCTGCTACTTTTCTTTTTTTCCTTCCTCGGTTCCACGGATTTTTGGAGTTTGGGTTTTACAAAAACGACAGAGGCGGCTGCGGAGGGAGATCTTGACGACTTTGAGCTGGCTACGTGCCGGGGCGTTTTCTGGTTGAGTTGGAGGGCGTTTGCGGTCTTCATCGATCTGGCTTTCCATTTCTCCATGCTTTCTTCTCGAAAAGGGTCTGGGTTTTGCGTTTGACAGAAGTGGTAGACGCGCTACTTCGGTTGAGTATTGAGCGTGGACTCTACGATCTTCCAGGGACTACTTTACATCATTTGCATGGGAATATGGAGGGAAGAGTGGCAAGTCTTTGGCGGCGTGCGAACAGGGAGAGAAAAGTCCTTCCTTTCTGGTATATGAAGGGAGTTTTAGTTTTTTTGACATCGATTGAATAGTAGAGAACAGGCCTTAATTAACTGAAGATTCGCAGTTCACGCCATCGTCGACAGTGAAACAGTGGTGGTTCATCGGACATTAGCAGCAGGGTTGGTGGTCGAAAGAACCTCTCGCGCTAACGCCATGTCGCTAAGCAAACCCCGTACACGATGACGGCACATCTGGTGAGATTTGTCATCCATCCCACCACTCCCAGTCTCCTTTACTGAACAACTACTAGCCTGAAGAACTATATTGCCAAACGCGTCAGCTACAAAGCTGGTACGAGAGCTCGGTCTTCTCGGCGATAAGCAAGACCGTGTATTCGAAGCCCGGATTTACGACGTCGGCCAGCGTTTCGCCCGCGCGGGAGTAGCGCGAGCCCGACTGACCTTTAGAAGAAAGCCTCATGCTGGTCCCGGCTTCAAACTGTTTCCCCAAGGAGTATCTCATGTTTCCCGCGACGAAACGGACCATGATCATAGTGATTCATAGCGATTGCAAAGGACCATAAAAGCAGCTTCGCTCGCCGACGATGACTGCAGAATGACAGGCTCAAACCGCTTCGCCCGGTCTCGTCTCTCGTTCTACAAGCATCTCTTTTCCCCAGTTTGTCCGTCATGATTCGGTCCCTCATCTCCCTCGCCTCCCTGGCGACCACCCTCGGCGCCCGCAGCGCGCTCGGCGCCACCTCCACCGCCACATCCGCAGCCTCCGCATCCCTCCCCTCCCCCACCGCCATCGACCTCGCCTCCGGCGGCGGCACCGTCGGCGCCCTCTTCCGGCCCGCGCCGGGCGGCGACGCCGCCAAGGCGGCCACCGCCATCATGGTCATGCACGCCGAGCAGGACTACTGGTCGTTCTACCCGTGCACGGAGCTGCCGGCGCGGGGCTACACGGTGCTGTGCGCCAACAACGCGGCGAGCAAGTCGGGGTACATGTCTGATCTGAATTTCGAGGACATGATGGTGGATGTGGGGTACGCGGTGGGGTGGTTGCGGAATCAAAGCGACATTGAGAGGGTGGTGTTGTTTGGGCATAGTGGCGGCGGTGCGATGCTGGCGCAGTATCAGAATGTGGCGGAGAATGGGGCGGCGGCGTGTAATGGGAGTGAGAAGATTAGCCCGTGTTCGAGCGCCGTGGAGGGGCTGCCGGCGGCGGATGGGGTGGTGTTGGATGATGCGAATTTTGGGATTGGGCCGATGATGGTTATGTCGTTGAATCCGGCGATCACGGATGAGACGTCGGGGATGCAGATTGATGAGGCGCTGGATTTGTACAGTGCGGCGCATGGTTGGAGCAGCACTGGCTCGTCGAACTACAGCGCGGAGTTTGCTAAGCAGTTCGCGGCTGGCGTCCATGCGCGGAATACTCGCCTCATCGCCTATGCGAAGGAGCGGTTGGCGGCGATTGAGAATGGGACGGGGTTGTTTGCGGATGACGAGCCGTTTTACATCCCCGACGCGCTGTATCTCGGCATGAACAACAAGTTCTTTCCCCAGGTAAGTGTATCCGCGTCACACCCTCCCCTGGAAAATAGTGGTTAATCTCGCATCAGGACCTGAGCTACCTCCACCACACCACCTACCCCTGGAAACTCCTCCACAAGAACGGCAGCTACACCACACAAATAGTCCCCTCCGTCCGCACCGCCACCACCGTCTCCTCGCTGGCCAACTCGTATCTGAACGGCGGCCTCAAGACGACCATCAAGCGCTTCCTGGCCACCTTCGCCGTCACCACCACCGAGGACTTCGGCTACCAGGCCGACGGCGTGACCGGCATCGTGTGGAACTCGTCGCAGCTGGTGCCCATCGCCGCCGTCAAGGGCATCCACGTGCCCCTGCTGACTATGGGCAATACGGGCCACTACGAGTTCATGAATATTGAGAAGACGCACTTGGCCGCCGTGAGTAATGATACTGATATCGCGTTTGTGGAGGGCGCGCAGCATACGATTAATACGTGTACGGAGTGTGAGGCGTATGCGGGCGAGTTTGGTGATACGGTTAAGACGACGTTTGATTATGTTGATCAGTGGTTGAGCAAGCCTGGGCGGTTTTTCTGAAGTGGAGGTCGTTGACGTGGATGAGAACCATGATTAAACCAAACATTTGCATCCGGATAATAGCTTCAGCTGACCCCGTTAGTGAATTGAGTATCGTTTCTTGTAAAGTATATCACGAAGAATTATGTGTTTAAACCCACTATTCATCAGGTCGAATCTATTTGGGAAGTAACTTGTATCTAGTGTTATGGTCTAGTTGAACTTATGTACGTACTGTTAATTTGTTTCCATCAAATATAGTTCAAGTGTTATTATTTGGCACAGGTCCGGAGTTTATTTCAGGCGCTATCTAGTCCACACCTCCATCAACAAAATACTCTTCCCTGATAGTGACGCTAATCTATTGAACCTGTGACTTCATGTTGCCGGTAACATTGTCGACCAAACTCCGGATTTCGCTATTGACCTCATTGGGCCTCTCGAGGTGCACGAAGTGTCCACCTTCTAGAGACCTAACGCGAATTTTCTTGGCGTATGGAGCGGTGTTGTTGACCTGTACGTCGGGAAGACCGACGGGATCCAGGCTTGCGGTCAGAAGAAGAGCAGGGTGAGGTATGTTGGCCGCGGACGCGGGAATGGCTATGAACACATGTGAGAAAGAATCAACAAGTTGTTGTTTACATTCGTACCTGCTTCGTCAAGCGCATTGATGTCTCTCATCAGCGACTTGTAGGATTTCAAAGGCCCATCAAATCCGCCGTGCAGAGCAAGGATTCTCTTAAAGGTTTTTCTGTCAGTAGAGTTGAGGAAGCCTCCCCATGGCGCAATTTTGTCGTCTAACAGCCATTTTCTGTATGCTCCAACAGGAGAGAAATGCTCCTTCATATACGAAGAATTGTTGGTGTAGGTAAGCGTATAAGCTGAATCCGTCTTCAATTCGTGGTCAGCCGTGGCGGTCCATCCGCAGAGACGAAACACTTACAAAAACATCCATTATTGGGGCAGTATCGTCCTCATTCATAAAGTACCAGTAGCCCAGAGTCGGATACCCTAGTGAGGCTAATGTGGCGTTGTTGACTGCTTCGACACCAGCCTGGTTGAAAGCCAGAGGTGGAGGAGCATATCCGACCCCGACAAATGCCACGCCTTTGAGGCGTTCTGGCATGTAGGTGATGGCACGGGAGAGCACCACGGAACCACTGCTCCAAGTCAGCAAGGAATGAAGAATGCCGGGAAAATTCTGTACTTACAAGTCATGCCCGATACCAAACACGGAGTCAACCCTTTCGCAATCCATCAAATTGCCAAGTTCCTGTACCATGTTCTTCAACCCGAAGCGTGCTAGATCGGACGGATTATCGGTGCCTCAATAGCCCAGCAGGTCAGGAGCAATGACGCCGTAGCCCTGAGCTGTGAAATAGTCTATCTGATGTCGCTAGTCGAATGAGGACGAGGGGAATCCGTAAATGAAGAGGAGGTATGGTTTGTCATGTTGAGTCGGCCGTGAAAATACATATCGGTACGTCGTTCCGGATGGTATTCTCACCGTCTTCACCAGATGCGAGTAAGTGGTGTCCACGAGATCGGGCTGGAAATTATTAGCTTTCTTCAGCACTCTACCTGCGTTGAGCGCTGTACCGTGTCTGGCTGAAGAAAGTCACACTTCGTAAACTACTAACATTAGAAAATGAACTGCTCTTAATTTGAAAAGGGGGAAGCACATTAGTTGCTGTTGCATTCGATAGCCAACATGGGGTAATTACCAAACAGTATATGTTTCGCGCCGCGCGGACCAAACAGCATATATCGAAAATTTTATAATAACGTAGAACCCTTAATACTAATTAAAATATAAGTATGCTTTTATTTATATAATAGTATTTAGACGTATATTTACTTATTATAGTAAAAGAATATTATTTTTATAATAAAAATACCGATATATTTAGCTAAAATCTCTTTTAAAATTAACTTTTTTTATCATATAAAAAAACGTTAATAACGACTAAAATTTAGTTGTTTTTTATATTTTTATAATAGTAGAGAGGCTTAAAAATATTAATAGTAGTAAAAATAATTAATTTCTAAATAGAAACGTTAGCGTTTTAGAAATAAAATTTTCGATATGTACTGTTTAGTCCCACATATGCTGTTTGGTCCGCCTAGGTACCTAACATATACTGTTTGGTAATTACCCCATTAGAATATAAGAATGAATTTGTACTACAGTAATTTCAATTTTGGTGTGGCAAAATAGCACGAGCGCGATTCTATATTGTTCCGCATTCGATAACGGATAATGATAATGACATCGATTTTCAAAACTCGAGTTGAAAGTGAAATATAAATCAACCGAAACGGTTGTCTATTCCTCAATGGCGATGAAAGGTTCCTCTTCTTCCTCGAAAGCGTTGTCATCGCGCCCGTGATCCAAGGACTGCTGAAATTTGACCCGAAACTCCTGGCTCAACGTCTCTTTAGCAACCGCAAGACTGCTGCTCTTGTGAACCGCGGACGGGGTGCTTGGGTAATTTGGATCGAAGATTATGGGGTCATCCTGAGGTAGAACGGCCAGCGCGTTCAGCACCGTCTCCTTGAAATCAGCAAACGGCGAGATCTTGTACCGCAAGCTAACATGAACGAGGAATTGTCCGTCGTCGTGCGGACAGCGCTTGAGCAGAACCGCCGCGCGTGTTTTCCACAGTACAACTCCTCTGGTGGTACCACTCAGTCCCGCTTGCAGCGATGGCGACAACTTCCGGATCCCAGTATCATTCCTTTTGTCCATTCCTGTGCCGACGCGCGGCCTGTGCTTCGGCAGTACCACGTTTTCCGTATGCCTAGAAGCTGACCTCGATGGTAAGCTCGTGGAAGCATTTGTCTTTCCGGCGGCGGTCGATGGTCCACTCGAAGATGGCGAGCGTTTACGGCACGTCGCTGCCTTCCTTCTCGAAGTCGTGGACGACGGTCGTCAGGTGTCCGTGCACGGCCATGCGAGCAGCGTCGCTCTCTCGGTCATATCCTGTGATGCGCGGTCGTTGGACGTCCAGGTTACTGTCGTCGTCTAGCTGGTTGCCGAGGCGAAATTGCGAGTCCTCGTCGTTGGCACGCTCGAAGACGAGCTCGAATTCGCGGGACATTGTCACAAATGTGTTTTTGTTGAAATTGTAAGTCGGCGGAAAGTTGGGTCAGGGCTGAGGTAAAAAGAACGTAATGATATCTTGATGTGAGCAGGATTAATACTTGAGGGATGTGCGGTAGTTAAGCAAATACAAAAACTTCTGCAGCCTTAGGCCCTAAGATCTTTTAACAAGCTTGACAGGTAGAGGAGGCTTCTCCCAAAGTCCGAACACTTTGTGGTCCGACCAGTCCCTGTCCATCTTACTCTCATTAGCAACGTAAGGGACCAAATCGAAGTTATAGAGCACTTTGGCCAGGATGAGGCGCATCTCGTGGTAGGCAAGACTAAAATTCAAAGGGTGAAGCTGTTAAACCTAGGCAACCGCGAATATCTGGGCGTTGAACTTACTTCTTTCCCAAGCAGGCATATGGGCCAACGGAGAATGGCTGCATGACGTCTCTCTTATCATTTGCGAACTCGTGTGGGGGCTCTGGCAGCCAGCGTTCCGGAAGGAAGGCTTCGGGTCTGTAAAAATTGTCGGCGCATCGAAAGGCGGCCCAGTAGTTGACGCATATGTTTGTCTGAGGACATGTCAGCAATTACCGTGAACAAGTTACTGGCTGGAAAACCTTACTCCGGCAGGAAGAAACTCATTGCAAATAACATTTCCGCCTTCAGGAACAATGCGCGGAGAGCCAAGTGGGGTAGGCGGGTATAAGCGTAGCCCCTCGGTGAGGCAAGCTTGAAGATAGGTAAGACGTTGCAGATTGTTGATAGTCAACTCATCAGTGGTGGTGACAGAGTTGCGAATTTCAGCCGTCAATATAGCAAGCTTGTCGGGATGTTTGAGTAGTAGATCGGTCAACCCGCTCAATAGAGTCGCTGTGGTCTCTGTACCTGCTACCATGAAGAGAGATGCATTTGAGTGCATCTGCGCCATGGAGAGACCATTACCCTTCTCTTGGTGGCGGAGAACAAGAGTCCAGATGTCGGGCCTGTCCGTGTTGGTATTGAGGCGCTTGTTGACACGGTCGGCAGAGTATTGAAAGTGGTCTTGACGCTTCTTCTGAAGTGATCGTGGTATGAGAAGGTCAAGCAGAGGAGCAAAGAATGGATAATCGCGAGACGCGCCAGCCAGCTGAAGTGCCTTGAAGCCCTCAAAGATAGCTTTCACCCATGGAGAGTACTCCGAGTCTTCCAGAAGTCCGAGGGATTGGCCAAAACACAGGTCCCCCATGACGTCGAACGTTGCGCAGTTGTACATCTTGACAATGTCCGGAGCCTTTCCTGCTGCTACCTGATTTGTCAAAGAAGCCACAAGCTTGTCGGCATACTTCCGAATAAGGGGCTCTTGTTCTTTGAGCGCTTTGTCGGAAAAGGCGTTCGAGAAGATGCGACGCACTCGACCATGCTCTTCATGATCTTCGATACTTACAAGGGACGGAACACCGTTGACTTCTTTTGCAAAGAAAGTAAAGTCCTTCAGGTTAGCCTTGTGCGTTGCAGTTCTGTGACCGCAGACATCCTTCTGGGCTTCGGGGTTTGTGTAGCTCAAGATGTTGGGTCCAATTCGCACAACCGGCCCGTATATGTCGTGCTGTTCCTTGATCCATTGGTGTTGCACCCCCTGGATAGCTTTGAAATGCTTCACGAGTCTCGTAGTCGCTGCAAACCTCGGTCCAGGGAATCTCGCCAAGGGGTGGAAGAAGACATTGTATGTGACAGCTCCAATAGCAGTCGCACACATCTGAAATAGTCAGTTATAAGGAGTAAGAGCTGATTGGGGGGACTTTACAAAAATGAGAGCGAATAAGCCAACCGTCGCCCAGTAGCCCCAATAGCTATTTTCAAGCAGCGTAGCCGATTCCATGTTCGAAAATGAAAGTAACTGAATTTAAGAATGAAAGTTCTTGATTCTTGAATTCTCTTTTGCAACAGCAAGTGCTTTTATAGTGAAGATATAGGGGCAGATCGGGCCCCTCGTGCGGAGACATGCGAGCCGTCGCGTCACGGCCCCAATCTTGGCAGCAGACGCTGGAACAGCGGGTCGCGGGAACGGAAAGATGAATAACCGAATACCCATCCCTGAACAAAGTTGCATCTTTGTTTAAAGCGGGGGGGTGTTTTCTCTTTTATTGCGGGGTGAACGGCTCCACTTCTCCGCACTAAACGACGGGATATCTACCGGTTCCCACCTCTATTTCAACTATTGAATGTATCAACTTTTTCTTTCATGATAGAAGTATGTAATGGCCCACTATCTCTTGCATCATATAAATCTAGAAGTCTACATTTTACTCTGTGCTTAAAGCATCGGTCCATCTATCGTCCAAATGACAACGGCAAACACTTCAAACGACACCGGCACCACTATTTCCCACAGGATAGATTCCCATGTCAACCTCGTCCGTTTTGATATTTCCGTCAAACCAGATGAGATATCAAAGTTGCAGACACTTCTTGAGCTTTGCCCCATCGCAAAGCCAACCCGGGAGAACTCCGGAACTCTTTCCAACTTCGGCGTCTCGCGCACCTGGTTGATGCGGTGAAATATGGGCAGATGAACTAGGATTGGTCAGCAGCCCCTTCTCGCTCGTACTCGGAACTGTTCAGTTTAACTAATTCAGGCTGAAATGGGAAAAAGAATTGAATCCTTTCCCGCAGTACTCGATTGACGTTCAGGATGATGACGGCGAGACCTATGCGGTTCGCTTTCTGAGCCCCCCCCCCCCCCTTTTTTTTTTTTCCAAGAACCCAGCCGCCGTCCCTGTCGTGTTCCTGCACGGGTGGCCGGGATCCGTGGTAAAGTTTCTACCCATGCTGCGCCACGTTCGTGCGCTGTATTCCTCGGATGAGAAGTTACCGTACCATCTGATTGTGCCGCATCTCATCGGATTCGGATACTCGTCACCCCCGCCACTTGGTAAGGACTTCATAGTGCAGGACAATGCACGTATCATTTCCAAGATGATGCATCTTCTTGGCTTCACTACTAAACGAGGAGGCTACGTGGCACAGGGAGGAGACGTAGATTTGGGTGAGAGAGTGGCAAGGCGCTAATGACAGAGGAATGGAGGGGATGACTGGCCATTTGCTCGAGTGCAAGTTGCAAGAGTACAATGAACATATCCGAAAAGAGAGGTACAGGGACGCTCGCTGCTTAGCCGTTGCGGGAATAGGGCTACTTCGCGCATCGATCGAGATGCGCATGCAGAAGGTACAGCAAAAACTCTTGGAAACGATCAATGCTGGTTCCCTTTGCACTCTCGATGGTGGTCTGGTCAAGAGTAATGGAAGTCCACGGAAGGAAGCTCCAGATCCAGAAATTGCGATGTATATGGAGTGCGTCTTAGAGTCCGTCGCTGCCTTGTTTGCTGTGGCCGAGGAGGAAAATGCTACGCTGGGTCTCATAGCTACTGCATTGTCGGCAGTCAAAGATCTTCAGTCGGTGACGGGGTTGAAAGACATGATCGAACGATTGAAGACAGAGGCGCAGCAACGCCATCATGGCGACGGCTATCATTTAGGGCCGAGGCAGATCTCCTCAGCAATAACCTTCTACAACTCCATAATGCAAAAGGATGATAGATGAGGTGGATAAATCTTCTATTGGTCCTGTAATTTGTCCTAGTCTTTGCACTTTGTTTTTAATATCAAATCCCGTTCTCTACCCTGACTATATTGACAGTGACCTAAATTGCTCTCCTTCCGACGACCTCGATAAAGGTTTACGAGAGTCGCGAAGATGATAACGAATATCGAGCTCATCCAGCTCCAGCTGCTCGGTGCTAACGACGGTCTCACCGGTAAAGATGATGTGGCTCTCCTCAAGGATTTACTTGTGGCTCTAGACGACGGAAAATAATTCATGAGCCCGGTTTACATCAACGGCTACAATCGCACCTCGAGCGGCTGCATTACAGTACTACAATAGTTGTCAGCAGCATATTCGACAAGTCTCGCTGCATTCCGCGACCGAACAGGGCGGGCACTACAGCCCCCTCCCACAGCCGATGACTAGCGCGAAGAATAACAAGGCCCCCCAGCTCTGCCTTAGAAAAGTAACATGTGGGTAGCTGAAGCTATCGTCTGGACGTGTATGTAGAATTCAAAAGTCGACATTCTCGTCCAGACGATAGCTTCAGCTGCCCATGACGTCAGCAAAAACAAATCCACGCTAGCCAATTGTCGCAAGAGGGGACTGTATGCGTAGATGGACCCGCAGACTCATGTTCACGCGGGCTCCAACCGAAACGAAATACACGGAGCTCCCGCGACCGCAGCAGCCACACCGCATGGCAGCCTTCAGAATCCCCGCATCACCAGCGAATAAGGATCTACCAAGTAACTCTTCTGGCAATCTATAGCTTCGTATAGCTGGAGTCCCACTGCTGCATGGGATCAGACCAATGCTCAACAATGCCACCAATCATACAGAAGAGTTGAACAACCGACGGTTAGCGCGAAGAATCGCTGCGCTTCAGAACTGGGAGACTGGGTCTGAGCGGACGATGTGATAGGTAGAGCCCGCCGAGATATGCGGTCGAATCTTTCAAAAGTATGAAGAAGAAAGATGTGCTGGCATTCTGACGCGGCGCCCCCTGTACGCGCGCTGTGCCGCAGTTGCTGCCTACATGAGCCCCACTCTCCATCTTTTATTTCCAGCCTTCCAGACTTGTAGCCAATTTCATTACAACACATGCCTGTCTCACGACCCTTGGATTTAATGATTCATAGCGCATTCGCCATTCTGTCCAAACGTATTGACTACGAGTGCGACTACCATATCCGAGCCTCACGCCGCCCGCGCCGCGCCGCAACGCCTACGACTACGGAGACGCTCAACTCACCAGCTACCGGCCGGTCCGTGCCCAGCGCCCTGACTTAGATCGGGCCTGAGCAGGGTATCACGCACGGTCCTTGGATAGCACCTGTGTATCACCCTTCTGGAGGTGGGGCATTTGCTCGGGACACGTCGAAAAGTCCTCCTTACCTTCATACTCGTTCTATCTGGCTTATCTCGAGGGCCACCGGAACGAAATCAGACGACCACGAAAAATCACCCAAAGGACCAACCGTCTTCAAGACTTGCTGATTTCCTATCCGCAACTCTAGTCTATGGATTCCAATCCTGCAGATATGGAGGGCGGAACGGAATGGGAGGTCGAGGCAGAATACTTTTGTGATCGACTCTGTCCGAGCCTCAAGGAATTGGATGAATTCAAGGACAAAGATGTTAGTTCAAGAACACAGTGTAGGCCTGTCCCGCGCTAAATATTTTAAGCTCTCGAGTTTTCGTGGACAAAGTGAAGCTGTCTTGGAAGTACTGGAATGCGAAGATGAGACATACAAGTCCCCAGGATTTCAAGAACTCTACAGTATGTGCTCCTAAGCCTACCCACCTTTAAAGCAACGAGATGAATTATAAATGGTGGGGAATTAGTGTAGTGTGTTTGACTGACTCAATCTTAGACGGACTTCTGCATTATTCAAATCTCGACGACGCATTAGTCTCTGGGAGGAGACCACTTGCCGTGGATTTGCTTTTCGAACTCCACGGCGGTGACCCAAGAAGCTTCCCTAAGAGTGTTAGCTGCCAACCCAATCTGCCATCTATTCTAAGTGACACATCAGAGGCTGAACCCTTTTTGGAGGACCTCGCTACCAAGTGTATGAAGCGTCTAGAGGCTCATCATAGTGAAGAGTTTTACTACGATAACATTAGAGAGAAGTGTAAGCTGCATCGACACATGGATTCATGATGACTTGCTCACGGCTCAGTTGATTCTATTCTCCGATTCGCTCGAGGAGAGCTTGTACCATGGAGACGTGAACATCCATATGTGCCAATGGTCGTGGGTTTCCGATCGCTTTGCCGGATCGCCATGAATCGCTCCTTGGAAAAAGCCAAAAACCATTGCAAAAGGTGTGCCGGGCAGGTTCTCCGAGGCCTAGTCCAGAACCATGAACGCAACAGATCAACGTTCAGCGGCATCCAAATTGTTGTCGGACCGTCAGGTTGTGGAAAGACCCGCTACATCCATTCACTTTTGCAACACCATTGGGGTCTATACCTTCTCGCTGGCAACTTCCCCCAACGAAATGGCTCGGAACAAAGTCGGAAATCCGGTTCAATTTCAGATGAGCTGCACTACAGGCCCCACCGCTCTGGAGCATCACGAGATACCCAAACCTGGTTCGCTGACATCAAATCTGCCCGGAGATATGTCAACATCGACGAATCGTGGCTAGGGAGCGAGCGAATGCAGGCCCTTGTCAGTACACGTTTTGAGATCTTGCATATGATGCTTGAAGCGTCCGACATGTTGAACGTCCAATTCACCCCCGCTGATTGGCTTAAAGTGCAGACAAGCGCTGATGGTTCTGACGATCTATTCAATCAGCTCTTCCGTGTAGCGCGATTTCATCAAAGGAGGTTGGAGAAAACACTAGAAAAGAAGATTTGGAGAAAGATTGGACGTGACGTACTCATCATCTGCATAGATGAGGCTCAGTGTGATCTTCAAGAATCAGTCGGAAATTCTAAGCCCATTCCGCTCCTAGGCTATATGATGGTTCAAGTTCAAAAAGCTCTGGGTTACGCACGCTTACCGATTCACCTCGGAACCGTATGGCCGATGGCTATTTCAGGCACAGCTCTGCAAGTCGACAGGTCCATTGAAGCCATTAGACAGCACCAGCCAAAGCTAATGCCGCCAATAACGGCATATTTGGCGGAACTACAGAGGCTTCACAAGGCCGTTAAAGACCTAAAGATCTCGTTCAAGGAAAGCTTCCGCATCATACGTAGCGATACGGACTTCGACGAGCTCCTTGGAAACCAAAAATGGATGAATGACTCTGTTCCGGACCCCATCGTCAAAGAAATCAAAGAAAATGCCAAACCTTTACGTGGAAGGTACAAATGGTCGGTATGCTACCTCGAAGAAATCAAGAATCTATATGATTCTGGGAAGCTCTCGAGCGATGAGATAAAAAGGTCTTGTGAATTGGTTGTATCCAAGGCAAAAGAAGGTCTGAAAGATCGACTGAGAGACATAGAAGGGAGGGCATTTGACGAAGCTCTGACTCAGTTCAAGCAATTTTGCTCCAAGTCGATGGATGTTGGGCCTGAAGTTACAAGAAAAGAAGAAGAGGAAATGCGCGAAAGCTTCCAAAGACAACAAAGGCTACACAACAAACTGCTTGACGAGCTTTGCTGGTTAGCTATCCGTAGCGACCTCTTTGGACAAAGCACCGTATTCGAGTCGGAAAAAAGTGCAAAAATGGTTGAACAAGGTTTTGCTTTTGTCGAAGAGCGAGGTTCGACCAATCAGGGCAAGACAACAGTTGTGGTACTGAAGGAGAGGCTTGCGGTCGAAGCGGCAATTGAGTATTTCCAAGAGCAAAAGCAAGGTGAAGAGCAGGGCAGTATTAGCAAGTACGATCAGGAGCTTAACAAACTCTTTTACATGGGACAAGACAACCAGAGTGCGACTGGTAAAACAGCAGAATTGCTCTTTGCGCGGGTAAGTGTAAACTCATTCCACCAGATGCCCAGTCACGCTCACTAACAGTTGAAAAGCATTTGAAAAAGGTTCTTGGGCGTCACGTACGAAGCGATGATATCTTTTCTGCAGAATCGTCACAGGAACTCCAGACCAAGTTGCTCCCTCTCTTGGTCGGACGGGGAGAAAACGTTGGGCAGCTCGTGGAGAAAGATTTTTCGCAACGCTTTGATGAGCGCTTCAACTGCGATCCTGACAACCTTTGTCTGGTTGAGGGCAAATACACTGCATGCCAGGAGGAGACCAGAAGAGATCGGCCACGCACCAAGACCATGTGGAACTGGATGAGGGTGCTCAGGGAGGGGAAGGATTTGGAATGTACGTTCTGGTTCCCTAGCACCAGAGCGGGTCCCGATGCTCTTTTTGCCTTTAGAGGGTCAACTAAAGGCCTCGAAATGAATGAGGACGTACCCATACTTTGTGCGGTTCAGGTAAATATCTTCATATTCCGCCAGCCTGTTACGGAGGTTACTTGCTAATATCCTGATCCGTACACTCGCAGATCAAACGGCAGCAAGATCCTGAAATCTCAGACGCCATTCAAAGTACGAACCCGAACCATTGGTTCTGTAACGGCTTTGAGTCAGACCGCATGGGCATTCTGACTGAGCTTCAAAAGTGGCAAGAACGGGGTTATCCTATTGTCCGGATTCTCATAACGGCCCTCACAGACCCCCCCCCAAGATGGATCTAGAAAGAAAGCTTATCTATTGAAGGAGCAAAGCATGGAGAAGATGGAAGAGCAAACGATGAATGAGGAGCAGAATACGGAGAAAGCCAGGAAGGAACAAGATTATTTGACGGATCAGAAAAAGGAGAGGTCTGACTTGACTCGAATAAGGCACATTGAGCTGCTCAAGGCAGCGAAAAAGAAGGAAGATGAATCCAAGAGGGGAAAGAGAAAGCGGAATACCATGTCTTTGCCTCCTACAGCTGCAGAGAGGCTGGAGCAGGCCAGGAGGCTTCGAAGTGTCAAAATTGAACCTGATAGCCAGTACTTCAACTGGATCGGCGCTGAGAATGATGCCATTCTTTTTGGGAGAGCCTTTCGAAGACTGAGGGAATCACAGCGCAGGCAGAAAGAACAGCAGTGTTTGATATAACGGGTGCAGAAGTAGCACATGTAGATGCACGAGTTTTCATTAAATATAGCATCTCCTCTCTTATCATCCTGTAACACCTTGCTTAAGCTCACCTTACGGCACATTTTGGAAGTTCTCCTGGTTGTACATGCAAGGCTGTGTATATTTACATTGACGACGTCAGAATCGGCAACAGGTACTGTGCCCTCCTTTCCACCGTCACGCCCACACAATGGTAGGGCGAAGCAAATCGAGCAGCAGCCGAATCTGAGCGCGACTGTGCTGCGCTTGAAAGGTGTCCGATGTCAGTTGCCGAGCGCTGATGACGATTCGGTCTTTAACGCATAGAAGGGAGTTATAACCGAAGGCAAGCGCCAATAATATCATGGCCCTACAACAAGGAAAATGCTATGGAAACTCCCTGACGAGTAACAATATATAGGCAATACAAGCTATTATCTAGAAGCAAATGTATACTTGTTGGTTTCGCATTTATGTCACGGTGATTACTGTAGCTACCCGTGACAGGAGCTAAAAGATAAAGGGGTAGTTACCAAAAGCGACCCATATTTGATGCGAAAATACCAAATCCGACCCTTTAGCCTAAAAGCGACCCTAAGCGACCCGTCCACTTATACAACTCAACACCCTCTTATTAGAATGTCTATTTTTTGCTATAGTAGATATCTCTGGGCTCGGCTATTATTATTATAATAAAAAAGAAATAAGGATTCTAGTATTATTAAACTTGTACGACGCGTTGAATATGGTGGATTTTGGTAGAGGGGTCGCTTTTGGGCTGGAGGGTCGGATTTGGTATTTTCGCATCAAATACGGGTCGTTTTTGGTAATTACCCCAAAGATAAATCCGCGCTTGCGTTCGGTCGCAACAATTTTCTGCACGCTCTTTAGTTAGGCGGAGAATAGGCGGAGGAACAGGCTGGGGTTGGAGGACACGGGAGTCCGTATGGGACAGGATGTCACGAAGAAGGATTTGAGCTTCCGGTAAAACTAGTAAAACTATCAGTCTACCGGCTGCGAAGAGGGTGTAGCCGTATACCATTTCTTGGTCAATCCGAGAATTTCCCTGCTTCTGCGTAGCCGCGTTTTCTCATCTCATACAAGTGATATCTATATAGACAGGAATATACATTCGTAAACTCTTTGGTGCATCGTTCCAGCGCATGACTCAACGGAGTAGGAGGGGGTGTATTAAAACATGCAAGGTCTGACTGGAGTATCCATTACCTATTGTAGCTTAGCCAAGCAACCGCAATCGAGCAGAAATTGACCAGTGGCGTAGAGGTCCAGATAAGGTCCAAATGGTACATTTACCCCATGTAACGGCTACCGCCTCCGTGAAGCATACAGAATACTTACTGTTACTCTCTAGACTATGCTAAGCTCACAAGAAAGTCAAACACCAACAAGGCGCCAAATGGCATTTCAGGCATCGACCCGAGCTCGGTTCCCCTCGAAAAGCAAGCATGCGCTACCCGGCAGGAAGGCTAGCTTAGCGCGCAGCACCAACGACGGCGCACATATGACGCAGAAGGAGCAGTATGGCCGCGACAAGATCAACAAGCTAGCCTCGAGTATCCCGATGGTGACGATCAAGCCCGAGATTTCTGTCTGGATCATAGGAGTAAGCAAGTTACGTAATGAGGCTGAGATATGGTATGTGGGATCTTTGTTCTGAACGCCATGATCCTGAAAGAAAGTGTTCCGAATATCAATTTCTTGTACTGAACAAGCGGGCCAATACCTAACTGGCGAGAATCTCAAACTGGCCCCCAAGATTGAAAGCTGTGGCTGAGACTATACCATATTAACCCCACATTCACGTCCACTGCTTTCATGCCAAGCAAGACTTGCGAAAGCCTTTAGGTGGCTTGCTTGAATCTAGCAAGAACTGATGTGACGCCTGACGTAGCCTACTTGGCATTCCAAATTCATTAGTCGTGCAACCGATGGGTTTGTAAGACCGATATGTCGGCTGGATGAAGGAGGTGGACCGGACCCGAGTGTTCTTCGATGAGCATCATGCTGTTCCATGGTCCAATCATGCGAGGCCGCCTGCGCCAGTGTTCAGAGAGGTGGATCATTAGCGTGGGTACACGAAACGTATGGATTTTAGGATGTTACGCTTAGCATCATGATCAAAGATATAAATCCAATCAATGGTATAGATATCGGAATGCAATATATATTATCGCGAGGTACAATTCTTAACATTAGGCGGTATTAAGAAAAACGCCTTGCATACTGCCACTAAAATAATGCCGTAAATATTACCCTAAAACATATGGTCACGCAGCGAAGTGCTCTCGCTAATGTTAGGTCGTACACGTTTTGGCAATGAAACAATCAACCCAGTTGCAACTGCTTTAGGTTAGCGCTTATCACACCAGATCGTGAAGCGATCGACGCAGGATCTGGTGGCGTAAAAAGTAAGTAGTAACCGATACCTCCGTCGATCTTGACTGACAACGCCAACAGCATCTCTGAAGAGCATAAAAGTTGGTCTCCCGCAGACTCTTCTCATTCTCCATCCATTTCCAGTGCGCTTTTCGAAACAACATCACCGATAGAAATCCGCTGCCAGTCCTATCCACCATGTTAACAGCCCCTGCTCTTAGCTTCGTTCGTTGTACTAACTTTATTCAGACTCCCAACATGAAGTTCAACGTTGGCATCATCTTCGCCGCGGTTGCCTTCACCCGTGTCTTCTCCGTCGCCGTCCCCGACGACTCTGCCGCTAGATGTGGAAACCTCGGCATCATGTCACTTGACGACATCCCCGAGGACGCTCGTGCCGGCAACGTCCGCAAGTGTGCCGATCATCCTCTCGGCCACAACCGCCCCTTCGAGGGAACATCCTTCGCGCCCATGGACGACTCCGCCGACACTACGGTCGTATCCACTAATGCTTCCAACCTCCAGGAGAGGGCCTGCTGGTTTGACTCGGAATACGGCTGCACGAAAGGATACTGCTGGAAGGTATGCGGCAATGGTGGCAAATGGTGCTGGACTGCTAGTAATGGTGGCTACGGCCCGTGGCACACGTGCGCTAAATGGAATGACTGCAAAAAAAAGTTTCCTTGCGGCAAGAGCTGCGACAGCTGTGGCTGTAGCTGCTGAGGAATGTTGAATCACCTCGAGGAAATTGCCAAGCCCGGGTCGGTCTTTTCCGTAGTATTCGTACTAGTACTCTCAGAACCTTCTTTATCGGCCGAATAGATAAATTCACTCCTTTTTTTCAACTCATCCATGCTTATGGTTGTGTGACAGCCTGAGAACTTGATTGTATGCTCAGCAATTTCCTTCTTACAACCAAGCTCAGTCGTAAACATACATGTTTTTTTCTCATTGCGGAAAAAAGTGAAGAACTAAGGCATACTCACGCTACATTCTAAGGCTCTGCCACTTTCGCGCTAGCTATTGCCTGCAGCACCCTATGGATTGTGGGGAACGGTGTGGACCATCTTGCTTTAGCGTTCCCGATTTGTGCCAAGCATACTGGAAATCGTTGTCCCTCTGATCTTTATTTCCTATTCCTTTTGTTTAGAGAAACTTGAGCTCAGTCACATCAGCTCCCAAGAAGAAGTCCACTCTGTATCCACGAGATATTCCAATCCGGCGATATCCGGAATCAATCTCACAGTGCTCCAGAAGTAGCATCACTGAGCTGCCGATTTCGAGACAGAAGATGGCCAAATTTTCGTCATCTATACGGTGGGCATCTTGAAAGTAATCAAGCTGGCCAATGACTTCCTCCCTCAGAGCCTCATATGTAAGAACACGGCCTGATTCCAAATCGACAGAGTTAATGGGGGTGTCCGGGCTAATTGCAAATGAAAATTTCTCCTGGCCGTCAATTGTCTGGCTAATATCGGACCACGCCATGGAAACTGATCCTGGATCTTTGAAAAGCCGCAGTCTGCCGCGAACGTGGAGCGATTGTACTTTGGCCCCGTCATTGACAATCTCAACGAGTGAGCGCTGCTGTTTTCTTTTAGACCGCCCAGTGACCATCTCGAACTCCTCTGCTGCCGAGAACGCCTTCCAATCAGCGCCGACGCCAAACGGCAACGAGGCCCATGACCATGACGGTGCCTCTGGTTTCACTCCGCTATCGTCCAGAACAATCAAAGCAGGTGACCAGGACAGATCTTCTGCTAACGATTGCTTCCAGAGCCCAGCAAGGTACTCATCTCCCTTCCTCACCTCCAAATACTTGGCTGCCAGGCCCGACAGCGCCGGAAACCGATCCCCCGCATTCGTGCACTGGCGTCTCGTATACGACTCCACGATCTCTAGCCAACTGCGATGCAGCCCTTCCCCAGAATCTTTCCTCCTCGTCTCCAAAAAGCCCTGCGCCGAATCCTTCTGTGCTCCATCTCCGTCCTCCCCTCCATATACCTTCGGCTTCCGTCTCATTTCCCTTCCTTTATTCCCCTCCTCCCCGGCCCAGCCTCTCCCCATCTCCACCCGTCGCGCCCGCACACACGACCAATACATCCGCTGCCCCGACCAGTACAGCACTCTTGGACTGAGCCTTTCTTCCTGTAATGTCCATGCCCTTTTCGCCAGCGGCGCTTTCCTCCTCACCTCCTCCACCCCTACCTCATACGCAGCGATCCACCAGGAACCGGCGAGGCGGCATGGCACATTGTCATACTTCCACGCGGTGCGAGTCGAGAAGAGCGGCTTTGTCGCAGCGTCGTTACTGGCGATGCACAGCGTATAAGCTGCATTGCCGTATACCTCGTGCATCTTGGCGGATTCGGTTTCCCAGTCGCCGCCGGGCCCCTGCACGATACACAGTGCGTCGATCCAGATGTAGCGCGTGCCGAGGGCCGCGACGAATGCGATGGTGTCGCGGAGGGTAGGTGTGAGGGTGGACGTCGGGAAGGGCGCAGAAGAGCGCGCGGAGAGGTTGGCGGGGGTGGTTAGGGTGGAGTGGACGAGGGCGGCGGGGATGGGGTCGGAAGGTGGTGGGCCCCAACAGTAGCTTAGAGCGACGTATGGGTAGTGGGTTGAAGAGGTGGTGCGGTGCTGGTTGGGGTGGATGAGTTGAACGGATTGGGAGTCGGCGAGGATTTCGAGGAGGCGGGTGGGAGTGCTGGTGGAGGAGCGGAGGTTGCCGCATTCGGTATGTGTGGCTGTGCAGGCGTCGAGCCAGGACTTGGCTTCGCGTGCGACCGAGGGGTGGCGGGGGTTGGGGTGGAGTGCGGGAGAGGTGATATCGTTAGAGGCGGTGCAGGAGACGAGTGCTGATGCATGGTCGTCATCACGACGCCTGCCAATGCTGACACGAAGCCTCAGTACGTCGGTGGACGGTTCTCTGAGAAGCGTGACGAATACTGCTTCTGTTGCTTCTTCAAGCTTTGCAGCATCTTCGGTAGTGGGTTGTTTCAGAATGAGCGCCTTTCGGAAGGTGCGGCACGCTACACACTGTTGTGCACATGCAGCGAGCTCTTGGTAGTTTTCATGGATCCGGATCGGACCTAAAGGTTTTCCAAAGAACCGCTGCTGAAGCTCTAAGTCTCTAAGAGCGACGAAAAGATTCTTCAGCGTGTACCGGCAACTCCGGCATTTGTATTGCAGGTCGTCATCCTTTTGCACCTCAGTGCTGTCCAGTGGGGGAGCTGAGAACAGTTGAAGAAATCTCTTGAGAAATGCCATTCAGATGGGCCACCACGGATTCCGCTCCTAACAAAGCAGTCAAAGTCGTCAGAAGGTGGAATGACGCCAAGTCCAGGCAGACATCGGCTTACACGTACTTAAGAGTGATGCCTTCAGCAGATGTCTGTACGACAAGGCTAGGGCTTGATTTCAAATCAGCTCCGTATGAATGCAAGGGCATACAGCAGCTAGGTAACAACAAGCATAAGCTTAGGGCACGCCACGGGTCTGAACAATAGCGAATTGAGAACATCAATAGAAACTGCAAACTTAAGTCTAGGTAAATATAGTATCATGTAAAGACTTTCGCGTTCTGATAAAAGCTTATAAGTTGGGAGGGGGGTTATCGTCTCATCAATAATCTTGCATTAGCTACGAGTCGCCACCTTGGTCACCATGGAATGCAAGTCGACTGTCGCACCTCGCCTCATGATCCCATTTCGGATAAGCTCTGTTTCATTAGCCCACGTCCACGTCATCTCCCAGTCACACAAGAGGAGGCTGAGTCCATCTTTACTGTGCTATATCAATCGCACTACCAGGTTAGAGGAATGCCCAGGACGCTCACTGCGATATAGAGACCGCCCAATAGACACGATCCGAAGAAATTCTCTTTTGCACCCCAGTACTTCCTGCACAACATGTCGAACCCGATTCTCTGGAAACTCGCACATGGCCTATGCGTCACAAGCTACGCCTGTATGTTCGTCGCTAGCTTCATTGCGTTCGCCGGGACAGACATCGGCCTGAACGAGGGTTTCAACACGAGCATATACATCCACGCGGCCCCCTGGGGTGCCGCAGCCGTAGTAAGTTAATGCGCAGGGCCGCTCTGGATGGCCAACCGTACTGACTCACCGCTTCTTGTAATATAGGCAATGATTGGAACAATCTCGAGCGCTGCCCTATTTGCTAAGCTTTCTGAACTGGATGACCCAAATCAGAATGAGACGACCGAGAAGCGCCATTTGAAGCGGCAGACCACTGTTGTGATTGGGGTCGCGTTCAGTCTGTGCTTGATCATCGCGGACATCATTACTGCATCTGCTTTGGCAAATGCGAGCAATATGGTGCGGCACAATTCTACCACGCCATTGAATGTCGACTGGTATATGGCTGTAGTGAGCGCGTATGGTGTTCCTCAAGTAAATGCTGAGCCGAAGCTAATGTGAGTCCAGGATTATAACCGGCGCCAGAATTATCATGGATCTGTGTAAACTCATTGAATGGAGCAAAGAAATGCACGGAGTTCACTCGCTGTTGGAGGATGTTGAAAGAAATGATGAAATTGATGAGCCCTATAGGGACTGAATCATAGAGACTAAGGGAATTAGCCCACATAACATAAGCAAAGTATGAATCCACTCTTCGAACTACGTTGACAGTTTGCTTTCCTTTTCTGCTTGGTGACGGCTTTGTTATCAGCTTTTCGCCGTGTTTAAGATATTGATATTGTCGCCATGCTCCTCAATTTGATCAATTTAACGATAGATCATGAAGACAACAACTACTCAAAAATAATATCCTTGAAAACTGGATTGGCGTTGATCCAGTCTCGCAAACAAATGTAGCCAATACTAATCCTATGCGCCAATAATCCCTTTCGCCCGATCAGAATGACAGCAACACAACATCTCGGCGGAATCCCCCCTTCTGACGCTCGCAAAGCTCTCTCCGTATAATCAAGATCCATGTCTGCCAAATGAGCAAATCCCCACGGATTCTGGGGCAAGGCGTAGTCAAGGTGAACAGAAACAGCAATGAATTCATACTTTTTCTCCAATGCAAGAAAGGGTTCTATCTTGCTTCGCACGCGTGGATCGCGACGCCATAGGGTGCCCACTATGCGTCCCTTAGTGTCTAGTATAGACAATGTGGCTGCGCCCCCTTGAACGCTCCATAGTTTGCCAAGATCCAATTCAAAACTTGCACACTGTGCGCGAGTCAGAATCAATTCTCTCCGTAGTTCTGGCGCTACGGCATGATCGAGATCAGAGAAAAGCTGTCTGGTGCTGGAAGAGTCAGCAGTCATGCCAAACGCGTTGTTCCAAAATTCTTCATAGGTCGGCCATTTGCTGGAGAGATGCTGGCGGTAGTCTTGGAGGGTTGTGAAATCTCCAAGTCCGACCTGACAGTTTGACTCGATGCATTTGTTGGTCCAAGCAATCGCCATCGCTTCTCGCCAGTCGTCGGAAAGTCCGGTCGGTGCAGTTGAGCGTATTGTTTGGGTACCTTTTAGAGATGATTTCGTCCACGAGACTAGAGTGCCACAAAACGACCGTCCGAACCCGTACGAGAGCCTGATATCCATCGCTTTCGGCCCAGAAATAGATGCCCACGATAATGTTGGAAACCTGACATTCTCGCTGCAATCTTGTATGTGTAGCCCTGGCCAAATAGGAGACCTGCGTATTGGACGCCACAGGAGTGCTTCGTCGAAACAAGGATGTGGAATCCCGAACCACGAGTTGTCAATTCCGTAAATGGCCTCGATGATACCAGAGAAAGCATTACAGGCGTCCGACTGGTAAGTAAGCCTGCGCTCACTATAGAGTGAGAAAAGGATACCAAATCCATCTCTATCGGGCCGCCTCTTATCTACGACGGTTCTCGCCCCCCTATTCCATTTGGCCTGATACCGGAGGTCTGTGGTTTTGCTTTCATGCGTAGTGTTGGAGCAGCATTCGTAGCAGATTTGGTTTGAACTGAAAAAGAGTCTCCTCCGAGCGAGCACGCCTTCTTGAAACGTCCAGCCGCGTGACCCCCAAACGGAATACGGCGCTGTCTCCGGTCGAGCAAGAGGGGCAGAGTGGAACTCTAACCCATGAATAGTAGTGGCCTTCGGCAACACCTGTCTACCTCTGCTCACCCCGCTAAGACCGTAGTCCGCAGAATCGCCACTGGAATCAACGATGACCAATTTTGCAGACGAATAAATGGTAGCCATTCGATCAATCTGGTGTTGCATGCTATCCCCATCCTGAACAATGCATAGCCGATCTACCCATAGATAACTCTCACCGAGTCGAGCGCATACGTGAAGGGCATCCTCGACCGTTGGCGGTAAGTTTGAAGAAGTCAAACTGCCATCCTGCTCAAGGAAAGGTACCGATGATCGCGTGGCTTGTAGGCAGTTAGCCATCGTTGGCTTCCCCCAGACATAGCTGAGAGCGACGAATTCGTCATTCACTGAAGCCTTGACGAGACATCTCCTCTGAACGTCGATAAGCCGAAATTCGGATACTTCAGAGCGAGGGTGAGTTGATACGCATCCTGAGTGGTCCGTGATACACTGCTCGAGCCGAGATTTCATTATATTCCAGGTTTCATCGGTAATAAAATCGGAAATATTTTTCGGACGCGGTTCTCCTTCTCGATTCACACTGGGATCCCACGCCAGGATGGTCGGTACTGGTGGTACCCCTATCGTCCCGAGGTGCTCTATACGAGCGGGTGTAATGAGTGCGTTGTCGAGATCTTCCGGAACTCGTGCCAGTTGAACCACTTTGAGAATAGATCTCCTGTCACCGTATCTATCAATGGCTGTTTTGACCATTCGACAGAATAGGCAACTCTCGTCCTTGATGGCAATATCCTCGACGGGAAACTTGAGTTTTATGACGAAGCTTTCAGGCGTACATGACAGAAGATGGCGGAGGCGTAAATGGCTACAGAAATCGCATAGGTTATGCGAAGCATCCTCCTCAAACGAAGAACAGGCAGAGCATTCGCCATGAAAAAGAGTCGTACATGCATCTGTTGATGGCTTGTGGAAATGGAACCAATGGAACCATGAGCTTTCCTGCCATTGTGACCGGTCGTAGACGGCGAGGCAGAAACGGCAGTTGATTCTGGAAACATCCACAGGGTCCGGGCTTGATTCGTCAAGGTACGAATCGTGTCTTAACGTCGACGAAGTGCCCCAGTCTATGACTCGCGGTGCCCATTCTGTCGTTACTGCGGTGCCATTTGAGTCATGACTGAAAAGCAGCTGTGGTTTGAATGAGGATTGTATTGTGTTCCTTCGAGACAAGCGCGGATTTCGCTGAGACTGCAGATCTCTGTCCTGGAGCAAGGACGTGGTATCCTGGAAAGATTGGCTGTGTTTAAGTCTCGGCGACGAGTAAATCGCCTCCATACTTCCTGTGCAAGGTCAACAGATAATCAAGCCCTTCCCCCAGATAATTGTTGCCTACCTGGTGTTCGTATTCTACCCGCTTACGCCTCGTCTAAGAGAGCGGGGTACTTTATGATTAGAATATCACGTGATTAGCATCTCTGCTTATGTGAGTAGATATATTAGTCGTTTTTACTGTATACCAGGCGAGAGTTGCGCACCCATTCACTATCTACCGGGAAACTGACAGCAGGGACGAAATTCTTCAAGGTGTGCAATAAGACACAAGCTTTGCAGACATATCTCGTAGCTGACGGTCAGAGATTTATTTCATTGTACAGTATTTAGGTTCAGCCAAGTACATAAATGTAGGGCTCTTGGCGCCAAACAGGCCCTGTTTCGTAATTTCCCCTGGTGAAGATAGGCCGGGGTTGGGAAGTTGACTACAGCGGCCCATCATCCGAGTTTCCGATGGTTGCTTGTAAGCAGCTTAATTTGCCTTTTCGTAAGCGGGTCGCATATACCACGGCGCCTGTCTGTGATTGAGCATGTCTTTGGCTTGATCCTCTTATTATGTTGCTGCCCACCGGTGGCTTTGAGGCTGAGCCTTGATTGCGTCAACGAAGATGGCTTGTAGGTGGGGTGGTGGGTGAAAAGCCGAATTCGTAGGTGCGGGGCTGAGATGGACAAGGGTTCTCCACGTATCACCACGCAGCACTGTTCAGCCTTGTCACAGAGTGAGGTGAAGATTGGCCACAGCAAAAGCGATCGCAACCATCTCAATAGATTATGCACGTCAGAAGCGGGGTTTGCATCCATATTTCGTATCTATTTCTGCACCCGTTAGCATGTGATGCAAAGCGAGAGTGAGGAAAGAGTGAAAATGTGGCGGCGGCGCAGAGCTTTTTGTGAAAAAGAAAAGGATTATAAGCGTAGCTTTGATCCTCCGTCAAACACTCAATAAAAAGTACCAAGCCTAGCTCAGTCAAGCCCTTTCTCTGTTTGTTACGCTACATTTGGAATGGAAAGCCAGCCAACGTCCTCTGGAACAGCCAGAAACCCAGGTGGGAGTATTAAGATGACGCAATTGTCGACCAAACCTAACACATACGGCTAGGCCGCAACAACGTTGAAGAGTCACAAGACGTTCGGTCCAGCTCTCCAGCAGGACGCAACACCGACAACCGAGAACCCAGCGAAAGTTCGGAATCTTCCGAGTCGAATAAAAAACCGTTTCCATGGAAGAGGCTTCGTGTCCACTTGCCAAACGTAGGACGAATCATCGCGAGCTGGTGGCCTACTAGAAACATCACGATTGCCCTCGCATCACTAGTCCTTACAGTGCTTGGCCTGTGGGTGGCAGTCAATGCAAACAAATTTGCCATCTGGACCTCCATGAAGGATTACATCGAGTATTGTTCCGATCAGGTTCGTGCATGTGAGATCACGTTAAAAGCAGAGACTAATGGAATCAAGGGCGCTTTGAAAACAGCTGACTGCCGCCGAGCAAGCAATGCTACCCTTCCTCCCCCGCCCAAGTTCTGGAAAGAGTTGGGCCATTCGATGGTTAAGAGAGCTAGTTCTGCGTGGGGAAAGTCTGCGTTTGACGACCCTGAAGAGGTTACCAAAATCTACCTGGCTATTGCTATCTTACTGCAGGTCGGTATTGCCATGATGTTTATTATTCTTCTGTCTCGATATCGCCAAAATCTTCCTAAGAACAAGATATCTTGAACTTCAGATTGGTCAGTGGCCTGTTTGTCTGTACTCCACCATTGAATATAGGCCATATCTGGATTTAGTAGTCCCTCAAGCTTCCCATAGCTACATTGGAGAAAGGCAAAAAGAAGTGCCCAACGATATCATGGATTCGATTCATTGTGGCGTTTGGTTTACCCTGGATAACTCAGTCTCGATATTATCCACGTTTTGGAGGATTTTGATTCTGCATTCCGGAATAGATATACTTTATAGCAACTTCGAACTATGGTTGATTAACTGTTGAGAAAGGACTAAAAGTCTGCTCTGCGGTGTATGTCATCGGGCCTGTGACGTGACGATGTGACCTCCCATCCTTTTCTTGTTCCAACTGTTCTCCCCACTCGTGCAGCCTATACCGCGACAACAAACACCTGCACCTTGAAGCTACTCCTTTCCCCAGTTTCCTGCCATTCTCTCCCTGATCCTCTTCACATTCTCATCCGCGCCCTCCCTCGCCGCCTCAAACGCCAACCGATACGCATGCACATTCTCCGAAAACAACGGGCGCCAATCACTCCACCCCGTCGCCTCCCTGATCTTCCGGCTATCCACCCACTGACTCCATCCAAAGATGATCTCCGACCCCTTCGGATCAACCCCCTTCGGCAACGCCGCGGGGTCCACGCCAAACTCCGCGCCGCCACCAAACCCATAATCCTTCGCCAGCGCCTTGCCAACTTCTTCCAGCGTCTCATAGCGCCTACCAGAGATATTAAACGCCTGGCCCACGACACCCCTCCGCTTCCCCTCACCCCCAAACAAAGCCGTCACCGCAACCGCAACGTACGCGTCCGCACAATCGTCAACATGCAGCCCATGCATGACCGTCCCAGCCGGCGGCACGAACCGCAACACCTTGTCGTCCCCCTCATTCTTCCCCTCCTTCACCGCCGCCGCAAACCCCTCCACATACTCCATCCCCGCCCCATACAAACTCCCACTATACCCACAAATCGGCGTCGCCCGCAGCACCACCGCATCGAACCCGCCGCTCCCGCCCGCGCTCTCCAACGCCTTAACCGCCGCGTCCGCCCGCCCGCGCACCAGCTCGTGCGGCGCCAGCGGCGTGTCTTCTGTGTGCGGCGCCAACCCGGGCTCGCCGTGGAGGCCGGTGGTGCCGTAGTCCTTGCAGCCGCTGGACCAGAGGACGAGTGGGCGCGTTGGCTTTCCTTGAGCTCCCGCTCCGGTGTCTTTCGCGGCGGCGGCGGAGGAGGAGGAGGAGGCAGAAAGACCTTGCACGAGTCCCAGCACGTCCGTCCAGTGCTTCGCGCGCGCCGCGCGGTCGGCTGGCTCGGTGCAGATGGCGATGACGTGGACGGCCGGCTTGGCCCCACCCTCACTGCTGTTGTCATCGCCGTTGCTGGCGGCGATGTGGGAGAGGATCTTGTCGCGCAGCGCGGTTGGGTCGTCGTCGGAGAGCGAGCCGATGATCGGGACGACTTCTTGCGCGGCGAGGGTGCGGGCGGCGGAGGCGCGGCGGACGAGGCCGAAGACGCGGAAGTGAGGTGGAGGAGGAGGAGAGGCCGCGGTCGTGGTGGTGGAAGCAGGAGGAGAAGGGACGGAAGGGCGGGTGCGGAGGAAGGCTTGGCCGATGGCGGTGCCGAGGTAGCCGTTCGCGCCGACGATGAGGACGTTGAGGGCGGAGGAGGTCATTGTTGCTTTTTTGGAACCTTTCGCTTTGGAAATGCGTTAGGGGGAGGGAAGCTGGTCTGTTGGTCCCTTGGGGTTGTTGCTGTGGTGGATTGGCGATGGAGAGGGCATGTTTGGCAGCGCTATAAGTGTCATTGCCTGATGCTTTGGTGTTTGTCAGTCGGACAAGTTGTATCGGTGTTGCGTTGTGGTGTTTGTCCGTCGGCCGAAATGTCTTCCCGTGTGGTGTTGGTCAACCGGACGAACAGCCTCCCGATTTCATTTGTCAGCCGGTCGAATGGTTAGAATTGTGTAACAATCGCGCGGCCTTGCTAATGCGCTTGATAGTTCCGTGGAGAATGTCATAAAATTCTGACCGAGTAGCCTTGATTAGCGCGATGCATCTAGACCCACTCAATGATGCGAAATCGCCTCAAGTTCATACGTCGGCGCGTATTCAGTTAACAACATCCTACATCTGCGCGTATTTGAGATATTGCTGTTACCCTTTTAGACATTTCGATCTGCTGTATTGTCGATTGACCCGCTTGACGTGTGCTGTTCAAACAGCAGCAAACACAAGGTTTATGATAAGTCAGCATTGCCAACAGCATCCCACGGCGTCAACCACCCAGAATTTAGCCTCGTCAGGAACTATTTCCCTGAATGACCAAAAGTAGACGTAGAGAATCTGCGATATGTCTTATGCGCCTTTTGTGTAACCATAAATTCACAAAGCGGTCATTGCGCGTTGAAATTTATTCCTTATCTAATGCTATGGTGGGCGACACCGATATACAGGAGCATGCGATAAGACGCATTGTCGCTCTCCATTATTCATTAATTTATTGTCAGCAGTCCGCTCTCGATCTGCTCTTTCGATCCTATCAGAGAGGAGTAGCATTTGGTTAGACACTGAACGCGAAAAACCTGGATCTGCATAAAGAAGCGAGCATCTGCAAAGAATTCACGGATCATACCATCGCCCGTGATTACAGCAGAGCATAAATCCCCTTCATATTCGGCATAACCAGCGAACACAACCAATCAGATATTGTTGCGCCGAGAATGCTCGGACGTTGTCCAACTCCGACCATAAACAGACTAGCGCAACGAACGGCGCACACGCAGCCAACAGCTCCCGCTCAGCAGCAACCGAGGCATCAAGGCACAAGCAAATTTTTGCACCAATACGAGACATGCGTCAGCAAGGGAGAGCAGACTGGTGTTCCCACATCAGCTTACATTGCACATGTGCCTTGCATGGCCTGTCCGCCTGACGTTGCATTTGGTGGCTGCTCATGCTTTTTCCCCAATTTTGTGGGAAGGTAGTGCCATTGACGGCTACAGGTGCCAGAATCGAGATGGTTAAAGAAAGTATAACGCGAGATGGGGTTGCACTCGGGGTGAAACTCGGCAGAGGGTTTCATTAGAGTTATCTAATCTATCGGCCGTGCTCGGACGTACGTACCAGGCAGGTGTAAGAATCGGTGGCGATGGTTCGGATCTAACAGAAGCTGCCATCTCTTCCCATCTGGGATGGAGAAGTTTGTGTTGGAGGATTTGGGGGCTGGAGAGAAGAGAGTTGACTGGGCTATAGGCGAGGCAGAATCCTACAAACGGGGGTGAGGCCAATGAAAGAATTCTGATGGCATGATGCCAGTCCGATTGAGCTTCCTAGTGAATTGCTTCTTGCACTGTCTAGAATCTTGATGGAGTGTTGGTAAGAATAAGCGCAAGCGCCAGGGAGAAGTGGAACAGTGATGAGCTACACGGGTGATCGTCAACCAAGCTACTGGATTTGCAGTCCGCAACAGAGATACTTGGAGGACGGAGTTGCTATGGTGAGACTCGGCACGTAGGGATAGGTCTTAGCCGCTGCATGAGGCCCAGGTAGGATGGCACTGTTGTGAGGTCGAACGCAGGAAACGGATCAGATAAGATCTTGCCTCAACGTCTATCATCCACCACCAACCCAACTAAGGTAGTATCATTTGCTCCGCCATGTGGTCTCCAAGGGGCGTACACTTCCTCATTGGATTCTCAGCCGTCCTGGCCTGCTTATCCCTTCTTTCTACTATTTGGCTTTTCCACAGCACCGCGGCAACGAGGCTATTCGACACCCTCAACACCTCCAAAGAGCTCAAAGCCGACAAAGTCTTCGCCACGTTCCTCACCTCGTCCAGCGATGTCGAACTCTCCCCATCCGAAGACAACTATTTCATCGCCACGCGCATGCTGATTTACCAAATGCTGCACGCGCACGAAACGCGACTACGCCACCCCGTCCCGTTCATCGTCTTCGTCACCAACGCCGTCTCCGCCGAGAAATGCAGGCGCCTCACCCGCGACGGCGCCACGGTCATCGAGCTCGCCCACCTCTCGGCCGACTGGGTCGAGCCGACCGAATCACGCTGGTCCGACGTCATGACCAAGCTCCGCATGTGGGAGATGGAGCAATTCGGGCTGATCGCCTTCATCGACGCCGACATGGTGCTTACCCGGCCCATCGATGAGCTCTTCCTCGATCCCGCCGTGCGCGAGTGCACCACACGCAACAGGGCAGACAGCGACGTCGTGCAAGGCCCCGTGCCCGAACCGCCGTCGTACCTGCTCGCAGCCATCACGCAGATCGAAAAGGGCCACGACTTCCCGCCCATCCACCGGCCGCACGACCTGCCGAACCCGTACTTCTTCAACGCCGGCTTGATGGTGTTTCGGCCGGACCGCAAGCTATTCGCGCTGTACGAGTGGGTGCTGGGGCAGCCGGGGGTGTTCGACCCCGGGTTGCCAGAGCAGGGGCTGTTGAACTACGTGCACCAGGTCAACGGGAACATGCTGTGGACGAAGCTGGATCCCGTCTGGCAGACGCAGTACCCGAGCCGGAATGATGTCGAGCACGGCGTGTACATGCTGCATGACAAGTGGTGGCATGTCACGCACGAGAATGAGACGGGCGAGCTGTTCCGCGCGTGGAGGTGGAGGATGGAGGGATTCTACGAGGCGTATGATCGCCTGCACTAGGTTGTTTGTTTGTAGAAGTTGATCGGCGTTTCGTTCGAGGCGAGCCCATGTGGACGGAACGGGACGCATGAGCTGCGTGGCGAGAGAGCGCGTGGGTGACGATCGGCCTCGTGTGGCGCGTTGAGAGACTCCCGGCGGCGCGGCTAGAGCGCGTTGCCCGGCGCCCGGGAGGAAGGATTTGTTCGGAGCATTGCTCTAGATGAGGCGCGGTTAATCGAGTTCTGCTTGGCGTGAGACGAGCAGACGTGTACCTATTTGATCCTCTAATTTTAATAGTGGCCAGCACAAGCAGCGGGTAGACAAGGGAGCGGCGGCATTCTATTATAAGGTTGACCGGGGCGTGGTTGCACCTTCTCCACGAGCATCCCGACGAGGCAGCCCCCACACTCACTCGCCAGGACGGAAAGGGCCGCCTGGGATGCGGCAAGCGACCGACTTCGGGGTGCACGGCAGCAGGGCCAAGCCGCCACCCAAGCGACCCACCGCAAAAGTCTCGTCCGGTCATACTTACACCACCCGCTTAGCCCTGGCCGCGCCGAGTCCTTAGAACCCGCATATTTTGCCGGGATACGTCGTATATAACACTGCACAACAGCTGGGCATCCTTCAACACCCTGCCCTCCCGCTCATCGTCTCACCGACCACCCTTGCCCTGGTCGATCGTCACATCGGCCTGCATCTTGCCTGCATACTGACAAAGGTTGGCCAAGAGCACGGTCACCATGTCTGCACCGCCCGAGATTTCCGATGACAAAGGCGCCAGAGCTCCTCTGCCTGCCGACCAGAAACACCCGCAGGAGCACGTTGTCGATTCCGAAACCAGCAGCGATGAGGAAAGTGTTCGCATTCAAGATGGAGTCAAGCGTGTGGAGGCCATCACTCAGGCCTGGACCATGAAGGCTCTCTTCATCACCGGAATTTTGTATGTTCGCTCCCAATTGAGATAAAAACATCGTACTGACAAAACGCAGCATCTACATCTGCTCTTTTGTCAACTCGTTGCAGCAGCAAATCACGACCAACCTTGGTGTCTACGTCACTTCCAGCTTCATGCTGCATTCGCTGTACTCGACCACCAGCGTTTTGTCTAGTGTCATTGGCGGTGTCTCCAAGTTTCCCATCGCAAAGATCATCGATATCTGGGGCCGTGTTGAAGGTTTCATCCTCATGACTTTCCTGTGCACCATCGGTCTCATCATGATGGCGGCTTGCAAAAATGTCGAGACCTACGCCGCTGCTCAGGTGAGACGACGCCCCCCACCTCAAAACGACGAACTCAACACTAACAAACGGCAGGTCTTCTACTGGGTCGGTTACAACGGCATGGGCTACGTTATCAACATCTTCTTGGCCGACATGACTTCGCTACGCAACCGGATGATCTTCTACGGCCTCAACTCGACACCGTTCATCGCCAACGTCTTTGCCGGTCCCGCCATCGCCCAGCTGTTCTACGAGCACAGCTCCTTCCGCTGGGCTTTCGGCTGCTTCGCCATCATCGTTCCTTTCATCGCTGCGCCCGTCGCCGGCATGTTCATGTACAACAACAACGTCGCCAAGAAGAAGGGCCTCCTACCTCCCAGACCCGCCAGCGGCCGCACCCTCGGCCAGTCATTCTACTACTATGCGCGGGAGTTTGATCGTGAGTGCCTTGTTCAGCTCTAGAATTCCAGATACTGACGAAAAAGCGTAGTTATCGGACAATTCTTGCTGATTGCCGGTTTGTGCTTGCTGCTCATCCCCCTGACGCTGGCCGGCAGCGCCGTGAACAGGTGGGGCACAGGCTACATCATTGCTATGCTGGTCGTCGGCTTCGTGCTGCTGGTTGTGTTCGTGCTGTACGAGCGCTTCCTGGCGCCCGTCACCTTCATGCCGTACAAGTACATGAAAGACCGCACCGTCTTCGGCGCCTGCGTCCTGTGCGGCACGCTCTTCGTGTCCTTCTAGTAAGCATCACCAGCAGCCAGCTCCCCACTGGCCCTGTATCAGTTCTCTCCCCGCTAACCCCCGCGCTCAACAGCTGCTGGGACCTCTACTTCTCGTCCTACCTCCAAGTCGTCCACAACCTCAACATCCGCGACTCGGGCTACATCCTCAACATCTACAGCCTGGGCTCCTGCTTCTGGGCGCCCTTCGTCGGCGTCCTCATCCGCATCTCCGGCCGCTTCAAATGGCTCGCCCTCTGCGCCGTCCCCGTCTCCACCCTCGCCACCGCCCTGCTCATCTACTTCCGGCACCCGGGCACCAACATCGGCTACGTCGTCATGTGCCAAATTCTCTCCGCCTTCGCCGGCGGCACGCTCGTCATGTGCGAGCAACTCGCCGCCATGGCGGCCGTGCCGCACAACGAGGTGGCCGCGGTGCTGGCGCTGGAGGGCATGTTCACAAGCATCGGCGGGTCGATCGGGCAGAGCATCAGCGGCGCCATCTGGACGAATATGATGCCGCAGAAGATGCTGGAGTATTTGCCGGAAAGCGAGAAGGCGAATGCGGCGATGATTTATGGGAGTTTGCCTATGCAGCTTGCGTTTCCGGTGGGGAGCCCGGCGCGGGACGCGATTATTGCGGCGTATGGGTATGTGCAGCGGCGCATGCTGATTGCGGGCGTGGCGTTCATGCCGGTGGCGCTGGGGTGCGTGTTGTTGTGGCGGGATATTAATGTTAAGAAGTTGCAGCAGACGAAGGGGAATGTTTTCTAGAGTCGTTTTTCGGTTTTGGGTTGGTGGGGAAAACGGTGGGGAAAAGGTAGGCATGGAAAGGAGTGGGTATGGGTTAATGGGGTATGGCGTGGAGGAGCTTCTTCCGCGGGATTTCGAGGAGCGGAGGTTCGGGCGGACAGAGAGACTCCTGCAATACTATCGCACGTTCTGATCGTTTGCTCCCATCTCCGAGAGTCTCCGATGAGCTTTGACAGTCTTTCGTATTGCGTTACGTATTGGGTAACCGTTTACGACGTGTTGGTGCTGCAGCCCTAACTGACGGACGCCAAGTGGGTAACGAGCCATGCGACCGTACCACATGTACTAAACGTGGCGTCGAACAACCGACTGAAATAAAGTTCATGAGGAACAGTAAAGCCACACAGTCTTACCACTGACCGCACAATCCTTCCTTGGCCGAGAAGCCTCGCTTGCCTACTTTGCGTACGTAAACGGTCTAGATCAGTCGTCCCAGCGCAGTGGAAATGTCGAGCATCGAACTGCCGATTGCGCAATAGATCGTGACTGATGATCTTATCTTGATCAGCACCATCACCCCGTTCCGTGAATCGTGATCCCGAAACGAGCGCGTCTCAAACCACCACCCCGGCCGCCGCGCACCCCGCGGGCCCCGCGTCAAAGCGACAGGCGGCCCACGCCAGTGGGCTCTTCGTATTTTCTGGAGACAGTAGCATGATCCACACCCAGGCGGACGGGAAGCAAAGAAAAAAAAGAACGCAGAAAACGACCATCGAGAAAACGCCACAGTATGGGTACCTGCCATATTCCGGCTTCCATGCAGCGGTGGCACCCAGCTTGGCAGGCATTGGCGTGCTGCTGATTGGGTGTAGTCGGACGATTATCTGATGCCAAGGCGCTAAGCAACGGATCAGATAACTTTCTTGGGACGCTGCAGGATTTTTCCTTGCGGCGAAGCAGGCCAATGGCATTTTTTCCTGAGCGGTTTGTTCGGCCCTGACGCCTTCGCTTACATACGGCTGGGCTTGGCCCGCGACATGTGCGTGTCGAAGGTTTGTCGGGCTTTTATTGATTACTGCGCTCAGGCGATGCTCGCCGGCTTCGGCGGGGACGGGAGTGTTCATGTGCTTGTTGTTGGTCCGGCGGAGGGAGCCGAGGTGCATTCCGCCGTCGCGGGATGGCGGCGGAGCTTGGCTTGGGATCGCGCCATAAAAACTCTACCTAATGATGCAAGCCCTCTAAATTGATCTCTGTGCCCTATAGATCTTTCTTTTGCATTTTCTTTTAAAGTACATGGGGGGTATTGCAGCTGACGGCTAGCGTGTATTTATTTCGCTTATACCATAGGTAAATGAAGCCATCATCTAGATACAAATTTCGAATTAATAATTATGCATTCAATATGTGGCCTTGAGCTACATTTGGGGACGAAGAGCCTCAGGTCTATCTAAGCCATTGGATGAGGCACCACATGTTGTGCAGGATGCTATCATAGTCACAAAAGAACTCCATTACAGATATCTATGGGTAAGAAGCATTGAAGACTTTTACGAACCGGTCCGCAGACGCATTAACGAGGTGGACCAATACTGCATCAACCAAAGGGATGCAGATGAAAAGAGCAGCCAGATCGCGCAGATGGATAAGATATATTCTGAAGCCACTCTTACCATTTTTGCTGCCGCGGGCCACGATGCAGACTACGGACTACCCGGAGTAAGTGTTCGTGCACGAGCCACCTTTAAAATGGAACTTGATGAGTTTACCCTCCGCTGCACCGGCACATACCCCCATCGTCTCGTAGAGCAATCCAAGTGGCGCTCTCGGGGCTGGACATTTCAGGAAGCTCTTTTATCGACGCGACATCTGTTTTTCACAGAAGAACAAGTATTCTTCGAATGCCCACGTTTCTCCCGATGCGAGTCCATCAACGTCGACCAGGGATGGCCCCATGAGCCGCGTCTCTTTACCCTCCATACGAACAATGTTTCACAAAACCACTTCACTCAAGATATCTCCGTTTGTCTGGAAGATTTATGGAGCGAGAGGGACCGTCTTCGTGAATTCGAGAAGCTTGTTGCCAGGTACCGCAGGAGAGAGCTCAGCCATCAAAAGGACACCCTCAACGCAATTCTTGGTATCCTTGGAGTTTTCACGCGGGTCACCGACCCGATTTTTCATTTTTACGGCATCCCTGTTGACCGTGATATGAATGATGACTGGAAGATAAACCATTACTTTGCAGCAGCACTTGCCTGGAAAGACGTAAAAGGTCGCCAACTTCTTCCCCACCTTCGAAGCTGGACTTGGGCAGCCTGGTCAATCAGCTCTAATAATCTAGGTGCTGGTTGTCCAACAGATATCTGGGATGCAAGGAGATGTGGCACAGACGTGATGGATATCCGTCTGCTTCGTTCCAATTTCTAGATGAGAGGCGGGCGATACACAGTCACATCTCGGATTGGACCTATACCCAGCTCACAGTAGCTGCTAGAGCTGCAAGCATGCCCCCTCCGTTTATTCAGAGCTATGTCATCACTGTTCCAGTAACTTTTGAAGGAGGTTCAGAGGCGGGAATTGAGGCTAATATAGTGGCATCTGAATGGTCCACCAGATTATACCGTGCTGATGCTGCGTCGCTGAATCAACCTATCTGCGTGGATGATTGGGCCGCGAAAGAGCTATCATTATCCATAGAAACAGTGAAAGAGGTTGATGCCGTGGTATTGAGTGGATATAGGACTTATCCCGAAGATGCATTGAGTTGACGCCGTCAGTATAGATCGGAGCCACCATTACTGAGGGTGCTCAAATCCGAGAAATGGGATGGCCAAGAGCTTTAAATCACGTTGGTCGGATACGTAAACAAGTTTAACGTTCGCCGAATTTCTCTCTTCCGATTGTCGGTTCCACGCGTCTCTCCATTCAATCTGAAATTAGAACAAAGACTAGTAGATTTGAATTTGGTCTGATAGCTCAGGACGTGTTATTGTCTCATATTTCATAAAACTCGAAAAAGTAAATGTTACATTTGCTTTCTCTTTATGAACTCATAACAGGCTCGGATACAGGCGGCCGGACTGCACCAGCCCACATAGGTCAAACACGCCAGCTGTCATCGGCTAGTGTGACTAATGGTAGGCATATTGGATGCCGTGTACTTTGTAAGAAACCTTTGTTTCAACTGTCCTTGCCACTGCAGCCATTCAAATCGATTTCCGCTCCTCAGGGCAACCAATCAACTGCGGCAATGCATGTAGCCAGTCAGCCTCACGGAGGTGTAGCTAATGACAAAGCAGATGACCTTGCGTAGTATGTATGTAAGACACATGGGTGTTAATTTCCCCGAGCCGCCATTGACGCGATGGTGGTGTAGCATAATGTATGACCACGCGTACTACGAAGCGCTCTAGATCTTTTGTGAGAGACTTCTTGATAAAATCATGGCGAACAAATTGGTATATGCTGGATTACACCATTGCTTATTCGTGAATCCAGCTGAAATGTCACAAATCGTATACCCAGCCGGGCTGAAAACCTGGGTTTTCTGCCATGCACCAATGCGAAAAGGTAGGGGCGGATTGCAGCCACATACGTCACTTCTTACTCACCAGGCTTTTCGCGCAGCGGAAACGCTTAATCCTTCCACGCTGTATTTGCTACTTTTAAAATGGCCTAAGTCCCTTCTCCTTTCGACGTTGCGATCAAATCGTTGTTTCTAACGTTCCTAAAAGGCCTTGTTTCCAAGCACAGAAAACGCAAAGCTGCAGTTACGATAACAGAATTTGTCATCATCTCACCGATACTGGATATGGAATCGACTATTGTTCATTCGCTCCATGAATGCAACATCTCAGAATGCATTTATTCGCCGGTACTGATGACTATTCACCAAAGTGTGCCTTGCAGATATCATGATCCGTCAGAAAGTCTGTTTGCGAAAATCTTTCTTACGACTTGCTCGGCTTGTTCAAACGTTCCAATGGCCAACAACGCCCTCTGCAATTTCTGCCATCACCTGCGGCTGCATCACCTTCTCTGCTGTCTCGCCAGCAGTAGCCTCCATTTGTTTCCGACAGTGATCCTTGGACGTTACGAGGAGATCCAATCCCGTCACAGCTGCGTCTTCTGTGGTTTCATATCACAAGAGATCAAGACCAAAGAGCAAACCACAGGAATCAGGGTACCTGGCAACCACTTCATTGCCCTAGAGGTCTTGAACACGTTCCGAGAAGGCTTCGCCACATCCCGAAGCGGACATGCAGCGATATATGTCGTTAAACTATCTCATGATGAGAGTAAAGGGTCATTCAAGGCTACCTTTTGGAACAAGACTCGTATCCAGGAAATTTGCGTGCGCGATCGAACATCACCCGCAGCATGGACAGCAATGCCAAAGACAATAGACTGGAACAGATTGAGAAATTGGCTCAAAGATTGCGAAACAAATCATGTCCACCCTGGTGTACAAGGCCGGTACCGGGCCGATGAGTTGCAAAACTTCTACCTCATCGATGTTGCAAACGAATGTATATCTCACGAGCCGATGCCCTCTCGGTACATCGCCCTCAGTTATGTCTGGGGAAATCGAACGTCTGGCATGCTCGAAGCTACCAAGGATTTTATCGACCGTCTCCAGGAACACGGTTCCCTCAGGGACCATTCCATACCTACCACTATCCGAGATGCGATGGCTGTGTGCCGCCAATTCGACGTGCGATACCTTTGGGTCGACCGGTTGTGTATTATACAGGACGATGAAGTTCAAAAGCATGACCAGATTAACTCTATGGGAGAAATATTCTCGCGCGCTCTTTTGACAATATGCGCTGCGTCTGGCGATGATGCCGAGCAAGGGCTTCCTGGTGTAAATCTCACAGCAAGGCAACACCCAAGAAACCGGACTTTTGTGTTGGGCATGGAGATCTTAGGGTGGACTGGGAGAGGAATGAACTCTACTTGGAACCAACGTGGCTGGACCTACCAAGAGAACGTCCTGTCACGGCGGCGCCTCATATTCA